TTTAATTGCTTCCACTTCCACATTCACTATCTCGAGCGCTGAGTACATATTTGGGGAGAAAATATCTGGAGTTTCACAGAAATACATTTCTCGAGTGCTTACAAGACTTGAAGCACTCAAGGATGTCCTTTCGCAGATGGATGGAAAATCAGCTGATCCCACTGGAACTCACTCACTTTTGCCACTTTCCGGGAATGCTTTCCAAATGAGATGTTCAAATGAAAGAAATGGCAAGGAAAATGTATCACGGACACATTTTTCAGTGATACAATGAATTCGGAAAAGCAATGAATCATAAACATAAAGATTCAAGTCACATTTTTTCCATGATTCACAATAAAATGATGGACTTTTCTTCCCAATAACATTGTTATGGTAGATTTCTCCAAGGATTTCTATTGATATTTCCACACATCGCTGAACTCTAGCCTCAATTGCATTTGGATTGCATCGGGATCAACATGGAGTTTTGCGCATTCCTCCAATATGTATTTGATAGAACGCTTTCCGGTGACGGGAAGTGAGCAGAGAGCGAGAGGCGGAAATGGAAACTGTACAGCCACAATGTGTCCTGAGTGTATTTTCCCAGGAATCAAGAGCTTCCAGGTGAAAAAAGAGAAGTCGCATTGACGAAAGTGAATTTGTCGGGGATTCCAAATCACTGGGGGTGAAACTTCCACCGCAAGAGACTCGGCGAAACTTGTCAGATCATCAGAATTTCACTGTGAGCGCTTAACAGGGTGAAATTTTTCCATTGAGTTATCCTGCGGAAATTCCATCTCGACATGCATATTGAATGGGTTTCATGTGGCGGGCTTTTGGGGGGAGGCGGGAGCGCATGAAAGGCAAACCTCTTTACAGCTCACGATGGGAATATAAACAAGCAAAATTGCATTACATTAACTTAATATTTCCCTCCTCTGTGTATACAACTCACGGATCCCTAAATGTTATTTTATTCATTTGTATTTATTACACCTCCATTCACCTTCAAAAGCTCATGTGACGCTCTCGATGGTAAACTTTCCATTCTCCCTTTTCGAGATTGCTAATCTCTTTTGCCGGGCGAAAAGGTTCCATCGTCGACCATATTTCCCCGCTCCGGCGCCATGTATCACGGTCAGGAGTGCTGGAAATTAATCTGGCGAATGGTTTATCGGGCACACCGGGAAGATTGCATAGCAGAATCGCAGTAAATCTCTGATGAAATTCACGAAAATGATGCCCATAAAATACCTTTATTTACACTGCACGCTTCGGGCGATGAGCGCATGCAAATTCCCTCAATTATCACGTCATTGCGCGAATAGATGGAGAACAATGTCTGGGCGATTGATACTCCTGATGGACCACTAAATCACTCCAGCAATCTCAAGCGCCCATCTAAATTGCGAATTGAACTGCAATTGAAGCCCATTGTTTGGAGTGTATCACAATCTTTTAGCTGATAATTAGTGTGAAGCGCGCTCTGTTCCATTTATGATGTGTGTGATTTAATTAAATCTCTCTCCCCGATTTTGAATCTCGACATAGCAAAATAATACCTCTTGTGTGCGATGAATTGATGGGATAATGCACGAAGCTCTCGGGCTCAGAGTCTCTTTGCCATATTACATGAAATCCATCTATAAGTTGCGTATAAATATTAGGAGAGATGTTATGTTGTAATCCTTTCCGCACACTCGTCTACACAAGGAGATCTGTAATTTAACTTTATTGCTTTATCTATTTAATTAGCAGTACACTGAGTGTATAATCTATATACATTTTCCTCAATATCCTCTGCTGCTCTCCGGATATTGTAAAAGTTATCACACGAGTGCGAAGCTTTCAGCGGTCGCTGACTTTGGTCTCTAATCTTCAGCTCTGTGCTTCATAATGAAATATTATTGCAAAATATTGGAAGTTTTCCGCTTTGATAACAACACAAAAGCAGATTCAAAGATGGGAAATGGGTCACTTTTTTCCCCTCCCTCCAGTATGATTTATTGAAAAGTGAATCAGTGCAGATATAAAAATTCCATCTTTCGACATCATTCTGTTATCTGAAGATTCCCAGAATTCTACGCTTTATGTTGAATGTGACGCCGAGAGAAAAATGTCTGTCAAAGCAGACTAATTTTTACCGAACGAGACACTATGAAACCATCTTCAATTACAGACGCGCCAATTAGGAAGAGGAAAAATGCCAGAACACCTTAATCAGTCGGAAAGCGATGAAATACCTTTGCTATCCAGCCAGAAGATAATTGAATTCTCCTGCTTTCCCGTCTCCACTCAGAGCAGTTAATGTAAAAATCACTTTAATTGCCACTTTTCTTTGGGGTCAATTTAGCAAGTCTGCTTCTTTACACTGAATAACGCCGAGTTGAGCTGTAAGCAAGCTATAAAAGTCAGTTTTGCAGGAGTGAGAACAAGCTCTCAAAGATGAATGCACTTCCGCCCTTTTTGTGACCGGAAAGTGAGAGCTTCATATTTCGCAGTCACTTATAATTAAAGTGAAAGAGAACCACATGGCGAATTACACACGTTCGTAATAATAAAAGCTGAATTAACCCGTGAGTTCATTGCAAAATGGAACCTCATTTGGCAAGAATGTCATTTAACTGACAATTACAATATCATCTCAGACAGACGTGGAGCAAAAAGATCTCTCATTGATAGCCAGAAACAGTTTCTTCATGTAAATATCACACAAATTTTCACGTAAAAATTAGCTCACTTAATGTCCAATTTGTTCTGTGGTAGAAAAAGCTTTCTGGTCCATTTTCAGAAATATTCCACAGATTTTAGGACTTTTACGAGAAAACTTCCGCCCTTTGCGCTGAAACGAGGAAACTTTTCTCCCTATTAGTTGAATATTTTCGGCACAGAACTTTCAATTTTCCAAAGCTCCTCAATATGCGCGCCACGAAAGTTATCATATCGTGTCGCTTTGTGGCTCTTCATCTCATTTCCCTTGATGGCAATTGCGAGCCGAGTGCGGAAAATGGTGTGAAATATCGTGATTGTCAATATGTTTTCCTGTCCCGATGATTTTCGACCCGAAAAGAAGCCCAGCACTGGAGTGAGTCGGATGTGAAGTGCTTTTGAGCTTTCTCTGGCCTCTGGCGCTCCGGAAGGCATCGATTGATAGCTTCCCAGTCTGCTGTTGGTAATTGTTTCCTGCGTCAATTTGTCCGTCTGTATCATTGTGCTCTCAATTTACAAAGTTTTCACTCGCCCCAAAAGTCAGAAAAGTTTCGTCGTTGCCCACAAATTTATGTTGTGGCAAATTCTTTCAAATAAAATTCAATTTAATCTCCAAGCTACAAATCATGCGGCAAGTCGAGATTGTTCTCGTGCTCCAATGGAAAGTAATTGCTTCACCCGGACTTTTGTGTGGAGTGTTTATGAAAATCCTTTCTAATATCAATTCGCAAAGGCCGCAGAAGTTTTCAGCGTCTGAAAAGCCTTCAGAGATGTTGAATATTTGCGACTGGAAAGTTTTTTAGTGTGCGGCCGCCTCGAGATATTCTGCAAAATCGGTAAATTTCATAGATTTGTTGTCTTTGACTTTGAATAAAGCAGCAAAAGAGCCAATTAATTAATCCAAAGCGAGCTCTGCAAGGAGCAATTTATTCCAAATATCACAGAAAAGTGCATTCAATCATCTATTTAAACTTTATTTATTCACTTTATGCACTGCTTTGCAACATATCACGGAACATTTTAATTAGTTTGTTTCAATTCCAAAGCCGACTTCCTCTGTGCACTAAAAATTCCATTAGAGGCTGTTAGTTTTAGGATTTTCAGTGCATTTTAATTATTTTAATTAAATTAATCCTTGGTCTCGCCAAATGCATGCAGAGTAGCATAATTATATCGTGTCAAATGAATTCAAAGAGCAAATTTTTATTGACTCTCTCAGCAAATGTCAATCTTTGTCTAAAATCCCATAAAGTGCAGTAATAAATAGCCATTTGCCCCATTATACTGAGCAACTGCAAATGCACTTGTTGCTCTGGAACTTATTAATGAGACCGACGATAGGAAATTAAATTTTGGAAGCACTCCAAGATGCAGTAATAATTTTTGAATAGAAAGAGCTTTCAAGCGCGAGTGCAGGAAAGTTCACTTGAGAAAGAAAAGGCAATAAATTTCTTTTGATCAGTACTCGAGTTTGCGAAAGCACATGCGTCCCCTTGTGGGGTTAATTAAGGTGAGAAAACAACAAAAGGTTGTTTGTACGCTGTAAGATTTCCACCCTGTTGACACTGAATACCCCATCGAGGGAAATTCCTCAGCCAGTGACTTTTAAACTTCGACAGAAGCCCAATTAAGACGCTCAACTGATTCACGTTGAGCGGAAATTCTCGCTCAAGGTATCGAGCAGCAAGGCAAGAAGGGCTGGAATGAATTATATATGGGATAATTATTGCGTGTTATGTTCCATGTGATAATTAAATGTGATTGAAACATTAATGACTTAAGGGGTCAAACATCTGAACTTCAACTGGGAACCACTTGTGGCGCTGGAGTGTCTGAAACTCAATTTCAAATCATCACTTTTGCAATGGAACACAACGAGGAGAAGTTGAGATTACAGCAGAAGTTCAGAGCTCATAGCGATGACAAATCCGCGTTCTTGCTCGAAACAATGCGACTCTCATAGTTATCTACGCACTCGTCGACACGCGGATCCCTTTGTCGAACTCCATATCGGACGGAAGTCAGTTGTTTGCTCAACTGAATGGCACTTGGTGCAGAAGCGCGATGTTTGTGGGACTGATTGAAATTATTTGCGTAGTGCAAATAACTAGTGCGATATGGAAAAATCACCCTTCGGTCAAGGTTTAGCGTGGATCTCGTCCGTGGAGGCGCCAGGTGATTGCACCCCAAAGGAATTACGCGTCTTTTTCTACACTCCGCTCGCCTTAATTGCCCCATTATGCAATTGGAAATCACCGTTTCTTATCTCATCCCACTCCAAGTGCCCAGCCAGCAATATTGTCGCGGAGCACACTTGAAAACACCTCAGAATGCGATTGACTTCGAAAGCGAACGTGAGGATGAGTTTCACAGTCAGTTCCGAACGTCTCTTGGCTATAGTTTGTGCCGCGCTAAAATGCTAAACTATCTGAGTGTGTGAGAAGTTAAAACCCAGTGACTTTTCTAATTACATTGGCTTAGTCTTGTACCTTCGCCATGGCGCCAAATGTGATTGGTAAGGGTTTGTCGATATGAAGTGTGATTTCCAGTTCCCAAGAGAGTGCTTTTTTTTGTTGCAGATCCTCCGAAAAATGTGGAGGACTCGGATTCTATCCGCAACTTCGCTAGTCAGACGTCAGTGGATGAGAACAATCTGGACAAAGTGGAATGTGGCAGTGAAGAGAAGTTGATCCCGGTGGAGGAGAAGTGGTGGGAAACTACTCTCCAAGTGCTGGTGCCCTTCCTCATCGCAGGTGCAGGAACGATCGGTGCCGGAGTTGTGTTCGGCATAGTTGCAGTGAGTGTCAACACGACACACCCTGAACGATAGGGTGATCCTCTCGAGTGCTCGAAATGTGGAGCGATAGTCTCAATCGCTGGCCTTCACCTAGGACCCGTGCCCCTGATTGCACAGGCTTAGCCAGGCGTTCCAGATCTCGCGTAATCTTGTTTTCACCGAAAGCATTTTAGGCTGGTCTTATCAATGAGATTAGCGCTCCAAATCGAGGACAGTAGGAGCTTCCCGTGTGATTTAAGAAGCGCCTTAAGCCGCTTTTGGCTATTGGCTCGAACCATTCGAACACCCTTTAGAAATCACATCAGTCTGGCCTGATAGCGAGCACTTTGGCTCGCTAGATTGCCCGTATCGATCACTTCTGCTAATCGCATTTTTCCTTTGTACAACTTATCGGCCACCTAAATTTTTTCACTCTTAGCCACGCTCGATACGTCTTATCTTACGCGACTCCATTCAGATGCTAGACAGAGAGGTTTAGCACGCCCTGTGCAGAGACGAAGAATGTCTGCGTGCTTTACTGCCAATTCGCGCGCTGATAAGGGCGATTTTCCGTCTTTCAGCACTGGGATGTCTTCGTCAACGTCTCGGAGCTGATCATCATGGTGCCATCGCTGATCGGCCTCAAGGGCAACCTGGACATGTGCTTGGCCTCTCGGCTCTCCACGCAAGCGAATCTCGGCAACATGCGTAACGTCAAGGACATGATGTCCATGATCGTGGGCAACATCAGTCTGGTGCAGATCCAGGCCACTGTTGCGTCAGTCATCGTGGCGTTCTTCGCCATCGCCGTGAACGCGGCCATCAACCAGAACTTCGCCATCAACACGTCAATTATGGTCATCGCCGCGGCGATGTTCACTGCGACGACCACGTGCTTCTTCCTAGGTAATTCCGAGATTTCAGGATCAAGATCGAAATTCGCCTAAGAATCTCAACCTGCCTCATGCACCGTAAAATTAGTGATCTTACCTCATTAGTGAGCAAATCGAATGGAAATCGAATGGAATTGAAACATTGTAAGCGAGAAATACAAGTGAAAAGAAGATAAGATCTTGACGTTCTTTCACTGTGTCAAGATTTCAATTTCTCCATCTAAAGATTTATAGCCCTTGAATCGATAATGATGTCACAATTGACTTTGTAATCCCAATGAATTTACCGAGCATTAACTTCTCATTTGCAGACATCGTACTCACAACAGTCATCCTCGTCGCCAAGCGTTTCCACATGAATCCCGACAACGTGGCCACTCCTCTGGCCGCGTCCATCGGCGATCTCACGTCCCTGTCGCTCCTCTCTGTCATCGCGAGAGTTCTGTATCAGAACTTGGAGGCGAGGCTGTGGATCAACTACATCATCATCGGCGTGTACCTGTGCGCGTTGCCGATCTGGATCGCCATCGTGCTCCGCAACAGATTCACGCGGCCCGTGCTGAAGAACGGCTGGGTGCCCGTCATTTCAGCTCTCTTCATCAGCGGGTAAGCGCACTTTGTCCGCGTGTTATCGACACGCCGAAAACTTCCACCGTGACAACTGATTCATTAGCTGCGTGAACGGGTGATAATTAATTATTTATTGGGGCCGAGCAATCAATTAGAATTCAATTTTTTCGCCATTTGATAAGGCAGATGATAATCTCATCAAAGTGGGGGGAGTTTCTTTGATTGATTTCCGCGCGCAACAATGCCAAGGGTTCTGACGAGGCATTTGGGAAAATTACAGAACTTAGAACACATCACTTGTCCATCAATCAAAATGCCATAAAATATTGCTCTTATCGCCACTCACAATCGCGATCAATTAGCGTTGTCCTGGAGTTGTTGGAAATGTGAAATGTTGGCGATTTCACTTCATTAGATTGCAAAATATTTATGACTCTGGAAAAGCTGTTAGGGAATTTAACCCACACAAATGACTTCTTCATTGCGCCATATATTGAGTAAAAAAAAAAAAACAGAGATCCGTACATATTTCTCTCGCGGCGTTATTTTTGTATACATACTTAATAGCATCTGCCAACACATTGCCAAATAAGCTCGCTTTCGGATGATGGATTCTTGTAAATATTTTTCCAGCGAATGTTGAAAAATTCATGCTCATTTCTCGGTTAAAAAGCAGTTTTCTCCGTGCGGACGGACTTTTATTAGTTTTCCGGGAAATTGTTAATGGGGTTTTGGTGGAAAAGAGCGCTCATCAAGATACCATTTCTGTTTCATTCGCTCCTCTTCCGGTGCAATGCAAAAATCTCCAGGGCAGATGAGATTCAATTAGAGACCTCATGAAATATGCAGAGACACTCCCACGTGGGAATGTCGAGATGCAGTTAATTGAATTTGTCCATATATTATGCCAAGTGTTTCACACCCCCGAAGCTTTTGGGGAGTCTCTAAACGGCTGAATATTGCAGAATGGGCGGATTAGTCCTGGACGCCGCAGTTGGGAAATATGAAGGCTTCGAGGTGTTCCAGCCCATTATTAATGGCATCGGTGGGAACCTGGTGTCCGTCCAGGCGAGCAGAATAGCGACAAAATTGCATCAAACGACCGAATTGGGCATCATGCCAGCTTTCGCCAAGATCTTCGAGTGGCCCCATCGAGCGCTCTTCAAGGGCGGTAAGTACATTTGGTGATGCTGAACGAGGAAGAAATCACAGAGATGAAATCCTCTCCTTCTCGACAGTTCCTTATGCGAAAACAGCCCGGATTTTGATTGCCATGTCAATTCCGGGACAAGTTGTCTTTATATTCGTGGCTGATGCCATCCACATGTCACGCTCGACACTGGATGCGGCCTTTGTCTTCACATACCTGACAGCCAACATCATTCAGGTGAGTAAATCCCACGCGCGCTCTTCTTCTCCCGCTTCGCAAAATCCCATCAAAATATTTGCCTCTCTTTTCCCCCCCCTCAGATCACGATGCTCCTCTTCGTCGCCCACATCATTATTCACGCCATGTGGAGGTGGAAGATCGATCCAGACAACTCCTCGATTCCCTACCTCACAGCCCTGGGCGACCTGAGCGGCTCCAGTCTCCTGCTCGTCGCCTTCATCTTCCTCACCGCCATCGGTAGGCCGTACGAGGAATCCGCCGAGGCAGCATAATAGATTGTCTACTCTGTAAACTTTGCGAGAATACCAAAGAAAGTGCACCCAAAACACCCTCACTTGTTCCCATGCAAGGCAATTTATACGAGTATCTGCAAATATTTGACTGTCAACACTCAGTGACATCCATCCATCCATCAATCCATGAGACTTCCCGGTGCACGCAGTAAACCCAGAAGATTCTCCTGAAAAATCGTCACGAAAGAGACATTTTCTACGCCAAACAACTTTCAATTAACCTTCAATTGGGTCATAAACAACTATTATTATTTTTCCACGCACTCAATGCTCTATCTTTGCCTAATCAAACACCAAATCACTCTCGAATGATTAGCAGATAAGGACGTAATCCACTCTAAGCAGAAAAGCCGAGAGTGGTCAATTAATCCCAAAATGCAATTTCCACTCTCACGAGCAGTCCATTCTACACAGCCTTTGATGTTGCTGAAAAGTCCGCTATTGCACCAATTAAATTACATTGTTAGTTTTCGCTGATGGCGTTTCCATGCAAACTTCAGCTTTATCTTGCTAGTAATTGACTTTGATCGATACTTATTGAATTGGGAGTTTAAAACTGTGCGCAGAGGATTTTTTGTCCCCAGCAATTCCACTTTCATCCAGAAACGGGTAGAAATACTGGAAAAATGTTGAGAGAAAAAACACAATGAATAAGTCCCCAATAAAATTTCTCACACACTCGAAAAGCATAGCTTGTCGAGATAAAAACTAATCAAGCATAATGAAATTATTTCCTCGAATAGTATCTCGACAAATGATTGAAGATTGCAAAATATGTGCTCTATTTTATCAACGAGGAGGAATCCATTTGAATACCCAAGAAATTCCTAATCAAATATGTTTTCCCATGTCGTGAGCGTCCTTTTCTCATTTCCAAAAGGAAGGACATTTTAATCTTCCAGATGAATTTGCAGAAAAGGGTCTGCTATTGAAGGCCTCTGGCACTATTCCACCCCCTCAGTGGACATTTAATCAAAAAAAAGCCCACGTTCTGCAATCCCTTCGCAGCTCGGGGTAAGCGTCGTCTTGTGTCTTTGCCCTCCGCATTGATTCCTCACGATGCTATCGCACTGTGTGGGGCGGGAAGGAGTTCCTCCTTGGTCAGATAAGAAATTCAGATTAATTTACTCTTTAACACTCGCGCTTGCCTGAAAAACAAGCGGAAAGTGCAGCAAAAACTTGGTGATTAATTACTTCCATAAACTGCGTCACACAGACGCTTCTTGAGCTTCCTCGCTACTTTGGCAGGAAGTGCCGCATTTCTTTGCAGAAGCGCGTCGCCTGCATAATAGCGCATTATGTAAGCTGCGCAAATTGCGTTGAAAATATAACGATAAACAGTAATTTATCTCACCAACTAAGAAAATTCTCATTTAACCCTCAACTGCTCCACTTCAACATGATATTAATACATAATTGTCTTTTTTCACTCCAGGTATATTCAATTTTAAAACACTGTTTGCTGACTGAGTGACTTGGAAGCCTTCAAAGGATGTGCTCTTAAGGCTTTTAACATCAATTCAAATATTGATCTTCTTCTTTTCTGCAGCATAAACTTCTTTGCTCATTGCAAACGCCGCATATGGAATATGATTTTTCCTGAGCGGATTATATGAATCTTTAATGCAATATTTACAGTATAATTTTCCCATGTCGCACATGATGGCAAACATAATAATTTCATGTGTTTTCACAAGTTATGCTTTCCTCAATCAAAATTTTCCGGAAAATTCTTTTCACTCACACACACTTCAAAGAATTCCCAACAGCAGCAACATATTAAACTCGCCATGTTCTCCAGTTGTATGCAAAAGTTTCACATGTGAGCTTTCTTCACCTGTTTTGTGTTTGTTTTCCGCCAGCGGATATTGCGCGGGGTGGCAAAATGCGCTCTACATTATTTAAATTTAATTTGCAAAGTTTATGGTGTTGTGCGTAAAGATTTACCGCAGAGTCGAGTGAAATTTAATTAAATTCCCTCGCGAAATATTTCCCGCCATATATTAGAAGACAATATTTGGCCAAGAAGTTATCAAATTCAGAGTCAATTTGCCATTATAGGTCGTGGGTTGACTTGAGGAATGTCTCTCAAACCCAGAGAGAGAAAGAGAGAGTGGGACTGAATTACGATGAATGAAGATGTCCTTGTTGCTAATTTTAGCAGTGATATAAAGCAACAATTCGGAGTGTAACGCAAATTAATAATTCTTTCATCGACTCCCCTGTAATCAGGCGTAATCGGATCTCCAACACCGAGGCATAATTCCATATCGCATGCTGCTAATATTGGTGAAATGTTCATAATTACTGTCGCGCCCCGCAAATTCACCCTCACAGCCCTTTACCGAAGGTGATCCGTCCTCAGGATAATTGTCCCTCTTGCGTGATCCTCACATTTGCCATCCGAGGGCTGTAAAGTGTCATCTTCACATGTGGCAGCAGTTGGAAAGTTTCCTGGGTAACCCAATTAGCACGACGAAGTGGGGGCGAAGTCACGAATTCCTACCAGCACGTGGGACGCCTTGTATGTGACACGGGAAAATAAATTATTGTGGCTTGTCTGGGGGTGTTGGGCGAGGAGAATTAATAATTGAGTGCATATTTCACATTGTTTACACTCTGATGCCTGTCTTTTCGCCTCGACCTCAGATGTCTCTCTCTTCGACGTGGATTCCGGGAAATTCAATTTATCACCCGAGGAATCTATCATCTCAATGCCTCAGACCGTGAAAAGTACAACTTCACGCTAACTTTGCCAACACAGCACAAAGTGGGTCATTTGCAGCCTGATTAAACGTAACCTGGTGGAGGTGGAACTTCTCTGACACCAAGCATCGCATGAGAGTTTCAAAAGCACCCCAACTCATAGATTAACTTGTAAATTGGGGTTTGTGTAGTTCACGCGCCAACCAGTGGCGTTGCAAATTATAAATCGCTGAATCCTTGGCTCCGCCCACTCAGAAGCTCCGCCTCTCTCCTTGTCAATATCCAGCGCTCAAACGTCCAGCTTCTGTTCACTGCAATTTAACAACTTCTCACCCAGATTTCCACTACGTCTCTGCAATCCATCGAAGCATTGCGAAAGGGTGCGCAATGTAAGATTAATTGTTGCCCAACACACAGAAATTGTGTAGCTCAAGTAGAGTGTCAGTGTCTTAAATTTCAACTCCTTTCATCTGGTAAAGTGGATTTTCGTGGAAAGACTTCAAGACGATCAATGTGACAAGATGTGCAATTCCCAAGCATATTTCACCAATGTGAGAAATGGCAAATATCTCGTATTACTAACTCATCGGAATTTGATTGGCCTTTTGGTAAATTCTCCAAGCATCACTCAACTTGGTAAACTTGCATCTGCCTTTCATTAAAAATTCCCTCCCCTGCGAAATTACCTGCCATAAGAACTCCTGAGCTCATCTCAATCAGGCCAATTCCCTCTGGCGCCCCATCGAAAAGTTCTCAGCGGGAATTTCGCGAAACAAGTTGCTGGCATCATCCGATTGAGCTCTGCCTGCGGAGGAATTCCCTCTCCCCAAGCGGAATAATCAATTGAACGGCTATTGAGAGCGGTTCAAGTGGATTTTCTGCTGGAGACGTCCTCGAAAATAATGACATTCTTCTCGACGTGAAGGGCCAATTAGCAAGATGATACCCTTCGCCCGGGCTTCGCTCTCCCCATGGCGACGAATTCAACTCTTCCATTCACAATCGCTTTAATGTCCCCGCACCGATGAAACTGACAACTGCGCGCCGGCGAGTGTTTCTGAGTGTCATTGTCGCGTGAATATTCATGATCCGCGGGGCAAAAAAAATTCCCACGCCGGGAATCGAACCCGGGCCTCCTGGGTGAGAGCCAGGTATCCTAACCACTAGACAACGTGGGACATGCTCGTGACCACACGCGAAACTCACGCGATGCCATCGCCACAGTCTATTAATACGCGCCGATAAAAATAGAGAGATGCTCTCTCTTGATTATCATGCAGCACTTTATGCTTCCTCAGCGATAACATTACACTCGCACAAACAGCGCCCGGAGCGAAAACACTCATTTTCATGTGTAAATTTGCGGGCTTGTTTAACAAAACAAATTATTAGCTTCTGTTGCGGCACTTTTTCCTCATCTCGCATGTTTTGCCCGCTAAAATGTCTCTGGATTAAAATATAATTGGATATGTTAAGCTTTTGTTGCGTTCAAAATGTTGCGGTAATATTGCACAAGGTGTTTCACAAGTGTTTCTGCAAATTCTTTATACGCACTATTTTGTCTGTTATTTTTGACAATGTCATGCGATAAATCCACGTGAATCTTGTAAAGCAATTAAGGTTTTTTTTTATTAAGTTATAATATTGTTAACAAACAATTTTACCAAGAATTTAAATTGAGAAATAGCTTTTAATGTGAAATACACAGGATTCTAAGCACTTCCGCTGAAGCACTCTGTGCAATAATAAAATCCGCTTACGAGGAAGCTCCTTTCCGGCATTTCTCCCTATCCTTGGCATTTCGCACACACTCTTTCTGCGTCTCTCCATTATTGAAATTAGACACACAAAGAGATATATTTTCTTACGCATAATTCCACAGTGTGTTGCTCTTTACAAATCCACTTTTACGCCTGAGAAACGCGCCCATTGTCATTTCCATCAAAAGAGCATTTCCAATCGAGTGCTAGAGTGATTTCATTTAATCAAAAAGTACATCACTATAGAAACATCGCATTGCCGACGGTATAAAAATATATCTTACAAATGCTGCCCACACTTCTTTGCGCTGTTGGAGTTGAAAGCTAGGAAGGAGAGTCGTCGTGACACTCAATCACCCACTCGTGACGGTCACGGACTTATGGAAGCCCACGCCTCCGTGAGCCGCTGCCGCCTTTCCGTTCAAGAACTGGTTCACTGCCGTGAGCGTGGCGATGGGAATCTGCGGGGATGCAAAGATTATATGTATGTAGTGCGAAAGAGTGGATCAAGGAGGAAATTTTATGGTCTGAAGTCGTGTACAGCTTTGAGGAATTGTGCAAAATTTAGTTTTCAAAAACAGTTTAACGCACTAATTTTTTTTCTAATTTCTTCTTGATAAATTGCTTGCAAGAAAAAATTCAAATACTTTTCATTTGAAACACTTTCATTTACTAGGAAAATACGGCATTGTCACTGAATTAAAATTGTGATTCCTGATTTTATGACATATATGTTTAAAAAGAAGTTTGGAATCAAACCTAACCTCAAAAACATGGTATTGAAGTTCGATTTTGTTCATTTTATACCATTATTGAGTTGTAAAACATTCAATTTGTGTATCTTTGCTATTTAAAAGTACTAAATGGAATTCTTAGGAACCCCCTAGGAACCCCTCAATATCTTTTTAGGTCATGATCGGAGATTTTCATAACCTCACAATTGATTAATAGTGCTAAAAATGAAGGGACTTTTCATATACTAAATTGATAAATTGACAGAATGTTGGTGTACGGACTTCAGCCATAATATCGTGTCACTCACGCCGAAGACGCCGTCGAAGAAGGTGCCTCCGTGTCCCTGGACGCCCACGCCCGAGGTGTAGGTCACGACCTTCTTCTTGTGTCCGTACTCGTGGCTCTCGATGCTGTCGCTGATGCTCTCACTGCTCTCCTCGGAGCTCTGAGGCCTCGCCACCACGACCTAAAAGAGGGGGAGCGTCAGTGGGGCAGGTCGAGGCGAGAATCTCCCCAAATCTTCCCTCCCAGCGCCCTCTCGGTAAATCAATTGCGGTGTGGTGAGTGTTGTGAGGATGTGCACTAGACCGCCCACAAGACACCCTGTGACAAATTAGCACATCTGTTAACCCATCTCGACCCTCCTTGACTCTGTGCCCAACTTTGCTGGCAAGAAAGTGTGTGTCAATTGCGTGTCGTGAGCATAATTGGTGTTGCGAAAGTGTTCTTCGTGTATTTCATCACCCCAGAACAGAATTTTCATTGGGAAATGTGACACGCTGGCCGTGTCAGGAAGTGCTTCTGCTGTGCAGCCAAACATGTAATTGATACAGGTAGTAATCACGGCGGTGTTTCCCGGAATTTGACATTGCAATTAGCGATTTATTGTGGGATTTTCGAACAGGATATTGATATCATGGGAAATTTAAGTAAACATTATGGCTCAGCTAAGCGCGTATTGCATTTCGAGAGCCATTGAAAATTAATTTTAATCAGCATACTTTGGTGTAGTTTAATAAATAACGTCTTATTATATTACTAGATAGTTTGGCGTACTATCAATGTTAATTATCTTAATATAATCATATGCAATTATTCGAGCGAAATAGTAGCAATTGAAGCTTCAGAAAGACGTGAATACACTGATAATTATCATGGTGAGTTAAATTTAAGTTCTTAAATTTCATATAATTTACTTTAAATTTAAGAATCTCGTTAAAGAGTTGAGGACTTGAGAAGCTTTAACTTGATATGATAATCAATCGATCACTTGAAAGTCTTGTGACGCACAATGAGAAGTCCGTAAAAGAAAAATTGCATTTGTTTTGACAGAAAACCGGGTAAGGAAATTTGAATATCGCGGTTAATTAGTCACTATCTGTGCAGTGGCGAGCGAGACCCGCGCTTTAAGCTCGAGGTCAGCTTACAGGAAGTGCAGCCACGCCCGCATGGGTTAAGCCGGCTGGCGAGAGGCAAGAGGCGAACCTGCTGCGGCTTGGCCAGGCTCAGGAGCAGGAGGAGTCCAGGAAGGTGGCGCGCTTCCGCGTGGGAGCGTCTAGTGCGCGTTTTCTCGGGAGTGGCGTGAGTGTGGGGGTGATTCATGTTTACCGGGTGTTTGTGGACGACCGGCGCGGCCTGGATGGTCTTGTGTATCTGGACGGTGGGTGGCGGTTGCGGGGCGTAGATGCGCTTCTCCACGTGCACCACGGGCGGCGGCTGCTGCACTGTCACGTACTGCACCCTCTTGGCGGGCTTCACGTAGTGATTCTGCACCACGACGCGCTGCGGCGGCGGAGCGGGGGCTCCGCCAAATCCAAAGCCGAAGTTGAAGTACTTCCGATAGTCGAATCCGGTTGCCGGCTGTTGTGCGTATACAGTGGATTGTGTGTGTTCTGGTGCCACCGCAATGTCCTTCAATAATACATTGTTCAACATGTGTTCAATTGCATTTGCATTGCATCGCCATCAATCAGCGCGCGCTCTCTTTTCCATCTGACCGCCCAGACGGTTTCCAAGTGTTGTGTATCGCTTGTAAATTGTGGTTTGGGAGTTTACGGAAAGTCTAGTGGAATGTTTCAGTTTCTCTTTTGTTCTGGGAAAGTCTCAAGTATTATGTCGCAAGCATACAAGCAATATATGGAAGGGAAAACTCTAGAATTGGAGGCAATTTTCAGTATAAATTTCCGCGAATCTCTATGAGTGACGACTGAGGAATGCACGAGCATTCCAATGAGCCGTGCGCAATGGAATATTTCACTCTCATTAGTGGCTCACCTGCTGAATGACGGGCTGGTAAACAGGCGCGGTGTGGAACTTCTTCTTGGTCTTCACCTTCTGGTACACCACCGTCTCGCCGGCGTTCTGTGGCACGGAGTCCACAGATGCCACCAAATTCTTCGTGACGGTGAGGCTGGGCTGTTGCACGGGCACGTCCACGACTGTCACGACTGGCTGCGGCTCCGCCACTTTAACCACGCTCTTCTGCACCCCCGCCGAGTGCGCTTCGGCCACTCCGCCGCCCGACAGCACCCCGCTGGCGTCCGCGCCGCCAGCTAGAGCGGCTGTAGCGCCCACCCCGTGACCAGCCGAGGCGCCCGCGAACAGACCACCGGCGGTCTGGCCGTCTGCAATTAATTTACGAGGATGCATCAATTAATGGGCGGCGCTGTGATGTGTGGTCTTGCGAAGCTCAAGCCAATTTATCGTCCAGCAGCTTAATTACATGCAACAATGTGCGGACATGCAAAGTAAGGCGCACTGAGAGAAAATCGTGAGTTCTGCATATGGTTTAAGACTCGAAAGGGTTCGATTGAGCCTTCTTGAGTCAGGAATAGAGGATGAGAGTCAAAATACTTACAATTTCCTGCGCATCATTTTTGTGATCTTCATATTGCAGAATAAGTCCAATAAATTTTTACCTTGATTTTTACCTAATTTTTAATTATGTGTGTCTGCTGCTTTACTTTCTTTGCTGTCTTGTCTGTTTTCTGTGTACGTTCTGCTTTTCTTTGTTCTGATTGTGAAACTCAGAATTCAACATGAATGTTTTATCAATTAATTATTTAAAGAAAAAAGCACTTTGGTCAGTATTTTTGCTGTTTGTCCAGTAAAAATTCAGAATGACCTGTTTATGTTTATTCCATTTAACCAAATTAATATTCCACTGACATTTTTTAATAAAATCCTGATCAAACTGTAGTTTTTTGCTGACTAAACGGAATAAAATACTGACATTTCATTTTCCTTTATTAACTATTCTGGAAGTGAAATGAGTGTTTCTGCTACCATTCTACATTAATCTATGAGTGATATAAGAACCAAAATCGTCCTGAAAAAATCAAAATGTGTTTCTTTATTTGCTAAATGGCCAAAAAAGCACCTTCAAGCGTATTTTTCCAAGAAATTTTTTATGATTTTGGCATTAATTGCCTTTTGTACCATCTTGCCTTATCTTTATTTGCGTAATGTTTATTCTCTCAGTGCGTTTATTCTATTTAAAGCGACCCAAACACCTTTATTTTGCCAGAAGCACTACAACATCTACTTCTACTTCTACTCTGGCTGCCTTCTCAGGCTATCCGCTGCGCGCGAAAGCGCCCAGAAATCCAGCCAGGCCACTTTGCATCTGAGGAGACCCACCGACACTTCCGCCCAGGCCGGCGCCGGCGTGCTGTCCGTACGGCGTGCCGGCGGACGCGGACAAGCCTCCTTGGGCGGCGTTGCCCGTCAGCAGGCCACCGAGTCCAGCCTCAGCGTGATAACCGCCGAAGTTGACCCCGACTTTGCCCTCCTTGAACGTGATGAACTGCAGAGAAAAAGGGCCATTAATCGATCTAATAGCATGCAATGACACAACATTTTTCGCCCAAGAGCCCATAAAATTGCGACTATGACGGAGAATGACAGCGCGGGGCGTTCTGCAGGGGAGGAAAAGAGCGGGAAATGAAGGATTATTCACCTGTGCGAAAGTGCTCAAGTTTTAGTGATAAATCACAAAATTGAGAGCACACTTGGGTCGTGTAATAAATTAGGAAATGATGTTGTTCCTTGTTTTCCGGGGCTTTTCGGGATGGGATTCCGCACATTGCTTGTCAGTTTGACTAAAAGTCCACTAAATTTTCATATAAAACACACTCACACAGTTTTCCTCCTACGAATTGAAAGGTCACATGGATGAAAAATTGTGCAAATAATTAAATTGTCTCTTTCAATTTTCACTATAGCGAAAAAGGGTAGTGAATTTTAATTAATTTAATGCACTTTTCCCCCATTGAAAGTCAATCTACTTGAAAGGTTCTATAACACGGAGTTCACAGAGAAATCTCTTTCATTCATCATTTTCGCGGAAAGCATAATTGAAATTTTTAAAGCTCTGATTAACAAAATTCCTGAAGTTCACGTCAAAGAGCTTAATCTCTGATTTCTATTTAATTAAAAATTCATTCCGCGAGTGAAACATGATGTCCTTCATGCAACTTTGCGAGCCTTTGCCATATTCATTTCTCACGAATAAAGAGTGCCACTTTCGGGAATTTTGCACATCATTCTAAATGGGTGGGAAAGAAGTTTCTGGGAAGGAATTTAATTGAAGCCTTCCTCCGCATCCGCCTTCGAATCACGTGGGATTCACCGCAGCTCAACTATTGGGAATAGTTAATTACACAGCAATATAAGTGTGATTAAGCATTGATGTGCGTGGCAATGACATCATTTTCTATCGAATTTCGAAAGCATCTTTTGCTGCACTTCCAATTGGACTCAAGTTGACGTTGAGGAAGACAAATTGCACGTCAGCTTCACGCGATTTCGCCCCCCAAAAAGCACAGGGAGGCTTTCTGCTCCACGTAATTTATCACGGTCCCACCTCGGCAAAGGTAAGGGCGCGTGGGGAGGAATTCGCACATTGCTTCCTGGCGGAAATGAAGATGTAAATCAACTTTTTCTCGCCGGCAACATCGTCACCTGTCGAGGGCGAATTTGTATTTGGGAGAGTAATTGGCGACTGCGAACGGAAGCTGCGGTGGATATTAAAAATTAAAACACACATAAATCCACGCCCGCCATACGTGAGTGGTGCTTAATTAAATTATAATTGCATTCATGGCGGAATGCAGACGCACAGGGGTGAGAAAATGCATTGACGGCACAGTAATTGTGTCTTGACGGCTTTAGTGTCTTCAAGCGCTTCATAAAGAACTAAAAAGACCTTTCGAAAATCGGTCAAGAATTGCCATTTTGGACGTAAATTAAACGCATGTTATTAAGGAGGAAATATTTTGGCAAATCTCTACATCATTCACTTGTGCATACATACAAGCCAAATATAGTTGAAAATATGTCCAAAAATACGCGAAATTAGCAAATATTAGCAATTAGTCATGGGAAATTACTACTAGTAAAAAATGCTGTAAACAAACTCACACAAATTGCGTCAAATTGTGGTGAAAAGTTCAATCGTGAGGAATAAACGTGATATGCAGAATGCAAATGGATGAGCAATATTTCGCACGAAATTCTTGTCAAAAAGTGCTTTTTGGCGTGAATTTTCAATTTTGCGCATGTTTTGGGACTCTTGTGGCATTGTTTTCTTTCAGGTAAAGTGCCATAACAACGGAAAGCTTTTAAAATCGCGCAAACAAGGTGAAAAAAAAACACATTATTATTGTGATTTCCCGGTCGTGCAGGAATCTTATTTCAAAAGGCTGCTTATATATTGTAAAATACGCAAGCATCAATCGATGAATATAGAGTAGATGTTGTGAATAATATTCCTTTCCTTTTCCGCATAAACTAATCTTTTTTCCCCCTTTTCCAGGAACGAATTCTTTCAAAACAACCCTTTAACAGTAAAATGGAAAATTCTCTGTCTGGTAATTGATTATTTCCCCCTTGAAGTTTGTACAGCAGAGCAATTTTTTAGCGCCCAGTTTTTCACTCTTGAGCACAAGCACACGTGGCTCAGCAATTAATCTCAGTCACTGAGCAAGAAGTGTGATTGCCACTCACTTCAATTGCTCTCTTCTGTATTTTTATCGCATTTTTGCCATTACATTATTAATTCTTGCTCTGCACAAACTATTTTCCGTGCAGTTTCACGGAAAGATAGTCACTGGAAACAAGACCTTTGAGGGCAGCAAAACGGGCGCAATTTGCATTTCAGGGATTTCTGATGACGTTCAACTGGGAAAACACAGAAATTGGCTCAAGAAGTGAACTGATAAAAAGCCACTTTCAAATGAAGGCAGCGATGAGGTGAAAGACACCGTGAATGACGGTTCTCTTGAGGTCACACAATTCACAGAAGCGACAGTCAAAGCCACAACTTGATTTCATTGATCTTGAATTTGATTTGGAAAAGTGTCGCAAAGAAATTCTTTATGCATAGAATTTGTGATATTTATAGAAATGTTTTTTTTTCTGTGTGCTCCAAATTGCTTTGCCATCATTGAAATTTTTCTTCTTTGCGACTCTTTTGGCAACATTTCCATTTTATTATTATTATTCAAATTGCGTTCTTTTTCGCAAGGCAGAATAGAAATCCACGTAATTATCAAATCAGAAATTCCACCCTCGACAGAGTGATTTCGAAGCTATTGAAAAGTGGGAAAATAAGTCAGGCGTGAAAAGTGTTTAATTGACTATGCTTTCTTTTTTCTCTGCCCGCCAAGAATTTTTTTTTCAATGTGACGAAATGTTGCTCCACATTTTCACTTTTTCTTATGCTCAAAGTCACCAAACAATTACTCTTTATATAACCATCGATTATTATCAACTTGTCAAACTTTCAGTGTCTCTCAATTTTTTTTTTTCCTTTGGTGTCGAGTTGAGAATTTTTGTTGATGAAAGAAAAAAAAAGCCACGATGACCTCTAAAAACGTTAATTACCTTTAAATTCCCATGCGCGTTATTTACCAATTGAGATGACGAAAAAATATATGGTCACGTTTCCCTTCTTTGCCAGCCGCGACGCTCGCAAGAAGCTGCTTAATCGCAATAAATATTCTATAGACTTCATCATTGTTTTTGTCTCACTAAAACAATTAGCAATTTGGTTTTCCCACCAAATGTCAGACCCTAATAAAAATCGCACAGAGTCATGGCAAAATATGGCTAAAGTTCAAGCTTGTGGAGTGATTTCGCAGTATTTTTTTCACGAGAAATTTGTCTAAGTTTTGAGTGAGAGCAGAAAAATGATGTATTTTGCAAGCGTAAGAAGAATTCTAGCTCAAGATCATCACAACTTCACCTCTAATGACACTGTTTGCCTCTGACTTCTTCTGGCTTATCAATAAATCTGTTTCAGACAATCAATTACAATTATCTGGCATCTTTTTGCTGCGCCAAGACAAGCAATTCGCGCTATGTTATTAGGCAGAAGAACTCTGCGATGTTCGCGGTGTAAATTGAGCACTTCATTTGAGTGAAAAACGGGAAATATAAACAGCAATAAAGTGAGATCTTGGAGCGTTATTTGAGTGCCAAAATCTCAAGTGACGCTGCAAATGGAGCTTCATTGCCGTTTAAAGAATAAAAAAAATCACCTGAGGTCGTCCAAGAACTGCGGGCGTGAGAATGAACAGCGCACAAATCACAAATTTCGCACTCATTTTCGTGGCAATTGCGAGACTGTGGAAGAAAAGTAGGAATTCTCACTGAAAAGTGTCTCTGTCGAGAGAACAATGGGAGTATTCTTAAGTCTTACGCGTTCGACAGTCTGAGCCGCACTATGACTGATTTCCGCCTGACGCTAGTTTGTATTCCAGCAACCTTCCAACTGACCGGTTTGTGGATTCTCAATCGCAATCTTCGCGCGCTGTCCAGCTAATTCACTTTTTATTGCAGCACACACAGAGACACGCTCCTTCCCTGGGTAATTGAGCCGCCACTTTTTCTGCCCGCACACTCTTCACCTTCGTGCCACCTTTTTCTGCAATTGACGCACGCTCATGTCAACACAACTTTGGACTCCCTCAGAAGCACGAGGGCGGCAGAAGAAAGCGCGCGTCAATCATGAGCTTTTCCCTCTGAACTTGAGACTCTTTTTTCTGTTTACTTTGTCGCTCTTTCACCGGCCGCTTCGAACTCAAACACAAACGCCGAAGGGCGATTTTGGCCTCAGATGGAATTGAGTGGCTCTTTGCCAACCCCAAATGGAAAATTGCAGTCCTTTTCTCGCCACACATCAAAGGGCAGAGGAATTGTGAGAATATTGCGCCGTTCAGCGGTTCAATATTGCAGTCAGATATACATAAATACATCTACCGAAGAGATAATGATTGAAGGTATTTTCCTTTAAACTTCTTCCTCTGATCGAAATGAAGCATTGCGTGATGCTTTTTACTGCAACTGAAGCAAGTTTCATCGCATTCTTCCTCTTTTTTTGCCTTCGAAAGCGCCAAACACAACTTTTATTAACCATTTATACATCATTTGTAGTCACTTCGCAATCAATTATGCATTGAAACTTTGGCAGCACTCAAAAAGTGAGTTCACATCAAAGGTTAATATATATGAAGAAAGAACAGAGAGCACACAATTCATGCTCTATTTTTCAATATCCTTCCCAGGAATTTCCTTCATCCTTTTCAGCACTATATTTCACAACTTATCCTCGTGTTTGCATGAAATACATCAAGTCTATCGCAAAGGATGGAGAAAGAGAACAATATAACGCTGACAGGAATTCTCAGACGATAGATAAACATGTTTTGACGAAAGGAATATTGCTGCAGTATTTATGGAATTTTCCCTCGAGCGATTTGATTGGGATCTTCAAAGCCTCTGCAAACTAGTGTGCTTCTAAGAGGTAAGAAATCAGAGCTATAATTCAATGAAAAATAATACGAAAGAGAATTAAACAAACATCCAGCGTTCATTCAACTCCTGCAGAACCATCCTTTTTGGCAGAGAGGATAACATTTCAGGTGAAGCGTGAGCATAAATTGCAGACAAATAATGATTTTCACAGTGGAAAAAAGTCCACCAAGAGTGACTGAGCAACATTTTTGCCACGCCGAACAAGAAGCGCAAGAAACGAGTCTCTTGGTCAGAACATAGCGCTGTGACTTTGGGGGGATTTTTGAAAAATGATTCTGTCTTCGTGAGTGCTTCATTAATTTCCCCGCGCGACCCACTTTCCCGACTGAACGGCGAGTCAATATTTGGCTGTATTTTCCCTGCGGCCTTTAAAACTCAGTCTGGATGCTTATGTCAGAATCCAATCGACTTTTTGCGAGACCCCCTTTGGTGACCGCGAGGCAGCTTTTTGTCCCCTCGCGTTGGACCTTTGCAGAGCTTTCAAATCAAAGCACTTCAGCAGAACATCACATTCTCGAAGCTCGCGGCGTTATCGAAATTACTCCCCAAAAGAGGAACACGAAATTGGGGAAAAAAGTCCGCGATACTCAGACCAGTTGTTTGTTTATTCATCATGAGAAATTATACCAATTTCAAGAGCACTTTATTAATGGTTTTTCTGCTATCGATATCTCCTCAACTCAATGAACCGCTGAACTTGACAATTGAAAAACCATTTTTTGCACACTCACTTAATCCCCATGAGCATTTAGCGACTTGTGAAAAAATTAGATTACGAAACAAAATTCCAAGTCGCATTGAAAATAAAATTATTTCCCATACTTTCAGGCACTGTGGAATTATCTGGAAAGCACACCTGATCGTGTGCAGAGAGCTTTATCGCTTCTTGTCCACCTTCGGGCGTCTGGGAAATTGAATCTTCTCTCTACGATTCGCTGTGCATTCATTGAAATAATAACGGGTCTGACCACAAAAATGTGACCGAGAAAGAGTGGCGAATTTCTGTGTCATCTCGCCAGAAATGATGACACTCGATGGGCGGTGAAAGTGCTGGACCGGAGCCAGAAGAAAGGTGCAAAAAGCAATTCACGCTATTTTTCGCCAAAATATCGCCCTTCCATGGACAGTTCAGTGAACTGTTGAGGGCAAAAAGCCACAATTTGGCGGCGACAACTAATCATACTTGCGGTGAATGTGATTTAGATGGTCAGTTTGAGAGACTAGAGTTGGAATCTTTCATAGATTGCACACATTTCGCGATCAATTATCTACAATGAGTAAAAATACAAAGTTCAAAATGACTTTTAGTATTAATATTTCTTGGGCTGCTCCAGAGATTAGAAGCTCAAAATGTGCCAAAATGTATAATTTCACATCACTTTCAATTTTTCATCAACAGCAGAAGACTTTGAGCCGTGCTTGCTCTCTTGCGGTGCTCTTGCCGCCCAGGTACGTGCACTGTTACTAAAGTGAAAGCGCCGTTTGAAGAGATAGAAAAAAATTATTGTGAATTGCACGACGATCTGTCTCGAGAGTGGGCAATTCTGTCCGGCAGTCACCTGGATCTGAAGATATTGCCTCACTTTTTCCCGCCACAGACTCTCAATTGCACCTCTTGAGCCATCGACGGACGCCTCTTGTTTTAGTCGTTTGCCAAACACTGCGCCGCTCGCAAGCATCTCTGTCATTCGCACAATTTGTGACCAAGTGCTCAGCCAGGAAGTCAGCTTCTGGAAGAATTATGGTGTTCGACAGGGTGAGTGAAGTGCACCAGATGCAGTCCATTTAATTTGATTGACTCTAATCACCTGCTCCGGTGCTAAATTGCTCACATCATTTTCACCCACGAGAGACCATAAATTCGCCCCGCAATTTATGGCGCCTTATCAAGCACGACACAGGGTGAAGTGACGATTTGCCGCCAAAACTTCACACACTTTGCGCCCTTCGTGCAAGAAGAGATCTGCAGTGAAATCTCTTTGTTGACGCGCATTGTATAACGCTGAATTGCATCCGGCAGGCGAGCAAATGAGTTGTGATGAATGAACTCGCGCGAGTATCTCTAACGCAGATTCTAATGTTGCGCCTTCACCGCACTTTGCCACTTATGCAACGGCACTTCGAGTCGCAGAGAAAGTCCGTCTTAGTGCCTGTTTTTTGCCCCGGTGCAGCTGAAATTCTTACGTTTGTCGTCAGTAATTAGCATAAGAAAATAGTGATCAACTTCATCAGCCAAAGTTAAGCATTCACTTTCAAGCAATTTGTCAGCTCAACAATTCATATTCGATTTTGACTATCAAGCGTATTTCTACTTTACTAAAAGTGCCCATTTTCAAATTCAAAGGCAAAGTTTTGCCCAAATGTATGCGATGAATTAATTGAGTTTGCACCGCAAAGTTCAGCTTTCATTAGCCATGCTTATTTTCGTGTAATTTATGCATATCTGAATGAATTAAATTTCGAACAGTGGGTCACAAAGATACGTTTGGCTGTGGTAACGTTGTTTTATTAATAATATTGCGTTTATCATCATAAAAAACCTATAAAAAAAATTAGGAGCTGCAGTCGTCTGGCGATAGAAGCAAAGCAGAAGACATTTAACCCTTTCGGCACTTATCTTATCGTTTCTCCAAGAAACGGTAAAAATTCCGTTGCTTCATGAGTTTAAAAATAAATTTATCATTGAAAAAATGACTGAATATGCAAAATTTATTTAGTATTGAATATTTCAGCTAAGGATGATTTTGATTTTCACACTGATTTTAAAGTTTTCTCGTTTTCCTTGTGCGTAAATTCACTCAAGCATTGACTTTTATAAAGCAACATTTAATATGTATCTTATCTAATAAAGCGTTCATGTAAATTTGTATAGAGCGAAAAATCAGAAAATGTTGTATTTCTTCCAGGTTCTCATTCAGTTCATGGACAGGTTTGTGTGGTGTCTTCTGCTGCTGGTCAGCGCGAACTGCATGATCAGGATCACAACGGCGCATCACGAGAAGGTGCTTGTCGAAGCCCAGACCACGTCCGAGGCGTCTTCCAGCCCAAGTTCGAGTTCCACGACGCCAGAGAGCGCGACAGAGTCTAAGGAGAGCGAATCTCGAAGCGCCAAAGTGGCTCCGCAAGGCAAATCGCAACTCCTGGAAAACATATTCAATGTAAGCGATCAGCGTGAACGAACTTCACTCAGAAACTGCGTTTTTTCTGTGGGTCGAAGTGATTGACATCAGAAAGCGATCAAAGAAAATGTCTTTGGAATTGTATTGGGAATTGTGAAATTGTATCATGAATAACAAATATCTCGCTCATCTGATCAAAATGCAAATACCCGATTCAATTTCATTCAAAATAATAATTGAAAAGCAAATTTGTACAAGTTCAATTAATATTTCCATGCAAATTTTATAAACGCTTAATCTGTAAATGGCGTAAAAATACTCGTCGGAAAATTCAGGTGACAATTTATTAGGCGAAAATGTTACTCACATCTTTTATGTGTCTGCCTTACAATGGTTTTTGACTGAAATTGCCCAATGATATGTCAAAAGAAAAAAACTATATTACAACTATTAACATTGCACAACTTTCTCATGAAACAGATCCCAATCGCCACGCTGAAAGCCGTCAATGATCTGGTGCAGAGCATCGTTTCCACAGTTCACGTCGCAGGAGGCCAAATTGATCCCAGGACGCACGATTCCGGAAGGACGGCAGAGAAGGCGAAGCAATGAATGTTGATTGGTACTATTTCGAAAGTGAGCCAGGCAAGCTTCTGATCACTCGGAATAGTACCAGACAAGCGGCACTCTTATGCAGGGTATTCTTCTCAACCAGTGAAGTTATTCAGGAAACTTTGTATTTCCCAGTGATTTAACATTAGGAATATTTTTTTGCCGTTTGACAGGGTAGAAAAGCGATTTTCAATCTATTTGTTAGGATAGGAATCTTTTGCTAATGACATTTCCAGAAACTAATCTAATTTATTCACTTACTATACTGTAAGATTGCTTTACAAATAAAGTTGATTATTTGTGCTTTTCAAAGTACGAATAATTTGTAAATCGAAATATGTTTTTGTCAATTAAAACTCTTATTGATTTAGAATGAAAAAAGTTTAGTTCTGCAATTAAAAATCAAATCATCATCTTTTACTCCGCTTGCCCCTTGGTCAATGTCAAATTTTAAATTTGTATATGTCTCATTATTACATTAGTTTATAATAACAAGAACAGATTCTACAAATGAATGTCCTTATTTATTTCTTTTTACTTTAATACGGTGAAAGAGGCGATATTAAAAATAAATTTAAATTCCGCGACATTTCGGATGCCCTCTATTGGAAAGAGAAATACCAAGAAATACACTTTCTTCCTCAACTCGGCTGTGCTGTATTTCAGCAATTTAGCAGATGAACTGAAAAATTTTGAATATATATCCGTTGATACACTAAGAAAAAAAATTACTCAAGCAAAATCATTTAGGTCAAGTAAAACCTGATAAATATATTGAATACTTTTGCTCAAAATTATAAATCTAAATTTTCGTTAAATTCTCAGAGTTTATCAAATATTGCCCGAAGACGAATTGTTTTGTTGGTTTTGTGAGCCACTCCCTCCCTTTATCATCCGAAACCGGCTTGCCTGTGTCGTGCTATTTCCCGACAACTACATTATCTGCCATATTCCGATCGTTAAAACGCGGAAAGTTGGCCAAATACGTCAACATCATTATGGCAAAGAACTCCTACCTCTGTCATTATCCGATTATCATTATCATGTTCCCGCGTTTTGTCTGTGTGTGTATGCCACAGACAATAAATCCACACATGAAGACGCCCAAACGCGGTGGAGCTACATTGTTAGCAAATTGGCAGAAATGGAAATTCAAGTTGTGGGAATAGCAATGGACGGAGATTCCAAATACCTCAAAGCCATGAGACTGAGTACAAAGTTACACGAAACGGACATCGGATCTCAGAGACAAGATGAATTACAAATCTTGTCTCAATATTACAAAGCCCGTCGTCACAGAACTACTGTCCGAATTATATCCAGAAAATCTCAGTCTCAGCAGTTACCTCCAAATTGATGAAGGATGTGAACGATACCTGTTAGATGGAAAACTGAAACCTGCTCATCAAATGGGATTCATCTGATGATGGCCAAACGTGTTCACTTTCTACGAATGTGGAAGTGATTGGCTGCTAGACGTCATTATTAATTACCAATGTTCTTCAGCAGTCAAGAATGTTAAGAATTTTTCCGATACCTACGATCAACAACGAGCACAACCAAGCAAACGGGTTTTGTAAATTATCCGATCGTCTTATAGCATTCTTCTCTGTGAATCACAGAGAAAGTATTATTTAATTCATCTCTTTTTTTTATTAAAAACCACAGCGAATGCTTTTTTAAAAACTCTTTTGTTTTACGGTGGCAAATTGTAAGCTTGCCGACCAACCATAAGTGGTTCTAATTGCCCACCTCCTTTTATTTATATATACAGGGACAGAGGGCGCAAGCTATTACAGTTGTTATATGTTAAGTTCAGAGATGGCGTTGGAGAGGCTGAGCCAGCCATATATTGGTTTTGGAGGTAGAAGGAAAAGACGCCAAAATAAAGAACCACTAAATACATAAAAAAACAGTGAAGCGTAATGTTTTATAATTGGAACAATACCAACAAAGCAACACCGCTGCTATATAAATTTTTTGCACTCTGCTGTGTTCGAAGAAACATTTGCAATCGGTGGGATTCGAACACACAACTGTAAGCATCAAGAGTCAAGCACGTTGACCACTGCGTCACAGCCGCCCTGAGTGAAATGATAAACAGGATAAAAGCGAGTGAAAAAGTTTCAGTAAAGCTTCCTGCGATCCAGCAGGCGAACGTTTCGCCATCTAGCGGAGATTTTGGTTGGCGCTCAGCTGTGCTGTTTCGCGAGAGCCGTCAAACGCGAAAGAAAAGAAGAAGAAGAAGCTGGGCTGCTGCTGGTAAAGTGGGTTTTGGAAAAAGGCAAATTGCCAGTGTTTGTGAAGTGCAGCAGCCAAACCGAGCAGTGAAGTGGTCAGCGGACACTCGCGTGCGTGAGTTATTAGTAAAAGTGGGGCGCGAGGGGTCTCGTGAGTGCTGGAAAATCGTATTGAAGTGTTGAGGCCCCACGCAACGGTGGCGCCGCTGGAGGGCCGCCGGGACATCGCAGAAGTGTGAATTTTTCCTCTGGACCTCGAGTGCTTCCCTGAAGCTGGAGCGATGTCGGCCGCGATCTACCGGGAGAGCCCCCACGGCACGCCGTCGCACTTCCCGCAGGGCCAGCCGCCCTTCTTCTCCTCGCCCGCGTCCCTGCAGCACTTCCACCAGCCGCATCCGCATTTGGCGTACGGGCAGCGCCACTGCAAGCGGAAGAGCGCCGTGGAGCTGCTGGCCGAGAGCAAGCCGCTCTACGTGAAGTCCGAGACGGTGCTGGACAGGGATCAGCAGCTCTTCCGCGGCGTGCCGATGCGCAAGACGCGCCACAGTGGCTGCGAGTCGCCCCAGCACTCCGCCTCAGCTTTCTCCGCAGACATGCTTTCGCCGTCGCGGACGCTGAGTCAGCAGGCCAGCCGCCACGCTGTCCAGCCGACGCGCGCCAGCCGCCGCAGCGCCTCCGCCCTGGCCATCAACAGCGATCTGCTGCAGACGAAGCTGCGCAAGCTGCTGAACTCCGAGAGCAAAGAGATGCTGGACTTCGGCTACCCGCTCTCCTCCAGCATCGCCCAAGAAGTGAGTCCTTCCCTGTCCCCCAGTCCGCGACCCCTCTCACGCGCGCGCCTCCCTTACAGCTGAACGTGCACCAGCCCAAGGACTCCTCCGTGTTCTTCTCCAGCGCCTTCCTCTCGCCCCAGTCGCTGCCGCCGCAGCCCGTGTCTGACGACGACGACGTATATCGCTTCGATGAGACGCTCATCCTCACGGACGACTACCACGCCATCAGCCCGCCGGCGGAGTACGCGGAACGCGCCGGCGCCACGCCGCGCTACTACCAGCGCTCCTTTTCACACTCACAGGCCGCGTCCGGCGACTACTCGCCTTCCTTCAACATCAACAGCCACAAGTCGCTGCCGGATCTCAACTTGCAGGTGAGAACAATGAGATGCGCCGCGCCCTGCTTCCCAGGGCGCGCCGCGCGCGAAACTGGAGCACTTCTCACACGATCAACGCGAAGACGCAGCGGCGCACGAGTCGTGATCTATGCGAAACTGGGGCGTTCGGATTGCAAGGGATTTTCTCTGAAGGATTTCCTGCATTTGCATTGAATTGTGTCGAGATAAGTTCGCCAGAATGGCTCTTAAATCACTGCACGTAAGCCCGAGAAGCTGGCGAATAAATGACACTGTGCTCATAATGAGGGAGAATTGTGCTCTGCAATGATGCTGGAACTGAAATATCGCTTTAGATTAACCTTCGGATCGGAAGGTCTTTCGGTCAATGTGACCAAATTTGAGTCTCGCACTTTGCCGCGAACGCTTTGTTGCATATATGCGAAGCTAATTTCATAGAAAAACTTACAGTTGAATAGTTTATTTGTAATTCTCAAAAAACTGCAATCCCAGTGCAAATATAACAAACTTTTAACGAGTAAAAGAGTCAATCTTATAGCCAAATTCCCTTGCTGAGGGTGAAGATGTTCTTTAAAGACTGTTCTGAGCTACATGCAGTTCTAGATGAGACCAACAAATAGAATGAGCAAAAGACAAACAATTTCAACGCCAGATTTATCTAATTTGTAGGCTAGAAACTGCTTAAGAAACTATAGGAAATTCTTAGTCTGAATCCGTAAGTTCGCGCCAGAACTTTTCCCATAGCTTCGCAAATGGTCAATCGATGCGATCTTCTTTCCGCATTCGTACAGCTTAATTAGCCATTAAAGCCCCCGAAGAGAAAAGTGACGAGTGCACACTTTCGGGTGCCTTTTATTAGATTTCCAAATGAATAATCTGTTGAATATTACATTTGGCCGCCAAGTGTTTATTTTCATGTTTTCCAACGCTGTCTTTCTCGTGTTGGGGCGTTGAATTAAAAGTGCTTATTTCATCACACTCTTTTCTTTCTTCTTTTAATGATGTTGTGAATTAATTTGAACTTCATGGCTTCTCTTTCCAAAGCCAAAAGTTGACTTTCGTGTGCCGGATTGCCAAAGCAGCGAAAAAGATTGTAATATGGACGGCGCGCATGTGGGAGTCGTTGAGTCTATATTGAGAACTTTTGCTGGCAATGCGACTCGACATGTGAGGAAATTGTGCTGATTTTGCAATTGTTGCCTTGCAGGTGAGCCGCCACTCGCCGCACAGCGAGGCTCTGAGCTGCTGCAGCCGCGGCAACAGGTCCAACAAATCCGGCTCGTCCTTCAACAGGGATTCCGGCGGCTCGTCCGGCCACTACACGCACCAGAGCGAGCCGGCGCCGTGCTGCAGTCAGCCGGACGCGGTGCAGGGCGAGTTCCGGCGCGACAGTGGCTCCTCGACGCAGCACAGTGGCAATTCGTACTTCGCCTACGGCATTCCGCCGCTGGGCTTCGACGACAAGGCGGACGACGAGGCGGATTGCCTGCTGGACTTCACCACGGCCGAGGTGCCGGAGGCCTTCCAGGACGACTACCAGGTGCCGTCGGCGCGCCAGGCGGTGCTGTTCTTCGAGGAGAAGGCGTACGGGCGCCAGGAGGGCCAGGAGGAGCTCAGCCCGCCCGGTCTGGGCGTGTTCAAGCGGCAAAAGTGCCTGCGGCTGAAGCAGCGCGGCCGCGGCGACGACCGGCGGCCGATCCTGCGCTCCAAGAGCGACATCAGCGACAGGTACTGGGGCCGCGAGGGCGACAAGCGCCACCGGCCGGAGATGTTCCAGCTGGAGCGCTTCTTCGACCGTCTGGGGCTGAACGAGAAGAGCTACGAGGAGCTCGTGACCACGAAGGGCGCCGCCGCGGCGGCGGCGTACAGTGATAAGGACTCGGACCAATCGAGTGTGGTGTTCTTCTCGGACGTGAGCACCGTGGACTCCACCCGACTGCCGGACAGCACGGCGGAGGCGGGCCAGGCGAGTGGACCATATCGCTCCACCGAGCCGCCGTCCATCGTGGAGCGCAACGCGCGCATCATCAAGTGGCTGTGCAACTGCAGGCGCGTGCAGCTCACATAGCAAGTGAAGAGGGGCTTCGGGCTCGCGTGAATGCAATGATAGTCACACTCTCTCTGACCCTTTTCCCTCCCGCGCTCGCTGTTTCCGTGATAACCGAACACTGGCGACAATTGGAATTCTGTGAGACTGAATTCTTCTTTAGGCTCGATAGAGAGCTCTTGAGTCCTTAAAGTCCTCTGTCTAGAGAGAAGCTGAAATAGGCAAAAGAACTGAACATTCTTTAACGTATTCTGACCTTCAACCTTGTTTCACTTCAAAGATTAATTTCATTTGACTTGGAAAGGTGAATTAGTTGTTTTCTCGTATTTAATATCCCGAAATGTGTGACTTAAATGTGTTATTTGTCTATTGTAACTTTCTTTTGGGGCTTTTATTAGAGAAAATACCATCAATATTGATTGAATCAATTATAAGTGATTTATTGCTTGATATTTCTGTCCCATTTGCAGTTCAAAAAACTATTCAGAGACCATTGATTAGCACGACATTGAAGAGTGACGAAAGGACATTTCACAGTCTCACTGAATTGATTACTAGAGTATTTGAAAGTGTGCTATTTCCATCTTCGCCAGTGTAAATTACTATTTTGTCCCTCCGATTCCCTGCTTTTATCAGTTCCTCTCGCGTCCAGAGTTGAAAGAGCTTCACTGGCAAATACGAAGAAAATATTTCGATTGGGAAATAGAAAGACCAAAAACGAAGATATGACCTTTAGAAGGCCAGCAAAAGAGCCGATTTTTTTAATTTTGAAGTCTAGTCCTGGAAATTCCACAGAAAGCTTTTCAACTCTGACGAAATCCTAGTAGAATTTCCACAGGCATTGTGAAAATAACCACCATTGAAGAAGATTTTAGACTGTATTCAACATTCTGCAGAAGCATTCTTGACTGTAGTATTGCAACTTTTGCAACTTGTGCATTTCTTTTCTTCCGTGTAAAGGAAAAAAAACGATTCCGTAGGTGATAAAGAGTGAATAGTCCGCCGAAGAGAGTCCTCGTAGGTTTTGTTTGTTTGTTTGTTTTATTGTAACACTATTGACGATAACTCACGTTTTATTAACCAGAAAGTTTTGGAGGATATTTTATGAATTATACAAGAATAATTATAATTGTTATTAATCGATGAGACGACGCAATGTGAGAATCTCTCCTCAAAGGTGCAAATTTTATTTGATTGTTTATTGTTTGATCTTTTTTATTATTATTTACATAGTATTTGTCAATTTTATTGCATACAATATTAAAAAAAAAACACTAGTGTGAGACTTTAGAGAATGTATGTAAATTCAATATACGCCAGATATTCTAAACCAAGTTTGTTACAATAACTTCACGTAATGAAGAAAACAATTTATCCCGTTTATCGATCTTATCATTTTTTCGATGTGACTTGTGACAATTTTGAATTGTATATCGAACTATATATATTGTAATCTCGTTATATAATCTGCGAACTGGCTTTTCAAAAAGTAAAACAATTTACCCATTAAAAGCTCACGTAATCATTATAGAGTAAATGAAGGAGATTAAAAGAAAATGGAACTGTTTAAAAAAAATAACTGAAGAGTAGTTTATCAATGGAATAATAAGAGAAAAAAAACATTTACCCAATTATGACGTAGAGAAATGTGTATAAAATTTACTGTAAAATCGAATGAATTTACTCGTACCGAACTCAATAATGGTACTCGATCGTTCGTAGGAATAGCGCCTAATCCACACACACTTTACAAATAAATAAAACTTATTCTAATCTGAGAAAATCAAATCGCGCGCTTTCAATCTCAACCGCCATCAGCCATACAAAAGTGTTCCCAGAGAAGAAGTGTGCTCAGCAGTTTGACACTTGGACTCGGACGATAAATATGGCAAAAGTGGGTTTCCTCTGATTTTATTCGTCTCCTGCTGTGTTTCCTCCGCAATTGTGACCATGTCCCTCACCGGAAATTACGACCAGAAGTCCCAGCCGACCTGCCACTGCTGCTTCCGCTTTCTGCGCTGGATCCCCGTACTGTTCATCCTGGCCGTCATCTGCTGGTCGTACTTCGCGTACGTCGTGCAGCTCTGCTTCCGTGAGTCTCTCCTGCGCCCCAGGTGTGCCCCACACCCACTCTAACCACTCCCCGCTGTTCTCTCTACAGTCAGCGTGACCTCCGTGGCGGAGCGCATCGTGCTGCTGCTCCTCTTCCACCTCTTCTTCGCGATGTTCATGTGGTCGTACTACCAGACCATCTTCACGGGCATCGGCACGGTGCCGCCCAAGGTGAGTGCTTCTGGGCTCGCCCGTGAGTCACCTGCTGATAAGCTCTTTCTCTCTCTTGCACAGTTCCGTATTCCCGCCAGTGAGCTGGAGAAGCTGAACCGCGCCGAGAGCGAGGAGACGCAGAAAAGGATCCTCGAGGCCTTCGCCAGGGAGCTTCCGGTGGTCAACAGGACCATCACGGGTGCCGTGCGCACGTGCGAGAAGTGCCAGCACGTGAAGCCCGACCGATGCCACCACTGCAGCGTGTGCGGGGTTTGTGGTGAGTCGGAAGGGGCGGGAAATGGGAGAAATCCTCGTGCTGACTGTCTCTCGTTCTCTTGCAGTGCTCAAGATGGATCATCACTGCCCGTGGGTGAGTCTCAAGTGTCCTTAATGTGCTTTTCAGGAATTTAGGGCGCACTTTGTTTCGACTGTTTCCACTGGCTTAAAGGCCACTGAAAATCAATCGTACGAATGAAAAAGAAATGAAACCTCTCGATTAGCTTCAAGGAGTCCAAATTCTCCTCAGCCTTTGTGCTCTGCGAGTGGAGAATTGAAGGACTCTAAGAGAGACTCAAGGCCACACCCAAGGATGAATATTATTAATTCGTCTTGGAAACCATCATAATTTATTTTTATACAAATATTCACTGGAGGGAATTTGAAAAATTGAGATTCTTATAATGTTAAAAATCATAGTTCTATCCTAAGAGTTGAAGAAAAAATTAATATTTTTCCACAATTGCAGTCATTCTGCACTGAAAAGTTCCAATCTCTCTTAAAAATATTGCCTTTTCGGGTTTTTCGGCATAAAATCATATCTGGAAAACCACACTTTGGTTTGCTTTGAACACTCACAATATCACGTCTTTAATCCTACTTCCTTATCCCGCTTTTTATACAGCTTTCGTCGGTGGTTGAACCATGTCATCACGGCATCCAAGGACAAACCGTTGTTGAGGGCGAGTCTGCGTTTCTCCCAAGTTTTCGGATACTTGTCCCACAAGAACGCCCTCTCAAGCGCCAAAAGTTGCTCAAAGTTGAAGGTCCACGTAAACTTCTTTGCTCGAATTGACCTTAAATCACCAGAATTCTCACGCTGCGACGCAAAAAGAGCAAAGAAAGATGAACTAGGGGACTAAATGGCAATTTATAGAGCTAAAACACTCACTAAAGTCGCCGAATTGTACATGATCGAGTGTAAACTTCAATTGACCGAACGGGAATATACTATTCAGTGATTCTTCTCGGGCTGTTGTCGAAAGTCAACTGTGAATCCTGGAATCGCTCTATCAAATTTTTACAGTCTCCCCATCAATTTCTACAGCATTTGACCGTTTAACCAGAGAGAAGGAAAGCCTCCGTTGTCCATCATTTCAGTCCAGTTTTTGTCCCCCACAAAAAGCGAAAGAATTTCGTGTGTTTCATTCGCATTACAAACCAAGTGATAAATTTGCTTTGTTTGACTTTCTCCAGGAGTTTTCATCAAAATTCGTCCATGAATATAAGAATTATGTATACTAAAGCACAAATCACCTTTTCAGGTTGGCAATTGCATCGGCTTCACGAACTACAAGTTCTTCATCCTATTCCTGGGCTACGCGCTGGCCTTCTGTCTGTACGTCGCGCTCTCGTCGCTACCTTACTTCCTGCAGTTCTGGCAGGGTGAACTGGAGGGCGGCATGGGGAGGTTCCACATTGTGTTCCTCTTCTTTATCGCCGCCATGTTCGCCGTGAGTCTGGTGAGCCTGTTCGTGTACCACATCTACCTGGTTACACTCAATCGTACCACGCTGGAGGCCTTCCGGGCGCCCATCTTCCGCGGCACGGGTCCGGACAAGAACGGCTTCAGCCTGGGACGCCTCAGCAACTTCCAAGAGGTGTTCGGCGACCAGAAAGTGCTCTGGTTCCTACCCATCTTCACCAGGTGAGGGCTCGTTTCTCTTTTCTCATGCATTTCTGCGTTTTTATTTTCCTTTTGGTGAATTTGGCAAATTAAAATAACTTCCTCTAGTCAGCTCGCGAAGATCACACAGCTTTCACGCCTAATCATTTTAGAGACAGACTGTTTCATAATGTTCTCACACTTAATTGTCTAACAGAATTGTTGCTCGTTTTGTGTTAGCAAAAGTTCATGAATCCCTGAATAGAAAACTCTCTCAACTGTGATTTTTAGTTTGGGCGACGGATTGGAGTATCCAATTCAAGCGCAGCACCAGCGAACGCATCCCTCCACGTCCTACGCATCCATGGGCGAGACGTCAACAAGGTTAGAGGCCACAAGTAATCCCTTGCTTCCCATCAATTCGAGTAGCAATTCGAGTAGCAATGACTGTACAAAAGATTCTTCAACAGTTTTACACGTTTAATCGCATCGCATCAGCGTTCTTTCCATGGATTTCTCTTTTTGTGTTTTTCTTGGGATTCCCTTAAGGACTCAGAAGTGTAAAAATTCCCACCTCAAGACTGCAAATTAATGACTTTTTTCTTGGGATCCTTGCCCAAGAAAAAGAGTCGGACAGAGAAAATTTATTTCACAAAAATCATGCCTTTATCGGTTTTTCCTTTATACAAGATTTAATTTAAAACTGTTAAAATTCCAATTTCTGGGTTCTTAAGTCCCCATCAGTGACCTTTAGTAATTTATAATGTTCAATAGCTGCAAAATGTCAATTCGTAAAGTCGAGATTAGCAGGTATGATTTCTATGTGAAGCCAAGAGAGTAATCAGATCTTCTGCAAGAACATTCATCGTGTCCGAGGGGAATTTTTCAACGATGCCTTGAAACTTACATTCCTCAGCAGGAAAATAGATTGAAGCATTAAGATATTTTCAAGAAATATCAAACAAATATAAAGATTATACATTAAAGAATTCTATTTAGTTCTAGATTTCACCCAATTTACAAGGATTTTTTCAGAAATCTATAAATTTGTAAGAAATTCAATTGTTCTCTTTCTTCGGATATTAAAAATTGATTGATGGAAAAATCTGGCGAATACTACAATTATGCTTAATTAGAGTGCGAAGGACAACAGGCTGTAAGGGTTCAAATTTTGACCATTACAGATAAAAGATTATTGTTTTTTTATTATCTTAATGAGGCTATTTATTTTGAGTCGGAATAATTTTAATCCGACATGCACTAAAAATTTGAATTAGTGTCTAATGAGGGTTTACCCTCATTAGACTTGGTTTGGTGTGAAAAACGATTAATTTTTAGTTAAATCCGAACGAAATGGGCCGAAGCGCTTTCGCCTAGATTATAAATGCTAGGATTACAGTAGATCCGAACTGCTTTTAATATCAGGTTAGAACTTTAAACTAACACGATATAAATAGCCTATAAGTTTAGTCCCTATAGAAATATAAACTCAATTCTAATGTCCTCTTGTCCAACTGTCTTGTAAAACTGATCATCTTCACAGATTACCTCACCTCATTAAGTTCTCTTTTTGTTTTTTTCTTGGTGTTGGCAAGTATTTTAAAATATTTAAGAACACAAGTTTCCAAAATCGTACAGTCAAATCCAGAATTCTTGATGATTTATCGATTTTTTTACTTCTTAAAAGACAATTTTATACGCAGTTTTAATATCACAGTCAAAATCGCGAAGTAAAACCTGAAATTTTTACGGTTTTAGATACTTTTCCCTATGAATATACCAACTCTTTCCCAGATAATTTCAATGCAACGTTGAAAACTGCCCTTGATAGAGGAAAAACGACTACAAAGTAACTGATTACGCTCTTAAACTTAAGGTTAAGTTGATCTTATATAATTTTTTGTACATTTTACACTCTCAATTCTTCATATAGTTACTTCTTCTGGCGAAACCTACGTTATATTGCTTTATCTTTAAAGAACGCACTAGTTGTAGAGTTTTTCACCAACCATCGCCTTTTTTTCTACTTAAGAGATATTTTGATAACAAGCAAATTATTGTGAGATTGAGGAAAAGAAATCGTGAGGTGAATTCGCAGTGATAGAGAAGAATGTGAAATAAAATTTTTTGGAAATTAGATGCAAGAATTGGTTTTTAATTTGCCATCTTCACACACATTTTCCATGATCGTTTTGCAGAATAATTGCATAGTTTCTCTCGCTATAATTAGCTTTGTTGGCCAGATTTTGCACTGTTTAAATTGAGATGAACTCCGTTTTGCAGCGTCGGCGACGGCGTCTCGTATCCCATTCGCTGCATGGAGGACGAAGAGGACACGGAGTCGCTGTTGGGCGCCGATTCGCGACAAGAGTTTGAGATTTTCTCACGGACTGAATTGGGCGAAGGCGATGAGATTCACTGAGTCGCAGCTTCTCGCACTCTTCCTGACAGAGAGACACAAATTTATGAGAACGATAGATTTAGGAGCTAGTTTTAGGCGAGATGCGATTTGTACATAAAAGGGCAGGGATATCAACTGTATATTCCGTGTGATTGCGAGATTGATATGGGATGAAAAAGAGCGCGTATTTTTATCAACTTCTCTGCCCGCGCGCGAGTGAAATCGCGCCGGGAGAAAATTTAATTGCTTTAACTCCTTTGAATGATGTTAGCATTTATCGATGCATTCCAAATGGTTCAATATTTGGCGTGAAAAATAAAGAAAATGACGAAGAAACATACTCTCTCTCTCTCTCTCACTCACTGTCCAGCGATCGAAAAAGGAAAGGGGTCGGGCGAAGCCTGTGCACAGGTAGAAGATTAGGCAAAAGGAGACGAACCGTCCGCTCTCATTGGTCGAGCAGGTAAGCAGCAAAAATACTATAAAAGACCGAAATTTCTGCAGGATTTTCAATTGTCCTCGAATAGCACACTTGTACAGTCACTTTTTTGTTTATCTCTGGAAAGCACCGTTTATAGCAGAATGGATCCATTCGATGAGATTTGTGCCGAACTTTTCAATCAGTCGTCTGACGATCTCGCCGCGATGTATCAATTATACGATAGTGTCAGTGAACCATCAGCGCCTGGACCAATTCGTCGCAGCAGGAAGAAAAAGACATGCTTCTCAGCCGCGCAACTGTTGGCACTTGAGCAAGCCTTCGACGAGAACAACAAGCCAAGTCGTGCAAGTAGGTGCGCAATCGCGTGCAATCACGACTTGCCTGAGGACACTGTGAAGACGTGGTTCCAGAACCGTCGATCCCGACAAACGCGAGCCTTGAAAGTGTCCAAAACCAGGGCGAATGCGATCAATAACTCTCCATCATCACCATTTGCGTCGCCGGCATCTTTTTCGAATCAAAGCTCCTGTCAAGTGGAGCCCCAGAATGACCTGCAGGAACTATCAGCGATGCCCGCGATTGGACAATATCAGGTTCAGCCAGATTGCACACTGGGGTTCTACGACGGGTATACCTATCAGATTCAGCAGGGCTACACAGCTCCAGAACAGCAGTATTGGCCGCAGCAGTATTGGCAGCAGCAGTATTGGCAGCAGCAGTATTGGCAGCAGCAGTTTTGGCCGCAGCAGTATCACTGGCAGCCCGAAATCCATCCCGAAACTGGCCAGACATTCCTGGGCAACGCAAGACAGCAGTAGACCACTCCGATGCCGGATGATCACCAGACGTACTTCCCCAACACTTCATTTGACGAAAACGTACAGTTTTAAGGACACCAACGATTAAATTTCCCACCCAGCACATATATTGTGATAAAAAATTGTTCTACTTTCATTGCATTAAATAACAAAATTTCAAATTTTTCACTACACAATCTACTTTCAATAATTTGCGGTTCTTCGGCTTCACTCCAGTGGTTTTTCATCATTGTTTCCCCAAAAAATAGCGAGAATAAGAGATTTACTGACGCAATCAAGCACATTCACTTCAGGATTCTCCGTCCGTCCTTGAAACATCTTTAATTTTAGAGAACAAGAATGCTCTCAGTCTGCTGAATTTCATAGTGGAGAGTTGCCAGAAGATCATTGATTTCCCTCAGGACATTGATAACAACACCCGAATTGTTGCAATGTTGATAATATGGTGCAATCTGGAAGAACACATAATGAAAATTTAATGTTAGAGCATCTTTTTGAGTCTTCTTGTCCAGAGAAAGATTGATTTTTAGTTAAGAAAACGCAATTTGGTCTGTTTTTCTCGAACTGTCTAGTAAATTTCCAATGGAACTTGCAGATTTTCTATGCAAAATGTGCTTGTTCAAGAGTCTCAACGCCCTTTAAAATTTATTTCAGTACGAATTCATTGATTCCAAGGATCCCAATAAGAAACACGCTGGAAAAATATTTGACGCATTCTATTCAGTACAGCAATGTTCAAGTTGCTGCAAATTTCACACTCCAAATTGTGATATTTAATATAAGTTTTGATATTTAAATGAAAAACAAAAACTAAGCTTTTTTTTTAGTTCTAAATGAAATAATATTTGATTAACAATAATATTTTTACGAAGTATCATTTCGTTTCTCATACAAATCAAAAAATTCTTGCCTTTTATCAATACCGCACGATCAAAATCATATTCATACGTATGCAAATATCCGTGATTAAAAATATTCAGAAAATCCCCTAAAAGAGTCTTCATTTTGTTACTTCTTTGCCCCTCGCTTCGAAGGCACAGTTGGGACTGCGAGATTCTCAATTTAACTACATTGCCCTTGCAAACGGTCTTTTGAACACTCATTGGCTCTTGAGTGTCTTAATCCCTCCCGTCTTTACCTGCGCACAGGTCTCTGCGCCCTCGGCTTGTGCCAGGGCTTATGTACTGTCCAGGTCACTTGGGACTGCAGAAGGTTTGGAAGAGGCGGGATTGCGCTGCATTTTCCTGGAATTCTGGCCAGGCACATATTTGGGCCGAAGAGTGGCCACTGTCTTCGGGCGGCCGAGCAGGAGAGTGTGGGTTATAAAAGAGACTCAAGCCAGACCGGATTATCATTTACTCTACAGTTTCTGTGCCGTGACAATCGCTTTGAGTCTTTGTGAGTGGAATAGTTGATATGAGTGACTACTTGACGACCAACTCCATGGAGAGCTTCGAGTCCATCCAGAACGCCCTCGACGAGGTGAGACTCCGGACGCGAGATTGTGCGCTTTCGTGGTAACTGTAAGTGTGGCTTATCTCGTTCCAGAAGATCCAGAAATTCGAGACTTGGCCCCTGAACGAGTCTTGGTCGCCGTCCACATCGTCTACACAGAGCTCTCCACATTCTGTGTCCAGCAGCCCTCAGCAGATGCCTGAGCCACAGATTCCGCCGGCCACGAAGACCGAGGTCGTGCTGCCGCCGATCCTCAATGATCCTGTGGTGCGCCAGTCGGCCACCGTGCAGCCCATGGCGCGCCAGACGACTCCCACGGCCGCCACCACGTTCCGCGACAACGTGCGCAAGCGCTCCAGGACGCAGTTCAGCGCCCTTCAGCTGGTGACGCTGGAGAAATCCTTCAACCAGAGTGTGTACATCTCTCGCGCCACGCGCAGCACGCTAGCGCGCGAGCTGAGCCTCACGGAGAAGCAGATCAAGATCTGGTTCCAGAACCGGCGCATGAAGGAGAACAAGGTGTTCAAGGGGAAGGTGACGGCCGGCCCCAAGGCATCCAATCGGATCGCCGCCACCGCCGTGAAGAATCTGCAGCGCCTGGCGGAGAAGCAGAACGACCAGAACATCGTGTCTAGGCTCATGTCGCAGCGCCAGGCTGTGATCGCTCAGGGCTACCCAGCGTCCGCGTTCGCATCCGGCGAGGAAGTGCACCACTATCAGCCGCCGCCGCCCTCGTACGCCGCGCCGCCACCCTACCCCGCCGGGTCGCAGATGTACCAGCCGCCGCCTTTCTACCATCAGGATAACTTCTACGAACCCGCCTTCCGGCCAGACTTCAGCGACATGATCTACAATCCCGCTGAGCAGTATTCGATGCCGAACGACAACTTCTCCACGCTCAACTGGGGCAACATCCTCGCCGCCTGAGCGCGCCCCCGCTTGCTACCTGATCAAGTGGTACAATTCATCGCTTCTGCATTCTCCCCAATAAGTCATACACTGAGAGATTAAATGCTGTTCTATGCCCACAAATCTGGCCTTTTATCTCCTCGCACGTGTCTCGGATTCCGCCCTGGTCGTTCAACTCGAAGATCCCCTGGCCATTAGCACTCGTGCCGGGCAGTCGGATGCCTTCTAATGGCCTCACCACTTCTCTCTCTCTCTCGCTTTCTTGCCTTTCGCCCCAGGAAAAAGCCCAGGTGTAGGTAAGAAATACCACAGAAGAAATCACTTCTTGTGCTACTGCTCAACATTTCTGTCCACTTTTCCTCAGCTGCCTGGCTTTGAGCGCGCGCCCGAGATTCCATTCCGACAGCTTATCTTCCCTTCTGATCAATTTGGGAAAATCAGCACTTCTCAAAGGGCTGAAATTTGCTCATTGGGTGGGAATAAAGAAATTGTCCTTCAAACTCATTGATTTTTATTAAGCAATTGCAGGTTTCTTCTTAGTACACTCAATCTAATTGTAGTGCTGGGTTGCGCATTTTGAGAAATCTTGAGAGTATTTCAAACAGCTTTTACAAATCTTTGACATAATTCGCTAAATATTGAAGCTTTAGAACTCGATTGATATTCAAGAGATGTTTTAAATGCTCTCAGATTCATTGCAGTTTTCTTCAGCGTGAATTCTTTTTTCAGCATATTTGAGGACCATTCGATGTTGACTATTTATATCAATTTGAGTTTATATCGCTATTTAATACCGTATTTTTTTGGCTTTCAACTCCATTAAAGAATAAATAATTATGAAAATTCACATAAAATCCTGAGTATCTGTCCATAGCTTTTGGGATTAAAGATTTTACCTATTTAGGAGATTTTCCATCAATTCGAAGTGCGAAAAACCATGGAAAAGATTATGCTTTATTTCTTATCTATTTTTTAAGGCTTTTTAGCCTTAAACACTCAAATTTTGTCACCCCTTCCAAGACAATAAAGTTTAGATGAAGCAAATCGCATGCGACGAAGTTTCTTCCTTCTTTGCTTTTCACTGAAATGTGTACAAAATTGGCGGTTAAGAATTGAACAAATGATTATTAGAAAACGCATGACAAGACAAGCGTTCTTGGTGTCATTCATCTCCCAGTTGAAAATTAAATGCCTTGCGATCCTTTAATCCTTATCAATTTTCAAAGAAAACAAGGGAAAAATTTCGCATTTGTGAAAAGTGTGATCGATTAAGCAGCAAAGTGTTAAGTAATTCATTGTGATCAGGTCAAAATCTTATGCCATTTAAGATCATTAAAGTTAATATGAAAGTAATGAAGTGTTTATTATTTTTGTAACAGTCAATTTGTTAGCCAAGAGTTGCATCTAGAGAGAAAAATAGCCTTTTTAGAATCTTCTTAAGCACAATTTTAAGTGCAAATTATTGAAGCCCGAAAACCTCTATTTTCTGCCTTCCATTTGCAGTTTCGTTGAGAAGAGGCAATTCAAAATGATATCAAGATCGTCTTAACCAATTGAAGATCAGCGCGTTCAATGGGCGTGTCAAGATGGCTTTCATTTGGTCCAAATGATATTTATATTCATTCATCTTTCTTTCCCAAGAAAAATGACGTATTTTTCCATACCCTTCGGGGTAAATGATATTTTTTCAGCGATAAACAACTCATTAAATGCGGAGAACCATCATTTCCTGCAAAGTTGCAATTAAAGGTCGGCTGAGAGGAAAAGCCATTAGCACGGATTGGCAAAGAATTCGGGCCGAAAGTGTAGCGGGCATTTTTCCCACATGAACTCACCTGCATTGAATCATTGATGGTGATTTTGACCTGCTCTTGTTTGGGAAAAGCACCAGTGAAAATATTAAATTTTCCACTCTCTTGTTTGCCTGAGCGCAAGATTTGGCCAAGATAACATTTCTCCGATAATTGATTCTGATGAAAGACGAGATCTTTTGCCAATTGCGTACAGGAAACTAATTAAATGCGCACAGAATTTTTCCGACTAATCTCGAAAACTTTTGCCATTACTTCTGACTCTTGAGCGACTTTAGACGTCCTAATCCTGTTGTTCTTGGCCTCACTTTCGCTTTCCAGGATCTCCAGAGCCTTGTTTACTCTGGCGTTTGCTGGGCCTTGAGTGTGTTGAAAGGAGAGGTGCAAAAAGGATTTACTTTTGCTGAAAGGCAGAAAGAGCATGATTTATGGTGGCTCGCAAAATCCCTCTTTGGCGACAGGACAGCGGGTCGCTGGCCGTTTTGTTGCAATTGAGTGGCGGTGCCAAAGTTGTAAGCAATCCAATAAACGGTCGTCTTTCTGTGCCTCTTTCAGTCCAACGAGAGCGGAAAAAATGTGATTTTGTACCGAGAAAAAAGACGATAATGAGCACAGATAAATAAATCACTGTTTGGAGTGTTTTGACGCCAGTCTTGTGCATATGAATCACAGAGCAAGAAAAAGGAAGCAATGACCGACTCTGAACTACCGTAAAAGCACAATTTTGAGGCAAACAGAATCTCATGATTTCACATTTATCAAGAAAAGGGCAAGAAAACTACTGATGAAGTAATTTTTTCGATTTCATGTTTCTTCAGCCTCAAATAGTGTTTAATCTCCAGTCTGACGGCCTGGATTCCTGAATGGTTTATAATTGCTTCTTAACAGATCTTCCGAAGATAATCCGTATCCGTCGTCTTGGAGCCTCTCTATTGCGTGTCTGTAAAGTTTTCCTGAGCCAACAGATAAGAGAAAGTCCAAGAAGGTGCACCTTTTGACCTGGAAAACAATAAAACTTGCACAAAGAAGAATTTCACATGCATCCGACGGTTACATTTTGAACGCATCTGTTCTTGAAACTCCAGAGAATCCGTATTTCTACGCTGAACCACTGGAAGAATTGTGGCGCTGACTTCGCTGGTCGACATTTCAACTGTCGCGGAAAACTTGGTGTGTTTTTTCTCTACTTTTCCAGTCTTGTTGATAACTCACCGAAGAACAGTACTCAGAACAGGTGAACAGGCAATTTTCATCGTTCTATGAGTGCTCGTGATTCTGATATCGCTTTTTGCCTCGACCAGTGGAATTTCCAGTGCGATCTTCTTCTTCTTCGCTTTTCCATCCGCGAGCGCGCAGTTTTCAGCGAAAAGCTGCGACAGACGGACGGTTTTGCTCGGCGGTTGAAGTGAGTGAGAAAAATGGCTGTGTGTGACGTGCGGCCCCTGTAAATATTGTGAATCCTGCGCGAAAAGTGTGTGAAAAGGTGTGAAAAGTGAGCAAAAGTGTGAGAAAAGGCGAGGAAAAATGGCCACGGATAAGATTAAAGTCGCCGTGCGCGTGAGGCCCTTCAATCGAAGAGGTAATTTCCACTTTTCCACCCTCCCATCGGATCAATTTCCCCCTCCGCTGGCCACCCGATGGGGCGCTTCGCTGGAGCACAGATTCGGCCGAGCGCGCTTGGTGCCAATTTCTGGGCTCACGGGCCCGGAAACGCGGTCTGGTCTAATGAGACGCGCGCCAAGGCGACACAAACAATGGGCCCCAATTTGACACGAAAATTGGGCAACGCGCTTCGCCAAGAAGCCCACAGCTTTGGCGCTCCGCGGCCGTGGAAACAAGGGTTGGATTCGTGGTAAACAAAGTGGCACGAAGTGCGAAAAGTCTCCAAAATCTGCAATGCTGTTGCTAGTCAAAACAAATTACTAGATCTGTGTTGAGCGCGATAAATCACCTTTCTTGGTCAAACAAACCGCAATGGCATAAATTGAAAGGGAACAAAAGGCCTCAAGTATGATTTATGTGCGTAAAAATCATGGAAAGATGAATTATAGGTTCATGGCGGTTTATTTTGGGGAAAAACTAACTCAAATTGGCGAAGAATAGCACCAAGTTGTGAAGAAAGTTGAGTTCTAGAATGTTCTTATCTGGTTAAGCGTTGTGACTTTTATGTTTTGCGCAAGTTAAAATTGAAGAACTTCTTATAAGTTTAGCATAATGAGTAGAAAACGTTTGTCTTTGCTCAACTTTTCAATCATAAATTCTATTGATTTCGCGAGAGGATTTAACATATTTCTCCAAAGTTTGTTTTGATAAAAAAAAACTTAACTTTAATTCTTGGAGACATACAGTCTCCAAACACAGATGTTAACTTCTAGAGTTGCTCTTCACTAATCTATTTATCTAGATTCAAAGCTAAAAGTCTTCTATTGTTATTGCAAAACTATGAAACCCTAGATTTCCTGCATGTTGTTTTACAGCAAGTGAAATCATTCCGTACCAGCATTGCATCTCGCGTTAACTTCAATTTTGCCATCCATCGTGATTCACAATTTTCCCTTTTCAACATCGCCATGCAGAACAACAATGCTTCCGAAGCATGTTCGACAGAGATGAAGAGTCTGACTGGGCAATTAGCAAGTTTACAGATAAATCGACAGTCAATGAAGAACCCTTGTGCACTTCAGCCACAGTGAATACCTAGTGAACCAAATTCTTTTGTGTGTGGCGAATTTACACGCTCTCGCGGCTCAGACACGCGAAATCGCATTAAGTCTCTCTCTCGCAGCTCTCATGCTGGCTACACACAAGGTCTCCAGTCCGCTGAAATTGAAACACAACACACAATCTTCGTATTGCATAAACACCGTCTATTGCTAACTCTTATTTTCACTTTCACCGGAATTGCCCACATTTCTAACTTCTCTTGGTCTTCGGCACAAAGGAACCCATCTTGAGGAGGAAATTGTGGTGGAAAAGCGGCATGATTATGAAAAAAATTGTGTTCCAATTCCATTAGCGGGTAAAAGAAAAAGAAGCTCGAAAAAAATTGCATTGAACCATTATTGACTAATCTTTGGCCTTCATTTCACCACATTTTCCATCACAATTAGCAAGTATGTAGAGGCAAGAGTTGTAAATTGCTAATTTGAATGCCACCTAGAAATTGAGGTGGTGTTGAATAAACCTGAAGATTGGCGATGACAGTTCGACAGCTGTCAAACATCCGCAGAAAGTCGGCGGAAGTTGAGGGAATGTATCAGGAATTTCCTAGGAAAAACTCCCTGACTCACTTTCTATTTGTCGACAATTAATTCTTGTACGGAAAAATTGTATCTTTTCCACTCACACTAAATCATATTGAAATTCATTTGAGGCGCTTGGGAAACTCAGGCGCGAAGGCATGTCTTATCGTGCGATGGAGAATGATAAGGAGTACGAGAGAACTGTTTGTGTGTGTGTGTGTGTGTGTGTGTGTGTGATAGAATAAATATTTGATGACTGTACCATATACAGGTACACAAATCAATTGATTAGTTTCCCTTCGTTTTCGTTTGATTTTCCCATACTCGCGCGCTCTCACCGGATTTTTACACAGTTTCAATCTGCCGCCTTTGTATATAAAGCATAAAGTATATTGTTGCATTTGGAAGAATATCCAGCCTTCGAGGAGCCCACAAGAGTGTGTGTGGTTTCTCTTTCTCTCCCACAAATGTGTGCCTCATAAATAAGAAACAATTCCAACGAATGGATGAATCATGATGACGATTTGATGTACTTTCTTGGTGGAAAGCACACGCTCGAGTCATCGGCTAAAATTATTTTGTCTGTTCCACTGTTTAAGGTGTTTTCTCAGCATTGAGCACGTTTTTCGGCTGCTGAATGGAGAGAATCGATAATTCCACCCTTGAGTCTCCCTTCTAGGAAGGATTCCTTCGCCCATCTATTCACTACAGCCGCAGGGCAAATAGAGAAAATGACTCACAAACGCTCTGTTCTTTGCTTCTTTCAATTTTTCACAATTCACAGGAAGCACAATTCTCGACGAGCGTCCTGTAGAATGCCCAAAAACAGTCGTAAACCAGTCACGAAGCGTCGAAAAAACTACACAATTTATCAGTCGAGAATTCTCTATTGGGAAACGCCACCGAAATGAGATCATAACTTGCGGATTACGTAATCAGATAGCACGTCTATTGACCTTTGTCTCTGGTGGTTTTCAATCGTAGAATCATAGCATAATCACTGCCTTTTGCAGCCCTTTGTCAAAGGCATTCATTGACCTCAATGCAATCTGTTCAGGGTTTGAATGGAAGTGTGCAGAAACATTAGCAATTCAGTCGGTCATTAACTCGTTTTCAAGACTATTTCATACTATCAGTGTGGAATTTTTACTCCACAAAGAGCGCAAGAGTGATTTTATAATTGCATGCAAATGCCTCAATGGCCTCAAGGTGAAGGCGGAAGGGCGATAATTGCGAGTGAGATGATAAGAATCCCTCTTTTATTGAATATTTTTTGCTCTTTTGGTAAATCCAATAATACTTTTTTGCATTTTCCATCACCTTTACGGGAATCTAATGTAGAGAAGTAATGTGGAAATTTTCCTAAAATCAATAACCGTCATTTCCAATTTCATTGAACTTGAAAAGGGCAATTTTCCTCACGCTTTTCATCACCTTTCAGTCGTTTAATTTCCCCACAGCGTGTAAAAATTAAGGAGGAAATCCTCGAAAAAATTGCCTTTTGCGACAATGAAATTTTCTCAGGCTCCCCAAGAGAGAAAAACACCCATTTTCCATTTCATTTAATTTGTCAGGCAAATGTATATCAGATGAAATATGGGTGGAATTGCAAGGGAATTTGTGTTTGTGTGTAGAAAAACACCCTCCAAATTTTCATTCATGACAAGTGCTAAAAATATGAAATAATCTATCAACATTTTGCCACTCCAAAATTGCAAAACATAAATCAATTTCTCGTGAGTTTTTCATCGCGAAAAGTCTGTCCAAAATTTGATGTGTTACTAACAGAAACGAGACTTCTAAATTTATCTGGCCGAGCTCTCGAATCACCTCAAATGCATTTTGGTTTTATCCTTGACTTATCAACACTCCCAATAAAGTGAGTAGCGAAAAAAATTGCGAAGGTGGCAGAAAAATTGTGTGGCAAACACAAAGAGAGAGAGAGAAAAATCGGTGTGGCAAAAGTCCATGTTAATTTCAGTTCTTTGCTGCTCATCAAGTCTCACACCACATTCAACGGCGATATTTGATGAGCTTTCCGACGCTGCCTGAGCGTTGCGTGCCTCTGTGAGGGTGGCCAAAGCACTGCTGTCCAATTAAAGCATTTGCACAATGTGGTTTTTTTTCGCACCTTTGGCAAATATTGCAGGGAAAAGTCTATCATGAAGCCAGAATACTTCTTCAACTCTCACTTTCAATTAATTTCAATTGGAGACCGTTTTCTTGGCGGGGAGGAAGAACGGGCGATATGTTAATGAGCCTGAGTGACCCAATTAGACTTTTCGTGAACTCTTCTGCTCTCTAATGACAATTGAACGACTATTTCCCGCGTATTGTGTCACACCATGGCCCATGTTTAAGTGCTTAATTGTGAGCAATTTCCAAGATTGTTGGCCCTTTTTTAACATAGGGCATCAACCAATGTAATCTGAGACAAATGTTTGGAAACTCTTTAAAATTAGAGCTTAATCTCATCTTGGGTAATTCCCCTAAAACACCAGCCTTCAAATCCATCCGAACTTCAACACAATTCTAAGGGTAAAATATACAAGCTTCAGCAAAGAGCAAGCGGCTCAAGATGCCATTGAAAGAAGTGCCTAAAACAGAAACACAAATCAGGGCCTCTGCAGAACAAATAAACCCAGATGAGGAGTTCTCGTAAATTAAGTCACACTGAATGTGCGAACTTTGCAAACATTTACACACTCTGTGTCAAGTTCTTTCTCTACTAAACTGCTCATTTTCATTTCTAGGGCAAAGCAGGGCTGCAATTGGAATAAGATTGTTTTCATTCGAAGAAATGTGCATCGATTTGATGAAAATGTTTATTTCAATCAGTTTCCCATGCTAAATGAAGGAAGAAAGCAATTCAGAATGCAGAGCGCATTCGAATGGGCGGGTCTTCGGAAAGGGCGGGCCATTCAAATGAGCGCGACAAAACAATCCCATATAATCTGAGACATGCAAAGTAAAGCCGTTTCTCTGTACTCTTTTATGCAATTAATCTGGAAAAGTAGAGTGAAATACTGTTGTTGGTGGATTATGTAATGTGACAAGGAAATTCACTTCTTCACAGAATCAATTTCCATTTTAATATGGTATATTTTTATGGTTTCCACCACGACTCGTGTGTCTTGTTGAGTGAGACATTTTGCAGAATTACACACATTAAAATGTGTGAATTTCACTGTTGAATTATACAATTTTCACACAAACTCACGCGCTGTCTAAATGTGTGTGTTTATTAAGGAGGAGATGTAGAAAAAAATTGGTACTCTTTATATGCACATTAAAAGGTTAAAGTATCAATTTTCCCGTTGTTAAATTTCCTTCACGCTCCCAACATATTTTCCAACGAGTCATCTCACCAATGCGAAGTGGACTGCATGGAGTGTTTATAAGCGAAGAGGCGGAATATTATTATATTAATTTTCTCTCTTTTTGTGCATTAATTTCAGAGCTGGAACTGGGCACACAATGCGTCGTGGAAATGGAGGGTCAACAGACAATTTTGCACAATGTCACGAGTATGGACAAAATGGATAGGTGAGTGGAGTAAATTTAATTAGAGATAAATACAATAAAGGTGGCTGTTCAATGCAATTTCTTCACAAAGTGGCATTTGTGGCAGTTTCCCAGAATGTGACCCAGTCATTGACATTTGCTGCAACGATTAGTTTGTTATGGACTCTCATAAAAATTGGGTGGCACGTGAATATTTAATTACTTATGCTGGAATTTTATTTGCTTTCCGCTTGCCAATATGAACGTTGGTTAATTTGGGATGACTCAGCATGGAAATTATTAATGAAGGGATGGTGTTTTTTTCATCAAACGCAATTCGCGGTTTAAAGCTTCACTAACTTTCATGGGTATTCTCGACAATTGCAACAGCATTTAGTTTTATGATTCAACTGTACTAAATGGTAGTCATTATCGAGATGTAGTTGATTAGATTGCACACACAGCAATTGCTGGGCTTAATGAACACTTTACTCAGGTGTATTTTGTAGCTGCAAATTGATTTGATTTGTGAGTGTGCACACATTTTCAGGAGGACGTTTTAATTTCTCACGATATACTCTGTGATTGGATATCTCGAAATATTGATTTTTATTCGCAATCACGCAAGATGGATTTCAATTCATCAACTATTCATTCATTCTATGTCACATAACTGACGATGAGAGGCTAAATTTAGCTTGAGAATAAATGCCTTTCTTGTAAACTCACCGAAGGTCTCTGACATTGTGAGCTTCTTTCTCATAGTTTTTTGTGAGGAAAATATATGTATTTGTGGGACTCTTTTCTTCCTTTCTGTCTTTCGCTCTAAATGTGAGAAAATGCCGAGCATTTCTGAATGCTTTTGTTGGTGGAAAACTCTGTTCAATGGCCGCAAAGTGGATGGAATGGAAAATCACTAGGTTGCACTTTGTCTATGCGAAGGCTTTAGTTGTAACAAGATGTATTATGCATTTCACATAATGGCACAGTATTTATGATGTTATTGGATGGAAAATATTGACTTTGGTGTTGTGAGAGCGGCAATAATGTTGTGTGAGTGTGTGTCATATAAACCCAAAGGTAAACAATGGGGAAAGAGAGAAAAAATGAGTTGGGAGGAAGACTCCACTCAATGTCACACTCTTTTATGGACTTAGAACAAAGAAATCACATGAAAAAATATTTAGATAGGATAAAATGTTCAATTTATAATTCTCTTTAAACCTAAAGTGAGAGACAATATTTGGAGAAGAGCGCAATATTGTGGAGAAAAAAATTGATTACATTTTGAATTCTATCTCTTTAGCATATTTGAATGCAAATGGGCATATTTTGCCTTCGCCGCTGAAAGTGCTCTCATTTTGCGGCAATTCATGAAATTTAACTACTTTTCGTGGTAGTGTTTTTCCCCTAAGAGGGTGGCAAAGAGGGAGAGTAATTTGCAAAACGTTATATTCAATATTGTGTAGAACATTATAAATTTGTGAGATATTTCTCTATATTGCTGTAATTTTCAGCCATAATTTTAGAGCCGCACATGAGAAAATATCAGTGATAAAGTTGTGTCTAATTTATTATTTAATGAGAACAAGGAAACATTAGACAGCGTGTGTAAGTTAATTTTCAATTAGTGTTGAGTGAGAGAGAAACGGGATGATTTATTTTCAACATAACACCTTAACACTGATTGCAGATAGTTTAATGGCAACACATCATCAAAAAGCCCTGCAATTTCTCTTTAGGTAACTCAATATTACAATTAACATGTTCACTTTTATTTTCTTATTGTGAAGAAAGAAAAACATCTTATGTTCCTCGTTAAAAGTCACAATCCATCTTATTATTGCTGTGAGGAAGAAGAATACATTTTGCCTTTTTCTCAATACAAAAAGTTAACTTTTTTAAATCAAAAACTTTTGTGCCTGGCGGAAGTCCACTGAAGAAATCAGCCTTCCAACGAGAGCTGTTGTGTATTAAAGGTCGAATTTCCCTATTCTTCTCCATTTCATCTCCTTCTTCTTTCACTTCCTCGATGGGATTTTCGTGGGGGGTTTCAAGCTAGTGCGCAGCGAAGTAACCTAACTCAAGGAATAATCTAATGGCAGATGAGAAAATCTATGTAAATTGCAGAAAAAGAGAGGCTAAAGATTCTCAGGGAGGCACATAATAAGTGTGTGTGTGTGTGCCCCAAATAGCCCTAGAATTATTGATAAACTCCAACCGATTTCTGCTTCCACATGCCATAGGATCCTCGCATTCGCCGTGCAGAGGTTCTTTTGGGCGCTCTCCTTGGAGAGATGTGTGGAATTCCGCCCAAGAAAGTTTATTGAGTCAGTACGATGGTGTGGCATAAACTCAATTTTCTCATCATGAGTGAAAAATCAAATACAAACTTTTCACCAATATTCCCCACTCTCCTTCTTGCTTTACCATAAAGTACTCAAAATGCCATTTTTCACTTCACACTTCATTCCACGGCATTCAATTCACGATTTCCATTGAGTGGGAAAAGTCGTATTTTCTCTACCCTTTTTCGCTTGAGTGTGTGCGGCAAACAAATTGGAGCAAATAGAGGAACGGTGTGGAAAATGACTGGTGAGATGAAGAATGGAGGTGAAAATAAGATGACCCCTAATCAACTTTATATGTTTGTTAGAGAGACGAGAGAAGAAAACGAGAGGCTGTAAAAGAGGACATTTTCCATTCACAATACACTGAACTTCATGATTTGAGTCGTAAAATAAATTTCAAATTAAATGGTAAATGATGGATGAAAGGATATTTCTCTTCCTTCACATCTCAGGGTCCTTTTTTGAGTAGAAAGATCACTTGACTTTTTCTTTTCCATCCCCCTTTCATTCCCAACATTCAATTCATATGCCCAAAACACGTCGATTCAATTCCATATCCAATTCATTTTTTGCCAAGTTTGGTTCGGGGCACATTTTTATGCATTCCCTCACTTAGGTCGCTTCTCATGAATTTCCACGTCTATTGAAGAGAGGGAAATTCATGAATCAGGAGAAAAGTCATGGGAAAGGTTAAAAGGCTCGTGAGAAGGTGTGCAAGTTTTTTTCCCATCAATTCTTATTCGTCCACTCCACTTTTCATATTCATCTCTGTGCGAGGATGTGTTCAACAGCTCTCTTCGCTTTCTCGTCTTCAGCGTCTTATGTATTTTTGGGCTTTGCTCGTCGGGATATTTTATGTAGAGAATATACATTGATATAAGAAGCGACGACAACGGCAAATATTTGATTAATATCTCACGTCGCATCATCAGACTTTGCATCATATCAAAATTGATTTGGACGTGACAGATGAAGCGTTCCATTCGCCACGTCGCAAGCTTCCTAAAGCCCCCAGAGGCACATTATCGGCTGTAGAGAGTCTTGTGGATAATGGCAGGATGTCTCATCGTCCGCCCGTTGAAAGTTGGCTGGACTCTTAGTTGCTCAATGGAGATAAATTTAATCTCTTTGGAGTTGGGAAAATTGCACGGTTTCGATGAAAATCTACTGTCAATTTGGATTAAGTACAATAGATTTTATCCAGAGTGAAGATGAGTGACTTGCCGATATATTGGACAACACCATTAACCGAACACTCTGTGTACTTTTCCAAGCAATTTCATCCGCCTATTGACAACATCATTTTCCCTCTGTTGAATTTTCCATATATATATATATATATATTTGGACAAAACATTCATTATACATGAACATTTTGGCGGGGCGGATAATGACTTTGACTAAAAGCACACCATCACGCCCAAATCCAATTACACTTCCAGCAGGAAAATGTATTGATTTGATGACACTGGTCAACCTCGCCAGCGACCACTTCCAAATGTGGGTTCTTGCGCGCTCTACCGAAACTATTTGAAATGCCACATAAGGAATTCTGACACACGATTGTGCAACAAATCACTAAAATAGCATTATATCCATATGTAATTGTGTGCAATTCGCCAGAGCTTCTCAAATTACCCCTATTCGCCAATAAAATCAGCTTATTTCCACCCACAACGAGCGATATATCTGTATCTATACGGTTTTAATTAAAGTACGTCTGTACAGAGAAATATTCTTATATTTCACGTATAAGAAGTCTAATGAGATCAATTTCCACCACGAAAACGGAGCTTAGAAGCTCAACAAGAGGAGGAATATGGCATAATTTTCCACCTCTTTTCCTCTACATTACAATATATACTACTTTCATGTGTACATACATATCTCAAAATTGTGGGAAGATTCCTCTCAAGTTATTAACTTTCACAATTTACATTCCATGTTCGCCAAGTGTCTCTTCAAATAAACTTCAAGGATTTGCAATAAGAATGGAAATTCTGTAAATATTTCCCACAGTTAAACCTCGTGCCATTCCACTCTTGGAGTTCCCTACAATTTTCTCAAAGGGGATAACAGGAAAGGAAAGGGATATAATCCGAGGTATTTAGAGGGTATATTAGATATTATATAAAAATATCTGAAGATACTCTAAAGTCTCCACAGTGCGTTATCTATCACATTACCAAGTTTTGTTGTTGAAAATGGGCAAAAAATGTGTCATCGTGAAAAAGAGCTGTATATTTTCAAATTACATTGAATGGAAATCGTTTGGGGGAAGCAATTAAATACTGCCTGCTGAAATATTTCTGTGAATTCTCACTATACAGGCGCAATTTTGAGCAAATTGCTTAATTGCCCTGAAAGTAATCTGCCTTATTTCACGCTTTTCTGCGGTGAATTTCCCATGAATGTGAACGGAGGGTTGAAATCAAGGCACTGGCAGTCTCTTTGACCTACAATATCGGGGAAAAAGGGTGGTGATATCTTCTCCTTCATTACGCCTAATGTCACTCGAGACACACCCTTTTGTCATATTTCGATCAAATATTGATTTCATGCAAATTAATCACTGTGCAAATTAATACATAAAGATTGTGTGTCTTGATAGTTCTACTATCAACCACTTTGCGCCAAACCTTGCACAAGACATTAAGCCTCTTAGCAAAATTGGGTGTTGGTAATTTGGAAATCATCTCACCAGATTAGGGATTTGTGGTCAGTGTTGGCAAAACACTACAATTTTCCTTGTGAAGATTAATTGTGGAAATGGAATCTGAGAGAATATAAATGTCTTTCTTGTGAATCAATCACGAATTGGGTGATTAGTAAAGTGATGATTGATAGAAGCATATATGAGAGGAAATTGAGTGTATTCTGATTAATCAATATTCAGTGACTTTTGCTTCGCACTGCCGTGTAAAAATAAGGGGTGATGTTCTTGAAAAAGTCTAGCGTGAACTTGTCCTTTCTCTTCTCCTTCTAGTAGTTTAATTCACTCTCATTTTTCACAGGGTGAATATGATTCAGGGAATGAGAATTTCACTTTAATAATTATATACTAGCACGACATAGGTTCTTATGGTGGAGTTCTCTAAATCACATTTAATTTGCACTCACGCGGGGTGGGAAAAAGTGGGAGAAAAAGGCAACGAGGACAAGAAAAACTGATTAGGAATTGTGGTAGGTGGAGTGAAAAAGACATTTATGAACATTTCCTTCTCCCCTAAGCCAAGGCGCTTAGACAAACACTCATTGGCTCCGCAAGAAAGTCAAACAACACCTTTCTTGCGGAATGAAAACAATGACTTGTGCCGCCTCAAAGTATCTTGTGACATGTGGAAAAGTCAACAGTGCAAACAGGGCGGAAAAATATGTTTAAGGATAAAATCTATACCAACCATATTTTTTGTCTCCCTTTTCTTTCCTCACCGCCAAAGTCATTCACATAAATTCACCTCAACCTTCTTTCACTCTCTCGTGCCGCTCATGACCAAAAGCAACCCGCAGAAGTGCGGAATCACAGACAACAATCGTGCAGTGAAATTGCAAATGGAAATGCAGACAGTTTTGCCGATTGTTGGAGTGAAAAGTGGGATAAGAATTCACACACAAACTCGACAATGAAAGGTTATGAAGAGTTCATAACGCTGGTCAGTCAAGTAGAAGGATATATAATACCAGCTCAAAAGATATATGTATGAAATGGGAAATGTCAACCTAATATTGCGTGTGTGTTTCACATAAAAAATCACTCTTTTCTCGCAAAATTCACTACACACCCAGTGGCAAAAGACTGTGCCCAGTAAAAATGGGACAAGCCACATGCTCATCGCCATGAAGTTGTCTCGTTGACTACGCGTCATACAGTCCTTGACTCCCACCCGCACGACTGATAGGCGCTACACACTTGAGAGACTTTCAAGGATGATTTTCCTGTTTGTCAATCGCACCCCGATACCATCGTGTACACTTCATCTCCGAGGATTTGATGCGTGTTTACGCAGGAACATGCGACAAGCCGGAGAGAGAATGTGTGATTTATGTTGAGGCAAGCGGAAAAGGCGCACTAAGCAGTTTGGATGTAAGCTTGAAAATCAAATAAACACATGAAATGCGAGCACGGAGATGAAACTAATAAGCCCTTATGAGGGGGATTTGTGCAAAAAAACTCAAACAATCTGCAGCTTCCGAGTAATTTACTCGCACAGCTAAACTTGATGATATCTTATCGACTTGTACAATTCACTTCCATGCGGCGAAACACAGTGTGTGAGAATAGTGTGGTAAATATTTCTCAATGTGCTCAAGTTGATAAATCAATATACTTTAGGTGGTCACTTAACCCTCTTCGGACTCTGTAATCGCTTTCGATTTTTAGCTGGGGAAGTTGAACCACAGATTTTATGACTTTAGCAGTATATCACACGTTAACTAGTCATAATAGATTAAGTAAATATGATTAGGCAAATAAATGTTTTGAAATTGAAGCACCAAAATTTACTGCTGTGCCTTTCCGAATGTAAGAAAAATTGGGTCAAATTTCGATTTTGCTACAAGATGGACTGAATCTTTTAGCATTGAGTGTATAAATATTTCATTTGCTCATGGAAATGGGAAACTCTGGGATGTGTTTCTGACTTTGATTATGCTCTCTCTTCCACCACCTCCTCTGTCTCAACATCACACATTCAATGCCACTGGTTTTCCCTCCCATCAATTCCAATATCGCAGACAGAACGCGCGATGTGTTGTGAAAAGTGAAAAAAAGAGACTATTTAACACTTTTTACCACCTATTCGTGATTTATTCCATCTCCCTCGCACACCGGATTATTCAACACGGTGAGCATGAAATTCAGCCGAAAACTATCGATTAGACTCAAGTGACATAATTTGGGGAGAAATGTAGCAATTCATTAATGTCTTTTCACCGTGTCTCTTGCCAAGCAATGCCGCATGGCGAAAAGCCGTATGGAAAGTGTCCAAGAGTAACACCCAGAGGATCAGGCGTCAAAGCTGCACTTGCATTGGAGCATCACATCGATTTTTTTTACACCATGCACACTGTTCATATGACATGTTACATAAAATTGGATTATGTTGCCCCATCCTTGGTGCTCAATGCAGCATTTTCTGCCTTCATTTTCACCCTCTTAGGCGCAGACCAAGAGACAATTTATATGCGACACATTGTTGTAATTAAATTGTGTGTCTCTGCCTAGCACATATCATGGTGCGAAGGCGGAAGGAGAGACGATCAAAAAGGATGGCGATAAATTGGAAAATTTCCGAGAAATGTTTGCATTTCATCAATTGACACTTTATACTATCGGGAAGTGTAAATTGTTTGTCATATTGGACAGAGATGAGCTTCAAAAGACACTGCAGGATTTCTGTTTGTGACTTTGGCAATATCATATCTGGATATTGATAAATGTATTGCTGATTAGATCCAAAAAAAGCCCAATCTCACTTCAAACTGTGTACTATATTTTCTAGAAATTGCGCTGCAGATAAAGAAATTGGAACAATGTGCGATCGTGGAATGAGAACAGTGTTTGTAAATGAATTAAAATTGAAAATGATTAATTAAAAAGAACCCATTTAGATGTCTGATTAAAATGTTTCAAAGGAAGTCGGAGAGACAGAGAAACTGTAAAAATATCCTTTTTGCCATTCTCACTGCGCTTGGAAAACTGCACACGCGGTGTTGAATATAAAATGGGATAGAGCTTTTGCGAAAGTGCTTTTGCTATGTGATGTATTACGCTTTAAAACACAGGAGAAACAATAAGTTAAACAGAGACAAAGTGCACTTTTAGAAAAGCCCGGTGAGGGTTTTTGTCTACTTTAAAGGTTCGGTGTAGTTGGGCCACGAGAGTATGAGAATGTGATAAAGTGAAGGGAAAAATCACGTCTTGTTGCTCTTCAGCGTATCCACAAAACACTTCAACCGCAAACAATGAGCGATGAAGGTGGAAAAAAAAGTGGAGAGAAATGGATTCTTTTCCCGCCTTTTCATCCAATCCCTCGCCATTTCCTTTTCTACCTCGCAGTTCGCGATATGAATTTCTCAACTGTGGGTGAAAGCAACGCATATTTCATAATTATATGCATGACGGTGTGACTTGTGAGGATGGGATATAAATCTTGAGGTTGTTTTCTCATCCTGGGTGTCTCTGATGATCCTTCGTGAGGTGGAGGATTACTGTCGGGATATTAACCCCTTTCTCAACTCTGCGAGTGTTTTATCTTTTCTATGTGGAAATGATGAACTTGTCCCTGGGAATGAAATTGTTGCAAAGGACGAAGAGAAATAGCAAATCGCATGAGACATCAAAAAATACTTTGCCACTAAACTTTGTCACAACTTTCTAATTCAATATAAATGCACTCTATAGAGCAACAAAATGTAATTTCTTATTCTTCAAGCATTTTCTGACCTTGCAGCAATATTTTTTATCAGGGAAATCTAAAGTTGGAGAAGAGTTTTTTTTCGCTTGTAAAAATTGCTCAACAACAGTCTGACTAAGTATCCAATTATACACTGAGATGGGAGCTTAAAACTTTGCCTGATAGATTTTTATGATGAGCTTTCGATAAGCTCCCGGTAATCGATGAACATGTGAAATTTCTCGCCGGTACAAAATATAGATTAGAAGTCAACGATGAGTCTTTTGGGTGGAATGGATAAATTTTAAAATTGCTTTTCACATCATGTGAATCGATTGGAGTGATGATGACAAGCACGATATGCACGGTTATTATATGGAGAGGATTTCACTTCAGTCTGGGAAATCGAAAGGAACACTGCGGAAGAGTGGATTTTTCCACAAAGCGACGGCGAATGAATAGATACGCCATCAAGAGAAGTTGTGTGTCAAACACAGGCAGTTGTTGGCTGTCTATTGATTTTCGTATTCGATTCTCAGCGATTCCCCACAGAGAAGAGATACTGTAGACAGAGTGATATTGATTTGTTGTTAAATTATATTATTTATTCATGCTGGCTTTATCAAATTTCTTGGCTCTCCTTTGGCTGTACTTTTGGATGTAAATTATGGGGACGTTGTGCCAGTTTTACTGGACTTTTTGGCGAGCAATATAGCAGACAGTGTCGTCGTGCCAGGGAATTTATCATTATAAAAAGGACGACGCTCCGATGCTATGAAATAGACTCTCAAAAAGTCATAATTATGTTTGCTAACTTGTCTTTTTTCTTTTCTTTTATTTTTTTTGCAGAAAACAACCAAAGACATTCGCTTTTGATCACTGCTTCTTCTCAACGGACTACGATGCATCGCATTTTGCGTCACAAGAAACAGTATTCGATTCTGTCGGCAGAGATATTTTGGACAATGCATTTCAAGGATACAATGCCTGCATTTTTGCGTACGGACAGACTGGTGAGTTGAAAGTATAGCAAGATTTATCAGAAGTCACGCCCCTTTCTTTGGCCCACCCAGTGCCCTTATGAATCAGTTAAACTGAAATTGATAATAATGGCGAGAAAATATAATGCTCTATAAATCATAAATTTTCATCATCACAACAAAAACAGTTATTGTGATTCTCTTTCGTTTTTTGATGGCCTCTTTGAGATTGAAAATTGTTTACTGAACCATTTTTCCTCATCTGATAAACCTCATTCGCATTTTCAATACAAAATTCATTGATTTCTCCCTTCGCACGTCCGCACACTTCTTTTTGCCTTCGGTGAGGAATTTAGCGAACAAAAAATAAACAAGAATTTGCTATACGCTACAAATGCCTTAGAAATACCCGAAATACCATATAATCCTCTTCCCTTAGTTCGAGAAAATTCTCAATCGAATGTCAATCTCATGTTCAGGAATTCATTACATTTATTTGCTGGAAAAGCAAAAAGTATCCTTTATCAACCCTGCGGAAATATAAAAGCCAGTGAATTTGGCAGTTTTCAGTAAAATGCAAAAGAATCACATAGTGTGGAAACATAAATCAGGATTAAAGTAGTGTCTCTGTGCAGAATTTCTCTTGCAACTATATTGGAAAATATTCCCATTCCATATATACATTAATTGTGAGCGCACACCAAATGTGAAAGAGCTATAAGAGCTCTGAATTTAAAGGTTTGCACTTTATGTGCACAAAAATTCTAAACATGCTGTAACTATATGTGCTCTCCTGTGAATTTTCCCATCTCAATTTCCATAAAAATACTCCCAAAGTGAGTATGTGTTGGGAAGGGACATTTTTCACAGACATAAAATTTTCAGAAAAGCCATAAAATTGTATTGAGTTGAACCTGAATCAAAAAAGTGAAATTTATTTGCTCTTTTATTGCTCATCCACCTTTATTCGTCCCTTTTTGCTCCACGTTTTGTCCCGGGGTATTAAATTTCACCATGGTTAAAAATGCATCCCGACAAAAAGCTCTCGCTCTCCTTAAAGACGCCCTCTTGGCGTCTCTCTGCACATTTCGTATCGATCTATTTTGGCAAAATTCCCCATTTACCCCGACTATCTCTTCACTCCTCCTCCAACAATGGGCACATATAGAAATAGTTGTGACTTTAGACACCAGTTAAAATATAGATATTAACGTATAGTTTGTTGAACTTCTTTGCACACACACACGCTTTTCTGCACCGCCTTTTTGCCACCCGATAACAATAGGAGGAAAACTCGTCTCTTGATATGAATGTAACACGGCTCAATAGGAATGTCGACATATTGTGAAAAATGTTGCGACATCATCAAATAGAATATCCCATCCACTTTCTTCTCGTGCCATTTGATCAGGAAGCGAATTCTTTTGACAAGGAGTTAAATTCTATAGTGAGAATGATAAATCCACATTCTAGTCTAGACTATTGTTTAGGAAGGCAAATTTTTTGCTGTTGTTTGGCGTGTTGATAACACACTTTTCTAGGCGTGGTTTCTGAGAATTTTCTTTTACAACATCCCTTGTTAGGTTTTTCCCAGAAAATACATATGCTCACGTGGTTTTCAAGTGAATTCTCAGGAACATTCTAGTGTAGGAAGAGCTTCAATAAACGTTTCAACTCCGCCCACTTCAAAGCTCCGCCTCTTGATTTATTGTTGTGAAACAATTTGATGAATTTCTTGATTTGTTTCGCAGGATCTGGAAAGTCGTACACGATGATGGGTACGGGTGACAACAAGGGCATAATTCCGCGCCTCTGTGATGAGCTCTTCTACGAGATCTCGCACCGCCAGACTCCCGATTTGTCCTACAAAGTGGAGGTGAGCTACATGGAGATCTACAATGAGAAGGTGCACGATTTGCTGGATCCGAAGCCCAACAAACAGTCGCTGCGTGTGAGAGAGCACAACGTCCTGGGTCCGTACGTGGACGGACTGTCTCAGCTGGCGGTGACGTCCTTCCTGGACATCGACAGCCTGATGGCAGAGGGCAACAAGTCGCGCACAGTGGCGGCCACGAACATGAATGCGGAATCGTCGAGATCACACGCCGTGTTCTCGGTGGTGCTGACGCAGACGCTGACGGACAGGGATACGAATGTGAGTGGCGAGAAGGTGTCCAGGATGTCTCTGGTGGATCTGGCGGGCAGCGAGAGGGCGGTGAAGACGGGCGCCGTGGGAGACAGGCTGAAGGAGGGCAGCAACATTAACAAATCCCTCACGACGCTGGGCCTTGTGATATCGAAATTGGCTGACCAGTCGAGTGGGAAGACGCGCAATGACAAGTTCGTGCCGTATCGTGACTCAGTGCTCACGTGGCTGCTCAAGGACAATCTCGGTGGGAACTCGAGGACTGTGATGGTGGCCACAATCTCCCCAGCTGCCGACAACTACGAGGAGACACTGTCGACGCTGCGCTATGCTGATCGGGCGAAGAGAATTGTCAATCATGCCGTGATCAATGAGGATCCGAATGCGCGCATCATTCGCGAGCTGAGGCGCGAGGTGGAGACACTGCGTGAGATGCTGAAGCACGCCACGGGCTCTCCAGTGGGCGACACACAGCGCGGTGACATCCATGACAAGTTGGCTGAGAGTGAGAACCTGATGAAGCAGATCTCACAGACGTGGGAGGAGAAGCTGGTGAAGACGGAGCGCATCCAGAATGAGCGACAGCAGGCGCTGGAGAAGATGGGCATCAGTGTGCAGGCGAGTGGAATCATGGTGGAGAAGAACAAGTACTATCTCGTGAACCTCAACGCCGATCCGTCGCTCAATGAGCTGCTGGTGTACTACCTGAAGGAGCGCACGCTCGTGGGCGGCAGGAGTGTGGCGCAGCAGCCGGACATCCAGCTGCTGGGCCTCGGCATCCAGCCCGAGCACTGCACCATCAGCATCGAGGACGGCGGGCTATTCATGGAGCCGATAAGCAATGCCAGGTGTTGCGTGAATGGCGTGCCGGTGGCGGACAAGACGCCGCTGCACAACGGGGACAGAATTCTCTGGGGCAATCATCACTTCTTCAGGGTCAATTGTCCCAAGGGCGCCAATCAGGGGGTCAGCAGCGTGGCCTCGGAGCCCCAGACGCCCGCCCAGCCGATCGATTACAACTTCGCGCGCGAGGAGCTGATGCAAAATGAGCTGAGCAATGATCCTATTCAGACGGCCATCGCGCAATTGGAGCGTCAGCACGAAGAGGACAAGCAAGTGGCGCTAGAGAAACAGAGACAGGTAGAAATTTTTATTATTCACATATCAATGGGCATCAAATTAATCTGACTATGATGCTGTTATTGTGCAATTCTCAACATTTTATGGAATCAAAGGCATGAAATTTATGTGGATTAATGTAAATGATAAACCTTGTTTTTGGGTTGTTAAAAAGGAAGGAAAGAGTGTGCGCGCTGGGGGAAATAATAAATTATTAAAAAAATAATGTGTTGTACAGCAAAAAACACAGTGAAACTGGGAATGCAATTGCTGAATTCATTTCTGATTCACTGTTTGTTCACTTTGATTAACATGCTTTTTGTGATGTTTTTTTAGCCAAAGTCGCTTCAAGAGAATTTCAGTTAAAGTTTCTCCACTCGTTTTCTTTTTCAACAGGAGTATGAGAAGCAGTTCCAACAGCTGCGGAATATTCTGTCGCCCAGCACTCCATACGCTCCATATGCTCCTTATGATCCGTTGCGGATGGGCAAGATAACGCCATGCACGCCCACGACGCAGATGAGGATGGAGAAGTGGGCACAGGAGCGCGATGAGATGTTCAGGCGGTCGCTGGGACAGCTGAAGGCGGACATCATGCGGGCGAACGCGCTGGTGCAGGAGGCGAACGTGCTGGCCGAGGAGATGGAGAAGAAGACCAAGTTCAGTGTCACACTGCAGATTCCGCCGGCCAATCTCAGTCCGAATCGTCGGCGTGGGGCGTTTGTGAGCGAGCCGGCGATTCTGGTGCGTCGCATGAATCAGGGCAGTCAGATTTGGAGCATGGAGAAGTTGGAGAACAAGCTGATAGACATGCGGGAGATGTATCAGGAGTTCAAGGATCGCCCCATGTCGCTGATGGTGAGTGTTTCCTTTCTTGTCTCTCTTGGGTGGTGTTGCGTGCCGCTGGACACTTTCATTTCACTAATGTATCACTGAAATTGTTCTGTCCCAAATTGTGCGCACTAAAGCCAATCGAGGAGCCACCAGAATTAATTATGCCAGATGATGATGAAGAGGTTTGACCATTGTTGTTCTCTACATGTGTCTTATTTTAGATGTTCTTCTTAATTACTATGCAGAATCATTAAGTTATATGTGTGTCCGTCCATGTGTGTTTATTTCAGGACGAGAGCAAAAAGGCCATGGATCCGTTTTACGAGTCTCAGGAAAACCACAATCTAATTGGTGTTGCCAATATCTTTCTGGAGGTGTTGTTCCATGATGTGAAGCTGGACTATCACACGCCCATCATCAGTCAACAGGGGGAAGTGGCGGGACGGCTGCAGGTGGAAGTGACCCGGATAGCTGGCCAGATGCCTCAGGATCGCATGTGCGAGACTGGCTCGGACAACTCCTCCGAGGCCAGCCGGGATGATGACTACGGTTGCGACCCAATGGGCAGCCAGATCACGTGCCGCGTGAGCATCAAGCAGGCCACTGGTCTGCCCATCTCCCTGTCCAACTACGTCTTCTGCCAGTACACCTTCTGGGGCCATCAGGAGACGGTGGTGCCGGTGGTGAACTCTGAGCTGATCAGCCACAATGAGAACAACATTTACAAGTTCGAGCACGTGCAAGACTACACGGTGCAAGTGAGCGAGGAGTTCCTGGAGCACGCGGCTGAGGGGGCGCTAAGCATTGAGGTGTGGGGCCATCGGTCGATGGGCTTCTCGCAGTCCAAGGAGTGGGAAGTAGAGCACAAGGAGGCGAAGGCGCGCAGCCTGGTGGATCGCTGGGCGGAATTGTCCAGGAAGATTGAACTGTGGGTGGAGATCCACGAGCTGAACGACAATGGCGAGTACACGCCCGTGGAGGTGGCGAATCGCAATGAAGTGTTGACGGGCGGCGTGTATCAGGTGCGCCAGGGACAGCAGCGGCGGATTCAAGTGCGCGTGAAGCCGGTGCAGAACTCTGGCACGCTGCCCATTATCTGCCAGTCAATTCTCAGCATCGCCGTAGGCAGTGTGACGGTGCGATCGCGCCTGCAGAAGCCCTTGGACTCGTACCAGGAGGAGGATCTCACTGTGCTGCGTGACAAGTGGAGCGAAGCGCTCGGTCGGCGTCGACAGTATTTGGACCAGCAGATCCAGAAGTTGATCAACAAGGAGGAGAAGTGCGACGAGGAGAAGGAGCGCGAGCTCAGCCTAGTGCATCAGTGGGTGTCGCTGACGGAGGAGAGGAATGCCGTGCTGGTGCCGGCGCCGGGCTCTGGTATCCCAGGAGCGCCCGCCTCGTGGGATCCGTCACCCGGGATGGAGCCTCATGTACCTGTTCTCTTCCTCGACCTCAATGCCGACGACTTGTCCACGCAGAATGCCACGGATGAGCTCTCCGTGGTGGGACTCAATTCGATATTGCCGAAGGAGCACGGAAATAAATTCTACACCCTGCAAATCCTGCAGCATCTGGACAAAGACATCTGCGCCATCGCCAGTTGGGACTCATCCATGCACGATAGCCAATCGCTTAACCGTGTCACAGAAGGTGAGTAATGAGTGCAATTTGCAGGTGCGATTGTGCCATGCGAAGCAGCGATAAGTCAATTCATGGGGACTAAAATTTAGAATATTGCTTTTATGATATAGAATAGAACAAAAAGCATCCAGATAAACTACTCTAATTGAATTTCGACGCTCTGATGATCAAATTGTGATTAATAAGAGTATAAGATCCGCTCACTTGCATTAAACACTGCAAAATATGACGCGAAACATCGCGATTCACCTTGAAATCAGACTCTGTTGTAAGCATTTTATGATGTTATCTTTATAATTAGCTAATTTCCTGAGAACTCACAAAGCATTTCTTTTCAAATCTGTGTAACTTTCTTTAAATATTTGCAAAGTGGAATTCTCGACAGCCCTTATTTGACTTGTCCAAGTGTTGAATGGCTCATTCGACCGTATAAAGCTCCCGTATATTATATTATGCTTTAGCGTGTTGAGAAACTCAATTAAAATTCACCATCTTCTCCCTTTTCATGTCCCCCTGGACGTCGTCTGTCACCGGGTTGCGATATTGCATACGGAATGTGCAGCAAATGAACGAATCTATTTAATATTGAAAACGACTGTAAGACTGTCACATCCTGCCCCTATTAATTTAGTTTTAAGGAAACGTCTAGCACTGAATATATACAAGAGGCAGAGCCTGACGGATCGCATCAAGAAGTTTCGTCTCGGACGCTTTGATAACACGATAACACAGACGGGCGTGACGTATGAGGTTGTCTCCAACATTCCGAAGGCCAGCGAGGAGCTGGAGGAGCGAGAGTCCCTGGCGCAGATTGCCGCCAAGGGGGAGGACTGCTCTGCGAGCGACGGGGAGACTTACATTGGTGAGTGATGCAGTATTGATTGTCGCAGAATTGCATTGACGAGTGGAATTTGTACAGAGAAATACACGAAGGGAGTGTCGGCGGTGGAGAGCATCCTGACATTGGACCGTCTCAGGCAGAGTGTGGCAGTGAAGGAGCTGGAGCAGGCTCAGGGACAGCCGCTCTCCATGCGAAAGACCGTCAGCGTTCCCAATTTCTCTCAGGTGAGATCTCATCTTTGTCCGTCTGTCCGTATTGGTTTGCTGGGCACAAAAGAAGGGGGAGAAAACATTTCGATCAATATATACTTTTGTGTTTCTTTCCATCCTTTGGTTGTCTCTCTTTGTTGGAATTCACTGAAAGAAAATAAGTGCTTTGGCAGCTTTTATTTGTAATGTCCTGTCCTGATTTCAATTCTCATCCATTTTCTCTTGAGTTGTGGAGACTTTGAGTTGCCTCTGGCCGGAATATTGATTAAAAATTCACTGCATAGAATTTAATTGTATACAAATTAAAATGTCTTTCTCATCCCTAAAAATTTGCAATCCTTTTTATTTCTCGTTTGTGTCTCTGTATTTGTACTTAATCATATAAATGATGACTTTATATAGTTGTAAGAAATTAACTCACTTTTACACATTGCTTACTGTTTTTTGCTGTCTCTGTCTCTCTGCGTGTAATCATTTGCAAATCATGCAAAAAAACAAACTATTCAATTTCACAAATCAAAAAATATCAGGCTGTAAAAGAAACTGCAAATATTGGTGGCGTAAGTATTTGTTTGTTCAAAACTGTAACGTGCATGTTGATAAATCAATCTTGTCAATACAATTTTCACTATAATATTGATTGCTCTCTTCTCATATGCTTTGGCGTCCCTCGAGAGCGACAAATTAATGCTTTTGTTTCATATGCGAATGCAGATTATGCGCTTCGACACATCGATGGAGTCTCTCATTACCGTTGGTCGTTCGGAATCATTTGCTGACTTGAACAATCCCGAATATGGCGTGTCCAGATCCTTCATGGCATCACAGATTCACCGCGATCTCCTGTCTCAGAGTGAGTGTGCGCGTGTAAAAGAGGCTTTTACGGTTAATAACATTGGAAATTGGGAATATTTCAGCAGCGACAAATCGTGATTTTGGCATGAGGAACCGACACAGTTTCGGCGGAAAGGCAGGAAATGAAGAAACAATGACGGGAAGTGGAAAGCCATTTGGCATAGGTAAGAGAACATTGAATTTCTTGACTATTCAACACACCCTCAAATGTAATATCTATGCGAAATAATTGATATAATGCCAGAAATGATAAGGAGGAGGAAAATAGATAATGTTTTAATTTGCAAGGAAGTTGACTTAGGAAGTTTTGTGAGAAAAGCAGGTTAAAGTAACACATAGCAGACTTAGAGTTTGAAGTGTTTGATAGAATATAGAAGGTTTATTTAGAATAGTTTCAGTTGAGGGACAATTTATGTGTGATTTAACACTTAAGGTATTGCAATATTTTATGTCCAAATTGCTTTCGCTTTCAAGTGATACATATATAAACAAGAAAAATTGTAATTTTAATTTCCTTCTCACTCTATTTCTCTCTAGCACTATCTTACCTTTCACATGCAGAGAGAATAGCAGATCAATTCTGGGTGAAATGTACTTTTTTTACAACCTTGAATTCTTGTGAGACATTTTGGTCATGATTCTTCATCAAAATTCATGACACTGTAACCCAAATTGATCTGTTAAATTGCAAGAGAATTATCTTATTAAAAAGAACAAGAAAAAAAGACACGAGAAACGAGAGAAATTTGGCGAAGAGCAGTTCAAAATTAATTTATTTCCGATTATCTCTCTTTTTTAAATCGTCTCTGCCACCTTCACCATTCAACCCATAAATACATCAACTTATCTTCGTTGTGTTACGTTTCACGTCAAGGCTCTATCTTGTCAGGTAAACGGCCAGAAAGGACATGAGATGTGATGTTTTGTTGAGAAAGACTTTTTGTGATGACAAAGAAGAGACAAAAAAATCTCTCTATCTTTCACATGTGATGAAGAGATAGATGGATGAATATTTGTTATTTGTACAAAAGTTGCACAAGACGATTTATGGTTTATTTATTCTTGGATGAAGATTTTGTCGAAAAAACACAAATTGATGAAAAAAAAAGATATTTCTATCTTGAACGAGACTGAGTAATATTTAAATAGAGGCTTGACTTTGATCAACAGTTGAAATTGGCAAAAGTTTTTGGATATCTATTTTATATTTTTTTTATGGCCTGTTATTGTTCCGCAATTTATCTTTGTTACATACAATTATCTTTCTTTTAGTTAATGTTACAGTGAAAGAAAGGAAACATCATTAGTTCTGTTGCGCGCATGCATTTTATCTCTTTCTATCTGTAATTAGTTGTTAATTAATGTGATAAGTAATCTGTGGTGGGTTTTGTGGTAATATTTTGCAAAATTTGTGTGTATGCGTAATTATTAAATTTTCCAATTCTCTGAGGAAAATTAGCTTTTCCCCCCATGAAACAATGCCAGCTCTCAAGTTGTGTGTATGTTGCAAAATGTGGCCACAAACAAGTTGTGTATTTATCACATTTTCTCTCTTTCCTCCTGTTTCATGTTTTTTTTTCATGCATCCCACCATCATAATTGCCTTAAAATTCAATTAACGTTCCCTTTGATTTCCTCTTGTCGATGTTTCGTGGATGGATTGAAAAGTGTGATTTATTTATGGAAAATTGATTCGTCAATATAAATGGACAGAACCATAGAGAAGACTGAAAGGGTGTTAGACGTTCATTAGGCGTAATAATTGTATTAGTTCTTTTACATATTCTCTCTAGATGTGGGTAAAAATGATTAACAAAGAGTAGTTTAATCGTTTATTCTCTTCTATATATTTGTAAATTTGTTGTTAGATAACATTTCTTTCCATTTAGATTTTCATTGTAATTCGTTTTGGGTAGATTTTTCCCCTAAGAAAAGTAAAAAAAAAAAAGATGAGGAAAAAATAGAGAAGGATTCTCATGTGAATAATAGAATTCCTCAACTATAACCATTCTTTATGATAGCAAAACTATAAATATGTGATGAGATATTAATGTAATTAATTCTTAATCCTTCTGTTTCCCACCCACTCACACACAATATTCGGAATGCAGCTCGACCGACCTTCCTTAATCTCAATCTGAATCTAAATTCATTGAGGTTGCAGCAGCCGACAAAACGTAATTCACAGTTTCTCTCCTAGAGTTTTATCTCTTTCAGTTCCATCTCATTTTCATTTATTGCCGACAAAATGTGTGTTTTCCAGCTGAATTTATTCGTTTTATTGGAGATCATTTGCTTGGTTTGTCTTGCAGCATCGCCAGCCAATAGTAAACTGGGTGGTTTCCGCATGACGACCCTTCATGAGGAACCACTGGGTCAGAAGGCGCTTTTGGAGGAGCCAGAAGACAGCTACAGTGATCCAGAGTATGGAGATTATGAGTCTTATGAGGTGAAGACGTCGCAGAAGGTCAAAACCATGTCTCGAATGACGGGCTCTCGCACGATGGACTCTCTCATGGACATTGGCAGCTCGTCTGGCCATCTGATGAACTTCACCAGCACCTCCACATCGTCCAACTCCTCCACCACGTCCTCCAACTCGTCAGGATCTGGCGCCGCTGCGGGCGCGACAGCGCTGAAGAGCGCCGCAGGCGTTGGCACGCCGAGCATGAGCTCGTCAGCATCGAGTGGCTACGGATCTCAGGCGGTTTCCCTGGGGAATCTCACGAGCGATGACGCTCTGTCGCTGCGCTCGATGAGTGTTGACGAGACTCCGGATCTGGACAGATCCTCCTCAGCGTCGCCGCCGACGAGAGGCAGCGCCAAGACGGATGTGACAACGCCCTACACGCCCAGCGGGGGACAGAAGCGCGTCAATCCCTTCCTGAAAGACATGGTCGTTGTGGAGCCAACCGAACGGAAACCCCTGACGCCAACCAGAGAGCATCCGCTGCAAGATCTCGCCGAGGAGGGCAAGAATTCCGACGAGGAGGACGACGAAGACTATCCAAACAAGGTGGACATAAATGAGAATCGCTCGACAAAGGCGATTTCCCGTGAGGATGACTCGGGATCTGATGGCAGTGGCAAGAGAAGCAACGGCCAAGTGGTGAAGCGGAAGAAGAGTCAGAACACAGTGCAAAACAACTCAAATAGAGCATCATCAGAGACAGATTCATCTGATAAGATGGAAGGTAATGTGTGTGTATTCAATCTTTTCACCGCATGTTCTCTTTCCGAACCATTGAATCGCGCCTTGAGTGGGTAGCAAAAGAGTCAATTCACTCGGAAGAGTTCACATTTCACTTGCGTCTCAAATGTGATTCATCAATGGTTGATAAATAATAAGCTGAGTGAAGCTGATTTTCGCGAAGTTTTGCGATAAATGTGTAATCATTCCACTTGTGATTTGATTATGAAGTTTGATTGATAAGATTCTATTAAATACTTCCTGATATTAAGCTTGATTTCTAAATTGCTTTACAATCGCAAAATTTCACTTTATTGCGTGTAATTCGTAATTTGTTATCACTTGAGGTGGCAGAAATATGATTTTCCACTTGACTGTGATTCAATTAATGTGCTTTCTTCGCCTTTTGCACGCCTACAGACGAGTCGCAAGGCAAGGCGGCTGATGGAAATGTTCCAGATTGGGTTGTCGTGGGCGAGAGCGTCCTTATTCGTCCCTACAACACCAGCGGAGTTATTAGTTTCGTCGGTGGCACTCATTTCCAGGTGAGTTGATGGCTTGTGCCTCTTGTTTTGGGTTGAGTTTGACCTTTTGGGGTGGCTTTTGCAGGGCGGCACGTGGGTTGGCGTAGAGTTGGACACGCCGACAGGAAAGAATGACGGCACTGTTCAGGGCATCACTTACTTCACGTGCAAACCGAAGCACGGCATTTTCGTGCGAGCTGACAAGTTGATTTTGGACAAGAGAGGACGCGCCATGAGAACGTACAAAGCCGAAAAGCTCAAGGGTGAGGCAATTGGAATTTTGGATGGTTTTGGTGGTGAAATTGAGGGCTAATCGATTGGTTTTTGCTCCACTTTGCAGGGGAAGAGAAGGCGAAGGGCCGCTCGGACGTGGCCAGCGTCGTGACGGGGCGCAAATGATTGTTCCACAAGTGTTCGCACCAGGACAGCCGTGGGACTCCGCCCCGCGTCGTCCGGGTGGCGAGCAGAAGTGCGAGTGCGCCGAGGAGATTTCAGAACTACTGAACAGGAAAAAATCCACACTCTAGCGCGAAAAGTCAGTGTTTAACTGCTTGTTGTCTTTTCTCCGTTACAAGAAAAAAAGTATCACACAAATTTATTTTTACAATCGTGACAGTATCTTATGTTTAGTGCATATCTTGTTGGGAAGTTTGTATTATGAATTATTTCACATTGTCTTTTATGTGTACGGAAAAGAAACATCGAATTGATGGATGTTTTGTCTTCTGTGAAAGTGGTTAAATATGTAACTGAGGTGCAATATTAGTATTCTGTTTTGGGTTTTTATATATATCTAAACAAAAAAAAAAGAATTGTCAGTATTTTTTCCCCTTTTTGCAAAATAATGATAAATTGAGAAAGAAAGCATTCCATTTCACATGCACTTTTAGCACTTTAGATGATGAAGAAGAGAAAGAAAAAAGAGAGCAAAGAAGTCATTGAGAGAAGAGAGCATATTGATATCCTTTTAGATGAAGATAAATGAAATCTACTTACAAATCTCTAAGAAAATGATGAAAAATGTCTATTATAACGTATTCTATACTTCAAAAATGTTAGCAAGATTTTTCATTTGAATTTCCGCTTCTAAATGTGTGGGAAGAAAATCTTTTAATCATAGTGTGTAAAGACATTTTCAATGATGAAAAACCTCATAAGCAATTTTTACTGCTCATTCTTTAGAGAGGCGAGAAAGCGAGGCGGGAAGATAAGGAAGAAAACATTTAACAATAGATCCTGCAAATGAAATAAAAAACAAAGAGAATTGTCCAAAAAAGTAATAGTGAGGAAGAAAAGACAAAATAAGTGTGCCAATTACCAAAATATCCACGAGAAATATCATCAAATTGAGTGAATTTAGCAGAAGATGATTAATGAAAGACATTACATAAGAAAAACGTCCCTTTTCACCAGAAAAAAATGCAAGTAAATGAATTTTACACTCTTTAAATAAGGCGTCTCCATCCATGAATAAAAGATGAAATCATTAATTTTTACAAAGAATAAAGAAATTGAATAAAGAAGAATAAAATCTTGATATATCAAACTTTGTCCAACAATTTTACCACATAATATATTTTATTGATGAATTTGCAAAAAAAAAACTTGAGAAAGCATAAAGAACTACAAATTGTGTGTACATAAGAAAAATGAATTTCAACATGAATTTTATCCATCCGTCATTGGAATTTTTCTCTTTCAAGTGGTGAATATTGACAAAAGAATAAAAATACAATTCAAATCGTCCAGGAAAATTAAATTTTTTCAACTTTTTGGCTAATATTTTAGAGAGAGAGAGAAAATGGCAAAATTCGCAACACGAGTATTTTTTAGTTGAATTTGACATAAAAATTTAGTGAAAAAACGTGCACAAGAATTGCCCAAAAATGATAAAGTATATTAAAAGTAAAAAAAAATATTGCTTACAACTTCTCTTAAGAAGCATTAACCTAATGAATTAAAGTACATATGTTAGAGCTCTTTCTTCAATTGTAAGTGTAAATAAATGATAGATTGACAGAATAATGAAGAAACCATGTGAGAAGATCCCAAATAGAAATTATATTCATATGAAGCAAGGGAGGAACTTTAGAAATTTCTGCAAAGTAGGAATTAGTAGATTGAATAAACCAGTAATAAAACTTAGCGAGAAAACGTAGATTGGCAGCGAAAGTAGAGCGGCAAGAAGTAGAACAGGAATAACTTGTAGGTGTTTATTAATTTATGCTACATTTTAAGCTGGAAATCACACTGAATTTTACAATTCACTTTAAGTTTTGATCGTGATATCGTGAGAAGTTGATTTGTGCGGGACTCGGAAAAGGAGAAGATTTATATTTACTATTTTTTAGTTGAAAATATTGCATTGAATCATTGTGTTATTAGTTAGTGTTTTATTTAAAGAACGTTCTTAAAAAAAAACATTTGCCATATTATGAAAGATGAAGAAAGTGAGGAAAAAGAAGAGACAGAAAGAGCATATTTTGATGATGGAATAAAAGAAAAGAAAAGCTATTTGCTATTTTGCGCCCAAAATGATAAGAAGGTTAAAGTAAAGCAACTTATAATTTTATAAATAAATTATGAAGAAGAAAATGATTAGCGAAGAATGTGGAAATAATATTTAGGCAATGTGAGGTGAAAAAGCTAATAAAAAAATATATTGTCATAAAGAGAAGAGGAAAACCTTAAAAACTAATAACATATGAATAGCAGTCATGTTCATTCCAAAATTGTATGTTTAAAGGAATAAATTTCAGAAAAGTCTCAATCATTCTTTGACATATCAAACATTGTATTGGCTTATCGGCGTTTTTAGGAATGTCATGAGCATTATCTACAATCCAATTCACTCCTCTTTTCAGGTTCATCAATTTCACCCGCCATCAATCACCATCGAGGGTGATTTTTCTGCTCCACAAAAGCTTTATCAACGCAACAAGTGTTGTTGAGTGCGTAAGTGAAGTGTTGGCGAGAAAGATGTCCCATTAATTGTCTTTTTTTAAACAACTGTTGCTTCCGAAGATAAAGAGCTTTTGGGCACACAAGAAGAGTGAGTTTTACGACAGCTTTATCTGATTATTAAGTAAAAATCTGCTCTAGTCTCTAATTTACTTACACACTGTTCATGCTACACTGCTAAAAGTGCCAAAATAGTATAAGATTAAGTACTTCAATTAGGTAAATGGTTACCAGAAGTCTCCATGACATTCACGCACACCTTTCTATCTCCTTGTGCACTGTCCACACTTGTCTCATTTAAAGCTGCAATTATCGCATTGAGCAGAGGAAAAATTCCTCTTCCGCAGAATCCCTTGAAATCATCAGTCTCAATGCTATTTAGCAATAAACCGCCCAGTTTGAAGCTCTTCACGAATCTCGCCTTGATTCTGAGGCTTTCCTCATTGTCGTATCCAATCCACTGATCTTCCCTCGTGGAAAACGGCACTTTCTGCTCTTCGTCCCAGAAATCCTGCCAATTCTCAGTCAAGCGCTTTTCGCAGAGTTCATTGAAGCCCAAAATCCCAGAGTCATTCGTGTAAGGACCAGGATTGGAAGGGCCTGAGTGAGGAGATCCTGGAACATTTCCATCCGCCAGCATCTTAAATCCTCTCCCATAAGCAGCAACTCCAACGATGAGCTGCTGAGAAGGCGTTCCTCTCTCCAGCCAGTAGAAAACGCCTGCGTTAATGTTCTGAAGCAACTCCTGATTCTCTTCCCATGCTTTGGCGTAAAGTGGAGAGTTGTTGCCGATCTTTTCACCCCAAAATCCATGCATATCGAAGGTCTTTAATATGACAAAGTCCAGATACTTGCTTAACCGGGGAATTTTGTAGGCGGACTCTGCTGTATATTGCTCCGGAGCGACCAAAGCCGCCAAGATGTAGTGCTTTGGATGCAGAGCATGAGCTAAATCTCTCACGAGCAGCGTAAAGGCTTCTCTGTCCGTGGGTCTGCTGCCCTCTCGGTGGCCAGGATGCTGCCAATCCAAGTACATTCCGTCGAAATTGTACCTCTGCAGAAAGTGCAGGGAATTCTTCACGAATCTCTTCCTCAAATTCGCATTGTCTGCAATGTCTGAGAATGCCTTTGAGCCCTCGAACCATCCACCGATTGCCGCCAAGATCTTCAGCTCGGAATTGACTTCCTTCAATTTGATGAGCTTATTTATGTTTCCCAAGCCATAATTCTCCTCCAGATCCAGCCAAACGTCTCTCGAGAATATGTTGGCTTCGGAATCGATGCCAAAGAAGGTGTAGATTAAGTGAGTACAGAGAAATGGGTCAATTTGAGCTACGCCAAAGTGTCCATCACCCTTTCGATAGTGCGCCCACTTGCCATGAATGCAGAAGATATTCGCTGCAATAAATGTGGGAAAATACTGCTGAAATATGCTGGCAAATTGCCTATCGAACTATTCTTACACTCAGCTTCCGTGAAAACCAAAATTGTAAGGAAACAAGCAAATAAGATGAAGAACGTCTTCATTATTCACTTTAATGCTATTGCTTAGAACGGAGAAGTCAGACTGAAGATGGTGTATTCCGGAATATTTTGAAGACATCAAAAGTACGAATATTATCAAAAGGTTAAGTATTATCAGTAATATGCAATGTTGTGTGTTTTTATTCCCACAGGGGCAGCTAATTGTAGTGTCTAATTAAATGTTTTGTATACAATGCTCTCAATGTGTTATTTTCTTCTTCAGTCCCACAATTGCTTCACTCTTGTGGGCAAAATTTCCTCCGTCTTTGAAACTCCTTTGGGCTTTTCTCCTTAAAAGCCTCGTTAATCGCCTTGAGAAGCGGAAAAGTTCCTCTTCCACAGAATCCCTTGAAATCATCAGTCTCGATATTGCTGACCATCAAACCTCCAAGTTTGAAGCTCTTCACGAATCTCGCCTTGATTCTGAGGCTTTCCTCATTGTCGTATCCAATCCACTGATCTTCCCTCGTGGAAAACGGCACTTTCTGCTCTTCGTCCCAGAAATCCTGCCAATTCTCAGTCAAGCGCTTCTCACAGAGTTCATTGAAGCCCAGAAAGCCAGGATCGTTGCTGTGAATTCCTGCTGTCGAAGGGCCAGAGTGAGGAGATCCTGGTATATTTCTCCCTTCCGTGGACATCTGAAATCCCCTCCCATAAGTCGGAACCCCGAAGATGAGCTTCTCAGAAGGCGTTCCTCTCTTAAGATAGTGAAAAACCGCGCTTTGAATGTTCATGAAGCGCTCCATGTTCACTTCCCATGTTTTTGGGTAAAGCGGGGAATTGTGCCCAATTGTAGGTGCCCAAGATCCGTGCATATCAATTGTCTTCAGCATGACAAAGTCCACATACTTGCTCATTTGCGGAATATCGTAAGATGTTTCAGCAGAATTTGGCAGTGGATCGACAACGGCTGTTAAAATAAGATTTTTCTCATGCAAAGCTTTGGCCAGAGATTTCACGAGATGAGTAAATGCATTTCTATCTGAGGATCTGCTGCCTTCTCGCTGGCCAGGATACTCCCAATCCAGTGTCAATCCGTCAAAATTGTACTTCTGCAGAAAATCCAGACAATTCTTCACGAATCTCAACACTTTAGTACCATCATTGGCCACTGAGGAAAATGTCTGAGTGCCTTCATTCCAGCCGCCAATGTCCATCAAGATCTTCAGTTTGGGATTGACTTTCTTCAACGCTTCTAGCTTCCTCAAGTTCCCAAATCCGTAATTCTCCTCCAAGTCCAACCACAGATCTCTAATCACGATATTGGCTTCAGAATCAATGCCGAAGTAAGTGTAAACCAAGTGAGTGCAGAGAAAAGGATCAATCTCAGTTATGCCAAAGTGTCCATTTCCCTTGCGAAAGTGCGCCCACTTGCCGTGAAAGCAGAAGACATTCTCTAGAAAAATGTCTCGTTAGCAATAAATTCAGTAGGTTTTTGCTAAAGATCTCACTTTCTGCTTCCGGACGAGCGATAATGATCACAAAATTGATACAAAGAATCAAAGGAAAGAGTATTTCCATGACTTCACCGTGCACGAGACGAAACTTGAGACTGATTGTAAAAATTCAGAGTCTTTTTTGATGAGCAGAAGTGCGAGAATTCTTATCATGAGGTCGTGAATTTATCAGTTCACGAGCCTTCCGAGTTATTGAAATAATTGAGAGGGTTTTTTCTATTTTATTCCTATTCTCTTTTCAAACTACAATCAACCAGCGATGGCCAATTGCAGATGTTATTGACTGTATCGAAGACTAAACCTTCAGGACAGATGAATTGGTAAATATTTCCTCCTTCGCAAATATAGAAGACGTTGCACTGGTCAGGATCTCTTGAGAAGCCATCCTGAAGGCACTCTTGAGGCTTCTGCGTTGTCACTGAAGGCACCGGAGTCGTTTCGACTGGAGGAAACTGGAAAGTGAGTTCAGCAAAAACAATTAGTCACTTGAAACTATCTTTTACACGAGCAAGTTGCATGCAATTAGCAAAAGCGGTTATTTCGCAATTTAAAAAATACCACTTCACTTAACTTTCCTGCGGTTTTTGGTAAGCTTTATCACACTAGTGTTTTTAATCGCAAGAGTTGAATGAACTCTTTATTGAGATTCGGTATGGCTTACAATTCATTCTCACTGTTGTACGCGTCGGAAAGCATTTTCACATACTCTCCGTACAATTCACTGAAACTCTCAGAGAAAAACTTCTGCTTCAGCAGATTAAATTCAACAAATTTCTGATACTTTGGCTGAATAATCTTGAGGAAGAAATCATGAATGAACTTTTTCAGCATAGTGTTCTTCTGCCTCTCGGCGAGGAAGAGCATCTTGAAGTCTTCTGTGTCATTCTGGGTGTCAGTCTGAATGCCTTTCGGGATACTCACATTCGTTCCCAAGAGAGCGGAGTTGATCTCCTTGAGTAGCGGAAAGGCTCCTCTGCCGCAAAATCCCTTGAAGTCGTCAGTCTCGATGGACCACATCATCATGCCGCCAAGATTGTGACTCTGCACGTAATTCGCCTTGAATCTCAAACTCTTCTCGTCATCGTAGCCAATCCACTGGCTTCCCTTCGTCACGTACGGCACGAATTGCTGCTCATCCCAGTGATCTTCCCACTTTTGGCTCTGCCGAGTCTCGCACAGCTCATTGAAGCCCAGCATTCCGGGCGTCCTCGTGTGCGGCCCAGGATCAGAAGGGCCAGCATGAGGAGATCCCGGAGCACTCTGGCCGTTGATCATGCGAAATCCACGACCATAAGAAGGCACTCCGAGCAGAATCTTCTCACGAGGAGCGCCACTCTGTAGCCAATAACTGATGGCTGCGTCCACATTAAGTTGCCTCTCCCGCGCGGTCTCATCCCACGATCCTGCATAGAGTGGAGCATTGTTTCCGATCTTCTGGTCCCAGGAACCATGAAGATCATATGTCATAATCCCAATGTAGTCTAAATACCTGAAATTTGATGATGTTTATGCATTTCAAGTGTACCATGACTCTATCTCCCACTTGTTATTATTGATAAGAATTGAGACTTGTGTTGAGAGATACTACTTACTACTATACCTACTTACTTCCCAACTTCCGCAATGTCATAAGAGATTTCGGCTGAAAACTCCGCCGACGCTGTTGCAGCAGATAAAATGAACCCCTTGGCGTGCAGTGCTTCAGAGAGATCTTTTAAAAACAACGTGAAGGCCTTCTTATCAGTCGATGGATTGCCTCCGCGCTGTCCTGGATACTCCCAATCCATGTCCAGTCCGTCAAAGTGGAACTTCTCCAGGAACTCCACGGCGCTTTTCGCGAACCTCTTCCTTTTGGCCTCACTGTTGGCCACTTGGGAAAACGTCGTGCTTCCTTCATTCCATCCGCCAACAGCGGCGATTGTCTTCAGCTTGGGATTAAGTTTCTTCAGCTCGTTGAACTTCTTTATGTTCCCCAGGCCGTAGTTGTCTTCGAGGTCCAGCCAGGGATCGAGGATCCGAATGGCGCCCTCAGGAGCAATCCCGAAGAAGGCGTACACCAAGTGCGTGCAGAGAAAGGGATCGATTTGCGCCACACCGAACTTCCCATTTCCCTGGCGATAGTACGACCAAGTGCCGTGATAGCACACGATTTTCTCTGAGAAACGGAAAAGGAATCACTGAAAGAATCCTTTCGGTTGGGATCACTGTGAAACTCACGTTGTGCCCCAGAAAAGCTCACAAACGCCACCACAATTGCACTCAATAGTAGAATTCTCATTGTTGAGCTCTCGAGAAATTGATACTGATTCTCAACCGACTGACGCGCGGGCCTTTTATAGTCTCGCTGAAAGTTTATATAGAAAGAGGGAAATGGCTTATCAAACTGCCAGCTTTAATGTCAATATTAGTTGATACTTAAGAGAAAACTACAAAGACGCGACAATATCGGAAGGCATTTTTCATCGAATCTCTTTATGTCACTGCCAGGAATTTGGATAGGAAGTCATGTGAACGCTCTATGAATAACTCTTGACTATAAATTTAACTTCGGCACACCGCATCACTGCAGAATGATAAGGAGATTGACGTCTTTTATCATTCAATGCCAAGCAAATGACTGTTTTATCACACTTTTGTTTTGAGAACGCATGCACAGAAAATCGCACTGAACACAGTAGTTGCGTGAGACTCTCTTTTCATTGCTAAACCCCTTTTATTACCGACACCGCAAAATGTACAATGGAATTAGTATTCATATCCTGCGTATTGCTTCAAATGGAGATCCTTTTGGTTGTAGGTTTCCTGGAATTTCTTTGCCATCTCTGCAGCAGTCAAAGTCTGGTCGGCAGTCTTAACGAGAGTCTCGGTCTCGACACCAGTGGAGAACACTACAGAGTGTCCTTTCGCTCCAAGAGCGCCATAATCCACAGGAGTCTCTTCAACGGCTTTTTCTTCCATGGGTGCATGAACGTTCAGAAGATCGTATAAATACTTGGGATCCACATCGTAGTAAGGATCGACGTGAGAAGCTATAGGACTGACATAGTCAACAAGCAGTTCTGCAACATAAAAACCAGAATAAGATTCTAATCACTTAATCTCCCTTTATGGTATCCTTACTGTGGTCAACCGCAGGAAAAGCCCTCGCGCCTTCCTGGCAAAGGAAGACGAGGGCGAGGAACAGCAAGAAACTTGGTCTCATTGCGATGGATTTCAGAGTGGAACTGCATGGAAACTCCCCAGCGGAGGAGCGTGGCAATGGACAGTCGTGATGAGTGATATTGTTAAGTAATTAATCTAAAAATACTTTGGCACGATTCACGCTGTTTCCAAGTTCTACTTTCCGATAGAGATTCTCCTGGAAATCGTCGAAACGTCATCTGTGACCTGCTTCAGCAATCCCTTCCGTTCTCTTCTGCCGGAAATCACTTTGCCGTCTTTGTGATCAGAATTGTGTGAAACATTGTGAACTTCAACAGATCCTTTTCTCTTTTGTCTCATCGGACTTGCCTTTGGCTTCTTCACAGTATTCGTTTGCGGCTGTGTTTTCTTCGTTATCTGCTCATCTTCTGCGTTCACCACACTGCTAACTGATCCGTAGTCATCTTCTGGCATTGTATCGTTGCTTACGTCCTCCTTTGAGAACCCGTAATCTTCAATGCTTGGTCCTTCACTCAAATTATACGTGTCGTCCTCCTGCTTTGCATGGTTGCTTGTGATCTCAGTGGTTGCGTCTTCACCTAGTTCCGTTGCTTTCTGCGTCTCTTCTTCATAGATATTGATTCTGTCCACAATATAATCGCTCCTTTCACTGTCTTCTTCCGTTGTAATTGTTGTTTGATCAACTCTTTCTGTTGTTGTCTGCTCAATGCGTTCCGTTGTTGAGATAAGCATATCTGTCGATGTTTCCTCTGAATCCTTTAGACTGTTTTCAATCGTTGTACTTTCTGCTTCGTCGTAATTCATTCTAGGCATAATATCATCTCTATTATATACGATTGTTGATGATTCTTCCTCAATTGTACTATCAGGAATTGATTCAGTTGTCACATCACTTGTTACTTCAGCCGTCGACTGATTTTCATAATTTTCTTCAACTGTTTCTTCGTCGTATTCCGAATTATCATGGTAATAATGATAACGAGGCTTTATAGTCGTTGTTTGCATGTCATTATAATTTGCACCATCGACGTCCGTTTGCAGTTTGTATTCAGTTGTACTTTGATCCTCTTCCGTTGTCGTTTCCTTCTCACTTGTTTCCGTTGTCTCTGTTGTGTCATATATGCCAATTCTATCTGTAATATAGCTAGATTCTTCTTCAGATTCTCTTTTTGTAGTTTGCTCACTAACTTGTGTCGTCATTTCCGTTCCTTCAGTTGAAGCTTCATGTTCTGCAGTCGTAGTTTCCTGAGGCAATTCAGTTACTTGTTCTTCATGATTTATTCGAGACTCAATATTTTCTTCACCGCTTTGATAATATTCCTCGTGATTTGATATTGTTGATGTTCCTGGTGCTTCTTCATCAGGTTCTTCAGGAATTAAAGTTGTAGTTTCAACATCATATAATTTCTCTTCGGTATCATCAACTATTTCCACTGATTCGTCAACATTTACATCATCAGGAGACTTCATAGTCACAATTTCTGTCGATGTGCTTTGTTTCAATTCTTCATCGGCTTCAGTGTGACTTCCATAAAAATTACCATTGATTTCCGAATGAGTTTCAGTTTCAGCTTTTGTTGAATCCATTGAATCCTTCACTTCTTTCAAAGATTCTGTACCTCCTCCAAATCTCTCAGAAAATTTAAAAACTTTCTTGTTAACTGCACTTTCTTCTGAAGGTACATGAAAGATCTCAGAATATGCTGGACTCTCAGAAAATTCTTCAGGAGTGGTAAAAACTACTTTCGGCGTTTTTTCATAGTCAATTGTGATCTCCATCGAGTCTGCAGCCGCTTCGGCTTCGTCCTCACTCAAGAGGGAATCAACATCATATTCTGGTGATGTTGGATTAAATCTCTCCACCACTGGAGCTGTTCTCATGGGGTTTTCTTGAGAGTTTCCAGGCCAGACTGTGTTTTCCCGCGGCAGAAACTCACCGAAGATATTGGATCTTCTGCATCCTGACCAGCGTCTGTAGTTTTGCATCTGATAGAAGAAATCTCGCAACTTGAAGTATTGATCTTTCTGCAGACTCTGTGGTCGATGGATGTTCAGCAGTTTCTGCCTCAGCAAAGGAAAGCAAATGCGATCAATGATTTTGTCCGGAAGCTGCCAAATTTTGTGGAAATTCAGCTCCTCATGCGAGTAGAGGATAATGTCCGGTGGATAGATACCATTGAGGGCGAAGTAGCAGCATGCTTCCTCTGGAAAGGAATACAGATCGTTAAGCATTAACATACACAATCACTTTGAGTGTTTATCACGCTGAAATCGTGCTGAACATGAGTTGCAAGTGTGAAATTCTAACAGTTGTGATTCCACGTCACTGATTCCTACTCACTCCTTCTCGAGAGCCTTAATCCCAACTGCCTGGACTCCTGAATCAGGAAGATCACCGAGCACCACAAAACAATCCACACCTTATTCATGATCTCTCAACTGGTCATCACTTTCTGAGGCGATTCACTCACTAAATAGTCTATTTAAGGCGCGAATGGCACAAAGAGGCGAAAAGATGAGCAAAGAATTCTACCTTTGAGCACGAACTCACGAAATATCCAACACGTGACTTGAGAGCGTTCAATTTGGCGCGAATCAGCACAATTCATCGTCTTTTCTGTCTTCCATTGACCAGAAGATTAGAATCGCTCTCGCGACTTCCTGGACTTCACAGACACAGAGAGAATGCATTTAGCAGTGTCTCATTTCTTCGGGGAAGGAAAAAGTGAGGTGTAAAAATCAATTCCACTAGAAATTTATTGCTTGACGACAATTTTCATACATTGGATTGCAGAAATGCTTGCGATGGCCTCTCATAAGTGGTTTACGGTTGATACTCTCCTTGTAATTATTCCTTGTGCCGTAGGAAGATCCTAAATGGTATTTATTCTTGTACCGCATCTTCTTGGGCAGCTTCTTCTTCACCTCCTTGTGCTTCTGTGGCTTTTCTTGCAGTAAAGTAGTCGGTTTCTTGATACTTTCCTTGGACTGGACGAACAATTCAGCATCGATGGGAATCGAGAGCATCAGCGGAACTTCCAGGAGAAAGGGATGTGCCACAGGATCACCCTTGGTCCAGACAAGCTCACCAAGATCCGCTCTGCTAGAGTTGCCATCGTCGTAAATGTAGCAAATGTTGAATTCCGCACAGATTTCCACATAAACTTCTGTGGAATTGCACTCTCGAGAGCACTTTTCCTCAGCTGCACAAAGACTGCCTGCAAAAAGCACGATGAGGAATGCGAAAAAGTAGCTGATCGTTGGCATTTCTCGCTCAAGACTGATAAGACAACACCTCAAGCAACACCTGCAATCGTGCAGTGCAACAGAACGCCTTAATTGCCACCTCACGAGCGCCCATCAGTCCTTGTACACCACGTAAACCGTAGCCAACACGTAGAACTGGGCGTTCTCGTACTTGAAGTTGGCGAAATAGTCCATTATCGGGTCCATGAAGAGCTTCATTTTGTAGTCGATGGACTGAAGGAACTTCTCGATGATCGTCACGAGACACACCACGCGATAGCGCCTAAGATTCAGCATCTTCACGCGCGTCCGGATGTCCTTGGACAGCGCCTGGCACATCAGCTTCGCCCGGATGGGATCGTAGTCCTTGTTGTCCTCGTCCTCGGCCATCTTGCGCGCAATCGCCTCCTGAATCACGCCGCAAATCTTCTCAATCTTGATCTGCGGCGTCAGATAAAGACGCAGGCGACCCTGCTCCTCGGCCTCCTGGTCCAGCAGCGATTCCTGGTGTCTGTTGAAGCGCGCGCGACGCTGGCGCGAAGCCAGGCCCGCGGAGTCACTCATCAAGGCATTGAGACGGTTCGTGGACTTTGCCAGCTGAAGAGTTCTGCAAGAAAGTCGTTAGGCATTGATTTTCTGAGCGTGCAGCTGTGGTGGAATTCGTGGGGTGCACAATGGGGCGGAGTATTGATCTTCGAGAACGATAAATCACATTTCTTCTGGGCAGCTTTTAACCCTTGTTTGCAAACGAAAAATACGAACGAAAGCTCGTTAAATAAAACACATTTTAGTGCTTCATGGAAGAATAATATTAACAATTTTTGAAAAAACGATTTCTCTAGAATTTTAGATTATAAATCGTTTAAAATAATTTGGTGATTTATTCAAAACTTTGAAGCTCTGCCTTTTTCAATTCTACGATCCATTCGAACATCCACCAAAAATCCCTTTATTCAATTCCTAAACTCTCCCTTAAGTAGTTGCAAACTCTACATAAACACAATTAGCCGTCAAATTAGAATAACAGCATGAACTTACCGACTCCTCCATCCTTTGGCTGCCATCGTGTTGGAGGCGTTGGACGCGTTGGAAGAGCGCTCCTCCTGCTCAACACTGGCAGTGTGCTCAGACGAAGGTTCCACCTGAGACTGCATTTCATGTGGCGAATTGGGTGCTAAATTCCCTTCGGCGGTGTGACTTGTGTGTCTGTGGGTGACCTTTTCTGCTTCCAGCCCCCCGCCGCCGCCCCGACGCTCGAGAATGAGCCACTTGAGGTGTTTTTCTTCGACCCAAAACACCCCGATATATTTTACTGCCAACCTTCACCACTTCGCGCCACTCTTTAACGTAACTTTCGCCCCCACAAAGGATCGCAAGTCAATCATGCACACAAGCTCCGGCAACTCTATTAGATATAGCGCCGATATGGGCCGCAACTTCTTCGCCAGAGGGTGGCTCGCAAGGCGGAAGCCACAGCTTTTGCCGCTGATTTTATTTTCCCAACGCTCTGTGCGATTGTGCTCTGACTTCCTCCTTAATTCCTTGTCAGCCAGCGCGAGAATGTAATTTAAATAAAAATCTCCGTGTCTGTCTTAAACATCCGCTCTCGAATTACCCTGCAGAGGACTTTGCATGCTAAATGATAGTTCAATATTCCCACACTTTATTTATGCCCTTCCCCACCCAAGAAGACGCCCGTCCTCCTGAGAAATGTATTGAATTCTCTGGATATTTACGTGCATAGAAATTCGAGCCAAATTCGCGTATCACGGCAATAAAGAAGGGGTCTTTCATTGGAATTTGGCGCCAATTTCCCATTCGCAACTCCACCAGGAGGTGGAGGAGCTCTCCCACTCTCGGGCCTTTCATTCTCCAAGAAAAAGCCCGACCAAAAGAGAACCGCTTTCTCTCTTAAGCCTTCGAGAGAGTATCGAACAACAGTGTGAGTGGGCAAAAATCACTGAATGAGAAAGAATTTCGGATCCAGTCCCTTTCCGAAGGATTCGTGTCTATGATGAATTCCCCAAAAAGGCTATTAATTCAAATGAAAACAATTTAATGCCTCAACAATTGCCTTTCAATGTTTTCAATGGAGCGCCAAATTATTCTTTTTCATGTCACAACGTGAGATCATCACGACTTCCGCCCAAATGTCCGCGCGCTCTACTCGGCACGCGACTCTGCGCTGCTCACGCGAGGGAGAAGCCCGGACAGCCGAAGATGCGGGTCGATGGCTTTCCAGTGGTGGCGCGCGGGCTCACGGCCCAGGAATGAGGTCAAAAAGGCGCTGAATCACCTGCGGTGCAGCGCATTTTCCCACGTGCGGCCAAGACAACGCGGGAAAAAGCCGCGAAGCCACCAATTACCTGATCTCTGTGGCGGACGCCAAGGTTTAGCGCGATTGACTTGTTTTTGCATTGCAAAATTAACCAATTCCCGGAGAGCATTTTCACGACTAAACACAGCCATTGGCGTTTTTCTGTGGCCGCCCCACCGCGGCCGGATTAAAAGTCCATTGTCTCGCGGGACTTCGGCTCAGTTGAGTGCGGAGTGTTTAGCTGTGAAAATGGTCAGGATTGTGCCCTTCCTTCTCGCCATGGTGGCCTTCGTGGCTGTCGTGATTGACGGTCAGCAGGACTGTCGTCAGCCACCGCCTCTGAGGATTGTAAGGATGATTGCAGGCTGGGCTTCTAGAGCATCCGGCTTACTTTCTCTCTCTTTCGTCAGAATCCGCGCGAGTGTTGTCAGCAGCCAAAACTGATTAAGGACGCAATCTTCGCCGACTGCTTCCAGCGCTTCAGCTTGAAGAGCCGAAGCGCCAGGCACGGATCCGCCAGAGTGGTGCGCTCTCCGCGCAGAGGTCCTCCGCCCGGATTCCCGACAGCCTGTGTGGCCGAGTGCGTGTTCAACAACACCAATCTCTCAGTGGAAAATCCCGAGAGCATCTCAGAGCTCCTCGAGCAATCACCGACCGATATCCAGGACTGGGCGCCGATCTTCTCAGAGGGATTCGCCGCTTGCTCCAAGATTGTGCCAGAGAAGCTCCGCGAGAACGACGTAGACAAGCAAATTGCACGACAACTGGACGGTTGCAGTCCACTTCCGGGAGCCATCCTCACGTGCCTGCATTCGCACGTCTTCTCGCGATGCCCTCAGTCCGCCTGGAAGAACGGTGAGTCCCTAAAACTGAGTGTGCAGAGTGAACTCTAAGTCACTTCTCTCGCCATTCGCAGTGCCTGAGTGCGGCCAACTGAGAGACTTCTTCACGGCATGTCCGATCCCACCGTTTATCTAGCCACTTCTAGCCCATATCGTCATCAAAACGCCGCTGAGATCCTGCGCAAAACCCAGTGAAAATAGTCAGAAAAAGTATCAATTTTCCCAATGTATTCACACGCGTGGAAAAAAGGCAACAGGCCAAACAATAAACACAACTCTGTGGTTTTATTTCGTGCCTCTCGCCGCAAAAACCCTTAATTTTCCCAGCTACAATTACACTTCCGTCCACAATTCAATGGCCTTAATCAAATTATCCGCCACCACTTTGCCTCTTCGCACGAAAATCACATCCGCCGATTATATGCCGAAAAATTCAATTCCACGTTATTTAAGGCACTTTGAAATTGACACCGCAAATCATCTTCAGCGCGTCTCGCGATGGTGAAAGTACGTGAAGTGGCTGTGATTCTGTTCTCGTGCATTCTGGGAACTTTCGCGGACATTGTGGACTGCGAAGGACCACCGTCAATGCTCGCGAGCCCGGAAAACTGCTGTCAATTGCCGCAATTCTTCCCGGACGACGTCCTGAAGATGTGCTCAGACAACTACTCCAAAGTGGAATATCAGCCGCCAAGAAAGGCTCCAAGGGCGCCGCCTCTCCCAGCGCCGCTCCTCAAATCCATCACCGCGATCATCCCTCGAGGATGCGTGAGTAAATCATTGTTTTTACGATTCTGAGCTCCAGAGATTTACAGTTAGCACTACTAATGGCTAAATCGAATTGAGGAAAACCGAAAAAACACTCCAAAACCAATCAAAAACGAATAGAAAAACAATGTTTTTGATTATTTAGAATGAAAGAAATTTCATTTACGCTAAAATTTCGCTCTTTCTTGCTTGTAACAAATTTTTATCTGATTCTCACTAAAAACAACACGATAAGCAAACATTTTTTCTCAAATGAAAAATATTGAAATGTTCTTCAGCTGTAAGGAAAACGCAATTTGTGAAATTAACTACTCTTCAGGTAATTCAAGCGTGTATTTTCCATAAAGTATCACTGAATTACCAATTATCTTTTTATGCTACTCTGAGGTTTCTGATAGATGCACGTTTTCTTTGTACAGTTGTTAATTGCATAATTCATCATTGCTTATTCATATATTAAGAACAGAAGTGCAGTGAAAATGACTCACACAATTGATAAAAAGTTTGTAATAAACATCGGAAATTAGTTTTTCCTGGAACATCATTCAAACTTTCCAATCAAATTGAAGGATTAAAGGCGTTAAACCTGATTATTAATTATCTTTCAGTGCGTCTTTGAATGCGCCTTCAACGCCACTGGAATCAATCCCAGCGGCGGCCTGGACATGACGGACATCCCCAATTACTTCACGGGCATCGCGCAGAGCAACGCGGCCTGGCAAGACACCATGATTGACGCCCTTGAGTTCTGCGTGCGCGACACGCACAGCAAATTGCCCGGCTTCATGGCAATCGGCAACATGCCGCCGAACATCTCTGGCCAGAAGTACTGCAACCCAATGGCGGGATACCTCGTGGGCTGTCTGCACTCCTTCCTCTTCCAGCACTGCCCCGAGAGCCTGTGGCAGCAGTCTGCCGAGTGCCGCGAGCTGCGAACGTATCAGGAAAAGTGCCCTCTTCCTTTCGGCGTCAACGTGCAGTAAAATGAGTGAATAAATATTGCAGCGCAGAAGTTGTTCTTTTGAAAATCAACAAGTTGCGAGCAAAGTTCTCCCACTTAACAAGCACACGTCGAGACCCCCGTGCTAACAATGAGCATTCTGATTGAAATGTGTCCCAGAAACAAGTCTCTGGCATTTTATGTACACGCAGAACAATGTGATTTGTTCACATCCTACATTGAGGGAAAATCGCGCGGAGATCGCATTAATGCATCAGCGCGAAGAGAAGCGCGCGCTAGAGGTCAATGACGAGGGATCTCACAGCTGAGAGGCACAACACGAGATTCCTTAACATTCTCCCAAATATATTTCCTCTTCACTTTTACCATACTGCGGACGATTGCATTGAGGGATTCCGGTTGTGCTGATATGATCGGGAATGGAGGATTTGTTGTCTTGTATTTCTCTGCATTGAACTATTGGCGTTACCTTGTTGTGCTCTGTATCCCTTTGATTCTCTGCAACTCCCTGGCAAGTGTTCAGGCCGTGTGTCGCCTCAGATGCGAGCCCTCAGGCGCGAGGAGCGCTGCTTCAGGAATATACTGTCGATGTTCTGGAACACCTCGGAGGCCTTCTTGGCGGCGTCAACGCGATAATGCAGTCCGCGTAGGGCGTAGTAATCGACGAGGGGGCGGGTTTGCTTGTGATAGGCATCGAGACGCTTCTTCAGCGCCTCCACGTTGTCATCACTGCGCCGGATCAGCGGCTCTCCCGTCACCTGCCAAACAGATAACGCACATCTCTTCAGCACCTGAGACTCAAGAGAAGATTATCGTGCGCGCACTCACATCATCTTTCATGTGGGATTTCGGTGGATGAAACTCCTCATGATAAGAACGTCCGCTCGGCGGATGGATTAACCGTCCCGTGATCCGCCTCACGAGGAGACTGTCGTCAATGCCAAACTCCACGACTGCGTCCAGGCCGCTCTTGCGCTTCTCCAGCAACGTGTCCAGCTGCAAACGACAAACACATCACTCAAGCTTATCAATCAAAGTTGCACACTATCAAAGGTCACACCTTCTCGGCCTGAACGACCGTCCTGGGAAAGCCATCGAGCAGAAAGCCATTCCGACACTCTGGCTTGTCCAGATTGCTATCGATCATGTCCACTACGAGATCATCCGACACCAGCTTCCCCTCGTCCATCACTTTCTTCAGCTGCCCGCCCAGCTTGGAGCCCGAGGCGATCTCCGCCCGCAGCATGTCGCCCGTGGACAGGTGGCAGACGCAGAACTTCTCCTTCAGCAGCGGCGCCTGCAAAACATTACATAATCACCCCACTTTTCGCGCTCTGTCCGCGTGTGCCGTAACCGAGGTCGTTCACTCAAGGCCAGGCACCGGGAAATCAATGTTTTCTCTCCAGGAAATCCCTCTGGGACCCTCTCGGCCGCCCAGGAAGTGATTTCTTCGGCACTCTCTTTCTCTCCTGGGAAACTACAAACTCACCTGAGTGCCCTTGCCTGAGCCTGGAGGCCCCAGGAGGATGGCGTTGATGCCCGTGCTCTCCTCTTCATGCTTGAAAGCTGGCACAGCCTGCGGTGCCATGATTTAACCTAGAAAAGAGAAACGGAGAGAAAAATTACTTTTTCCTGGAAAAATACTGTCAAGTTGGTCAATTAATCAATTGCAAAAAGTCTCTGTGGACGCAAGTTGATGAATTCAATGGATTTCACCATGAATATCACTTGAGGAATGAGTAAATGAGGAGCAATTGTGGAGCTCACCTTCCTCTCCTGACTTGCCGGAACGAAAGAGAGAATTGTGATGTGTCTACAGATCCCGCCAGTCAAATATCCGTCATCGACGACACGTCCGTGGATAGTCACAAGACTCGAGAGGTTTTCGTCAAAATTCACTATTCCTAGTCATTTATTCGCAACATTCCGAGTAACAAGAAAATATTGCAGGCTCACGACTCACGTGGGGATTAGTTCTTGTCGAAGTAGGACTGGTAGATCATGCCCAGGGACGTGGCGGCGAACCAGGCGAAGCAACTCCACCATGTGGCGAAGCCGAACAGCCCGCGGTACACGTCCTCGTTGAAGACGTTCTTCAGGCTGCGCAGCGACAGTTGGATCGCTTTGGCCGAAGACATGATGCCCTCGTCGCTGGGCTCTGGTGTCGTGGGTAGTAGATCCTCTGCCGGACATTCGGCCGCGTCCACGGGAGCGCGGAAGAGGGATGACCAGCGATAGCCGCCCATAGTCTTGTACATGAGCGCCAGGTAGAGGCACATAATCACGGGCGCCGCGTACTGGACAGTGACCACGCACAGGTAGTAGAAGATAGAGGCCACTTTACGCTGCAGATCCACATTTGTAATCCTCCCGACCTGGAAAGACAGCCAAAAATTGGGTGAGAATTGGGAGAAAATTGAGTTACTCAGGCGCTGACCTCCTTCTTCTGATCCTCGATGCGCTGGTGGGCGAGATTGAGGTATGCCTGCAGATAGAAGGGCATCAGGACGAAACGCAGCACCACCACAATGACGACGAGGATGAGTCTGGTGGTCTCGAAGGCGTGCGGAGTCATGAGAGGCGCCTCGAGTCCGCGGAAGACACGCTCGGTGAGATAGTCGCGACTGATGGGCTTCACCCACATGATGACGAGCACGAAGGGCAGCGCGAAGTTCACATTGAGCAGCACCTGCAGCAGCCGATTCTCCTGGCAGTACTTCAGCAGATCCCAATGCATCCGCGCCATCCGCAGGCCTGGGAAGGTGAATACGGCGCCCAGGAGGCCACACATCACGGCTATGCAGAACTTCACGATGATCTTGGACGCCGGGCCGCTGGAAGCAATGCCCTGACTCTCGAGGAACACCGAGGCGCTCTCGTTGAAGACGCGATACGCGCGATCCAAACCCACTTCCAGCGTGCTCTCGTCCACAATGAGCACCATCATGGCCACCAGTAGGTAGGAGAAGCCCGTGACGATGCACGTGGAGCGCTCGCCGATGGACTCCTCGCTGCGGAAGTATTGCACTGTGAGGGAGACCAGCAGCCGGAAGGCGAAGAAGATGACCAGCAGACACCACATCATGCTCAGGTTCACCTCGTCCTTCGGCGGGATGAAGTAGCTCACCACCTCAGAGATGACATACACCACGGCCGAGTAGAGGCTGAAGTCCACCAGCCACTGGTACTCTGTGTAGTACCGCAGGTGCACCACGTCCAGCGCCGAGATCTTGGCCGTCTCCAGCTGAATATTGAGATTCTGCGGCACGTGGAACACATTTGACTTCTCACCATCCTGCGCTCCATTGCGCTGGCGGTTCCCAGACTTGCCCTTGCCCTTCGGCACGCCGGCCAGACTCTTCAACTCGCTGTCGGACGGATAGAGATATCGTGTGAGTCCCGTGGAGCAGAGAATCCACTTGGCCAGCGAGAAATGCGGACTCAGCTTCTGCATCAGGCTCACCATCACCAACGTGATGACCAATTGAGCTCCAAGGAGCGCCTATAATTAAATCACGACCCCATGAATTCCGGATAACCTCACAATCCCCCAAATGTGCTGGAAACCAGTGATGTCCGTGAGGATTCAGGCTGTTCTACTCACCATTTGCTTCTGTGACTAGTTTTCGGTAATTTATAACAAAGAATTAATACATTTTCGCCATTTAAAGCGATTTTTGGTGGATTTGTGAAAAATTCCAAGATATTTTTATATTTCCTGACACCCACTTGCATGCCAGTGTCCCTGGACGTGCAAGTACTAAAAGGCGTTTGAATGACTCTTTAATAACGGTTAAGTGATGAAAAAAGCACTCAAATCTCGTGAATTAACACAAATTCTCATAAAACTATTACCTTATGATACTGCAATATGTTTTATAGATATTTAATGTGAAGAAATTGCCTTGGAATTAAAGATTCCCCTGAGATTCCTCACTCTTCTTCCTTCTCCCCCAATGAAACATAGCTGTAGAAATTCCGACAGACTTTCGTCAGACATTTGGCTAATGTAAACATCCATCATTTCAATTATTAACCTTTTTATTGGACTCCCTCATTCGCAATCAATCGAATATAATCCTTCCTCGCCTCTGGCACTCGCTTGATGTCACCGACAGGTTCTACTGTTCCTTCTTTCACTGTGTTTCCTCAATTAATCTCTATTACAACTCTCTCGAAATCGTTAATTTAAAAGGTGTTTAAGAGGAGGGGCCAAACATCCGTTTAACCCGTGAATGTGGCCAAGAATTTGGTGACAATCTCCTTGAGCTTCGCATCAGTTTGATCTGTAATCTTACCGTCAGTCGCGATCTGCTGCAGGAGTGCCTTCTCGTTCGACTTCACGTGCTCAGTGAACTCCTTCTCGAACTTGGTGATCTTCTGGGGCTCCATCTTGTCCAGATGCCCTCGCACGCCGCAGTAGATGACAGCCACCTGGGGATGAGAGTAGAGAGGATTTGATTCAGAGGAGTCTCTCAAGCTGTGAGTGTTTGTGTGGGAAAGAGGCGGGAATTACCTGCTCTTCGATGGCCATGGGCACGTACTGTCCCTGCTTCAGGAGCTCCGTGAGACGCACACCGCGGTTCAAGAGTTGCTGAGTGGCGGCATCCAGATCAGAGCCGAACTGCGCGAAGGCGGCCACCTCACGGTACTGAGCCAGCTCCAGCTTCATGGAACCGGCCACTTGCTTCATGGCCTTCGTCTGGGCAGCGGAGCCGACACGCGACACCGACAGACCCACGTTGATGGCTGGCCGGATGCCCTTGTAGAACAGCTCGGTCTCCAAGAAGATCTGTCCGTCCGTGATGGAGATGACGTTGGTGGGGATGTAGGCAGACACGTCGCCGGCCTGCGTCTCAATCACGGGCAGCGCCGTGAGCGATCCACCGCCCATGGCGGGGCTCATCTTGGCTGCACGCTCGAGCAGACGCGAATGAAGGTAGAACACATCGCCGGGATAGGCCTCACGACCGGGGGGACGACGCAGCAACAGGGACATCTGACGGTAGGCCACGGCCTGCTTCGACAGATCGTCGTAGATGATGAGCGCGTGCTTGCCGTTGTCGCGGAAGAATTCGCCCATGGCGCAGCCCGAGTACGGGGCCAAATACTGCAGCGGGGCGGCATCTGACGCCGTGGCAGACACGATGATGGAGTAGTTCATGGCGCCAGTGTCCGTGAGACGCTTCACGATCTGGGCGACGGTGGAGCGCTTCTGGCCGATGGCGACGTAGATGCAGTACAGCTTCTTCGACTCGTCCTGGCCGTCGTTGAAGCGCTTCTGGTTGATGATGGTGTCGATGGCGAGGGAGGTCTTGCCGGTCTGACGATCGCCAATGATCAGCTCACGCTGTCCACGGCCGATGGGCACCAGCGAGTCCACAGCCTTGATGCCAGTCTGCATGGGCTCGCGCACGGAGATACGAGGAATGATGCCAGGGGCCTTGATGCCCACACGGAAGCGCGTCTTGGACGTGATGGCACCCTTGCCGTCGATGGGATTGCCCAGAGCGTCCACGACGCGTCCTAGCAGCTCCTCGCCTACAGGCACGTCCACAATGGCGCCGGTACGCTTCACGATGTCGCCCTCCTTGATCAGCTTGTCGTTACCGAACACCACCACGCCCACGTTGTCGGGCTCCAAGTTGAGGGCCATGCCCTTCAGCCCAGACGAGAACTCCACCATCTCGTCGGCCTGGATGTTCTTCAAGCCGTACACACGAGCGATACCGTCTCCAATGCTCAGCACGCGGCCAGTCTCGTCCAGATCGGCCTTCGGCGCGGCGCCCAGGATGCGCTCCTCCAGGATAGCCGAGATCTCAGCGTTCTTCTGGCTTGACACATGAAACTTGCGAGCCGCCAGCGAAGTGGCCGGATAGATCATCCTGGCGACCTGCGAAAATTAGTACAAGTTTTAGTACACTCTCCATGGAATCGATCGGCTCTGCGGAGATTACATAATCATCAAGTTCCAGTTCCGGCAGCGCCACTTCCCGAACTCCCTCGCTCCCATCGCCGGCTCCCGTCCGGGAATGGGCCCATCTTGTGACCCTGCCGCCTGATTATGTAACCCAGAAAAATTGCATAACTCCCACTTCGGGGTGAGTTTTCCCCGACTTTTTCATCGCCCAACCACTCAATCACTCTCCAGAAACCACCAATAAATCCCCACGCAGGTTTTCCTCCCCTTTTTTGCACCCTCAGTAGCCACATTCCTCGCCTTTCCGGGCGGTTTTCCCTGACAAGATAACGAGGTGTGATGTGGAAATGCAAATCTCTGGAAATATCGCTCTTCCCGGCCACTTTCCGTCATTCACTCACCTGTGGCGATGCCCTGGGCAGGTTGCGCGCAACGGTGGCGGCTAATCTCGCTGAGAGGAGCGACATTTTGGGTTCTTTTCCTAACACTCAACACACTTTGCAACTTGTGAAAAATATGGAGACCCCTATGGAGAACGGATTCCACGATCCGAAATCGTCCATGGAATATCTTCCACTTTTGTTCCTATAATAGGAATAAAATCCTCGGAATTCCAAGCTATCCTCCATGGATAAATTCCACTTTATTCCAAGCAAGATACCATGGAATAATTCCATACATATTCCTTTTGGCCATCCATGGATATTAGAATGGAACATTTTCCATGGTGCTAAATCCGCGGAATATCCATGGGTTTTCCACGGAATAATTCGCTCTTTGCGCGTCCCCACGCGATTACGTCAGTCTTGTGAAATTCTTCTCATAGGAAAGAACGCGTAAGTATTTTCTGTACTTTTCAGTACTAAAACGTTAAGTTTTTAATGGTAAACACTCTAAGTTTGGTGATATTTCCAGGAAAAGTGCTGAATGTATGCGATGGAGACGGCACAGGGACCCCACAGTCAGAGAAGACTCGAGGTTTCCGGACAACGTCAAAGTAGGAGAAACAACTAATGTAAGTATGGAATTATCGAAACATAAGAGATATATCCTGTTTTCTATACTGAACATGTCTTTTTTACAGGAAAATAGGATGCGGAAAAGCGGTTACCGGAGGATCTACTTATCCGACAGAGTGTGACTCATGACAAGGTAAAAAATGTTCTTCATGTTCTCGAATTCCTATGGCGAAAATCCATGGAACATCCTATAAATAACCATGGAAGATTTCCATGCTAGAATTTCATCCATGGTGAATCCCTTGGAACTCCGTGGATCAGCAAGGAAAATCCTTGGAATTCAGCATGGAAGATTCCATGCTGAATTCCATAGGAATTTAGCTAGGATGATTTTCCATGGATTATTTCCCACATTGCTTCCAAATTTTCCATGGTGACTTTTCCCATATATGGAAGATTTCCATTGTGATTCCATTGACCAATCCAAGGACGATTACAAGGAATACCATGGAGGGAATACCATGCAAATATACGATCAGTAATTTGTGTATTCTATTTTCCAGCATTTCTCAAACATATTCGGACCGGTGCGAGAAGACATCAAAGAGCATCTCGACATCCGGCGACCACGGTAGCAGTCGTCTAGAAGAGTAGCAGTCCCTGGGAAGCGGCATAGCAGCCACCAAGGCAACGCGTCATAAAAATTTGATACACATTTGTAAGCTTGATAGTTAATATTTAATAAATACAAATCCAAATATAAATGAGTCTTTTTTTTGGATATTTTGGGGCGGAGCGCCGGGAATTTCTGGGAGAAATTTCACACATTGGAATTTCCTCCATGGTATTCCTTGTAATCGTCCTTGGATTGGTCAATGGAATCACAATGGAAATCTTCCATATATGGGAAAAGTCACCATGGAAAATTTGGAAGCAATGTGGGAAAAAATCCATGGAAAATCATCCTAGCTAAATTCCTATGGAATTCAGCATGGAATCTTCCATGCTGAATCCAAGGATTTTCCTTGTTGATCCACGGAGTTCCGAGGAATTTTCCATGGATGCTATTACGCGGATTGCATGGAAATCGTCCATGGTTATCCATTGGATATTCCACGGATTTTCGCCATAGGGACGGGCAGGGAATGCTTCGAGATGTGGCCGCACTGCGCTGCTGTCGTCTTCGAAACGCGAAATTTCCCGACACGGCAGCCAACTTGGCAACTGATGGGCGCGAAAGTGAATTCGAAATCAGCGCAGCACACTGCAAAAATCACGAAAAGCCAGAAATTCAGGGATTAAACGAGAAAAACTCCTGGTTTTTGGAAATAAAAATGTTTTAATGGAAGACTTTACGAAAGAAAATAATAATGATATGCATAATGGCATATAATTTCTTAAAAATGTAACTTGTATACATATAATGTAGGTAAGAATATCTTTTACATATTTAATTACCTCTTCGTTTTTCTTTTCCTTTTTACTCTCTAACCATATTTATCTCCATATTTCTATAGTAATATATAAAAATACAGACTACAATTTAATTTAAATATTCAATAGAGTAGAAATATTTTCTCAAAAAAATTCCTCTGTGGCTTTTTTTCTACTTTCTCATCATTCCTATTACTTGAATATGTCTTAATTGATATCTTCTTCATTATAGTCATTCCTATCTATAAACATTTCATCTCATGCTGTAATTCTCTTCGTTCAATATAATTCTGTGTGATTGCACCAGTTTGCAGCTACTAATAAACACAAAAATAAAAAGATTATAGGGCGAAAAAAGGAGCAACAAAATAGGGCGAAATTACAATCATTTCAATATGATCAAATTGAAAGTATATAACGCAAAAAAGGGACCTTTAAAGCTATCAAATACCAAAGCACATTTCAAATTCTCATGAGTAGCCACAGGATTAGCGGGGCAGAAGAATTTGTAAGTTTGCAAAAAGAAGGAATATCCGATAAACACACACACACACTCAATAAAATTACTATCACGAGTTTGAACAGAAGGAGGCAACGGTGCATTTATGGTCTATATATGGATTGGCCTCCAAACGAGGCCCCAGTAAATTTGGCACTACGTGTCAAACGATGCACTCTTAAGTCTTTTCTCTGGTAACGTGGCCACCTCGGCGGCCGCGAGCGCCTGCTCCGCGTCCGGAGCCTTTCTCTTCAGCGCCACCGCCTCGCCCATGCCGCCCTCGATGGTGTTCCCGGGCAGTGCGCTGTTCTCGTTGCCGCTCAGCGAGTCGTCGGGACTGCCCTCGTCGCCCTCGTCCGTGTCCGACTCACCAACCTCGTCTACACCGCGGCTGCCGGGCGCGTTCCACTGCGCCAGCTTCGTGGGGTCGCTCTCGTGCAGCTTCTGCGCCAGCGACTTCAGGCTGGCCAGCGAGTTCTCACAGTCCGTCGTGTCGATGTCCGTGAGCGTCATACCCGCGCGCTCGATCTCTGCGTACGTGCCAAAGGGCAGTTTCCCGTGGCACTCCAGCCGCAGCACGTGCATCTTCGAGCGCAGGTGCTTCGCCAGGTGCCCATGAATCCTGAACGCCACCTTGCAGTCGCTGCACTTGAATGGTCTGGGATTCGTGGTCGTTGGCACGCCGAATGTTGACGTCCTGGACACCTTATTGTTGTGCCCGTCGCTCCTCTCGTGCTTCCTCAAGTGTCCCTGCGTGCGGAAGCTCACCGCGCACGGTTCACAGCGATACTTGCGCTCCAGGAAGTGAATGTTGAAGTGCAGATGCAGCTGAGAAGGTTTCTGAAACGTCTTCGAGCAGATCTCACACACCGAACGCCCGTCCTCGTGGATCCTCGTCAGGCGACGCCCTGGCGAATACGATCCAGTTGGAAATTCAGGTGTCACGCGCCCATTCTCCTGAACAACCACCGTTCTGGCCAGAATACTCGCAATCTTACCCTCAGGTGCTGGTTCGGGCACTTCAGCACCACTCTCGAAGCCTTCGTCGCCCTTCGGGAACAGCAGCTTGCTCTTCGAGGCCATCTTCAGATACTCTGATGCCACATTCTTCGCCACATCATTCGAAGATCTCACAGGGAAGCCCAAACTCTTCACCACATCGATTTTCTTCGAGCTGGCGGCGATTTCTGCTAGAGTCTCCATGCTGCTCGATGTCTTGTCCGGCGAACCTTCGCTCTTCACATCCTTCTGTGGACTACCGAAGCTGCCATTGTTCAGCACCTCCGCATTCTTCTGGCACTGCTTCATCTTCGACCCCTGCAGCGCTCTCTCCGTCAAGTACTCCTGCAACAGCTTATTCCCATCGATCTCCGCATTACCGCCCACTGAACTGGCGGGAATCTTGTCCGTTATCGACACGAGGGAAATCAGGAAACTTGCCGGCTCCATCGTCGTCACCACGTCGGCCACTTTCGTAGCGGCAATTTCTCGTGGCTTCGTGAGATCCATGGGAACATTCCCGGCGTCGTCGTAGTCAAAGTCAGTCGGCGGCGGAACGACAGCAACTTTGTGGATGTTGGGATTCGAGTAGTACTGCTCGAGGCGCGGGAAGTCAAGAATGGCCGGTGGGGAGTTAAATGTGATGACTCTGCGCTGTGTCGACTGCACTTCCGCCAACTGTGCCGGATGTTGGGGCGATTTGACAGCTGGCGACTCAACAGAAGACTCCGAAGCGCCCGTCATGGCCAGCGACAGCAGACACTTGGCGGCCTCGTGCTCTTGCAAGCGAGATTTGGACTCGTCAGCATCTGAAAATGTGAAATAGGAAGATTTAAAACTAGTTCAACCAATGGCTAAAAGAATAGAATTAAAAATGGGCGGGGCTTCTTAATAGGCAGAGCCTGATCCTTCCAATGCCAGAATATCCTTTCTTCCTCTTCCAAAATCCTCCCTTCAACTTTAATCAGTGTTCAGGGTGAAGAAAGCCAGTATAAATGTAAGCTGATGTTGCGAGAAATCCCAGCTCAGTGCGTCACATTCGTGAATAAATTATATTACAAGTCCATTATCTCACAAGAGACGCGTCTTCGTGTGTGGAATAAATATAAACAGAGAAGAGAAAAAAGGTCAAACTCACCACTGAGCTCTGAGTCTGGCTCATCACCGTCTGATTCATCATCAGAGTCTGAATCACCAGGAACAGTGACTTGTCTCTCCTTATTCGCATCCATATCGAGTACCTCATCGGACACTGTCATCGGAATGGGAATTATTCCCAATTCCTCGCACTTCTTGGCATGCGACTTGGACTTCATGTGCTTCGTCAGGTTGCCCTTCGTCTTGAAACTGCAAAGTGTGCGAAAGATAAAGAAAGATGTTAATGAGAATCTTCAGGATGACAGAGACAGCGGAATGTACCTGAAAGCGCAGTACTGGCAAGTGTACGGTCGGATGTTGGTGTGTGTCCGGATGTGTTTCTTCAGCATCGAAGGCTTCCGGCAGCGAATGCCACATGTCTGACAGACGTACCGTCCGAATCCTCGTCCCTTCACATACTCATAGTCCTCGGTGCTCTCGTATCCACCAGGCACTGAGCTCACGCCTGTGGCTTCGCTCTTCTGAGTAGTCGTCTCCTTCTCGCTACGCTCCGGCTTCTTCTCAACCACCGGCAGCGGCTTGTGAAAGTGGTGCTGCGTCTGATCCTTGTGCGTGATGACGAAGGGCGTGCAAATTGTGCCCTGCGACTGGATGGACTTGGTCTCCTTGAACTCCTTCGTCGAGTGCGCCACCGTGAAGTTCATCGGCCGATGACGGGAGTCATAGAGCGAGATCACAGCGTCGGGCTTGAGCCCAAGCGGATGAGGATTGCTCTCGGCGCACACCTGCCATTGGCTGTACATGGAAATGGTGCGGATGTGATGAGGCAGATAAATGGGCTGCGTCTTGTTCACTGTGCAGTAGAAAGGCTTCGTGCTGCATTTCAGGCCGAGATATGTGTAAGCCTGGCCGTTGATGTACATCTGGATGCATGTCTTGGACGGCCTGGGCGTCTCCGGTGAGATCAGAGGCAGAGTGTTTGTCGTGGGCGTGATTCCATGATGTCTCTTCGGGATAAATGTACCCGGCTTCAGCGGCAAACTTGTCGGTCTCAGAAACTTCGTCGGTTTCTCTGGCACCTCCATCGTTTCCTTCTCCGGAATTTCCACAGTCACTGGCTGAGTTGCCAGTTTCACCTCGGGCTTCTGAATGCTGTCGAATGTGAAGTGATTTTCCTCTTCAGCTCCACTCTCGGGCTTCCTGGGACTCAAGTTGTCCGCAATTCTCGCAAAAATGAAGCTTTTCCTCGCCACTTCTGGTTGTTTCACCTTCCCCAGAGTCTTCAGCCTCTGCTGCTCCCTGGCTCGATTCTTCTCCTCCATCGACTCAATCTTTATGCTGGGGATACTAAGCGAGAGTTGCTGGTGGCCATTGAAAAGAGGTGGATCGGCGATTTTCTTCGTCAAGCCAATCAGTGACTTCTTCACACTTGGACTGGGCGTTCTCTTCACATCCACCTTCATCGGGGTCGATGTATTAGGTCCTGGAATCCCCGGAACGAAGGGTATCAGCTTCCCGCCGTGGAGAATCGTTGTTGCATGCTCAGGTCCCACAGAGACCGGAGGCAGCGTCAGTGGATTGTAGGCAGTGATGGGATTTATGGGCGGAAACTGAAAGTGAGTGATTCCAGGCTTCACGAGAGTCGGTGCACAGAGAGTCGAAGCGACCAACAGACTTGGCGTTAGAGGATTTATCGGTGGTGAATCCCTCGACGTAGATATCTTCTCCACCTTCCCACCAGAATATAGCCCAGGCGTCCTTATAGAGATATTCTGCTCAGAATCTGATCCTGGAGACTCAGAAACGATGCTTCCGCCAGAAGAGTCTCTTCTTATCCCATCCTCCTCATACTTCAACTTACCGTCGAACTTCTTCACCATCTCCAATTCCCCTCCATACATCTCCCGATTCTGACTCGTGTGCGGATCACTGGGAGGCATTGGCATCGCTCCCTTCACGGATCTGAGGTACTCCAGACCAACCAGGGACAGAGCGGGATTCTTCGAATTGCTGTACAAAGAATTATTGTACTCCAGCCGAATTCTCTTCTCGCCAGGCTCCTGATCAGCTGCAAAGGAGATTGACTGATCCGGTGGTCTCTTAATCTGCTTCGGATCATGATTCACATGTGTAATCACAACTTCATCACTTCCTTGCGCCGTTCTTTTGTCATCCACCAGCCGAGTCTTTCCCAGGAGCGGTCCTGGCGACGGCAGAGGAGCCTGAACTCCCGCCGTCTGACTCGTGGAAGCCACCAGAACAATCTTCTCTGGCTTGGGCTTCGGCAGCTTCAGCTGTGACTGCGCGAGCTTGGACAGTGTCGATGGCATTCTCGGTGGCTGCCTGAGTGTGCATTTGGCCAGATTCTTCAGCGAATTGGGATTATACTTCTCAGGCAGATTGACATGGATGGAGTTGCTGCGCGAGTACTTGTGCGACGGACTGCCCACGGGACTGATGGGGGCGCTGTGATTCCCCTGGCAATAACCGATGGAATGGTACGTCAAATTGTCCTTACTGCGGAAGGTGATTTTGCACAGCGGACACGTGTGGACTGCGTCCTCACCATCTCCGCCCGTGGCGCCCTTCCATTCTAGCAGCAGACCCTTGATAATAGATCCTTCGGGGTTCTGCGGATGATTCGCCACAGTGGTGAGATTAGTGTTGCTAAAGTTCTCGCTGTAGCACCTCTTCCTCAACTGTTCGCTGCTCTCCGGCACCACTGGCGGCGCTTTGATGAGATTAAGAGGCTGCGCAGCTGTCGGAGGCTGACAACTCCCGCTCGGCTGACTAATTTGCGAAGTGTGAGCATTCATCTTGGCCAGCAAATTGCCCTCCTCGCGATGTACCTTAACAGACGGCACAGCAGCACCTTTGGCCACTTGTCCATCCTGAACACTCACGCCACGGGTAATTCCCGTGATCTTGTGATACTTCTTCTGCAACGGTGGCTCCACATCCTCCATTATGGCCTCATTCTCCGAGATAATCTTGGAGATGTGCTGCTCCAAGTCCTGTTGACTAGCCTGCAACGCATTCGCCACAGTTAATCCAGTATCTTCACACGACTTCCTAAGTGTCTTCCTCACCAGTTGATGGGATTGATGGGTTGATGGCACTGTTTGAGGCAGATTCCTCACTGTATTCGGTGGCACTTGGCTTTCCACTTGGCACTGCACACCCACCGAAGACTCCGTCGATTCTTCTTTGGTGTAGAAGGCAGCTGCATTGTGGAACTTGGGTTTGTACGGTTTCTCAGGCATTTGATACGGTGACACGACCCTCTCGTCCATTGGCGATGCTGTTCGACTCACCTGGAAGAGACGAGCAGAGAGATTCCCATTAGATCATGAGACACCCATTCCCCAGATGACTCACAACCGCATATCAGCACAAGATTACTTAGTGATAAGAAGCTCGCTCTAACAAGAAGCTCACGGTCAATTTCCGGGAAAATCCGCACAACAATCTTGCAGATGTTTCGAGATTTCGCGGAACTTTTATCACTCTTCAGTGTAAATAAAAATAAAAATACCAACTTTGAGAAATATTCTACATAAATTCCCAGAAAGTATCTTATTTACACATCGAAACCGCAATTGATCAATTCTGGCCAGTAGAATCGCGGGGATTCCAAGCAACTTGCAGCGCAGAAATTCACGTGAGTCAACCAGAGTCGTGATTAGGAGAGATTGGGGCACTGCGAATAGCCAAACCCATGAGCAATTAAAGAGACGAGGAATTCGCATGAGTCACTCCGCAGTTATCCCGAAATCCCACCCTCCCACAGGCAATTGAGCGCGTCCTGCGAGGGTGTGTTTTATAAGGGAAGCCGCCAAGGAAGAAGACTATTACTCACCACATCTGATCCGCTGGCGTTGCTGCTGAGATCATTCTCCTGGTCCGACGTGAAGCCCAAGTCCTCGTCGGGTGGCGGAGCCTCGCCCTGGAGGCGCAGCGTGTGGGCCCTGGAGCGGCAGTGTTTGTACAAATTACTCTTAGTTTTGAAGGCAATCCCACATGGAGCACATGGATATGGACGTTCATTCGTATGCGATCGGATATGTTTCTGCAGCACTGACGGCTTTGTACAGTTCAGATTGCAATATTGGCACACATTTCGCCCTGAGCTCGGTGGATTCTGGTCAGCGGCGGCCTGGAAGCTCACGGAGTTCTGCTGCACCTGCGGCTGAATCTGCACGATAGGAATCTTATTGGGCAGCACCTCCTCGCGCTGTACGTGGATGTCACAGCGATCTACACCGTTCACAGTCGCCGGCGGCTCCTCGGCCGCTGCACGCGCCCTATCACTATTGCCACGCGAGGCGGACTCTGTCGTTGGCACCGCGAGACAGTCATCAACTGTTGCACTGGCAATTCGCTTGAACTTCTTATGCAGGTACTTGAGATCAGATGAGTTTGTCGTGCTCGTTGAATTGTTGTTGTTTATGCTGCTCCTCACACCCTCCGGCTGCTTCTGCTGCTGCTGCTGCTGCTGCTGCTCACCCGACGCTTTCGGCGGAAGTTCGACTGATTGCGATGGAAGCGCTTTCACGCCTTCCATCATTCGTGGTAATCTGCCACCGGGATCATCTGCAAGACAAGCACACAGTAGAAAGTCAGTTCAGCACTTGAACTTTGCCTGCGAAGCCACGTAAAAATCGCCTCATTGACGCAAAGTTGACTCTTTTTTTCGTTCGACGCATCGCGTTCATTCAATGATAATTTTTCCATGCCAAATCACAACACATTCACACCCTATGTATGCTAATTCTCTCGTCAGTTGAATGAAAATGACGATCGCAATTATACTTGCATCACCACTTCAGCCTTTTCATTGCATTTGGGGCGTGCTCACGTGCCACAATCCCTCTGCTGGCGAATCGCTCAATCAACCCTTGGCATGAGATGTTTAAAATAAAACTGATCATCTGCAAACACACGCCAAGAATGCCACTCGAGCATCCTTCGCACGTCTCTCAGAGGTGTCATCACTTGAGAGAGATTTTGCAGAAAAGTCTTCCCCAGTGATGAAATCACCAGCAAAATCGTACGCCAGCGAAACGCAAATAATTGCTCGACCTTGAGGACTTTGCACGATGCCATTTGTAAGTTTTGAATTTTTCCGTCCACTTTTTTCCTCCTCTCTCTCTCTCTCTCTCTCGCGCGCGCTCTATAGAACACACCGCCGCCAACCAACACACGTCATACGTAATATATTCCCCACTTGGCAAAAAGAGAGCATACAAATATAATACCCAATCGTTATACATTTCATTGGGTGTCCCAGCGCACATCTTCCAGTGCGACAGACGTGCTAAATTGAATTATCTCTCTCAACTCTCTCGCAACATGTTGATTTTTGTTATTGTTCACTTTGCACTTACACCTTCAGGCCAACACACACGGACTCTTCTCTCACTCTCGTGTGTACCAAATGATATCATATTTAACCAGCACTCTTCTGTCTCTTCAAACTCAATTCTTCAGATGGCAGCGCGCGTCTATGAAATCATCCCAAAACATTGCACAACATCTTTCCGCTTCAGCACTCTTTGCAGCCAAAAAAAAACACACATGATAAGGCCCAAGCTCGACTAAGCTTATGAAAGTGCTGGGCTTTCTAGGGATCATTCGAGATGTGAGGCTTTCGTAAGACACACACTTTCTTTTTCTTGCAACTTAACCTTTAGAATCCTTAAAAAAATCGTTGAAGCTAGAAAAATCGGTTTAGACTTAGTATTTCAAATCATATGCATTTTATTGTGATATAACATCTGGATGCATTGCAAATCAAACCACAGCATGCTTTTGCTCATTTGCATCACAATTGCGATGAGCAACCAACGGCATTTCGATGTGTACTGAACTATAAAACGCTAATCAATATCTGTTATCATTCTTGGCTGATCACAAGGAAGGAGGAGATTATGTGGAATCCCAACCCATGAAAATATCGAGAAAATCAAGAGAACGAGGAAAAAAGACAGAGACAAGAAGTCGGAGTCTCTTATCACGAATAAACCTTAATTTGCTATCTCCCCATCATATGATTAACTTTTCAATATAATTTATTGTACGCGTGTACATAGTCGCGTTATATTTAGGCATGTGGCCGCGGGGAGACGCCGAGGGGGAGGCGCGCTGGAGAGCGCGAGGAGGTGAAGTGTGGTGGGGTGGGTGAGATAAACAGCGACGATTGACGATGGTCTCTGATTCATCGTACGAACATTTCAGTTGCTTGCACTCTTCTCACTCGTTCTCTTCGCACTCCCCCCTCTCTGCTCCCCTAAGCATCCTTCATCTCGCTCACACCCGCTCTTGCCACCCATGCGTCTGTCCCTGTTGCGCGCGCGACGGGCAAAACTAAGTGTGGCGTAAAAAATGCCAACAGGAAATTGAATTTCTACCCCTCACTCCAGTGTAAAAAATTAAGAAAATTGAAATATATCGCCTTATTACCCCTCCTCACCCCACCGCGTGTCACTTGCACCCACGAAGAGCGCGTGGGAAGAGTGAGAATCTACGCTCCCGATCATCGATGCTCTCTTCTCTAGACAAAATCATATTCCGTGATTTTATTTTAGACACTCCACACACAAGCACAGCACCAGGGAGAATCCAATGATGACGTCAAGCCACGAAGCCACTTCTGTTAATCTTTTTCTCTATCTCTCATCGCATTCGTCTCTTTGGGAGCGACCGAAAAAATCCACCTCTTCTTCTCCTCCCCACTCAGCTGTCATCTCTCAAGACCACACACTTTTTTTCTCCTCTCAAATATTTGTTTTCAACTATGAGCAAGTGTGATTTTCATGAATTTGTCACACTCGCAAGAAGTGAACAAAACTCTCAACTATGGCAAATTTTTCTCTCCCCTCCAAAAAACACAGTCGTGAAAAAAAAGTTATCAATTCATACATGAGAAATTACACACCGCGACTGTGAATAGAAAAGAGATGTGGGAAAAAATCTCATAAATTCCCATGCAATAAAATCCATAGCTTATCATTTGACTCTTTCTCAGAATAAACATCACTCTCGCTCGCAATTGCATAGAGAAGATCCTCTCTCTTTTCTGAAAATTCAGTGTCGTTTTTCTAGAAATGAGACTCTCTTCTTAACCATTCATGGAGAGATCATTTTGCTGCACATAGATGAAGTGTAGGAATCTCTGTACAGCGTGCATGTTTTCTTATAGGCATCTTCTGAATTCTAATGAGTCATTGAGATAGATTACTTGAGCGGAAATCAACGTAGACAATTTGCAGCAAAACTCCACGAGAGAATTCCGCCAGTGATCAAGTTTCGTTTAGTATGAATTATTGACATTAAAACCTTCAACGGTTTTTGTTTTATTTTCGAGTCTTCTCTCACATGAACTTTTCAAGGAAGGACTCCTCCTTCATCCTTAGCGGTCTTTTTAGCAATGTTAAGGTCCAGCGAACACTCACGAGAGGTCACGAACTCAGCCATTGACCACATTTCGCACAGTAGCAGTCAAAATCAACATCTAAGCTCTTTGTTATTCATGATTGACCTTATTCAGACAATTCCGACAAACATTTCGTCATTCAGAGACAACGACGGAAAAAAATCGGTCATGATTAATAGATACTGCCACAGCAATTCCAGCCACAGACTTTTCGGGGCTTCTACAAGTATTCCTTCCATGACACATCACTGATTTGTTGATAAAGACTAATTAGATACTGTGGCAGCGGCTCAGTTACGTGCAGAAACGACCACAGGGTGACCCAAGCGACTTCGCCACACTCAGCGCCGCTCAGCATGCGAATAGTGGGCGCGAGGAGTCGCACTGTTCGCCTCGGCACGAAAAAAAACAACAACAATATCACTTAAGAAGGGTGTAATCAATGATTAGGGAAATATGTGAACTCATCACGCCATACTCCAGATAACTTTTTTTCGCTCCTTAACTCCCAAGCGTGATAAGGGAATATTTTTAGTGTCTCACAGAGAGACGATGTGAGGCACATGATGATGGCCAGGGAAAAAACTGCGATGCGAAGCAATTACAAAGCTCAACTTTGCGCGCAATGAAAACATGAACACATCCAAATTATGTAAGAAATGTCTGATAAAATTGCAGAAAAATGCCTTTTATCCACAACAGTGTGAATGTGATGTTTTTTTCTGCTACTTGTGTCCAAAGAATCACGAGGTTTGCTGTGTGGTATTCACCTTTGAATGGCGTGCCAAAGTGCAAGATAAAGAAATTTAGACCCGCTCAATCAACGTGGACAACTTCAAATGCACGATAAGAACAAACTGATCTCGCGCTACTGGATAATTGCCATGAAACTATGACACCTTCTCTCCACTCGCGCCCTGGCAAAAGCCCACACTTCACTCAAACACTGCAAGGTGTTAATATGAATTCCTCTTCTTGAGAGTCCAATTCGCGGAGCTTAATTTGCGTTTTTCCGCGAACACAGTCCAACGTACTGACACACCGAGTCGCTAAAACTTGCCACAAACTCCCTGCTGAACGCTTCACTCTCGTGGTGTCGGCAACTAGACTTTTTCCACATACAAACTGACATTTTATGTGGAACGTTCTGATAAGAAGTGCTGAGCTAGTGTTGAACACCCATCTTCTGGGCAGGGATGTCCAACACTCTCCAATTTAAGCGATGTCCCAATCAGAACTCTCTCCGATCAATCCTGGTCAGTGGTGACAAACCCAATTGAACCGAATTGGGTCAGTATGAAAAAGCAAACTCTGTTGGAAAACTCCGCACCATATTGACCGAATGGCGAACCCTGATATTTCCTCCTTGCATTCGTCGTGAGCAATTGACGTCAGTTGTACACACGTTCACATGGCCGAAGTGTGCACGAAAGCGATACAAATGTCCAAGTAATTTGTACGATAAACTTTGATACTGTCCGATAAGCACTTCAGCACACAGTTCAGCCACTCAGTCATTATTTGAAGCTCCCCCTTATCGGGGCTCCTTCTCGTTCACACAGCCAAGAAGCCACACAGTCACACTATTAATACGCAATATCGTGAAATTGCCAATTAAATGCTGTCAAGACTTACCTTTCAATTTTCCATCATCAATCGCGATAACGCCAACACTTTCGGTCGTCCTCTTGCTATTCTCTGCAAAAGACAATCAAGAGAGAAAGAGCTCAATTAGACACATCAATAAATCCTAATGTTATTGTTCTCGGCAATTTATTAACGCCAAGACAATATGAGGAGAAAAGTTACATGGAAGAATGACGTAAAATATTATCACTGTTTCATGTGAAGTTCAGCTGTGCCATTTTTTGCTTCTTTTCCTCTTCAGACTTAGCGTTAACTCTTAACCACAGCTTTAGGAGAGAGCGGAGCATCTTTGAATAGTCAAAGTGTGCATAAATATTATCTAATAACATGCATATATGAAGATCTTGATCAGCTATTCGAACAAATTTGTGCGAAACGCCTCAATATTACCACTCCAAAAAGCCCCGTTCTGCCCTAAGTGGCTTTATTTGCATTTTACATGAAATGCTTAGCATAGAGAGACCACAAGGCAGTCTTGCGTGTAATAATGTGCTTCTTTCCGAAAGGAGCACAGAAAAAGTGAGCGATAATAGAGGCCGTTGATAAGACTGTATTCTCATTAATGTTTTCATAAATTCTAAATAGTATAATGACACTGTGGCAGCTGTCGGAGTTAGCCAAGGACACGTCCTGATCTATCATCCAATTAGATATCAAGATGGAAAAATTAATCACTCTCTAAAAGCGATGCTCAATTGAGGATGAGAAAGAGACGCAAATGACAAGACAACCCTCAGCAATTCATGCATAATTCAAGATTATTCCACTCGCCCATTGAGCAGTTCACTCCCTGGAAAGACGGTCAAAACTGTCAATCAAGAGTGCCTCCGGGAGGAGAGTTCGAGACACAAGACGAGAGCTCTCTGTGAGAAGCCTGAAGAATTGACGAGGACAGCAAAAAATCGAGCGGAATTGACGATGATATAAAAAGTGGAATGAGCAAGTCGCCATGCCGATAAGCCTGAGAGAGCGCGCGATTCTTTTGAATGGGAATCCACACAGCAATCCTCCTCGCCTGTGGACGGAATATTATTCTTGAATGAAACAATGAGCGAAAATGTATTCCACCTTGTTGCAATCTGTTTGATATCGAACAGAGAGACTTGCTGAAAAACCTGAATTACCACGAGAGTGCCTCCAAACGCAGAGAATCACCAACACGATCGGGCGCGCTACTCTTGTTTTGTAAGCCAGCAGCGGCAGCAGCCATTGGGAAGCAAAGGTCGCAGCGCTGCAACAAAGCGAAAAACCAAAACCACGCGAGAATTCAGAGACCTCTCGCATGTGTTGGCGCGCACCGAGAGTCTCAAATGCGTACACAACATGTGGGATTCCATCCCGACCTCGCTGTGTGTGTGTGTTTTGAAAAGTGTTTCACAGCCACGATCGTCTTTCTAAACGAGTTTCTCTCATTTCTGCCCCACACCTTCCCCGAACCCGCGCGTGTCTCGCGAACTCAATATTACATTGGCGACCGAAGAACCCCAACAACACTTTGTTATCCTCCGCGCGCTCCACTCAACGCAGCCCAAGAACTTTCCTCGCGCGCACACGAGATGCCCGTCGTCGTCTCGCTCCCCAATTTTCCTCGCAGGCCACTAAACTAGTTTCGCACTTTTTCTCTGTGTTTACACCGTCGCCACACACGGCAAAATCCCCACATCCGGCGACGGACAGCTCGACCTCAGCGATGCCACGGGGAATCATAATCAAAGAAGAGAAGCCGAATCTTTTTTAGTCCCTCCACAATTACAAACACACACACAAGAGACAAAGGAGAATCACCCGAATTCAATCCAACTTCACAGATCTTCAACTTTGATGTCCAATAGACAGATTTAGCGAAGGGCGGGGCATTTTGGGCAGCAGCAATTGTCGCTTGGGTCAATTTTCAACTACTTTTGCCCTCCACTTTGTGCACACAACGCCTGTGTTTTGACTCTACAAGGCTCCCAGTAAAATTTCATATGCCATCTGTTGATTTACCACATAGCATTTTGTCAACAGTAATGTGTGAACATGCGCGTGAGAAGTCACTATCGCTGGCGATAGTGGGGTCTCCCCATCCCCGCCCGTTGGCGCCCCAAACGCCCCCAGCATTCTTCCTCGTCCGCAAATTGTCACACAGTACATTATCCATTATAAATAGCCCTCGAGTGAGAAGCATGAAGATGGGTTTAAATTTAAATATCGTCCACCTCAGATATTCGCACGTTATGTAGATCATGAGACAGTTGACATGACGATGGTACAGACGCAATTGAGGGAATCTTCAGCCCGAAATAGATCGCGTCAAGCATTGAGGTATTCCAAGTATTTCGATATGTACACATCTCAGGAAAGCTGAGAGAGGAAAGAAGGTTAGAGTCTCTCCCTCTCTCTCTCTCTCTTTCTCTTTGAGTACCTAAATATGATTTCTCTTGAGAAATAAAAATAGCATAGTTTTTTTCCCTCCCCAAATCAATTCCCAGACTTCCAATCACGATCAGGCAGTGAATTCACCAGGGATTTTTCCATGCTCTTGCGCGTGGGAAGCTACGCAATAGCCAACAATTCACATAATTGTCCTAAAAGACACTCTGGCGATTCCTGGGTCTCAAGACATCTCAATACATTAACGGTCAATTAGAATGTGGCAAGTGTGAAATGTCTTCCTTTACTTGTTCTTCCTCCAAAAAAATAACTCATTATGAGGTTCACCACGACGCCGTGGTCTTTTGAAATTCAAGTTTCCAATTTAAAGACACCAAGTCTCTCTCTCTCGTTCTGTGTTTATAAACATTGAGAATCGCTGCTCAGCTGCCCCTTTATTGGCAGCCAACACAGCATGGAAATTGCCAGTGTCGATACAAATAATTTTAAAGATGATTTAAATCTATAAATAGAGTGAATTTATTTTCCGGGAAACCTCATTTGCTACTAATGAATCTTGACGAAGAGATAATTTTATCGTTACAAAGACCGTACAGAAATATCTCGGCATTCACCACACATTCGCATTTAGGAGAATGACTTACCCAAGTAAATACCTCGGGAAGTTGAGAGAGAAAAAATTGCACAACGTGACGCGAAGTCCAGCTTAAGCATCTGACAAATTGCCCTGTTTTTCGCGATAGGCGGAAAATCCACCGCGATTCGCTATAAATTACTGTGGAGTTCCAAATAAAACACCAAGATAAAGCACTAGCGAAAGTTGATTCACGTGGAGTTGGAATTTCTGGGGACAAAATGGACTGTGAAAAGTGAATCTGCACTCTAGACATAAGGTCAAAACTATTTTCCATTCACTAAAGAACACTTTTTAGTCATATTTCTGATTTAAGCATCATTGGCGAATGAATCTTCAGATATTCATCAGAATTCGGCTTCCTCTCACATCAATCTCTCTCTTGTGACTTCAATTGTGCTCTTCCCGATCGATCACATTAAGAGCTGGATGAGAAATTCCCTGCTGACTAAAATAAGACACTTGGGAGGAAAAACCCCTGAGAAAAACCTGGCGATATTTACATTTCTTGGCTTTGGAATGTTTGAGAAAGAAATTCTACAGTATCACACACGCGAGGCGCGATGTCATCTGTGAAAATATCGAAAGAGTCACACAATCTTTGTCTACTACACAAATATTGTCACCCATCTTCTCTCTGCTGAAATATAACTTCAAGGACGTCACACTGAGTGGTGAGTTAGCATCCCAATAAAAGCTAAATTTCTGCCACTACTGGTCTTCTGATAATTACCCATAACTAAGCTATCAGCCGTCATCGTGATGACCCGTCTAGTGCGCATTGACGTAAGACGTAAACAAATATGCCGGATCCGCGATCTGGAATTCGCGGCCGCCAATCAGGATGGCATCTTGGCGACCGCTAAAGAACAAAGGTGACTTCTATTCCTGAATTCTGAATTCCTTTCTTCTCCATCACCACCATTCTTGCGATGAGAGTGGGAGTGTGAACCAGTTGACATTGACTGGCCACTACTTTTTCTCCATCTCGCGAAAAACAACCGCATGTATTTTAAATATTGGTGGCTTGAAAACCAAACACCGCCTCGCCTCTTCCTCCTCTGCGGACCCATTATTTTAGGCCTCACGCATTCCAATCTCACCATCTTGCTCTCCGCCTTTCCACAGCCACCCACATTCACCCCTCAGCTTCACTCTTTCTCTCTCTCTCCTCAATGCGTCACTCCCGTCGCCATTTAACCGTTTCCTGAGAAGGGCAATTGCGAGACAACGCGTCGCTGTCCGTGGCCTTTGTCCTATCATCCCTACACTTTGCACGCGAGATGCGCCAGACGCCCATGGAAGTGGCGAATTCCACTGGCACGCACTGAATCTCCTCAGCTTCCTCTCTCTCCGTCGCACAGTCGCCCGTCCCGCTCAGGCGCTGTGGCGAAATGGCTAAAACACAAGGGCGACGAGATGCGCCCAAAGGACCCTCGAGAGACTATGCCTCCGATGCCGGAGATTCATTCAGCACACACAGGGCAAAAAACGCCAGCTTACGTGTAGAGGAAGAATGTAATTGATGATGTGTTGGTTGGAGACACGATGGCAAGCTATAATTTCTTCTCGCCAGTTGAGAAAAGCTCTCTAACCGTACAGTCCATCCTCTCTTTTGGTGTTGTTTCTAGAGTACCGCCGCCGCTGAGGAGACACCCAATGGATTCCTGGGAGTCAACAAGTCAACAAGTGGGAGCGGGATGGCATGAGATAAAAGTCGAATGATTTACACAAAACATGTTTTACGTCGAAAGAGATTCCTCTCCTCGAGAGACCAAATCGTCAAGTTGGCGCCAAACCAATGAACTCACAAGACAAAGTGGAGAAGCACACAACCACACGCGGCACACAGCTTCGCGCGCACACAGCCACACAAGTCCTCCTCTCTCTCTCTCTCACTCTGTCTTCGCCCACGAAATGAAATCGAATTACACGGAATGCACATGTGCGACAGAGTATTTTTAATGGGTCCTCTGACGCTTCACTCCTAATTAGCTCTTCCCTTCGCCACCCCCTCGCGCCTCATTTTCAATTATCTCCGCACAGCCTCACCGAGAACAAAGGCGTCACACCGATTCCCCGGAATTCCCTCGCAATACACAGAAATCCATACCGTAGAAAACCCGAGAAACTCTGCACACTTCAGCGCTCAGCTCAGAAATCAGGGCTTCAGACAGAACCCGCGATGGAAGGACACTTTGACAGGCATTTCTCTGAATTTCCAGAACCCCTCAATTGATTTCCTCGTATTTTGTATACTTCAAAGTCCCATAATAACGTGTATTATTAATAACGTCCAGACATTAAAGGCTGAATTAGTCATTTTGGGTGATAGTAAGTTTCTTCAAATCCTCAATTAATCTGAGCTTTGGAGAATATCAAATGAAATCATGTTAATTAACACTTCTCAATTGCATTTCATGATGTGAATCGTTCTTCTGCAGAGCATAATTTGCATGAGTTCTTCAATGCTCATAATAATATCCTAATTCGGGTAGTTAATAAGAACAGAACTTGCCTTAATTCCCAGAATTATGATCAGAGATTCACCGTTTAGCTCTAATCTGATCCACTTTTGCCAATCTAACGTGCGCTTCGTACGCACAATAGCATTAAATAAATCGATGCTGCCTTCGATCAACACCGCATAACCCCCGAAGGTTCGCTCAGTAAAGTGGTGAGTGATGGGTTAAGTGGAGCTTTGCCCCCTTTGTCTCACCCAATCGGCAAATTCCATGCGTCTGCCTGATTTCTGCAATTGGCTTCGGTCGCACAATCAATTTTAATTGCAATTAGGAGACTCTTTGCACATCGAAATTGGTGCAATTCACCATTTAATTATTCAAGAAAAACAATCGCCTCGAGACTCTTTGTTGCAACGCCTGACCTTTTTTTCCTCTCCTTTCGCTGCGAGAAGAATCACACACAGGACAAAGACGGTGGCGTCGATGGAGAGTTTGGGGAGCAGGTGTTATTGCCAAATTAATTCAACAGGCCGCAGCAAAAGGGCGAAGAAGTGGTGAAGCGGGAATTCCCTTCGCCGTCTCTCTCTATTTACTTTGATTTCTTTTTCCTCATCTGCGCCTCTTCGGCGTGCATTAATTCTCCCTTTATGCCTCGCATCTCTCGGCAAATGATTCCAACAGACAGAGGCGAAGATGAGGGACTTGATGGCTGGCTCTTGCTCTTTTTCCATCCTCTCTCTCTCCATTCGCGCCGCCTTTTGCCTCCGGTTCCATTACCTCGTGGTGTGTGTGCACCTCTGCCGTCTTGCCAGTTTAATAATTTCCCAGTCATCTCAGGCCAGACGAGCAGAGTCAGCCTGGCGGCCAATGTGGGATCCGAGAGATTGGAAAGGCGAAAGAGGAGCACTTGTCTCTCTTTTGTGTTGATTTAGTTACAAATCCTATACACAAAAGGTCTCTCCCATTCTGCTGTATTGCCTCATTTTCGAATGTTTTCCTTCTCTGCCTCTCACTCTCTCGCCCCTTCGCTGGAGGATTTTTAACAATATTTTTCGTGAGCCTCTCTTCTCGCCAAGTGTGTCTCTCTCTCTCTCTCTATGCAACACAGGTACACAATTCCTCGCCTCTATTGAAGAAAAAAGGCCTCACAGTGTGTATAGACAGAGAGACAAGTTTTATATGACGATTCCAGTGATTTCCAAGAGAAAGAGCGATGATGATGAAAAAGCGTCTTCACTTGTTCACTTCTTTGGGATTCTCCTTTGATGTCTTCTAATACACAATATGACGCCTCCATGCCGGCATCCGCTGCCGCCATCAGATTGTAGCGATTATGCGAGACATGAAACGCAAAGACCATCGCCTCGTCCTCCACTCCTCGCGCCCCAGGTCATCGCTCAATTGATCTCTCGGCCGAGGTGTACAGTTAGGGAGCCGCCGAGGTGACCAGCGACTCTCTGTGCGGGTTTGGGGCACCTAAACACCGTCCACAGTGTATCAGAAATGCCAATGGAACCGACGATACTCCTCTCGCCTCTGCTCCTCTCCCTCTTCGCCCATCGATGAATAATGCCACCTGTCTGATCTCGAAGGTGTCCATCGTAAAAGTTGGATTGCTTCATGGACTCGTTCCTTTTTTACGTCTTTTTCGCGTTGCCTCCACGCCTGTAATTTATCTTGTGGACCACGAAGAACTCCATCCGACTCTCCGCCAGTTTCAGCAGTCATCTCAAATGTTGCGTGCTAAATTTTCCTCGCCACAGCTGCCTCATATGGTACGCTTTTTTCCACGTTTCGCCGTGTCGCTGAGCCTCCAACCAGTTTCAATTGATGCCGATCAGGAACCACACTCTTGAGGCTTGAAGGCTTCTTAGAGTCATCACCGTACGTAATCCAGTTTAGGGGAATTCCTAGGCTTTTCTGTGACCTTTGCAGCCGACTTAATGACGCCAAGAAGTGACAGAGACACCTAATGAGGGACAGCAAGTGTAAGACAGGGTGCATTTCTCCCAAATGACCGTCGCCAGCCAAGTGGTTTCACTCCTTAATGGGTTAAGGGAATTCTTGTGAGGCTTCCATTGTCTCCCAGAAGTCCCAGACGTTGATTAAGAAGGAGGAAAAGACTCCGCATGAAATTCATAGAGTGACACACACCAAAATGGGAGGCAACTTTATTACAACATACGGAATATTTTATCGTTTTCACCTTCTCAAAGACACTTCCTCAAAATTCATTTGGTGTGCAATGGCAAAAAGCGATTTCTATATACACCTTTCCATTCATTCCCAACACTCTTGTGTGTCGCCCCAATATACTTTATACCTGTAGTCGTTCTGTTTTGCTATTTTTCCTCTCTCAATTGATTTCTCACTTCTCGGGAGGCTTTTAACCTTTTTTTCTCGGGAAGCCATAAATGCCTGGGCATGTGAATAATTTTCATAATGAAATACGAGAGCTTTAGCGCACTTCTTTTTCGCCAAACAACACTGTCTGCCATGTGTATATTTGTGTCGTAATGGCACATTTTGCCCTGGAGTCGCGCATTGTGAAAATGTGGAGCGAAAATTAGTGGAAACTTTTTTTCTTCTCCACACTGGCGGAAAAACACGTTTTTGGCGTGATTTATTGGGTGACATTTTATTGGCATTTCCAATGAAGCGATAATCCAATCTGATTAGAATCTAAAGCTGAATTCGAAGAATATGAAATAAAGTGAGAAATCATGAGAATCGATCTAGAAACAACTTCCTTGTGCTTCATGGCTGCGATGGAGAGTTTTGCAGAAGTCTTTCAATGGAAAAAGAAGATTCATTGAATTGATGAGCCAGAAATGAGCTCAGATTTCAGTTCAGGATTGTTATTGGCCTTATTGCTCCGCACACCACTGTACAGAGTTCAGCAGCGGATTAATCAGCCACGCGGGATCTCAAGTGGCAGGGGTCGAATTGGGGAGTCCAGAAATCGTCCCATTGAGTGAAACTAATAGAGCAAATATTTGCTTTAGCATTTCCTGATTCAGAGAGCGCCCTCGATCTTATCGAGACACTCAATCGCAGACGCGCGCGCTCATCATCGGCTAACGGACGGGCAATTTTGAGCTTTGTGCGCGGCCCCAGAGAGTGCCCCATTGCTGAGAAGCGCCCAGGAGCCATCAGGCATGCAACAAGCCAAGAGGCGCCCAGAGCACTTCACAAGATACACGCTGGCGTCGTGTGCGTGACAGAACCGCGCTCACTGCGCGATCGTGGTGTGCGTGTGTGCGGGAATTCCCTTACGTAACGACTCGGCAATTCGAATGTGGTGGCGCGCGTTTGCCAATTTCTGCTCTCTGTGTGCTCCCATACAAGAAGCCAGAACTCCACCAGCCATGGCGTGGGCTTTGCCCATGAAAGATGGCACATTTTCCGATTTCCTGCTCCAGCGAGCTCCACCCATTCAGGGGATCACCCAGTGATTCATCTCCGCTTCCCGTCCCGCGGCGCGAGGGTGTCCCCACCCCACGGTCGCTCTGCACACCAGCGGAGTCGCCTGATTTCACACGAAATATTTTCACCATGACTCCGCGCCATCAGAGATCGCGCGTAGGCCCGAAATTCCTCTCCCTCTCTCTCTCACTCTGGCTATTTGGCTGGGGCTGACAAAGACGGCGCGGGGGAAGAGCGGGTGGTAAAAATAGGACAAAAGACAACTTACTTGACGCTGCTGCCTTGGCTGAGACTCCTTTCCTGCGACCCATGACGTCAGCAAATGATGTTGATTATCTCCAATGCAAAACAATGTATAACCCTCTCACTCACACATGCACCGACCGAATGGTCCATGAATGAAATGGCAAAACTTCAGCCTCTCACGCACACCTTCTCGCTCTTGCGCGAAAATTCCTCTACTCTTCCCTCTTGCTCACACGCGCGCGCGATTTTCCTGACAAATGCACTCTATTTTCGTCACTCTGTGCATTTTTCCACCACGTCTCGCCTGAATCACCCCCACAAATCCCGGCCACACTGTGTGCGCGCCCAACAAGAGTCTGGAAGATCGCGTAGTCAGGGAGTTCCGCTATGGCGGCCTCTATTTTGGCATGCTAACCAGAGTTTTCACTGTTCACCATCGTCAAGCAGACACACCACCTGAGGCACTTGTCTCTGCAGCAGGAAATATATGCATGGGATGCACTTGTTTTCTCCCTCTCAAGTCACTCCTCAACACCACGAGTAACATCAACCACTCTCTTCGACGGTTCAACACAAACTGACGAATCGCGCTGATGGCCTCCGCCTGACAGCTCCCCTCCGCCGACACCAGCGCCACTCGCGACGCCCGCCGCGCCTCTAGTGGAAGAAAACACCTCGAGTCAAGGTCACAGCCCAAAAGGGCTCTTTATTGGCGCGTAACTTCAAAAGCATTTCCTTGTGAATGTCAGGTGGTGTGCAGAGCTCGGAATGAGATTACGTGGAGCAGCTGAGAGCCACCGAGATGAAGTCCTCAAAGGATATCTGAATAATGCCCTTCTGCTCGTTGTCGCGCTGCCTGAAAGCCTCCGTGAAGCGCTGAATCTGCACGCAAAGCACTATGAACTGGTCAACAGAGATTTCCCGGTGGTTCTTCGGATCGCTCTTGTGCACAAGGAATTGCACGAAGTTGGGCGAGAACCGGAATCCCATCTGCTGGAAGGCGGAGTTCAGCTCGCCCTCGTCAATGTGGCCAGAGCCATCGCGATCGTAGCTCTTGAAGGCATTCAGCCACTGATTAATGTAAGTGTAGAGCTTATCGAACTCCTGGACATCAATCGTTCCGCTGTGATCCTGATCGAACATCCCTGGAAAGAGTAAATGACATTGATTCACGCGTTGCTTCCGGATCTTGGCTTGCACTCACCGATCATCAGACGGCAAGCTGTGTCTGAGAAGTTTTGGCCACGTCCGTTTACCAGGGCGTGTTGCAACTCCTCGGCATTGATCTTTCCGGATCTGTCTCGATCCACCACGGCAAAGATTCTCTGCGTTTCTGGGTTCACGCCAGGCGCCCCCATCATGGGTGGCGGAGCTCCGTAGCCTCCCTGCGTTGGGTTGTAGCCCGGCTGCTGCTGGCCGCCGTAGCCCCCATATCCGCCTTGATAGCCCTGAAAAGATCCGGAAAACTAATGAGTCACCTTGATTTATTTATGGCCAATTAATCCTAATTTCCTCTGGTGATTTTCCGGAAGATTTCGGATGTAGCTCCTAAAGTAGGTGTTAGGGCACATTTCTAATCACACAGATTGAAGATAAACTCACCGGATAAGCCATATTTTTGAAGAAATTCCTGGAGCGAAGAGGCCACAAAAACACCTTGATTGACGTTTTAAGAATTCGATGTTTCTCCAAACTGGCATGCAAGAATGGCAATCATTATCAGCAATCATTAAAATTTTGTGTAGAAAGCAAATCAAAACAAACAATTTTGTGTAGAAAATCCTCAATTAAGAGAGAATGGAAGTCAAGAAAGAGGCGGAGAACGACACTCTTGATTACGCTATTGTGAAGGAAGAATATTACATTGATGAGAAACCGAGCATTCCCAAACAGGAGAAGGAGTGAGTTTTTTTTTACTGCCTCGCTCTTGTTATTTTTTCATTATATTATCCTCTGCTTTTAGACAGTCTTTGGATATCCCTGATGTGAAGGAGACTATAAAGTTTGAGATCACGGAGATTGAGCAGAATTCTTTGCCAGAGTCTGAGGACAAGACATTCAGCTGTTCGCAGTGCTTCAAGTCATATGGAAGCAAGAAAGCCCTGAACAGACACAGTAAGATTCATTCTGAGAACGCATCATTTCCTTGCGCAGTCTGCCAGAAGTGCTTCAAGACCGTCAGCTATCTGAGGAATCACATGATCATCCATGGCGAGAGGCGTCATGCGTGTGAGATTTGCGGAAAGAAGTTCATCGACCGCTCTCACGTTAAACGCCACATCCGGCAAATGCACGAGAAGTACGACCAGGAAGCTGTCCTTTTCCCAGCCACGCTAAGAATCGCTCTATCTTTCCAGCAAAAGACGCGTCAAAAAAGACTACATTTGCCAAGACTGCGGCAAAGTTCTTCGGGACAAGTGCCGCTACAGGCATCACTTGAGAGTCCATGAAGAGAAGACCATCCAATGTCCAGAGTGTCCGCTAAAGTTCAAGTACCAGCACAACCTGGCCAAGCATCGAGCCGTTCACAGCTCCAGCAAACCCTTCGAGTGTCCGCACTGCCCGCGAAAGTTCAAGTCTAAGGCCGTTCTAGTCAATCACATGCGTATCCACGACAAGGGATCGGCCCTCCTTGCCTGCGATATCTGCAGCATGACATTCCAGTGGAAGAGGAACCTGCGGAAGCACATGCAGGAGCACAGTAGCGCCAAAGAGTGCGTTCCTTGTCCGCACTGCTGCAAGAACTTGTGGCAGAAGCACCTGGAGATGCACATCAGGAAAATGCACAGGGATCTGTGCCTAGTCGACAGTGGTCCTCCTTTGGTGATTAAAAAGGAAAAGAAGTAAATTACTGTTATTGTAAAAAAAAGCCCGCGGATTTTGCGATTCAAATTCCTTCCTATGCGAAAATTTCGATGTTGATTTTCGAACGTGACGTAACCTCGATGGCGGGCGGCTCGCCTGTTTATTATTGTGCCGTTTTACCGTGAAAAGCCATGCAAATAAACGGCCAGAAGGTCTGCCTCGCCTTTCGGAGGCACTATGGCACCAGCCTGGCGAAGAATTGCGCGTCCGCGAGCAGTGTTAGGCAGCACTTCTTGGATTTCTTCCTCAGCAGCAACCACAAGTTCGTGCGGTCAAGTCCGGTGGTTCCCTTCTGTGATCCCACGCTGGCCTTCGTAAACGCCGGCATGAACCAGTTCAAAGGCGTGCTGCTGGGACGCGAGACTCCGCTGCACAGACGCGTGGTCAACAGCCAGAAGTGCGTGCGTGTCGGCGGGAAGCACAACGATTTGAATGTGGTGGGAACGGACGGGTATCACCACACATTCTTCGAGATGCTGGGCAACTGGTCGTTCGGGGACTACTTCAAGGAGGAGGCCTGCCGCCTGGCATGGTCACTCATTACAGGGCCGCTGCAGATCAACCCGCAGAGACTTTACGTGACATACTTTGGGGGAAATGAGAGACTAGGATTGCCTGCCGATGCGGAGTGCATTGAGATCTGGCGCAGTATCGGGTGAGTAGTGGCTCTTTCTGGAGATGTTTAGAGGAGATCAAGGGTGACTTTGACGTCTTTCAGACTGCCTCAGGAGAGAATTTTGCCCTTTGGCATGGAGGAGAACTTTTGGGAAATGGGACAAACGGGTCCCTGCGGCCCCTGCTCTGAGATCCACATCGATCACACGCTCCAGACCGGCAACAGAGCCTTGTCCGTGAACATGGGCCTGGCAGACCTCACGGAGCTGTGGAACATCGTCTTCATTCAGTACAACAGAGAGGAAGATGGCACGGTTTCTACGCTTCCCGAGCGTCATGTAGACACAGGAATGGGATTCGAGCGTCTGGTGGCCATTCAGCAGGGCTCCAGGAGCAACTACGACACGGATCTTTTCACACCGCTTTTTGATTCCGTGCAAAAGGTGAGCTTTAAGCTACAAACCCAGGCATATCATTATCTCAGCAGTCTTCTTATCACGATACTCAAGACTTGAGATTAAGAGTCCATCAGAGGGTTCAAAATGCAAGTGAGAAAGTGGCTTGAGTGGTCTTCAATTAACCTTATTCAAATACAATGGCAATGATTGTCGTCAATTCCTCAATGAATTCAACAGGTCGCCAAGTGCGAACCCTACGGAGGTGCTTTCTCAGCCACTGCCGCCACTTATCAGCTAGACACTGCCTACCGGATAATCGCTGACCACTCCCGGATGATCCTCGCCTGCCTGGCCGACGGCATGATCCCGGATCAGAAGTGAGACATTTACTAATCGCTCAATTTCTATATATTTAATTCACACTCAATTCTCTTCAGCCACAAACTGCGGAGAATCCTACGAAGAGCCTTGCTGATCTCCGAGCGCTCCTTCTGCCAGAAGCGCCTCCTGTACGAAATAATCCCACGCGTGGCTGAAGTCTTGGGTGACACTTATCCGGAAATGCAGTCGCGCCTGCCAGACGTGCTGCAGATTGTGCGTCACGAGGGCGAAGTGTTCGACAATCTGCGACAAGCCAGTAGCGAGGAGGTGAAGAAGCTCATTAAGGATTTTCCACACCTCGAGGAGCTCGATGTGTTGGATTCTCCAGGCTTCGTGCTGGCCTTCGAGGAGCTCCAAAGGCACAAGATGCACTTCAAAGTGGAGTCCAGCGGCCTTCCGATCATTCCCAGTGATTTACTGTTCAAGTTTTACGACACATATGGATTGGATCGAGACACGCTTGAGCATCTGGCATGTCTCGAGAAGCTCCACATGGACTTGGCGGCGTTCGAGGAGCACCTGAGAGTGGCCAAGCGGAAATCGATGGTGACCAGGAGGAATGCCATGAAGTTGCCTGGCCAGGAGATTGTGAAACTGCCAGAAACCGACACTGAGCCTAAATATCAATACTCATATGATCAGGAGGCGCATACATATCGCGTCCCACCTGTACAGGCGAAGATCCTGGCCATTGTGGTGGATCGGGAGGCTGTTCAGAGAGCGGAGGATCTGCCTGAAGGAGATTCCGTGACAGTTGTCTTGGACAGGAGTAATTTCTACCACGAAAGTGGCGGTCAAGAAGCAGATTTCGGTGTGATTGTGTTGGCCAGTGGCGTAGAGATGCCCGTCAAGGGCGTGGAGAATCTCCAGAACCGCCTGCTGCACACTGTGTCCTGGAAAGAGGGAGCCAAGCTCTCACTGGGCGAGTCTGTGACTCTCACCGTCAACTCTGAAGCTCGCTCTGGAAACATTCTTCACCACACTTCCACTCATTTGCTGAATGCGGCCGTTCGGAGGATCACTGAAGGTGTGGTTTATCAGAGATCCAGCTCCGTCACGAGTACTGGGATGAAGATGGAGTTTGGTGTGTACGGACAGAAAAAACTAGACGTGGAGAATCTGGAGAGAGTTCAAGAAGTTGTGCGGAGCGCCATTGCGAAGGCGATTCCGCTGAACATTACGACAATCGACTCACAGGAGCTTCTGCGGCGCAATCAGGAGATCACGATGGTGCCTGGAGAGGTGTATCCGGATCGAGGACTGAGACTTGTGGAGATTTTGCATGAGGGCGGTGATCTCCAGTCACGAGAGCTCTGCTGCGGAACTCACGCACGAAATACGCGGGAACTAGAGGACTTCTGTCTGACCAGCGTGAAATCCGTGGGCAGGGCGTCGTATATGGTGTCAGCAGTGGCGGGAAAGGCGGCGATCAGGGCGCAAGAGATGGGAAGACAGATGACTGAGGACGTGCAGGGCATCAAGAGGGATCTGGAGACGGGAAAGCAGCAAATCGAGCATCTGGAGGCTCGTGTGCATCGCCTCAAGAATGTCCTGCAGCACGGTTTCCAGGAGAATCTCATAATCCCGCACACAGTCAAGGTGTCGTCGCTGGACATCCTGAATGGCATCGCCAAGCAGATTCGCAGTGTCACGCGCGAGACTCTAAAGGAGTTCATTGAGATCGAGATGAAGAACGTACTGGAGGACAATCCGTCGGATCAGAGTCCATTTATCGTGCACTTCCTCTCCAGTGCGTCGCTGATGGAGAGTGTCTCTCTGCAGAAGGCCACGAGACTGTGCCCAGATCGCCCGATTCTGGTCATTTCCCTCACTGGTGGTGAGATCAAAGCCCGCTGTTGTGTACCTGAGGTGAGTTCGCAATCTCCTTGAGCACTGACAAAGGTTGCTAAACCTCCTGAATCTTGCAGAAGTGCGTCACGAAAGAATTCACCGCTGACCTGTGGCTGCAGGAAGTGAGCAGAGTGTTCAAGTCGTCGTGCGCCGCGCCCAAAGGTCAGGATGGCAACTTCGTGTGCAACATGAAGGCCAAGAAGATCAAGCTATCGGCTGTGGATTCCCAATTGGAAACAGCTCTCACCTTCGCCAGAGACTACGCTTCCAGACTCATGCCGCGCTGACCAACAAAGTCCACCATTCTTTTCACAATTTATTAATACATATAGAAAAATATTCTTATCTCTTAGTGAAAAATCGTTAAAAATTTACAATTTGCATAAGTACACCGCGTCTTCCGCTTGACTGACGACCGGCCAAGAGGCCAGGAGATTCCTAAATGGATGGATTGGTCTCGTGAGATTCAACAGTTGCTGATGTATATGTGTGTGGCACTATTTGTCCGGGAAGAGCGTATCGTAGCTGGGCGGCAAATCCTTGTCTTCCGCCCTGGACTGTGGCTGCGTCGAACTGGCCACTTGCGGCAAGTGCAGCTCGATGGGCGCCTCCTGTGATGCGACAGTGTTGGTCTGCTGATCCGCCGTGGCGGCCGTGCTGGCCGGCGGACCCGCGAAGCACTCCTCCAGGCAGAATCTGTACTTCCAGCAGCACCACAGACAGCCGCCCACGGCCACTGCCGTGAAGATGAAACTGGTGATGGCACTCAGGGCGATGTTGGACGAGTTCAGCGTCTTCCGCATAACACTCTGCTGTCCCACCAGGCAGGACACCTCGTCGGCGCACAACGGGGCGTTGCAGTTTACCACGGAGTCCCTGTAGTACTCCATCGGGATGCATCCCTTGTTGTTGCGGAAGCACGAGAAGGCGAACGAGTCATCGCAATCTGCGGAGAAAAACAGAGGATGGTAGATTACTGTCTTATCTTTCGAAATCCTGGACCGTTTCCCACGTCAAGCACCAAGCAAGTGAGTCCGAACACTAGAATTTACTCAAGATAAACTAGCAGTAAATTGATAAGTGGGAAACAGTGGCAATCTGACACTCCCCAGCGATTTAATTGGCCCGCGGCATGATAATTACCTCGGTAATTGGTGAGAACCATTGAGATTTCAATGAATTCCTCCAGGTCATCTGGCCTCCTGCCGCCGATGTGCAGCTGAACACTCATCTCGCCCGTGGGGCTGTTGAACGAGATCGCGGGCGTCTCCTCCGTGCCGATCTCCTCGCAGATCTTGCTCGTCTTGTCGCTGCCGCCGTAGCGCACCTGAATGTAGTCCCTGCACTCGCTCTTCCCACTCGACTTGGTGCGGAAGTTGAGCCTCTGAATCACGGCGAACAGGCCCGAATACCTCGTCGTCGTGTTGATCATCACCATGCACTGTATGTCCAGGAGCGGCAGGAACTTGGTGTTCCACGACTCATTCACCAGAGCCGCCTTGCCCTGCTCCAGGAACAGGATCTTCTGATGAATCACATCGCTTCCGCCTCCGCGACAGTTTGACGTGAAGTTGAACTGACCTGCGCGAGAAGAGGAGAGCCGTTTTGGGCCGCCCCAGCTAAGGATTTCCTGTCAATTCGATACTCACGATATTCCCCAGCGAAGGCATCTTCAATCAGAAGGGTCAGTGCCAGAATTGGTGTGAGGTATTGGATAAAATTCATGCTTTTTCACTGCACTTTCTTCCCATGGGGAATTTTTTCTATCATTTTCTCTCCACAAACTGTCAGAATCATCAGTGCGGACTTGACAGGTTTCCCGATATCATCATCATCATCATCATCGCGCCCGGGTGTCATCAAAACTGCTCCTCCTGACCACTTCTGACCTGCTGGTCAATGGAAACACCCTCTCGATTGGTTTAGCCATGGGAGTTCCCTACTTCCTGGTCAAGTCTGTTCTCGCAGGAATTCCTATCGGACTCGCCTTCCTGGATATTGTTGGTTATGTCGCCCGGGTCGAAGGTAAGTCCTCTTCCTGCCCCCCCTGGCAACATTTATTGCAATGCTCTCTCACCTCTGCCAGGAGCCTCCATGCAGCCTGCGCTCAATCCTGGCCACACCGACACGGATTACGTCTTCCTCTCGCGCTGGAGCGTGAGACATCTCGAGCTCCATCGCGGCGACGTTGTGAGTCTCGTTTCGCCGAAGCATCCGGAGAGACGCATCCTGAAACGCGTCCTGGCCCTCGAGGGCGATGTCATCTCCACGATTGGCTACTACAAGCCCTACGTCACCGTTCCTGAGGGCCACTTCTGGATAGAAGGCGACAACACGGGCAATTCTCTGGACAGCAACACGTTCGGGCCAGTCGCGCTGGGCCTGGTGACAGCCCGCGCCACGTGCATCGTATGGCCTCCGTCGCGTTGGCAGATCCTGCCCTCCTTCATGCCCCCCAAACGACAGCCCATCGTGCGGAGTGAAAAAGCCTCGTAGTCTGGACTGTGTTCTATATATATTGAGTGTCCCGCGGGGACAATAAATTAGCTAGAAGGCTCAGAAGGGCTGCTAGAGATCTGGACCTTGGAGAGTTTGTTCATGGGCAGATGCACAGATTTGTTGACACTCGTGATCACGCCCGTAGCCACCATGGCGCCCTGTTCGCGAATCGTGAACGGTTGTCCCACAGTCATTACCATTTCCCTGAAGAGCGTCAGCCGCACAGAGCCGTGATCGCCCGGAATCATCATGTCCTGATCGCCAACTGGAAGGCAAATAATCCAAATCACTTTAGTCCATTCGAAAGATTTCTTAACTCGCTCGTCAGGCATTTAATTTAAATGGAATTGCAATTTGCAAACCATGCAATATAAAACAAATTTCACCCAATTAAACTTTATTGAGATAAGAAAAATTTACCAAATATAGGCAGAAGTGGCAGAAATAGTAATAATTCCAAATATTAGAATTGTGACGCAGAAATGTGAATTTATTTAATATTTTGTGATGAGATAATAATTATCAGTTAAATTATTTGAACAACTGTGAGATATAAAATCTCCTTGATCTTTAATTCGCAACATTTTCAATCTTAATCAAATTTTACTTTATACGAAAAAACATAAAAAGTGCAATAAATGATATCGCTGTTCAGCAACAAAGTCGTTTCCTTCGGGAAACGCAGAGAGAAACTGATTTTCTACCAGTGAGTTTTGCTCCAATATTCCAATTGTAAGTTCAGTAAGTTTTTTTCTCGGAAATTTTCAAAAACTCAATAACCCACGAACTGTGCTAAGATTAAAGAATTACAGCGATCATTATTAGATTAGATTAGATATTTAATTCTACTTCAGAATCCAACTCTAGTCTGAATTGCTAAACCGCTTTCGACTTGCGTGGATCAAAACACGATCAAGATTCGGTAATTTCTGCTTTGTTTTTGATCGTATTCCGCAATTTGTGTTTATTTTTATATAAATGCGTAAATTTAGAAATAGTGTCCACTTTTTGCTATTCCTCCTCAAAAAGCTCTCTTTGTATCTCGAGTGTAATTAACTAAACAATAACTCTCTTGGAGATTTGGAATCTTTCGTGATAATCTTCGGAAATCACTTCAACCGTCTGATTTATAGGTTTGTCGTCCTTATCAAGTTCACCCTTTTGCCAGCCAGACACGATCCACTTCATGCTGTACTCGTACTCGCCATATATTCTCACCTGATTGTACGAAAATGTATCTGGTGATGTATTACTCACAATCTTCATAGACTTTCCGTTTCTGCGCTCACTAACTGTTAATTGCTGATCCGCCAGCGACGCTTGCGGCCGCAGAAGTGATTTCCTCCGCTTTTTGCAGAAGAATTCGACAGCAATAATGGCATCGTTCACAGCGTGGGATTACGTGGTGTTCGTGCTGATGCTCCTGATCTCAGCCGGTATTGGCGTCTACTACAGATTCACTGGCGGAAAGCAAAAGACAACCAATGTGAGCGACTAAGAGCTTCTTTCCCGAATTCAGCACTTTGATGGACTTGACGTGTTAAATTGCAGGAATATCTCTTGGCCGACAGGAACATGAGCATCTGGCCAGTGTCATTCAGTCTCATGGCGAGCTTCATGAGCGCCATCACAATTCTGGGCGTGTCGATGGAAAATTATCAGTTCGGCACATCCTTCGCCATCATCAATCTCGCCTACGGCCTGGCCACGCCGATCGCATCGCATCTCTACCTGCCCGTCTTCTACAAACTGCAGGCCGCCAGCGCTTATGAGTACCTCGAGAGACGCTTCGGCAGAGCCACGAGACTCTGCGCCAGCATTGCCTACTCACTGCAGATGATCCTGTACATGGGAATCGTCCTCTACGCTCCCGCCCTGGCTCTGGAGGCTGTCACTGGAATGCCCAAAGTCGCCGCAATCCTGGCCATCGGATTCGTCTGCACCTTCTACTCCACCATCGGCGGCATGAAGGCTGTTCTCATCACCGACGTCTTTCAGTCACTCCTCATGTTCGCCGCGGTTTACTGCATCATTATCGTGGCAGTTGGTCTTGCAGGTAAGGAACTCTCTTAACCAAATATTTTGCGAAAGAAATTACACATCCTTCTCTCTACAGGCGGTTTCGGGGAGATTTGGCGCATTGCTGATGAAGGGGGACGAATTGAATTTCTCAAGTAAGCTAACTGAAATCCCTCGTGAAGTGCACTCCTATCGAAATTCCCTGCTTTCCAGCATTGATCCCGATCCCACTGTTCGCCACACTCTGTGGTCTTTGATCATCGGCGGCGCCTTCACTTATCTCTCACTCTACGCCGTGAATCAGACCCAAGTGCAGCGCCTGCTGACTGTGCGGAGTCTCAGAGCCTCTCAGACAGCCCTGTGGCTCAACTGGCCCATCCTTTCTCTGCTCAGCTTCAGCACGTGCTTCTGCGGCCTCGCCATCTACTACTACTACGCCCACTGCGATCCTCTGCTGCAGGGCAGAATCTCGTCCCGCGACCAGCTCATGCCGATCTTCGTGGTGGACACAATGCACGATTATTCCGGACTGCCCGGGCTCTTTGTCTCGGGCATCTTCTCAGCGAGTCTATCCACAGTCTCGGCGGCCCTCAATTCCCTGGCCGCCGTGACACTCGAGGATTACATCAAACCGCTGTATTTGGCGCTGAAGAAGAAGCCTCTGGTGGAGTCACAATCCACTCTGCCGTCCAAGCTGATCTCCTGCACCTACGGATTGATCTGCGTGGGAGTGGCTTTCGCCACCCAATCCCTGGGCGGAGTGCTGCAGGCCGCATTGACCGTGTTTGGAGTGGTCGGAGGACCACTATTCGGCCTCTTCACGCTCGGCATGTTCAACACTGTGACAACTCAGAGATCTGCCATTCCTTCCCTTCTCACGGGCCTGGCATTCGCCATGTGGGTGGGATTTGGCCAGCCAAAGCCTCCCGTTAAGATGCTGGACTTCAGCGTGGAAGAGTGCTCAGACACTCGCTACAACTCTTCCTATTCCGACGTCTCAGTACCTATTTTCCCGCGCGAAGAGACAGCCAATCCCACTTCTGACGATTCCGAGTACTTCTGGCTCTACCGACTCTCCTATCTCTGGTACAGCGTCCTGGGATTCTTGGTCACTCTGTTCGTTGGCCTCGTACTGACTTATCTCCTCAAGTGGCTGAAGCTCGAGGGTGAATCACGAATCTACGCAGATGGCAACAAGGAATGCATCAACACTGATCTCTTCTCCCCGCCGATCGCGTGGCAGCTAAAGAAGCGCCACACGAAGTACATCGAAAACGGAGGAGTGGTGAGAATACCCAATTTTGTTCAATTGTATTTCCCACTGAAATATCATTCTCGGCAGGTTGATATCTCTAGCAGCAATATAACAAGCGACAACGCGGAAAACACAAAGTTATAGCGATAAAAATTACAACCGTAGGACAACGATTGGGAAAAAATTCAAAGGGAGTAGCTTAGCTCAATAAAACACTGTTGTAAAATGGGTTTTAAAAGACACCTATGAAGGTTAAGAAGTACTAGAGAATCTCACTCACCAAGATCAACTCTGCAGGGCACATTCCAGGTGCGGCTGAACATCTGCTGGATGTACTTGGAAGTCAGTGGCCTGGATCTTCCGCCTTCGCCTTTCGTCAGTAAATACATCGAGCCGTTGAAGTGATTGGAGATCTTCTCACTGCCGGCTTCGCAGAGCAGCATCCCTCGCTGCACAGTCGAAATCTTCACGCCCCTGAGAAGAACTCCAACATTGTCTCCGGCCACGGCTTTTGGAACGCTCTTCCTAAAAATCTGAATATCTCCCAGGGTCGTTTTGGCCTTCTCACCGAAGCCCAGCAGTTCAGAAGCACTGTTCTTCATCATGACGCCCCTCTTGATGGTGCCCACGACCACAGTTCCCCGTCCGGGCACTGTGAACGCATTGTCAATGGGCATAAGGAAAGGCGACGTCAAATCGCGCGTGGGCGTCGGGAAGTAGCTATCGATCGCGTCCATTAGTCTCCGTATCGAGTCCTCGCCTATCGGCGACGTGTCTCCGCTGAGCGCGGCCTTGGCTGATCCACAAATGACCGGACATCCGACACCGTCGAAGCCGAAATCGTACAGAAGTTCTCGCAGCTCGAGTTCAACCAACTCCAGCATCTCCTTGTCAGCCACGTCCGCCTTGTTGATGAACACCGCCACCTTCTCGATGCCCACCTGCTTCGCCAGCAGAAGATGCTCCCGTGTCTGCGGCATGGGGCCATCGTCAGCGGCGACCACGAGGATCGCGCCGTCCATCTGAGAAGCGCCCGAGATCATGTTCTTCACGTAATCAGCGTGACCAGGACAGTCTGTGTGAGCGTAGGTGCGAGCCTTCGTGCGGTAGCCTATGTGACAGGCATTGATTGTGATCCCTCTGGCCTGTTCCTCTGGCGCCCGGTCAATTTCATCGAAGGACACAAACTTGCACAGTCCGTCCTTCGCCAGGACCTTCGTGATCGCCGCCGTGAGAGTCGTCTTACCATGATCAATGTGTCCTATCGTGCCAACATTGCAGTGTTTCTTACCCTCGGTGCTCTCAGTATCCGCAGAAGATGCACTCTTCTCTGGCACAGAGTCTTGTGAGAAGAGCCGGGTGAGCACAAGAGATGATGATTTGCTCGCATTTGCAGAAAAGCCTCTGGCAAATGTGTGTGCATTGCGGTAGTTTACACGCGGGAGGATATACTTAGATTGATTTCTAATGGTATTAACACAGGAAAGTAGGATAAAACGAGGAATTTTCATCCTGTTCACTTTTCATAAAAACACAGGTTATGAAACTTTGTTGTGGTCGAGTTTGCCAAAGACACCGCATGGCGCTCACAGCGGCTGAGGAGAATTTTTCCCTCGCGCACAGCTTTCGGAATTGCGCCAAATGACAACGTGCTTTCGATGCTCTGCAAATTCTTTCCCAAAACTACGATAAAAGATTAATAAAAATGTCTATTTTTGTAGGAACATTTTCCACCGTCATTTATTCAGTCATTTGTACAATTAGTCCGCAGAGAGATCGCCAATTTCGTGTCTGGCAAAACAGACGAGAAAATTTCCTTAATTTTTACCAAAAAAGATATTTTTTGTTCAATTTCTTTAAGACCAAAGTAGTTTTACGAATCCAATAGTATTTTTTTTTCTTTCCCACGTGTAATCTTTCGACTTTCGTTGGGAAATTTCTTAAGATTACCAAATTTCTACAATTAGAACACGCGCCTAATATAATTGATATTTTCTTCTTTATAAATGTCTTATGAAGCAAAATTTTGAAGCCAATAGGGTTTTCTTTAAGTATATAATGCAGCTTTCTGATATAATATCTTTTAGAAAATGTTTTCTCAAAACTCACTTAATTACTTTCTTGTAGAATTCACTGAAAATTCTTTGATTTGTCACTCAAATATTTCTTATCAATACTTTTCTTATTTCAGAATTGCTTCTAATTTTTTGTTCCAGCCATAAAAACACACACTCGATCAATAAGATTACTTTTAAATGTGGTTTCCTTTAGTTAATATTTTTTTCTCTTTAAATTTAAGTTCATAAAAAAACCGAAGAGTTCACTTTCTATATGCAAAAGAATGAAATCATAAACAAACAATAAAAAAAGACAAAAAATCAAATTTCCTTCTTTAAGAAATCGTCTTCTTCTTAGAAAAATCACCAGCCTAGATAATTCATTCTTTGTGTTCTCTTTACTCTACAATTTCCACAATTTCTTTTGAAATAATCGTAAAATTTCTATTCTTTTTACTTGTAAAAAACTTCTTTTATTTGCGATCAACTCTCAAGAGCCTGCGATTTCGCGGGGCGGCATTTTCTCAAAATACGCGCCCCCCCGAGAATCCGGCTCACAGTCGATCAATAATCACACGGCACTTTACATTTTCCCTTTTGTTAGGTTCGATTCTCTCTATATTTGAGGTTAATTTCTTGTATTTTTGCTTTGCTTCCAATTCTCCTCTCTAATTTTATGGCAAAATGGATTGGCACCAATATACTAAAGGTAAAAATCACAAAAAAGGAAAATAATACAATGATTTTAGCGTTTCTTTTATCTTCGTCATTGTCAATATCTTAAAATAAAACTTAGAATTTCTTCATCAAACAAAACAAAGTTACAACTTTTTTTTCTTTCTTCATCAATTTTCACTTTAACGCTCTTTGCAAAATAAATCATAATTTGAAAGAAAAAAAATGTGAATTCTATACTTTTGACTTTTGTCACAATATTGGAATATTTCTCAAATACACGATTTTTTTTTAATTCCATTTGGAAAAATTCAATCTTCCCAGAAATACTAAAAAGTTTTCTTTTCATATTCTCATGAAAAGTATCTAAAAATTCTTGAAAGTTTTTAATTTGCTTCACAAATTTGTTATTTTTCGATTTATATCTTTTTTTCTCAAAATCTCAATTTATAATTCAATTGGTGACCAAATATTGTTTGTTGAGTAGTAAAAAATTTCATCTTTCTCTTTAGGCTGCCTTTCTCTAACAAACAAATCATTAGAATTATATCAAAAATCAGTCTTGCTCTCTTGAGAGAAAACTCATTAATCTTAAAAATAGAAGTTGAAAAAAAATGAAACTCAAGAGAAAAGCACGTTTTTCCTCTCCACCTCCAATCGAAGGCCTAAAAACCCCCCAAATTGACTGGGCGTCATTTTAGGCAATGTTCAATATTTACGCTACACTAGTAAAATTCATCTATAGATTTGCCTGAGTTGACGAAACTTCAAAAATTCATCTAATTCAATGCTACTTTGGTGGCATTTCTTCGTCTCTTACATTCAAATATAGGCTCAATACTTTAACTTTGAACTCTCGTCAGTCTTTTTTTAAAATGTTTATATTAAATGCACTTCCTCCGAGTGGCCCCAAAACACCCTCAGGAGCGACTCCAATGCATCCTAATCAGTCTTTTCATCTATCAAAGTCTTTAGAGTTGCAAGAAAAAATGTCTTCTATTCTTTATATTCCACATTAACTTCATATCTCTCTCTTAACTGCTCAAATCCCCAAATCCCTTCCTTACAACCTTCGTAAGTTGTGTAGAAGCATTTTGTGTCCTTAATTCTAAGTTACGAGGTAGAAATTGTCGTTTACATTTTTTCAACGAAAGATTACTTCATAAATCGAGAAAATAGCGTCAAAATACGTAAAAAGAAAAAAAAGCATAGAAAGTCGCAGGGCGACATCTTACATCACTAACGGATAGAAGGTGATGCCAAAAGAGCTCAATAGATGTGCACGAAGGCCTGGTTGGGTCCCACGCAGTCACGCGACTCCGGCGACGTCTCCACGACCATCACGAGGCGCCCGTCCGGCAGCAGCGCGATGTCTGTAGGACGATCCTTGTCGTGCATAGGCGGACGGTCGGGCTTCACCTCTGGACGCACATCGACCTACAAGAGAACGCAATTGGACATCACTCTATTTGTGAACGGCGGGATATTTAGTCTCTATTCCATGGAAGTGTTATTAAGAATAGCGCAAATTTGTGACTCATAAATTTGTGATTCAATAAGGTGCAAGAAAAGCGAGACGACAGCTTTCACTCACCGCCCAAAGGAAATCGAAGTCCTTCGTGAAGACCAGCACGCGCTGATTCTTCGAGTCCGCCACAATGACGCGGCCGTCGTCATCGACACAGAGTCCGGACGGACGGCTGAAGTCCTGTCTGGGAATGCCCTCGAATCCCTTGGTGGCTATGATGCGCGTGAGTCCCGGGTCCACGATCATGAGACGGTGGTTCTCGAAGTCCGATACGATGAAGTTGCCCGCCGGCGTGCACGTGACGCCGCGCGGCGACGTGAGGCCCTTGAGGGAGCGCGTGTGGTGAATGCCGTCGAAGTTGAACCTGGCAATGAAGTGGCCGTTCTGGTTAAACAACTGCACGCGATGGTTGCGTGAGTCCGACACGAGGATGTCACCCTTGGCGTTCACGCACACGCCCCACGGGTACTGAAACTGCCCGCACTCGCGGCCAAAGGTGCCGAACTTGTGCATGAAAGTGCCAGTGTGGCTGAAGATCTGCACGCGGTGGTTGTCCTTGTCAACCACGATGATGCGGCGCATCTGATCGGTAGTGATCCCGGCCGGCAGGTCAAACTGCCCGTTGGCCTGACCCTGGCTGCCGAACATGAAGCGAAGCTTACCATCTTGACCAAAAACCTGCACACGATTGTTGCGCCGATCGGCAATAAGAATCTGCCCGTCGCGGTCCACACAAACGCCCCACGGGCGGCTCACTTCACCATCGCCGGAGCCCTCGAAAGCGAAGGACACCATCGGGCCCTGGGTGAAGCGTACGCGGATGGGAAACGGATGCCCAGGGAGGCAGAGACTGCCGCCGAACTCTGCCCTTGTGGAAGCGTCTCCGAAGGCCGGAGAGAGCTCCCTGGGCATGATTTCCGGGATCTCCGGGCGCCGCTCCTCTATAACAGGCGGTGGCAGCAGAGCCGGCGGAGCCGCCGGAGGTATTCCTTCGAGAGCTCGCAGGATTGGACGCCTGCGCAGGAGATTGCAGCCCCCGTTCAGCTGAAGCGGTGCTTCAGGCAAATCTCCGTTTGGCAAGCGGCGCTCCTGGAGCTGTACGTCGCCCTGCTTCTTGATCTCAGTGGCGAGATCGAAGCTGGGTGGGATGAACGCGAAGACCTCCTCCTTGGGCTGCAGACTCTTGTACATCTCCGAGAACTCGAACATCTGGTTCTCCGTGCGCACCAACACGAGTGCGAGGTCCGTCTGGTTGAGTGTGGGCAGCACCTGCTGGGCCTTCGTGAGCTCCACAGACGTCTGAGCAATGCCCGCCAGCGCAGCCCTGAGCCCTGTCATTTGATCCGACAGGATCGTCAGCTTCTGATAGCGCATCTTCTCAAGGCGATCTAAGAGAGCGCGTTCGCGCTCTTCCACGGCGCTGCAGAGCGCTCTCATTGTCTTGCGGATGCGGTTGGCCAGCTCGCAAGTCTCACGTTCGATAGCCTGCGAGTAGATCACCGCCTTGTCGATGCTGCACTTGATCTTCTGCGTGCCCATCTTACCGTAGTTGAAGATGGCGTTCAGCTTTCCATGAGCGTTCTCCACCACTTCCATGGCCAGGACGCAGTGGTGATCCTTGTGCTCCCACAGCGTGCAGTCCTGGCACACGTTCATGAAGCACGTTTCGCACACGTAGCGCAGGGATTCGTTGTGCAATGGACAGCGCGGTCCCACGTTCAGGCTGGCCATGGAGACCATGGTGCTGACGGGAACCGAGGACTGCGGCACGTTCAGAGGGACAATCATGTGATCGCTAGCTAAGTTGCGATACACATGGCGTTGGACGCAATCTTCGCAGAGGATGTCGTTACAGCTGATGCAGCGAGAGATGGCGTGGTGCATCTGGCAATTTCCACAGCGGTAGTTCAAGCCGGAAAAGCCCGGCGGAGTCTCATCAGAAGCCGGGCTGGGGCTAGAGTAGCCCACGGCGCCGTCTTCCTCCTTGGGCGACTGCCGCGGTGTGCCGATGGCACCCAGACGAGTATTCACGACGAACTCCTCCAGATCGATCGCCTCGCTGTTGCTCAGACCGCCCAAGCCAGGCGGAGGCCTGAAATAACCCCGGAATATCACCTCTGTGACCACAATTCGCAGCGCTCTCGAACAACTCACCTGATCGGCTCCGCGGGAGCGTTGTTGCCATTCCGGGCACTCCACATGGAAGAGCCCTGGAACAGCTCGGAGTACAGCAGCGTCCGCGTCTCCTGCTGTCCGCGGTTCATGTTCTCCGGCGACACGCTGCTGGAGGATGATCCGGAAGTGCTGGCTTGCGGCTGCGGAGCATTCTGGCGATTCGTGCGCGGAATGGCGCCGTTATTCTTCGAGATCAACGTCATGTTTCAGAACGTCTCGTCAGGGTCTCAAAGAGAACAGAAGAGGACAAGTGAGATTCAAGGAACAGGGATTTTTAACAAGGGAATTCTTAGAAAAAAAAACACTATGCACAACCTTTCAAAGCAAAGTGCAGAACAGAAATGCCGTTTTGCACTCTCTCTGAACAAGGAATGAGAAAGAGAGAGAGAAATTGATCGTTTTTTTCTCTCTGCCATTTTTTGCAACTTGAATTTGAGAGACAAAAGCTCTGATGATAATCATTGAAAGCTCTGTAAAATGCTTCTCAAATGAATTTTTTTTACTAGCAAAACGCTTTGAAAGTTTTCTAAGTGGTTCGCTTCATGACTTTGTTTCTGACCGTAAAGTTAGGCTTTAGTCCAGGATATTTCTCAGAAGAAGAGCTTTCCAACCTTCCTAGAAAGTTTAACGCAGGATTAAACCCTCATAAAATCCTTGTGAGAAAACCCAGATGAATTGTTTTGGTTTAGGCAATCTAACGAGAAAATCTCATGCAAATATCAGCATTTGGGAGAAAAACATGATGAAAATAGACTCACTATCGCTCGCATTCGCCCAATTTGCCTCTGAAATCCTCTTCCCTGTGAGTTTCAGGTCAGAAAGAGCAGCGCAACATCTTCTAATTGGCTGCAAAATATTCCGAAAGGGAAGCCAAAGAGACCCAAACGCCGAGGAAGAAAGGCAGCGGCAAAAAATAGTCAATCGGCAACATTTCAGCTGCTCTTTGGAACACAATCAACAGAGCCACACACTTTCTCTGTGTGTTGGTGTGCATCCCTGTGAGGAATTTCCCTCTGCAGCTCCCCTAAATCCGTCCTGGGCCAGTGCGTGTGTGCGTGAGTCGCAGGGGGAAGTTCACGGACAAGAGGGAGGAAGAAAAATCAATAATCTCTTCCCTTCATGACCGTGAATATCGGGAAGCTTTTGCCATTGCTCGCATTGAAGTTCCTCTCCTATTTTCTCTCTGTGTTGCCTTTACGCACTTTCTCAGCCCAACAATCTCCTCATCAAGTTCAACTGAAATTGATTTTTTTTCCACAGAGTCGCTCTTCTGTGAAAAACTTTCCAGAATACGACATGAAAATTGGAAAGGTTTTGCGATGGGCCTTTGGGGTGTGTTATGCGACGCAAATCGAAGGTTTCAGTGATAGCCAAGAGGTTCACCTCATCTTTGTTCATCTATATTGAGAAACAGGGACGGGGAAACCTTGATCTATGAGATGCCGAGGAAGGGAAGCCCTTGCCGTCTCTCTCGCCCGTTTCGGGCCACACAAAGAGGCGAGCGCGTGAGCGAGAAGGAAAAGAACTCTCTTGTGTATATTTGCTCGAAATGTTATCAATGTTTGCTCGTATGTTTCAATCTCACCAAACTGCGGACCCATTTTATGATGTCTTGTCTCTGAAAAAATTGACAAGAACAGCCCCAGGTTGGCCTTCTCATCCCCCTTCGCGATGAGCTCAGCGCTTGACGGGGGTGAGTGGAAAGGTGTAGCGAAAGGGCGTCCGCCCTTTCGCCATTTTTCCCTTCGCAGCGCGCTTCCCTTTCAATCGCAAAATCGGTTCCAAAAACCAGCAATTTTCCATGCAATCTCACCTCTTTCTGCTCTTTTCAGTCTCGGGAACTCCTTCAGGCGTTGCCGTGCATTGATGGAAGTCGACAGGAATCGCGTGAGGGTGTGGAATTCGCTGATGGTCTCTCTGGTAACTCTTCACGCACGCGATCACACTCACTTTGCACGCGCGGAACAATCGACTTCGGGGCCCGGGAAGACGGAGGTGGAAACAAGGGAGAGACAGTGAGGGAAGGAAAGAAAGAAATTTGAGCAGCAAAGTCTTTGGAGGGTCTTGTCTATTTTTGGATGTTAAAGAAAACAACGTCCAGCTTGCTCAACATTTCCAAGAGGACTGAGGAGCGAGAGAGTGCGTTCAATTTTGGCCTGGAGGATTGTGTCCCCTCCATCGGGAACCCTCACGCATTTGCCTAGCCTGCGTGTGCGTAAAGCCATACGCACACACACGCATCGCTCTGCAGCGATACTCATCATAATTAATTTCAACACGCATCCACACCCTCGCGCTCTCCCCTCGAGGATCCCCACACAACACGCCCTTGACATTCCCCCGGGACCCCCCGAGCAGGTCCCCTAATCACTGCGTGTGTGTGGACCAAGTGCCGAGAGTGGCCCGATTCTCGGAATTACCCTCGACAGCCGCAGGTAGTCCCAAGGCCAGAATCTCAGGCTGAGTGGAGATAAATAAGAGCGCTTCAGGGACTCGAATTCAAAGGACTAGTACATAAGAAAGCAAAAAATTGCAATTTTCTGCATCCTCTGAGCTGAGCATGGAATGGAATTTGCTAGGAGATTTAGGATTAGAAAAATGTCAGACAACATTATAACTTTCTTACTCAGTTTCAATCATTTTAAGAGCAACATTTGAGTAATTGTTTTTTTCAATGAAATTAAGAACATGAATTTTGAGATTCTTTGTTGTTGTATTACAGAAAATCCGCGATTAAAGAAGGTAAAGTAAGTAGGAATTTAAATAAATTGGCAGATACTGTTTTATGCTTAGAACATTGATTAAATCTTCCATCTTTCATATCATCAAAAGGATTAAAATTGTCTGACACGCGAAATTGCTGGTGAAACTTAAGACTTAAACGCTCAGCTTAAAACATCCCTTTCAGGACACTAGCAAAAAATGTCTTCTAATGAAAGCCTGCAAGATTTACTGGTGTCCAAACAAGTCTTAAATGCTGCAAAAAATTCTCGAAACTGCAATTGTAAAGCAACTTGCCGCCTTTCTCAGAAACGCCAATTACATAAGGCCCAAGAAGAATCCAAGGAAATGTCTTTTTGCTTGGCAGTTTGAAACATCTTTGTTATTCACGTACAAAAAGGGACTTATTGGACACTGCCGACCAGCAAAAGAAAACAAAACTCGCAAGAAATACATAAGATGCGATGAGAAAGTTAGCAGATTCTGATGGTGTTCTTGCCAACAACTACAACTACGCCCTCGTCTTGCAACTCCTTCAGCGCGTCCTCGAACTGTTCCCTCGTTATGAGCTGGAATGCAGAGAAAAAGGGATGTTCATGGCTATTTCCGCGAAACGCAATGAGAAAATACTTACGATCTGAGAAGCCTCGCGAAGGTCGGTGAAGAGCTTTTGGTAGGGCACAGTCGGCACTCCGCCCTTCTTCTTCAGCGCCTCCTTGATGCTGAACACCAGCTCTGTGCGCTTCTTCCTCGCGGCGCTTGACAGACCTGTGGTGAGGATGCCCACGTCGATCTTACCCGACAGCGGATCCGTGGCGGATTGCTTGAGCGCCTCTCGGTGGAGTCGCCAGGCCTCCTCCACGTCCTGCACCTCCACTCGCTGGCTCAGGCGCACCTTTGCGTGTGCCTCCGCCAGACGAATCAAGCTCTCTAGCTGCCTAGGATAGGCGCTGATCTGCCCGCGGCCAGAGCCGATCTTCCTCATGTCCACGTACACGTGGATGAGGCGCTGTTGCGCCTCCTCTGATAGCACAGGATGGACGTGCTCTTTGGCGAAGGCGAGATAGTCTCGCAGGATGCTCATGTCGAACAGCGTGTCCTCCTCATCCTGGTTCGTGGCGTAGTAGAGAGAGACGAGATGGGTGGCCAGGCGCCGGTCGAAGAGCTCATCCTGCGGATCGAGGATCAGGAAGATGAGATCGAAGCGCGACAGAAGCGTGTGCGGCAGCTGAACATTCTCGATTATTGTCTTGTTCTTGTTCCACTGCGACTCTGATGGATTGGCCGCGGCCAGAACGGACGTCCTGGCGTTCAGCTGGCAAATGATGCCCGCCTTCGCAATGCTCAGCGTCTGCTGCTCCATCACCTCGTGCAAGATGCTCCTGGTGGAGTCGTTCATCTTGTCAAACTCATCGATGCAGCACACTCCATTGTCGGATAGCACGAGAGCGCCCGTTTGCAGGACCAGCTGTCTAGTCTCCGGGTCCTTGGTGACGTAGGCCGTCAGACCCACAGCCGAGGAGCCCTTTCCAGATGTGTACTGCGACCGGGGCACCAGATTGTACACGTACTGTAGTAGCTGCGACTTGGAAGTGCCTGGATCGCCGCACAGAAGAATGTGGATGTCAGAGCGGAAGTTCTGCCGTCCGGCGCTGCTGTGAGTCTTCTTGGTTCCACCGAAAAGCTGCAGCAGAATCCCCTTCTTGATGTCACTGTTCTCATAGATCGACGGCGCTATGGCTCTGGCCAGGCGGTCATAGACATCGGGCTTCTGCGACAGCATCCTCAGTAGTTCCACGCGCTCTGGCGGGAAGATGTGCTCCTTGCCTTCCTCGGACTCATACAGTCGTTTCACATCCACCTTGCGGAAGTGCACGACGTCTATGTGCGTTCTGTACACGGATTTCACCGATCTCTGGCGCGGATTCGGCTGCACTGGAATAGCCCGATAGATTCCCGTGATGGTGACGCGATCTCCTGGATGAACTTTGTCCACCAGGTCATTGTGCGCGAACAAGAGTAGATTATGAGGCGTCTGCCCAGCCGCCATGTCGTCTGGAGACTCCTGTAGCTTCACCAACTGCTTGTCCGTGTACTGCGAGCGATTATGGATGATCTGGAAGCAGTGATTAGTGTTGCAATTGGAACACAGATTCGGCTCAGCAATCCTGCCGCGGTCGATCTCCACCGAAGTCGTGAAGGAACACACTAGGCACCTAAAGAACGCCTCCCTCATTTCTGGAATGATGTTGCTCACCCTGATCACCATTCCATGGACCGTGATCAACTGGTCAATGTCCTCAGGATTTAGCGCCCGCATGTTCCTTGTTTTGTCCGCATTGAAGGGTCTCACTTGGATCTGATGCTCAAGCACGGCGGCTGGGAAGCGCTCGAAGAACATCTCATTGATGGCCATGTCAAAGGCCGGGATAACTTCCTGAGGATAACAAATCAACTGGCGATAGAGCTGTTCGTCAAAAGCCTTAAGATGAGCACAGTTGACGTTGAGGAAGGGCTCCTCCAGCGTGTGGATCTCCTCGAGTTTCTGCATGTAGAGCGGCTCATTGAGATTCATTCCATCGCTTATCTCATCCTGGTCTGCGTCCGGATCGATGAATCGCATCACGAAGCGCGTGAACTTCTTCTTGCACTCCACCACCACCACATTAGTGCCCCAGATCACAAATTGCGGACCACCGGCATGAGATTCCGTTGCCACATCACTGCCTTCCTGCGACAGAGGCTCAACCTGTAATTCAACCACAATCAGTTGCCGGCAGATCGAAGGATTCATGAGATACTCACGCCTTCTCCTCCACCCACGTTCACTTGGCGCATGTAGCGATTGGTGCGGATGTCCGGGCGAGACCTGATCGGAGTGCCCCTGATGCCGGGCGTACGGATTGAGCCCAGAGAGCTGGGCGTTCCGTAGTTGAGCGGTGAACTCAAGTCGATGCCTTGGATGTCCACATTTCCACCGTAGAAAGGACTGGCGCCGGCGAAGTTAGACACCGCCGGAGAAGTGGCTGCCAGACTCACATTGTCACCGTTCTGGCCTCTCCCTCCGCCAATCCTCATGGGAGTCTCGCTATCATCGCTCGCGGCGGCTTCATGCTGCGGCGTCCGGAAGCCATTGGCGGCTCGCGGTGTCGTGAATCCCCGTGGCGATGGCATTCTTCCTGCACCAGAAAAGCACTCCTTGTGTATTGGTTTAGGCGAATAGAGTGTTTAAGTACCTCACAATAGCTGGGAAAACAGGATATTTCACAGAACAACAATTCACACAAAGCACTCGCTTTGACAGCCACTGCGAAATTGGCGCGCAAACAACATGCAAAAATTGAGGTTACAAATACGCCTTCGTTACCAACTTCATAACGAATCCATTCAAATAGATTTTTATTTAGCAAAAAAGGATTTTAGTGGAGGATAAATGCCTTCAGGGACTCATGACATTGTTGATGCACTCCTCCTTGTTGATGAGATGACAGGTCTTGTTGACGAGACTCATGAGTTCATTGATCCCAGACGCCCAGTCATTCAGCACATCTGAAGGCGCCTTTTTCGCCGCGAAGTGAATCACTCCGGAAGGCCGATCGATCTTCACCGTGAGCGTGCCACTGTTCACCAGGCGCGAGAGGTAGTCCTCCGTCTCGTTGTCCGGGAGCTCCAGCAATTCGCTCATGCGCCGCAGGTTGATGCGAGTGTAGTAATTGGAGATGATGCGGATGTTGTGTTCGATGAGGCGATTCTTCAGCTCTGCCCAGCACTTCTTGCCATGCGCCGTCTCCTGGTCGAAGATCTCGAAGCTGAGCAGCTCCTGACCGTACACATTGGACACCGCCTTGAAGTTGATCAGCTCCTTGCACATAAAGAGACGCAGGAGCTCCTTGTATATGGGAATCTCCTCCAGGAGCTTTTTCTTCGATAGATTGTGCATCATGTCTTGCTGCTCGTTGTCGTACGGCGACAGGATGCAGTACAGCACGGCGAAAGTCATCATCTTCTGCCTCCGCTCGGGCGTGTTGCTGATCACCTCGCTGTCCACCACGGCCTGATAGTGGCGCGATGTTCGGATGAACGAGGAGTCTTGATCAAGGCGAATCATCAAGCCGTAGTACTTGAACTTGAGATCCTGCTGCTCGGGGTCGTCGAAGAATTTGGTGCTGATCTTCTTGGCGATGATCTGCGTGCGCACGAAGTCCTGCTTGGCTAGGCAGAGGCGCATCTGCTCCAGGATCAGCTCCACCTTCTCGCGCTTCGCCATTGACCCATAAGTCTCCACTTGGAGCTCCTCCATAATCGCCGCCGCGCCTGCGATGTCACCGTCCGCCTCCTTGATCCCGGCCAGGATCTGCGTGAGGCGCGCCCGCTCCACTTCCACGTAAATCTTGCCCTCCGTTACTGTGCGCAGCGTATTGATCAGCTTCAGCTTTGTGTCCTTGTCTGGCGTCTTGTCCACGTACGTGGCGCATTCTTGGATCATCTTCACCACGGACTGCTTCAACTGGGAGCGCCGCTTCACCAGCAGCGAGATGTACTCGTTCAGGGCGTTCCAGTTGCCCGCCTCGAAGCAAATCTGGCAAATCGCCACCAGCACTCGCGAACAGGAGATCATATCCGCGCCCAGGCGCGTCTGCTTCTCCAGCTGCAGCAGAATATCGATGGCCTCGTGGAATTTGGCCTCATTCTTGCCCATTTCCTTGCACAGGGGAATCTTCTCGTCGCACGTCGACGAGTAGTCCACCTCCATCTTCACGATTTTTCCCCTGTCGAACTCATTTACCGCATCAAATCGATTATCCATGGCTCTTCCGAATCACCAGTTTCCTTTTTCACGCGAAATAATTCCCACTTGCACTGTATTTTCACGGAAAATCCACCCTTTTCTGCTACTGTTTTGCTTTTGTCTGCCTTCGCCAGCAATTTTCACGAGTCACGCTCGCAGCGCCTGAAGTTTTTACGCAGATGTCAAAATTGACACTCACACTGTAAAAAAATGTGTACAAAGATTTTCCCGCCAAATTACAAATTGAAATTTTTCTTAACAGATATAAAACTCCTGAAAAATGTTATAGAATAATGGACCAAATTTAAGGTTTTGCTGGATTTGCAATTTTACGGAAAATTCCCTGAGAAAATTCAATTTTTATTGGAAGTGCGGGAAGTGCTCATAAATTCCATAATGCAATTGCTTTTGAGTTGCTTTTGCAACTCCTGGCCAAAGCTTCAGACAGTCAGAAAATAAGAACAGAAGCTCTTGACAGCTTTGGACACATAAAATGAATAAATAGTCTGAGATCAAAACTGCGATACTTGTTCTTGCGACTGGGCCTGCAATAAAAATGAAGCACTCTCTGTGAAATATGTTGTTGCTTCCGCAGCAACACAGATGCGTGCAGGAAATGCTGAAGCACCTGCTGCTTTACTGAGTCCAGAAGCGTGATTTGGCGCTGTGGCGCTAGTTCTCGCGGGCCCCTGTCTGGTCACCACGCTGCTGCCGAAGAGCCACATGGCATTCTCTCAGGATCAGCGTCAGATCATGCAGCTGGAGAATGAATTGGCATGTTGGATTCTCCCCCACCATCGATTTCGTGTTTGTGAACCTACAGCTATGCAAATGAAGGTGACCAGAGCGATATTAGTTGCGGCAAGGTGGAAAATTCCCAATTTCACTCGCAGGGCCTCTTCTTCTGCCTCTGTGAATCTCTGGGCAGATCATCTCGAACACATCCACACAGTCATGGAACAATGAACTGTCGTGGGGCCCGCGGAAAAAGTCTCATTGAGGAATTTTGTGCAGTTTTTTACCCCCTCGCGGGTGTGTGAGCTATTAAACAGGAAGAATTTGCGCAGGTTCACAGCGCGAAAAAGAGGCCGAGTGAGAGATGTTAAATGTATTTTTATTGAAATGTTTGTCGGAGAAGTGATTTAAATTATAATTTTTAAACCAACACCACAACCAGACGGACTTGTGTATGGATGAGATTAATTTGTAATTCTCGATTCCAGATTTTTCGCGACTTGGTCGCAGCTAGATAAAAGCTCACCACTTTGAAATCACAACAGTTTCGTTAGAGAACTTGTCCAGTGAAGAAGACTCTTGGGAAAGGAGGGAGCTTTATGTCTCTTGCGCGCACTTTGTGGCAACTTTGCACCACAACTTTCGGCCTAGAAGAGACACTTTGACTTTTTGTGATGGTGAAATTGCTATTAGATCATTAGGCGTGCTGTTGGACTGTGTAAACAGTGCTTTTGCTAGTGAATAAAATGCTAATAATTGAAATTTCACATTGAAATGTGAGTAGGATTAATAGTTTTTCTTTGAATTGATAATCAGTTTAAGCAAGGAGAAAGCGACTGCTATTTCGAGAAATCAAACATCACACAATCAGGATCACATTGGACAAGCTGTGAAGAAAACTCCGGATATCCTTCGTGGATATGGAAACTGATCACATAAACAACAACAATAATGGGCAATTTGTGAAGAAGCTCACAAAGTCAGCCCTTAGCCAGAGGACAAAGTGGAACTTGAAGTCCACATCTTTCGCTGAAAGCACAGTGAATCCGATAAGAGCCATTGTCGAGGGTCTCAAGTTCACGCCGAACCCTGAAAAGCAACTCATACCACTGTCCATTGGTAAGTTTCCGAAGTATCGCGCTAAGAAATACACACGAATCAAGTTTTTCAAGAATGATCGCGTTCCTCCCAGTCGATTTTCAGTCTCTCACTTTGGAAAATATTCTCAAAATGCATTTCGACTTTCGCGTCTGTATTTCTCGTTTCGAAAACTTCTCTTCTGCCAAATTTTCAACTTTAGATTTATATAAGTTTGTAGATGAATAAAATATTGAATTGCATTCAATGTTATTATCTATTTACTATTATGATTGCGGTTTCGATGAGAAGCACGAATGAGCTTGATACATCAGAGAATGGACCTCAAGTATTCGTTTTATAATGCTTTTCAATTCGCTTATTCTTTCTTCAACTCATAAAATTCAGGGGAAATGTTTTATAAGTCATCATAATCACGACTACAAAATTAATGCTGCCATAATACTTTAATTCCGGATATAAACCTGGTACTTTTTGTAATCCAGTTGTTTTGTTCTTTAATAAAATTCATCACTTTTTGCGCGTGCATGCAATGAGTGACACGGACTGTTGCACTCGCTAACTTATTGCCTATTAGATTGAAGAAAATATTCACAAATATCTCGCAAAGTGTTCAATAACAAGCATTCGCACCGATAAAAGCCTGAGAGTTTGAAAAATTGTGCAAAACAACATTATTGTTGTTTGTCTCGTATTTGTGAATATTGATGAAAGATGAAAATGACTCCTTTGGAGTCTCATGGACCTGTGTGAGAAACCTGTGGTGCGATATGATTTGCATATTCATGATTAGGACTGACGACAACAGACCAGCCTCCGGAATAAATTAAGTGGGACAGGCTGCTCTGGTGGGGTTCTAAGAGAGAGACGATAAATTACCTAGTTGATGGGACTCTCTGTTACCAGGTGACCCGACCACATTCGGCAACCTCCAGCCATGCCATGAGATCGTGGAGCCGGTGGTGGAGATGCTGCGACTGAACCAGTGCAACGGCTACGGGCCATCCACTGGTCGCGTGGAGGCTCGTCAGGCGGTGGCGGAGTACGAGGCGCGCCAAAACAGTGTCGGGCCCCTAACGGCCGATGACATTGTTCTTTGCAGCGGCTGCTCCTCTGCCCTCGAGCTGTGCATCGCCGCACTGGCGGAACAGGGCCAGAATATACTCATTCCGCGACCAGGATTCTCCATCTACCAGACTCTGGCACCCGGTTTTGGCGTGTCTCTGCGAATGTACAATCTCTTGCCGGACCGTGGCTGGGAGATTGATCTACTGCACTTGGAATCGCTCATCGATGAAAACACAGCTGCTGTCGTGGTGCTCAATCCGAGCAATCCTTGCGGCAGCAACTTCAGCAAGAGCCATCTGCAGCAGATCATAAAGCTGTGCGAAAAGTATTATCTGCCCATAATAGCGGATGAGGTAATACTGTACAATTATAAGGAGATTTAATTTTATAATACTTTTAAATTTCTTTAGATTTACGAACACATGGTATTCCCCGGAAAAGTCTTCCACTCCGTGAGCTCACTGTCGAAGAACGTCCCTGTGCTCTCATGCGGAGGACTCACTAAGCGCTTCCTTGTGCCAGGTTGGCGCATGGGCTGGATCACCATTCACGATCGCCACAATCTCTTGAAAGACGTCCGAGTATCACTCATGAAACTCAGTGCCAGAATTCTTGGACCCAACGCCATCGTTCAAGGTGCTCTGCCGCGGATCCTGACCGAGACTCCTCAATCATTCTTTGACGAAACAGTCGCTATTCTTCAGGCGAGTTATCCCAACTGCTTTTCATTCAACTTCCTATTCTCATATTCTGTGCTCTCCCTGCAGAAACACGCCACAATTGCCTTTGAGATTCTCAGCGAGGTGAGAGGACTGAAGCCAATCATGCCAGATGGTGCCATGTACATGATGATAAGCATTGATGTGGAAAATTTCCCGGAATATCCGACAGACCTGCACTTTGTCAAGGCTCTTGTGGAGGATCAGAGTGTCTTCTGTCTGCCTGGACAATGTTTTGAGTATCCCAACTACGTGAGAATCGTCCTAACAGTTCCAGAGGATTTACTGCGCGAGGCCTGCTTCAGGATTGCCGAGTTCTGCGACAAACACTTCAAGATCGACGAGAGAATCATCCAGAATGCAATAATCGACACAGTTAATTGAGATTCTACTTATTTACCTGAGAGGGAGACCCAGGAATAATGACCAGAAGCATTGGCTCATATATGGGAAAACTGAAAACTGTGATTTTCAAGGGTGGTTTCTGACCATCGCTGGGATTGTCTCTAATCTTGATCGGAAACCATGGGTTAACCCCAGAAAGAATGTACAGAAGGATGCAATGATTACTTCCGAAATAAAATTTATTTTCTGGGCAATGAAGTTTTTCTCTCGCTTCCATTGCTTCAGGAGGCCATCTCGACCAAGACGAGTACATTTACAGTGTACATTATCGGTAAAATTGATAGATTTTCAAAAGTTCAAATTTTAAGACGTTGTCATCAGGCAACACTCCACCGCGGCGAATAATTTTGAGGTTACGTGAGTGTGCTTTTGGGAAATGCGTGGCGTGTTTTATTGTCTATTTTCCGCGGAAAATTGGAAAGAAAATGACTGAGAAGCTCCTGGAGAATGTCCATGACAGCCTCCCAGACCCTACTCCGTCTGGGAGGTCAATTGTCATTCGCGGAAAATATTCGTATTATCACTACAACTGCGATGGATTTCAGGATGCGGTGAGTTTTCCTTGCGTTGTGATATTTTTCTTCAATATGTTTTGATTTTCCAAATCTTCTCGGTCAGGGATGGGGCTGTGGCTACCGCACTCTGCAGTCCATGTGTTCCTGGGTGAAGAACTGTAAGGAGATCACCAGCAGGGAAGTGCCCAGCATCTTGACAATCCAAGAAACTCTGGTGAGTCTCAATGACAAGCCGCAGAGCTTTGTGGGCTCTCGTGAGTGGATCGGTGCGCTGGAGGTGTTCTACACCGTGGACACGCTCTTCGACGTGTCCTGCAAAATTGTGCACATCCCGTCGAACGGTGACGTGAAGAAGTACGTGAGCCTGATCAAGCAGTACCTGGAGGAATACGGCGGCTTCATCATGATGGGCGGCGACGTGGACTGCAGCTCCAAGGGCATCGCTGGTGTTCACATCGCCGGCAACGATGCATACCTGCTCGTGGTGGATCCACACTTCGTCACAACGTCCGGTAGCGCCACGCGCGAGGAGATCCAGCGCAGACACTTCGTCAAGTGGCAGCATACGTCGGAGTTCCTGGACAGCTCCTTCTACAACCTGTGCTTGCCGCTCGTGCAGGGGCCGCAGAGACAGTGAATATTTAGCTCAAAGCAACGATAGTGTTTAATAGCTTTATTCCTCTTAATCTAAAGATGTTATCCCTCCTCTCTACCTCTTGTTAAAGTTCTGCTTTAGAATTAGAGATAAGGTTGAGTTATTGCATTTGTTTCACCTCTCATTCAATAAAATAGTGTGTGTTGTAAGTGTTGCATCGTCAAAATACCACGATAAATTTCCTATATTTATCATTTTTCCATCCTCTCAGCTTTTATCAATTTTTCTCTTTTTTTTCCTTTTACTATGTATGTCTCTTCTGATATAGAAGTAAATTACTACGAATTCGTTAATAAATGTGTGGAGAAAACTCTGAGCTCCGCTCACAGACTCGTCACTGTCACTCTAAACTACCGCCTATCGCGCTTCGATTGTGCATAGAGTCTCTGGGAAAGTGGATTTGTGTAGATCCAATTTTCGCCCACGGCCTTGAAATACTTATTCTCCCACTCGACGCCGAGCTCCTTGCGCTCCTTCGCCTCATCGCGCTGCTTCTGCTCCACGCTGCACTTGGCGCCCGTCGCGCGCTCGATGTCGTTCAGTCTGGAAAGCAAGGAATAGCAGTGCATTAGCGAGGAAGACAGAGTCCTTCAGAGCACAATTCCTTTTAAGAAGATTGTTAGACTTCTTATGAGATTCTGTAATTCTTTTCAACATCAAAGAGGCTTTAAAGATCACCAAGAATGTCTGCCAAGATGCAATAGCAAACAGATTACAGTTTCCAGAACGACAAACGGCTAAAGAAATTTGCTTAATTGGTAATTATTCTTTCATGGAAAACGACCGGGATGTTAAGATTGCAGCTATAATCATCAATCTAACGCAGTTTAAGCTCAGAGAGATTACTTTAACAATTACTTTTGGTTAATCATTCGTTGCCGCTAAGGCCAGAGGAGTGAATCCAGTGCGATTTCAGTCTCACTGTCTCCAATACTCACTTGAGTCCCGCCGTGACCTCCTTCCACACCTTGCGGCTCTCCGAGTCGTCCTGCTCGGCGATCGGGCGCACGTTCTTGTGGAAGATGGGAATGCTGTTGACGTCCACGAACACCTCCGGCTTGTGACGCGAGCCGTCGTTCCACTTGGCCTCCATGGCGCCGCTCCACTCGCCCGCGATGCTCACGAAAGCCTTCTTCTCGCCGGGCGCGAACACTTCCGCCGTCACGCGGTTCTTCTTGCCGCCGTAGAACGGCTTGGTGAGGAACTCTACGTCGGCATGGTAGCCGGTGCGAGGGCACGAGATTGTCACTGTGCCGCCCAGCTCGATCCACGGCACAGTGAGAATCGAGCGCCCGTACCCATTCGGGAATGTGACAATGTACTCCTCGTTCAAGTCGCACAGTGTTACAATGCCCTGGCCGATGTTGTGGACGCCAATCGAGATGCCCAGGAATTTTGACTTGGTCCACACATGGGCCGCAAAGGATATCTTTTTCGCATAGTGCTCGGCATAGAAAGCGGAAACTGGGAATGAGAGAAGAGACACAGTGTGATAAATGCCAAGAAACACGAATTGACGCAGAAAATCGATAAAATCAATTTGAATGCAGACATTCTCCGCATGACAACAATTAGGGCTGCACTTTATTTATAAATATACTCACTTGGGGGATGGTGAGACACTTGCTCAGCCACGAATGTCAATTGGTTCTTGCTACACCACGGAACTGGACCATCGGAGACTAGTTCATTGTCTACTTGTTCATCTGTGATCAGAGAAAGTCCGTCAACGCTTTCGCCATTCGAGAGCGCATAACAAAAAGAGGAAGGAAAACTCACTGTTTTCAGCGATATTCCAGTGACACTGGAAAACCTCTCCCAGAATCGGATTATATGGCTTCTTGGCTACGCTGCTCTTCCGCCCAGCGTGATATGCGCTGAGATACCACTTCACCACCTGCACAATCCTGTCGCGCGGATCCTTGAGATCAGCAATCCGAATGAACAGATCAGGATGGGCAAAGTAGTCGGCGTACATCTCCAGCAGCGATCGGCGCTCGAGGATGAACGTCGGCAGCACCACTTTGGTCAGGTCCATGCCAATCTTCACCTGCGACAGCAAGTGCGTCACAACGGAGCCGTGCGACTCCATCGAGATATCATCGTCCGATTGATCCTCGTACAGGGCTGCAAGAGATACACCGCATAGTTAGAACGCTCCCTCGCAGCGCCGCGACGCCCTTCTCACCATCATAGTCCAGACTGCCGTCCGTGCAGATGGGCAGCCTTGAACCCAATCTCTTTCGCTCATGCGATGGCGTTGACGTTGAATTCTCCGCATTTTTGTCCGTGACAATCCGCGAGTTCGGCGCAACTTCTGGATCAACAGAATCTGGGAAGGAGCGTGTGTTGCTGGAGAAAAGGATAGTAAAGCCATCAATATCTGCTGCATTAGACTCTGAAATGTAGGGTTGAAAACCTGCTTCGCCGAAAAAACTTCCCCGAAAGCGTTCGAAACATATCACATACTTTTTCACAATGTTAATTACTTTCTATTTGATTGTGTGTCAACTAATACCATCCGAAAAATGTCACCCAGCGAAGCCACTCTAGAGCTTCCTGCATCTTCAGCACCACAAAAGTACGCACATTTAAACAAAAAGCGCCCCCCAGACAGAAAAGTTCAGGCACTAAAGTCCCTCTCGCACTCTCGCTCTTCCTCTGCTTTTTGCCAAGAAAATTCCCAGCGAAGCAGAGTGAAAAGCGACAGGCGGTGCGCATGAGTGGAAGATGCGGAGTTCAATCGAAATTCCCAGTGTCACGGCTCTGCCAAACACACAAAAACAGTCAACAAATCGCATATATACTCACTATGTGGGACTATTTCCCTGGCTACACGTCAGCATATCCTCATTCGCATCGTAAAAGTCCTCTTCGCCCTCAGAGCTGGAATACGATGTCTCTGGCACTAGAAGATTGAGAGCTGTTGCAGCTGCAAAGAGGGAATATCAATTGCCACGTTTCAGTTTCAATCATCTTAACTCTCCTTCTTACATTCAAAGTTATGCTGAACTGATTGTCGACTGCCGCCTTCAATGCACTCCGAGCCGAAAGCGATTCCCGTCTCAATTGGCAAATCTGGCGGTTGCTCTGTAAAGTAATTGCATTAAAATGCGTCATTAAATATCTCAATTATTGCAGATAAATAAACTGAGTTACTTTCTTCAAGAAGAAACATTGCTTAAGCACGTGGAAAACGAAGAAGTTTCGCTTTATCTCAGTGATTTGAGTATAAGAAGATGGTTTTCTTTTTATTTAATGGTATTCTAAAGGTCTAGAAATTGCCAGAAATGCAATTCCGTAGATATAAAAAATTGATTTCTTTAAAAGCATTCTTGTCAAAAATTGTACAACGCTCGCATGTGGACAACAAGTAACTGTTTTTAATTCATTGTTAAAATTATTAATTGTTTGCAAATTAGGTGAAGATCAAAAAGTTTTCAAACTGTTCAATATTTAATGAGAAAATGCTTCTCTTCCTCCTTTTCTGCTCACTTTGATGGATGAATTGACTTTTTGCATAATGAAAAAGTAGCACTAATATTTCTCCATCGAAACCATATGTTAAAATCAATAAATCACGAACGTGGGAACATAAAAGGTGTCTTTGCTACATATATCACCTCTAAATGCATATTATTTCAGCTGAAAGTTATTAAACATTCATGCACAAATTGCACAACATCCGATGTGAAAATTGAAACCCTTTCGATGGATATGAATTCTTTACCATGAGAATTATTGCCATCGCTCTAGTACTTGACAAACTCCAAAAACACTTCATTAACTGTCGCCCAAGTGCAATTAAATCATGTAATTCCATCCTCCTCAGCACTCATTTATGTGCCTGCACAGTGTTTCTGTGTAATTGAGTCGTGTTTCTGTGAAATGAGGCGTCGAATTCCAAAAGTTTCAACCCCAGAAGTGCTCCGCCGAAGAGTGTGAGAGCACAGAATCACTCCCCGGAGGTGGCAGATAATTAAATTCCGCCCGATATGATGACCATCGGCGGGGGTAATGAAATGATGACACAATAAATCACTCACCAACGTCAATCGTCGCCTCCAATTTACTAGTCGGGCCCTGATACACACCATTGATGGGGTGAGCCGTGTTCTGCGGAGAGGAAAAAATCAATTTCCACCCCCACAATCGCCACCCACGTGCCGTGTCTCTCACCTTTGCAATCTGCAGCAGCACGATTGAGTGCTTGATGTGATCCAGCATGACGTTGGCCTGCTCCTGCACCACCAAGCACTTGCTGCGTTCCTCCGCGTCCTCGATGCCCGCGATTCTCTGCTCTATGCTGGCCGTCTGGTCAATGATCAGCTGAAGATATGCATCGGCCTCAGACACCTTCCTATCGAAGGCCTGAAGGTAGTTTGGACGTTGCTTCGTTGAACTGTTGCTGGAGCCGTGAAAGCTGCCCTGCGGCTCCCACATGCCGCGACTCCTGTTGCCATGCCGCAGAATCGTGTCCTCCAAGCGACTCACCCACTTCTCCCGCTCGTCGGCATCGCGGGCCTGCGAAGCGCAATAGAAAGCATCACATCAATCCGAGTCAAATGGCGCTGCGATAATGAATTTACGGGCAAATACACCCAATTTCGCCGTCAACTCACCTGGAAATGAAATGTCTTGTGATCCACTGTTATTGTAAACGTGTTGACATCTTGATCATCGATGCCAACAATTGCGCCCTTCAAGCGAACACAGCCTCTTCGAACGCCTTTCATCATCTTCTCTTTCGACTGTAAGAGACAGAGAAAGCACAAATTGTAGATAAAATATTTCATTTAATCTCCTCTGTTTGTGATATTCAGATGTAGTTCAAATATTTCTTATTAAATTGAAATATGCTTTGTAGCCAAATTATTGATAATTCTATAATTTTGTTCAATATGAAAGTGAAAAATTTATTCCAATATGTAAATTTTTCAATTGTAATCAAAATTTATACATAATTTGATTCCCCCATCCCACTTCTGACACCAGTTTGGATCATTAAATTAATAAAACGACGTGTTAAAACATAATATCGAACTTTTCCAGTCGATATCCCCTTAATTACACCAACAAATTCAGGTACAAATCACTGAATTACTCAAGTTTTTATCACATAACAAAGCACTATGACGTGTCTTGCCGTAGAAATCTTATCATGCTTATCAACGTGAACTATTTGGATTGCATGGAGTACAAAGAGTCCAAGAATCATCCGGTGATACCAAAGTATCACACAATAACGCCAGAAAGAAAGAGAGTTCAATCTCTGCCTTTGCAGAAGAGTTATCTTTGTCAGATGCACAAAATACACACATTTTTCGCTCGTGCAAAAAAATTGCACATATTGACCCAATTTCTACCATCAGAGCATTTGTATTACGTTCTGCAAACACAGTGCTTTTCAGCGACGCGCGCACGCTGATCGTGTATTAACCTTCCTCTGCAAAATGGTAATGTATCACCCAAAAATTCCACTCAAAAGGCAAATTTAGCACCCGAAAGCAGTTATAAATAAATGCCATTAATTTGCAAAATCATTACAAACACGTCAATTGATGACACAGAGGAAATCACGCATGTTTAGCAACAAAAATCCACGCGGGAAGCAAAAGAACACATCAAAGTCGTGTGTATTTTCCACACACACGCGAGATTTGTCAACATGAGGAAGTGGCGAATCTCATTCTGCAGTTCGAAAATAGGAGTGAAGAAAATGAAAATGAAAAATTGCAGTGCATAGCGAAAAACTGCACTGGAATTGATTGATACAAATTAGATATGGGAAATTCAAAAGTCGAGTGACTTTTGGGGTCGATTGTATGTTAATGCACTTCTGCTTGCATAATCACAACACTGCAAAGTGGAAAAGTGAGTGTCAAAAGGACTCACGTTCACTCAATTGCTTCCCATTCACTGCCTAGGAAGCCAATAAGTTAGATTTTTCCCGCCTCTTCGCGAGTGTTTAAGTCTCTGTGCAAGAAGTTGTTCAAGAATTGACACAGGATATCTCTCGACTAAAGTGTTTGTTTGAAGTGTGCGCAAGAAGGACATTCGAAGCATGGATTGGTGGCACTATTTGTTTGTGGAAAGCGGTGATCCTCGCGTCTACTCCTGGCCACTCATGCAATCTCCTCTCGGCATTTTTGCCATCATCAGCGTCTATTTGTGTGTGGTATTGAAATGGGGACCAGAGTAAGTTTATCACTCACAGCCTAATCGATTCCCTCCGACACGCAATTCACCAATTTCCCTCCTTATTCTTCCGCCTTGACTCAAGCTTCATGAGGAATCGACGACCGTTCGATCTGAAAATCGTCATTGCCGCCTACAACTTTAGCATGATTGTCATGTGCTCTTGGGTTATTTATGCAGTAAGTGTGATTTCAGTCTTTCGCTGGCACAAATTCATCATCATATCAAAAGGCAAATATTGCTGTGTTTACTCTGCAAAATCAGGCAAAACATTCAGTGACTTGGAAGTGTGAAAATTCAATGCTTTTGACCAACGGAAATATAGTGTAAAAAGAACATAATCTAATTAAGGTCATCCAAATCTATTTTAATCATTCGGAAACAGATGATTTCCCATTAAACATTTATGAATCCTTGATATTTCCCACAAAATCTTCAACAATATTCAATCAACAATTTCATTTACAAAAACATAACTCAATTTTCCCACAAATTCACCTAAAAATGTGCGTGCAAAGCAGACTATTTCAGCGATTTCAGCTCTAGTTCAGGACTGCTTATGAAATTTCAATTGCACTTGTGTTGTGACTCACACTTTTTATCGTACGACAATCCAAACACAGAAAAGTGGCAATGAAAAATTGCCAAGATCATCACTAAGCAGTGTTTTACGGCAAATCATACAGAAAGAAATAAAAAAAAGTGGTAAGACAATGCGAAGTTTGTGTGCAATTTCGCACACACAACTTCACATATGAAGTGAATCAATTGAAAAGCGCTGCGAAATCCCATTTGACGGTGAAAATCATTCACATCACATTAAATGTGTGGGGATTTATTATGATAGCATGACTAGAATATTTCCTTCCACCGCCCACAAAAAGTACCAACAAGAGGGAATTCACTTCGGCACGTTCATGTCCTGCGTCGAGATGGACTTCTCCGACAGTCCCACGCTCATGCGGGTGCTCAGCATCACTTGGTGGGTGATGATGGCCAAGGTAATCGAGCTGGTGGACACGGTTTTCTTCGTGCTGCGCAAAAAGCAGAAACAGGTGTCCGTGCTGCACGTCTACCACCACGCTAGCACGCTCTTCCTCTGCTGGCTGGGGGCGAAGTACGTCGGCGGTGAGTGCACATCCCTGATCAATCCAATGCCCTCACTTAATCCCTCGCTTTCTCTTTCTCTTTCTTTCAGTCGGCGTAGCGATCTTCTCCATCCTCGTCAACTCCTTCGTGCACGTCCTCATGTACTCCTACTACTTCCTCTCCATCTTCCGCAGCCTCCAGCACCGATTGCGGCCGATAAAGCCCTACATCACCGTGATACAGATGGTAAAGCGACAGAGAAAAGCATTTATCTACCCTTCCTTCACACCCACATCACAACCCATACTCATCACGTCACTCATATTCTTCCGCATCTAACACGCGAAAAAACATCGCATTTACGCGAAATTATTGCGGCAAATCCCATTATAATGTATGCGACCCAGAGAGAGAGACACATTTTAGAGGACAACCATAGACAGTGGCGTAATGACGATCTCAGAAAGACAAGCAAACACAACAAACGTGTTCTGCTGCCCCAGTAACTCTAGTAGAAAGCAAGGGAAACGCTTAGATTTACATTAATGAGCTTAAACTTGCAGGTTAAAGCCAAGACTTGACAAGGATTTATTCCAGAATTATTTTACAACACAGAAAACTGATGTTTGGTTCTAAAAAATAAACTTTCTTAAGATTTTATTTTTAAATGATCGTAAGAAATCTTTAAATATCTAATTAAAAAGGAATTTTACAAGGATAAAGACCTTGGAGTTCAAGGCGATCTTCCAAAAAAAAGTTGTCAGTTAATTCTTTAAATGATAAAACCAAAATTACTGAATATTTTGTCAAATATTCACAAGAATATCCTAGAAAGAGACCCGCAACTCCTCGAAATTCTAATTTGTTCTTTGATAAGAAGTTTAGTGTCACTTTTACGGCCCTTATAAAATTAATTTGGCACGTTTGGGAAGTAAAACAATTACTTTACAATTGATTATCTAATCTTAGAGATGCGAGAATCCTGACAATAATAATTGAATGATAAATGCATTGACTACTCCACTGGCGTCAGATTTGCCTCACATTTTGGCAATTTTGCGGGTAGGCTTCGCGACCTTTGCAGTTTTCCTCACGGGATAAGAGACTCGACCTATTTTAGTCACTTTGAGCTTGGCAGGCGCTCGACAGCGCGGCAAGCTTGCAGATTTAGGGCAATATTTATCGTCACTGAGGGCAGACACGAAGTTATCTTATCCGAGCTGATAGTCTTGTTGGCAGGCTCAGCGCCCGGATCGATAGGCGGATTGGAATCACGCTCTGTCTCCCTTCGCAGGTCCAGTTCACCATGATCCTCGTGCATATCGGCGTGACGGCGTACTTCCACTGCACGCTCCCGACCGCGATCCTGGCCATGTACTTCCCCAACGTCGTGGTGATCTTCTACATGTTCTACAACTTCTACCAGCACTCGTACGTGCGTAATAGTAATAAAGGCAAGAAGTAGAGCACTCACTGTGTAGTAAGAAAGCAGGCCCGCGTTCTCGTCCAGGACGAACCAGCGGTACTGCCAGCCCTTCATCACGTTCGTCCACTTGCTCAGCGTCCCCTCGAGCATCGCGCTCATGGTGCAGCCGGTCAGGTGGGGGTCGCGGACTGTCGAGTCGCACACACAAGTGCGCTGCGGAGAAAACACACGCTCTGCGGGGAGGTGGGGGCCCCTCTCCAAGGAAGCGCAGCTCTGGCAACCTCTTTTTTCTCCTCGTCACTTCGCACTACGCCCGCATTTGGGGCGCCCCTCTGCGCGGTTTTGCACTACACAGCACACCCCGGCCACCACTCACGGCACTCCGACTGTTTTCTCGCGGAAACTACTGCGATTTCGCGGCGAAAATCAGCAAAACAGGAGATTGCGGGATGAGGATTTTGCTCACTTGACGTTTTCCTCGCGGTGTCACTTCGTCACATGACGGCCAGACTTTCCAGTGGCTGCCGTGGCGCTGGTGATGGTGAAGAGTTGAAGTCCGTGTTTGAAAATCAACGTGTATAATTTCTAGTATTTAATTATCACAATTCGCAAAAAAACGCAATAAGAAAGTTCTTAGAATTGCAATCGAGTATGGAATAGAAAATTAATAATTCCTCAATACCTAAAACTGTAGATGAGAAATCAGGCGGTAAATTGTGCACTATATCTTTACAAAGAAAGCAGGTAAGAACTTATATTGCTTAAAAAAATGAATAATCGTATCTAGTTGCTAACGAAGAACCTGAAGTACGTAAAAAAAACAAAAAAGCTTTCACAATTTTATTCATTGTACAAGAAAAAATAATTATTGGTAGAATTAGCTGTGATTGTTTAACAGAACAAAGTAAAATGCACCAGAAAGATCATTTTATCTCATTAGATTTCTTCTAGGCTGTGTTCTTATCAAATTCTAGGTACATAAGGCTCCAAGTTAGGCTTTCATAAACCTCCTATTTTGGCCATACGCGTAGTAGAGACGAAAAAATGAGAGATTATGCGCTCTCCGCTGGGTTCTGACGTCTGCTTTGCAGTGTCGCGCGGAGAGCAAAATAAACAAGGTGCAAAGTGAGGGTTTTCCATGAAAAGGGGCTGAATTGGAGGGAAATTCTGTGGCTTTTCGGATGGAGCACCACGCCAGGAGGAGCCTCACGGCGGATAAGGTGAGTTAAAATAGGAAGTTTGGCAGAAGAGCCCGTGCAAAGGATATTCGCTTTCGCAGCTCAAGGCACAGGTTCGGGAGTCCTTTGATCACTTGCGGAAAGCCCTCGCCATCCGGGAGAAGCTGCTCCTGCGCCAGGTGGAAGTGCTGCAGAACCAGACACAGCAGAAGCTCTCAATAGACGAGGTGAAGTTCATTCCCGAGAACGACAGCACTGTGATAAACAGCATCCGGGAGTTTGGCAAGTTCAATCTGGAGAACTACAACTTCGCCAATGATCTACTGGCCAACGAGGACTACATTTGTCCAGCCATTGATCACGAGACGCTGCATAAGTGCGTGAGCGTGGAGAAGTCCACACCGGACATTGATTTCAGCAACAATCGCACCATCATCACGGAGAATGCGAATTACCTCAACGACTCCATTATCAACATCATCCTGAGCGAATCTAAGGAACTGATTGAGGGCAAAAGTGGGCGTGGGGAGGGCGCCAAGGCGACACAATCGATGGGGAGTAAACACGAGGAGACGCCCAGCAAATCGATAAAGTGCTGCGTCTCCAACATGACCATCAACCGCTGCTCTGGCACGCTGAATCTCAAGAATATCTCGCACCTGACTATCAACACCACCTGCAAGGCCACTCCGGCCGCCTCTTCCAGCCTCGAGGACACCGCAAATCCGCACACGTGCTCGCTGGAGACGTCCATCGACGCACAGCACGAGCATCCTGGGCAGATTCAGCAGTGGCTCAAGCAGATCATCTCCGAGACGGAAACAGAGCCAATTCCCAGCGATGACATCCTCGAGCACAGCCGCATAGACACGCAGTGAAGTCCCAAATGAAAACGCATTCCAGTCTGGTCTTTTTGTTAAAATAATATCTAATTATTTTTGATACCTTGCGTAGTAAAATCTATCAAAAAATTCTATACATTTCCTCTCTTTTTCCAATCATCCTCTGGACTTCCTCTTTGAGCTCAAAGCCAATTGCATTTAAGAGAGATAGAAATGAATGATACATTTCTTTCCTTTTGTATAGTGGGAAGCATTTTCTCTAAAATAGATATTACAATAGTGAATCTCTAATTTTCTTTAAACATTTGCTTTGTCCTCACATTACTTCTTAGGTAATTCCTTCCTCACTTCCATGACTAAAGGGTTATCCTTCCTAAATACTTAACGACTTCTCTCGAAATCTTCTTCTCATCAGGAGAAATGCTCAAGAGAGAGAGTTGCTAAACACTTAGACAGAGATGCTGACAATGAAATATTTTACCGGAGAACTAAAAAAATGGAATTCTTTAATGGCACTGCTTTGAGGAATTTTAGACGAACATCTTGGACTGTTGATAAATTTTAAAGCATTTCTCGTCTCTAATCTTAAGCATTTGCCGCTCTGTCTTCAGATTTCTCATCTGTTCTTAATGTTAGAAAAGTATTTAAGTAATTATTTGATTAAACTCAAATGACGATGAACAAGTAAATGCATTCAGGGCCGGTTTTTGCTGAAGATCTCGAGAGAAAAAGAGAGAGAGTGTGAAAAATACCCACAAATCTTGAGGAAATTATTCCTAAACTTCTTATCCCAAGAATGAAAATGCCACTGATGATTAACTTGTGTTCTCACTTAATTGTACTATCTTTTTTCGTTAGTTTCACGTTTTTTTTCTCATGTGTGTGTGTGTGTGTAATCTCCTTTTGCGATTGTATAGTTTCCCGCCAAGTGTTTTTTCTTCCCCAAAACCTTCCCAAAATGCCTTCCTAAGAGACCAAAACACTTTGTAGTTCATAATAATACGTATAAATTAGCGGTAGACGTAAATAGTCAGTACGTATTTACAAAGAAAACATTAACAAATTGTAGAAGACGAAGAGATTGAGGCGAATTGTTGATGTAAAGGAAGGAGAAATAAAAGGTGATAGTGAAGTCTCACAGGAAATCTCACACGATCGCCGCACTCTTCACGAGACACGCGCTCGAATTGTTGCCCAGGCTCGAGCCGTCCAGGCTGTCGAGATCCAGGGCAGTATCAATCATCGTGGTGTCGTGCAGCATGCGCAGCCGACTCGAGCTATTGACACTTTCCGCCACTGACGGTATCACATTTTTCATCTCAATCGTCGCACCGACGGTCTTCTGGCGCGTCACGTCGCCGTTCTTGGCCTTCAGCTCGTCCTTCGCCTTCGCCGGCGTCTTCGCGACGACAGCCTGATCGCCGCGATAGGCGCTCGCCGCCGCCGCCGGATCGTCCAGGTCCAGGTCATCCGCCAGGAGCGTGGACGAGGCCACGAGCAGGCTGTTGTTGGCGTCGAAGCTGATCTCGTCCGACGTGTTGCCCACGTTGGAGTACACATGCATCGTGGGATCCTCGTCGGCCGCCGGAATATTGCTGTACACATTTTCCACGGGCGCCGCCCCTACGGTCTCTTGTCGCTCCGGCTCCTCCGCGTCCGCCTCCACGGACGCCCGGAAGAGGTTCGTGTAGCTGTCACTCACCTTGTTGTCCGCGCAACTCTCATCCGCCGGACTCTGCATCGTCGCCAGCGGAATCTCGTTCTCCACCAAGTGATCAACACTGTTGGAGTTTCCTGCAAGAGAGAATCACGGCATTAGTCATCAGCCGGAAAGATTGTGTGGATTGTGTGTGGATTTTCTACACTCAAAATGCAGGACTTTCTTCAAGCCACACAATGCCTAAGCTTCCTCCTTCAACTCTCCTCTTTCGCTCTTCCAGCCAGCTTCACTGGAGGACACAGATTATCTGGCCTTTCTTTTTTAGGTGCATTCAGCGAGCGTCTAAGTAACATTGAAGCACATCAAAATCAGTACAGAAAATGCAGACAGTACAGAATTGTGCTGAAATATCTTATCACGAGTGTTGCTTAATTGCATTTTAATCACGTTGATTCTCTATTTTATCAATCATATCTGAAAAACTGACTATTCTTGATTCGCAAAAGGCCAAGTCTCAAAGATATGAAGTCAGAATTAACTGAAAAGAACATGAAATGTGATTATCTCACGACTTTAATTGCAACAGACGGACGACCCAAATTTATTAGCAAGCACAGAAGATAAATTGCTCAAAACCGTTCCTTTTCCATTGATTCTGCCTTTGGCACCCTTCAAGACTCGGCCCCCAACTTCACAACGCGGAATATTTCAGCACGGTTCTGCAACGTGTGGGGACTATTTCGAGGAGAATCCATAAAAGGTGACAAGACAGCGGGTGGTGTGGACGGAGAAAGGGATTTGCAGGGGAGTCGGATGTGACACAGAAACCTCGAGCATCCCCAAATAGCCCCCGCGTGAATCCTCTTTTGGTCTAAAAATAGGTGAGACACAGCAAAAGCTTTCTCTAACGGAAAACATAACAGAAGGAATGTCTAATAAAACATCAGAGCGTATTCTAAATTGAGATTAAAAGCTTGCGTCAATCTATTTTAGGGTGACTCTGTCTATAGATATCCATCTAAGGTTTTTTTTATTATTATCTGCCTCACGGGCATTGAGACTCACCCTCAAAAATCTCTTTCTTCTTCTCTCCCTCAAAACATATTCACATCAGAGTTTTGCAAGGAAGTGTGAGAATGGAAAGAAAAACGTAAAATTATATTTGCTCTCTTCTTCTCTCTCTCTCTCTCTTTCTCCGATTGAAATCTTTCTTTTCCAAACATTTAATTCCCTCCCGATAATATAATGTCCTTTTTGTAATCTAATATTCTCCATATAAATACAATTTCTCCCTCATATTTCACACCCAATATCAATTTGTAAATATATTAGCTTTGCTTTTAAGTTTAATCTCTTTTGTTTATCTTTGGGTCTTGAGTACAATATCATCATTAATGCTATATTATTTATTGTAAAATCCGTGTTTTCAACACCTAAGGAACTCGATTCAAGTCAAAGCAACGCCCCAACCAATTACCCAACTCTCTCACAGACAAATTCTTGAGCAGACACAACACACAATTTGATTAAACACCCCACAAATGAGTCTCTCTCGTCGCCACAAAAACATAAGAGGGAAACAGAACGAGTTAAACTTGTCCTAAGGCCGCGATTTCACGAGGATTGCACTAAACTGGGGTGACATCAATGTTCAGGGAGAGATTCTCAGATGTGAATTGTGTACTAGGTGTCACTGAAATCCTCGTCAATGGCATTCAAGTCCTTCCCGATCGCGTACTCGTACAGATTTGAGTACCTCTGCTGCCGCCTGTGACCTTTCAACACCGGACTCGTCACGATCGGCCTCTTCTTCTCCACGCGCAACTCCTGCCGCAGCATCGGATCCAATTCCCCCTCCCGCGCGATCCCATGCACCCTCAGATCGAGCTCGTCGCACACACTGTGCCGCTGATCCTCACGACGCGCAATGGCGCGGTTCTTGTGGTACGGATACTGATGCTGCAGCATCTTGGCATTGGCGCCGAAGCGCTTCTGCGGCGAGAAGTACGTGACATTGGTGGGAATGAGTGATCGACTGGCTGCACTTTGGATCACTGCCGGCGGATGGAAGGACGCAGGCGTATCGCAGTAAATATGGCGAGATCGCGGACGGTTCGACGGACACTTACCGTTGTGGAGATTATCGTAGCTGCGCTGCCGATACACTCCTGTCCCGGATGGATTGCCCTCCACCTGAAACAGACATGCACGCAAGTGAGCTGGGAATTTTGCAGCACAGAAGGGAGATGAACTCACATCCATATCGTAGATATTTCCCGTCGCCTTGGGCGATTCCGCCGTCTGCGCCGCTGTGGGCTGGTGCGGAATCATGGGGGCGTTGGACATGAAGGGATCGGGCACCAGCATCTGGCTCCTGTATTCGTCTGTCACAATGCCGCGCCGATCGATGAGCGACGGCTGGATGGGCCCGCACAGGATGTGAAAGCAGTTCAGGCAGATGTTGCCCCGCGAGTAGGGATTCACGGCGTGCTGGCCGCCCTTTGTGGAGAAGGAGCCCTTGATGTCCTCATTCGTTGTTTGGTCGCTGGTGATGAGGTACGTGTGGAAGCCCGCTAGGCCGATCACCGACCACACGGAGAGGAAGCAAATGATGGCGATAATCAGGCTGAAGGGACTCTCCTTGATCGCCTCCAGTGTCAAGTCATTGCGGTCTTTCGTCACTGCAAACAAGAATCGCGTCATTGAAGTGTTTGCGCGCCTCACTAGCTTTTAGCGCGCTTATTAGTCACAATAGAGCTGAGCATTGTTACTTTTGTGTGCTGTAGTTTTAGAATCGCCCATTGTAAAACTAACTTTCTCCTCTCGCAGCGCCACTTGACCCACATTTCCCCATTCAGTTAATTAATCTCTTATCTGCACACACTCTGCCAGTATCGAGAGACACTCTCGAGAGCAATTAGGCTGCGCCGCAGCTCAAAAGACTTCCTCCCCAGCAGTTGGACAAATATGCTAATATTTGCGCGCTCGACAATTACAATTGAGCACGCCGAAAAGTGAGGCAACTTACGCAGAACAATGTGTGTGGTTGAGCAGGTGAAGATGAAGACTGTCAGGAATGCCAGAGAGACAATGAACATGTAGAAGAAGCGATAATTGCGCTTCCCCACGCAATTTCCCACCTGAAATGGAGACACATAATAAAGAGTGTGTACAAATGCCAGGGTGTCACTTGGGGTGCTTCTCACTCACCCATGGACAGTGATGGTCGAAGCGTGACACGCAGTTGTCGCAGAGGCTGCAGTGGGAAGCTCTGGGTGGTCTGAATATCTTGCACGTGAAGCAGTACTTTAGCTTCACGATCTGACCGCGCACGAGCACCTCCTTTGTGCGCGGCGGCGGCCTGTAAGTGGGACTGTTGAGGGAGTTTGGCACCTCAATCTGCTTCTCGATGTACGCCGCCTCGTCCTGGGAGGCCCGCGGGATGATGCCCGGATCCGAGAATGATGTGCGGAACAGAGAGCTCATGGTGAAGATATAGAGAATGCCGCCGATGATCGGGATGGCCGGCGTGATCTTCTCCGCCAGGAAGGGGCAATCGAAGGCGAAGAAAAGCGCGCTGGTGCCCGTGATGAGGAACACGGTCAGGTAGAAGATGCCCGAGTGCGGGGCGGTCATCAGGTATCCATCACAGAAGAATTTATTGCGTCCCGCAAAGATCTCCCACTTTCTCGTCACACGCGGATTCGGCGCCATCGTCCAGCACAGCAAATTCATCTGCCCTCCTGGGTTCCTGTCTTTCGCTCTTTGCCACTCTGCCAAGTCGTCAGCGCCAGAGAATCATGCCTTTTTCCTTGTCATTGCGCGCTTCTCCTGCTGGGCGAGAAGAATGGACACGGAACATGAGTGAAATTGATTGGATTTCAGCAAATACAGCGCGATAAGATAAGCTCTCTCTGCCTGCCGGGCTATTCATCGGGACGCAAACACCCTCTGGGCGTGACCTTCGCAGCCTTCCGGCTGAGGAGCCCCTTCCGCGAAGAAAACAAATCTCCACCGTCACTTTCCTTAATGAATAATCGCGGAATCAGCGAAGCGGAGGAAATTCATTCCGTCCGGATGGCTGACCACGCGCGCTTCTCACTCTCTGCGGAGGTCATCCGCGCAAAATTCGCTCTCATCATCGCCCCCCGTGAGTCACCCGAGCGCGCCCCGCGCAGATAACGAGCCCGCGACAGCGCCAGATAACGCGAGGAACAATAAAAAGCACCTAAGATCGTCATCGCTGCCAATCTCACTCCCAGACAGCCCGTAAAGCAATCGAGGGCAGCTTCTGGGCAGCCTTGCACACTCCGCAAATATTGGCAGAGTGGCCCCCGCCCCATTTGGCCTCCGCAGCAAAAGAACAACACACACACAACATTGAGGAAACGCACCGTGAGGAAGTTGCTCGCTATTCACGCCTCCACCATTCTTGCGGTCACGGCGCAGCACTCACGACTTTCCTGGCCACTATATGCACGCACTGGCACGGTTTTCACGCACTCTCAGCAGCGGTCTTGAGTATTTTTCGCGCAAAATCTGCCACCCTTCGTTGCTCTTGTTCTGAAAATGGGCCCAGAATGGCTGTCAAAAGAGTCGATGATTAATTACGCGGCGCCGAGGAAATTTATACACGAGTAAATTACAAAACTCAATATATTGTAAAAATTCAATGTGACGGGAAAACGGGAGGGAAACAGAAAAAGGAATCTGGGAAAATATACAATCTCTATACACATTTTACAAGTAATCTTACGCGTCTGAATAAAGCCAGGTGTATAAAATAAGTATTGCAACTTTAGCGACACTAGCACCATCTCTCGGTGGACTTTTGTCAATTTGTCTCTACCGCGAAGGGCAAAAGTTATGATTTCTCTTCTATCTAATCTAAACGAATTCAGCAATAATAAACTCCCTTTTTACACTCTTTCCATGTTATATTACATTAAATATAAATGACAAAGTAAATATTTTGAGATTTATACAATGACAGACAAGAAATCATTTTCGGATTGGTTTTTTTCCATCTGTGTGAATAAGCCAAAAAATGCATCAAAATACGCTTTTATGTTCCATTTCAATCGTTCTTTCTGCTCGTCCTAATTAGAGGAATGAATGCTTTGGCTCAATTCATCTTTTGCATCCCAACTGCAAACAAATCTCTTCCTTTTTTGCATTGTTTTCAAGGGAAAAGTTATCATAAAATAAAGTCCCTTTCGTTCTTTCTATTTCTTCCATAAGAAACGAATTTCAAAAAAAAAAAAATAGTCGTAGAATAGTTAACTAATAAAATAATATAAACACCGTGAGCATTGGAAGTGGAGTCAGTAGAAATCAATTAGATTTGGCATTAGAATTGATTAGTAAGACAACTATTGAAGAGTCCATTGCTGCGCAGGGACCAACGTTGCACGGGGATTCGGGCGATCCTGCGCGGTGAGAGAGGCAGGCAGGAAGCGGGGCAGCGCTTATCGGCGATGGCGTCCCAGGTAAGCCTTGCAGTTGGGACACGTGTGATGGACGTCCATGCACTCGTCAATGCAGCACGGAATCAGACAGCAGCCCAGCCAGCATCTGCAACGAGAGAAGCTCAATGAATTTTCCGCTTGAGAGTGATTCTTTCAGTCTGCTCTGCACGAGCACTCCCGCATAATTCCAATCCCGCACACACAATTAGAGTGAGAAATGCGTTTTATGGAAATCATCAGGCAATGAGTCGCTGCTGAGAACCATTGTTCTCTTGCTCAGCAAAGGAAAATTAACTAAACTAATACAACTCCACTGAGGGAAGTCGAGAAAATGGAAAATGCATCGCACGTCACACTGAAAAATGTAACAACAAATTCCATTTCAAGTTCAATTCAAATGCTAAACAATAGAGACTATTAATATATTGAGATGATTACGATTATTATATCTAAATTGTGGAAATTGTTTAATTTCTTTCGAGAAATTTCGAGAAAGAAGGAGAGAAACAGAGCTTCCCAACATGCCCAAGATTAAAGTCAGTTGCGGTAATAAATGAAAATTCACAAATGCACTATTGAATGGAATGAGCGGAACTGTAAAATTCATTTTCCGGAATCTTGATAAAACCTCATTTCTCAGCGCCAAGAATGCTGGACAACAGCACGAAGGAGAGAAAATCTCAGTCGAAAATGAGAGTAACACACATTTCATTGATGGAAAATCTCCCTCTCTCTCTTTCCCATCAATTTCCGTGTTCACTTGCAAAATTGAATTCTCCGTGTTCTTCCCAGGTGATTAAGAATCTCAGCTTCAGTTGCAGTCGATTTGAGTGCGCGCGATCGAATAGACTTCGTGATGGAGAAGATTGAGAAAAAGGCGCCTGAAAGTTCTAAATTCGAGACGACGGAAGATGATAAGGAGAAGGTAAAGAGTTGCTGGTGTTACGGCAGTGTGTGCACAGGATGGCTGCTCTTCCTCTTCAGCGTCGTCAGCATCATCATGATCGTGGTGTTCCTCAGCATGCGCGGCGATCCTGATTGCCACGAGCTTAGCGATTCCGAGTCTGAGGAGGAAGAATCCACAACAATCGATATCGAGCACGCTGTGCCCACGGACGAGGAGCACCTGCTCAGGATAGTCAGCCGAGGCGAATGGGAGGCCAGACCGGAACAACACGAGCCTGTTCACCTTCATCTGCCCACGAAGAGAGTGATTGTCGCCCACACAGCCACGGACAACTGCACAACGATGGTAAATGGCTCATCTTCCGCGCCTCCACGGTCACTAATTCCCATCCTCTTTTCCACAGTTCGAGTGCATCAAAGTCGTGCAGGATCTGCAGAAGTTCCATCTGGACACTCACGGCTGGGACGACATCGGCTACAACTTCCTGATCGGCGGCGACGGATCGGCGTACGAGGGCCGCGGCTGGGAGAAACAAGGTGCACATACGAAGAATTACAATGTGAACGCCATCGGAATTGCCTTCATCGGCACCTTCAACAAGAACACGCCGCCCGAGGAGCAGCTGAAGGCCTTCAAGAACCTCCTGCAGTGGGGCATCGACACACAAAAACTGGACGAGAACTACAAACTCTTCGGCCATCGGCAGTTCTCGCCCACGAGCAGTCCGGGTCAGGTTCTGTACGACATCATCAAGAGCATGCCACACTGGTCGGAGAACATCAATTGATAGTGAGTTTTTCGGTTGTGATAACTAATATTAGAGAATCTCAATAGTCCTTAAACACGCGCGAGTATAAAATTCGACTTCAGATTCTTCAATTTGACGAAGATAAACCATAGGGAATATGATTGCAGGACATTCATTTGTGACCTTGGACGTCAGGATTCGTTCTAATTTACTTTCCAGTCGCTGTTATATTGCAAATATCTCGCAATTATTGCACAATTTGCCACTTGAAATCTCAACCATGTAATTTTTACAGCAATTAACAGGCAAATTCTCTCGGGAAAATTTTTTAATTCTATTGTTTGCCCGTTTTCGAGAGAAAATACAAAGCTCTCTATTTTGCACGTAAAACCCATTGAGAAGTGTGTGTTGTGTTTTTCGTTATAGGAATAAATAATAAAATATGTGTAATGTATTAATTTCAAGTATAATTATTCTTCCTCACGGAAAAAATATGTGTGTGTGTATGTGTGTGTCCAAGAATGTAGAATTGTGAGGTCATAAAATCGATTTTTTCTCTGCCTCTCTCGCTCTCGTCATGCGTTATTTTGCATATTCTCATATTCTGAATTCATTTGCCTCTTAATTGGCATAATTAAATGAGAGAACATGAGCAAATGGGACACTTTTCAGCAGCATTCGCCACTGGATGCATGGCAGACCTTTGATTGCGCTCATTAAAGATAGGGTGATGTTTTTTTTTCCTGGAAAGCATTATATCGATAGAAACAACGTCTTCAGGCAAGTTTGAGATTGAATAGAGATGCAAAAAAAATGTGGTTTTCCATTCGGTAACAAAACATAAAGTATTGCTAACAAAAACCTTATCAAGAGTTGGTCAATTTTCCGTCCCACTCGAGCGAAAAGACAGTCGTGAGTAGAGCGAAACACCCTGCGAGCTAAATTGATTGATTCGATTTGCATTCTAATGAAAGTCAAGTGGAATATTTTCTCAATGACCCAGAAGAACGCGTCCTCACAATCCCATCAATTTCCCCGTTGATTGAGTGGGAACTTTCGCTCAAATTCACGTCAATACACGCCCGAACGAGCATTGCATCACTGATGAAACTTTCTGCAAATCCCTTGCAATCCCAGCATAGTTGACTCACCCGAGCAGCGCGATCACGAGTCCGCTGAGGTATGCGATGGGCCCGGGCTCGCTGCGGGTCTGCGTGTTGATCTCTGCGTGGCAAGTGGGGCAGATCATGTGGGTGGTGTGCGGCCCGATGGGCACCACTGTCGTCACGATAGCCGCGGGCACGCGCGTGCTGGCCTGCGGCGTGAAGGGGCTCACCGGGGGCACACCACCGACAGCCTGCGCGTAGCTGGGCGGGGCGCTGGGCGGTGGAACAAAGCCATACGGTGGCGGAGCCGTTCCGTTCTTGTCTCCCATCTTTTCTGCGTCTGCAAACACAACAACAACAACGATCAATCAATACAGCCTTCCGGAGGACACCGTCTCGCCCCAATCTCGACCACTGAGCTGTCACACGACACTGTTTATTTACTGTATGGGCGGCGTGATGTAATATTTAGAGCCACATTTATGCGATTTGATGTTTGCTATTGCGAAATCTCGAGGCTCCCAGGGCTAATTTTAGACAACACTCCGCGAAGCCCTCCAAACGCCGTCCGGAGGCGCGTCGCGGCCTTGAGAGCACTCGCCAACGCAAACCAACACTACCCTGCGACACTCACGGAACATCCACTTACTGTCAGAGGGCCAGGAAGTACAAGAAGATCCTCTTTTGCTCAGGAAGTGAGATTTTGGGCGTCAAAGTCACTCTTTTGCGAATTCGATGAAAAATCGTCCAACCACATCAGCGCCGTCGGCAAAACCCCAAACTACGCACTGCTAGAAAATTCAAGCCAAAAACCGTTGAAATACAGACCACTTCCTGGACAATTCCACATACAGTATATAGATATATAGCTTTAATCTCCTGAAGAAATTCATATTTATAAAATATGTACATGATTCTCTATTCACTAGGCCAATTGCGGGCGGCATTTGAGCGTCTCTCTGGCCGGAATCACAACTCTGTGGAGTATTCTTCCGAATTGCCGGAGTACTTCCGCCAGCAGATGTGGTCGTTCTTGTCGTAACCGCCCACAAAGTGATCGTAATTGTCATGGTAGGGAGTCCTCTGGGTGAAGTTGGGATTCGGCACGTCCTGAACGCGCGCCATGGGATTCCTCACCAGGGAGATCTTGTAGTTCTGCCTGTCCTGCGGCAGAATTTCAATGCGCGACGCGAAGTTGCTCTCGTAGAGACCCGAGCGGCCGGGCAGATCACGCGGATTCAGCTCTGACCGTGGCCCGCCGTTGGACACCTCGGACGTGCGCGGTGACGAGCTGTCGTGCTGGAATGTGGCCAGAGTGTTCTGGCGGAAGTTTTGGAACTTGTCCACGCTGATGTCCTCCTCGATGGCCGAGTCCCCGAACACAGAGCCACTATAGTTGGGAGAACTGCTGCCTGGCGTTGACGTGCGGTTCTGGCAGTTGTACTTGGAGTGCGGATACTGGCCTCTCTTGATGGAGTTGGTGTAATCTTTGGTTCCTCGGCGTCTCAGCGTGAAATCACGCTCACCTGCAAATACGGAAATACACTTAACACTCGTCCTTCACAAAGATTTCTACCTTATTCCAACCTGTATCCTCGCACTTGGACGTCCACTGCTTCCACGCGTGCCTCACGAGTGGATCTGCGGGTCCCCAGTCTTTGGATGGCTTCGCGGCACCGCGAATCATGCTGATGAAATTGTAATCCACCTGCTTGGACACCTCCACGCATGCCACGATCACAATCACGCCGAAGCTGATGACGATGGGCAGCCAGCGCGGTATGTACTCAATCAGGAGCTCATCTGGAATGTATATCACTGCCCACCACGCCAGGATCCCGGCCAGGAGAAGCGGCGCGATGACCCACAAGACAATCCACACCTTCACAATGGGTCGCCCAATGGAAAACTCGAGATCCGTGTAGATGTTCTTGGCGCCGTAGATCCACATGATAGCCAGAATGTCCACAATGAGGGCGCACACGATGAAAGCACCCACGAAGCGACTGTCCAAGAGTCGCGCCGCTGCAAATTCCGGTGCGATCAGTGCCACAATCGCCGTAATCACGGCGGCAAAAGCGAGAGTGTAGTTTGGATGCCTTCTGAGGATCCTCGAAGCGGTATAGATGTGGATCACAATTGAGATTCCAGCCACAATCATCACGCCCAGGTACGAGATGCCCGGAATCACTCTGGCCAGCGTAGGATCAGTCTCCGACTGCGCGCGATCGTAGATGGCCGTGAGGGCGGCCAATTCCGGGAAGAGGACAGTCGTGCCGGTGAAAGGATTGTGGAACTGGAACACGAAATACGTCACCGCGATCATAGTAATGATGATGTTGAAACAGACATAGGCAAAGGTGGTCTTCACGGCATCTCTCTTGTGCAAATACTTTCCCGTAATCACGGGAATGGCGCCGAAGCCAATGTTTGTGGACAGAATCATCTGCACGAGGGCATCAAACCAGATGGAACTCTCGCCGAGAAGAACTTCATTGAATGGCCACATCGTCGGCAGGTCCTGATCGGTGATGGAGCGCGATATCTCCCATCCTGTCTGCAGCAGGAGGATCACGAGGGCGATCAGACCGAAGCTGAAAATCGTGCGCCGAACCACCTTGCTGCTGTGTGTGCACACCATAGAGATGATCCACAGGACGATCAGGGCCATGGTCAGGAGACCGAAGTAGAGCGTGTTCTCCCACACTGGCACCAGGAATGTTAATCTGCAAAGGATGGTAATTTTTAGGAATTTCCTCTTCGATCTCAATCATCTCTGAATCTTACTTGAGGCACTCCTGGCCGCTCTTGCCCACTGCTGTGTAGCCATCGTCTAGACGCTTAAGATTAGCACAGTAGTTGAATGGCACAGATTTGAAGATGAGCATTCCAATGTAGAGGAAGGCCACAGTCGCATGCAGCGATGTCCAGATCGTGCTCAACCAGGACGCAATTCGTCCCACAAAACTCGCACCTGTTGGTGAAATGATCCGTAAAAGACTAGCCTGTGAGCCTGAATGTGCCTTCAATTGCTCACCTTTGAATACTGGCGAGGCGCGCCATGTGTGAGCCGATCCTTGGCCCAAGAACTGGCCCAGTGACACCTCCAGGAGCACAATTGGCAGCCCAATAATGAAGAGGAGGGTGAAGTAAGGCACTAGGAAGGCACTGCCGTGTCGCTGAAGTTCTCGTGGGAAGCGAATCACGTTCGCATAGGTCAGATTCAGGCACAGGCACAGGACAATGCTCCGGAAGATCGAGCACTTGGACTGCAAAGAGAGAAATGGCACAGGATGTGATGAAAGAGACCAGGTAAAAACTATATGCACTGAGAGTGAAGAGGATCGTTAAGTGCATTTTATGAAGGCACTTCGGAAGTTTACCAACCGATTTATGACTCATTTCAGACTCGATTAAGCCACAATTAATCTCGAATGACCCATTCCCACACTCCACAGACCGAACAGCACATTAAATCCTCTCCTTGACTCTCAGTGCAGCTCATCTGCCGTGTGTGCGCAATTGAGCCACACTCACTTTCTTCAAGTAGCGAAATTGCTCGTCATTCCGTGTGAAATAGAGATAATCAATGAGGTACTTGGCAGTGTTCGGATCCATCTTCTGCTTATGCACTTCCCCTCAGAGCGCGTGAGTTGAACAGCACTTCCCTGACGATGCCATAGCTCACGCAGAGCCCCTGCACGCTCTCTTGGCGCACCGTGATCGATGATCCGCGGGAATTCACACGAAACACCGCATGTTCTGGCCAAAAGTCGATTGGCACAATTTCTCGACAAATCAATTTTCTTATGTCACCGCGCAGTCAAATCACCGGAATTCACTCGCAATTCTCCCCGCCTTTCTCACAAAACTCCACCACTCATGATTATTTAATTGGATGAAGAGGGCATTATGCAATTGAATTTCTTGTCCATATTCTGTCCAATTAACAGGTGAGCAATTCACCTTCCATAACACAAGACAGATCTTTTCGTGTGAACTTGCTGGTGAAAAAAAAATATCCAGAGAAATACAAGAATCAATAAATTATGGAGTGCATTTTCATCCAAAACACCAATATCACACTGAGAGCTTCATTTTTATGCAAATCCCACACATGAATAATTGCACCCCAAAAAAGCAGCCTCAGCGCGAAGCGCAGAGAAGAAAACGTGAGTTGAAAAATACCTCTAGTTTATAGCTAAATTAGTATGATTAAATTGGGCGTGATTAATTAAAATAGCCACTCTGGAACACAAAACACTTTAATTATTTCACTTTCTTGTGGAAAAATAACCATCATTTCGCGAGCAAAAATCATAGAATTGGTCCTACTTTCTCAAAAAAAACATACGAAATCTGGTCCAGATTTCATTTCACAGTGCTTCTTTCGATCGCTCCGAAGGAAATTCTTGCGCATAGAATGCCGTCTTCATCAACAATGCACGTCACTATCTGTTTTGCATAATAATCATGTGTGATACAATTCAATACTCTGTGTTTCATCAACCTCCAACGCTGGGAAGGTCAATGAATGCCGAGCAAGTCGTTAAATTTCTCCCATCGACAAGTCCTCTTCTGACACAACTTCACTGATGTAAAACTGGAAAAATTTCACTTCTCACGAAACGCCAAAAAATGCGACCCTTTTGTGTCCCTCCATAAATTGAGGAAAAAGCGATTCACAAGAGAGTCACCATTAATCTCACAGCAGAAAACACGCGTGTTTCCACACAAAGTGGCGAAGAAGAACTCTTCCTTTTTTTTGTTCCTCCAGCCCGAAAAGGCCCCCAGAGAGTGAAAGAGTCGCACAACAAGTCACGTACGGAGCGGCCGAGAATCAATTGAAGACTGAATCCGGAGAATAATGGTGTATCCACATGGAAGAAAAGTTAAATCAAAGCGCAAAAAAGAAAGACTCAAAATCATTCGACTTGAACCATACACAGCTTTGATGGTGTGCGGCAATATTCCCTTCCAGCAAACCACCACATACTTTCAATTGAGACTTACTGGGAGTCATGCACACGTGAAGAACACTGCAGGACTCGCGATCTGAAACCCAGTCCCATTCTCGCGACGCGCAGACATCGCCAATCTCATCTTCCAGTAAGTCACACCGCTGAACACGAGGGATCGACTCGCGGTGGGAAAATATGCAGACAATTGAATGTTTCAGTAATTTAGCCGGTTAACCCTTTCACGACGACAAGCGTCTGACGGAGATAATCAGAAGAATTGTGTGTTTCTTCAGAACGCATTGTGAAAATGATTAATTAACCAAACTAAAGAAATCGAAGTTTTTATCCTATAAATCTTCTTGTAAAGAAAAAAATTGGGTCAAATATGACCCAATCGTCCTGGAACAGTGGTACAGAAAAATTGAATTTATTTAAATACCCATTCAGAGGGAATGAAACGCGAATGATTGGTTTTATTGAGGTTTATTCTGAGAAAAAAGAATTAAAGAGTCATTTGGCAATTGAGCAATATTGTTGCGGAGAATAACAGAAAATGTCTATCAAGAGAATTAATCTCAAAGTTGGAGTCATTAAAAATTGTATAATCCGAAGCCGTCGAACTCGCGAGAGTGCTTATAATTTTTAATTTTTCGCCAAGACATTAACCAATGAAAGATTTCACAGAAAAAATGCTCTCGACTGTTGCAATTCTTGCTTTTCCATGTTTTGATTAAATTTCATTCCATCATCAACTTTTCCAGCGTGCCGCGGTGATATTGTACACTTCCTCCATGTTTCGCACAAATAATTCCACAATTTCCATGCCTGAAGATCTAAATAATCTGCCTATGCGCACAAGAATTCTATGTTTTATCCACGTGATGCGAAATGGTCACGGTCTTGTGCGTTGCTCCTCTTTTCTCTGCACCTCCAGAAGGTATATAATCAGAGGCATTTTATTTAATAAGAAAATAAAATGCCCCTCTCCACTTTGCCCAACCGCGCACCGTCATCATCATCAAAGTGTGGCGAGAAATTGCACGAGTCAGTAGTTCTCTTACATTGTTGATATTAATTACAATGAGAGAGAGGCCAAGAAATGAGATTCGAGGGGAGGAAATTTCACGGTCAAAGTGAAAAGTGAACTTCCTCTTTCGGCTTTGCTTGTAGAATTGGAGCAAGAACGCGAGTTTCAATTACATTTTGCCACCTTATCGCCATGAGGATTGCGAGAAATTCTCTTTCTATTTCCCATTTCACGAAGCGATACGCCAGCTTAATGGCTTTTTAATGTATCGGACGATAGGAAGGAAGGAAAAACTGTCTCGGTAACAATGCAAGGTAAATAAACTACCAGCAAAGTCTGATAAATCTGGAGCAATAAAAGCACCATGTTGACCATGACCAGCGTGAAATGGAAGACACGCGGCGAGATCAGCGATAATGCACACAGAGATTCACGACAAAGCGCACAATATCCGCACAAGGAACGCCAGATTCATCAATTAAATACCGCTAAAATGCGTATGAAATCGCGCCTTGTTGCCTTTCCCATTGACTTCACACCTTCGATGTAATTTCAGCGCGCATCCGAAAACATTTCTCTCATATTTTTAATACACAATAATTGAGTAATCGCCTCGGCTGTTAAATAATTCTCTGCATAATTAATTAATATAATAAAACTGGAGGAATATACATAATAATTGCAATTTCCCACTGAAATCAGCATTTTATGTGCCTCTTTTCTTCTCGTTTGCTGCACTGAATTCATTTACATGCTATGCTACAATATAATGATTGTATTAAAAGTATCTCTGATAAGAGTTGAAGAGGCAAAAGATAAGGAAAGCATAGAAATTAACAAATTGTAGAAAGAAAATATGTCAAAGAAACATTCCACACAATGAAGATTTCAACTCAGAAACGCATTTTTTCCACTTGCAATTCTCTAAAATCATTAATCTTTATACATTCAACTCTATTAGAGTAAAGCTGAGGTGTTTTGCAAGCAATGCACTGGTTAATTTGGCTCTATATGGCTTATATTTTTCCACAAAAACCCATTGTGAAAAAATAGAGACACTCATCTCGCCTTCGAGAAACTGCAAGACAATAAATCTACATAAATTTCCCATATGCAACACTGCGCACAGGAGAAAAAGAGTCGGCGAGGTCTGAAAAAGGGCGCAGAAAAGCTCTTTTTCTCGCTGATGAATGCAACATCTCGCGATCCGACAATTGCTCAAGGAATTTTTCTTTGAAAAGTACTAAAAAAAATGAACCGCGCTCATATAAATAACAAGCCAAACAGGTTGAAGTGTTGTTAATTTTCATTGAGGCCACAATCATTGCGTAATATCGGCTTATATTATTTCAAATTGCATTCGAGAATTATCACAATTGTGTCTCTTTCGCTCACATTGCGCCGCGGAAAATCCAATGAGCTGCAATCTTGCCTATGCTTGCAGCGATAAAAGAACTTTGCCCACTAAACGAGAGGTCAATTTTTCTATAGCTTAATTCAGTTTGACTCTTTTTTTTCGAGGAATTAAGCAACAATTGGAGCGGAACTGAACACCCAGTATTTTCTTTCAGCGTCGCTATTCAACGTACAATTTTTAATTAAACGCCTCAAACAGTGATGATCATTGTCTTTCTTCGCCCAAAAAGGCCTCCAAATCGCCGCTTTTCTGCGGCTCGTTTCATATCAATTTTAGCGACAAAACTATTGAGGTAGAGGTCATCAGACGAAGGCGAAAGTGTGGCACAAATAAAATCACTTCGTTCGCAAAATGAAGAGCAAAAATTGGGTTTCTTTCCTCTGTGCTTCTCTGCAGTCAGAGCTGTCCGGATTTTTGAAAAGCCAAATTGCGTGCAAATCAAGAGTGAATTGCTGAAATTTGCTACAACTTGGCGTTTACATAATGGCACACATTTGCTCTCCGTGCCTTTATGTCACTCTGGCGGATGTATTTGATGCATAAACCCTCCGTGAAGCACGTGAAATGGCGTATAAAAAGGCTGAAACGCGATCGGCCTCGATTGAATCATCAATTCGTCGCTCAAAGTGCTCAAAGTAGCGGCTTTGGCGCGCACAATTGGACTCCCAGGTGGGTTCAGTGCCTCAGGAATACACCTCAAATTCCTCAATTGTCTCTCAGCCAAACAATTAGCATATAATTCGATCAGCGTGATTCACTCAATTGACACCCCCTCGATTGTTCAGCGCGAGAGATGTCTTACCTGTTCTGTGGGCTGATCATCCTCTTCCGTCGCCGATTCCATCAGTTTCGCCGTCGAGGTGTTGTTGGCATGGAGATTCTTCGTGTGCTCGCCGGGCGTCACGTACTGGAACTCAATGTTCGTGGCCACCGCGCTGGGAAACGTGTCTGTCGTCCAAATTGGCGCCGCGAAGTCACTCTGGTGGCTCGAAACACTGGGGCGCTTTCCATCTGTGGAAAACTGATGACCACTCACCGACACCGTGCCGTCCGAGAAGCGATGGAAAGTCAAGTTCTCATTGCCCAGGAAGGGCATTGAGTTGTTTCCATACACCTAAAGGGAATCACAAGGAGAGAAAGAGAGCATTAGAAAATCCACCCTTTTGTCCGTGTGTCTGCTTATTTAGCACGATCAATCACGATGAAATATTTAGAGTTTGCTCCAAAAATACTCTCCACCTCCGAAAGCTCATCAAAAAGACATTTACATTATTACGCAGAGCTCGTAAAAGAGATCTCAAGTTTCCCTCTCAGCACTCCTCACTGCAAAATTGCCATCTCTCTGTGGCAAAAGTGTCTCAATAGTGAAGATATTCACGAGATTTCCATGAAAATCCAATAGAGCGTGAGACACTAAGAGTGTGAGAGGAAAGATCACTCAATTAATTGGAAAGTTGCATTCGGCAGAGTGTCTCTCGGATGCAATATTCACCAGAGTGGTTCTCATTTGATAATGGTGACGAATCCATTGAATTGCCAGCAGCAAGATGATTAACCCTGAAGATATGCAGTGAAATCCGAGTGGGATTCATTTCCTAGCGCATATCTCAATAGTTTTCTTCTATATCGTGATATCATTTCTCGGGATTCGGCGATGGAATTGCGTCATGAATTCCGGGGAGCAAGATTTCCCCCTTCGCGAGAAGCCACTCAATCGCGCTGATGGCATGAAATTAAGTGGAAGACGTGGAAGAGGAGTATCAGAAATGTTTCCGCCTTTTACAACCTTGACTCATTTACCAACCAATTTTTTCTGTATACCTATCGTTAATTTATGCAAATATGCATGAGTTTTTCCATCGACACAAAAAATACGACGGCTTTCGATGTCACTTTCCTGAGAATGTCAGCATTTCTTCGGGCTAAAAAGACGCAAATTCCAATTTCCTCCTAATGATTCGCGAGTGTGTGAGGAAATTTCACCTCAACTTCCGCGCACGTCCGTTTATCGCGTCGCACTTTCCCAACTGGTTCGCCCGGTAAAAAGGAAAAGTGTCTCTTCTGCATTGGCGCAAAAATAGTCATATTAAATGGATTGCTTTATTGCTGCGCGCCTCATCAATGGTGGAAAACAAACCAATCGATTCGGCTGATAACGCATTTAATTACCCGGCAAACTTGTAATATTTCCATCGAGATTGGCGCGCGTTCATACAACAGAAAATAATATAATTAAGACCGATTATCAATTGCGCGAGCGCGCACACATTTTTTTTCTTTCTTTTATGGTCAAGAGATCGCCAAGAACAAGAGCATGGAATATTTTGCATTCTCCGCTTCAGCACATCACCAATGATGCGCCCGCCAAAGGTGAAAATATGCGATCTGATGATCTTCTTCAACACCCACTTGTAATCTTGAACAACCTGCCATAAAAATCAGACTGTGCATTTATTATAAAAAATGCCACTTTTCTGCAAACATGCGAGAAAGTTACGAAACCTGCATCTCGGCAAAACTACCAATTATTTGCTGGTTTGCGCTATAAACCACACTGAAAGCCTGCAATTTTCGATGATGCATTTTACAGCTTGTTACACTTTTCATCTCACTCTGAAATAATCATTCAATTCACTTTTTCTCGAAATGGAAAATTCAATTTGAAAATCAATGGATTGCAGACGATCAGAGAAATTTCAAAGTCATGCAACAACCTTATCAGTGAAAGTGGTTTAAAGCCACTTCTTGTGGTCAAGTTGATATAATTATTTTCCTGGTTTTGCCAGTCAGGAAATTGTGTGGAAGTTCCTTGACACTCACCGGATCCTTCAGCTCCTCCTGCTCCTTCTTTCGCCGCCACTTCATCTTGGGATGAGATTTCTCGCAAATCTCTCTGTGTTAATTTGTATGCACAGTAAATTCCCAATAAATTGCGTTGATTTCTCTCGTCCGCGTCTTTTTCTATCCAATCTTTGTCATCTTGATTCTCTCACGCCCAAGACAATTGCACAGTTTCTTGTCTCTGCGCGGTGATAAATGCCATTTGATAAGGCCACCAAAACACTTTCTTCACTTCTTTTGCCCACAATTGATGCCACCTTTTCGCACAAATGACACTAAAAATTGAATAAGACTGTCGCAATATACTACAATTGTTGCTCTCGCAGGGCAATTCTTCACATCTTCAATGGGACGATGTTGAGCCAGGGATTCCTGAAGAGCGAAAAGAAACAAAATGATGAGAACAATTAAGAGACAAAGTTGAGATTTTTCACACGAAGTGGGATAAGAGAGTTGCTGAAGCACTGCAAATTTATTCCAACCGCCTAATTCGCCATTCAGACTATCATTGGTCATAAATTGAGTGGGGAAGAGTTAAGAGCAAATCATTTCTTGGAACTGCTGCTGATTTTCCAGGTCAATCTATTGTTAATTTTGAACTCATTGGTTCTTCTTCACCGTCATGAGTCACTCTTTTGCGTGCTTTTATGCATAAATTCATGGCATTGCAGAAATGGAAAAACAAAAATGCAGAAGAGGCAGCATGAAAATTTCTTATGGGAGTGATTTATGGATATGAAAATAACATTCTCGAGCGACGTTCTTCTCTTTTGTTCTTCCATACTTAGAATAGGTAATTGACGGATTGTTTCATATATGCAATTCTATGCGAAATGTGGTGAAAAGAATTCATCAAACACTATTGAAGGTGTTGGCAAATTGAGCATTCTTACGTGATGAAGTAATTAAATTGCAGCGCAAACAAGACACTCAACAAGAACAATCTCCTATACAAGACACGCTGCAAAGAATTATTGCAGAGAATATAATTAATTTATCTTAACTTTTACACGCAACAAAAGGCCTGACGTGCTTCAGCCCACCTCAATTCCTCCCAAGACAGCCCGCGAGAGTGATTACAGAACATGATGCGGGCCGTGATAAAAAAGCCACACACAGTATCAGCAACATCTCCAACTCACGTTTATTACAGAAAGACACCACATCCCGAATACAGCGCAATATTTGCTCACTACTCTCGCGTCACTTCTTATCGCGCGCCGTTTGGCTGACTAATGAAATAATAAAAAAAAAGAGTGTGAAAAAAGTTAAACATTTTTTCCGCTCAATTGCTTGATATTATAAAAGGTTAATTGCGCGCTTCTCCGTTCATCTCCCGAATGTTGTCTTTTTGCACCATATTTTTCCTCAATTTCTGCCACAATCATCATCATCTCGGAGCACAAACAATCGTTTCTGGCTTTTTACAAGAATACTTTTCAAGGTAATTTCACGTACAGCACACACGAATATGCTGGGCTTTTTGTCGACACGCAAAATGCTATCGATCGCGCCTCACGAAGGGTCAAGTCGCGCTGGGGATCCTCAAAATAGACCGTCATGATAAGGCAATTTGCCGTCTGAGGAGTTTTTCTTGGGGAGGGGAAAGGAACGAGTAAGAAATTATTCTAATGGCGCGACAACACGATTTCATCCAAAGTCTTTGTGGAAATCTTTGCATTCGACTCACCAATTTCTCACCCATATAATCATGATCATTTATTTAGAAATCATTAAGTGCATGTCCTGAAATGATTTGATATTCGTCTTGTCGCCTCTGAAATGCGATTCTGGGGAAATATTCGTTAATGAAGACGCAATACAAGGCAATAATGAGGCTGAAATATGAACAACACTTCCATAATTTGTATACAAAAGCTCTCGTTCTTTGCTGCTGAATCTCATGCTCTTGTTCTTTGATTTCCTGAAACTTTGCTAAAGGTCACAAAGTTTCAGTGAAATAAATATATTTATGATAACGTGTCGATTTATAAGAACTCATGAATTTCTTCTGAATTGTACACCATTTCTGATCACAATATCTTCCCCTTGTCGCATCGACCGTAGATTCACTGCAATATTGATAATTTACTCGATATGAAAATGACGCAAAATCCACAAATATACTTTGCGTACATTAAAGCATTATTAATTTTTACCTTCAACACGTAATCAATCATTTAATAGAGTCTCAAGTTGCATCGGTGAGACAATCAAATTAATTCTTAATGCCTGTCTGGTCGTGAGGGAAGCGAAGAGACACACAAAACCAACCGGAAGTTTGTCCTTCACCTTTTTCTCTCCTCCACTTAAAGTGGCTTCTCTGTGGCTTTGAATTACACAATCCTAATAGGTTTTCTCGTGAAACAAAAACACCCTCTGGAAACTCACTGTTTCCCTCTGATAAATATTTACTTAAAATTCTCCCAGCAGAGAAGCGATAGTGACACGTTTTGTGGGCAAGAAATGGCACATTTTTCCGAGAATCGTCCATCGATAAAAGTTTTGTTGGTACAGAAAGATCTATCTTGCCTTCGAAAGAGCCACACAATAGCCTAGCTGCAATCGCAGAGTAAATAGCAATAAATTAACGGATATCAATAGATGATAATTGTCAGTGGATGAAGTTGGAAAAAAGGTGCATTTGCACAATGTGTAAGATTCTCTGCCTTCACTTTATGCAAATTCTGGTGGATTTCAGCGAAAAAAACATTGCGCACAGCACAGGCGAATAATTAAGGTAATTCTATGGGAATAAGTGGGGAATATTCACATGATTTTTCATGAAAACTCCACGCGTTTTTACCTCCAGACCTGCAACGCTCAACACTGACGTCATGCGGAATATTCATGGCGAATCGAGGGAGAGAGAAATAACACAATTGGGAATTTGGCCACTAATGCGAAGAGGTGTGAAAGACAACAATCCGAATTTTGCACTAGTGCAGCACAAATCGATCAAACGCCGTACCTTTTCCTGCAATCGCCCGCGATCGACACTTGAACACTTGAGCAGTGACACCAGAACCCGGGCAGCTTGAGTGCACTGAAGCGAGACGCACCTTCACAGCACGACAACGATTCTCTGACTGCGCTCCACCAGCTCCGATGAAACGCACTGGCAGACTGGCGAGCACTCCGCGCACTCCACCCTTCGATACAATCTCCCGCCACAACAACGCGCCGTGTTTGCTTCATTTGCTGCCATGACACTCACCGGCAGCACGGAAAATCCCACACTCTGGCTCTCTTCTGAGCGTCTGCAGAATCCTCAAAACACAGTCGAAATTCCCAAGCGCTCTCGAGGGAGATCAGCAAAAAACACTTTCGAGTGGATCTCAAGTGATCTCACATTTCTCAAGCCTTTAATCTCAAACATAAAGTGATGATAAAAAAAATCTTACGTATTTTCCGAGGCTGCATTAGTTGAATGCATCAAGCAAAGTTACACGAGAAAACTATTTTTGAAATACCAAAACACGAATTGAGCATTATTAAAAAAAAAATTTACTGAAAAATATTGAAAATAGAGACAAAAAATAGAGACAAAAAAGAGTGAAAGAGAGAAAATTGTTAGGGATGAAATAATCCCAGAAGCAAAGGACCAAAGGAATATTCCACAAGCAACAAATGCGATCCTCTGAATTCCTTCTCAGGCCGCTTTGGCCTCTCTTTCATCATAAAAACCATCTGGCGACCAGACTGTTGGCCTTTCGTACTGAACAACCCACGAAATACCTGAAAACACGTCAAGGTTCACTCGCTCCTCGCTCTCCCCTCGAAAAACTACCTGTTATGCAGTCAGGAAGAGAAGTCAGACCCACAATTTGAGAAACACATTAAATATCCCAAAATAAAGGCGATTACAGTGTTGATGTAGAGCTGAGCCGAGCAATAAACTGCGAAAATTGGTTCAATAGAATTAACACGATAAAGTGAAACGATAAGTCGCTTGATAAGAGAATCTTCAGCGAAAGCGCTCTCACAAGTCCAAACGATAAACCACCATTCTGACTCACATTTCCAGGAAGTTGCACATTTCCTCATCTCAAGAACTTCTGTGGCTAACGAATGATAAAAATTTAATAATTTATGTACGAAAAGTTACTTCACTTACAACTATGCAGAGTTATTCTAGCTTTAGAAGCATTTGTGGTAATTCTGGAGAGTGAGACGTGTTCTCTACGACGAGGGATCTTCTGGAGAATGGAGGCCCACTTTCTCCATCAACTCCGTCAATCTTTTCGCCTTGCGATCCTCTTTGTGCGCGATGATTGTACATAAATGCTCTGTCAGGAGTTCCTTCTTCTCCGACGCCTGATAAAGTTCCATCTTGGCCTTGAGGAACATCGCCTCGATTTGTTGATACTGCTTCCTGAAAGAGTTCCTAAGGCATTAATCTCCAGCCCCAAAATCCGCCTATAAAATTCACTCACTGTGTGTTCGCATACTGAATTGTGGCAGTTTCAATTTGCTTCCTCAGGATCGCGACATCCGCCGCCAGCTCGGCGTCCAGTTTGCTCAATTCCTGCTTCACTTCCTTCAGCTTCTTCGCCTCGGCCGCTGTGCGCTCAGAACTAAAAGAGAACCCGTAAATAAGGCCACTCAGGAAGCCTCCTTCAGACACTCAAACTCACTGCTGTTCTATTGCTTTGTAGAGCAAATCCTGCTTCTGCTTGTTGTGCTCCTCCATCAGCTTCCGCTGTGCCTCGAACTCCCGCAGCGAAACGCCCCTAAATGGAGAAGGTTGGCCAGTTTCCTCGCCCTGTTTCTCCCCATCTTCCGGAACCACGACGCTCACTTCAGCTTGCGGCGTCTCAAGCGGCTTGAAGTGAATCTCCTCCTCAATTCGCTCTATTGTGCTCTCAGTTGTGTCGCTCTCGTTCTTGTGCACTTCCTCGTGTCCATTGGAAGCACTCCTGACCGGCTTGGCCTCTCCCAGCTTTCGTATTCTGCTCTGATGGACATTCTTCTCAGCTGCAAAGCGAATGTTTTCCTTATTTCTCCAACTTCCTGGCCCACTTGCAGCGCATGTGAATCCTACCTGGTCTGTGGACACTCCTGCTGGTGAGCCTGGAGATGTCTTCTTGCGTGAATCCATTGAATTTCCCAGACATTTTCCCCAAATTTCATGGCAAGAAACTTCCACGATCACAAAACAGATCTGCCATAACTGCTCGAATTCCCACGCATCAACAAATCAACTGCTAGAAAGGCAGCTTGGCGGCAAATTCAAACAACACCAATTAATCCTAGAACTTTATTTTGATTCTTCGCTACAGTAAAAAATGGATAAAAATCCTTTTACAGACTTTTTCGTTGATTCACCACCAAACTGGACGGAATTTCATACAATAATAATACCAAATGAAATGTGATTACAATTGCCGAACTTTCGTTTTGCATTAATTGCAAAAGAATCTATCTACAATTTTTCTTTCTTAGATATCGTAATTATACTTTAAATACCGCTCTAGATAAGGCAAATTCTTTCAGTGTTGTAAATTCTATGTCGGACGTATTGTATTGCTTAAAGTCTAGTGTAAAATTTCATGGACTTTTGTACCGATGGAATGACAATTGGCGAGACATCCTCGAGTCAGAGAGTAAGTGTTTCAGAGGGTGTCATCGTTAGTTGAATAAAGAGATTACACGTCTCGAGGATGTTCTCTCCTGAATGTGTGTTGTTAGTTGATATTCGAGTGGATTAATTAGACGGATTCCGGCGCGTCACCATTTAGCTAAAGAGCACTGCAATCGCACCCAGGACGATGACGAAGCTGGAGATGGGCACGGTCGTGGCCTCGCCGTAGTGAGCCTGTCCGCACGCGGGCGGACACACGGGAATAACCGTCTCGAAGAGATGCACCTTCGCCTCTGCCTGGCCCAGCTTGTTAATCGCCTTACACACGTAGTCGCCGTATTGTCGCTTTTCAATCGTGATCACGCGCAGCGTCGAGTCCGTGAACTCGTCGGCCGTGGCGAAGTGCGAGATGCTGTAGTGCTGATTGTTGGACAGATGCACCTCATCCTTCACCCACACGATGGCCGGCAGCGGATATGCCTCGATGTGGCACTCCAGATCCATGTCGTACTGCAGCGCTTGACCGAGTCGCGGACGCGGAACGGAAATCACGGGCGCGAACTCCACCTCCAGGTTCACGTTGCGCCGGTCGCCCTTGCTCACCTGGTTGTCCGCCACGCAGTAGTATGTGCCGCGGTCCTCCTTGCGCACGGAGTTGATTTTCAGGACGTTGCCGGTATACGTGCTGCCGCCTGAAAGGGATAATCGACTCATTAGCGGAAAGTTATTGTGGCTCATCATGCAACTGTCGCATTAAATTCCATGTTTTAACATGCTCCGCTGATTTTCCCTACAAAAAAAAACACGATTTTCACAGGCAATAAAACTGAAGAGCCGTTTTTTAGGAGAAAAATGGTTTAGATTAGCTGCAAATCTTGTCTGCCTCATTTCGAATTGACCATAAATCACTTACACGCGTTTGCTTATCACGTTCTTTATAATTCGCATTGACTGCAGAGAACCGCATTACTTCTTCAATAAATTGATGAAGGAGCGGCAAATTTCTGAGAAACTCACGTGAACGCATTACACATATTTCATCAATAAACCTCCCTTGGAAAAATGTCAGTAAAAATTCCGCCCTCGCTCGAGGGATTACAAAAACCCATTCCAAACAAGTATATTACAAAAGTTGTTGAATCTATCATAGCATGAAGAGGGTGTGGAAACAAACATTGCAACGTAATTTCCCGCTCCCGGCAAAGGGCGAAACCCTCGCGACCATTCTTCATTGTTATCACGCGGAGATTCATGAGTTACAAGCCGAGAAAGGCGCTACAGAAGAACGCTACCGAAGGGTTGTTCATTTCACTGTTGATGATTGACAGTAATCCCGAGCGCGAGAGCGTGAAGAGGAATCAATAAAATGCCCACTGATCGACTCAATTTATCTCACCGGGGATTATTTTCTCCAATTTGCCTCATTTTTGTGCGCCGTGAGAGTTATCGCGCCCAAGATCGCGATCGTACAGCGAGAGAAATGCCCTGAAATTCTCTGGATGGCGATTGAGCGACCTGATTTTGCCGCATGATTCATGAATTCAGCCAGTGAGCAATTATCATCTCGTTTTTTTTCACTCTCCAGCAAACGTGTGATCGAGAGTGGATCTATTAATTTGTATTAATCACACTCTGTTCACAGCGACGATGAATAAAACATTTCCAAACCTTATTAGTCGCATGAGAGAATGCCTCTCGCGCTGAGCCCTCGAGAGGATTTCGGTTTACCTGCTGGGGTGAACAAAGGTGATCTTTTTTCGGCCAGTGACATAAAAAAGGCCGGAGATTAGAGAGAGAGAGAGAGAGAATTCTCGCAAGACAGCCATAAAACGGGAGTTGATTGACGATCTCCGCAGGGAGAAAGAGCTTCAAAGGGTCAGGAATTGTGAACTGCACAGCCTCTCGGTTCAGGTTGAATGGCTTTAGGTGGGCATGGGATGCGAGAGGGCGCGGGCAGGTGGCTAATCCGATGACTATCTCTAGTGCTTCAGCTCTGCAATTGCGCTTGTGCGCCGGAGGGGCGCCGCAATAGCACGGTAATTGCGGGAGTCTGGGGAGTGTGCTCACCTGTGGGCAGGATAGCATTGTTCTCGCGGCGCCAGGTGATTGTGGGCCGTGGATATCCTGCGGCATAGCACTCCATCTGCACGGACTTTCCCTCCGACGCTACGATGGACTGCGTGGAGTTGTCAGAGATCACGGGAGGGCGGCGCACCTGCAGCTCCACGTCGGCCGTGATCTTGTTCACCACGGACAGAATTACTTGGCACTGGTAGATGCCCGCGTCCGTCTCCTGGATGTCCTTGATCTGCATGGTGTATGTCGAGGACGAGATGTCGTGGCGGATGGCAAAGCGAGAGTCCTTGATGACTAGCGAGCTGCCCGTGGACAGGAAGACGCTGTCGCTCCTGTCCCGGCCCGTCTTTGTCCACACCACTGCGTACTCCTTGGCGTACTGCACTGAGCACTGTAGCTCCACTGTGCCCCCAATGTCTTTGATCTGCTCCTGCGTTATGTACGAGATGGAGGGCGTTCTCTGTCCCAAACACACGGCGGGTAACACCACCAGTACCACGACGAGGAAATTCATTGCGGAAAAGGCACTCTTTGGGCAGGAAAATGAGAGGAAAATCACCAAAAACAACACCACACCCTGAGAATTCTCGCTGGAATGGCCACCTGCGTCATTGGCGTTCCAGGCGCTGGCAGCGCTGTCAGTTACTTCCAGTGGACGCGCTGGGAGGCTTTTGAAAAGTAACAGACGTATTTTCGATAACGTGAAAATCGCGAGAAAAAATTGAAAATGCTATTGAAAGGCATTCTGACGATCGGAAATCACAGCGTAGATTTCATGAAGAAATTATTCATTACCAGGATCGAAATTTTTATTGTTTCATCAGATAAAAGAACAGTTATTACATGCCGGATTAAATAAACCATGAGGACATTCTATTTTACAATCTAATTTTAAGTGAGCAAAATTGTCCAGTCAATTTTTGGGGTTGACTTTCAGCTCCACACTCTTTTCAACGGCCTCAGGATATGAGCCAATTATACATTTGTACTTTCCCGCGTCTTCTTCCTGGACATTCTCAATCTTGAGTGTGTAATTTGGATATTCGTAGCGGACAGACATTCGCTCGCGAGGGAATATGAATGTCCGCTCGGCAGTGAGAGCAGTGCCGTCTTTGGACCACAGGTTAAACTCTCCTGCGGCATTCAAGAGAGTACAATTGAGTTCAACCGTGTCTCCAACGTTTATCTCCTGATCCTCTGTGATGTCAATGATTGCTGGATCTGTGCTTGAAGGTTTCGGAAGCAATTTCACAGCGTATTCTACGGAACAAGTGTAAACTCCTGCGTCACTTTCTGTGACGTTCTCAATCCGAAGATAATGAACGGTGTTGTTGTAGGTGGCAGAAAATTTCGGACTAGCGAGTACGTTGTCTTTCGCACCCCTTTTCCTCCAAGTCACATCGTAGAACTCAACATGCCTCACGGGACACTTGATAAGCGCCGTTTCTCCAATTGGCAATGGGAGATACACAAGAGATGGAGTGACATTGCCATCATCAGGACACTGACTCTGGCAGATCACGAGTAAATTGAAAAGAAGACAAAGAACAGAAATCATTTTAGACATCTTTTCACCGCAAAAATCACGGAAGAACTGAAGAAAAACTAAAATTATCATCATATTATATCATGACACAAATCAAAACGGAGAAAAATCTCAGACGAAGAGCTGAATTATAGATCTGGGAGTCAGTTTGGCATAGAGAGTCGTTAATAGTTGATAAACTTACTCTTTTAAATTTCTAATTTTATGAAAAATCTTTTGAAAAAATTGAAAATGCTTCAAATAGACAATCTGATAATCGAAAAACATAATTTGGATTTCAAAAAACATGATTTTATCTTCGGGATTGGTTTTTTCCTTAGGCTTCAGGTAATGTACTCATATGAAATCTCAAAACAACACTATATTTTTGATAGAACATGACATTGAACACTATTTTAGAGTCTAATTTTAGTCATATAAAATTAACCACTTAATTCTGTGGATTTATTAGAGCGACAGGCGGTTGATTGACCTTCAGCTCCACACTTTTCTTGATGAGAACATCTCTGGTAATAACGCATTCATAACGTCCAGCGTCGCTCTCTTGAGCATTTGTTATGCTGAGTCCATAAGTCGGAATATCCAAGTTGAGAGCAATTCGAGGATTACGAGATATTTTTACTTGTCCAACAGAGAGAATAGTTTTGCCGTCTTTCGTCCAAATCACTGGCAATCCTTCGGCGTTCGCAATGGTGCAATTGAGCTCAACTGCATCGCCTACGTTAATTTCCTGATCCTCAGTGATATGCGTGATCAAAGGCTCTGAACTTGAGGGCAATTGAGGTGGAAGAACTTTCACTGAATACTCCACAGTGAGAGGAAAATTTGCCACACAATAGTAAGTTCCCGCGTCACTCTCTTGGATGTTCTCAATCTGTAGACTGTGAGCAGAGTCCTTGAAGACAGTGGAAATCCTGGAGTCGGAAGAAGTGGCGAGATCACTGTCGGATCCTTGCTTTCTCCAAGTCACTGTGAAGTAGTCTACATTCCCTATTGGACATCTGAGAAGCGCCGTGTTTCCCTCAGTGGCCAGAAAATGCACAAGAACTGGTCTGACATTGGCTGGAGCCGCAGAAGAGTGACTCCAGCACAGTATCAGCACGCTGAAGAAGAGAAAGAGACCAGAGACCATTTTTGAGGTCTTTTCACTCATAACACCACGAAAGAACTGAAGAGAAAACACTCAAATTGTCTGTCTAAAATTATCATCATATTATATCATGGCATCTATACAATTTGCACTTTATTCGCGGAAAAAATACTATAGCAAAATACTCGAAAAAAATCTCATGCAAGGCGAGAACAGCTACATAAAATTCGCTATCAAAAATAAAGCAATTTGGCAATTATTGTCCGGAAGTCACTTGAACATAGAGAGCTATACTTTGCCGGCCTTTGATGGCCTCTTCACATAAAATATGAGATATACTCGTGCGGCATCACTCCGCGGCGCGGATAAAACGTGTGATCCACACCGTACTGCAGGAGATTCGTCACGTTGGACGTGTAGATGTCGGAGAAGCGGAAGAGCCTGCGCGAGAAGTACGTGGGATTGTTGTAGGTGCGGAAGACGGAGCCGAACTGCTTGTTGAAGATCACCTTGATGTCATTCCGCAGATGATCTCGCTCGTCCATCCATCGCCTCAGAGCCTTCTTCGCCTCAGGCGTCTCGCGATCCTGATGATCCTCGATCAGCTGCGTCAGCATTTGCAGCCAGTTGGCGTTTTGCTTGAAGTCCGGATTGTTGAGCGTCTCAATCTCGTGGCTCAGCTCGCTGATGATGGCGCCTGTGCGCCAGCCGTGCTCCAGCGTCACGTCCGCCAGATCGCTGTACGGATGATCGCCGAAGTAGAGCACCTGGTGGCCCTTCCAGCCCGTCAACTCCTGCAGCTGTTGCACCGTGCCCTCGTAGTACACGCGTCCCTTCTCCAGGCGCGACACGCGGTCCCACAAGTGGGTGCCCGTCTTCTCGTCCAGCAGCCGGAAGGGGCGTGTGGTGTCCGTGAAGAATCGTGGCTTCCTCGCTTGCACGATCACCACGTCGAAGAGATCCTTCCATTGCGGCCCCATGAGCGCCTTCATGCCCGTGTTGACGAACTGGAAGGGACTGTTCGTGACCAGGAAGAGCCTTTTGCCCGCGTTCACGAGGCGCTCGAAGAAAGTCGCCAATTGTCCGTTGGACTCAACGTACTCCTCAATGTTCTTCATCACAATGCCGTGCATCACGCCGTGCGACACTCGGATGGAGTTCTTCACGTCGCGGAAGAGAATCTCCGGATGGTAATCAATGTGGTTGCGCTCGAAATACTCCGCCACGTTGCACAGAAGGCACATCTCTGGCACTGAGAACAGATCCGCCAGCTGCATCATCTTCGGCCGACTGTCCGTGAGCTTCGAATTGCCCTCCACGTACGCAATGGAGAGAATGCGGTTCTTGTAGATCTTCAGCACATCGGCATCCGAGAGTGCTGTCAATCCGCGATACACCGTGCCCAGCTGGATCTGCAGGAAGGAGTCGAGTTTCATCAGGAGTCCCTGTTCGATATCATAGTGCAGTCCGCGGATAGTGAAGTCCGGTCGGTAGGGAAGACTGGAGATTCCTTCAGGATACTGAGGAAGAGGAGTGATTATTGGCAAAGAAGCGCTTCATATTTTAATAAGGATCACCTTGTACTCGTCAATGAGTCGCCCCCGGCCCAGGTCATAGAGAAGGTAGTCGAGTGACGGTTTATAGCACGCCAGAGTGTAATCATAGTCAAATCCGTAGACTTGCACTTCGCCCAAATCCAGTTCATTGCACGCGAAAACTCCTTGCAAATTCACGTCTTTCGGTAACTTCTTGGCTGTGGAAAATTTTCAACAAAATGTGTGTGTGAAAAATTTCATGAAATTTCACCGAACCTTGAAGCCACATTTCATGGCTGTTATCAGAGAGTGCAATTAGCAGACGAGTGAAGGGGTGAGAAAAGGTGACTTTGCGGCCACTTACATTTGTACTTCAGCTTCGTCTTCTCGTACAGGTCGTCGTAGAAGGAGGCGGAAGTGAACTGGCGTCCTGACACACGAAATCTACCCAGGGAGCGACTCAGAGAGCGGATAAACATCCTGCCCACTTGTTATGCGTGGTCTGGCTTCTACTGCACTGGCCTGCCAGTGCGCTTTCCACTGGAATTGCCCGCATGCAGGCGTCTGCCATTCAAAGCCTAACCGCCATCCAAGGCCACCCAATTATCTTATCGAACGGTTAATTCATCATTGTGCAGAAATCCTGCTGTCGGAGGGCAAAAGTCCAGCGCATTTTCCCGCTTTTTAGCATTTTATTTCTTTCACACACTGCTCAACAACGAACATCCTAAAGGCCTAATATCGTCTATAAGAATACTCAGATAATTAGTAGAAAAATACTGACCAATACAAAATAAATCCATTCCATCTATAATGCAAAAAGAGAGTTAATCCTCAACGTATTTCTGTCTAAACATCCTCCTAGTCTTCAGTGGATCGTGAACGCGCGGAAACATCGTGTTGGGTTTTTGGTGACTAGCTTTTCTTAGGAATCTTTCTGAGATTGGTGATTTCTCAAGTCAGTCAATGCCAAGTGAATTCGGAAGTGGAGTCGTGACTCAAGTGAGTAGCCCGTGAAGTTTTTCCTGGAAGAAAGCACAGTATTAATTAAATTTCAGCACTCGCCGACACAAAACACGTTCACCCTGCTCACTTTGCATCCTCCAATGCCATTATGGCGCTCTCGCGCTTGCCCTGGTCGGCGTAGATGAGTCCAATTTCAACAATTGCATAAGGGATCAAGTATGTGTCCTCCTTGATGTCTTTGTGCATCGCCACAACGGCCTCAAAGTGTCTGCAAAGAAAGGGCGTTTCGTGAAAGTTAAATCATCTATGTGGGAAAAGAATTTTCCCTTACTTGAGTGCCTGCAAAGGACTCTTCATCTGCTTCAAGCAAGCGCCCTTCAGCAGATGCGCCAGGGCTCGATTGTCTGCGTCGAATCTGGACCGCGGCATCTTGTCGTCCGCCGTCACGCGGTCGATGAGCTTCAGCACGCCGTCGGCCAGGTGAAAGTGCCTCCCGAGGATCTTGAACATGTTCCAGATGTACATCAGCTCCACTGCCGCCAGCAGCAGAAATCTCCCCTGGGCAAAGTATCTGTCGCACTTCTTCACCACAAACTTCTCCAGCGGAATCGACTTTCCCGCTATTCGTTGCTTGTGCAGCGGCGCATCGCGCATGAGGAACTCAATGGAGCGTCGCTCGTCGGGCGTGAGATCCTCCTCGGGGATCTGCATGAGGATCGCCGCCTTCTGATACGTGTAAATCGTGCGCGACCACCGGCTGTGATCCAGTAAATTCGTGGCGTACAGCAGAGCCTCGCGCCACTGCTGGCGCAAGCTGTTGATCCAGAGCAGCTCCCAGAAGCACACGTGGTGCATCTGAGGCCACACCGTTTGGGAGCGCCAGGACTTCTTGTACCAGTGCGTGGCCTCCTCGAGATTGCCGCGCATGAACTCCAGCCGTCCCTTGAGGAAGAGGAAGCACACACCATTCGGATACACCTGCAGCTGGTGCTCCAGGATCTCGTCGCAGAAGGCCAGGTCGCCCTCCTTGTGGCTCAGCACATAGCACACGATCAAGTGATAGCCCAAGAGGCCCATCACGCACAGCACCTGTCGCAGGCCCTTCAAGTGGAAGCCCGCCAGCAACTCCCGCATGCCCACCTCCTTGTTCCCGCTAAATCCGATGAACTCCAGTAGCCGGATCACGCGCGCCGGCAGCAGCGACACTAGCAGATTGAAGCCGCCCACGCCCACGCGCACGCCGCTCTCGAAGTGCAGCCGCGTCTCCGCGGAAGGCCACTTGATGCGATTCAGCATCACGCTGCACTCCTTGTAGCTGCCGAAGCACGCACGCACCTTCATGCCGCTCTTGATCAGGCTCGTCAGCGTCTCGTCTTCGATCAGTGTGATCACGGCGCGCATGAGCAACGCCTCGGCGGCGCACAACTCCGCGTGCGCCTCCAGCGCCGTGTACATTTCGTAGTTGGGCCGCTTGAACGTCTTGCCCAGCTGCTCAGAGATGGTAACTTTCCTGCGGTGGCGATTGCACACGCTCAGGCACACCTTGAGCGCTGCGGCGGCGTCCAGGATGTGCTGTGGCTCAAATGTGAGGACGGCTTCAAGACAGGCGAATACTGACGTGCCCACAGAATGATACATACTCGTCGAGGCCCTGCAAAAGAAAACAAAAAGGTCAATTTCCATTCAATCACTTCACACTAATTCATCAATGAATTTCTCTCGAGTGCCGTGCAAAATCCAACTTGTTGAGGAACAGATAAGAAAATCTGTTATTTACAAATCAATCAAGACACTATCATGTTATAATATTCAATGAACTTCATTATCACAAACACTTTATGTAATAATGTGATTGCGAAATCCGTCTGCGTTATTTTTATCACAATGCCAAAGATTGTGTCGCACGAAAAATCGCGTATTTCTATGACTTTTTTTCCAGTCCACCCAAGAGCCCATGAAAGTGTTTTTCTCATCAGGCATCAGAAACATTTTGTGCGCAATTTGCGCTTCTCTCAATGACAATCTGGACTTTTTCCCTCGCTTTCATCAAATCACCCTAAAGAAGAAATTATCGTGCACATTTTTTCCCTCTCTTCTTGTACACATTCATTCGTCTCCAAAAGCTATTGATCTCCCGAGGAGAAAAACGTGTGCCTAAAGAGGTTGATTATTGACTTATTCTACAGAGAGATGTTGCTGCTGCTGCAAAAAAGCCACTTAGCTTGTATGTCTTCTCTTTAGAATTTCAATTAACGTCAAACATTTCGCATCATTCCACCCAAAAATTTGCCACAAGCCAATCATGGACAACAATCCCAGACAAATTTCGTGGACAAAGCAAAAAACCTTCGCACATTTCAGTGAAATTCACATAGAAAGTATGTATTTTTATTAAAAATGTTTGCCTTTTTCCATGACAACAAACATCGACCCTTCAATTATATAAATTACCTGACCATTACACCTCGTGACATTACATTTTCGTCAATCTCTTTCCCCCCTCCTCTGCACCAGCGAAACGTGCCACGAAATTTCAGTGTTCTCTCCCATTATAAATGATGATACTCTCTGGCGAGGGATTTTCTTGCATAATAACACAACTCAGGATCACAGCAAATGACTCCATTGTTGTGCCGCGCGATTTTCTGCCACGATATCCGGAAAATTGCACTTCATTAATCACCCGCTTAACTCTACTGCTCTGCATCGACTCAGCTTAAGCGAAAATACAGTGAGTGTTTGGAGAGAGAGACTCGAGGTCATGGGCTTTTGAAGGCGCCAAACAATTAAAAATCTCGAAAGTCGTACGTGAACTTTTTGGACAAATTCACTCACACCAAAATAATCACTTTCATATTTTGTCTAAACGCGATGTTCATCGCGGACGATAAAGCACAGCATCGTGACAAAAAGGGAATTTTAACCCAGTTCTGCTTATGTAAAGAATAAATAATATAAACTACTGACACAATCAACTTCAGGTAATTTAGCTCAATCTACCATGAAAAGGTGGAGAAAATAATGCGAACTCTCTTTGCTTTTGGTGCTTTTATTGGCTTTTCTGCTCGTTAAAGGAATTTATCACTAATAGACAATGTTATTGAGTTGGAAATCTCATTGTGATTATCAGAGAATGACTCTCAGAAGTCTGCTACTTGCAAACACTCAGCAATTCTTTGTGAACTTCACGGCATCGATGCACTTTTGTGCTTTGCGCAAAGTGCGGACAATTCAATTAGCTTTCTTCTGATGCAGAAAACTTCACTAAAAGTCAATTAGTTTATTCAAAAAATCTCTAAAAAAAAAACTATCTTTGTATGTTTTTGCCGATTGCAATTCAATTGGAAAATGTAAACAACATTCTCGCCAGTGCAAGAAGAACTAAATTACTTTTCTTTTTGTTCTCAAACTGTAAAATATTAACTGGTTCTAACTAGAGTTATAAAAATTATGTCCAACAACTTCAGAAAACGATGAGTTATTTCCGGATAATTGCAAACTCATTTAGAGAATTAGAGACTTTATCTTTTCATCAAACACACCAATAATGATTTGTAATGATAAGTGAAGTTCTCACGCATCAATTCGCGATTTCGCAGCTCTAAAATATCATCATCATCATCATCATCACCTTAAATCTGCCCCTCAAATTCACTTCCCTTTCTCAAGAATTCCACAAAACGCCCATAAATTCTACACATTCACATTGTCAAAGAATTCATTGAGAATTTCTTTGCCTATCGATTTTTTCAGCACCGCCTCGCGTTTTCCATACAATTAGCGACTAAACACGAACTTAAATCTCCGTCTACACAAACAAGTCCGAAATTAATTTGCAAAAAACGAGAGTTTTAGATTTATACACAGACCAGTTAAATGACGCGCAATGATGAATTCATTCGCGAAAAAAGACTCGTTTGTTCAACTTGAGTCCCTGACTTTTTCCTAAAGCATTTCCATTGTAGGGCAAAAAGTCCTGGGCCTCGTTTTGGGGTGGGAAAGTCACACAAACACGCCAATTAATCATCAATTTAGCGTGAGACAGAGCGTTTGAGGGAGAAAACGATCTTTTGGGGAGTTGAGTGCCAACATTAATGTGTGTTCTTGACTCGTGGAGAGATTTTAATTGCCTACCATCTCAATTTTCACGCGCAGCGACGGTTTTTGCGTCGCGAAGTGAAAACGGCCGCAAAGTGACTGGATAATGAGATGCTCAAGTGAGCAATTGAGGACTCACCAGGGCTTCAAGATGTTCCGCGCCTCCGCGAAGCGGTTATTGAAGAAGAGGTCGAGCGCCTGGTTGGCCTCCAGCAGGGAGGTCTCCAGATCCATCACGGTGCCCGGTTGCGGTGGGATGGATTCGCAAGCGTCCTGGAAATCGTCTTCCTCCTCGTCCTGCAGCTCCCTGGCCATGGCCGCGTACGTGCCCTCCAGGCTGGGCTTCATATGCACAGTTGACATTCTTTCTCGCACAGCACAATCAACGGGAGTGACGAGACTGAGATCTATAGCATGTCCAGCCACCGAGATTTCCAGCCTTATCGGTCAATTACGCGGAACCACTTGACTTGTCGCGCTCTCGAGTGTCCAAAACAAACAATTCCCAGTGGCACGTTCCAACTGAGGCCACAGCAATCGATAGACTGGAGACGACACGGCCAGACACTGCGCATAGGCACTCTTCCTCCTGCCCCCACCCCCAAAATCACTTCCGGACCACTTCGAGGGGCTGATTCTCCCACTTTCAGCGCCTCTCGCACCGAGATTCACACTTCACGCACGAGGCAAAGTATCCCGCAGTCACGTGCAAGGCCTATCTGGGCCATTTTAGGGATAATTTCCTGATTTTTCACGAAAATTTCTCCACTGGCGGATCTAACCCACTTTTTCGCACTCACTTCCAGTTGTCACTTCCCGCGAGCGCGCCTTTCCAGTGCGGCGATATTCCACGGGAAATCCCCGCGCTTCGCCATTGCTGTCACTTTTCCCAAACAATAGACTTTGTCGATTTTGTAGTGCGTGTTTTGGGGGCGTTTTCCCCAGTTTTATTAGCCGTTTGTGATAGATTCCCTCAAGATAGTGTTCTATGAGCAATTGGAGAGCATTTGCTAATCGTAGTTTGTAGAATCCACAAGCGGAAAAGGTGTAAAATGCTGCCAAAACGCAATCGTGTTACGCCTGAAGAGTCTGATGATGAACTCATTGCAGACGATGTAAAATCTCCTGTTTTGTACACTCGATCAACTCTCTAATCGACTCTTTGGTTGCAGGAAGCCTCTGTGAATCCTGTGGAACTAAATACGCAGATTCCCGTGTTCATGCGTCGCGAGAGACCGCCAGCAAAGTCCATCTATGAAAGTCTCGACTACGAGGTGATCGAGAATGAGCTCTACAAGGAGGATCGACAGAAGAGACCACCGAACTTCGAGCTGTGGAAGGATTTCTTCCGATGGCTCATCTTCATCTCCATTGGCATCTCTACGGCCCTCGTAGCATGTCTCATCAACATCCTTATCGACCAATTCTCGGATCTCAAGTACAATTTTCTGAAGCATTGTAAGTTTCTGCGTGATGACTCATCGTCGGAAAGTCGAGTGACTGCATTTTCTTCTTTCCAGCTGTCGACAGCAACGTGATGAATGGTGATTTATCGCTGCCCTACATCTACTGGATGATCACTAACATGATTCCCGTGCTCATCGGCTCAATTCTCGTGACTTACGTGGAACCTGTGGCGGCGGGCAGTGGAATTCCGCAGGTGAAGTGCTATCTGAATGGGATAAAGATCCCGCGGCTTATCAGGATCAAGACGCTGGCCGTGAAGGTCGTGGGCGTGGCGACGTCAGTGATAGGAGGATTGGCGGGAGGCAAGGAAGGTCCCATGATCCACTCTGGAGCCATAATAGCTGCGGGAATATCTCAAGGCAAGAGCACGACGTTCAACATGGATTTCGGTGTGCTGCGCTACTTCAGAGACGACCACGAGAAGAGGGACTTTGTCGTGGGCGGAGCAGCTGCAGGAGTTGCAGCAGCTTTCGGGGCACCAATCGGCGGGGTGATTTTCTCGCTGGAGGAAGTGGCGAGTTTCTGGAACCAGAGTCTCATCTGGCGTACAATGGTGGCGTCGGTAATCAGCTCCTTCACCCTCAACATCGTCCTGTCCACGTACTACGGCTTGTCGGGATTGGTGTATCCTGGTCTCTTCAACTTGGGCAAGTTTGAGCCGCTACCCTTCACATACTTCGAGTTGCCCATCTTCGTGCTCATGGGCGCTATGGGCGGCCTCCTGGGGGCGCTCTGGAACTTCGTCAACATCAAGCTAAACATCTTCCGTGGGAGATTCGTGAAGAAGAAGTGGGGCAAAGTACTAGACGCGCTTCTCATTGCCGCCGTGAGTGCGACTCTCGGCTCAATTCTCATGTTCAGCATCAACGATTGCAAGCCTCTGGGCAATGATCCCATCAAATATCCCGTGCAGCTCTTCTGCGAGGACAACGAGTACAACGCCGTAGCGGCTCTCTGGTTCCAAACCCCAGAAGCCAGTGTGAAGAGTCTGTTCCACGATCCGCCGGGATCTCACAAAATCCTCTCGCTAGCGCTCTTCGTCCTGGTCTACTACCCACTCTCGTGCTTCACATTTGGCCTCAATGTGTCGCTCGGAATCTTCATTCCCACACTCCTAGTCGGAGCGGCCTGGGGAAGACTGACGGGCATGACAATCTCCGCTATTTTCCCCACTGTGGATCTCCATCCAGGGAAATACGCTCTCATCGGCGCGGCTTCGCAACTCGGAGGCGTTCTGAGGATGACCATCAGTCTCAGCGTGATCCTCATTGAGTCCACAGGCAACATTTCCTTCGCCTTTCCACTCATTGTGACTCTGATCACGGCCAAGTGGGTGGGAGATTACTTCAACGAAGGCATTTACGATACCCAAATCTCCGTGTGGCGCGTCCCGATGCTTCCCTGGTCACTGAATCCTCTCTACCAGAATCTCAACTCTTACGACATCATGAACACGCCTGTGGTGTCGATAAGATTGAGGGAGAAGGCAAAGGACATCTACCAAATGCTGACGAATTGCTCCTTCAACGGATTTCCTGTGGTTGATGAACGTGGCTGTCTCAGGGGATTGATCCTGAGGTGGCAACTCGTGGTGATCCTCATGAAGAGTCTCTACGATGAGAAGAAACGATTCTGGGAGGAGGAAGTGTCAATTGAAACGTTTAGGAATGAGTATCCACGATATCCTTCCATCGAGCAAGTGAGGCTGTCTTTGGACAAGACAGATTACACAGTGGATCTCAAGATGTTCATGAAACCATCACCGCATTCTGTGACCAAAGTGAGTTTATTGCATTCCAAGATTACAGCGATTACTTGACAAATTCCTATGCTTTCAGGACACTTCGGTGCCAAGGATTTTCCAACTCTTCCGCGCCCTGGGACTTCGCCACTTGCCGGTTGTGAATGTGAACAATGAAGTTGTGGGCATTATCACGCGAAAAGACTTTCTCAAGATTCACAATCACTAATGTAGAAAGATCGGCGATTGGTGAGTCATGTGTAGTTATTTTTGCTAAAATATTCTATAGAAAGTATTTTTAAACAACTCTCTGTGATCTTTTGAGTCTATGAGCTAAATATTCCATTGCGAAAATGCCCAAACTTATACCAATTCCCCACGCGAGGATCAGCATTGCAGGCTGAATGTCCACAAGACCGACGGTGATGAAGTTGCCACCCACTCCGTGACAGGTCGGTTTCTTTGTGTACAACAGGGAATTCTCACGCTCCTGCAAGCCGTGCTCTTGCATCCTGAAGAGACCAACCTTGAAGACCTCCTTGAAGGAGGAGTTCTTCTGGATGGCGTACCAGGGATCAATTAGCTCGTAGAACTGAATCTCTTTCAGATCGCACTTCTCACTTTCGAAGAACGTCTCTGTGACCACCTGCAAAGAATCTTGCTTAGGAAGATCTCTCAGAAATCGATAAGATTTACCTTGTAACCCACTCCTGTCTCCATGTGGAAGGCAAAGAGACCGCCGCGGAGGAGTTTGATGCCCTGCTCGAGTGGCATGAAGGCGGGATTGGTGCCCTTCTGCAGGATCTTCTGCTCGTAGATGGCTTTCCGGACGGGCTCGGTTTGGTGGGTGAAGTAGTAGTGATTGAACACCGTGTCATCAACGCCGAACTTGAGCCTCGACGCCAGCAAATCCGACAGGGTCTTGATCTTGGTGGAAGGCGATTGCAGGAGGGCCACAATGTTGGCTGAGTAGCTGGTGTAGAGGAACATGAGAGCGATGAAGGCCAGGAAGGTGATGCATCGCGTGGAGAAGCCCCGAGGAGTATGAGCGCTGCCTTGCTGGCAGCTGGCGCCGAAGACGAGGATAAATGCTTCCGAAATCTTTGGACGAAGCGTCACGCTGTCCTGAGTATCCGTAGGCAAGGATTTCCACTCGACAGCCGTGGCCAGAGTGAGGACGAGGATAAGAATGATCATCAGGGTGATGAGAGAGTACCAGACGAACGAGTCAAAGGGCAGGATGAAGACGTTGTCCGTGAAGGAGAGTTTTGGGGAGCGAAAGACGAACTTGGATCGCGTGGGAGTGGTCATGGCGATGTACTGGATCACGGGGATGCGATCTGTGGTGTAGAACAGAGGAGATGCTCCCAGATGAACGAGATTCCTATCCAATTCCCCGATCATGCCACTCCAGGCGCTTCCGTTGAAGTAGCCCCAAGTCTCGACAGTCAAGAACTCAACGCTAGCGTTCACGTAGTCAATCAAGTGATTAGTCAAGATGTAGTTGACTTTCGTGATGGTATCGATATGCTTATCGCGGTAATCTGTGAGATGATTGAGGCTGTCGTTGTTCGTGATGACCATGCTCGCTCTGAGGACGGTTTTCTGCACATTTTGCCGTCTTCTGGACGTGATGGGAGTTTCCCGAAAATCTTCCAGTGTTTCCTGATCACCTTTCCACACCCCGAATGTCTCCAAGAGCAGCGGAGTTTCCAGAAGATGACGATACACTTGTTTCACAACGACATTCTCTCCTTCCGGAATCAGGAGGAAGATCTCACTACTCCCAAGAACGGGAAGATCAGCAAAAGTCTCCAGTACTTGTTCTTCAATATCCTCAGAAGAGGAATGAAACAAAATCCATTTGTAGTTGAAGTAGAGCGCTTGAGAGGCATTATCCAGGATTTCTCGTGAGGAAGGACAGTCGAAATCTATCAGAATCACTGTGCGATGTTCTTCTAAGGTCCTGAAATCTGCTCCGTTGAGTCCATCAGTGAAAAATGCCTGAGAATCAGCGGAAAAAGTGGCGAGATTCTTCAAGAGGCTGAAATGGTCAGCAGGACTGGAGCAGAAAACATGTCCTGACAGGCGAAAAGGAGACCCCAAAAGCTCCAGGAGAGCTCTAATCACTGCACTGAGAATCACAGAATTCATTTTCTACTGGACAATGAAAGACTGGTGACTTCTTCTGGGGAAAAAGGTGTATTTAAAGTCTGTCGGATGGGGAGAAAGAGGGAGAGTGTTTGGCCAGGACGAAGGGAAGAAAATGACTGCATTAAGAATTCATTTGTCATTCTTTGCTCTTCGTGATTGTTATCACTCCGCACGCGATGATTGCGCCCACCTTCTGCTCCTCCGTTTGTGGCAGCGTGGGGTTGTCTTCTTGGGATTCGGACGGCGGTGTGGCGATGTCCGGGAAACGATTGTACTCGATGGGCTTCTCGTGGACCACTAGTGAGCGCCCTATGATGCCATTGGGGCCGCACAGGCTCAAGTAGGGACTGGCGAACTCCACGGATGCGGAGCCGTCCTCCTTGGCCTCGATGTTGCCAATCTGCGGAGAAGACAGTGTCAGGGAATTGGCAGAGATGAGGAGAAGTGTATTTTTACCAGGCTCCGCTTGAAGTGGGGCCCCGTGGACTTGCAGCTCTCGGTGAGATCGCCGTACTGGTGAATGTGGACGCCGTGTTTGCCTGGCGTGAGTCCAGTCACGTTGATGGACACGATGACGGGATCGAAGTCCGAGAACTGCCTGAAGCTGACGGAGCCTGTACCGCCTCCCTCGGCGTTGTCACCCGTGAGGGTGGCGGAGGCGCGCCAGATGGGCGCCACTTGGTTGTTGATGAAGAGGAACTCACGCGCCGGAGCAACTTGGCGCAGCGCGCGCGCGGCCTCGGGAAACAGGTCGTCCTCCAGGAGGAGGGGATTGGCCAGAGCTACGTGGGCCACCCACAACATTGCCCAAACGCCGAGCATGGCTTCGCTGATCATGCGAGCGTCGAATAAAAATGCTTATTATCTTTTCGCAATTATTAATTTCGCACTCGAGAAACTCGAGAGGCGCGGGAGGAAAAAGGGTCACGGCTTCGTGAGGCAAGAGCGCTGGGCTTCTGCGAAGCGAGTAATTGGCAAGATGAATCAACAGATCGAAGTGATCTTGACCAAGAATGATACTGGATGCTACAGTTACACTTCAAAATATGCAAAATCGCGCCCCGTGAGGAATCCCGAGCGCTATTGTCTCAGCGAATCTCGTGCGAAAAGGCAGAAGAAAATCACCCAGGAAGTGTAGAATTAGCAGCAATTGGAGGAGAGTGCGTTCGGAGTGATCACTGATAAATCCAATTAGACGATAATCACGGCAATTTGCACACTTCAAATCCGACACAATCCGTAGAAAAGATGCACTTTTCACCTCGCGCGAGTGTAAATGAAAACTGTCCAGAGACGCCAGATGATCGGGCATTTTTATACTGATGTCCGGCAAGGTTGGCGGCCCCACCGCGTGAAGATCGCGCTGGGAAAACTCCAGAGATTCCCACCTCTATTGCATCACAGACGATCGTGTGCCTTCTCGACGCGGAGAAAAAGCTCTATGCAATTTTGCCTGTTCTAGTTTCAATCACGCGAATTTCCATGCTCAATTGTGTGTCAATTGACTGTGCAAACATGATGAAACTCAAATTTCCGGTCAATTTTTATTGATTGTCCACATAAGATTTGTGCTGCGCCACGTGCCATTCGACGGTCAGAGAATTGCTGTTGTCGCTGTTGTCTTTGAGTCTGCAACTCTATGAAAATCGAAAGAGAGTACAAAAAAATCTTAACTGTTCATAACAGGTAATATCGAGATTTAACGGACATTCACACGTGCCAAACAGCAAATATGCGCTAATTCTTATTATTATTTCTGCAATGTTCTGGCCAAAAGTGTCGCAAAGTCCAGTTTTTGAATTATTACTGAATGACAGTTGGTTGATTTTTTTTCTCCTTTGGGTTCTTGAGAGAGTGTAGGTTTAAGTAAAGAAGAAACTGGCTTGACTTTTGGGTATCAAATTACGTAATTGTGTTTCTGCTGAGTTGACTTTTCTGCTCCAAAGGTATTTTTTCGCGATGAATTCTCAAATCGTTGCTCTGCTAGTGATTCTGGGCGTGAGTCTTGGTCAAAAGACTCCCTCAATCTCTTCCATAACGCCACACCAGATCAAGGATGCAAAAGAGTCTGTGGATCTTCAATGCTCCGTGCTAAATCTGAGCGATTTCCCTGTGATTTGGAAAAAGAAGAGTCAAAGTGGCGGAATTATTTTGTCTTCGGGCGAATATCTCATTGACAGAGATTCTCGATACGACATTCTCTATGACAAATCCTCGTCGACGTTCACACTGAAGATCAAGGACCTCGAGGAGTCGGACGCGGGAACTTATCAGTGTCAGATCTTGCTCTCGGCAGTGTACCAGATAACAGCCGAAGTGGAATTGCAGGTGCGAAGAGCTTCTGACAAATATTCTCACAACCCAACGCAGTCTAGTGAGAGTGAATAGGTAATTCCTATTCCTATTTGATGTGCATTCTCTTCTTTCAATTGTACCTTCATATCCTGATTTCAACGAAAAAGGCATTCATTTAGAGATAAAATTGCTGAATTTGTCACGAAATTCACACAGAAATCAAAGCGTCGAAAATAATCTCAAGAAGTGATTTGATTTGATTGCATTTCCATATGTCGAAAGTGAGCTAATAAAAGCCAACATACGCACTCGCAGTATAAACAGTTCTTTCCGTTTTTTCGCTTCAACAATTAACATTATCGTTCTTAGCATTTATTCAGCCTGTCAAGATAGAGCAATTTTCTCAGCAGCGCAGCAAAGAACATCTCAATATGCAGTGGAATCTCTCCTTGAATTCCTGAGATCAATTCTAATGCCTCTTCCAATTGCTGCGTTTCCACTGCGCGCCGCCACGTTGAATTGCTATTGACGAATTCTCTCATTGTCTTGAATGAATAGAGTGATTAATCATGAGTGATTTAGAAGTTAATTGCACTCCTCATCATCACGTCTCGATGTTGAGAAAAATCTCTGCACATTCGGCACATTCGCTGCCGTTTTCCTTAGGATTTGCGTCCTGCTTGAGGCTCCGATACCACAAAATCGCCCCCAAAAATCCCACAATCGGAACAAAAATGACGAAAAAACACATTTTCTTCTTCTTTCTCCTATTGGAACTCTCCTATGGCAAATACGATACGGAAATGTGGGGAAAGAAATTTCCTGTACAGTAAATTTATTCATCTTTTTGCTAATTAAATTTACGAGCTGCACATCAAAAGTTGTTGCTTGTCTCTCTCTTTCTCACTGTTTCAGCACTCTTGCGAATTTAGCATGAGAATTTTTAATCGGACAGTGTTTTTTTTATCTCTTCCTATTACAATATAAACTCCTTTCTCACCTACATAATTGTAAAACGTACACAATTTAATTCTCTCTCTCGCTCTCTCTCTCTCTTTCTCACAAACACAACAAATTACAATTGGACAGTTTATACTTGGCTTGGAAGCACTTCATAACATTTAAGGAGTAACGAGAAAAGAGATACAAGTAAAATAGAAATTGTTTATTTACACATTTCCATGCGCTTCCAACTTTCGGTTTATCTTTTTCTCCACGTGGAATGACAAAGAGTCTCAGAAGAAGGTGAACAACTCTCTCTTACCTTTCGCATGTCTCTCTCTCTCGGTCTCTTAAGTATCAAAAAAAGTGTTGGTATGATTTTAAATCCATTTCTCTCACTCTGCTCAGCTTTTCAAGTCTTATGCATTTACTTCCATCAGTAGAACTTCTTCGCCTTCGCCTCCCGAGAGTCTCTGCAAAAGCCCCGAAAGAGAGATTGTGAGATAAGCCTTAATCGCTCCACAAACATTTGCCGTGGCAAATATTTGGCCAGACATCCACTCACCTGTACAGACTGTAGATGAAGAGGAGACTCAGCTGGACTACAGTGATCACCAGGAAGGTCGTGAGGCCGAGGCAGTTCGCCGTGGGACAGGCCGCGACTCCTCCGTCCTTCGCGTTGAGCGTGTGGCTGATCTGCGCCATTCCCTGCTTCATGTTGTTCATCGACTCGCGCATCTCGTTCATCAGACCTTGCACTTCGTATCCCGACGACTGCACCTGAGCCGTGGGCTGGCGCGCCTGCGTCTGGATGATGTTGTCTGTGCGCACGGACACGTCGCCGATGATCTGGCGGATCTCCTTGGCCGTCTGGGCGATGTAGTTGTTGTTCTGCAGCAGAGCCTCCACTTCCTGGCGCGAAAGCACCGCCGCCGGCTGCAAGGCTTGTCCTCCGGGTGGCGGAGGAGCTCCTGCTTGATGTCCACCACCAACCGATAGAAGTCCGAGAGTGCGCTCCTGCCGCCCAATCACCTCGTCCATCTTCCTGGACAGATCCCTAATCACCTCCGTCATGCCACTCTGCGCCTGCCAGATCTGTCGCAACTCACGCTGATTGTCGGTTTCGAACCAGTCCTCGAGTTCTTCCTTGGGCGCTTTGTCGGGGTGCTCGCGCCTGTACTCCTCCTTCTGCTGCTCCAGCTTCTTCTGGTACTCCTGATACTCCTTTGACAGGCGATCCGCCTCGTCTGACGGCTGCTGCGCATCCTGTCCGGCCGGATGCAGCGACGTGGTGAGGAAGTGGAACACATCGTGGTCATCCGCCAAGCCACCTGTAGCCGCCGACAGACCGAAGTGTCCCGCCTTGGGCAGATGCACGCCCTCGGCCCTCAAGCACATCTCATAGTCGTCGTTGTTGTTGCTCATGCCGTTGTGAAAGAGCACCGTGAGGATGTTGTTGTAATACTCGATGCGGGCGCGCGTGGGGAAGGGCTTGTTGCGGAAGTCCCTCAGACAGCCGGACAGCAGTTGAGTCGTGCCGTCGTTCTGGTGATCGAACTTCTTCGTGCCGTCGTTCAGCACAGCCATGATGTACGGGTTGTTGTGCTTGTTGTCATTGTCAAAGGAGTCAAAGAACAGACCCAGACCTTGCCAGCGATCGGAGGAGCCGAAGACGTCGCCATTGTAGTCGCCCTTCTCGGAAGTGTACCAGAAAGCCTGCAAGAGGGAGAGCGAAATGAGACTGAAGCTTCTTCAGAAGGCAGTGAATTCACTCACCAATCCATCAGCTCCCACTCTTCCTCGGCCAGAGACTCGGAAGACGATCTCCACATCCCACCAGTCGAAGGTGGTCTTGCTCTTGGTCCAGATGGCTCCCTTCTGGCTCCTCAGCGACGGCGCTATCCTCACACTCTCCGCACTGGCGATGGCATCTGCAAAAGAACAGCCACGTCACATCCCCGCCTGAACTCTCTCCCGCGAAGCACCCCCAATCCCAAAAGCGTACGCGTGTCATTTTCCCCACTGCCACACACACGTGATGCAGGAATCGACAATTATTTTCTATCGCCCTCTCTTTCGCGCACACGCACCCGCCCATGGCGGCACGTACGTCGTTTCTCGCGATTGTGTACTCTGACGTGGTCCACTGTATACTCACTTCCTCCATACTCCCAGAAGGGCACTGTGCCGTCTTTCTGCGCCAAGTACGGCGGCTTGAAGGAGTACTTGTACTGGAATGTGCGATGCACCAGCCCAGGATTGTTCCCTGTCGTCACACGCGTGCACAGCACGAGGAAAAGTGCCACGAAAATGCTCTTTTTCGCGGAAAATGTCGACCCGGTGCCCATCATCGTTCTCACTGCCACTCACACTGCCAACTGACAACACTCAATTCCCCACAAGGCGCGTAAATTACGCTCTTTTCTCCACTCCAGGAGCGCGTAGAAAATTGCAATTCCACCACTTTGAGGTTAGATTTCCACCACTCTGACCGCTCATCCCGCGCAACTCACCGTTTGCCACATATGCTTTCACTCAGCCTTGAGCCAGGAGTGCCTGCATCTCTTCATGTCCGCCTTCAGGGCGTATCCTCGATGGCATACGCCGCACCGGTGAGGCTTCAGCTTCAGATGATACCCTCGGATGTGCTGTTGAAGCCCATTGGACCGCTTGAAGACCTTCGGGCAGAGTTTGCAGTGGTAATTCTGGGCATCAGTGTGGGAGATTTTATGCTGCCACAGGAGACTGGCCCTCGGGAAGCTCTTCCCACACGTTTCACAGATACAGGGCTTCAGGGTGCGCATCTGATGTGAGGACTCGTGATGCTTCAGACCATTGGGCGAGGAGAATTGCCGTCCGCAAACTGAGCACATGAATCTGAACAGAGTCTCTGTGCTGGCGCAGTTGCGAAAGTTCTGGCAAGCTGGAGAGGTCTTCATGTGGCGATTGAGATCGTGTGGCTTATCGAAGAGATGACCGCATTGGCGGCACTTGAGATCCCATTCCTCCCGCGAACGATGGAGGCGCTCATGGCGCAGGAGATTGCTGGCTCTTGTGTATGTTCTGCCGCAGAACTCACAGGAATATCTCCCATCTTCGCGTCTCCTGTGCAATCTCTGGGATTTCCGTCTGTCATACCGCCCAGGATGGAACAGAATCGCGTGCTTACGCATTTCCAAAAGTTTTGGGAACTCAAGCGAGCACTTTGAACAGGGAAAGGATACGCCTTTTCTGCGCTCGCAGAGAAATCGCTGGTGATGATTGTGAGTGAGTTTAGTGGGGAAATCTTGGCCACAATCGCGACACTTCACTCTCCTCGGATTCCTCAAGCCACTTCTCTTCTGGCACTTCATCTTATGCACCAGGAACTCTCGCATATTCTGATAAATCTTCCCGCACGCCGAACACGTGGAGACCTTGCAGTCTCTAAGCAAGAGATTATTTATGATGTTGATTCTAGGAGTGGAATTTGGCAGCTTCTCCCCCGGATTGACTTCCAGTTTCTCCATTTTGCAGATTTGCAACGGAGATTTGGCGTAAGTGTGATCTGATGGCAGGGAAATGGCAGAGAAATCCGTCATCCAGCTCTCAGGCTTCAATTCTGTCTTCACGGAAATCGAACTTATGATTTCTATGCGATTCTTAGGCGGGATTTTCAGCTCTGTATCAGAAGTCTCTTCGGCGATATCAATAAAGACCTTCTCGAGATCACTAATTTCCATAATTTCGCAGTTTTCCACCTCGTCTGACGGATTGTAGTTCAGAATCTCGTCAATGTAGTGTTCGCAGGATATTTTCTCACTTGATTGCGAAGGACTGTATTCCGGGGGAAGTTCAAAAGGTACTTCCCGAATAGCAATAATCGGCTGTGCATTGATTTCCTCCTTCACGGTCACTTCTTGCTTGATCTTCACTGGTTTTCCTTGCTTTTCCTGGGCCATCTTATCTTCTGGGATCCTCAACTTCTCCGTTTGGCACCTTGTTACGACATCCACAAAAGCGGCAAAAGATCTCAGGCGTGAGAAACAATCTTCGCACGGGGAAATCTCTAAGGAATCAAAGGAAATCGTTGGGAAGCACTTCTGAATCCACTCAGAGACGCTCTTCTCACTCTTCAGGCAGCTCCTTTGCACCAATTCACCTCCACAGAGGTGGCAAAACTCCCTCTCGCTGTCCTTCTCTTCGGATTCATCCTTCTCCTCTCTGGGCATGAGCTGACAAGGTATTGCTCGACTCTTAAGACATCTCCGGCCGCAGTGCTGCCGGAAGTCCTCGAGTGCAAAATGACGACTACATATTGAGCTCCAACGTGAAGGTTTCCAATCACTTCCGCGCTCCTGGACAACGAATTCCGTCCACTTTTGTAACAAAACTCCATCCTTATGTGGAAATCTGTAAACAATGTGATTGTCCAGGAAAACCTCCGAGACTTCAGTGTCATTAACTCACTTGTGGAATGAGATATCCGCACTGTGCGAGTACTTGTCCACACAACTGGGAATCACGCAGAAAGAGGGCATTCTCACGACTTCCTGGACCCAATCAAAAGCAAAACAAAAACAAACTGACAACGAAGAGTGAGGTTAAGGTGAAGAGCAAGCGCGCGGCTCGGAAAAGCGCAATTTTATTCAAATGGTATAAGAATGTGCCAATAAATAGAAAAGGAGTTGAGAAGAGTCCTATTTCTTGCCCTTCTCTTTCTTCGCCACCTTCTCGTTGTCAATGGGCGCTGGCTTCACGAACGGAATTTCCTCCTGGTACTTCTCAGGCATGTACTTTCGCAGCACCTCGGGCACTTTCACGCCCGTCTCTGTCTGGTGCGTCTCCAGGATGGCGCAAATGACTCTCGTGGTGGCGCACATGGTGGCATTGAGCATGTGGACAAAGTCCACACTGGTGTTCATCTTCTTCGTCTGACCGTAGCGGACAAGTAGTCGCCTGGCTTGATAGTCCAGGCAGTTGCTGCACGACACGAGCTCGCGGAATGCCTGAGATCCGCCAAACCACGCCTCCAGATCCAGCTTCTTCGCCGCCGCGTGATTCAGTGCTCCAGAGACGATATTGACAATCCTGTAGGGAATGTCCAGAGACTGATAAAACTCCTCAGCATTGGCAATCATCTCATCCATTGTCTTCCACGATTCATCGTCGAAGGGGGACGTGAGCACGAACTGCTCAATCTTCTCGAACTGATGCACGCGGAAGATGCCTCGAGTGTCTCGCCCGTGAGAACCCGCTTCCTGGCGGAAGCATGTCGAGATCCCGGCATATTTGATGGGAAGCGCGGACTCGGAAATCCACTCATCACGATGATAGGCCGCTATTGGCTGCTCAGAGGTGGCGATCAAGTATTTCTCATCCAGAGAGCCTTCTTCCACCTTTTCGCTGCCCTTTCCAACCACCTTGTACAGCTCCTCGTCGAACTGAGACAACTGAGCCACTTCCTGCATCACCTGAAGGAGGAGAAATCGATGTATTAATTTTTTTCTGCTCTTCGAAGGGACAGAATGCGATTCTCACCTCTTTGCGCATGAAGAATGGCGTGTAGAGCGGCGTGTAGCCCTTACGGAAGAGAATGTGCAAGGCGTGCTGGATCAGCGCCTGCTCCAGAAACACAGCTGCGCCCGTGAGGAAGTATCCCCTGGAGCCCGCTACAACGGCACCCTTCTCGCCGTTCATGCCGTCGATCATGTGAATGAGATCGACATGAGAGTATTTTCCTGTCTTCGAGCAATCCCCGAACGTTCTCTCCACCCTGTTCTCATCCTCATCATTGCTCACGGGCACTGACTCATGCAAGTAGTTGCCAACTTCCCTCAGAGCACTGTTGCGCTTTGCCTCCGCCTCCTGGAGCGCCTTCTCGTTCAGCTCAATCGCCTCATCGATGAGCACTCGCACCTTCTTGATCTGCGACACGGTGAGCTTCTGCAATTCCTCCGCGGTGATCTTCTCCAGATTCTCCACCACTGACAGTGGCACAGCCTCGGCAGCGTCTCCCTCACCCTCCTTGCGCTTCATCTTCTCGCCAATCGCCTTGCTGCAAGTGTTCTTCATGCGATTCCAGTTATCCGCCTTGTGCCTTCGGTTCCGCCATTCGGTGTCCTGCTCAATCACAGTCTCCACCAGCGCCACATCCTTGAACCGCTTCGTTTGGTTCTTCCGCACGGCGTCCGGGTCGTGGCCCTTGTCGCTGCGGAACACATCGAGATCCAGCACCATTTTTCACGCACTAAACACTCACGAGAAGGAAATTTTCCTGAGAAATTGTGAAACTCCTTCGACTCCTGCACTCAACGTGGCGGTGTGAGGTCGCTGCGGTCGCCAAGAGGTGGCGATGTTTGTACGAGGCCGCGGAGGGCGCGAAAACGGCTGCATTTTCGATGTTTTCTCTCACCGTTAGTTTGACAGTTTTTGCGAAGCGACCTGCGGAAAATCGCTTTAAAAAGTGGGAAATCAGTGGAAAATACCAGTGAAAAGTGAGACAGCATCTGAACAAGAATCCAAAGTACCTTTTGCTGCAAGAGTTGAGCGAAAAAGTGTGAAAGGAAGCGAGTAAAGTGGTGTCTCTGGAGCGATTGAGGGATTGAGGTTAGCTATTTTGGTGCCCCATTTGTGCAGAAAGTACCCCAAGTGCACAATTCAACTGCCGGCCAGATGGCGAAGGTTCACATCACCAATGTCGTGGTACTGGACAATCCCAGCAGCTTCTTCAATCCCTTCCAATTTGAGCTCACGTTCGAGTGCATCGAAGAGCTGAAAGAGGATCTGGAGTGGAAGATGATTTACGTGGGCTCCGCGGAATCCGAGGCCTTCGATCAGATTCTCGACACGATCTACGTAGGTCCCGTGCCCGAGGGCCGGCACATATTCGTCTTCCAGGCCGACCCGCCCGATGTCACGCGAATCCCCGAGCAAGACGCTGTGGGAGTCACCATAGTTCTCCTCACGTGCTCCTACCGCGGCCAGGAGTTTGTGCGCGTGGGCTATTTCATCAACAACGAGTACGCCGACCCTGAGCTGCGGGAAAATCCTCCACCGAAGCCTCAGTTTGAGAAACTCACGCGGAACATTCTCGCCACGAAGCCTCGAGTCACGAGATTCAAGATCAACTGGGATGACGCCACGCAAAACGGTGAGTTTCGCCTTCCTGGAATCTCTGGGGCTATAGATTAATGTTGCGCAATTCTTGTAGGATCGACTTCTCACGCGGGTCTCGCGGACGAGAATATGGAGCAGGACAACATGGGATGCACGGTGAGCGCAGCAATAGACGAAAACAGCCTGGCCATGCCCACAGATACCGCACAGTCGAACGGCGTGAACGAGAACTCTAATTCGTTAGCCATGATGGAGTGCTGAGGATTTGAGAAGTGGATTTTAGCTAGTTTGTGAACTGATTCATCCCATTACAATCTCACTGCGTCTATTTCACAGTCCCGCGAGGGAATTTCGCTGTAAATAAATTTTCTACATGAATTTTCCGCCACTGTTCATATCCAGGAGGCGTTCAATGAGGCTGGGAATCGAGCGAAAGCTCCAGAAGTGATCATCCTTGCTGATATCTCTGGGCAAAGTGGAGATCTTGCAGATGCATCCCTTGTAGAGGAAGAGAGTTCGATTCTTGTGAATTACCATGAAGCGCTTGACAGGTGTTGTGATAAAGAATCTGCTGGACATCATCAGACCTCTGCAGAGAAGACGATCGAGGCTGATTGCAGAGCCAGAAACAGACTGAAGAACTATCAAATCACTTGCGGATTCTTCCTCAGAGAGCTCAGAATCATCCTTTGTGATGTCATAAGTGTTATTGGTCGGGAGAACACTTTTATCTTCCTGTTCAATCTCTTCCTCTTCTGTTTCATCCTCACTCGACTCTTCTTCAGTATGGGTGTCTTCCAAGCCGCTGAGGCGCAAATCCAAGAGATCCAGAGGCTCCCGAAGAGTCTCATCCTTCCTTTCATGTTCAACACTTGTCTGAATCTTGTCAGAACTCTGTAATTCTGGTGATTGAGCATCCTCAGATCCACTTTTAGCCTGTGCAGTAGGATGAGAATTAGTCCTCAGTGAACCATTATGCACTGCAGTTTCATCAGGAGAATCTGGAGAAGCGACTTCCCTCAGCTTTGACTGGATTTCCTTCCGCCTCTCTTTCAGCGTTCTCACCATTTCCGCCAATTGGCTTTCCTGCTCTCTTTTCTTCCGCTCCTGCCCCAGCAATTGTTGGTCAGGAAGCTCGATTTCAGATGCTTTTAAACTTTGAACGTCATCTTGAGGTGAATTGGGTTCATTCTCCCTTACAGAGACAACCTTGACGATGTGAAGCGTCACTCTTGTGCTCTCCTCCGCCAAATTGGCCAGAATGGCTAGCACTCCTTGGAGAGTTTGGTGCATCTGCAGAGAAGACGCGTTGCCCAAGTGTTCATAGGGATTGAGGAAGTAGAAGAGATTCTGCTGCATAATTGTCCAGAAGTTTCCTTGATACTCCATCACAAGACAGCGACCCAGAGCGAGGATGCCTTCAATTCTTCGCACATCCTCAAGAACCTCCAGGAATTCAGCGTAGAAGACAATATCAACGTCCAGTTGTCCTCGTAGAGCGTCACAGAACACGAGATACGAAGACTTCCTGCTATCCTCACTCAAAAGCTTCCTGGTGAGGTTTTCACTCACGATCAGGACTCTGTCCAGAATGTCAGAGTCCCAGGAACAAAGTGGAAACTTCTCAGCGAAAATTGCAGTTGCATAGCCAACGAGAAGTCCTCTGTTGTCACCGTTCTGGCCAGATTCAAGCCGTAGATTGCCTTGAAGAATGGCCAAATCGTCATCTACGATGACAAATCCTCTTCCTGGCAGTTCTGGCTGTTCCTCTGCTGCGCTTCTTTGCAACAATCTTGTCACTTTCATTTCACAAATTCTGTAAGACGTGTCCGACGGATACAAGAAATGCAAAGAGGTCACCAAATCCTTCAATGCCGCCACAAGAAGGATTTGCTTCTTATTGGGAATGAAAGTGAAGTAGCCAAAATTTTCCTCTTTTGTCCAGATGGCGATGGATTCTCCTCCGGAAACGATTACCACTGATTTTCTAGACTTCAAGCATCTCTTGAGATCCGCAAAGAGAGTGTCTTTCTCCTGGTTCATCGCTCCTGACGAGATCTCGTGGAGAAATAAATCCAGGGCATATTTTTCCAGCAGAAAAGTCATCTTGACAGGCGACAGATCTCCAGCAGGATCAGCTACAATCTCATGATTGTGTTCGGCAATGGAGCGAAGCATTTCATTGATAAAATTTGGCGTCCAGGTGTACTCTGGTGAGAGGAAGGAGTAGCAGAACCCCACTAGGCAAGCGCAGAGGCTCTCCTGGGCACTAAAATCATACTGAGTGGTTCCGGAAGTTACTCCCATGGGAAATTTAAAGTAATCCTTCAGCAATTTCTTCTTCCCTCTTCGTTTCTTTACCTAAAAGCAAGAAATCTGTGAGAACATGCCCATCCAACCCAGTGGAACATACCTTTCGAGACTTCTTGTCCACGTTCATAGCGAAAATTTAACAAAACTCTTTCAGTCTACGCAGTCAACTTTGATTTAATGCAACATTTGGAGGATTTCCCTAGCTCTCAAGTACCTGTTCTCGCGTAGCAACAGAGATTTCGTGGAGTCCTTCTCAATCGCCTCGTCCACCTCCTGAATCACTTTCTGCGCCGTGTTGACGAGGAACTGCCGGCTTGCGCCCTTGCTCTTCTCCAGGTACTCCAGAACAATGGGCCACATCTCCTCGTCGAACTTCGTCTCGTTGAGAGCATTGTTCTGGATGAAGATCTGCTTTAGCTTCTCAAATTTCCATCGCGTCTTGTCGTTCTTCCACCTCTTCAGGTAATCTATGGCAGATTCGCGCTCCAGGTTCATCAGCTTCTCCTTGGATTGCTCCGCACTGTTTTTTGTCACTTTCCGTTTCTTCTCTCTCACCGTTTCCACATTGAGCTGATTTTCTGGCTTCTCACTCTCTCTGATCTCCTCTTCTGTGGGCTCCTTGATGTCCTCACCGTCGGATGGTTGCTCCTCCGGCACAACTCTCTCAGCTTCCTCATTTCCGCCTGGAATTTGAACGAAAATCCAGTGCTGTTCTTCAGCTCACAACTCTGTCACTCACCTTCGTCATCTTCTGCCTTCCTCTTCCTGGATTTTCCACTCTTTTTGGGGACTTTCGCCGGCTTGGGCATTCCGATCGATCCGTCAACAAAACAATAACAAATACATAACCCTACATTTTTCAGATTTGCTTTATTTCCATTCTTTTACTGGTTCCTTCTGTTTCTACACATCACTGAGTTTCATAGACTCATCTAGGATTTATTTACAACATCTCCTACCCATTTGCGTAGCTTGTCAGAGTCCTGTAGGCCGATTATTCGATTTTCCTCCTTGCCATTCTTGAAGGCAACCAACACCGGAACAGACGAAACGTCGTAATCTAATGCTAAATCGCTGTGTTCATCCACATCCACCTGAAAGAATCAAAAAAGGTTAAGATCGCTGTTGAGAATATTAAACAGGAAACCATTGGGATTACCTTCAGGAGCGAGATTTTGCCCTCGTTCTCCTGGATGATGGTCTCAATTCTTGGAGTCAACATCTTGCAAGGCCCACACCAGCTGAAATTCACATGATTACGACATGAATAATTGTTCCTATAAATAAAGATTTCATAAAAATGCCCTCACGTTGCAAAAAAGTCCACAATCACTGGAGTCTTGCTCTGGCTGACCTTCTCAGTGAACTCCTCCTGACTCTGGATCTTGTAGATGTTGCTCCATCTTAGGGAGGATGTGCTGAGGAGCCGACGGCCCTGGCCCACGATCCTGGACACCTGGATACCGCGAGTAAGCACCGGAAGCATTTTTATTGCGTAAAAATGCCGATCTCGCGAGATGATTATCAAAACATCGCCAAAACATAGAACCGCGAAGCCCAGCCGAGGAGGTGCGATAGCGCACGAACGAGGTCACGTCAGTCCGAGACAGTATGGAGTCTATTTTTGTCTTGCGAAATTGTTTTCTGTGACTATTTGGGCGAATTCTCCATTGTACCAGATGGAATAATGTGAAAAAGGAGCATCAGTGTTGTGGGCTGTGTTTGTGTGGTTTACATCAAGTGGGTTCCGCACGAGGTAAGTGGCAAACCGCGTCCCTTTGGCATTTGTTTGGCAACATCTCTCCAGACACTTTCGAAGATTGAGGTTATGTGGCGTCCACGGAGTCGCGATTTTCCCCCGGGGGGAAAATCAATGGAAGACGCGCAAAAAGTCCGCCCGGGAGCGTGATTAGTGCCAGATGGTAGATAGAGGATTGGCATGGAAACGCCCCGGTGGCGTGCAAGGAGCTTCCCGTGGGTGAAAAGCGCCCGAGAAGTTTCCATCTGAAGATTCCTATCTCACGGCTCCGCGAGGTCGTTTTCGCACCTTGTCCCACATTCTTGCCCCGTGTTATCACCATCAATCACCTAGACTGCAGCAGTGCACTTCCCCCATCATTTGGACAGCGCAGCCAGCAGAAGCTTGTCAGGCGGAATAATGAAATATTATCAGAAAGGAATACTAACGGTAAGGCGAATAATTCAGTGAGCATTGCACATTAAACCCGTAATTGGCTTCTCGCAGCCTTTCAGCTGCCAGATGGAGAATGGTCTGTCCATTTGGCGGATGGAAATTAAAGGTAACATTCAGGGAGTCGCTACTGATTTCTCGACAAATTGCATCTCCCCTTTTTCAGTCCGGAGGAATCCAGCCAAGAGCTAGTGTGTCGAAGAATTGTGGAAAAAATACGAGCAAGAGTCAAAATTCCACGCCACTGTACATAGAATCTCTGTGGGAATTATTTTAAACAGGCGCAAGCGCCGAAAGCACGCACTCGAGTTGCAAGAGAAAAGACACACTGACCGGAATAATGACGGGAACACTCATTCGCAGAAGATGAAGCCATTAATAGGTTCTCAGTAGTTCACGAAGGTTGTGTCTCAAGTTTGTCATTATGAATTCTGTATTCGTGTCCTTTTGAATAAAGGGGTGGTAAATGTGCCAGAATAATGCATTCTAATTGAGATTAAAGTGATTTTCAGGAATTCGTTCCGTAATTCAATATTTTCTGTAATTTTTATGATTGTGAAGCTCGTGTTCGCAATTTCACGGTGTGTACTGTGCACGTTACGTGGTCGGTTTCCATCTGAATCGTTTTCCACGCATTCATTTAGTTTAGAGCCTTGTGTGATCCACATTGGCAAGAAAATTCCGTCTCTCAGCCATTTGGGAAGAGGCCGTCTGGAGTGGAGAAGGGAAGAAGGAACGGTGAACAGAGGTTGACTTGTGTGGTGTTTTTGTGATAATTGAATTAGAAGGAGAAAGAGACCTGAAGAAATCAGTGATCGATTGTCGCTGGTGAACAAGCATTGAGGCAAATGTGAAACTACCAAATTGAAGTCAGATCCGGACGCTTTTTCTTCAGCACAGATCTTCTCGTTTATGTGTGGATTTTTCTATGCGCGATGCGCGCTGAGGATTTCTAGAATTGCATCGCATATTGAATGATGTGAGTGTGGTTTATTTGCATTATTTCATCTTGCGACGACCTCAGTTGGTCTGCCTCTCCATTTTCGCCTCCTACTAATTTTAAATAGATGAGTAAATATTCTGTCGAAGAGAGAAAGATGATTCTGGGGCACCTTCGAGTGATCTCTCCTTCCTCAATTACCGCGAGAGCGCTCAATTTTTACATGCGGCTCTTCCTCCATCTGTGCTACGCTCGTCTTTTCCTCCTTCCTCAAGTTTATTTTGGAGGTTAATTTCAGTTCTTTTGGACGGAGAGAGAGAGAAAAGTCGTATTTTTTCACGAGGCTCACGCACACACGCACGCATGGGCGCGCATTTTCGTCTCAATAGGGAGTAAGAGGAAAAAGGAGGAGATGTGAGAAAATCCTCTAGTTGATCTGTGTTCGCATTTCGAATTAAAATTATAAATAAAAATTTGTTGAAAATAGACGAGAAAACGCAGATTCTCTGCTTCACAGACACATTTACGCCAGTTTATAAATATTCTTTTGCGGGGAGAAGAAAAGAAATGATGCGGCGTTGGGAAAGGAAGCATGTGAGAAAGTCCAATGAGGAGGTGTTGAAGATAAAAGGAGAGCTTCTTGACCCGCTAATTGCTTATTAATTTCACACACGCATGGCGCGTATATTTGGAGACAAAGAAGCTGGCAATGATTTTCCCAGATGTCAAAAGGATTGCATATGAGTGAAAAGCGCGCACAAACACATGTTCGACACACACAAAAAAATGACGAGGGGGAAGAATAACGCCCAGTGTTTGATTCTAAATTAAAATACATGACTGCCGAATGTCTGTTTTCTCACTTTTCCTATGTGGATTTCTTTTTATAAATTTTCGCCATTGAAACTTGTACTGTTGGTCAGCATCCGGATATTGCTCAAGTGACTCAATTTCTCGGGCGGGATTTAATCACAACGGCATTATATGAAGTCTCGGGATGGGAGACAGATTAAAATTCCCGCAGGATTTTCGTGCTGCTCACGCGAGAAAAGCGGATTAGAGGCGGTGGTGTACAATAGAAGACATTCCTGACAATAGTTAATGTCTGAAAATAGAGTTGAAAGCGTCAGAAAAAAGTGTTTTCGACGGTTTTTCGTATTTTTGGATTCGTACGGAGTTGCAACGAGAATATATTACAATGTGTAAATTGTTTTCTGACAATCTCTAGCTTGGCTTTTTCGTATCAATATTCCGTCTTTATTGTTCTGTAAGAAAAGACTTGGATTCAACTCTGAGTCGTGATTGCCAAGGAGAAGGGGATAAAAAGCTAATTCCCTGCCTTGTTTCTTCCAGAAACCTCCTGCCATATATTTTAAATGGTTGTGTCATAATTTTTGGCCGGCGAGGCACAGACATGAAATGAATATATTTTTGAGGAGGAAACTACTGAAATCACGCGATATCGGTTGCCAAGGAGAGCTCCTAAAAACGCGATTTGAGCCCGTGTTTCGCGAGAAAAAGACTCGCTGTTTCGACATTTCTGCCTAAATACATACTGGATAAAACGTTGTTTCAAATGTTTATATGCACATGGCATGAAAATGGCCATTTTTGCCTACAATTGTTGAATTTTTATGAGAGTCACTTAAAGATAGTTTTGTGGTGTGTTTCCGCCACTCTGAAGTCATCGTAAAAATGTTGATCATGTTCAAGAGTGTGTTTCTTCTGATGGTTGGGACAATGAGGAATTTTTCTTTATTCAATACGTTTTTTTTTTCTCAGTTGCGTTTGAATTTATTATAATTTTTTATCTGTCTGCGAGCAAAAGAGTTGCTGAGATTGTGTGTCTTTTGCCGGGCTGAATGGGACTTTATATAGTTTGCTATGTGAAACTGTTTCCTCAACTCCCCCACGTGAAGGCAAAATGGAGTGAATATTTGTCACGAATGTTTATTCAAATTAATCATATTCTGTTACCCTGGCAAAATTCATCAGCAACACAAAACACTCGCGAAATACTCTTCTTTCTCCCTCTACGAATTCGCCTATGTAGACTTTCGGGTATTCCTCTATTTAAATTGTGTGCTGTGTAAATACTTAATTTGACTTATGACACTTTCTTATCACATGGCGATTCTGAGCTTGTGGTGGAAAGGAAAATAAATCACGAGAGAAAGAGAGATTTGTCGGTTTTCTCTGGGGCGCGTTTTTCGCGAAAATGCCGTGGCAGTTGGAAATAGTGTGTGTGCGAAAGAAGAGGCGTTTTGTACGTTTTTATAAAGAAATTGCGCTATTGAACTCTCCTCTTACCAAGAGACAATTCATAAAAGTGTCGTTGGGTATTGAAGAATCAACATAACAACGTGTATTGTTTGTTAATTTACAAACCAAATCACAATGTGACATACATCTTGATTTATCTGTTGGCTTTTTTACCCCGTTTTGTATATTAAAGTAAGAAAATTACCATTGTGGCATGAGTTATAAATATGTTGGTCGTGTAGAATTTATGTGGAGGGAAAAAATGGAGAGCAGCAACATCATGCAAGAATTTTTGTAAATAGCAAAAAGGCAGGGCTGGTTGATTGCTTACCAGACTTTGAATAACTTATTGAATGCTGGGGTGGCTCGAATTGGCAATATTTGCAATTCATGTCATATTGACGATCACTTTATTTGGTGAATATTCGTTCGTATGCAACTTTACAGATCTCCTTGTATGATCCATGGAGTCTGGATATTTCTAACGCTATTTAGCCATAAAATGTCAAATTCGTAGCTTTTATTCACTGATTGTAAGGCAATAAAGTTGTCTAAAAGTCTGAAGTCAAGCAGCTTGAAATGTTACCAATTCTGCCCTGATGCAGGAGAAAAGATAGGAGAGGTTTATTTATTTGCTGTACACTGAAGAATTTCACATTGAACTGAATAATATTGGATGAAATATACTGGTTGGCAAGTGTTTTAAATACCACCCATAATGGTGAGTTTATCGCCGTGAGGTGAAAAATGTTCTTGCACGTTTCCCACGCTGATTAAAGTTCCACCGGGGATTGTCGAAAAGAAGTATGGCCAAGAGCTATTATTTCAATTACTCTGTTAGTTTGGGATTGTTGAGTTTTCCTTCACAATTACAATTGGAAATAATTCTTTCGATAAAAGCGAGTGTGGTGTTCCTTCGTGTGGTGGGGATATTTTTAAAATTGAAATTTCACACACATAAATTAGTGTTTTGTGTGAGAGATGCGACCACGGGAGAAAGAAAACACTCTCAAGAGACTGCGGAGAGGCTGTTGATAGAGGGGAAAAAAGAGTGCTTGTCGCATTTTTAATTATTCCACTGCATGAGGCAATTCTATGTATGGCCAGGTGTGTACATAAGATAAATTTTATGTACAGCGAGAGAGTTAAACGTGGTACAGGTACGACTATTTGTATAGTCTTACGACAAAATGTGTACCTTGCACAATCTCTGATTGTGTGCAATGGAGAGGATTGGAGCACAGGTATACATATTATGTTGAGCAAAAGGCTTGGCACTTTTATGACGGAAACTCTGGGCGAGATCCGCTGAGATCTTGTGGCAGTTGTTCCCTGGATTTTTCGAAAGTATGCCCACAATTCCACGGTGTTTTTGTGTGTGTGGGAGGTGGGATTTTCACGAGGCAGCCTCTACTGTATTCCCATTTTTCATTCAGCAACATTGAAACTCCTTTTCCGCCGGGCGAGTGAGAAAAACATGAGATATGACAACGCTGAACATCTAGCAATTTAAAACAGCCAACAACTTCTCAGCTTATGGGTATAATAAGATTCTGTTTGTGTCTCTCTTTCACTGTGATGAAAATATGTGTTTTTCAATTATAATGTAACGCGTGTGTTTCAAGAGGAGAAAAAAGCGACGCTCACAAAACGCTGTTGTGAAGAAAGTCTCTCTATTGATCTTGTCCGTTGGTTTGTGAAGAAAGAAGACAATCTCTTAAGTTGAGAGACGCTGGTATTTTTCGTTCTTAACATGCAGCCTTGATTTCTATTTTCCGCTTTTCTCGATGAATCTTCCGGGAAATGTGATTGAGATCTCCTCGAGTGGCTCTGCAATGTGAGACACCCTAGCGGTGCACCTGTGAGAATGGAGCTCAAGTTGAATGGTGTTACAATTGAACTTCATTTCTTCTCAATCAGCCAGTCAATATCACGTTGCTTCTGGAATGGTGTCATTTGAGTGTGAAAGAAGCCCTTCTTGTATTTATGCACACTTCAGTGTTTGAAATTGATGATGATTTTGAGGATTTCAGCTGCATTATTCAAGCAAATTAAATAATCATTTAATTACAACATCCCATCAATCTTCCTCGGCAAAGTGATCAGCAAAGATTGACTTCTTGGTGCGAATTCCTTCGTGAGTCACCCAATGAGAGGAGTCTTCGCCAGGCAAGGTGTTGAGTAAAAAGCGCGCACACCTGAAGAGAAGGCAAAAAGACAATTGAAGCGTACGGAAAGAGAGCGAGAGCGAGAGAGAGAGAACAACATTCACGATGGAGACCAAGGTGCACGAGAATCCCAACATTTGCTCATTCTGTGTCCAACAGTTGAGTGAAACAGTCGATGGTGTCTTCGCGAGAGAGCACGTCTCAAAAAAGAGAATTGAGTTGAATTTGTTTCTTCCCATTCCTCTCCAGAGGAGTATAATTTTGTTAAGAGACGCTGAATTGAGTGATGTTTCGTGACTCTCCCGAGGAGAATGATTTGAGTTTGCTGTTGTGCGTGTTGAAAAATTTTGATCAAGCAGCAATTCGACTATCTTGAAGGATTTATTATTGAGTGTGATTTTGAGAGACACACAGAAATGTATCTCGTTCAGGTGAGATGAAGCACAAATGTCCGTCGAATTGATTGTTTCAAGGTTTAGCGAGGTGATTTTACTATATAATTGCCATGGATTTCCTTGACTCGTGACTTTACGTAGAACAACAGCAAATATGGGCTAAATGTAGTTCATATTCACATGACTTTTCCCTCTCACACAAGCGCATATCGCATGAGGAGTTGAATATGTAAAGACGGTAATGTTCTTTGGGTGAATGTTGTGTGAATTGTTTGAGGAGCTCTCTCACACTCTCTCTGTCTATCCGGCTTTGAAATTGAAATTCTACGGATGTCACTTACTTGCCGTTGCTATTTTTAAAAGGATAACAACACAATTGGGAGGAGAGTGAAATTGAAAGTTTGGGTGGCATTGACAAATCGACAGACAACCAGAAATACATCGAGTGTTGAGCTTGTGATGCATTCTGATGGTTTGGCTGTGTTGTAAATCCCTTGGGAGTCATGAAAGCCATAAAAAGTCCGAACAGAGAGACATATTTCTGGCGACAACACCCACAAAACCTTGGAGAGTGTCATTAAGACTAATCAATAAGCGTCGTTCTGTGATTAAATCCGTGCGTTCTGGGACAACGTGAGGCCACGAAGTGATAGTGGAAGCCAAGGAATAACACCACGTCGCAGTGAGACGGATTGTATTACAGCAGAACAACACACTTCGACGGGTGGACAGAGAGCGAGTGAGAGAGGAGAAAAAATATCTAACAGAGGATGAGAGGGGCCAAGAGGTAAAAAAACAGCCCATGAGAGAAGCGTGGAATGAAAAAGATGATGGTTTCTCGATGCAGGTGACTATCATTTGTGTGCCCATGAATCAGGTATACACATATTTTACCTCACTGTGCCACAAAGGCTGCCCGGAGAGGCTGAAGAAACGCACGACATGGTGAGGAAAGTAAAAAGAAGCATGAGGACAGGAGCGCGTTAAGACCATCTGTGCACATGGGCTTTGGTATTTTTCCCTCCACGCCATGGCTTATCAAATGCTTAGGTGGAAAAATTGTGTAACAATGCAGTTTATGGCCACAAGCTAAGGCAAGAGGAGAAAAAAAACAAGAAGTCTTACAAGATCGCGCTCTCAGGGAACAGCAAAAAAAGCTGCTGGCCAACACGTAACTTGTGCATTTTGATTGAGTCTCTCATTGAGATGATATTCCTGTGTGTTAATTCAAGAAGATTGCACGACGGCAAAAGCAGCCGGAGATGCTGAAGAGGGAAGGTCAGTTTTCTTGTTAATCCTCCCAATTGGTTTTTGTCTGCCGAAGGCAGAAAAAACACAACCACTTCGGAGGAGCTTCAATTTAATCCAGTGGAAGATTTTTGAGTCTGGCTGTTTTTGCTTCCTCGTACTCTCGGTGTGTTTCTTTAAATGCCTCTTTTCCATGAGAATAGACACCAAATTAAATCCCATCTCGTGCACGTGTGTGTGTGTGTGTGTCAGTGTACAATAAATCCTTGGAATTCCTCAAGTCGCACTCATGATTTGTAGGCAAATAGCAAAGTTAAAGTGCTATTTATAGGGTATTAGAATCATTTATCGAATATCTCATTCTCGGGTTTGTTGCTCTTCTCCATGGCGCGTCTTCCCCAAATCTCTGCCTGGATAATCATTAATTATTTTTGGGGAGAGATGAAGAGCGATTTGACGAGAGCATACAACAGGTTTAGGCTTTTTATCTGCGCCTCTCTTACAACTTCTTGGACTGACGATGGTAATTCCCCAGCGAAATACCATCAGAAAGCGAGATAATCGAAAAAATTGAGGGGTTCTCCACTCAGAAAGAATCGTTCTTTTCTTATTTAAATTATCCCATGTCTTGTTGCGTGTTTTTTTTTCAGTGGAAATTGGAGGGAATTTTTTACGACGAGATCGTCGAAAGAATGCCCAATAGGGCGTCTCTGTTACCAAAACTATTCTTGTCTGAGAAGAATTCCACTTGATTTGATAATTTATACACTAATTTATAGTTTGTTTAATGGCATTGTACTCAGAGGATATTCCCAATGGAGTGTGACAAAAGCAACAAAAATATTCAATTAACAGCAGTTGTAATTTGCAATGAGATCTGGCAAATGTCACTGAATGCGAACAGGTTGAAAATTGGTGTGAATGCGCGCAAATAAAATCGAAATCTCAGCGTGAAGAGAGTGAGAAACCCTTGGCGGCGTTGAGATACACATGAGTAAGCGAATGAATTGCCTTGGGGCCATTGAAACGAGGTGCTTTTTTACATATTTTTATACACAACACATTTAATAATCAACATCCAACGTGGACAGTGTTTTTATTTATTAACCCCTCTGCCAATGTAGAGAAAGTTTTCCAATTCACTCTCGGGCCAATGAAAGTTTTTCTTGTACTGTGGCCGGTCGACATGTGCTCTCCTCGGGCTTGCAGTATTTTGCCAATTTGTGCGAATTAAATGCTCCTCTTTTTTCTGCGCGCGGTTCTTTATAGTGCGGAGTGGTTTTTCCATTAAAATTTCCACGGCACTTAATGATAGAAATAGACATAGAGAGACTTTGGGTGTGAAATGTAATAGAGTGAATTAATTATCCAATCGTGAGCACGAAATGTCTTGTAATATGTTTTTACTTTTGCAAACTCTGCAAGTTGCTCAAAACGGAAGACTTTTGCAATGTGAGGCCACAAATTGGAGCGCGAGCGACGAGAAAAGGAAGTTGATGTACAGTGAAAATGATATTTTATCTTTTCCCATTTCGAAGAGGGTTTTCCTCTCTTGAGCATAGTTTGTTATTCTTTGAGGTCAGTTTGTGCGCGTGAAGAGTGTTGAAAATTTTCATTTAGACACGCAAAGTGCATTTAAACTTCTATTCTCGGCTGTTTGCGGAAAGTTGAACTCTTTCTACGAAACATTTAGTTGCGCAGCGATTGTTGTTGTTCCAGAAGAGCCGACATTGAAAATTATATATATTTTATTTCTTGTTTACGCCTCACACACAAAAAACCCATCGCGGAATTTGGCTCTGATGCCTTTTGTGATAAGCTGAGGTGTGTAATTAAGTGGGCAAGTTTCGAGGATGATATTGAGCGATTCCGCTTTTGTCGGTGAGGAAATATGATTGTAATTGAATGAAAGACTGGTTGTTCATTGCCAAAACGGATGGATCAAGTAGGTAAACCGCGGTACAATGTTGCAAAAGGAGTCACATGAGTCTGTTTCCTATCCGTGCTGGTGAGGTGGAAAGAAAGCTGGTCCAGTTAGATGGTAACAGTCAAGAGTGGTCTGCATATTAATCATAATGATATTGTTATTAATGAGTTGTACAGCAATAACTTGATAATTTCATAATTTTCCCATCGGTGTGGAATTGCATAATTCCTGTGACTTGGAGGAATGTCTCGATGGGAGAGTTGCTCAACGTCAATATGGCATTTTCGAATCTTTATTATGGTGAGAGAGACACACTCTCCAAGATCTCTATGCGATATCGATACATAATATGTAATTTTGTACTATCTAATGAGGCAGCAAAAATTGCGAGATATTCTGTTCCTCGGCAAAACCAACCGTCTTTGAGTGGTTGTAAAGAATGCAATCATTAGCACGATATCGAGACATTCTTGAGGCGGATGGCTCAAATGGCAAAGGAATAATAAACAAAGTCAACCATTTCTTATCTGTGGGAGAGTTGTGAGTTGTAGATAGATAAATATTAGCCATGGAGTGTGCAAAGTGTAGCTTAACTCTATTATAAACAAATAAAAAGGGTCCCAAGCCACACAGAGAGAAATCACGGTCACACTAGGGGGCTTCACTTTGCACGGTTAAAAGTGTATTACTTCAGGAAGGAAGTGAGATTCTCGCAGAAAATTGAAGTAACAAAATTCTGAGAAACTGAAATGGCGCTGAGAGCAAACACTTGACTCTGTATCCGGTTGGATGACCAGAAAAATTGTTATCAAGGGAAATTGTTTATCTGCATTTTAACACATTTCATGTTCGGAGATATTTGAAGAATGCTTCAGGTATAAGTGATGGCCGAGCAGAGTCATTAGGCATGATATTTTCAATAATAATTTCCTCCTAATTTACTTCTGATCGTAAATCTCTCGAGAGGACGGTAGAAAATGGGGAGAAATGAATGTTGAGACACCAATTTGAGCCATGTCGCTCTACTGTCTAATAATAATTCTCAGAGAATTGTGAAAATGCTGGGCGAGAAGGAGAGAGAGAGAGAGAAAGTCAGTAGAGGAATGCTGCAATTATTGTCAAATGGATTATTAATGAGGAAGATGCAATGCGAGAAATCAGTAGCGATGAATTATATTGTGATGTTGAGGAGTGTCACTGAAATTCATGTGAAATTTTGTATCTCTCTTGCAGACTGTTCAGACGTCGTCACCGTGGAGAAGTCATCCAGGAGCCACGTCACCTGTGAAGATGGAGAGCACAGAGATTGTGTCCAATGGCACTACGAAGAATCGAAAGTGGTCGCTGGGTGGCTTCTTTCGACGGAAGAAGAAGGACTTGGAGTCGGAATCGAGCTCTGAGGAGGACAGAAAGGCGGGCTTCTCGCCGAAGCGGAAAAATAAGGACAAGAGAAAGCGATCCAGTAAATTGCTAGGCGCTTTCGATCACATTGTCTTGGCGCCGACCTTGCAGAGGAGCTCTGCGGAGAGAATGATACCGCAGCAGCAGACAGGATCGTTGGACAGGCGCCTGAAGAGCCATCGAAGGCCAGGTCAAAAGACGGAGAATGGAAATTCCTCCAGTGATGAGAATCTCAGTCACAATTCCCTGCAATCGAGTGGAATATGTCGTTTTCGCAGTGACGATAGTCTGACGAATCAGAGTGGTGGTTCGACAGGGAACAGAAAGACGCGATCCGCAAGAACAGAGAGATATCTAAAGAGGCGGTCAAGGGATGAGGAGGGTTCCAGTCCGAATCAAACCATCTACGGCGGCAGATGGAAGACTCAGCCCATCTGCTACAGTTCCCAGTCTATTGACATGCAACCTGTGAGTCATGTGCAGAGTTCCTCGAGTCTCACGCACGTGCCACACATGAGATTTCAACACAATGGCCTGGTTGGAACCCAAGAAGTGCCTGTTATGAGAAATGCAGACAGACGTAGTTTCAGCTACGACCACTCAATGAATCGCATTTCTCCGGAGATGCATCTCAAAAGTCCTCCGCCACTTCCACCGCCGAGAGATCCACAGAGGCGGCTCAATGTGTATGTCGACTCCCGGCCGATTTCCTATGCCTTCGATCGAGGTGCCGCTCCGGAGCCAGTATGGACGGAAATGAGCGAGCGCTGTGTCAGTGATAATCGTCTCAATGTGCATCAAGTCTCTCCCAGGCGACCGGCTTCAGTGCAACCCGACAATCCGCCCACGAGGCGCTTCATCACGCGCCACAACTCCAACGACAAGAACAACAACATGGAGACACTGTGCACTGGTGGGAACTACAAGTACCTCACAGACTCGGCACCGAGATCCCGTCGCCCCATCCAGATGGTCTCAGACAATCAAGGATTCTACAGCAGTGGCGTGGCCAAGATGCGAGATGAGATCCGGTTGAATCAGACTCAGAGTGCCACTGACTTCTGGCGGAGAATTGACGAGGATGCGTCAAGGAGTCGTGGCCAGGAGCCACCTCTGGTGAAGCCCAAAGTACTGAAGCCCAAATCTTATCGCTATGATATTCCAGTGCCTCAAATTGTGGACTTTCTGGATGATAACAAGAATCGCGTGGGATCTCTGCCCACGCATTACGGAGGCAATCGATATGAGGAGCACGTGGCGAAGAATATAAGTGGACAGAGAAGGAAACCGCTGGAGATGACAGCAACTGTGGTGACGCAGTCATTTCCGCGAAGATTACCTCCAGAGCCGCCCGCCAGAACAAGTAGTTCTGCGTCGGCAGGAAGGAAGTCAGCTAACCTCGAGGAGGCCATCAATGAATTGGAGGAAATATACAAGAGTCTCAAGTTGGGCGATGAGACACTCCTGGATCGGGCGGAGCGTAGAGATATCCCAACGCCAGTGGACTTCTCTAAAATCCGTGCCGCTGACTATGATGATGAGGAGGAGGAGAACATGGGAGAGCCGGACATTATTAAAGACGACGTGGCGTACAGGAATCTGAAGCATGCGAACAGCATGCCCAAAGTCACTGAAGCACTTCCCTTTGGAATCCCTATGGGACCGATTCCACCATCGCCAGGCACAGATTATCTCAAATTTGACCCACCAGGGGAGAAGAAATCGCCTAAGAAGTCACCGGATATCGTATCAGATGATCTGGCGTACCGAAATCTCAGGAAGGATTCGAATAATCTGAAGAAGGCAGAACACTTCGTGGTTCCGAAAAGTAAAAATCGAGCCACACGGACAATGTCAGCGAATATTTACAATCTCATTCAGAGAGATGCAGCCAAGCCTTCGGGTGGACGCATTGAGGATTATCTGGCACTGGACAGGAAGCCAGCTATTCATCTGTCAGACGTCAGCGATGAAGATGTGCCGTCAACCGTATTTGTGGTTCGAAAGCCTGTGCCGTGCAAGCCGACGAATTACAAAAATGGGGCAGTTTTTAATCTTCCCTCGACGCTAAACACTCTCTCGCCCACAACAGCTGCCAGTAAGCCTCCAATTCCGGGCGTGCGGAAGAGCGTGAGTCCGGATGTGAAGAAGCTGAAAGACACGGAGATGGAGGATGCTCTGAATGCTCTGGCGCGCGAGGCAAAAATCACGAGTGAGAAGCTGGGCAGAGATTTGATGGTGTTGCGCCGAGAGGCGAAGGTCGGGGAATTCTCACCAGTGGAACAGGCGAAGATTGATATTGAGCGAGAGAAGAAAGAGGAGGACATTGAGGAAGTCTCCCGCGCAGCGCGACTGTGCGAGGAAATCCTGAAAGGTGTTGTGAAGGATGTGAAGAAGTTAGATTCTCCTGAGAAAGTGCTGAAAAGCAGTCGCTTATTGCACGAAATTGGCGAGGCGTCAAAGGCGGTAAAGGCGTGCGAGAAGATGTTGAAGGATGTGGTGCAAGACACTCCAAAGAAAATGCTAAAGGATGAGAAGCTTATACATGACATTAATGAAGTGTCTCTGGCCGTGGCGGGATGCGAGAAGATCCTAAAGGAAGTGGTTAAGAACTCAGAAGCGCCTCAGAAGAGCAATGATGTGAAAAAGCCGGCTAAAGTTGAGAGTTTGATGGAGGAATTGCAGCCGGATGCCACTAAACTGAATGTCCTGACGGAGAAGTGCATGGAACAGCTGAAGATTCTGAAGGAGGAGGACAACGAGTTACCTGATTATGACAATCTCAAGCCCGAGAGAGAGATTAAAGAGGAGAAAAGAGAAGTGACAGTGGAGAGACGCGACAAGAAGAGGCAAATGGAGGAGGACATTGATAGGATGATGAAGGAATGTCAAGAGTCCGTGCCGGAAGTGGTTGAGAAGATTAACACGACGTTCAGTGATGTGACGAAGTTGATTCGTGAGACTGCCAATGAGGAGGCAAAGGTGGAGGAGAGTGTGGATCAGGTGGACTCGGATAAGACGCCTTATTCGTCTCCCGTGGAGGAGATTGTGGAGAGAAAGACGCCTCACTTTGTGCAGCAGACGACTGTTGATTCGCCGTCGCCGCCGTTGGAACTCACGCCACCCTGCATGGACGATGAGTCGCAATACAATTCCTCGGAGGAGCTGGCGATGATCTTCGGCATCAGCCAGTCCAGTCAGAGTCTGAACCAGCCGGAAACGGGTGCAACAACAGGTAATTGCAGACGAACAGTGACACAGTTTGAGACAATCCATGAGTCACCCGAGGAGTCGACAGAGGAGTGCGCCGGGGGGTCAGAGAAGCCCCGAGACGCGTGCAATGGTGGGATGATTGAGAGGCGGCGCGGCGATTCTAGGGCGTCCCACAGTGCACGTGGCAAAGACGGCCAGGGAAGCCTCATTGCGCCACAACACATTATTGTGGCTTGCACTTTTGGACTCGCTAATCACGATGTCATCACCTATTTAGCCATTCTAGCCGCTCTTGTCCTACTAATTGCATTTATAGTGATTTAATTTGAGACGCTGTCGCGTAAAATCACAGCCACAGTGATGGAAATAATTATAGGAACAGTGCGAATCTCGGAATTTTAGACATGTAGACAAGTTCATTGAGGACTGTCTTATGATTATTATCAGCACTGTAGATGAGAAGAATGATTGATTTTCAGTTTGTAATTTCTAATCAGATTTCTAGTTTTGTACTTTAGCGTAGATCTTTCCTTCCCAAAACTGATTTTCTCTCTAACTAATCTCAAGTGTAACTGAGGAGTGTGAGAAGAAATACTGTACAATTTGAGAAAAAAAGAGCAAAGAAGTATATCTGGTTACCAATTTACCTTAATGCACAGAAAGCGAAATGGAGATATAAATGAGGATTAATTGAGTGTTTTATTTCATGTAGACTTAACTAGACTGCATTATGTGCCAATGATTGTTGATTTGTTTATTACTCTATATTCTAATTTAATCGCATTGTAACTACAATATTATGTGTATACTTTCTCAAGAAGTCGAGTTATTTTACTTCTTTCTTACATTAAGTTCACCTTACCATTACAATGATGCTTCGGAGGAGAGCTTCTTCTCTGCCATTTATTTTTGTTTGTTGTGTAAAACAGAAATTATGCTTGTTTGTAATGTTTTTTTTTTATTTTGAAAAAATAATAATTGATTTGTACAAATTAATAAATGGATATTCATTGATCCAACAATTAATAATGCATTTTATTTTCTCCCCACTAATCTGTGTTCGTTTTTTTATTATTGTTTTTTTGCAACACTAATGATGAAAAAAATCAAACATCCCTAATATTTCCTCTTTTTGATCGTTCTTTTCCTGCATTTTGCCGTAAAGTCACGTGAAAATTCGATGCATGTTATGGCTGTATCGATCTCGTGATGGAATTTTCTATCTTTCATTTAACTGCCGCGTGTGCCGGATATTTCAGCCCACTTTTATTAAAAATCTTCTGCAGCTTCTCTATCCCAGTGTTTTTCGTTGTTGATACTGCAGCAATAGAGGAAAAAATATGAATACTGTGTAGTTTGTATTTGCACTGCACCTGAAACACCTCTGAAAAAATTCAATTTCATGGAAAAATGTCCTTTTGCATTCGGAAAAGTCGGATTTGGATGAAAAATACCTCAAAATTGAAATTGAGGGGGAATTTATTGGAGAAAATTTGATGAAGAATGATAAAAAGCCCCTTCGAAAGTGTCTCGAGAATAAGATTAGAAATGATCTCTCTTTTTGGTAATCTGTTGGCTAACCCTCTGTATTATTATCGTATTATAGGTGTTTTGTAAATGCAGATTACTCACCTTCCATCTGCCTTCAGAGACAAGGTAATAATTTTGAGGATATATTTCTCTATTTTGCTGTTTTTATTATCATTGTTTGTTCATTTGTATAATTTCCGTGTCACGCTATCACTGTCAATATTGTCCATTTATAAATTCACTCTGTCTCTCTCTCTCTTTCTTTCCCAATTCTCTTAAGATTTGCATACAAACATATTTAATTAATGTTAGCTGCAGCTTTAGAGGCTCAAGTGCAAGTCTCACAGCAAAACCAGACTTTGTGCAATGTTATTGGCGACATCTTGTGTTGCGTAGCACTAAGTCGAGGTTTAAGTTAGACAATTAATGATTTTAATGTATTAAATTGCACTTCACATTCGTCTGGATTATAGAGATGCGATGTGTGAGATGATCACTCGCGAACTAACAGAAAACTTTAATGTCTGTATGATTTTTGAGCAATTTGCACGCGCAACACCTGATTTTTGTGCTGACACACGATTTAATATTGAAATTCACACATATGCAATTCTAACGCTCAATCATCACACCAACATAGTTAGAGTTGCGTGGGATGTAGATAAAGATTGAGATTAGGCGAAAGCTTATTTATTATAGAATTTCTTTGATCATTCTTATCGTTTAAATTCAGTGTCTTGTAGATTTGATATAAGCATTGAAATTCCGCTAGTACAATTCGATATTTCTTAGACTCAATAGTAAGAAATTGGAAGACATTCCAAGTTACAATAATTAAGGTGGAAAAAGTCATATAAAATATGTAAAATTCTCCCACAAAATTTATTTAGATTTTTCCAATCAATAATCCATTTTTATTCATAATTAGAGAAACTCAGAGAATTAAATAAGACAAATGTTTGCTTTTTGGCAGTACTTTCCTAAGTTATGCTATTTAATGAGAATCGAGAAAGATTCACTTTTCGATTTGTATGGAAAGAACTTCCTTAGTTCTTGAAGACCTTCATTCCTCTCCATACGCATTGTCAGGGTGAAGGCGACACGAGTTATCATTATGGCGTGATAAGGCAAGAAACTTTATCTGAGGAATTTATAATTTGTGGTGATTTGTTTCTCTTAATTATTCTTTGTGGCTGATTGCCTTAGATTGGCGTGCGTGTAAAGTCCTAGACAGCACACGCCCCGAGTGATGTTGTTTTTCGGCTTCTCCCCTTCTGTATCGTAATCTAGGTGGGGATTTAACTCTGTCGGTGTGGCGTAGAAAATAACAGAAGAGCTATTGTATGTTTGGCGGTATAGAAAATAATTCTCGATAGTCGTTGGTTGGCGCTCTTTTGTACAACGTGTGCGGAGAGCTTTTCACTGCACACCAAGAGTGGATTTTATGGAGATTGTGTGTTACTGAAGAATTTCGAGGCAATGTATTCGCCAGTCGCTTCCGAAAAGTAAGTGGATAAACACCTTATTGGCACAGTGCGGAGTTGCAATACAGTTTTGAGCCCACCTTGCGCCTTCAGTGTGCAATCGGAATTGTGGATTCAATGAGGGGCATTTTTGCTGTGAGTTTTCCCCAAAATTTTTCCGGTTGTGTGTGTACCAGCAAGTGTATATTGGCTCTCGGGCAAATTCACGTCAAAATCACCTCACATTATCATGGCAGAAGGTTCATTAACCCAAAAATGATTTAATGTGGTTTCTTTCACCCTGTGGCAATTGATTTTTTCTTCTTGTTCTCTCTGGGCTTCTCTTAACTGTGCAATTTTAGAGACATATCGTCATTAGTTCTGAGCCATTTATAGAGTGGAAAAGATCAAGTGAGAATTTGTAATCTATTCGCTGTGTTGTGCCTAATAAATATGGATAGAGTCTTTTCGATGCTGCTGTCTGTCGCTCTGGAAAGGTTCAGCCGAGAGAGAGATGTGAAATACATTTTCGGATTTACATATTAGAAGGAGAACAAGTTCCGGTTTCAATTCATTTCTTCGACTTTTTTTTCTTCGTTCACCAAATTATTATCACCGCAATATAACTGTGAACAATCTTGATCAGGTTCAAAATTGGGGCTGTCTTCCAGGCTCTCGCCAGATGGTGAGAGAGAAGAGTAATGAGGATTAGCTGATGATTGAGGCATTAGAGTGATAATTCACGGGGAAAAGAGACAATCGTGAGCAGTTAATGAGTTGGAAAAATGGACTACATTTTTTACGATAGCGCGACTTTCGAGGAAGGAGGAAATCACGCGAAAATTCGTCCGATTGCAGTTGCAAAAAAGGTTGATTGGAAGAAGTGAAAATGATATGTGGAACTTTCTACTGCATGGATTTGTTGTGTGCTGCTTGAGTGTGTCTGTGTCTCACTTTAGCATGACCGACAAAAATGATAACGTATGTTGTTGAAAAGAAAATTCATGCAAACGATGGTGCTTATTTTCGAGAGATAAATTTTCGCTGAAGGTCTCTTAACTCGGTGCAGTGATAAATTGAATGTGCGGGATGATATCGAGGTGTGTGTGGGTAGAAGAGTGAGAGGGGGGGGGGGAGATATCAATTTTCCGACCCCCGAGAAAAGGAGCGCATTGTCTCGGGGAGAATGACCAGACAATTGGAAAATGTCTCTGTTTTGTTCAATGTGAGATTGTAGAATGGCGATGAATAACAAAAAACGGTGTCTCTGTGGCGATAAAATGTCAATTATTCTCTGCTTCTTTATGCGACATCAGAGCGGGATTCTACAAAGAAAAATCCCTCTCCTTTCTCTCTAAAATATATTTTTAACGTCATCGCTCGTGGCTTCTTTGAATTGCCACAAGGCAGTGTTATAAAATGCCTCAACATGCCTCAATTTCCGCTTTTATTTTTGGGTTGGATGTCGAAGTTTCTTGCAAGGAGGAAAACCTTGAGAATTTTTCGCTTCACTTTTTGCCTCACTTCTCTTACCAAATAAGTGCAATGGATTTCTTGCCTCACGGCGGTGTCTGAATAACATTAAGTCAGACATTAAGCCCGTTGTTTGGTTTTATGCGTGACAAGAGAGAGAGAGAGAGAGAGAGACAGAGACACACAAAGAAGATGTAAACTCAATCAATTTGGGTCAAATATTTTCTGTTCATAGGCAAAACAATGATTTTTTGCCCAGAATTTTACTTATCACACCTTATCTAATCAATTCTGCGGCAGCATTCATGAGAAAATATATGGAAGGGAAAGAGAGAGAGAGAGCAAAATACAACAAAAGAGGGGAAAAAAGTGCGGCAAAAAAGACTTAACATTTTCCTTTTCAATCAGAGTATATCTTATTAAGTGGTGCTAATCATCATTGTTTGCTGACTGATATTCAGTCAATTTCGAGTGAAAATGATCTCTCTCCCACTCTCTTTCTCATCAACAATGTTATATTTGTCTATTTAAAGAGATTTTTCATGTGCAGAATGCATTTATTTGTGGCACGATAGATTGTACCGAAAAAAGCGCACAAATTGCTTTATTAACTCTCATATTTGCCTTCACCATTGGCATGTCTTCATCACTTTTTCTTGCAAGCACAGCACAATTCTTCCAATTCCATTCCTTCTGGATGTATTAAACGGGGGAAATCCGTGTTATGCAATGATGGGAAATGTTAAATGTGGATATTTGAGGTGATGAGAGGGACGAATATGTGATAATTTCCTGTAAATACTCATTTGGGTGTGCACTGAGAGAAAAAGAGCCGCTAAATGTGGTAAATTTTGGCAATTAACAACATTTTATGAGATTGTGGCTCTACATTTTCTCACAGTGCAGCCCTTATTAATTTCTCGAAGGCGTTTGTTGTACAACGGAAAAGTCTTAATGTGTTGCTTCTGAAGCAGAGAGATGTACATAAATACAAGCATGTGATTATGAGGCTGACTAACGAAATAATTCTCTAATTGTGTGCATTGCAGATAGCACTGCCAGAAGCATCAACTGCCACGAGCAACAATTAATTCCTGACGACATCAATGAGCCCCAGCCAATTAGTGCCCTCCTAACGATAATATGCAAAGAAAGTGTTTCATGTTCGCCTCCTGTAGGACTTAAGTGTGTTGTTTTATCATCTGTGGACACCATGCCGGGTCAGTCGACCAAAGTGCCACCGGACAGAAATCCTCCCGCCGCCAAGATAGCCGGCCATGACGCCGCGACGAATGGCATGAGGAAGCACATTGGCGCGGAGGAAGAGGCCGCCGAGGAGGATGTTGAGGGGAAAACAATTACAAAATGTGATAGTAGACATGTAGATAGTGATTTTAGTGGTAGCGCTAGAGCACAAGACAAGACCATCAATGGGAGACACCGTGGGAGTGTAGAGAAAGTTGCGCGGAGCGACAGTCGAGGTGATAAGGAGACGTCCGCGTCGCCAGCCACGGAACAGAGGTGAGATACAGAGACATTCGCGTGAATTTAATTCGTGAAACTAATCGACGTGTTGTGTGTCTTCATATCACAGGTACATATCGAGATCGAACCGTGGAACTCCCATCGTGAGGAATCAAAGTAAGAAGGCATTGCTTTATCTTCTTGAATGTATGTTGAGTTCTCTCTTATCAACCTGTGAAATCCCACAATTGCAGCACCATGTAGTCCGACGAGTCGTTCGCTCACGGAAGCTCTCGGTGGCGTCCACATTTCACCCACGGCAACGAAAAGTACGCCAAAAGTGGTAAAAGCGGCGGCGAGTGTGGCAATATCATCATCGGGTGAGTCATCGTCAACAGGTACGATGAAAAAATCGATTAAGACACCACCAGATCATCAACCGGTTCGAACAACGAAAGCGTCAAGGCTGCGAGCAGCTGCTCTAGGTTGGTGTTGCTCAACTTCCTGCCCTGCTAAATAAGAATATTGCCATTTCTCACGGACAATTCCTTTGCAGACAAGAAGAAAGAGTCGAGTGCATCGCCATCGGCGTCAAGGAAAATTGCTGTGGTGAGCGCAAAGAAGCGCCTGGTGCCCTCGATAGCGGTGTCGGTGAACCAGACGCTGAAGGAATTGACAGTGGAGGGAGTGTCCAAGTGCTCAGTGGACTCTCCGGATTCGGATTTGATGAGCAGCTCCTTCACCTTTTCGTCGCCCTGCTTGAGGTCCTCCACGATGATTGGGGAGATGGCAGATGGCTCACCTCAGTCGTTGGAATTGAGTCCCATCCAGAAGCAATCCACGTCGCCCAAGGACAAGGAGAAGGACAAGTCGTCTAAGAGGAAGTCTAATCTGAATAGAGCGCTGACAGAAGAAGCCACTCTGGACGACAGTGTGGAATTGAGGCGGAGGAAGCGCAGAGAATTGGGGGCGATGAGATTTCAAACGAGTGTCGATGTCACCGTGAAGATGCCACAGAGGGCTGAGGAGGTGGAGAAGAGGCGCTCGAGCACTGTCAGTCCCAAGCACTATCTCAAGCAGCCGGCGAGCGTGCGATCCAACGATTTGCGAGTGTCCAGCGATGGGGAGTGCAATTTCACGAGATTCAATCAGCCTCTTCGATCACCCACGATTGACAAAGGGGCGATGAGGAGCAGAGTTGTGCCATATGCTCACTCCAGTCGGGACTCTGACAGTGACTACATGCGGAAGAACAGGAAGCTGTCCGAGGTGGAGCAGAAGATGAATGCGATGAAGAGAAGGACAAGGAACGATTTGGCGGCTATCAAGAAGCTGGCTGGTCTGGACGCGCCCAAACCGCCGGTAACGAGTGAGACTGGAGGATGTGTGGAAGTTTCGCCGGTCAATAACAATCACCATGAGCTTGAGAAGGATCCCAACGACAATGCGCAGTTTGTTGAGAACGAAGTGGCCGAGGAGTCGGCTGTGGACTTGCGCCGGAAGAGTGCGGAGGAGTCTCAACCACCGAATCAACTCGTGTCCATACTGAAGAAGAAGGACAGTGAATCCGGGGCTGGATCCAGCAACGTGTCACCCGTGACGTTCTCCTCCAGTGTCGTGGATACACCGACGAGAAACAGCTTTCGGCAGGGCATTCTTAAAAAGCGCTCTTCCCTGGACGAGAGTCGCTATAGCCGCAGTCACTCACCGGATGAGAAAAGTGCCTTGGCGAAGAATTTGCGGCGCAACAGTTTAGAGGAAATTCAGCATGGGATTCTCAAATCCACGAGCTACGAGCGCGAGGCTGAATCTCTGCAGCCAATGGAGCCTCACGGCATTTTGAAGAAAAAAGACTCCACGTCGACTCCCTGCGAAACGCCGAAGCACGTATCCATTTCCCAAGCGGTGATTTTAGCCGCGGCGGAACTCTGCAAGGATATTCACAACTCCTGCGAGAGTCCCGAGGTGAAGCCCATACTGAAGACTGACAGCGTGACTCGAAGTGCGCCGAAGCCCATTCTGAAGAAGAAGTATTCATCGGAGACGGAAGAGATTCGACCCATCCTCAAGACGAGCAGGAAGAGCAGTCGTGAGGAGAACTCTGACACGGACACTGACTGCGTCAGGTCCATCCTGAAGACGGACTCTCCGTTCAAGAGGCTCTCGAATCCCGACACGGCCATTGATAAGAGCAGCGCCGTGCTGCTCAGGAGTCGCTCCTTTGAGAACCCTGAAGTGTTCCCGAGTGAGAATCCCAGTGAGGGCGGAGGTCAGCCGGTTTCTGTGGCGGAGCGCGTGAAGAACATGGAGACATTCCTCAAGCAGTCCTCGATGGGAGCGGTGCCGAAGCTCACGGCCAGCTCACGCAGGGACATGTACAAGAATCGCTTCAAGACGCAGCCCGTGACAGTCGATGAGATTTCTAGGTGAGTTACATTAAAATGTTATGTTCTGGGCTTGAGAGAGAAAGTTCATGGCAATCCAAAATGGGCAGAATCTGTGGTGAAATTGAGCAATGTTGTTGGCAGAATTCCAGATACACTTCTAAATTTACACTCTCTCTTTTCTGTGGTGCGGAGAAATTCTGTCTAGAGATGCTTTTTTGGCACTCCATGAGATCACAGCATTTTCGTCCATCCGCATTGTTTATGTGTTTCAATGATGTGAGCAAGTGTTTGTCTTTTTCAAACCGCTGCATTCAACACGTAGTCGTGATAATTTGCATAGCAAATAATTATTTATGTGTTGTTATGCTAAAAAGATTCTCGATGGCATATTGTTTAACGCCGGATCACCATGAAGTTGGTGAGGATGATGCAAGGCGCGCAAGATCACATCTCGCGCACACACTCGCAATTATTGCCACATTCATATCGACAACTGCTCTTTTCCCATTTGCCTATATGTCGAGTTGATGTGTGGAGAATATTGTGTGTGCGTTACTTTGTGGGAAACATGCAGGGAAATTCAGTGAATTTGCAGAGATTCGCTAGCAAATGTGTAGATTCGGTGGCAAAGCTTTACTTCTCAATTTTGAATGTGCACACACACATTTTGTGAGCAACCTTATGTGCCTTTTTTCCGTGCGCACGAGAAGGCGTTTCACAAACTTTCGTCGATCGAAACCACGATCCCGCGCAATGTGACTCTATTGTGGGTATTTTTAAAGATTAGTCGCTCGATCATCGTCGGTGTGGTACAGTCGCGGTGAAGATCTGTTTAATTTAGTGGCAGAGAGAAGTGTATAATAGCCACCTTTTTCGTCAGGCATTAATTAATTATGTACGATACTTCAATACGATGTTGTTAGTTTGCGTGGTTGTGGAGACTGGAATGAATGAAAAATCATTTCACAATTCGACTCTATTAATATGCTCAAGTGTAATCATTTGATAATATTGACCCAAATCTTTCATTAAGAAAACCCATTGAGAGTGACAGAGAGTTGATATTGCGCGCGTAGAGTGTTGAGAGGGCTCATTTTTCCTTTGAGATCTCAACAGCTGGACTATCGCGCAACCGGAGAAGAAAATAAACGCAGTGACGGAGTGAGAGATAAGGCAAGAAAGAGGGAGGAAGAGGCGGTGATCTTTCAAGAGAATATCCGCCAGGCGGAGATTTGTGTGCTCGTGAAAGGCCACAGAGAAGATTCTCAGCTCGAAATACAACTTTTACTGTTGGTGAATTTGTAAATTTTGCCACCCACCCACACAATTTGGATATTTACAATGATTTGACAGTCATAAATTAACTCGCCGTCTATTTTGCTGTGTCCCAAGAGAAGACGGACTGTGATGAAATGGACAGTGCGTGTGACCGTCACAGAGTTGACATCTACGAAGATTGTTTCTGAAAACATTCAGCATATTTTTTTCACTCTCAAATCATAAGTGATCATAGTTTATTTTATGAGTTGTTAGGTATTTTGCAAATAGTCAATAACAGTCATGGATTGTTTTAGCAGATATGTGAAGAATTATTCCCAGAACATTTTCAATTCTATTTGACTTTATCGCTGAGTTGGACACTCACACTGTGAGAGAGTCTTAGGAAAATAAACACTCATGAATGTAATCATAATTTGATACTTGAGAAGGAGACTGAAGAATCTGTTCTTCCTTTGGCAGCTTGCAGACAACATTGGACATTTTCCGACCATCCTTCATTGATGCTGTCTCCTTCACTTCCAAATCTTCCCTGAGGAGTCTCGATTTCCCCGTGTCAACATCCTCTCTAGACACCACCACCGAATTCACGTCTCACTCCTTGTCTGGCGAGTACAATTTGACATCGCTGAGCAGCGATAGCGGACTGCACACGGCCAAGACGTCGGAGATGTCCTCTGGGGATTTCCTGCACCAGAAGGAGGACATGGAGAGGCAGAGGGACGAGTCCTCGCCCGAGGGCAGTCCATCTGGTCACGCTGAGCGAGGTGAGGAGCCTCTGAAGCCCATCGTGAGGGTGAATAGTGTGCGCGCCAAGGCGAATATGTTCAAGGAGTTGGAGAATATGAGGAAGAAGGAGTCGGAAAAGCCAGTGACGTCACCTATAAGGAAGCGTGAGTGGATATTGACATTCATTGCGGCGCTTTTTATTGAATTCTTCTTAATTGTCTTGCCATATTTTGCAGGTGTTTTGCCATTCAATCCATTCGCTGGAGATGATCACGGGACAACTTCCAAGTCGAACAACATTTCGGATGATTCTGGCACGGAAATCGGTGAGTGGCGAAGTGGAATAAATATAGAAATATTGCATGATGCGATCCATGCATGGTGTTGGGAATGACATATTTTCTCTTTCTCTCAATTTTTCTTTTAATTTTCTTTGCATCTTACATATTTTTCCTCTTTTTTTGTCTCTCTCAAAATATACTTCATCGACACACAAACACTTCACACACTGACTAATGGTCTAACATGGCTTTACCTCTCTCTCTCTCTCTCTAAATTAAACCCTAAACGTGCCCACATTCACACACTCTGACTCACTGTGCGATTGTTGGGTGGCGGAGAGCAGAACCGTCTTCACTTTCCATAGTGGCGAAGATGGAGATGTTCAATAAGTCGCCCAATGTAAGGGTGAATTTGAAGAGGAGCGCAAATGTGATAATGCGAAGCATTGGGCGATTTGCTGTCGCGGCGAAAAATGCAGCAATGGTGAATGGATCGGCGCTGAAGGAGAGGCGGAAGCCGAAAAGGCAGAGAGACGACTTCGTGGACGCTTTTGAGGAGATCTGCTGCGAATTGACGGCTGAAGAGATGACGAGAGCGAATGATGATTTCGAGAGGATCATCATAGGTGCGAGAAATCCCACCCAATTTGCCCCAGTAGGCAAAAACAGACACACAATTTCACCATCATTTGGTGCAGTAAATTGCCACAGAGAGTTTATGTGATTTCCAAAAGGCGGACTGGGTGCATTAAAATTAGACTTGATGCAAGGCCGAGTTGGTGTGATTCTAGAGACACACGAATTGAAATAACATTCCATTTCAATAATACCTATGAGGCTAGAAGATGCAATTTTCCAACTCTGGCATCGCGTTTATTGCAAATGTTGCACTCTATTGCTAATTTTCTCTTGGCTCTGACGCAACAAGCATCACCATTAAGTGATTTCATGAGCTCAGTTCGCCGGATAAATCGATGATACTCTCTGTGGATTTGCAAATTCAGAAAACGGAGTCCTGAATATCAGACAAACCCCTTAAAATGCCGACTCTTTCAGACTGTGATTACATGTAGAAAAGCTAGTCGCGTGGAGAGAGGACTTGAGACATTTACTCTTAATAACATAGAGGTATACATTTTCTGCACACTCTAAATTCAATTGCATCTCTGTATAGTATAACTTTCCTGCACATATTTTCACTCCTTTGTTGCGAACGTGCTTTTTTGGTTGAATTTTGAGATACGCACGCTTTTTTGTACATACTCTTTATGTACAAAATTGTTTTAATTGTCATTAATACGATAACCCTTCGCTTCATGTCGATTTTAATTAACTTGTTAACTCTCATGCATCACCACTAATGGCTGTCTCTGCGTGTCGTGTTTGCAGAAGTCACAGATACATCTCCGTCCTCTTCGTCACTTTCCCGGCCATCGGAGATCCTGAAGAAGTCCAAGTCTGGCTGTGTGGGTCTGTTTCCCATGGATCTCAACAGTGAACTCAAGTCGCGCCTCAAGAAGTCCACGCACGCTTCAGTGGGGAATCTGAAGAAGTCCGCCACAGCGCAGATTTTGGCACCTGTGCAACCTGTGGAGGTGCACAAATCCGCGTCGGAGAGCAGTGACTCGGAGGAGGGAATTAGTCCTAGCAAGAACTTGGCGGCGATTCTGCGGAGTGTGTCGAAGGAGAACATCCAGAAGAGTCATCAGAAGCCACCTCAATCCGCTGAGAGTGAAGATGTGAGGAGTTTGAAGATGAATCTGGCCAATCTGCGCCTGCGAGAGCCCGAACCGGACAAATCCACCAGCGATGGCGAGAGCTCTGGTGGCAAAGAAGTGGCCAACATCATCAAGAACAGTGCGATTGCTCGACGTCGCAAATTGGCTGATGGGTGAGTGGAAGTCTGGTTTGAAAAATACTCTTTGTTGTGCGACTAATTGGAAAATCCCAATGAAAATGGATCTTGTTAGGAAATCTTTTTTGCCAAAATTCAAATACGAATTCAGACAATTAGGCGAATTTAATGAAATTTCCCGTGGTAATTGACTCATTTAACATACACACAGCATATTGAGCAGATTAATTAATCAATGGGAAAACGTTAACAAAAACTGGCGGTTTGACCTTAAAAATGAGCGCGCGCTTTGCTGCATTCTCTCTGTTTTGAGGAGTTTATGAACAACTTCCTTCTCTTTCTCACTCTCACGCGAGAGTTTATGCTATGTTTTGATGTTGTCTGATGAAACCTTGTGAGCACTGCCTCTCCTACTTATTATGGTGTGTTTCTCTCGCTACCACAAATCACAACGACATTTTTTTGGGTGGGGAGAGAGCGAAAGAAACTCTCTATCTCTGTCCGTTTGAGTAGATTTTCCCAGGTGGAATAGAAGATTGTGCGTGTGAATGAGTGTGAGTGCGAGATGAGATGTTTTGAGGGGAAGTGAGTAGTGAATTGGATGCAACTGTCTTCCAAGAAACTGCCTCTCTTCTCAGATCACCTTGTGCAGCTGTTTTGTGGAGAGAGAAGAACAACACAGAAAAATGCGCTTCGCTTTTGGCGCGCGGAGTTACTCGGAAGAGACGAGACACCTCATGGAAAATCATGAGTCACATACTGTGATTTCATTCTCACTCACATTTCCACTCTGTGATTCTCGCTCACTCGCAATTTTCCCTCTCGATTATTTTGGTCACAGTCACACAGAGGCACTTCATTGAAGTATCAACCGTTGCGTGAGATACAGCTCTAAATATTCGATTCTCAGTCTATCACCTTTCCTTGCTTGCGCGCTCTTCATCTTGAGACGCTCTCTTTTCGGCTGCATTTTGGGCAGAGTTTTTTATGCTGTGCGTGCATTATTCAGTTCATTTCCGGGTCTGTGCAGTGAAGAGACACTATTTTTAGCACTTATCACACAGAGATTCGTGCAAATACTCTGACTATCAATTTGTGATTCACGCTGTTTACATTATCTTAATTGAAGTGTAATTAGATCTCCAGGCTTTTCAGGTGATAAAAGAACAGAGAGAAAACGGAACTGTTTGAAGGTAAACTCTTGCAATAGTTCTTTCTTGTTATTGAGAGGGAGAAGAGAATACGGGAGAAAATTAGGGATAATTTCGCTTCTACTGTTCGTGGGAATATTTCTTGTGTTTGCTTCTCAGATGATGGCTTTTCCTTTATTCTAGTCGTCCAATTTTCCAATTGATTTCCCATCTCTATGAGCCTGATTTTTAACTCTATACAATAGACAGACACCCTTTCTGCATTTATTGATTTTCACCCTTCGTGAATGAAAATTCTTGCCAGGTTCATTTTCCGAGACTTTGCATACAACAAATAAACGGTGTGTAACGAGGGGAAGAGAGCGATGGAAAATGTGAGTTTGATGGTGTTTTGTGATTACGACGACTATCCCTAAAATTCGTCTCATTATGCCTTTCAATGAAAATCCTCTCCCCTTCAGTTGTGTGCTGTGTTGTGTTGTGTCTTTGCGGCGTGCGGAGGAAATGAGGAAAATGTGTTGTATATACAATGATAGAGGAGCCACAAAAAAAGCCGCTTGATCGATAATTCATTCGTTTTCCGTATTAATAGAATACATCTCGTGCCTCTTCTGGCGTACTCAATTGATTTAAATTGTCTCTCGTGGGCTTCTCTCTATGCTTCTCTGTGTGATTGATTGAGGAAAGAGTGTGGCGTTTTTTAGGCGCCTTTCATCTCTTTTTTGGACGTTGAGATACTTTTGGCGTCGAACGTGCAAGGAATGCAAGAAGAAAGTGCAAGTTTAATGTGAGCCAGACGGATCGATATTAGACAAAGTCTGTTTTGGTTGTTTTTCCCGTCGAGGGGTGTTGAGCTTTAGTGTTTTATTTTCCACCGGGGGTTGGGCGAGAGGGCGGGAAAACGGGACGGTGTGCAGGACAAAGACGCATTCCTCCAGCCAGAGAGTCAGCCAGACGGAAAAGATGAGACGATATGGGCGCGAGCGGGAATCATTGAAATGGATCTCTCTGCACAATGTAAATACAAATGGGGAAAGAAAAGAAGAGATGATTTTCTAAATTGGGAATTAGTGGTGGAGTGAAGGTTGCACTTAATCAGTTGATAGAGAGACGCTTTGGATGGTTCATTAAACTCTCGGGCCACAGAGTCGAAGGCACACAGAGAGTGGAGAAGAAGAGATCATTTCCCAAATGATGAACTCTCGCTATGCGCATTCGACTGAAAATTCAGTAGAGTGAGGAGAGAGTGTGAGCTCTGCCTTTGTCTCCGCATGGATGTGTTCTTTTGCCGGCAATTTTATGCTCCATGCGGAGACCCTTTCAGTGACTCTTGCTCCACATTTCTTTCTCCTCTGTCTTTCAGCATTTGCGAAACATCTCCGCGCATTTCACATTGGTACGATATGTCGTCACAATAATTACACAATTCTTCATGGTGCAGTTTTTTCCGCGCAGCAGCCAAAGCCACTCTTGTGGAATTTATTTATTGTATACAAAGCATTTTTTCTCATACGCTAACATTGAAAATGAAAGTATATCTCACAGATTATTTTGTCTGACACGATATAGCAAGAAAGATGTGAACAGACGACCGTAAAAAGTGGTAATCTTGGAGTGTTTATTAGGTGAAATGACTAATAGTGAGTCATAAAAATCATTTGATAGAAAAACTCACTCCGTGACATGCATTCTTGCCACACTTTTGAATCTCTCTTCTCGATTGCAGAGATTATTTTTATGTAATTGCTCATTATTGTATACGAAAATTGGGCCAGAGAAATTTAGGGGATTTTCGCAAGAGTCTCATTAGCGATGTTTCGGGATAGAGCAAAAGAATTTCAGGCATCAGAGGAAGTTACCAATTTGCTATGCTATCCAATTTGAGGTCTGTGTTCTTGTCTGGGAAATTTCACGGAATAGAAGTAGTAAAATACTCGCAGTATTTTTCTGAATTGCCTTGATTAGAAAATAAAAAAAAATAGTAGCTAACACAAAAGCGATAAGAAGACTGCAAAATGTTAGCTAAGAAAAGTGGTTCAAGGTGGATTTTTTAATGGTGTTTCAATAAAATAAAGCTGCTTTTTTTCAATGGTGCTTCTCTTATTTTCAAAAATGAAAGACATTTCAATGGAATGTAAGCTAATATTCAGTGTTTAGCGCAATTTGCAGTTTTCTCAAAGTGACCAACAGAGAGAAAGCAAACTCTTCTATGCGTTTCTGTGCTACTTTACACACAAATTGCAGTCTTTTCTCGAATGGAACTCTCATTGATCATGTTTTATTTTCTTATCTATTTGACGAGGAAATGAAAGTATTTGGGCGTTATCTTCTCTTATCACACCTCCTGTTGAAAAGCCAGATAAAGTTGAACTCTGTGTTATGTCAGTTCTTGTGCAGAGTGAAATTCTCGCATGATTGAAGGCCGCAATAAAATTGGAAATGAGTGTCGAGGGCACAGAAATTTCCTCATTTAATGCCTCACTTTCTGCCACGAGACCATCGTTAGTTTGCCTGATAATTGCATCTGAGCGCGCGGAGATGTGAGAGATTGTGTGGTGTTGCTAAAAGGAGTAGAAAAAAAGAGAGGCAATTGAGAAAGTTATATTGAATTGAGGTCAAATATCGATAGTTTCAGCGTCACCTTCATTGGTAATATCAACCACAATGTGCTCAACTTCTTGCTTGACAAGCTCTATTCTTCTCTCCCTCAAGAGTGACTTTTAATTGGATTGCACTTGATGATTTGCCACAAATCAATCCACTTCATAGTCAGTTGATGATGGAGAAGTAAATCCGTTGGACGACTTTGCGGTGTGTCGTTTTCAAGGCGAAAAGGCGCGCAAAGCAACACGACACGCGTATTAATATAATTAATATATACACACACACGGCGTGTGCGTCTTCTAAGACCACTCCTTAGTCACTTTAATCACAGTTTAACAAGTCAATGATAAATATTTGTGCCAGTTTCGTACAATTTCGTCCACAATAATAATTAAATTCTTTCGTGACTCTCTTTATAATGTTTATTTCCGTGTGTCTTTCTAGGAAAACAATCGCAAAGAGCAAGAGTCAATCGCAACTTGAACCATCTCTTCGTTATCACGTTAATCCGGCGGATGAATGTGATTCAACGGACTGTTTGCAAGGGTTGAGGGGTGAAAAGGCTTCAGTGACGACTGTTCCCGATTATCTGCGCGGCGGCATTCGACGGAGTTTCACTCAGGTGAGCACTTTGTAATTCAGCTAAATCTCAGTCCAAAGCCCCCATTGATATATATATATATATATATTGTAGTTTTACTTGCTGAAAAATAATGACTTATGTCATAGCTTCTCTCTTCGCATTCTGTTGTAGAGACAAAGATAGAATTTCACACCTTTTCTACTCTGTGTGACTTCTATAAAAATACATATACGTTGATCTTTTTTCTTTTGATGTCGACACAAAAGGTCAGCTATCAATGGGAAAATTTATAAACTGATGAGATAAGCTGGTTTTTTAACTCTCTGTCCTCAACCCGTATCTCAGCACTGTAGATAGATTTCCATGTGGAATTGACTTTCAACTTGACTCATCGACACTGTGTGTTGGCTTTGTGTTTGCTGTTGCAGGAAATGCGTCCGGATCAGGATCAGATCTCCAAGAGTGGCTCAATAGCCGATCGTCTGGCTGCGCTGCAGAAAAGCGGCGAGGATGACTGGAGGAAGCGCTTGAGCAGCCGAAGAGACACCACAGACAATGTCAACACAGAGAATCTCGTGAATGTGAGTATATATGTACATATATAAATCTGGAGATGAATGCAATTAATTGGAGGAGTGAAGCTGGATTTGTGACGCTTGACTTGTGTGTCTTCTTGTGTGTCGATCAAGCGACACTTGTGCTGGAGTGTGAGTGAGAGAAGTGACTCACAAGAGAATCATGGATGATAAACAATAAGGTCCGCTGAGAGTTTCACTGGTCGGAGTGCGCGTTTTTATGCAAAACCATTTTCAATATTAGTCGATGTCGTTCCGTGGCGCGATTAACAGACTCGTCTCTTCTCTCAATCTCACGCTTCGGCAGGTTTATTCTCTCTCTGTGTGTGCGCGACTGATTTCTTTCTGAAGAAGGAGTGAATACCAGGGAAATTCTCGCCTTTCCCTGGTATTCCGGAGAGACCCACAATCGCCGTGCTATCACTGTTAAGGCACTTTTGAGGGAGGGCGATTAATGGTGCGTTGTGATTAGATAAGATCGTGGCCGAGAAATTGAATGTCTCCATCGAGTCAGTGCATGGCGAGATTTTCACTGTGGCGGATTAATTGGCGGCGATAGAGAGAAACTTTGGAAAATATTTGCTGACAAGACAGAGTCGAAAAAAAGACAAGAGCGAAGATGGATTGGGTGTGGTGGATTGGAAACTGTATAATTATCTTCCTGTGCGTGATTCTGGGTAGATTCATCTTTGACACGGTGTCACGCATCAGGAGGCGCAGTGAAGATCAGTTGAAGATCACCAGGAAGTTTGTCAGTGTTTCAACGCAAACAGAAGCGGAGGAGGAGAAGAAGATTGAAGTGAAGAAGCGGGAGAAGAAGGTGGAAAAACCCAAGAAGAGTCCTCAAGAAGTGAGTCAGAAGAGAGAAATTCCTCTGAATGATAATGACAAGCAGCCAAAGCCTGACGTGAATGCCAATTTCTCGGACGAGGAGAAGCCCAATGTGAAGGATTTGCTGAAGTTCTTCGAGAAGTCAGGACGAGAGTCTCCGGCGAAGAATCACGCCATCATCAGGAGGAGCAAATTGACACCTGATGTGCGATTGAGGAGGCCAGGGAATATTCTTCCTGATCCTGTGACAATGTCACTGGTCAACAAGTACATGAATCCACCCCAGGCGCCGGCAAATGCTGTGGTGAGACGCAGGAAAGTGCCATCAGTCTCTGACCGGGTGTCAACAGTTGAGGAGATCCTGAAGCAACAGAGACTTTCCAGGAGTCTCTCTGACTACTCAGTCTCTGAATATGTGGACGAGTTGAATCCGTCAGTGGAGACGGAGTTCAGGAAACTCGCTGACACCCGCAGATCCACGCCGAGTTTCTGTGGATCATTCACGGAAGAGTTTGAGGATGAACTGCTGATGTTGCCGGGCCAGAGAAATTCCCTGATTCTCAGGCAATCGCTGACAAAGTGCATCTCCACTGAGAACATTACGGAAAATGGTCATTCGTACATCACTCACTACCAAAGTTGCATTGATCTCACAAGAAACAGAGAGATGCCGATTTCGCTGAATCGCCAAGAGTCGCAATCTGTTAGCAATTTGACTCATGAAATCTACTTGGAAAATAACATCTCCAAGCGCTTTTCGCAGTACTCCTTCCCAGACATCTAGAGACAGTGGCTTAAAGGGTGGACGAAAGTGTTGAGAACGTCGGCTGTGATGCAAAAGATAATAACCTTAGTTTTTAGGAACTTTTCAAGTATAGTTAGTGTGCATGTGAGGGTGATTCGTCACTGTGTTGCCATTGATAAGGAGGTGATAAAATTGCTATCAGCTGTGTGCAAAAATAACTCATTTCGACTCATATCTCTCATTGCAGAATGCCCTCCTTCTCGCCCAGTCCCTACAAAATGCCGAGAAGGCTGAGACTCCGCCTGGAATCATCGCGGACAAAGTGTCAGATCGACTCAGCAAGCTCAAGATCTCCTCGCAGAGTTGGAAGGCACGCGTAGAGCCATCAGATGCCCAGAAATTCACCGTGGCAGCGAAAGTTCAGAGTCCAGTTCAACTGCCATTTGAGAAGTCCGATGGGAAACGATGTCCGCCGCGGAGGATCTTCCGCAGCGCCAATCCGCCACTTCTGGGCCTGGCTAAGAGTCCGTCAATGATGGTGCCGAGCGCTGAGCCCGTGCCGGCGCTGAAGAGGAGCGTGAGTGTGCCCGGCGAGGAGAGTCACGAGGCCACGACGGTGTCAGTTCTGCAGCCGGACGATGATGAGACATTTGAGAAGTTCTTCTCCGGCGCGAGTATTCGCAATACTGTGATAGATGAAGAGGTGGAGATTGCCGACTTCGATGCCATAAAGTCCACAGAGAGGTGAGAAATTCTTGTTGGCAAGAGAGTCTGTGTAGATGTAACACTGTGTCTTATATAGGTTGACCTTCAAGAGAGTCGTCCAGGGGCCCAAAGGACGTCGCTCCGCCAGGAATCCGCTGAAATCTCTGGCGGCAAGAGCCAATATTCAGAATGAGTACACTGAAGTGAAGAGCAGTGTGACTGATAAGGAGGTGAAGCGCTTGAAGCTCGAAGAGATGGCCAGGAAGAGTCACTTGGCGGTGGAGGCCCTCGCGGGTCTGGCATCTGTTGAGGACTTTAAGAGTGTCAGCCTGAAATCTCACTCTCTGCCGCTGAACACTTCCTATCTGCCGCACAAATCGCCGATGTTGCTGCAGATCAAGGGCAGAACTCACGTGCAGACGCGCCTGGTGGAGCCCACTTATTCCTCCGTCAATTCCGGGGATTGCTTCGTGCTCGTGACGCAAGACAGACTATTCAGATTCGTGGGCAGGATGGCAAATGTGATTGAAAAGACGCGCAGTCAGCACATCGTAGCGTTCATTCTGGAGAACAAGGATTTGGGATGCGGTGCCACGAGGGAGTTGGTGGTGACGGATGGCAGGCCAGGCGTGCACGATGAGGAGTTCTGGGCGGTGCTGAAGAGACCACAAGACTGGGAGATTGTAGGCTCTGGCCATGCGGACGAGGATGATCTCTTCGAGGCGTGTTTGCTGGAGACCAACATGGTGTTTGAGTATCGGGACGAGGAGCTGCATCCGGTGGAGGAGTTCTGGGGCTGCGTGCCGAAGATTGAGTTGCTGGACGGCGACAAGGTGTTGGTGTTTAACTTTGCTAGTGAAGTGTACGTGTGGAGTGGAAAAAATGCAGATAGCGATGCCAAGAGAGCAGCTCTGAGACTCACGCAGGAGATGTTCAGCCAGGGATATGATTATTCTGACTGCGAGCTGAATCCCGTGGAATTTGCCACACTTGCTGGCGATCGGGAAGAGAATATCATTGAGATTGTGCGACGAACGAAGCCACAGTATCCAGAGTGGTGTCTTCTGGCCAGGATCACGCAACATATGGAGACAGTGCTGTTCAGGGAGAAGTTCCTTGACTGGCCGGATTACACGCGTGATCCACTGTGTCGAGAGTACTCTATTCACGGCGTGAATGGCGTGAGATCGCCCGATGGCGAACGTTTGTATCACACTGGAGAGTACGAGGAGCCGAATGTGGTGCTGGAGAATGCTAATCTTGGCCGTGGCCACTTCTACTATGATCCAGACACAATGAGGCACTTCGACGTGCTGACGGATTCCGTGCAGATGTGGCAAATTCAGGAGAATACCTTCGATGCCGTGGATGAGGCGTCCTTTGGTCACTTCCGCGCCGACGGGAGTTATATCATCAAGTGGATCTACAGGATCAGTGTGACAGTGAGAGAGTTGTCGGGTAACATCAGCAATCGCAGCACGGTGGGCAGGAATCGCTGCGCCTACTTTTGCTGGCAAGGCATCGACTCCAGTGCCAATGAGAAGGGCGCGGCGGCGCTGTTCACGGTGGAGCTGGACAAGGAGAAGGGATCCCAGGTGCGCGTGAGACAGGGTCAGGAGAACACCGCTTTCATCCGACTCTTCGGCAACATGATTGTGCACAAGACGAAGGATTGTGACTCGTGGCGACTGTACATTGTCAGTGGCAGTGATCCAGAGGAGACAATGCTGCATGAAGTGTCTTGCCAGGTGTCTCAGTTGCGCTCCCGGACGTCCTTCATCCTGATTCACGGCCAGAGGCGAGAGATGTTTGTGTGGCGTGGATGCAAAGCCTCGGAGAATTGCCAGAAGATCACTGAGAATGTTGTGAAGAGAATCAAAGAGCAGCGATCCAAGGAGTTCTTTGCTCCGACAACAGAAGACAGCCCTGAGGAGATCAGTGTGACTTTTGAGTGCGAGGGAAGAGAGTCTGATGAGTTCTTCGAGGCGATCGGCGGGAAGAAGCGAGAAGATTACTTTAGTCTCCTGGAAGCGGGTGATCAATTCGGTGACTTCACGCCCAGACTCTTTCACTTCACGCGCACGGATGGGGCTTTCAAGGCGGATGAACTCTTTAGTCTAATCAGGTATGGATGGATTGACTTCTTGAGTATTCCTTCCAGAGGAATATTTATATTTGATGCATATTTAATTGCAGGACACGCGATCACGCCACTCCATATCCTTTCACGCAGCTCGAGCTCTACACAGCGCGGCAGCCCACAATCTTCCTTCTGGACGCCGGGGAAAGGTTGTGGCTGTGGCTGGGCTGGTGGCCGAAAGAGGACTCGGATGCGAGCGAAGACAGCGATGAACTGATGAATAGAGCCGGCGAGAATCGGTGGCTGGACGAGAGGAGAGCCGCCTTGGCCACAGCTCTGAGCTACTGGAAGGCTAAGAAGGCTGCCCAACGGGATGACGATGAGTCGGAGGAGAGTGACGAAGAGGAGGAGCGCAATGGAGCGGGATTTGTCGTGTGGGCTGGTCTTGAGCCACTCGAGTTCATCTCTTTCTTCCCCGACTGGATTCCTCATCCGGACGTGGAGGAGATTAATCGAATGGTGAGTGAGAGAAATGGGATTGTCAATTGCAGATGATGATGATTCCTCTGTTATCTTACAGGACGGTCGCAGTGAGGATGTCATGTCAATTTCCCAGTATCTCAGTCAGATCACGCAGCGAGAGTATCCTCTGGCCACGCTTCTCAGCCGGCCGCTGCCCGAGGGCGTTGATCCCACGCGCCTGGAGCTCTACTTGTCGCCGGATGAGTTTGAGGAGGCACTCGGGGTGACTCTCAGTGATTTCCAGGAGATGCCCTTCTGGAAGCAAACGAAGCTGAAGAAGGAGATTGGCCTGTTCTAACGGCATTTCTCAGTATTTCCCGGCACCAATTTTGCACTTCTCTTGAAAAATCAATGCTGTCGATATATCATTTAATTGAGCATTTGGCGTACTTTTTGGCCTCTCTTTTGCCCCTTCATTTTTTCTACTTCTTCAAATGGCGAAATAAACAGTTTGTGTGTGTAATAGAAGAAGAGGAAAAATACCGCAAATTTCGCTGTGAAGAAGCGCACTCATCGCAATTGATATAGGAAATGTAGCGTTTAGTCTTTACGGAGCGAGGTTGAAAACACTCACATTCAATTTCGAAAGAATTAAACGGTGCCTTTGGTGAAGCGACTCTGAGGCATGACTAATGATTGAGAGAGAGGACAAAGAAACATTCTAAATTTTTTATATGAAAAGTCAACTTATTGTAAATTAATGTGAATCACCCCCAAACAAAAGCACACACACACACAATTTCTAGTCTTGAGACCGTTTAAATTTTATCAACATGCATTTCTCTTTGAGTTCTCTTTTCATACCATGATTTATCCGTGTGCCAAAAGAGCGTCCCTTGACTCTCACACTCCCCAAAAGAACCCACGACTTAACTGGAGAGAGCTATCTTGTGTTTAAGAGGAAAAAATCACGGATTGGTGCTTATTTCAATTCAACATTTCTCTCCTCAATGTGTTTTCTCTCATTCTTTCTCTATTATTATGGCTAAAACAGCAGGCATTACTTGTAAGGAGGTAACAATAAAACGAGCATTTGTTAAGTTTTTTTTTCCTTTCAATGGGATTTAACAGAGAGATTAGGATAAATCACAAATCTTCCTTTGTACAGTGTATTATTAATTTCTCATGTGTTATGGTCTTTTCTCCATACCTTTTAGCTTCTTTTTTGATATCTCTAGATAAATTAATGAAGAAAAAATCACACAAAAATTATTTATAATCATGTAAAATGGAAGACACTTCAGAATCATCTTTGAAATGTACTTAACAGATAAGAAGAGGAGAACAAGGATTTATGTGACGAAGAGCAACACACACAATTTTTTATATGACGATGATGATGAAAAGGAAATAAGAACCATATAGCGTTGTATAAGTGTAAATTCTCATTTTATCATTATAATGTTCGTAGTGCTTTTTTCACAAATAAAACCAACTCTATAAAACTCGATCCGACTTTTGCCAACTTCACGGCGCATTCCAAGCAACTAATCGCATACAACCACCGGTGCAACTGAGAATCGTCGCAAGTCATTGATTGAATTGTGGAAGAAACCGCCACTGGAGTTTATCTGATCGCTTCTTGGGAAAATTTATTGTCTCTCATGTCCCGGAGGTGATCTTTTGTCACTCCAGCGAATGTCTCAATTAAGAGAGATGCATTCCCGCCTCGGAAGCCCATTTCTTTGATGAATTATTCACCAAATAGTCGTAAAGTGTGAAAGGGAGGCAAGTTCTCAACTTTATTCTCGTCAACCGCGCTTGAGATTCATCAATAAAAGCCACGACGGAATTCCTAATGATGCCCATTGAGAGCGGTGTGGAATTTGAGAATCTGGAGCAGCACGAGTTATCAATTAAAAATATATTAATGAAGCGGGTAATAAAGTGGACTTATCTAGCTAGAATATTAAGGGTTTCTTAGATTAAAGCCGGATATCTTCCTTTCACCACACGCACAAGACAATATCAAGAAATTAGAGTTCATTAGATCAACATTTATATTAATTGCGATCGCTAACAGTAATTCAACCCTCACTTAAGCGCTCTTTTTCGCCCTCGAGACACAGAAATGCCACATGATGTTATTAATCTCATTTTTCAGGCGCCAAGCATTGAAAAGAATTTGACGACACGATTTGCCGGGTGATTTGTGAATTCGCTCAGGTTTATCGAACTCTCTCGCGCGATTGTTATCTTCGTTCTCTACAATTTCAGTGCAATTAAATGCGGGTGGAATTAGAATTCACATCAGCTCCAATGGACATCAATAAAGTTCGTGTTCTTCGCCTGATTATAAAACACCCTGAACAACTCCGTGGCCCAGAATTTTCCTCACAACCCAGCGCTATGAAGTGCCTCTGCTTTGTGATCCTCATTTTCGGGGTGTTTTTCGCGAGTGGCGATGAAAACCCAGGGTTTTTCCTCAAGATCACCAAAAACGTGCCGCGGATCGGTCGAAGATCGCTTCCAGTGACTTCTGAGGTGGACAATTTCTTCTTCAAGGGCCTGAAAAACGTCCCCCGAATGGGCAGGAGGAACGACTTGATAGTGAGATTGTGATCCAACAGCAAAAGAGCTTCTAAAGTGTGCATCTTTTGCAGATGGACGAAGTGGAAGCTGTGGCTAAGCGTGCTTCTCCAGGGAAGAACTACAACAACGTCCAGCCTTTCGACCTCAGGCTGCTCTTTGACATCCTCTCGGACGAAATATCCGACCTGAAGTTCGTCTCCTGGAAAGACTTCGACGAAGCGCTGGAAGCGGACACGGTTTTGTTTGAAAAATTGGCTCAAGTGGCCAAAGAAAGAGGCTCGCCAGAGTGGAAAGATCACATGCGAACCAACAATTTCGTCTCTCTGCTGCCCGGAACGACCAACAGACACTCCATAGATGATCTCCTCTATCGCAGCGATCGTCCTTTGCGCGCCTTCGGCGACAGCAACCTCCTTTCTGACGATAGGAAGGAAGATGTGGGCAAGGAATTCCTCTAAGCACACGACCATTGCGAGGATCACAACATGAATTTAATCCAAATACAATCTATCAGCAAATGTTCAGCAACTTTGTGATGTACTTTTCTTGCCCAAATGTCTCCCGGAAGAGGCGCAAGAGTGAAAGAAATTCCCACAGCAATCTATCTTATGAGCAAATTCACCTTGTCTCGACTTTTACCACGTCCCCATATTTGCCAAGCGAGAGAGATCACAGAGATCAAATCTCCCCGTGAAATCTGCCAGGCTGTCCATCTCACGGGGTTCCGGGGATTCTCAGCGATGATGCACCGTTTCAAACACCGCCGGAATTGTTAAATTCAAGCATACGCAAAGTGGGTTAAGTCAACTTATTTGCCCAGAAAATCTCAACAGTCTCTCTCTTTGAGTTGCGCGAGTGAGAAATTCTCCGCATAATCTCTCTCCATCCTTGAGAGTCAGGAAGTTGTCTTGCGACAGAGAGGAAGCCGGCAATCTGTCCTGTTGGACGCCTCTTTCACCTTTTTCCCACTCTCTCGCAACTTCATTTGCAATTCCCATATACTTGAATCGACGCTCACCTGTTTGCCACACGGCGTTGTAGTTGTGGCCAGAGTGGCTGCTGGAGGTTTAACAGTTTTTCCATCGGCGCAAGAACAAGTGCGCCTCCAAGACTTAGTTGGTGCCAGTCACTCGAGTTGATCTGATGTGCTCTCTTCACTCACCTCACGAGCACCAGTGAGATCTTGTCCTTCCGCAAGGCGAATCCATCCAGCACAAGAGACCGAAGCTAGGGGAGAAAAAAGAGGGAAAATCAGTGCACTATTGTGGGAGGGCGTTTTCATCATCTCGCGCGTGTGACTTTGGCAAAATCTGTGTGATGATCATTGGGAAGCATCCCGAGTGAGTGTGCAAAGGAAAGATTCTCGCCAGTATTTCACAAGTTTCTCTCACCGAGCAGAGAATTGGCCAATGTGAGTACCAGCAGAACAAGATTGTGAGAAAAATAATTGCCAATTGCCATCCATAGTTGAGAATCAAGTTGAGGAGTTGAAGTGTATTCTTGCCTGATCTTGAGAAAACTCGTTCTAGACTTTTTTATTGCCTCACATCCCCAATGAACTAGTAATTGCCTCGAGACTCTCTCTCTCTGGTCACAGAGTCCGAGGAATATGTCTCAGGGCGCCCTTGGCAGCCTCAGCTTCCTCAATTCAAATCTCCGATCCTCATCGACAGCCAGAGAAAAGTATATATTTGCATTTTGTATGAAAAAGAAGGCTGGCCAAAGCTAACTGTGTGGTGTGAAATGTTGCAATAGTCGTCAATTTGTACGCGTACATGAAAAAGCCGTATGAAAAACACACTCTTTTGCCGTCTCTAAAGTGTTGAGTGCATTTTGAAATAAGACAATTGCAATTATAATTTCAGTATATGTGAATTGGATTAAGTGGAGAGCCTCGCGGTGCCTTAAGCATACAAGAGAGTAAGAGAAAGAAAAAAGCCCTCACATATAGAGAACCGTGAGACTTTTAGCAAATATTTTCACACGCACCACCGCAGAGTTGAGCCCCCGATCGATCGTGCATGGAAGCTGTGGATGGATAAAAACTCTGGATTGCGATACAAGATCGCGATCTTATACAGAAGTTGGCAATTAGGAAATTTGACAATCCGATTGGGCTTCAGAGCGCGCATTGCAACTGACAAAAGAACCGCGCACGGCAATTGAGAAATATACCATTTCACACTTGGAGATTCCGTGGGGCAAAAAGAAAAGATCTTCAATCTATGGCAAATGCATCTCTGTCAGCAACAATGTTCTGTTTATAAAATTGAAAAGGCAAAGAATGTGATTTCAGGGGAAAATGCGCAAGAACGCAGGACTCAATTGCCACAGAAATTCCCCCTCATTGTCTTTTCCAACACTCAACACTTTTCTTACCATCTCTCTCTCCGCGCCAAAGCCCGCTCAGCCAGTGTCTCTATTTCAAGTCTTTCAAGGTGATCCTCCTCAGATCCTTCCCCCAGCATTGATCGCTGGTGGAAAGTATCGCCCAGGTAATCGACCCCATCGCGCAAGCCTGCGATCACGCTGTCTCTCCACCTTCCTGAAAAAATATAGATAAAGCACTCTTAATTGCACACCGTCTCTATTTCTCTAGCCAAATGACGAGGCGGAGGAAAACATAATTAATCGCTCTTTGAGCATTGCAACACCATCACCTCGTTACCCAGGCAAAAATGCCCCCGAAAATGTGACGAAAGTGCATGGAAATGAGTCTTGAGTTAGAAAAGATCTCAAGTAGAACGAACGAGACGACGAACTCGCAATGCGTCAAGATGGGAATTACGTATGCGGAGAAGAGCTCGCGCAAATGCTGAAGAAAGTGTTTTACCAATTGACTTGACACCGAAAAAACAGTCAATACACGAATATTTTCAGTGCTATTTAACCCACTCTTTGGCCGATGACGAGGGCTCTTTTCCTCCTCGCTGGCCATTGCGAGCAATCTAGCACTTCCGCGAGTCCCTGTAAATTATTAGAACATTCAATTGCGGAATTTGCATATACATAAAGCCATCGCGAGTGATAATAAATCTCCATCCAATTTGCCATAAATCTCTTCAAGATCATAAAGTCAGAGTGTGATATTCCCAATAAGAGCATCACAAATTGCTATTCACCCCTTGTTATTCTATTAACTTCCCATTCGAGCCACTCTTGCGGACTCATTAAGCCCGCGTTTATGACTCAATCTCTGCTCTCCCGCCCCCCAATCGCGCGCCACTGACACTCCGGGAAAGGCGTAGAAAAAATTCGTGGTCAACCTACATTCTTGCTGTCTTCCGCGTCAGAAGTGAAAGAGATGCTGCGGCTGAGGAATAAATCACGTCGGGCGCAATTTTTGCTCTCTGGCATCATTTTTCACTCAATCATTTTAGTGCTAAAAAGTTCAAATATGACCATAATTGACTCTACCTACATTTATTTGGACATAGCGCGCGCTCTTTCCGTGAGATATTCTCTCGCTCAATTGACACATACCCTACTTTGCATAAACTTCTTGTGAACAATCTCGCGCGACACCGCGAAATTGTACCAATACACAATATGCCCAACAACACCGCAAAATCCAGGATGTGGCAATGAAATTTCAATTTTAAACCACTTTTTTGGAGCACACATTTTTCGGTGGGAGTGACTCCAATAGATTATCGAGTGTGGTTGTTGTTTTCCAAACTCTTTTGCTCGCCATGGCATTAAGAGACCCGAAATTGGGTCCAAATGTCACTCAGAATCGATTGAATTTTGATGAACAATTAAAATTTGCACCATAAAGTCGCATCTAATCTCGAGCGACATTTCTTCTTTAGCCCACACAAGATGCCCTCTCTTTGCACAGAATCATGACCGTGAAATCTATTTCTTTTTGGGCTTCACTCTCCATCGCGGCAATGATATATTTTGGGAACTCTTCTTAATTCTCCTGTACGACCCAAGGAAAAGAGAGATGATTAACCGCGAGCAATTATTCCCGTATTTTCGGACAACATACAGCAGACAATCTATTGAAACTAATTCACCTTCCTCAGAGCAAAAATCTCACACGCAACAGGTGAAGTGAAGAGATAGAGAAGGCAAAAAATTCTAACACCGGATGAACTTGTCTTTTTTCCACTCAAGAGCAGAGCGCTTGAAGAAAAACACCATCACAAAAATCATGGAAGAAGGAAGAATTGAGCCCCCGAGAGGTTAATGTTTCTTAACACGATTAACATCTCATAAGCGGTCTTCTTTCTCTCTCTCCTCTTGCCATCTTCTGGCGAGAAGAGCCAGCGAAAGAACAAGAGGCAGAACTTCTTAGAGGGGAGCAAAAAAAGGCATATATAGAGCCATATAAATTAATTTCTCTTTCAAATTATAGAAGCACAAAACACTCAAAATTAATTCATAAAAATCTCACACCAAAAGACTCCGCGGCATTTCGTAATATCCACACAGAAAGAGAAAGAGCGAAAGACTTAAATGGGATGTTAGAGTAATTTATCATGCGGGATGGAAAAAGCTGGTTCGCTCATCAGACTTGTGAAGTCAATATTGGAGATCATTAGCAAACTCTTAATTTTATCCACACCACCACTAATCAGCTGATCAATTTAGCGGAATATTTCTCTCCAATAATCACCCAACATACTCTATTACTTACAGACATGCGCTATCGCGAGAGCTTTCAGAGCTAATATGTAGATTTCTCTGACACTTTAGATAAGGCATAGAAAACAATTTAATTAGGAGATTCTTCTTTCGTCGCTGGTCGCGAAAACAAGAGCTAGCATAAATTTACATTAATTGATAAAGTCATTCACACATTTCCTGGGCGGCAGAAGAAATCCTGCCCACAGAACTTCAGAGTCAGATCATAAATTCTTAAGCTTCTTCCCTCTCCGTAAATTGCCATAAAACTCAATAACTTCTGCGAATTACTTTGATAAATTCTATCGACTTCTTCTAATTGCTGCAGTGAAGAGCAATCAAGAGTCCGCGGAGAGAAAGCAAATGCTCAGAAAGCACAGAGACAATGTGCGAATTGGCACAGGAAGAGTCGTGAAATGCGAATTAATCAGTGGCTTTGGTGTTAATTGGAATTTATATGTTTTACGGTGAGACTCGCACAGAAAATCGATGGAAAATTATGCTCACGTATAGGTGAATTGGTGGAATTTTGCCAGTAAAATTCTTCAATTACCTCTTGAGCTCGTCTGGCACACAATTAAATCCAAATCCATCATTCTGTCCTCCTTGGCCGGGGAATTGGTCATTCAGCTGATGTTGCTCCACTTCCAAAACACATTTCTCTAAGCGCACTTGTGACGCGGCTCAACCTGGAAAAAGTGAAGAATGGAACGTGTGTGTTGTGCACTATGAGACTGGCGAAGAGGCAGCAATTTTAATTGGGAAAAATGGCAAACTTGAAATTGACACGAGTTGTAACCTTAATAATACTCTCTGCAATTTCTGCCACACATGCGGGATTTCAAAGTTAAGTTGCGCGAGAGACACTTGTGGCCTCGTTCTCTCCTCGACTCCCTTCGAAAAAGTGCAATGACAAGAATTTCTACATCAATTTTAATCTCTTCCGCTTTTTCTCACCTTCTCCCTCTCTTTCTCTCTTTTCGCAGATCATGAGGCTCCCGCTGTTGCTGTTGCCCGCTCTCCTGCTCACGTCCGCGGCACTCCCAGTGAGTGAGGATGAGATGGACGGCGAGTCTTCGGGGCGCATCATTGGCTCCAGGTGAGGCATCATTTTCTCATCAGCAGTGCCATTAATTGATGCAAATTCAAGATTATGCCAACACACATTAACGCATCATCTCGCCACATCAACGGAATCGCACGCTGCGCGAGGAAATGTGCCAAAAATTGAACTGCCGAACTGAAAGACAACCAGTCACTTTGCATACAAGGCACAAGTCAATCGCCACGCATGATGTACAAATCCTGAAAAGGGAAGATTGAGCAAGATAAACTCTCAAGCATTTTTCACTCCATTAATATTCCACTTCAACGTGATTACTATCTTCTTTAATAATGTATTTGAAATAATTTCAAGCTACTTTATAATTGAATGCAATCAAAATACCATATCAAAACCAATTTGCAGACTCTATGATATAATTAAGTGACTCATGACGCTGTCCAGACAGTCGCGCTGTAAGTTCAGCGACGAGTTTTCGCTCATTGGCAAAATACTGGATTAGGAGTGATTACCTAAAAGACTTCACCAATGCACTTGTCGCGCTGAATTTATGCCATGACCATGGACTAGGGAATCTCATTATACAATTAATCTAATGAATTACATGACTTCTATTGAATTGAGACGCGCTGCACCAACACGTGGTCTATTAAAAATAATGCAATAGTGCAGAATTGCTGATTGCACTTCGCTTGAAGCAAATTTCAAGTAAGTCGTTCAAAGTCATGAGGACAAACAGTACATTGAAGACAAGACATCGCCATAAATCATCTCTCTCTTGCTGGAACATTCTCTCCACTCAAATTTGATCATTTCTGCATGAATTCATGCCATTAAATTCCAATTACATGACTCAACGCTCTCATCCGCCAACCAAACATTGTCATTCGATGACTTTTGCGTAAATCACTACTTCCTGACTCTCTTCCACTCGCTCCTCGTTGGCGATAAGGAAGTATCGGCCGAGGTACATCATCGCCACTCATCATTTCCCCCTTGATTTCGCACCTGGCGGAAACCGTTGCGCTCTTCCCAGCATCACCACACCAATATTAATGGAGGCATGAGACCCAGAGAGTCAATATTTTTGTATAAAACACTCCAGAGGAATATTTAACGGTATTCGACAGAGTTTAAAATGTGACAGATTATGAAAGATTAGAGACCCTCGTGCGCCATTCCCGACCACAGTAATCTCCACAGCGGAGCGCACTAATAAGTGATTTTGCCGACACTCTCCTGACCATCGCCAAGGTGTTCCTCTCTGCACAACCCAATATTTGCCTCGCGGTCAAATGGTGAAGCATAAACGGATTTATGTAATACACCATGCTCGATCTCTTTCACGGCAAAAATGCTCCTCACCTCTGCGCCTCTTCTTTCTTTCCTTTTTGTCGTGCACGAGCAGAGAGTAGACAGCAAAATGCGAATCATCAACTACTCAGCAGAAAATTGATTACACGGCTTTTGCTTTCAATTTGAAGTCTCTTTTTGCCTTCACCTCTCCTGCACACATATCGCGCAAAAGTCTTCATTTTACTATCTTCACTGCCACGCTCGGCTACTCCATCATCTTCATTCGCCTTTTTTTGCCCACACATCCGCGGTGCTTTCTTTTCAACCGTAACACGCTTCAGTTGTGCGCCTTTTTTGCCCGCGCGTTCACTCAATTCAGCGACTCCCCTATTCTTCCTCGACATTGTCAATGCTGTTGCTTATCGAACCGCTCCTTTCCATCATCCATTGACCACACACACATAATCTGCTCAATAATCGCGGAAGACCACAAAATATTGCAATCATTCGATACAGTTAATCAATATATCTCATGATCGCAAGAAAGCCACCTCACGTCCTGACATTGACTCTCTTTCTTCTCTCTCTCTCTCTCGCTCTCTTCTCCGCAGCGTGGTCACGTCCGTGTCTGTGGTGATGAATGGACAGAAACCGGAATTTACTGATGCAATTGGGAAGCCAGTGCCGCGACCTCTGGTCCCGCCACAAGTGGCCAGTCCAATCAATCTCCTCAATCCAGACAAGTACGAGTTCTACACATTCGACGAGTCTGGAGAGCTGATAAAGCGCCTCATGACCATGAAGGAGATCCAGAGCATTGTGGCAGGAGGAGATGGCGAAGGGAGTCTCATGATGAATCCCACAAACAACTCCTCAGAGAATGACACCAAAGTGGACGAGATCGTCGAGAGTGTGCAGAATGTGCTGAACAAGGAGATGGAGGCGAACAAGAACGCCACAAATACCAGTCATCCCATCTTCGATACGCCTGATGTCTCCGCCTCCTGGAGTCTCATCCTGCCTGCCATTTTCGGCAACACCGGCAACCATGAGATCATCACACATAAGCCACAATCGATCGCCATGACGCCGGAGAGCGAACTTCTGGAGGTGACCACGAAAACTCCCGCCAAAACCACTTCACCAGCCGTCCCCACTGACGAAACGAAGAACATCCCTCTGTACCATCGACCGACGGCCACAGAGAAGATCACTGAAAAAACCACTGAGAAGACCACTGAAAAGACTACTGAAAAGACCACTGAGAAGACCACTGAAAAGACCACTGAAAAGAGTACTCAGAAGACCACCGAGACGCCCACAGAAGCTCCCAAAGAGACAACTGTGAGTCCTGCGGATACTTCCTCTTCCACCACAACTAGAAGGCCCTCAACAACTCCTCCAATGCGAGTCAGAGTCACAGCGAATCCCAACAGAACGAGAATTTCCACTACGCGGAGACCAATTGTGACGACAGTGCAGAAGATTACGGAAATTAATACAGTCATCTCGCGACTTCCCTCAAGTCCATTAGCGCAAAAAGTCACAGAGAAGACCTCAACAACGCCAAAGCCCACAGCCACCACATCCAGATTGCCCACCAATTCACCAGCAACCCCAACAACCACCCGAAAACCACCGTCGACGACTGTGTCCACCACAGAGCGGCCAACGGAGAGGTCAACGAAGAAGACCACAACGAGGCCCACGGAGAAGACCACGGAGGAGAGCAAGAAACTACCATCTCCATCGCCAACAATGGGCACAACTGTGGCCGTGGAGGCATCCACCATGACCTCAGCAAGCACGAGTGGCCCCAGCATTGGCACCACTGAAACAATGCAGCCGCAGAATGCGGAAAAGACGGCAGAGAGTGCGGATGATGAATCCGCAGCCATGGAGGAGAACTCAATCAACCAAATAATCCAATCGCTCAGCGGTTTCCCGGACGCCGAGGCGGCATCCACACTATCATCACTGGAATCACTGTCCGATGGCATTACAACCGTGAAACACCCCGAAGATATGCACGATGATGAGGAGGAACAAATGCCGACAACTGTAAAAGTAATTTCGGTCAGTGAACCAGTGAAAAGTGAGGTGGCGACAGAGGCAACGCAGCCACACAATACGGATCATGTGGGAAAGCCCAACAAGATATTTGCAAACAATCAATTGTATGTGGATGAAGCGGATCCCCAAGTGTCTGAGATCAGCACACCTGAGCCAGAAACCACCACGGAGGAGGAGGGTACAGAGACGACGCTCTCGAGTGAGTCTGTGTCTGAGAATTTCGCCGCTCTGCCGCAGAACAGCGGTATCGCGCAGCTTATCGATCGCTTCATCGCAGCCAACTCAAACAGTGTGCCCGTGACGCTGGCGCCGCTGGAGACACAGCCGATGATCCCCAAAGTTGAGCAGATGGTCCAGTCAACACTCAGGAGAAACATTACCATGACCGATTTTGTCGAACAAGTCGCCACAGTGGCTTCCATCCTTCACGGTGACGAAGCCGACGAGACGTCGACTGAGAAGCTTGATCTCATGAGCAATTTGGAGGAATCTCTCTCGAATCTCCTCTTCCAAGTCACCGATGAACGCCCACATTCGGTGCCTCTGATTGAAGATCCCAACATCGAGAGCAAGATGCCCAACATTGATTCCGAGAATGCAGTTGCAGATGAGGAAGTGTCAACAATTGCAACCACTGTCCAGGAAGAAGAGTTCAGCACTCTTACCGAAAGCGCTATTGAGGTGGAGGAGTTCACGACCACAGAATCAGCGACTGAATTGCCAGCAGAAGAAGAAGAAACTATTTTGCCTGAAACCACTGCCTTCCCTAACTTCGATCCTGATCAGACATTCAACGAACTGGAATCTCTGGCTCAGGTCAAGGAATCGGCAGAGAATGAAGTGACTAACAAGGATGAGGTCAGAGTGGAAACATCGATAGTCAAGGAGACCTCGTCGGTGTCTTTCTCTCAGCAGAAACCCAAGAATATTACAACCACAACAACTACAGCAGCAATCACTACAGAACCCCAGAGAGAGATCACCACAGAAACTCCCGAGACTCCCGAATTCACAGAGCGAAGCACAGAAATTCAGGCAGAAACCACCGAATTGCCAAACACCATTGATGATGCTCCCGATTCTGGACCCTTGACCTCGGATATTCTTAGCATCATTGGAACTGTTGGCGATATGCTGCTGGACACAGAGATTCCAACCAACGTGGATGAACTCGTTACAATGCCAATTGAAGAGTCCACTGACGCAACATCTCAGCCTCTGTCGACACACTTCGATGAAGCCACGGAGTTTCCCACAGCCACTCCCGCCACTGAGGCGCTTGAAGATGAAACTGTGGCATCAACCACGCCGGAGAGTGATGAAATGACCAGCGAGTACGAGACATCGACTCTCTCCTCAGCCGAAATAAGCACAGATCTGGCTGAGGAGACCTTCTGGACTCTGGACGGTTTCACGGGACGCCCAACAACGAACTTCAATGTCCTCAACTTCAGGAAGAACGACGTGGACGAGAGCCAGCAGACAGAGACCCCAGACCCAGCGTCAAACACCGTCGCCACTGATGAGGTTAGCGAAGAGATCAGCCAGAAAACTACCCAGAGATCCTCACCCAAGACAACCCAATATAAATTCATAACAATCGGTGTGACTCGCCCTGAAGAAGGTCCAATTAATGTTCCGACACCTTTTGGCTTTCACACGCGCGTCACCGAGGCAATTATCCCAGAGACAACGGAGATCGCCCACGAGACAACCACAAATTCCCACGATAATTCTGAAGATGACACCGATGCCACCACAGTGGATGAAAGTGAGGAGATTTACACGAGATTAGGCGAGACCACAGAGAAATCCCCCGAGCAGACGACACTGCTTGACGGTGAAAAAATTGAGGATGAGAACACAATTACCGGCGAGCCAGAAGACTCTCCAACTACCCTCAAGAATCTGCCCCAGAAGCGGCCAGTCTCAGTCTTTCACGTCAACACCCCCAAACCCAGTCACATCTCGCCGGCGCTCAAGCAAAACCCCCGGAAACCCGTGCCTGTGAATCTGAAACCCGCCCCGAAGGAAGCCCTGGGCCTCGAGCAGAGCACCCAGAACCTCGATCAGGATCTCATAGACTTTGTCAATCTCTGCAATGAATTGGCATTCACTTACTGGAAGGCCATGACCGCCGAGGGTGTCAGCACGTCCAGGAGCATCGTTGTCGCTCCATTTGCCGTCACTTCCATGCTGGCGATGATCTTCCTTGGCGCCCGCGGAGCCACATCTGGGGAGATGAACGAAATCTTGCGTCTGGATGACATGGTGACCTTCAATCCACACGCGGTGTTCAAGAACGTCACGGATTCCATTGAGAATCTGAGGGAAAGCGGCGTATTCACCAGTGCTGTGGTGAGGGAACTGTTCAGCGATCGCACGAAGGGCAGACTCTTGTCGTTCTACAAGGACAAGGTGCAGCAATTCTACTCAGGACACGTTGAGGAGGTGAACTATGCCGTGATCAATGATGTCATCCGCCGGAGGACGAATCTGCTGATGAAGCGTCACACATGGGGAAAAGTCATGGAATTCCTCAAGACCAACACCATCACAATGAGACCTCCTCTGGCCACAGTGTCTGCAAATATATTCAAGGTGAGAAAATCCCAAATTTGGATCACTAATCAAATATACTCACCTTCATTTCCTTGCAGACTGACTGCTCCAAAGCCTCCAGCTTCGAACGCGACGGAGAGATGTTCTTCCAAATCGCCCCAATTGTGCGACAGCGTCGTCTGGTGCCACTCCCGGCGGCCGTGTTTCGCTCTGGCTTCATGGCCGGTTATGATCCCGAACTGGACGCCACGGCGGTGGCATTTGGGAACAGCAACAATGTCGTGAGCACGGTGCTTGTGATGCCTGGCCAGCAGGGTCACCTGCAATCCGGCGACAGCCTGGATCGCCTCGAGATCGCTCTCCTGCAGAATGGCATCACGAAGAATGCCTGGCGTCGACTGCTCACCACTCTCATGGAGCGCCCCGGACTAGAGCTGCAAATCCCCAAATTCACGCACAGATCCTTCATCAACGCCACCAGCGGCCTCCAGCGGATGGGGCTTAATGAGCTCTTCGATTCCGAGAAGTCCGACTTGCGCGGCCTCACGGCGTCGGCTAGCAAGGACATGTTCTTCTCCGACATGGTGCAGATCAACGCCTTCGCAACGTGCGGCGAGGACAAATCCCCGGATCAGCATCATGTGGAAGTCTATCCGTCGCCGCCCATCCAGAAGAGCTTCTACCTCGGCGAATTCACGCGCGGCCTCGTTGACGAGCTGCCCGAGAGTGTGCGCATGAAGCTGCTAATGACACAAGAGCACCAGCGAGCCCTCTTCGATCCCTTCTACGAAACCAAATACCTCGAGCTGCCCCTGTCGCTTCGTCCTCGCCAGGCGAGGATTCCGGAAGCGCCCAGGCTGCGGTTCGACCGTCCCTTCCTCTTCTTCGTGCGCCACAACCCCACGGGCATGATCCTGTATATGGGGCGCTTCAGTCCGCGACTCCATCCATAAGGCAGTGGTGGAAAGCAGTGCACAAGATTAGTCTTAATGAGCGTAGATTTAATTAGCCATAGGATTGCCCTATTTATTCCTTCCCAGCAGCGCAACTGAAGTTAACTTATTTAGGCGAGTATTAGCATATCTTGGTAATGGAAAGTCCTCTCTATCTCTTGATGTCCTGCGAGAGATGTCTCGTGAAAAGCACGTGATTGCCGCAATTACATTCATCGACATTCATTAATTTGGACTCACATTCGCACCATGTGACTTCAAATTGACGAATTCGCCACATTTATTATTGCTTTCCTCTCTAACTTTACAAAGTCCCCAATTTAGGAGCACAAAAGGCGAATGTAAATGCAGCGATTGACTCATCCACACTTTGTCACGCTCTCCTTCTTCCCACCAACTTCCATCGACTACGTTTAATATATTTTAATATCCAATTAAAGTATTTAATTAAGGTAAAGACAGAGAGACAGTCTCTCTACTTCGCATAATTATATTGTCGCAAGAATTTCCTACAAATAAAACTGTACTGTGTAAATAAGTCCAAAAGTGTCTTTTTTTTCTCTCTCGCTCGCCGCAATCAATTTTCAAATTAGCAAATGTATGAGTATTCTCTGCGATGAGAAAAAAGTGTGAAAATCACGAAAATAGAGTGCAAGGTTGTTCAGTGACTGGAATTTTCAAGATTACATCTAGAGATATCGAGAAAAAATCAGATTGAATTGATTTGAAATGTTGCACAAAAACGCATAAATCATCTCTACTAAAAATAGAGATCTGGGTCTATGTTAAAAAGTTTCCACTCTATGGATGTAAAACTGAGAAATCTATCTATCTGGAAATCCTCTTGGACCAAACGAACCACACCTGTATTGCAATTACTTTTGGTTAAAAGTTCCCAGAACATCTGTTTGCACCGTAGATTAACAGTGATTTGCTGGGAAACCATGACAAATTTGCTAAATTGTTGATCTAAAATTAAATATCTGCCACTCACTCAAGAGTTCTTTGCTTTGGGAAGCAGATTTTAGTTCTCCAGCAATTGACTATCGTGGAAAAGACCAGCGAAAAACCGTACATTTTCCCACTCAGTGTTGTTCCCTAGCTTCTGTTGGCGACCAAAAGTGGAATTTCCAATTCTAGAGATGTTAGCAAAAAGAGGCGCTAAAATTGTGTTAAACACCCAGTGAAAATTGTCGAGCTGCTGTGAGACACTTGGAGACAATTTTATCAAGCATGAAGTAAACACAATACATGTGGAATTTCATCTTGAGAACATTAAACACCGATTATTTGCATAAAAAATAAAAGTCTAGAGCGCGTCCCCACACACACTGGCGCACACTTGCAACTCTATCGTGGGGGCTTTCCTCGCGCGCCCCTCTCGCGCACGATAAGCGCGCTTCAGGAGTTTTCGCGCGATCGGCATTTAATTATAAACCTCCTCTAGTTCATTCGCAACATTGCTGCTGAGCGGATCGCCGTTTTCGCGTGTGCGCGCCAACATCGCAAAAGGTTTGAGGAAGAGAGACCCAGAAAACATTAGGAGTGGAGTTTTAGTGTGGATCTCTTCCTGGACAAAGCGAACAACAGCTCTGAAGTCATCAAGGCTATATTTGGAGTCGATTTGCCCTATTTTCGAGCAAGTCCATTGGCTCTCAAAGTCAATGGAGTGTGCGCACTTGTGACTACACTTGTGTGAATTTGAGCATTTTCCTAGCCGGGAAGGTGGAAGGAGTGGAGTTTTTCCGAGCAGAGACACAAATCTCGCCATCACATCAAGTGTGATGGTAACCATTCGCCGTCGATCGTATTCTCTGGATACGATTCACGTCAAGTCTATCACGGAACCATCGTAACAGGGCAATAAAAAGGGGAGCACTTGTGTGTGGAAATTGGAGCAGAAGAAGCCGAGCAATTAAAGATTGTGTGCATTCGACGGAGTTGCTGGTAGAAAAATTCCTCTTTGGAGTCAACACAGCCATTTTTCTCCTCTCTCGGCTGCTTTATAAAATGTAAATATCAACGCGCGTTTATTTTCGTCGTCCTACAATTTTATATACGTGCTGTTTTCTCCTTCGATCAACCGCCGAGGAGTTGTGAAGCGATTGTGTGAGTGTGCCTTCAATAGCGAGGAAAGAAAAAAAGTGATACAACACGCGGATGATGCTAAATTGCCACTATATACTTAATCCCTCTCATTAAATATAATACTTATACTCTAAAAACATCTAAAACTATGTGATAAATGCCAGTGCGCGGCAAACATATCAGCGAGTAACCCACATTTGAAAGTAATAATAATAAAATTGTAATACAGATATTCGCTAAACGCGGTGCAGTTGAGATAAATTGAAAGATGAGTGGAAACAATATTCAATCCATGCTGCAAGAAACGATGGCAACAGATCAAAGAGGACATTCAACTCAGCGAAGAAATAGCATCGAATCAAACTTGAGCAAAGTAAATAACAAAATTTATTCTATTTCTGTCCCACAACTCTCTTTCACACCACTTTCTTGTCGTTCTTTTGCCTTTTTATCTTCATGAATCTTTCTCTCCCTCGTCATAATTCACTCATCAAAGGGACTGCAGAAGACTCATGCCAAGCGAAAACCATCCTGAGCACTCGAGGAATCCCATAGAGATATTTACGCGGAATCCAAAGTGTCGTCAAGAGCCAGGAAATCGCAATTTCAGCGCCGAAGTCGTGAATGTCACGGTGAATTGAGACATGAACAGTGTGATTTTTTGCACACACAAGCGCGACACAGAAGAGACTTCTTAGAAGAAAATGCCTTTCCGCGAAAATAGCCACCCCCTCCCCAATGCGTGCACAATCAATTTCATTTTCAAGGCTTTCAACATCAAATTTATCGTCTCACATGAGGTGAGAGAGAGAACATATAAAAGTTATTCAACGGAATTCTACGAGTTTTTCCTCTCCTTTCTCAAAACGCTCAAATTAGAAATTGAAAGTGTGCTTCGCACAAAACTGAGAAATACCCATCCCTTTGCAATGTGTTGCAAATGCCCATGAAAGCTGCATTCAAATATTCACCCGAGTGATCATGATAAGTCCAAATGATGTAATTGCGCTGCTCCGGCGATTGACGCCCATTATTTACATCTCTATATTGTAAATCCACATCCAAAATATCAACTGTCAACATTCAGGAATATCAGCTGAAAAGAGAGAAGGGACAATTAAAGAGAGTTCATTGAAAATTTAGTATATTTCATACTCACTCAATTCATTTGAGACAGAGAAAGAGAGAGATCACTTAAGAAACTCCGCATCTGATGAATATCAACACCAGAACACAAAAGATGGCAAATGTCGAGGAAAAAATTCAATATCTCGCGAGAGTATCGTCAGTAAAAATAATCACAGACAGGACAAGGTCAATAGCCACGAATTGAAAATGCAAGTGGAATACAGTAGAAATATTCACAGCATTTTTCTCAGCGCATATTTAATTCTGACGCGGGTTCAAGTGTGTATTTTTGCACATTCTTAATGACACTTTTTGCCATATCACTTCACAGTTGCAATTAGTGACCAAGATAAAAACGCCCTCAGCATGGAAAATTTATGGGTATTTTTCCACCCAAAAATGTGATCTTCAACTGTGAAGGACTTGGTTAAATATTCACAGAATTCTTGCTACATAAGATTCTGGTCTGGCAAACGATCTCAGCTGTTCTCTTCCTATTTTTTCGGCCTATTTCCACTGTATTCGCGCTTAGAATAGAAATGGGATTTGTAAACAAATAAATTGTTCATGTATTTTTAAATTGAAACAGAGCAATGTTCAATCGCCGGCAAAGTTGCGTTTTTAGTAGAAATTCAGAGCACAATTTAACCCCTTTTTCTTCATTCATTTCTCAAGAATCTTGTTGAAAGAAGAAAAAAAAACATTAAAAATGCATTGAGATGAATGACGTTCACGAGTGAAAATAATCTCAATTATCACTGGGATTTTATCATTGATATCAATTCTAGCTTTTGTTGTGTGTGAATTTCACAATTTCCTAGTCAATGTTGATAAAATTACATATATTCACGCCATACATATTTTATGACGAAAGTAACACTGTGAGAACAATGTTATCAACAAATTTTACGAGCAACATTGTTTAACTCATTTCACTGGCTGGGCATACAGAAGATGCTAAATGCGCACTAAGCGAAGATCCGCAATCAGTGCAGAGAAAACATATCACAGTTCTGAGGAAGAGGAATTAGGAAACTCCATTGATAGCCCATGTGATTCTCCTCTCTATTGCTCCAAATTGACCCAAATTGATTTGCGCGCGACCATTTGTGAACCAAGAGCGACTCGTGGCGGTTGAAGATCAATGCCTCGCCACCAGTTGCAGAAATAGGCAGAAAAATGTTTACAGACGGTTCCTCCATTTCAATTATTTTTACGAGTTTGCCTTATCGGGCGCAATTTTTTCTGTTCTGAGGTCAATTGAGGCCCGCTCTCCACCATCCCGACCAAATCACGTGAAGATGCGACGATTTTCAAGAGGAATCGCTCTTTTTTTCCTCTTCACACTCAATTTGACATACTTCTTCTCTCTTTTTTGTCTGCCTTCCAGGAAAAACTTTGGCTGAAGATAGGACAAATTGTTTAGCATTTTGGGGCTGTGTGCTGATATATCTAATGCGTGACACAACGGTGAAGCTCTCATGTGGCATTTTCATGGAGACACTTTAAATGTTTGACTTGTTTCCAACTTAATTTACAATATTGCAGTATTTGAGCGACTTATCAGCGACACTCTCTTATCGCGGCACTTTCGTCGCGAGATTTAATCCCTCCATGAGGACAGAAGAGTCAAGAGGTTGTGCGCCAGAAAAGGATCCTCCGCGCTAACGGTGATGGCAGATAATTAACACACAAGAGTCGCATAAAAATGCACCTGGGCAGAATGTTTATCTTCCCATGTGCCTCTTTCTCATAACGGTCATTGCGAGACCCTTCCACTTGCCGCGCGCATTCAATGCACTTCACCCAACACTGCGATGTTTGCCTTGCATGTCTCTTTTTTGGGTGAAAGAACAAATTTGTACTGCAGCGAATTATCCGCTCATTGATTTACCTTAGCAATTAGTGTGTCTTCTTCTTATCTAAGAACACGCATTTGCAAGGAAGAGGCAAATTTGGAGGTGTTAAATGACTCTCAAACGAGTCGAGATGACGTCAAAGAGCGGAAAAACAACCAAAATCATCACATGTTGCCATACAGAGAATAAAAGTGGATTAAAATATTATTCTTCTCCCATCTCTTGGCCACAGATTGTGCCATTGTTCAGACCCACACTTGATAAATAATCAACAAATTATCGCGTCTCATCCGTGGTTTTTAGCAACACTCCATCCACAAATCTACCAAGTAAATATTTAACTTTCATAGACACTCTTCATGTGTGTTACCATTATTTCTCTCCAGAAGCCATTTCAATTTACAATTTATCTTCACCATTTTTTCCCTGGCTGATAGAGTCTTAAAAATAGAATTCACCATTAATTAGTTTTGGTGCCTAATTAGGCAGTCATGAGAATTGTACGCTTGTTATTTTCACCATCTTAACCCTCGAAGAGTCACAGAAAAAAAGAACCAAGATCGCGAAACTCTCTTCTCCGGACAGAATAAAAGGTCCGAGGGTTAAGACATATTTTATTCATCTCGCTTTTCCTTCTTCCCATCTTTTTACTGAACCATTTATTATTTAACACATTCCACTCATCCATAATCTATGACGTGCGATTTTTTTTCTCATCACCGCAAAATCGCTTCATTTCATTATAAATATTCAATATTTATGGTGCGGAGAAGAAAAAATTATCAGTCTCTGCGCGATAAGACGGAAGAAAGAATCATTTGTCAGACTCATGAACAAAACTCTTGCAAAATCTGCGCAGGAAAAAAAAATCAGAGATTCAAGAAATGCGCAACAAGTCCGAAAATCACCTTCCCAAAATGTGTGTCGCTTCTTGTCCGTGGCCAAGAACTTGATTTGCGGGAATCAATTGAGCAAAATGCCCTGCAGTGTCTCTCTCACCCTGATATTCACGTCATGATCAAAGTGTGCAATTTGTGGGCACCTTCGAGTGGCGCTTCGAGACGTGATCATTAATCAAATTCATGACATTCATGACTTGAAGAAAAACAGCGACAAATGATGCTGTCCAAAAAGTGCTGCAGTTTTGATAGAAAACATTGACCTCATTTCTTGGCATTATCTCGAATCAAACACAACCCATTGCAAACACAAAATGCAAAGCGAAGAAGAGCGTGTCTTCGCAAGGTGATCCGGAGGATAAAGTGGAGCTTGATTTACACCAAAACAACCTCCTAAAATTTCCCATCTATGCTCTGACATTGATTAAGGCAAACTTCCCATCGCCCTTGTAGATCACACCACAGAAGCCCGTCGTGGACTTGGTGGTGGGAATGATTGCTCTGCCCACCCTCATCATCTTTGCCCTCATGCTGGAGACCAACATGCAGGGCGACTGGACGGACGCGCCGGAGAGCCGATGGACAGTCCTGGGCATCGGAGTGGGGCTCATCCTCATCAGTCTCCTCGTCTGCGGCTACGTGACGCACAGAATGGGCGTGTGCCTGTGGGCTGGGCCGCAGGACGACTCAGACACGCAGTCCAACATCAACAGAGTGAGTTCAATTTCCCCTGAAATTCATCCTCCATCACTAACACACACACTCTCTCTCTCCGTGTATTTCGCAGGAAGCGTCCTCAGCCGATGTCTTCCACATTGGCGATCATCTTCCGCCAAGCTACGACACTGTCATGCAGATGGACTTCAATGCACCACCGCCCGCCTATCACTGCGTCGTCCTCAACGACAGCAAGACCTCATTCCGGATTGAAGATGAGACCACGCATCACATCTAGTCAGAGTCTCTCCCTGCTTCACAAGGAAACAATAAATGTCTGTTTTTTTGCGAATATTCACACCAAAAGTTGTTGGCTTTATTCCTCCAGAGAAACGGTATTAAATGAAAATTGGGGGATGATTTTTAAACTCATAGAGTAGCATTATATGTTGAAACTCAAGCATCCACTCATCCTATTGACCTTGCTTGTCTTTATCTTTGTCGCTGCTCTTCTTATCTTTGTTGAGCGATCCAACGACATCTCGAATCGTTTCCGATTGCGGGTCAACACCGGGCAAATTCTCGAGTACGCTCTGCAAGGCGGAAAAGACGGAATTAGCACAAAGCCTGTCACGTGCAACAAAGACAAAACTCTCTTGCCTGCAGAAAAGCTGGATCACTGATCACTTCATTGTAGTCCTCGTCGACCTCCATTGGCGTCTCCTCTTTCTTCGGGCGCGCCGGTGCTTGTCCCACGGGTTCTTCTGCGTGTGATAAATCCTTCATCAGCTTAATCCTCACACAAACACACAGCGATTGCTCAAGAGGAATTTCGCAATGCTCAGTGCAAATTTAGTGCAACACTCAAGATATAAGCCACCAATTGACAAAACAAACCAATGTAGTGATTGGGAAAATCAACAGGTTCAGCGCAAATATTAAATGATTTCTAAATACAAACAATAAAGCCGACAGACACCAAAATCAAAGGAGATTTGCCAACTCACGTGCATCCTGCATTGACATTTGCATGGCGAATGCGATCTGTTCCTCTTCAGTCATATTGGCGAAGTCCGGCATGCCATCATCATCGGCCGGCGTCTCCGTGGACAGCGCCAAGGCGCGCTGCAGAAGCGTCTCCTCGGAATGCGGCTCATCGCCTGGCAGCGCTTCCTGGCCAGCTGTTCCTCCAGTCGGATTAGCCGCTGCATCGGCCGCCATGGCGCGACGCTGCTCCTCCTCCTGGCGTTGGCGCTGCTCCTCCATAGACACACGCAAGGCCAGAGCCAACTCCGGATCCTCATTGGGATCCACGCCGAATTCAAAGCCAGCGCCACCCAGTCCCGCGCCGCCCATACCGTCCTCACCCTGAATGATTGGCGACGAGATGAGCGCCTCCGAGAGAACGGAGCCCCGAGGCACGCTGACCAGGTGAGATCCTGTTCCGTCCTTTCCGTTCAGGGCATTGATGAATGCATTGAGAATCTCGTTGTTGGAAGAATGATCCCCAAAGCTCACAATGTCCACGTTCACTTTCTCCTTCTTGAGCCTCTTGGCCAACTTCACCAGCTCGAGCTCCTCATTGGTCACCGGAGAGCCCACGAACACCACAATCCGCATCTTGTGATTCTTTCCCTGGCGGTGCTTCAACACCAAGTGCGCTATGCGGATCCCCGTTAAGAGATTAATGTTCCCCTTGGGCTGCACCAGGTGCATCTTGGAGAGGATCCTGCCCACGTCGCTGGTGAGTGTGGCCAGGACCTCCACAGTATTCGCCATGGTCATCAGGCCGACATTATTCTCCGGATTCGAGCGCACTTTGGTGAGACACACGAGATTTATTCCATCCTTCTGGGCATTCATGCGAGTCGGGAAGTAATCCCCATTGCGTTGGTAGTCGCTGTTGTCGAAACTTTTAAGGAAAAAGAGAGAAAAACACTTTAGAAAATCAGACAAACATAACCTCATTTGCTATCTGCTTTGTCATCGCCCAAACAATTCTCAATTTCACTGGGAAAATGCCACTTTTCTGCCGAAATTTCACATTCTCCATGTGCCCAAGATGTTCACCGAGGTATTTTTTGTATAAATTTTACTAGAGTAGGGTGGAAAATATCAATAATGCAGATATTTACCAGATCATCGTACTTTCCAGCACCATTTTTGCACAGTTTTTGGACGTCACTGCACTACCCGACTGGCGTTTCGCCTTGTTCTAATAAACGTTGGACTTGAATTTCCCGAATGCCGTGTGAGCAAATATTACGCACCACAGTAATTTTATCGCTTCAAAATCACTTTACTCCGTTCATTGACCGATGTAATCCCTTTCATCTGCAGCTGCAAACTGTAATTTCGATTTTATGAATAAATTTTCAATTAGTACTAAACTTTGCCAGGTTTTGCCTCGCGACGAGCTCTTTGCCGTACCAGTCACACTGCGGCGCTGTTACCAGTAGTGAGAGAATTTTCTCCGAAAGTGAGTCGCTCATGAGCGAGAGTCGGAAAACCCCGACAAAAACACAATTTTAATCAGTTTTGCAGATAAATATGAGACGTGGAGTGGAAAAATTAGTTGTGAGATTATCGTGAGCCCACGTGTGTGCCACAGAAGTGCAATAGTGTTGAGTAAATTGTGAATGAAAAGCTTGCCATTAGAAGAAAGGTGTTTTTCTGTCGGGAAAAAGGTGAGAGAGAGGGTGAAAGACTTTGCAGAGCAGTAGTTTGTTTTGATTTATTTATTTTTATCTTGGGCACATGATTCCCTGTTATAAATGTATATTTGTTGTGTTTGTATAATAATGCAATTATTCTTCATAATTTTGTTTGTTCAATCAAAATTGGAATTCATTGCCGGCCTCATGAATGAACGTAAATTTCAGCACATAATTTATACACGAGATCCAAAGGAAACTTGATTCATTCTCGCCCACTCTTGCTTCCTTGGAATATTTCAGGATAGCGAAGCGATTTCCAGCTCATGAAAGATTCAATGGGTTAAACTATTATTGATTTTTATTATTCAATATCATGCACAAGTTGATGCCCTTGATTGCACCAAATATAGCTATTGACATGTTTGGCAGTATCAAGTTCGCCTTCTTGCATTGTTTCACTGCTCGCGCACTTGTTGGGCAGCTATTCTCGGCTCCACGCTTAGCACTTCATCTTCGGCTAATGTCTGGAATTGCCGTGTCAGGAAAATCGTCCTGAAATTCTATTTTGGCATGACTTTTCATAGGCTGCTGTACAATATTGATTTGCTTGTTTGCAGATTAAAAATAAAAGAGCGTTTTGCGACATTGCCAGTCGATAAACGCTGTGGAACTAAATTAAAAATCTAGGCATGATAAAAGAATAGATTATCATCTCATTCCTGTTTTGTATTTTATTTTAATACACAAACTTGTAGGCTCAAATATTCCCCACAATATCTGTGTTCCTAGCGAGGCAGATTGAAAGGAATTTTTGCAGAAAAATTTACTTAACTCACGCAGTAAAATATATGTATGTAGATTACAGAACATCTTGGCTGGGCATTGCCTTATTCAGTCCTCCCTTAAACCTCAAATGCCTTAAATACATTGGAATCCGTCTGGAATGCCGCTTATTCTGCTCCCATGTGCTTCATTGCATGTGCGCGCGATGGGAGAGAAAAAAATCGCGGCTTTGAGGAAAATTGGCGACTTCTTCCATTCATTTCTCACTCTCCGCCAAGAGAGAAAGAGAGTTCATTTGATTACAATTGGCAAAGAGAGTCTCCGCAGCGCTCGTGCGCCTGTCCGGCGTATTCAAAAGTGTGCACTGAGCTCAAACGGAATCTCTTAACTCTATCCCACCCATTCGACAATCTCGCCCGAGTTGAAGAGAGGCAGAAGTAGCGGTTTTTGAGCTGCAATTCCTCAATATCACAACTCTTCTGTGATCGATCATCAAAGTTGTTTTCACAGAATCGAGTGGAATTTGATGGGAAGCGTGAATTAAACGAATTTTGTTCACGAAAATCTAATTTAATTAAGGAGAAAAATCAGAAAAATATTTCGTTCTACAAAGAATCACTGTTGTAAATCCTGAAGCACAGCCTTATAGCATTTCAGTTGAGTCTAAACTATACACACACAGTAATTCTGCATTTCGAGTATTTCAGCGCAAAAATCTCGATTCCCATAAGCTGAGCGAGGCTCTGGCGTGCGATTTCATTTGCTCCGCTGGTTTCTCTGGCGAAAAGACAGTCGAGAGTTTCAGTTTCACTTGACTATTTGCTATTGAAGCAAGTGCAGAGCGTATATTGGCAAAAAAGAGCGCGGCGTGAAAGAGTTGAAGTTCTGCTGTGAACAAAAGTGCCTCTCAGTGTGTTTCTGAGCGTCTGCGAACCACCTTCGCACAGTGGATTTTGTGTGGGCTCTCAGATAAATCATTCAAAAGTCATTTCGCTAATCTCGCGAGATTCAACTACAATAAATTCCAGTTAGACAATTGCCTAAAGGTACATGAGGACTGAATGTGTGAAGTTTTTCCATGATTGTTAAGAGTATTTTTCCACATTTGAGGTGTAGAAATGGGATTTCTTGCTGAAAAGTCCAACATGACAATATATAGAAGAGAAGAAGCGTTGGAAAATGTTTTTCGAGATCTCTCGGGTCGCGTTTCTCTTCTCTCTATTGTTGATGATGGTATAAAGAAGAGTGAATACTTCCTTCGAGGCGCAGTGTGGGCCTCTGACATCAGGCAATTTACTGTGAAAGGTGTACGTTTCGTGAGTCATCTCGCTGTTAATGCAGCCGATGAGCAACAATAAAATAAAGTGTTCAAGGAAGGTTGACGAGGAGACATGATAGAATTCCACGCAAAAATTACGTAACACGCAAGTCTTCAAATCTGACAGCTCAATCTAAATTAATCACTTGATCAATTTCTTTAATTAAGATCAATGCCCATGCGAAAATATGTCTGTAGCGCAATTCGAGAGGCTTTCCCACATATTTCTTTACATAATTTTACAACATCACCGTGCAAATTTCTTTTCCGAGACTCTTCGTTGGCTCTTTTATGGGTTAAAGAAGCGAAATTGGTGGGCATAGATTAATTAGTGTGTCTATTGAGTTGAATTTTGGAAATTCTCCAAATGATAATTGAGCTTTTATGGTTGTGGGATGATGAAACCCTCCTAATTGTTTGCCTTTCAAGTTCCGCGTGATGAAGTTGAGTCAGTGACCAAAAATAGTAATAAAAAATGGTGCGTTTTCCGCGCTTCTTGAACACATTGCAGAAGCATCGAGGATGCGATCCTTTGTTGTGCTTTTCGCACAAATGATCCAATTTGATATCATACACAAATGTATCTGATTTCTTGACGATCTTCGTAGTGTAAAACGCTCTCTAAACATCTAGAGTTTCACATAGTATCGATATCACTACCTCTGGGTATGTAAATATTATTGAAACAGATTATAAACATAACTTTTAATAATAATCCTCCAAGCAATACTTTTCAATTATGTTCATTTCATGTACAATAGCATAGAATCAGAAATGTTTTTCATGAATCCGAAGCGTTTCTTTATTTTATTAACGATCAGTTAAAAAGAAATATTTTTCACATTGAATCCACTAAAACTACTGGTTCTTTAACTACTTATAAATACACTGAAAATTCTCAGAGCATTAATGTGATTGATTTGCTAAGTAACTGCTCAACAATGGCTTTAACAATGGAGTTTATCAAAATAGTATAATGAGAATATAATCAGTAGATCTCACTCCATGATTTGTAGAAGTTGTAGAATCATCAAGTGAGTCAGTGCTTTTTCTGTTTGAAAAGGAAAATGATTGTGAAAGTATTATTCACCCAGCGACTCTTGTGGTAAATTTTAGTGTTTTTTTGATTCAATTGCTTAGAAAATGACTTTAAGGTAATTTATTCTTGTGTTGTTTCGGAAGCGCCTTCAGCCATGTGAACAATGATGAATATCACAGAAATGAAATTTTTCACTTTGAAACGAAATATGATTCAATAGCAACATGGTCATTGGTCGCCATTGCCATTTGCCACGCTCTCGTGGATTTGTAACCGTTGATGAACCCAACAAAATGTTTCCACCCAGAAGTAACGCAAGGAGGAAAATCTCTCTTACATCGGGAGAATTAAATAATGAATGAAATTGCTGGCTTTATAGACAGAGATAAGGAATCATACTTGAGCGTGAAACCACGCGCACTTTACTCTTTTTTTACAATGGCATAAGGTGTAAAGGAATAAATTAAGAAAACTCTTTCTGAATGGAGAAACGTAGACAGAATTGTTGATTTCTTGATATTATGCCGTTTCTTGAGATTATAATTCTTGGCTTTCCTCAACAGTTGTTCTCCTAATCAGTGTTGAAGTGCAATGTTATTAAGAAATCTACCTTTGATTTGTTAATTTCATGTGTTTTCCGCTTGGACTTTTGATGCAGAAGAGAATGAACAAAAATCCCGTTTCATGTGCATTGCTTGTGACTTTTTGTGTGCTTTTTTTCTGTACTGATTTTAAGTGTTATTACAGAGTCAATTTAAAATGCATCAACTGTTTTTATGACAGCTTAACTTTTAGAAAAGTATCTGTTTGGAAAATCACAACGACATTTGTCAGTCTAACTGTTTGCCTGTTGGATTGAAAAGAGTCAAGAGTTTGTGAACAATGAGTTTTAATTGTTAATTAAGAATTTCATGAGCGAAGAAAATCGATAAATTGGACTGTCTTAAGCATATTTTTTGGTAGCTGTATAATCTGTAATAACACTCCAAAATGCCATGTGAGAGTGTTGTGTTACTGATAGAGAAAGAAACGGTTTTTGTTGCTATTTTTCCGGATGTTATAAATATTTATAAAACAGTCATTTTGCCTGAGTCGTTGGTGATTTTCTTCATGTCTTTCATTTCTCCATGAAATCACTAATAAGTGTGTTTGTGTCACTGTTTATATGGATTTATATTTGGAAGTTTCTTTTGCCTTTTGGACAGAAAATATTCGGTGAAAAAAATGTAGAAGTTCATCAATCATTTTCACCTCTTGTTTTCACACTTTGGACTCATGCAGAGACTGAGGCGAGTCACCATGAAAGAAAATTGCTACAAAGGAAATTGCAGAGCATATCACTGAGAACCAATTATTATTGTGATTATTCATTGTTTGAGGGATTTTTGTTGGTGAATAGAGAAAAAATTCTCCCAGACGTGAGAGTTGTAGAACGATACTGTTTATTTTATGAAAGTGTTTGTTCATAAATGAAAATTTTACGCTGATTGCGATTGTTTAATTCCGCGAAAACGTTGAAGAGAGAGAATCATGCAATTCCTCATGAGAGAAGAGTATCAGAAATAGTGTGTTTGTTTTTCTCATTCGTAATGATTTTTTGAGAAAAAAGTGCTGTATTTGCGACTGCAAATAAGAATGAGTGTTCTTTAAACACTCGGTGTAATGTTCTGCAAACAATACCTGGCATAATAAGGCGCCCTACTTTGTACTTCCGCTGGTTGGTGACGAGAGAGAGGAAAGCCGCAAAGTTAGGGAAAAAGTAAAATGTGATCTATATAATTGAACTGTAAAGCCAACAATTTGCCAATTGACGGTGTGTTTAATGGGACAATGAAAGGTGTATCAGAGGCTTGAAAACAGTCACAAAATCATGTATCTTTTTGTTCCAGTCTAGTAAAAGAAATACTGCCATCAAGAAAATCATCATGTGCCGCTTTCTATACCTACAGTTTTTATCTGTGGAACATGAAACAGGGTGAAATATATGCAAGAAGTTATCTTATTTATTAGATGAAACGAGAAATGCACACAAGATGATAATAAATTTGTTATGCAAAAGGCCATGTCAGCATGAGACAAAGATTAACATGAATTTTTTCTCTGTGTTATTTTTAGATACTAAACTGGTAATCTTCCATGAGTGATTCATTCCGGAGGAATCCTGCAGGGGAAATCTTCATGTTTGCCAAAACACAACGACATTATCAGTACTAAAACTCAGTGAAAAGTCATGGTCTGTCTCTGCGAGTATAAATTGAATTAGGAGAAAAGCCGCAATATTTATTGACACGCTCTAAAGGAAGGCGGAAGAAGACAGGAAATCAAGACTTTCTATGGCAGATCGTGCAATATTTTTATTCAGTTAAGATTTTTTACGAGAAACTGTGATCTTTGAGAGGCACAAAGCAGTTGAAGAGTTGAAGGTGTGAAGCATAATAGAACGAAGTACAAAGGCGCAACTCGAAAAGATGGAATTTCGATTCAATGTGACACAATATTTTAAAACACCTATTATTAAAGTTACCAACACACTTCTACCCAATGGATACTATGAGGATCGACGTGCTGTTCTGTGAGTAAACTACATACTCTGCTATTACAATTTATTTATGAACTCGAGAGACATGTGCTATATACGAAAATGTTAAGATATTTAGGTCAATTATTGAACTTTTCGAACACTTGGCGTATGAATTGATTTTTCCGCATTTTCCTTCTGCCTATCTTCGTCCCGATGACATATTCCCACGTGAAGGAGCACAATTTGTCGTCCTGAAAGATTGAACAGAGTTAAATATTGAAGCAATTTCTGATCTTGAAAATACATAATTGCTACGAAATTACATGTTAGTGAATAAAGAAGAGATTAACGATGGAAATCTTTCTACTCCACTTCTGTGCCTAATGTTTCAACATTGGAGGAAATCGTCATCCTTGAGGGAATTATAATATTCATTTCTTTAGTTTCTTTGCCTGTGCGCTGAAGGTCAAAGAAATATACATAAATTATTCCAATTAATTATGTATTTGCATCCGCTGGGAAATTCATCTTGTTAGGACATTCTGAGTGTGAATAATTCATCAAAATGTGTGGCGTCGTTAAAGAATAGTTTCCAGTGTTTGTGTTTTGAAATTGGTATAGAGCAAATTTCCATGGTTATGAAATATTTTTTAAGCAAATTATGCAAAAAATACAATTACTCTTTTTGTGTCAAAGAGAATCGCAAGTGAAAAGCGTCGCAATATTGTTCATGATGTGTGCGCGGAATTACCTAACTTCAATGGAACCATGATTAATTTCCAATTCACAGAGATTAAAAATAAATTCCAATTTTCACTGGAATGCGAAGTGTGAGAAAAATCAATTATACGTTCAGAAAGTGTAGGTGAGAGGAAGAAAGAGAAGAATTGAATGAATATTTTCGCGAGGTCACGGAAATCACACTTTCTAAATTCGAGAATGCAATGTAATCAGAAAGGTTTTGTTGACTTTGTGAAGTTCTTTAGCGTATTTTTGGCTTCATTGCTCCTATTTGAACGATATTAACACATTGTATGATCTCTTTTTACAGTGATGCCACGAGCAAAGTGTCGGAAATACTAAATGATATCGGAGAAGCTTCTGCTCAAGCACAAGGATTGACCAGGGCAGTGACAACAGCACAGAAACTTCGCAACTCCGACCATATTGTCTATCTCATGTCAGAGAAAAATGACAAAACGTAAGGAAAATTCATATTTTTCGCCTAATTAATGCTCCCCGTCAATTAAGTCATCGTCCTTTTTGCCTTTATTGACTCTCTCGACTGTAAAACTTTATTTCTTACCACATGAACATGCATTTTTCCATGGTTTTTTCATGTCCACCTTGTGACAAAATGCGGGTGTAAAAGTAAAACTTTCTTTTAGGGAAAAGTCTATAGAAGTTTGTGCTCGTGTTGTGCGGAGACGATGACTAATTTTTCACGTCCTATAGTTGATTTCTATTTCATTATTCCTGTGTTGATTTTCCCTTCCAAACATTGCGTGCGGGATTTTTTCTGGTGTTCTTGTTTCATAACAAAAATTCGCTTTCAATTGCGGGTATTTGCTCGCCTTTCTTCCTAACATGCCTATATTTATTCGTATGTTGTCGAGTATGATGTTGTTAAAGTTTCAAGGAATATTGCTTCTCCTCTCTTCATTTCACTTCTGCAATCTGTTGTTGGTTTAATTTTGAAATCAACACGAGATTTCAATTCCTCGGGAGACGCATGATGAGGAGGAAAAGTAATGGGTTTTTGCGTATGCGGAAAAGCCAGAGATTTGAGGCGCACTTTGACCGATTTCTTTCATGAGGTTGTTACACTCCATTTCCCAGGTGTGTTTCCCTCAAGTTTCCGTTGTTCTCCCCCGTCGCGCTAAAACTATTTTCTCCCCTCATTAATGGGCGAAAGTTCTCACGTGACTCAGGCACACTTGGTGCACTTTCCCACTTAAAAATTACCCATAATGTTTAGACTCACATTTTGCTTCTGCTCGCGGGGAAAAAGTAGGCAATATTGTATATTTCACTTTTCACCACAGGTCAAAGTTTGTCTCGAACTGTATCTCGAAGCTTTGAAAGCGGAGAACGAAGAAAATTAAAATTACACTCTCCCAGAGAGTCTCCCTGTGCTTTCGGGGAGAGTTTCATCGTAAATGGTAATTTTGTAAATGGAATAGTGAAACGCGATTTTCATATTAATTTCACATAATTTACTTAAAACATAGCGTCAATATAATATTATTAAAAATGATTTAATAAATCCCCCGGCACAGTCCAACACATACAAGACTATTTCGGTGCTTTACGGCTTTACCCACATATTTCACCATCGGTGGTGTGGTGCTGATATGATGGCGGGCATATAAGGCAAAATGTGGGCAATCAAGGGTGAAGGACAGAGTGCGATGAATGGTATAAATTATACCGACAGTAAAGTGGTATTTTGCAAGAGAGGAAGCTTTACGGAAAGAAAAACCATATTCGCATGCATTTTGCAAGAGAATTCGTCCGTGGAGAAATTCAGTGGAAAAATGAGGAAAAGACGATGAGTGTGGATGAAGAAGAATTCTTCATTGTGTATTGGCCAGATTTATGCCATAGTTTCTTGAGGAAAATTCCATTGCAGTATGGAACACGCCGAATGACCAGATTGTGTTTTTTCCTATCGCCATTTCAATAGGTTTTTCGCGTGTCAAAGTACTCGATGGGGTGACCGAAGGCTCCTTCTGTAGTCAAAAGAGAGTGCTTAAAAAGAAAAAGAAGACTGGAATGGTATAAAGGAACTTAATGTCTCCTTCTTTTGTTATCTCGGATTTCATTCAGGAGTGGAAGTCATGCTATAAATTCATATGTAACGTACTCGAAAGAGGGGCAATGTTGATGTTTAATTTGAAAAGTGCAGAAGAACTGCTGTTGGCATCATCCAAAGACTGGGGATCTTGTTGAAATGCCGGCAAAATTGAATTATAGATTTGTGAGGAAAGCTCTGCCGTGCCTCAATATTATTCTAGGCTTTCCATGAGTGAGAAATAGTATGAAATATGTATGCTAAAGTTGGGGAAGGCAAGCAAGAGGGAGAGCGAATGTGGTGGGATTTTGAGTTGGGTGCCTGAGGAAACACAAGCATGGGAGACACATAAAAATGTTATATTTCTTTTACAGTGGCGTCGTGACGGGATTGCTGAAGGTGGGCGTGAAATCCTTGTATGTGTTCGATTCCGATGGAGAGACGCACAAGGTGAACGCGCCCTGCGTCCTCGACTTCTACATCCACGAGTCGCGCCAGCGAGCTGGTCTCGGGAAGGTTCTGTTTCAGTACATGTTGGACCAGGAGAATTATCACCCGCAGCAGTTGGCCATTGACCGTCCGTCTGACAAGCTCGTGGGTTTCCTCAGGAAGCACTACGGCCTCACGCAAACCATCCCGCAGATGAACAACTTCGTGGTGTACGAGGGATTCTTCGATCACAACACATCACAGAGCAACTCTTCCATGGAGACGACTGGACTTCACTTCACTAACAGGTGAACTCAATTCTTATGCACTCACTTTTCCTTGTTGATTCTCCCCACATCGCGACATCCGCAACTAATTGGCCACAAGTGTGTGTGAATCAATTGCTCGTGCGAGAGAACATGAATCAATTAATCCACGTTAACAAGTGATTAATTTATTGCTTTCATCATCTTCTCTGATGTGTCTCACAAAGATCTATCTCACTTTCATTAACTGACCAGTCCTAACACGATGCTTTTTGGGCCGCAATTCAAATCCACCACGGCGGAGTTGAGGAATCAGCAGCCGAACGGAAAGTCGCCCATGCCCACGATGCCCAACATTGGAAATCTGCAGAACACGCCCGTTGGCCGCTACGCCGCTCAGAGGCCCAGATGTAGCATGGCTGAGGTAATTTCCGTTTCGCCTCGAGATGTGATAATGCAATCAGTGCTTGTCTTTTTCTTTTTGATTTGATTGTGTGTTCCTCCAATTTATTTCCTCGTCGACACAGACAGAGTTTACAGTGCGATGCGGCATATTTTTAGTGCTGATCAATATGATTTTTCCCAGTGCGCACAAAAGTCTTTCAGTGACAGAATGTTATATGCCATGAAATATTGTGTCTTAAGGCCTCTGATGCACATTGGAAAATTCACTTTCTTCTCCATGCAAATTTCCATATGAAAATCGAAACTCATTTCCATTCCAGTGTGACACAAAATTCCCAATTCCTACTCTCCGCTGTCGTCCATTCCCGTCGAACACTGTTTTCTCTCAGCTGAGTGTATTTTAGAATATCTTATCTAATTTAACACAGACTTGCGATGATGATTATTTGCTAATTAGCTAATATTTCACAGTCGATGCATTGAAATTGATGTTTGCTGCTCATTTAATTTAATTCGTGTGGCGTTTAAATAAAATTCAGACCATGAAAAACTCTTACATTTTCCTCAATTTGCTCTCTTTTGCAGATAATTCACAATAGTCCTGGCCGAGTTCCGAGCGAACCTCAGAGGTAATTATAAGAAAAGATAATTTGAGTAATTTTCTTGTGACATTATTTCCTAGTTGCAACTCCCATTTTTTAAACTATTATGTTGCGATACAGCATGTATATTTAATAAGTTTGTTACGTTGATTTTCCCCTCCTTAATTTATGTTTTTTCCGTATTTTTTGCAGAGAATTTTGATGCAATAACATGATTTGATAAATCACCCACACGTTCACTGTAAAGCAGTTCTTTTAAGTTAAATATTAGATATGAAATATACTACATAGTATTCAAGCAGCTTGCAGAAATGAGAGTAATTGATGCGATTTTTTTTTGCTGAAGAGACAGAGAATGTATTTGAAGATGTTATTATTTTCTCATTTACACCAATTTATAATTTAACGTCCGCAATTGCCGCCTTCTTTATCAATGATTTCTCATTTTTATACTTTATATTTATTTCATAGCACCTTCAATGTATTTATTTAATGTTCATGTGAGATAGAAAGCATTGTACAAAACGATAAATTAAAATAGATTTTGTTTGGTTATAGTGAAGAAAGTGTTTAATAATATAATTGTATTTATTGGAATCTCACATTGTAATGCGTGAGAAAAATGATTCTCATTTGAGAACCAAATCAAGGAGTAAATGTGATTTTTATAAGTTAGACTTGTGAGGTTGAGTGATTATTAAATGAGATGTAAACCGACACATTCCAGTAATTTGGGCTATGCGCTAGAGCAGCCCTACAAAGAGGTGCATGTTGATGAGGAACAGATTGCACCGCATGTTGTTGAGGTGGCGCAGGAACTGGCCGAGCTGGAGCTCCAGGAGCCAGCCAATGGCGACGATGAGGCGCCCCAGCAGCCGGAAGAGGGCTCAGACGAGCCGCCGCCTGAGGATTTCGCGGCGGAAGAGGAGGAGGTGAAATCTCCGGAGGAGGAAGTGACTGAGCGGCCAATGTTCCAGCGGCCGACGCACTTCCATCACAACAAGCAGCACACGGGCCTCAAGAACCTATCCTTCAACGTGGGCATGGCCGTGACGCCCACGGCGAAGATGGAGTTCGACCAGGAGGCGCCCGAGAGTTTCGGCGTGGTGAAGATCGGGCGGCCGATCGGTGGACTCAGGGGCAGTCCCGGCACCGATGCCGGTGACGCGGCGTCCGTGATCTCGGGCGGATCTGTCGGCTCACACGGTAGCGATCCAGGCTTTCTGGACTTGAAATTCTACCACAACAAATTGTGGTGAACTGAGAAAAGTGTCCCAGAAATTCTTCTCATTTGTTCTCCCTAAAATCAATGGTTTTTACACTGAATCAACGTGATTTGCTGATCTGTTTCTCAATTGATTTGTAGTTTATATTTAGTGTTGAATTGTTTATCACATGTTTTGTATGTTATAAATCATAATTGATAATCTTGAGAGAAGTTATATGAACATTTGAGCAAGTGTATCAGGCTTTTTGAGCGCTTTTTTACACACCTGTTAACATATTTTCCTCCCAGTTACAAGTTAATACCTGATAGAGCATTAAAATATTATACTAAAATAACGTAATCTTGTCGTTTTTGTATTTTATTAGATGAACACACAAATAATGCGATATTTACGTATATATACATATATAACATTTTTAGATATAAAGCATTATGCTGTTAAGCCCATTCACAACTATACAACAATTGTAGCCACAAATAAGATTGTAGCAGTAACTATATAGTTGACTTTTTTTGTTTTTTGTGTGAAGATATTTAATTTTTGATACAAACCTAGCTAATTTTGTTTTTTCTACAACTGTTGACGGAGAAACGGCAAAAGATATGATTTTTTGTGTCCTTTCAGTGCTCCATATGAAAAGATCTATCGTGATTTTATGCTTTAACCAAAATGATTAAGCGATGCTGAAGAAAAAAATAATAATATTGTAACCATGAATAGAATCACAGACATTGGAAAGTATAACTTTCAACTGAAGTATTCTGCTGAAAATTAAATTAATGCAATAAATGTTCCAAATGTTTCCACTCACAATGCAAATTTTTCAATTTTCCACCCTTTCCACCCCATGAGAAGAATGCGTGTTTGTGTGTGTTGTGTGTGATTTTTGTGGAATCGTCAAATACAATTTATTTGGAATTAGCGCATGAGCTATGCACAGTTGCGAAAGGCGTTGATAGGTGGCGCGAATCATCGATTTCTCATCGCGAGCAAAAATCTGCAAATCCCAGATGACCGACCAATATGTTCCAATTTGATTCTATTTGCAGAAAACAAGCGATTAAGAGACTGATTGTCCTTGAAAAATATTACTTTACAATTACATTTCAGAATGTGGTTGAATGTGTGAAGAAGAGGGAGATCTGTGGTCACATCGGAGGAATGAGTACGAGTATGAGTGCAGTAGTGACAACGCGTTGGGTGATGGCATGAAAGCGACGTGAGGCTGGCCAGTTGGGATGTTTCTGCAATGTCGACAGTGCTTCTCCAGAGTGTTTGGGTTCGGGATTTTCGCGGATTTCTGCTGATTCTCCCACAATAATTGTGTTAGAAAGTGAATGGTGAGCGCATGTGGATGGTGCGACGATGAATCGCGAGATGCACTACGAGGGATGGCTGGTGAAATCCCCGCCAACGAAGAGAATCTGGCGAGCGGTACGTCATTGTCCATTCGCCCAATGTTTTCCACCCAAATATTTACATCCTCTCGTCTCTTCCTTGCTCGCGGAAATCCCCAAATAATCTATATTCCGCACACGAAGAGCCCTCAATATGGCCAGAAGAGCAAATGCAAATACTAATAATTCAGGGCGGATTCCGCTGGGAGATTAGATGAAAATTTCCACTCTGCTTGTGTGTTTGAGGTGGACTTTATCGGCTATGACAGGGTCTGAAAAAGAGATCACTTCTTGGCCTGTTTCTTGGCAGTTTCTCAGAAGTGGGCGATTGTGGTGAGACACAGAATGCCGAGGAAGTGATAAGGCGCTGATAAAAGCGCCCTGGCCGAGGGGATTTTGGGGGACGTGTCCGGAAAAGCTGCAGCACTCGCTGGTCAATTGAGTGAAGGTCATTAATCCCTTGAGCACTCTCGGAAGAGGTCGCGAGTCAGTGTTGGCCAGCGAGCTGCTGAAGGTGACACAGAATTGTGAATTCTCAGCACCCTTTCAGCTGAGAGGCACGCAGGCGGAGTACAAAAAGCATCGACGGCATGGAGCGACTGCAAAGTGCTCGATGGGAATCATGATTTGATTGCAATCAAGGCGTCGATGTTATTTAATGCATTCTCCCAATTTGTCCTCAAACTCTCTATTCCACCTTTCATTCCAACTGCATTTCTCTCTTCTTTCGCTCTTCTGCAGCGCTGGCGACGGCGATGGTTCACACTGAAGCAGGGCGAATTTCCTGGTCAGTATTTTCTCGAGTATTATACAGATAAGAGCTGCAAGAAGCTCAAAGGCACCATTGATCTCGATGAATGCGAACAAGTGGACGCCGGGTTGTGTATGGAGAGGAAATTCCAGCATGTTTTCAACGTGAAGACGCCAAATCGCATTTACTATCTGGCCGCAGACTCGGATGAGGAGATGAGATTCTGGGTGAACTGCATCTGCAAGGTGTGCGGATTGCAGGACTTGTCTAAGACCACGGATGAGAGGCCATGTTAGTAATCTGCGCTCTATCACATCGACAATTGTTTGATTAAATGTCTCTTTGACTCTGTAGACTTCAACGTTGGTCTGGGATCCATCGAAGAGGCTCCACTGCCAGTCAATGTTGGCGTTGTATCGAATGACAACAGCCAGAAGACGCCAACGAGAAGCATTTCCACATCTTTCGAAGATCGCACATATCAGAATGACGATATCTTTGCAAAGAAGCGCACACTGCAGATACAGAAGTCCGCTGCCGAGGCCAAGGAGTCCTACTACAACTTCAGCGCCATCAAGGCTGAGGTGGACGCCACGGAGAAGAGGTCCAAGAGCGAGGTGCCGAGTGCGGATGTGCCAAAACACAGTCGCAGCCAATCACTCAATGAGGTGACTCACCGAGCGAGCGTGGCGACGGGCACGGTGCGCAAGATTCCGGAGAATTTGAAACTCACGGATGTGAGTCAGTCGCTGGGAGACTGCAGCGAACCGTCGCCATCACTGAGCACATGTTCTGGGCCCTACATTCCCATCAGCGAGTGCTTCTCCGGCAGCCCAATGCTGCTGGGCGACACCTCGGCCACGCCACTCAACAGCCTGGATCCGCGCTTCTACGACACTCCACGGAGTCACATCAACATCGGCCTCAATCTCACCGATGAGCAGCCATACTCGCCCAAGAGGAGCAACTGCGCGGTGAGACACTCCCTTTTCCCATTTTTGTAGTGAATCAGTTGATGAAGTGTTGTGTGCTTTCCAGGCAAATCGATCCCGAAGCGGCAGATCGAGTCCCAGTGATTCGGAGAGTGTTTTCACGGACGACGAGTGGACTCATCATGACTCTCAAACGCAGAGTCTCGATCGACGCGCTCGTCCGTCCGACAGTTCGGTGGAGAACGAGACAATTGGCTGGACGTACGTTCAGAGGTTCTCCAAGGTGCCCGACGATGTGCGCAATCAGAATGCCGGTGCGGAAGTGACTGATGTCACACCGCCGCGTCCACCGAAGCGCCACAGTGGACTCATTCTGGACGGCGTGAAAATTCGCAATCGTGATGTTCCTTCCTCGGACACGGACAACGCTTCGCCGGCCATCGGGCCGAAGGACAGTTCGTGTGACGTGGAGGAGAGTTACGATATCCCGCGATCGCACTGGCTGCCGTACTTCAGCGGCACGCGTGGCAACAACAACGTCCCTTCGCCCAAGCTCCTGACCGCTACACCGGACATCCTGACGTCCTCGACGCCAGATCTTGTACCGCTAGGCGACAAGATCGTCAACAACTCTCACTACTATACCAATGCGGCGCCAGTGAGGGTGGAGGGCAAGGTGTTTCGCTATGACTTCATGGAGCCAAGCGAGGCGCCCATTGTGAATCGGAATCTCAAGCCACGTTTCAACTCTGAGTCCAGTTCTGCTGATCCGGCATCTTTTACCGCGCCCAATGTGGACAGAAAGCTGAAACCGACCACGCCAAAGGTGAGAAATTGTCATCGCTGAACCCCTGAAATGTGTACTGAAATGCGACTCTTTTGCAGGTGGACACGAGGTCTCTGCCGCGGCGCAAGGAAGTGGCGCCGAAATTGCGCACCGGCGGAAGTGCGATGGTTGCTGAGGATGAAAGTGACGACGATGTGACGCCAACGAGCGAGCAGTTGCCTGCAATCGTGGCGAATACATTCCGCAAGGAAGACAAGCTGCAGTATCTCGACCTGGATCACTCAAGCACGCCGCAGAGGCATCCGCCGCGCAAGCTGAGCGCCTCCAGCATCGGGAATCTGTTCACCATTCAGCGGCCGCCGGAAGTGAGCGCCGAGGGGAGCGGAAGCGAGCGAGGCATTGTGTACAAGACGGTGGACTTCGTGAAGACGGAGGCCTTCAAGATGGTGCGCCAGGATGCCGAACAGAATCGAGCTGCAAACAGATCCAAGGATTAATTGGAATCAAGTGCAATTATGAGGTTTTATTTTGTTGAGTGTCAAGTGGCCTTAGAAACACGCAGGTATGATTTATTTAAGGAGATTCACATGTGTGAGGAGACGAAAGATTAGTCAATGCGTGATTGTGATGCCCAGGCAGGAGAAGTGTGTAGCAGAATAGTAGAATAACTGAGGCGAGACAATACAGAAAAGAGTCAATTATTGTGGACGGAAAGGCCTTAGGAAAACATCTCTCTCTATCAATTGGAAAAGAAGGAATATCGCTGTTAATAATTGCATTTTAAATGTTGTATTTTGGAAAATGAGAATCATTCTATTTTTTATATTGCGAATTACTACCATTTCCATATTAAGAAGTTTTATTATATTGTCAAGAACAAGAACAGAATAGCATTACTTTGTTGCCATAATCAACACATATTTTTTATGCGCACAACTACATATATTGTATTTACAAATGGTCATGTATTACAATTAAAAAAAAACTGTAGAGCTTCTAGATTGTGCTCCACGTTTAAATTTAATAAATGACTAAAAAGATGAGAAGATTTTTTATGAATGAAATTTACGCGGTACTTTTCCTGTGACGGCTCTGCCCTCTGGGAACTGGCGAAGGAATCGGTGGTTCCACGGAGAATCGGCGGCGCTGCTGTAAATTGTGGGTTTTGGTGTCAGAATTTCGACAGTCATCGGTCGTGTGAATGCGTGAAAACACCCTCTCACAGTCATAAATCCCGTGTCGCAGAGCCAGTAAAAGTTGCCCTTGTGTTCCAGTATGGATAGTAAATTCCCCCTTCACGCTCTCGTGCCAAAGAATGAGACTGGCGCATCAAATTTCCTCGCCAAATACCCGGAATTCGACGGCAGAGATGTGACCATTGCCGTCTTGGATTCCGGAGTCGACAGCCGGGCGAGAGGATTGCAGGTGAGGGATTCCTTTATTTTCACAAAGTGCTGAGCTAATCTTGTCATTATCTCCTCCGGCTGCCCTTGGACAGTGGCTGCCTGGAAAGGAAGTGAAGGTGATCGAGAGATTCGACTGCAGCGGAACAGGTGATGTGGACATGACAAAGAAAGTCACTGCAAATCAGGGAGTCATTGTGGGTCTCTCCGGACGGAATCTCAAGGTGAAGTGGACGGAGAAAGGGGTGAAATTGTGGCGACAATCTCATGAGCTTGGTTCTTGCAGGTGTCGTCACTCATGAAGAAGGTCAATGCCAATGGAGAGGAGTTCCGGGTTGGCCTCAAGAGCTTGTATGATCTCTATCCCACCAAGATTCGGGAGAAGATCATTGCGGAAAACAAGGTGAAGTGCTGGGATGAATCACACAAGACATGTGTGGCTGATGTGTGCAGGAAGTTGGAAGAATTCGACCAGAGTCATCCCAATAGTAAGTCTTTAGTCAGCTGTGATCCTTACAGTCTTCTAAAATAGATCTCTTTGCAGACGTCAACAATCTGCCGTACCGCGAGAAGTTGCGGAAAGAAAACCTGGACGCTTCTCTGGAGATGCTCAACTTCTGCGAGAAGAAGTTCACAGAATTCAAGACAACGTACGACTGCGTGCTCTTTCCCACTGATAAGGGATGGATGGCTGTTATTGACACGACGGAAACGGTGAGACGCTTGTGGTCAGCTAAGTTATACACGCGCTCAACGCAGTGCTTTGTGTGATCATTTTCAGGGTGATTTGGAGAATGCCGTTCATATCAAGGAGTACAGCGGAAACTATGATACCCAAGTCATTAACGAGTATCTTTCTATCTCGGTGAACGTGCACAATGGTGGAAACGTTTTAGAAATTGTGGGAATGTGCTGTAAGTCGGATGATTAGGGCAATTTCGGCCGGAAGTCTGATATTCACACTCTCTTTCTCTCTCTATCTCTCTCCATAGCGAGCCATGGGACTCACGTGTCGGCCATCGCGTGCGGCCACCAGCCGGACAACCGGGCGTTGGATGGCGTGGCGCCAGGCGCCAAAGTAGTGTCGCTGGCCATTGGGGATGGTCGTCTGGGGTCCATGGAGACGGGCACCGGCGTGGTGCGTGCCATAATGAAGATCATGGAGTTGTGCAATGCGGGGCGGCGGATTGACGTGGTGAATATGAGTTACGGCGAGCACGCTCACTGGTCGAACGCCGGCCGTATTGGCGAGCTGATTGGCGAGACGGTGAATAAGTACGGCGTGATCTGGGTGGGGTCGGCAGGCAATCACGGGCCGGCGCTATGCACCATTGGCACCCCGCCGGATATCAATCAGGCGGCGTGCGTGGGCGTCGGCGCGTACGTTTCGCCCGACATGATGGAGGCGGAATACGCCATGCGGGCCAAGTACGGCGACGTCTACACATGGACATCGCGGGATCCATGCATAGACGGAGGCGCTGGCGTGACGATTTGCGCTCCCGGCGCTGCCATAACTTCCGTGCCAGAGTTCACGCTGTCGCAAGCGCAGCTGATGAACGGCACGAGCATGGCGGCGCCTCACGTCGCCGGCGCTGTGGCCCTGTTGATCAGCGGCCTGAGGCAGCGCAAGATCCCATACTCGCCATACAGTATCAAGAGAGCGCTCAGCAACACTGCCACCAAGCTCAAGACCGTCGATCCATTCGCTCAAGGGAGCGGCCTTCTTAATGTGGAGCGCGCTTTCGAACACCTCGTGGACAACTGCAAAGAGGCAGAAGTCAACGTGAGATTCAACATCAATGTGTCCAATAACAACGCCAAAGGGATTCACATTCGCCACGGGGTGCTGAGCAAGCCGGAAGAGTTCTCCGTGAATGTCGAACCGGTCTTTTTCAATGACAAAAACACTGGTGAGTTTTGTGCCTTTTTGAGTAATTGATGATTCATTACTGGTGGCTTTTTCAGCTTCAAGTGAGAAGATTGCATTTAATGTGAGACTTGTCCTGACGGCTTCCGATGAGTGGGTGCAGTGTGGGAAGTTCCTAGATCTCTGTTATTCTGCCAGATCATTCTCAGTGCGTATTGATCCGTGTGGACTTCGCCCGGGCGTTCATCAATCCAGGTAAATCCATAAATCCTCCAAGGATGGATATTGTAATTGACTCCTTTTCCTCTTTCAGCGTAAAGGCGTACGATTCGAAGAACGTGGACAAAGGACCAGTGTTTGAGGTTCCGATTACAGTGGTGCAGCCAATCGTTGTTGGGCCTGATCAGCTGTTCGTGCATCGCATACCTGAGCAAACTTATTTGCCGAACACAATTGTGCGTCAATTCATCTCCGTGCCCAGATATGCCACATGGGCTGTGCTGAAGCTGAAGGCTGAGGACAATGTTGGGGGCAAATTCTTCGTGCACACCGTGCAAATATTGCCGGCGAAATACTGCAGAGCTTTGGAGACCCAGAAGATTGTGTCTGTTTGCAATGAGAGCGACACTCTGCTGCCATTCAAGTGCGAGGGTGACAATATTCTGGAGATTTGCATTGCCAAGTATTGGTCGAATTTGGGACAGACAAACATCAGTGCGAGTGTGGAATTCCACGGGATTTACTCGGCCAATGGGAGTGAGTTGCTGATTGTACACAATTGTGTTGAAATACTGACGAATGTCTCTTTATTTATTGCAGATATAATGCACGCGGCGAATGGAATTCATCGAATTGATATCAGAGCGTTGAAGGTGGAAGAAATTCTGCCGTCGATTTGCCTGAAAAATGCTGTTGCTGTGCTGCGACCGACGGAATCGTCAATTACTCCACTCACAGCCCGCGATGTGTTGCCGCCCAGTCGACAGATCTACCAGAATGTCCTGACGTACAGCCTGAATTTGACAAAGCATCAGGAATTCTCTCTTCACGCGCCACTGTTCAGCAATGTTCTCTATGAGAGTGAATTTGAGTCACAATTCTGGATGATATTCGACAAGAATTGTATGATGGTTGGATGCGGAGATGCGTATTCCTATAGGAACTTCATCAAATTGGAGAAGGGAGAATATACCATTCGTCTTCAGGTGAGAATGGAAAATTTTACTGATGTTTTAGAATGATTTCTACCAATTTTTTGTTTGTAGGTTCGGCATGAGAAGAAGGAATTACTGGAGAAGGTCTCTGAAGCCACTATAATAGCTACATTTAAGCTGCCGTCAAGCATTTACTTGGACGTGTACAAGAGCTTCGGAGCAGCTTCCACTGGTGGGAAGAAGATTGCTGCATTTCAGATGAGTAACAAAGCGCCGAAGACAATTTTCGTGACTCCGTTGACAAATGAGAAGTAATGTTTTATGTTTGATATGCCAAATAACTTTGATAATTATGCTTTAATGTCGTTCTGTAGGATTACAAAGGCTGGCTTTCCCAATCAATGCGCCTGGCTCGATGGCACTGTGACTTATTCCAAGGATGAGCATGGCCGGAAGGTGGACAGTGTGTCCTTCCAGTATAATTTGATCGAGGGAGCGCCCGTGAAGAAGGCCAATGGGGTGCCGAAGGAGAACAAGAGCAAGTTGGAGGAGTACAAAGAGGGACTGCGCGACTATCAGAACGGAATGATTCCCAAGCTGGAGCTCACGGACGCTGAGGAGATCTATCAGGAGTTGATTACAAGCAATCCCAAATACCTGGCAGCTCACGTTTCGCTGATTCAGAATTTGGAGACGGCAGAGCCGAAGACGCAACTGCCGCACGCTTACGCATTGGCGCTGGAGAAGATTGAGGACAAAAAGCCACTGAAGGCGACGCTGAATCGGATCATTGACTTGGCGGATCTTGTCATCAGAGAGACTGACGTGGAGGCGCTCTTGAGCTACTATGGCATCAAATCCGACACGAGACCTGATGCGGCGAAGATTAAGGCCAACATGGACAAGCAGAAGGCTGTTCTGCTGGAGGCTTATCAGAAGAAGATCATCGCCATGGGGAAGCTGCACGTAGCGACACCGACGCCTGATGACTTGGAGGAGATTCTAACGGAGGTGGACGAGGTGTTCACGGGAATTGCGAAGTTCAGCGACGTGAACGATGCAAAGTACCTTCCGGTGGGCATTTGGCATGCCTTTCTGCACAAACACTTTGGCCGCATGGGCAAATATCTGCACAAATTGTACGAGGAGAAGCAACAGAGGGAGATTCTGGAGGAGCAACTGCGAGTGTTCAGGGAGCTCAATTGGAGTCATGTTGAGAAGGTGATCGACCGGATCATCGTGAATGCTAATCCACAGACGTACAGACTGTTCTAAGAAGGGATTTGCAGTCCCTTTTAAGTTTTACAATTGAATTTATTTTACATCTTGACATTTACACTTGTTTAATGATGACTGTACAATTTAAGTACTTCTTCATAGGACTATTTTCGTTTAGTCTAATGTCTTTCTTATTCAGCGAGATTCTCTAAATTTAATGTACACCAATTAGTGGAAAATGAGAGTGATTTTCTGATGAATAAAATTATAACGCAATTATTTGAATTTTCTGTACTAAAATCCTCATGGCAGATCGCAGCGCCAATTAGTCGATTGTGGCTATTGTGTTAACCTCTTAGTTGTCATTTGATTTGTTGTGTCTGCTGCTGCATATACATTTTTCTGTGAAAAGTGAGTGAAAAATAGCATTTTATCAGCATGGCTTTGGCTATGCAGAAGAGGAACAATGTAAGGCTTCCGCCGGAAGTGAATAGAGTGCTGTATATCAGAAATTTGCCGTATAAAATCACGTCGGAAGAAATGTATGATATTTTCGGGAAGTACGGAGCCATTCGACAAATCCGAGTGTGAGTATTGTTTATTGCAAAAATAATCCCTTAATCATATGGAAAACCACTAATTAAGAATGTATTATTGCAGAGGAAACACCCCAGAAACCCGTGGAACAGCTTTTGTGGTGTTCGAGGATATCTTTGACGCAAAAAATGCTTGTGACCATCTTTCCGGATTCAACGTTTGCAATCGATACCTCGTCGTGCTGTACTATCAATCAACAAAGGCTTTCAAGCGCGTGGATGTGGACAAGAAACAGGAGGAATTGGACAAGATGAAGTCCAAGTACAACATAAGTACTGACGAGCTGAAGAAGTAGGCGTCAAAGGAAACATTCATTAATTCTCATCTTCATACATTTCATCCCATCACCAAATCATTGAATAAAAGACCAAGAAAATACAGTTTTGCTACTTCTCGACGTACTTCCGGATGGTCTGGGTGAGTTGATCGATTCCCGACTGATTCTCCTCGTTGTAGTAAGGAAGGTCTTTCATGCGGTGAAACCAAGCGAACGTCCTGGGCCATTTCGTCTCCTCGAGAGGCACGAACAAGTCCACTGTCGACAGTGTTGGGAGAATTGAGAAGTCCGCCAAGGTGATCTGCAAGGGAGTAAGTGTGAAAAGGACTTTTAAATACAATATGCAGGCAAAAGCACTAACGTGATTTGCTGCCATGAAGTCCGTTTCGCTGAGGAACGTTTCCAAGTGCGAAAAGCACTCTTGGATCTTCTCTCGATGATGAGACACTTCGACACATCTCTTCCGGAAGATCTCGCTCTGAAAGAAATATGAAATGGGTTGGGAATTGTCTTAGAAGTCTTGAAGGCTTCTATTCTCACCAACATATCACTGTCGCGACGAAAGAAGAGGCATCCGTTGAAGAAGAGTCTGTTGACTATCTTGTAACGCAAGGTTTCGTCCTTCGGGAACAAAGAGGAGGATTTTCCGTACTTGTCGCACAAGTACATGAGAATTGAATGACTGTCCGTGAGGATGAGGTTTCCATCCTTGAGCACAGGAACCGTGTGGAGAGGATTTAGCTGATAATAGAATATAGGAAAGACTGTTGAATTCCCTTTGTTCGTCTGCATAAGAGAAAGTTTCACCTTGATAAAGTCTTCTTGGTGATTCTCGCGCTTCAACAGGTTTACAAATCGCCTCTCAATGTCCACGTTGAGCTCTCGGATGAGCAGAAAAACGCTCCTCACGGGCGGACTGATGGGATCACAGAAGAGAACCGGACGCATTCTCGCTCTGCTATTGACTAAGTCTTGACTCTCTTCTGTGAACAAATATTTGCGCCTTCGTCTCGACGATCGCGCGCGGCTCATTTGCGATGGTGATTTTTCTACCTAAGCAATTCAAGAAGGGATCTACAATTCGATTGCCTCGACATGTTTCCCGTCTCTCTCTCTCTTCGTGGTGAAAACCGAAAACCACAAAACTCTGAAATCCAATGCTCCAGAATTGCAGGGATGAGTAAAACGACTCTTGAATGGTGTCATGATTTTTTATGCATTCCATCTACTGCTTTTAATTAAATTATTTAGATATTATTAAAATTTTACACTAACATTAACTAAATTGTTTTTACCTTTATCTAGAGTTATTTTTTTATTTCATATATGAAATCTTTAATATCGCTTTTGTATATATTTAAATTATGTACATTTTAGTGCTTCTGTTTTGCGTTCTCTCTGATATTTTTTTTCTGCTTTAAATTCTCAGTTTAGTTCAATTTAGTATAATTTGCATAAAAACCACTTATGAAATCTCTCATACATTTATTTACATGGTAAAATTTTCTGGTTTTTTTTCTCATAAATTCCTCTCGCATAAAATCATCAAATTTTCCCCAAATTTATGTTTTCATATAGTAAGTTTTACAAAAAAAGTGACAATTTTGCTTTATAAAATTTCTTAAACATCGAAAAGATTGTTAATTTCAATTTCTATAGTGTTAATATTTTTTGTTGCTTTATACGATCAAAAAGAAGATCTTTAAGGCCTTTCATGTTAAAAAAAAGAATCATTATCAATCAAAGAGAATCTAAAAATGGGCATCATTCAACGATGCCTCTTCACGCTGCTCTCTTCACGAAGTGTGTAGCTCTATTGCACGCCACTCGATGTGAGTGGATTGCGCTCTTCTCTGGCCAATGCAATTGCCATGAAATATTAGATGGATGCAATTGATTTATGCATGTTGGCTTTCTCTATGGCACATTCCAGTGCTGCCTGAATATCACTGTAAACCGGAATTCCTTGCCTCTTCGCAAGATCGATTAAGTAGTCACGGCCTCTGTTGTAATCTTTGATAGCCGCGGGAGTCAGCTGTTGAGAGAGAGAAGGAGAGAAAGGATGATAATAACATTTTAGCTTCAAACAAAATCCGGATAGTTAATGTTCTTAGTTAATATCAAATGATTCTCAGGCGCACAGCATTGAATTCTAAGCAGAACAGAGTTGGGCTATAAAACAACAACTTCCACACCTTTTTAGGAAGTTCACATTGCTGACAAATGAGTGTCTCACACAGAGCGTGATTCGTGTGTGAAAAATCCCAGAGAAGAAAGCTCCGTGATCGGATGAGAGATGAGAGTGATGTAAGATGATTAAAAATTCATACAAAACCCATAAATTAAGCAATAAAATTATTTACATAGACAAATGCTCAGGTGGACAAAGGTTACAAACTAAAAGTCACTACAAATTTCCACATTATTATTACTGGATGTGAAACATATCAATTTGCCGAGTGACGCCACACGATCGAGAGGTCGCGTGAGATGATTAATTGACTATTTTATTGGATTTGTTTGTCATTCGCTGTGATCTCACACTCACCCTTTCATTCCCAATAATACTGTCCACCAGCATCTGCACGCACAGCACAACGTCGTAGCCCAGGCCGATGTAGTGCGCCGCCAGGGTCATCGGGGCGAGAGAGCGCGTCTCGTTGGTGATGACGAAGAGCAGGACGCGACTGGAGTCCAAGAGGGTGGGATTGAACAGTGGCTCGTTGATCAGATGCCCCACAGATTCGTCCTCAGTCGGCGTCTCGGGCAGCAGAGTGTTGTACTTGAGTCTCTTCTCCGGCATCCCGACATCCGCCACGAAGTGATGACCCTCCTCGGGCAGATGGTACGTCATGCCGCGCGTCTTCAGCACTGGAATGGCGTAATCCTCCCGCCAGCGCGACCTCCGCATGCAGCTGCCACCCAGGAAGATGTCCCGCATGTCGCTGCTGCTGTCCGAGCTGCTGCTCTCGCTGGACGCCGCATCGTCCGAGAACACCGAATCGTTGTCCTCTTCATCGTCCGCGCGGCGCTCGAGCTGTCGTGTGGGAAACTGCGGCACGGCCGACGACGAGTCCCGACCCACCAGTGACGATCCCGAGGACTCCTGCGGCAGCGGCGAAGATGTGCCACTGTCGCGCTTCCGCTGACTCTCGCGCGACACGCTGGGCGCTGACTTGAAGCGCAGCGTGTACAGAGGCTCTCCGCTTCTCATCATCGCCTCGCTCTCCTCGCCATTTCCACTCGTCACCAGCGGCGATGATGCCTCACGATTCTTGTGAATCCATTCTAGAAGGAGAAAAAAACAGTGATACACAAGAAAATTAGCGGTCTTTTCCTCTCCATCTCTGTCATGAGAGGTTTCACACTTTTCGCCCATCCTCATTACTATGCGTGGCCAAAGAAAATAATAAGAAAAATAGAGGAATGAGCGGCTCAATATTAAACTGGATATCTCAGGGTTTGAGATGAAGTTTCGTGTTGGACCAAAGCAGAACTTTATTCTAAGATTTTTTGCCTTATTTCTCCACTCAAAAATGCTTCTTAATCTGAAAAATATCTTTACTGTTTTCTGACTGCATTCTTTATAAAGACCTCAATAAATTAGTATTTGCAATTGCCCAGCTTTCCCCTATATGAAAAATATCTTCCATGGAACATAATAAATTAACATATGTAGCTTTTTTGACAATCGCACGCAGAAAAAGAATATTTTAATTAATACATAACGTTTTAAAATTTCTACAATGCGAAAACGCCAAAAGTCGCGTTACTCATGATTCTGGAAGAGATTCATCAATTGTGATTTTTTGCTCACTGCAGTGGATGCTTTCACGAAACGTTCTTTACACTCAATATCATGAGAACAAAGAAATTCACAATCGACGAAAGATTGATAAGAATTCTCAATATCTTGACTATTTTCGCGAGATTGTGTCATCTATCTGTGTACAACCCCCCCAAAAAAGCCCCACGATAAGACTCTCTCGATGTTCTCGATTATAAAAGTGATTGATATAATACGAACGTGACCTAAAATTATCTCGACAGTAAGTACAAAATATGGATAATTTCAGCGAAAGTCTTTAAATAGATCATTACACTAAGCTATATATTTCTGTACAAAGCCCGCATATGATTAAAGTGAGATGTCCAAAGACAGAATTTTCTCAGTTTGAGGAGAACGAGAAAAAAGTACTGAGATGCCAATGCTTTTCTCTCATTGAAATTTTTGGGTTGATGCTTTAGAGTTCGTTCACCATGTTCTATAAAAGATTCCATGACTCACATTCATGGTTAATTTACTTTAATGTGCAAACATTGCATGATTTCGTGTCCTTTCCGTCTTCTTAAGTGCGCTCCACTGCTTTGCCATGACACGTTATTATTCAATTGAGATCAAGGTGGCAGAGGATATGCGAACAGTGCTAAAACTCTTACCATAAAAGTTCTTGCACGATAAGTTTTTGTATCATGCATGCCAATCAGAAGAAACGTTAAACATTAGATCATCATCAAAACGATCCGGAGGTTAGAGGGTAAAAGATATCAATTTCGCGTTTATTCAATCATTAATCACACTTTTACCGTCCACCACAAATTACTACGGGTTTCCTATTGTCAATATTTACAGCTAATCTGCGGTTCTTTTATGGTAAAACACCTTGATATCAGGTTAAATAAGGGCTACCGGAATACTAAACAATTTTGTCTACTTTCAATAAATGCGACAATTTCCGTCACATTTCAAGGTGTCTTCGGCAGTATTATTAACCATCTATTAGTGTTTTTTTTCTCTCTCTCGAATTGTCTCACTATCGAGACAACAATAAATTTGGCTCTGAAACAACAGCGAGAAGGTGGAGTTCGTCTGTTGATTAACATAAATCTTTGAACTTGGAAATAGCAGCGCTTAAGGAAGGAGTGTGCGATGGACAAAAAATGCCATCACATCATTAATTCATATTAGTCACTGCTATTTTATATCTTTTCTCACAAATTCCATCTATTAAGACAAGAATGAACTCACACTGAGTTCTCCAAAGAGAATTTTAATTCACTGAAATCATTCAATTTGAATATCGTTAAGTAAAAATTATAATTTTTTCGCATAAACCAACAGTGAAAATGCTTAATTTCATGTATACCTCTCTTGAGCACAAAATCACTGAAGAATTCCACAAAGGCGTCTCGAGACGCTCGCCAAAATCCATGCAATTTGCTTATCAGTGGCGAATGAATCCAGAAGTCTTGTTATGCACAAAGATAGTAAATTAGAAAAAGAACCGCATGAAAATTAGAGAAAAGGGAAAAAAAAATTCAAATTATATACTTGTTGAACTGTAAAAGGCTCGAATTTAGGAAGATATAAATTCTCAGCGCATTAACAACTTGCTATTAAGGTTAATTGGCGAAAATATCGCTACACCTTCCTTCTGATATGTTGCAATTTTCACACAACAACAACAACAACACAATTTCCGAAGGTGCGCCGTCATTTTCGTCTCGAGGCTGCCAAAAGAGGATGATGATATCATGCAGGAATTGCACTTACCGGGTGTATTTGTGAGAAAGATCGGCGGCGGCGGCAAATTGGTACCTTTAATTGGCGACACACACGTGTTCTCATTAATCTCTTGCTGCAGAACCGACAAGTACGCGGCAATGACGCAGAACTCCTCGAAGTTTATGTACAGCACACCCTTCATCTCGCCACCGACACGACGACTCTGCGTCTGGTGATGATGATGATAGACGTGCCGCTTGAAGATGGACTCACTTTTCTTCTGCACATCACGGTTCACCGTCACTATTTTCCGGATGTTCTCTTGGGTGATGATGCTATTTGTGTAGCCCAGGTAACTCAGTGCAAGCTGGCATTCATGTGTTGTGATCTCATCCACACTTGTGGCGCATATGCGATCAAATGCACGACGCACGGAGCTGCATAGAAGAGAGTGTGCAATAAAATTAATATACTCTCTCGCAGCAATTCTGTATCAATTACAAACTGTACGTCATGACTTTTTATGGCAATCAAATTGAGATGTGAAGCGCGCGAGCATTGGCGTGAGATGAGAACAACAATAATAATAATAATAATAACTCACATTAATCTTGAGGCAATATTTGACGGTGGACTCCGACCTTCGTTGCCCGACAAAATTGCCTTTGTCCGCTGCAAACCGGAAGGAATGCTATCAAGAATGGGCAAACCTCGTCTCAGCACAAGTTCCCGCAGCAGATTCTGATTTCGCGTCAAATCAATATACTCTCTGTGGGCAAACAGAAACGAAAGAAAGGATGTTGAATCGCACACACAAATTATGCTTCATTACCTAATAATCCTCAGTCATCTTTCCCATCGACATTTGTTGCGTGAAAAATTACTTGCAAATGTGTGTATTTCCAAGGTATTATCACCTGGAGAACAGCCAATTGTAATATTTCAAGCAACCACTGTAATCGAATGTTGGAGTCTCTCCAGACATTTTCACAATTTTTTGATAATCTCTTCGATAAACAATTACTGTCTAAACAATGTGTCAATGCAATTAGCAGCTTTTTTCTTCTCTCACTTTGAACTTTACTGTTGATTTTGTGAAAAACCCGTTGGCAAATCGCACAACAGTGGCGGAAAGCATCAAATTGAGCACGTTTCTCAAATTTACTCCACACACTTCAAATTGAAGAAAAAGTGAAGACAATTCTCACAAAGCCATTTTACAATTAGGAAGATACCGCTGGACTTTATTTTTAGAAATTACCCAACTTTAACAGTAACAGCGATCAACCTTCGCACAATTAAACTGTCGTCTTATAAATTGATTGGGCATCAATGAAAAAGTCTCATTAAAAACGGCACTTGACTTGCTTATCGCCCAATTCAAATCAATCTTGCGAAAAGAGGCAATAAATTTGCATATCTTATTGAACTGTAATTGAATATCACACGAAATACAGCGGTGACATAATGCTCAAATGTGAAGTCATGATGCCGTTTTTTGCTCCCCAAAACATTCTGTCAGCTTTTGAGGCACTCACAAGAGATCAAGCGAGAGAGACAGAGTCACTTACTGCGTTGAAATGGGTTCATTGAGGATCTTCTGGTGCGGCTTATATGGATGCAACACCAACACTAAATGCTTCGAATTCTGTCCAGCGATGTGAGCCGCCTCGATCGCCCCCGCAGACGCCCTCGTCTCTGAATCGATGACGAAGAACAGCACGCGCGCCTTCTCCTTCGCGCGGTGCTCCAATTCAATGAGATCTGGCGTCCAATCTGACACCTGTGGGTTGTAGAAGGAGATCCCGAGCTTCTCGAGTGTCGGAATGGCCACATCGGCGCGCCACGTGGTGGGATTGCACGAGCCGCCGAGGAACACCTCAGGGCCGCCACAATCTGCGCCCGCCGGCGCCGCCTCGCTGCACTTCTCAGCCGCTGCTGCACCACTTCCTAATATCAATGACGGGCAGTCACTGGCAGAACACTTCTCCGCCGCACTATTGGTACTTTTTAGAGAGCCTACAAAATCACCTCCATTGACCTCACTGTCATGATTACTCATCACGCTGCATGTCCTGCAAAAGAGACCGAAGCGATAGATGTTAGCTAAGTGAATTTGGAGCTCTGCCGGTCAAGAGTTCACTCGAGGAGAGACAGATTGATCAATTAAGAGGCTGTGAAATTGTAATTAATATCCATCAGGCGAGCAAACAAGCCGCAAAACACTTTATGACCAATTTTAGCAAATACACTCTCTCGCTCAGTTTGCAGATTCATAATAAAATACAATCACGTCACTTAAGCACAATTTTATGTGCCACTCGCATTGAGTCCATTAAACTCTTCTGTCATTTTTTCCTTCCTCTCATTATTATTATCTTTTGTCTACCCCTTTTTTGCCCTCCTTTTCCAATATCCAGCCATTTAGTAAACTTTATTCAATATCATCGCATTTAATCGACTCCCTCGGCAAATTACATCAAAATATTACCGCCATTGAATGAAGGCCCGAGAGCGAAGACTTGAGAAGTCATTAAACTATAATTTCATCGCAAAGCAAAGGAGGAAAAAAACACACAACAGCCTCTTCTTGTAAATTGGCTCAAAGAGGAATATCACAAAGAAAATGACCGACCGAGTGAAATCCATGAGATCATTCGATTAAAATAAATTTCACACGCAATAATTCACTAATAAGCAAAGATGGATGGAGAGACTGAGAGGCCTTTTAGTATATAGAAAGAGCTGCTTGTGACCTCTTTCTATGCTCTTCTGCTTCTCTCTTCCATCGACTCCGATGATCTAATCAGTGTCAATCGATTTGGTGGCAAAGAATGTCTCTTATATGGCCATCAACTCACCGAAAACGCCGAAAATCCGCCAAGAGTACACAAAATTCACCAAACGTTAAGCCATCTAAATGCAATCGTCCAGCACCATTCTCCAAATTGCACCGCCGAGCAAATTGTTTTGCCGTCTGAAGCATATCATTAACTGTGGTTGGAAGAAAATCCAATTAAATGTCACATTAAATCACTCGATAATCACATTTCCTCACCTTGTTTATCCGTAGGTGAAAAGTTCAAATCACTGAAGAGTTCAAGAACACGATCTCCAGGAACAATTCCACATGATTCTCTACTTCGCCAGGAATTGAATGCCTCTCTGCAATGATAGAAAGAATGTTTGAATGAACTCTTAACCTCAACGAGAAGCTAATGAAAAAAATAAACAACATTTGAAAGAAGAAAATGTGTGCAATTTATTTATTATCTATTTACGTGTGACTCAATTGAGATGAGTGATTTAATAGAAGTGTCTTCCGCAGAATCTCCCAAGAAAATCTACAGTATAATCGTAAAAAAAGAGAAGCAAATGTGCAAATCAACCTACAAACAGTTAATTTGTCATCAACTAACTATGCGAATTGTGTTTATATCATTTCCATTCCATCATTTCCCCATTGTATTTGTCTCAAACATTGTCAACACATGAATCTACCACGCTTTATGCTCGCATTAGATGAACAGCACAAAAAACTACCGTCATCCTCAGTCCAATTGTAAAATTGTGAATGAAGGCAAATTAAAAGGCATTTGTGATTCATGACCTACGACATCATATCTTTACATTGACGTTTGCACACAATATTTGTTGTTTATATGTTCCGAATGCCAAGTTGCTCTGTGCGAAATGCATCACGAAACACATAATATATTCCCTGTAAATATGCACTGAAATTTATTTCTGTGCTAAGTGAGAAAAATGCCCGAGAGCGTGTGAATGAATTTCTCCAACCACCCCACAATATTTCTCTCCCCGTGCATTCTGATTGCATTTCACACTTAAGTGCCCGTCAGACGGCACAAATAAAGAGCGTAAATGGGTTGAGGACATATTTTTAATGAAAAGTGAGAAGCCAATAAATTCCTATAAACGACAAAATAAATCATATCCTCTTAACTGAATTTTAAAAACGGCTCCTGCTTTCTTTCTCTTTCTCTCTTCATTCCCCTTTTTACTCTTGCAACATGTCACGATTAATAAAATTATATTTATTGATTCTTCAGATGTGAAGAAGACGCAATTTTTCAATATGTTTCGTCTGTGATAAATTGGCAAACAATCTGACGATGAATAACAAAAATTTGTCGATGAATTGCTTCACGCAGTCAAAATCTCTCAACTTTGGCCAGAAATTATTAACCGAACTAAATTGTAAATTAAGCTTAAAGCTAGACGATGATATCATCGTGCAGTGAATCGATAAATATACATTTTCGTTTTTTGTGTGTTTTCATTTGCCTCCCGCTTCACCTCAAGCACACTCTCAATCGCCATTCCCTCTTCTCTCAGGTCATCAATTCCTCAAGATCACCAAACCGCACTTCAATTAACAAGAAAGATTTATATATTCCAGCGAAGAGTTCTCTTGTCTGATTCTCTGCATATTTTGCACCTTCCTTCTTCCATTCACAATCAACTCTTTTATGAGCATTCTCATTTTGCCCTTATTGTCAAAAGCAAGACGAATTGCCACGTAAAGTAAACGGCCAACACGCAATTATAGTGGCTGACATCATAATTCATTGTGGTTTGCTTGCTCGTGATATTATTTTAAAGAATTTCCTTTATTCCAATAAACAGATGAATCGGAATTGAAGTGTGAAGCAAGTGATGATGTCAAGAGTTCCTACTGAATAATAAAGAAAATCATCCGTTCGCGCATGAACTAATTCGGTTACCATCGAACAAGGAAACCAATCGATAAATCAAATTACAAATAGACACACCATAAAATTATATTACTTCTCATATTATTGACAAAGCTGCGTCTGACCACCTTGAATGTAACATCGAGTTAATAATTTACTCATTCTTCGCCACAAAGCTCAAGCATTCCTTCGATAAAACACGCAGCTTTTGCAACTTATTTCATACTAAGACCTGAAACTTACAGTATTACTCATAACTTTGCACCTCTTTCACACTTTGGCAATGTTAATGAAGAGACGAAGAATTTTATAAACTCCGTGAAATGTTTCACACTCTGAATTGAATGTTTAAATGCTAATAAATTGAACATAAAAAAAAAGAAAATTAGTGTGTTTAAAAATAAAAATTAGTCACTTTCTTTCCACAATCGCTCACTTCTTCCGTTCAGGTGATGATGCTAGCATTAATGATGATGATGATGTAAAGGTCAAAATTCTCTTTTCGAAGATACACTTTTCCACATTATTGACTAACTAATTTACGTTGAACAACTTCCGCAATCTCCTCATCAGATTTTCTATAGATACACAACTCAATGTGCGATACTAATACTCATCTATTCTCATCATCGCAAACCCATGAGGAGTATAAACACACAATCATCCACCCACAATCATGTAGACAAATCAAACTTTAGCATCATGTCTGAGCGGAAGCATCAGTGGCAAACGTCATATTATTAGCACTGTGCGCGAGAAATGCCTTTCTTCTCGCTATTTCACCTTTATTCTGCCATTTCCAAACTCAAAATGTTGCTACAGTTGATTTTCACCACCACTTCATGTGCAAAATGGTATCCTTGATATGGTAAAAAGTTATTTGGTCGAAGGAAAATTGAGAAATTGTGCTTGAATAGTAGTAAAACACAAAATTAGACAGGTTTGTGTTTTGCAATGTCTCTCAAAACAGCACTAGAACGCCCTCGCGAATCTCCACTCTCCTCCCGTTTCTTTATTTAATAGCCTATGAGCTAATGTCTCTTTGGCTGCGCTATATTTAGCTTTCCCGCCAATTTTCCTTTAACATTTTAGCTTCCATTATGAAGATATTATGAATATTTAGCAAATATTTCGTATGGCTTCCTCGTCGCTATCTCTCTATCTTCTTTTTGACAATTTCTCGCTGACTATTTATTGAAATAAATTGCTTTGAATTTGATTTATTACTGCACTGCATTGTTGGAACAAGTTGAACTTAATTTAGAAGGCAAAAGGTACAGAGAAACCGACAATAAAATGTGGGTGTTGGCTTATGGTTAATCTTTAACTCCATTCCATTCCACCTCTTTCCACATTTCCCTCTACAATTGCATTTCACTCCCTTTCAATTGACACAATTTGCTTTGTACCATTTCGACACCGACTTTGTCCTCACATTCTCTATATTGAAATTTTATGTTTTCCTCTTTCAAACATTACAAAGCGAAAGTGATTTTCATATGAAAAATACTCTCGAAATATTGTTAAAGAGTTGTGAATTTACGAAAATATACGTGACAAGTGTAATTTCGTCTCTTTCCGACACGTCAAGTCATACTTGAACACTTCAGGAATAGAACATTGAACTCATGCGTAGCACCAGCAATCTCATCATTATCCGCCTGGCATTAGCCCACTGTGAACTATCATGAACTCTCAGTTGCGTCTTCAGATGAAGTTTCGCCAGTGCAAAAAAAACGACATTCACAAACCCAACCAATAAAGACACAATATAAAAATACAGAAGAGACACAAGAAAATTGTCTCCGAGTGGAAGAATTTGATTGAATGCCTGAATGATCATCGCAAAAAACATCTCTTATCACGCAAGAATTTCAAAACAAGTTATTTAATAGATTTTTTTCAGACACATTGTTTTACGACACTCGAGAGTCAGATTAGATGAGACTACTTACGCTGAAGAACTACTTATAAACAAAGTAGTTGTGAAATAATTCAAAAGAGCGTCAGCAAAACGTGTAAATAGTTCAATAAAGTTACACTGTCGTGAAAAAGAGACTTTTAGAATACGAATTGAGCAATCGCACGATTATACATAGCACTGGGTCGTGAGAATATATGCACATGTTTATATGAAATATAAATTAGCGCCCACTAATTGTGCTTAATTGTTAATCAACTATCGTCGTTAATTAAATAATCCCATCCAAAGTGTTACGAACAGCGTTTGTATCTATAGAACAACTGTTATTAACTTAAAGACTCTCGTCACTTTCCACCAGGTAAGAAGATAGCACAAAGTCATTTGCTATCTGAATCTCAAAAACGCTCAGAAACTTCCGCAACGACCTCGCATTCCAGAACTATAAGAAAATCATGCTCTAAAAATCTCAATAACAATAAATTCACTTATCCATTTATCATTTACATACACAGCTTTAAATCGCGAGTTGTATTTCTGCGATCGTGAATGTGCTGAGTAGTTGAAAATAAAGCTAATATTCCGAAATTGTGCACAGCATATCGATCATTCGGGATTAGTGTCGACATGCACGTGTACTGCATATAAGACACTTTTCAACTTCATTGGAAATCAAGTTAAAATTCCGCGAAATGTTGCTTACATACACCAGAATTTCCTCTTTCCTCTTCCCATGTAAACAACACCAAAATACCACTTCATGAAACACCAAAAAGGTATTTCACTTTAGGGAAATCCACCAAAAGATCAATTGGTAGCATTGAAAATATTTTATTATTCATCATTTCACACAAAATTGGTAAATGTTGACCATGAAAAAAAGCACTCCACTTTGCTAAATTCACTCTTTTTACCCTGTCAAGCATATCTTTACAATGTTCAACAGCAAAAAATACGCAAGTCTTGCGAATCTTTCTACCTCTTTCTCTGTTTGATTATTATTTTCTGAAGACACTTTAAAAACGTAACTTCTTTGTCAGTTCATTGCAACATTGTTGCCCTCCTCATTCTCTGCAGACAAGCAACAAAGTTTGACTTTTCAATGCCAAAAGAAGAATCCATGCTATAGTGGAAAATGTAAACATTGTCAAAATTGGATCACCCTCAATACCTCGAAATCTCCCAGACTTGACGCTTTTCCTATTTCTCACGCCCACATTCGCGACCCAAAAGGGGGCCAACAATATCACAATCACTTAATTGTGGTTCAAGTGCGCGAGAGGAAGAAGGAGAGCGAAAATGAGCAAATTAGAACGGATGTTTGTAAGTGTAATCAACAGGAAATAGTATCACAACAAATGTGCTTTGCATGCTAAGGTGGAATAAATGAATGACAAATCCTTTCTATGCCACAATTATACCCAAAATCTTTATCCTCTCAACAATGAAACTCTTGTCTCTTTGCCTCAAAAAGAGCAACATTTATAGTGTTATAGAATGGGAAGATGCGCGGCAAAGGCAAGGATTTCATCTGGGGGAAGAGCATACAATAATAAATATATGTAAAGTGTAGACTAAAAACACTTTCAATGGTTTATTTCTTTGACCTCCTCTCTCGCTCTGGCCATAGCATAAAGCCAAGCACTAGTTTCTTACCTCGTCGCCAAAAATGTTTACACAGAAAATTCATTTTGAGCTGAAATTTTTGCACATTTCGCCTCGTCTCGCTCGCACCGCCTGCAGCTCGGCGTCTAGAATCTCTGTGGAGCATTTGCCCCAGAGATCTCTCCATATGGCTCCGGCTCCGCGCGGGAGCGACTGAGACGACATGGAGGAAATGTGGCTGGCTTTTTGCAATGACAACACTGCGCCAAAGCGAGAGAGGCGTATAAGACGAGCGCGTGGATTACGATAGTATTTATTATTAGTAATGACCTCATCGCGACTGCTTACTCACAGTGTGGCTTTTATCAATGTGAAAGTATATAAAACAGCAACGATCGTGCCTTCTGCTCTACACAATTCACGAAAAAAACCCTCCCTCGCGGCTTCTCCACCCAAAAACCACCATTCAATTCCCATTTCTGTTCTCCATTAAGCAAACAATACACATAGTGCAAGAAATTGCACCCAATAATCACTCTAATGTCAACACAATAAAAGACAATTTGAAAAAAGCAAAGACGAGATAACAAATAATATCATACTCCTAACGATATTCCCATTATTTTTTATTGTATTTGTGAGAACCAAAGAGAAAATTAACGATTTCTTCAATACTACATCAAATACACCCAGTGTTTCTGCCCTCCAAAAAAAAGACTCTCTTGGAAGTTATTTGCACAAGAACATTTTTTCAGTCTCTTCTTTTTGCGCTCTGCTTGGAAATTCAAATATGTAGCAAGAGCCAATAGAAGCAACTTTTGTGAAACAATTTTACACACATGGACGGTAAAAAGAAGAAAATTGTAGTCAATTTGCAACTGTTGGGTGAGAGAACAATAAAGCGAATATATGGCAAAAAGAAGTTCATCATAGGAAACAAGGAGTTGAGCAATATGTAAATTCCTTTCAGAAGGAATGACCACAATAATTTATTCAATTGAATTGAGCAGACAGCATTCATAAACACACTGTTGTGTCTTCTTAAATACCATCAGAAGCACTCACTCAAATATATTACCAACCAGAGTTAGATCATCACCGGCTTGTAGACACACGATTATCTGTGTGCAAAATCCACAAAAAGAGGCACCTTATCATGTGAAAAGATAATCTATCCCTTGTAATATGAGAGCACGAGATAATTTAGCAATATCAAAGGCTTTAGTGCATTAGAATTATATTTTTCTGAGCCCCATTTTTATGGTTAGGCTCTTCTTTATTGCGACACTAAGCTGAGTAGTGAAGTCACAGTGATTCATGACTTAGCTAATTCCACGGATTTCTCACTGATAGGCAAAGATAGTGCGGAATACCTGTAAATGCAGAAAAGAGGAAGCACCCAAAGAGCTAAATTCTTGTCTTTTCGATGCAATATCTAATATTATTTGTCTTAATTCCTTATCTCAATAAATTTATTGTCTTGTTTTCCTTAAGCACAACAAAGATCATCTTCATTGTGTTATTCCTTATTGTAATACTTATAATTCAATCGGTATTTTTGCGTCTTCAGAGTCGTTTTCGTCAATTTCCATTGCGTCTTCATTGACCACGACCACGCATTTTTTCTGTATTCCACCAACGTATTCGTACTTACTAGTGCGAAAATTTTGCCCACTTCATGACGAAACAAACTCATCTCTTTTTTCTTACCAAGGATATTCATCATCATTGTGAATATCTAAAAACAATTTTGCTTATTCTCTGACTGTACAATTTCGCCAACAGTCAGATAATTAATATTGATTAAGCACATGCACATATTTTTAGATACTCCGTCTATATTGGAAAAAATGTCAATGATAACATTTTTATGTACAAGCATTTCTTGGCCTCTTTTGCAAAAAAAATATTCACAGTTTTTGAGGAGAAGAGATTAAATATTGTGCGAAGAAAATCTCTTGTTACGTTCGCACTCGTGGAATAGAAATTGCATATTTTTCAGCACAGGCGCCAGTTAAAACATGCGAATTCACGAAGATAATTGAGTGATTTTAGATAAAATAGCAATTTTTCTTGTCTCATTAATAAGCATTTCAACACCAAGTGGGTCAAAATCCAATCCTTTCTATTTCCATCAAGCACAAACTCAATTAACCCATTTGCTGAACACTTCTCACCATTTGATAACTTGCGTTTGCTATCGTGTGAGAGACATTATGTAAATAACCAGTGATACACTACGCATTAGATTCGCGAAACGTGATATTATCAATGTAGAATTATCGGATTTTATGTAAAATTGATGGGAAAATTGTTTGAGAAGCAATTAACAAGAGATCAAAGTAAATGTCTCTATCACAAGGATCTACAAATCAACTGAAATTCATTGAAATATGATTCATTCTGATGTAGGATTGATTTTATCCAAAAATTACGCACTTTGGAAGAATCACAGTGTCTAATATTGAGGAAAATATCTACATATTTACGTTACATTCCTGTCTATTGACCAAACTATTTTGATTCACGTTTCACAGAAAAGTATTATTCACTCCCATTAGACGTAGGTTTTGTTGATACTCTTACTAGCAAAATTGTTTTTATTCATAACAATGTGTTAATTTATGTAAAAGTTATAAAATTGATTGAAAGTAAAATATTTGCAAAAACCTCATCGAATATTGTATATTCATTTCCATATTAAAATGTCGCACAATTACGAGAAAGAAAACTTAATTGATGATGCTGTTTGTGCTTTCTGCACTCTTGCATTAATACCATGACTGTTAATTATAATATTTCTTATGATTTCATCGTGATTGGTATGCAATGTCGCCAATTCTTGCCACAAGTCGGCGAGACGTAAAGGTTTAGCGCACGAGACACTGAATATATTACATTTTTATAGCGATGGGAACTCTTTAGGGATGTCGAAGAGTGAAATTTAGCATGAGATGAAGTTTTAATGTTGTGCCGCGTGAAAAGAGCTTCGAGAATAAATAAAAATATGACGAGATCTGCTAAAAAAATGTGTGTGGCATTGTTTTGAAGGCATTGCTTTTATCATAGCTTCCTCGGTCACTCGTTTGGTTTGCGTGTCGACCAATTGATAGGAGAAAGAAAGAAATCTTTCTTGGCACCAGAAACATTTGAAGCAGATGGATAGGACAGGGGAAATTATTAATTGTTAGGCATTCTCAGCCATCGCTCTCGTCTTCTTTCACTGTCCTCCCACTATTTGCAATCCTGACACTGAATTTTTGGATTCTACACCAGAGACGCGATATTCGAAATCAAGGTTGCTGTTCGGATGTTAGGAGCGATTTCAAGAAATATCACTAGTTTCACGCTTTTTGCGTCTCAACATTTCTTTGTGATAACACTGACTGAATATTGCAATTTGTGAGATTCTTTATAGAGGAAGTGGAGTGCTCACCTGAGGAATTTCTTAACATCGACGACATTCTGTTGCTGCTGCTGCACATTGAGTGATGTTGGTCGCATCTTGGTCACGGAGGACGACATGAGAGTATTGTTACACGCAGCAGCGAGCCAGCATTTCATTTTCATGATCCAAATGCACACGATTCATAAACTGTATTCCCACGCTGAGGATCAGCTCTCACACTCACAAGAAAATCACACTTCACAGGGGAAATCTTACGCAGAAAAAAAAACTTCTAAAATTAGTGGAAAACAGCAGCTTTCTCACACAGCATTGCTGCTTCTCAGGAATATTTTGGACTCTGATGTAAGGCACAAGAAATCTTCGCAGTGTCGCAGGGAGAATTCTTCACAATGTCCACATGTTTTCTTCTTTCGCGCAAAGCAGAGTTCTGTGCCCATTCAGCTGTGGCCCTTGTTGCGAGAATACGTCCGGGAGTTGGTTGTGCTATTCCACCATAGCGCGCCGCGGCGGGTGAGCGAAGATTTCAGCAACGACTCCGACTCCTGGTGAACTTCCTGGCACTGATAAGGCTATCACAGTGGTGATGTGAGCTTGTCATTGTTGTCGTCCGCGATATGACGGAATATGTGGCAACAATAGTGGCACAGATAAGCTGCCTTGCAGCTCAGAAAGTCTCTGACTCACGAGATCAGTGGACTGGCCTGTGTGCTCACCGCTGGGCTGACAGAGAACAACTACCGAGTCGCGGGCAATCGATGCGCACTCCTTCCGACCAACACTTCTGGGCATTTGTCTCTGTGTTCACTCCGCGTATATCGATTGCCACCTTCCGCTGTTCAGCTCTGCAATATTCATCCGAATGGATGGTGAAAATACACACAAAGTGCCCCCTTGCTCTGCACTGGGAATTTCGCAGTTCAGCCAACGCGAAAAGTGCGGTTATGTTTAGTCACAAAACTTTTCCATTCCTTCTCACAGCTTGCACGAAAAGTTCACAACAACGTACAACAGCGGCCAATAGATAGAACACTTTTACTGTTTTCCAGCACGAATCATTGCTCCCTGTGGCACTTTGACCAGTTTTTCAGGCAACTTTCCACCAGAGAGAGATCACACACAGAAACAAAAACGCCACTGAAGACAGCTGAGCAGGGGCGTGAAAAAGTCTCCACCGGTTTGCCATCCGCCAAACGGTAAGGTTGCGGTTGGCGGGAAATTTTCACATTGTTCGCGCAATTTTCCTGCAAAATTTGAAGCTGCCAGGACGTCGTCAAAACCGACTTCAGCAGACCAACAAGTATAATAAAGTCTTGTGATTCTTGCAAATGCAACACAAATTTTACCATCTATTTTGTTCTCTTGTACATTACTAAATTATTAACATAATTGTAGAATCCCCGCGATGTAATATCCAAATTCCTGAGTGCTTGTTTTAACGATCGTTACTTTTGTTTAAATAATGCGCTTGAGGAGCTTTTCTCCGCCATTTATAAAATCGCTTTGCACCTGACAAAGTGGGGAAAGCGCGATCGTCCTATGTGTAGTGCTGCCAACATTTAGATGACAAATGCCAGCATTCTGGGATTCTCGGAATCCTGTTCCTCCTCTTCGTTTTGAGAATCCTATGCAGAGGATCACTATTAAGTGCAATCTCACGATTTTTGGTAAAAATCCTTGGGAATTGTGAAAATAAAGGCGAAAAAACATTTCTGAGATTGCAAGAATCATATTTAGCAAGCCATGAATTACAAGGAGTCCACGAATACCAAGTAAGATACTCGGAAATCCTGTTTTAATAATTCAACTTCAATATCCATTTTGTTCGTCTTTCGCAGGGTTCTTGGAAACATTTCCCGTCAGGTAAGACACCATAGAAAGTGTGCTGAATTTGAAACCTTTTGGATTCCAACTCTCAGTGAATTGAAAAGGGAAAAGAACACAGAAAATTTTCAGTACTTGAAGGAATTTTTGTCGAAGAGAGTATGATTTCTATCTTGTAGAGTGGATCCGGTTCCAGTGGTAACGCCCAGAACTTGCATAATCCCAATGCTCCCAATCCTCTCGACCCAAAGCATCTGGAAGCTGAGTACAAGGAAATTTGTACACGTAATGAAGCAGTAGTTTTTCACATCGATAGCAAGTATTTTAATGAATTACTCGTGTTGTTTCAGGCATCGGCATGCATGAGAGATCCGCTGAACTTACAAGACAAACACCGCGCGATGAAGTTACTGTTCCTACTAAACTAGCTCCCATTAGAAATCATCTGTTAGAATGTGTAAGGACTCTTGTGAGAGTGAACCAAATAATTCGGTCAGGTAATGAAATTGATGTTATGTAAGTATTTATCGCAAATATAAATATTTTGATCAATTCCAGACTTGCACGAGCGCAAGATGTTGATGCTGGAGCTCGATCAGAACCCTCCGACCATCTCAGAACGCGAGGCTGAGTTCAAAATCAATGCTATTAAGATAAAAAACATGCTGAAACGCATGTATGCTGTGGAGGCTGTGGACATAGCAACAATGGCATATAAAGAAGAAAGATACATTATAACCGAAATGGTTGCGTATCGTATTAAGCTCAAGATTCGGGAATTAGAGAAGAAATATCTTCAGCTAGGTAAAGAAGCAAACATCTCTAAATTATTGATAGCAACTCTCTTATGGACTTCCTCTTACCATTTTAGAGATGAAATATGTGGACGAGCGCATTGCTGCTCTGCAGTTTGAAGCGGCGAAGAAAGCGGCCACTCAGGAAGATTCTCCAGCCGCCAAGCCAGAGGATGAAGACCTTGGTGAAGATTGGTGTGTCTTGAACCACGAAGACTTTGCAGAGCATCAATAGGACCATAAAGAGATGAAGCCAAAATATCGAGAGATAACGATCAGAGTTGATGCGAATTTCAGGAAACATTAATTTTTTTTCAATTTCCTCTTCAAACCACTAATAAATTGTAATTCTGGTTTGAAAATAAAGTGAAAACACAAAAAATCGCTTGAAGCTGCTTCTTGTAACTGCAACGATCGTCTGCATCGAATCCTTTTCAGCAAATAATTAAGTTCACTGTTTTTTTTTTAAATATAGCTTCTTTACTTTGGCGCTTGATTTTCATCCTTTAATGAAGATCGTCCCAATCCTTGATTTGTGAGGAAATCAAACTCTCTCTTGCTCATTATCGTTGATTTCACATGAGGTGTTTGAATGACGATATTGTCTGTGTCATTCGCATTTGCTGCACTTTCTCTCACCAAATCCTCAATGAACGTTCTCAGGACGATTTTCATGACGTCTGAAAGGTGAAAATCAATCATTTTACTCAATCTAAAATCACATTAGAAAAGAAAATAATTTACCTTGAACATCTTTTTCATCCTTGGTTGATTTCTCTTGGAAAACATCATCAAGAGTCCACAAAACTGCGTTTTGAGAAGCGTCACAAAATTTCCTGCACTCTCGCTTTGCAACGGAATTATTTTCGACGTCAATGAAGTCATCCTCTCTTATCTCAGGCGATTGTTGCGGTACTAAATGTTGCTCGGCAATCCAATTGCGTACCTTCGAAGGTGTTGTTGAAGTTGCCGCAGGAAGTTTCTCCCTCCTAATCTCTGCTTTTAGGAAATCCTTGAGATTTATTCCCGCCTGCATTCTTGGCTCTGGATTTGGCGGAGTGTAGAAATATTTCCGTGCAAATATAACGATATCCTTTGTTGACCACACAGACAAATTCTTCAGAGAAGCGTGTTGCCTCAGCAGACGACAGATAAATTTCGCTCGATACCACTGAAAGTGTTGATAAAGTGATAAAAGAGAAGGAATTCGCTGCACGAGGGTGAACTTACCTCATTGCTAAATCGCTTTGTCCAGTGCAGCGCATTGTAGTCCTCCTCTGAAGCCCTTATGAAGGGAAAAGTTAAGGATATCGTTGAACTTTCATTCGCAAAAGATGAAAAAAGCGGCAAACGTCGAAGGAGAAACTCAACAGCCGCTCTAACACTGGTAAAGACAATCGAATTGAAGATTCGTCGCATTCTCTCGTGGGCATTTTGATGGTGATTCTTCGAGTAGCTGTGGTCGAATATGTGTGAAGTATAATCGAGTTTCCAGATGCTTTTAGGCTTTGAATCTCTTTCCTTATTTCTCGAATCTACTTTATCAATGGTACTTAAGAGTTCTTTCTTTATCAGCTTCCCAGTAAAATCATAAGGAAGTCCTTCAGTGCTCTTTTGCTCCTCCGAATCCGGTGAGATTCTGTTAAGCCACAATTCGGCTATCGTCTCTGCCCCAAAAGTTTCAAGTCCTGTGCATTTATCATCCAATTTTACTCTGTGGAATATTTGGACAGGCTTCTGCTTCAGCGCTGGCCAGAAGTGCAGCTGCACGCGAATTATGAATTCGCCCCAACCGAAGCGCGAGATCTTAAAGGGTGGCTTCTCAATCTCTACGCAGTCATTTGGCTGGTAAGTCGGATGCAGGAAGAATCTGATACGCTGCACCAGCTTCTCAATTGGATGATGATCTCTCGTGTGGACATAAACGAGCCATTTGTGAGACACGGAAGAGTTCATTTGATTTTCCGCTATGAATTTCGAGGTATTTCCCACAATTATTAAGTGCTTCTCTTGATTTCTGCCTCGAGATGAGTTCAAAGGAGTAATTTTTGGCTCTTCTTCCACCCCATCCACCTTTTCTTCATCACCTGTGCAGTTTTCCGGGGGGTTTTTGTTCAGCTTCTCATCCTTTTTGGTCTTTAAATTTTGCTTCAAGAGTGACGCAGCGTCCTTAGCGGCTTTCCTCCTGGGCACATCAAGTACGAGATCACTGTATCTCTTCGGAGTTTTTCCAACGAGTTTCTTTATGGCTGGATGAAGGGAAATTTGCTCTTTTGAGATGAATTTCTCCTCGAGTGTCGCTCCGTCTTCTTTCACGAGCTTGTGAATCTCTCCTGATTTGTAAAAACTCGACACTGCGGCGTATTTGAGCTCGTGCAGTTGTTTCTTCGCCTTCGCCAGACGATCCTCAATCTGGAAGGCCTCTTTCTCTCTCTCCACCAGCTCTAGCTGAAACTCCTTCTTGATAATCTCCTGTATTTTCAGTCTTCTGTCTTCCGTGGAGCATTTCTGCCTTTTCTCAGCGTGGCACTTGTAGTCAGGATCGTGATATTCCTCAATTTTTCGCTTCAACAAAATGTCCTTCTTGCTCTCATCCATGTTTTATATTTCCGGGAAGCTCTGAAAATATGTAAACAAACTGAAAGGTTAGGTCTCCACATTTTCCACCGTGAGGCTGATGACTATTCTAGTAGTTCTGTATCTGTTTTCATTCACTCACATTACAAAAAAGATGAATAAGACATCAGTAATTATATTACAATGATATTTACAGGCAAAATAACGAAATCACAGAAAAATTGTTGATCTGAGCTAGAATCTCCTCGCACATGAGAAGTATCAATTATTTCTCATAGAGGGCCACACGATCGGGAACCCGGCTGAAAATTTCCCCATCTCGAGTTAAAGCGCCCACATTCGCGTTGGTAAAAAACAAGCAATCGCTGGAATACTAGAAAAAGTGAGAAAACCGAAGAAAAACACAATTACTTTGTTTTACACTGTATTATTTTTTCCTCATTTCAATAAATATAATAAGAAGCAAATTAAATGGAATCTTAACAATTTCTACATCTGTTAAGTTGTAGTAAATTTAATATCAAATTGATTTTGACTCATCCTGCTCGCTCATCTCTTTAATGGTGACAAAAGCATTAACATTTATATTTATTTCCAATGTTTTTTTTATTTACGTGTAAATACAGGAATTCCTTTTGCGATCAACTTTAAGGACACATAATCAATAAAAAAATTTCTCATTTCTAGTTCTTCACCATTTTTACAGTGTGCAAATTGTATTAAAATATAATTTTTCCTCGATAACAAAGCATTTCGCTCAAGAAACTGACAACTGTAATTTTTTTAGACTTTCTTCCTCATAAATCCACCATCAGCACGAGTATATAGTCTCAATTTTGAGGAATAAAATTGAAATATAGTCATATTTATGTATATTTAAAAGTGTTAACTAAGTAGAGTACAGGGAAAAACTAATAAAACAGCTTAAAAATTCACTTTGCTCTTTAACCGGTAAAATTTAGCATACGCTTTTATACACCACATTTCTGCTCACTTTGTTAATTATACATAATTAATTGTTACAATGTTCCTTTATTCTCTCATGCATCTTAGCCACAGTAATTTAATATTCTCACTTTCATCCTCACAAACACTCATTTTTCCCTTCCATTTCAGTGATTATGCTTACAATTTATCGCGATAGAATTGAATATGAAATTTCATTGGGAAATGCTTCACTTTTCGCTGATCATGACGATGTCTTCTCCTGGCTTGACTTAAACTTGTTTATATAGACATTGAGGAGTCTGCAAAGAAATCACTTAATTATTGCATTTCTCTGGAAATGCGAAACATTCCTCATTATTACCTCACTTTGCTGCCAGTCAACATACTGAACTTGGGCTTCACCTTTTCCTCACCCATCACAATGTACAGCTTCACAATGCAGAAAACCGCGGCTTTCCTCACCATAGATTGGCTGTCGTCTGTCAACTGGAACGAAATATCATTATTAATAATGCTGCGTCAATCAAATGTCGTGCGCCATTCGCTCACCAGTGCAATGTTTGGCATCAGAACATCCAAATGATGCTCAGTCAGGTTCTTCCCTTGCTTACTCGCCAGCTCCGTGAGGATCTTCACTGCGCACAGATTCGTTGGGAATTCCCCAGTTGCAATGACCGGATTAAGGATGTTAATCGACAAATCGAGAGGTAGAACCGCAGCTATTTTTGGAATACTATTCTCAATCAGAGACACCACCTGAAGAAAATGAGAAGCAATTATAAAACTACTGCATATCAAACACATCTTTCCTTTCAATACACACATCTCGATTTGTCCGATAACTATCGATTATCTTGAGCAGTATCAACTCGAGAAACTGTATCCAGCAAGGCTTCATCGACTCACTCCTCACGACTTTGCACAGTGCTCGAATGGCACTCTTGAGTACAATCACATTTGACGACTGCAGGAGGTTCAGCAACATCTTCATAATACCCCTGGAAAAAATCACAATCGCATAAAGAACACAACAAACTTCCAAAGACTGCAATTTGTCAACTCACTTGAAATGCAAAATCGGCAGTTGACAATTTCCATACGTGATGCAAGCGGACAAATTACTCAGGATCTGCGCCACAGTCGTTTGTGGTGTGTCCATGTTGAGAAGTACTGCTGCCTTAACAATATCACTTTCCCTCAGTGTTTCTACAACGGAAAATCAACCCTATTAACAACATATTCTAATTACTCATTTAACTAAAAACTCACTTTCAATGATGATTTCGCCATTCTCATCAAATGTAATGTCAGCCTTCGTGATGGATCTGTCGTGACAGTCCGTCGTGTCGATTCTCACCGTGTTTTCCGGCGTGTTTGACTCGGTTGTTGTGGCCGATTGCGTCTTCGATCCATTACACGAATCATCCTTCTCACCCAGGCTAAAATGTCCGTTTAGGCCATTCGTGGCACCTTGCGTGAGCCCCAGAGTGCCCGGTGACGCCGTTCGGGTCTGCAAATACTGCTCAGTCATCTGAACTGCCGTCACATGATCCCCACCACCCATTTGACTAATGCCCGAGTCCTTGCTGTTCGCATCGCGATCCAACTTTGACTCGAAACTGTAGTTCTGAATCTCTGCCGTCGTTTTCTTCAGACTCTTGTACACCTCCTCTGAGTTCATGGGATCAGATGTCTCCACGGATGATTGGCGCGATCGAGGACCTGCAAGAGTGACAGCCAGATAAATGTTAATTCAATACACACTAATCATTATACTATATTGAATAAATCACGAGAGATTCTCTACAAATTGAAACTGTCTAAGAAATGTCGGAAGATAAATACTCACTAGAATTATTTTGCAAACTATATGGACCACTTGGGCTAAGCTGCGGTTTTGGACTCGTACACGAGAGAGGAGATGATGGACTGTCTGTTCCTAAAAGAATGTCAAGCACACTGTTGTCTATTCTCTCATCTAAAGAAGCAACCATTCTAATCTATATGTACTAGTGAACTATTTAATATTTTTCAATATCTAAGAAATCGTGCATTATCAAGAATACTTCTAGCGTAATAATTACCTTTACGTAAATTCTGTTGAATGATTACTTTCACTCCATCAGAGTGCTCCTTCGGCAGAACTTGCAACAGGCTCGTCATCTACAAGTGACCGACAATAAAATTATTACAATTCATCATTAGATATCCCAAAGGCCCCACTCACATTTTGCGGGTTGCACTTGTACAGGGCGAAGAGACAGTGTCGAGCCTGATTTCTCAACTCCATGCTCTTCTTGTCCTGCGACGCCTGGACAATCTTAATGACGGCCGCCTCGGCTGGCCTCTGGATCGAAAAGTGCTCCGGTTGGCAATACGTTTGCGCTAGATTCGTGAGGAACTTCAGTGTCGCCACGCGAGACTTTGTGTTCTGCGTCTGGGCCGAATCGACGAGAATGCGAAAAACACTCTGTATCTGCAAATCACCCGGAAAGTATTCATACACCAGATCCAGTGTCTTCCAGATTTTCGTTTGCATCGAGCCCAGAAGATCCGTGCCGAGCTTCAGAAACAGTCTCGTGAGGAGGATAAAGAGCCAGTCATGGAGATCATTGGCGTGGGCCAGGATCACCTCGTTCAGAGCATCCAGAAACAGTGCATAGACCTTTGTTTGTGTGTCCATGAACATTTTCCGGAAGAGATCCAGCATGCACTGCAGCTGCTGCTGATTCAGTACTTTTCCCTCCGCCAGATACTGTGTCAGACTCACGAGACCATCCCGCCTCTCAGTCCACTGTGTGGAGGCGCAGTACTGAATGATGTCGTCGATGTCCTCCAGTGCCGATCTGTATCCATCGAGACGCGATCTCGACCCACTCCACGAATACGTGTCTCCACCGCGACGGAAATTGCCGAAACTCCGATCAGAGCACACCGATGACGCCTCACTCTCGTCCGACTCATCGCGTGACGACTTCATCTTCAGCCTGGAGAAGTCCGCACTGAGATCATCCTCAGGCGACAGTGCATCCGCCAGAGCATTCTCTTGCTCCCGACTCTGCTGCAGGATCTTCTGCGCCATCAAAGGCCGCCCGGGATTGATTGGCGGTCTCCTTGGATTGCTGCCGTACACATTGCGCTTCACCGCACTCGATTGTGTCCGCGTGGGACTCGTCTCGCGCGAATTGGCCAGAGATCGCGGAATGCCGGACGCCTTCTTTGGCACTGTTCCCGTCTGCCGATATGTCGCATAAGTTGCGTAAGGCTCCTTCAGCCTCGACGATGGCGATGTACTCCTCGAAGTCGGCTGCGACTGTGACACTCCCGATCGCGACGTCTGACGCCCCGAAGTCACGCCGCGATGCTCAGGCGATGGCTGCTGCGATGGCGTCGACACGGCGCTCTTCTTTGCGCGAGCTGCAAAAGAATCATTCTCAATAACAACGTCCAGAAAAATACAATTAGCTTGATAGCAGCTACGAAAAATCATGCACTGATCGAAAGAACTATATTAAGTTCAACACAGTTAATTCCTTTCCTCATATTAGTAACATTTTTCTATTAAATTATAGTTTCTTCTCCGCCACCAAATTGTTAGTCTCTACTTAATATAATTATTTCTCTCAGTACATTAAATATGTCGATAAGCAAAAAATGCAAAAATACCTTGTTGCGCCATTTGTCCTTCTGCAAATTGGTCGCAAAATACGTGATTTGTCAATATAAAAGAGAGACACAAAAATAAATTAAGTGCATCACAGGACAAATAAAAGACGACATTCGATTAATATTCACACAAACACACTTCAAATCTCATTAGTTTTTGTCTTCTTCTGTTGAAATTATAAATTCACTATTTGACATCATTCCAGCAATACACAGAATAAACTTGATAACTTACGCAATGATGCCGTTCCTGATGACACCTTGAGTCTCGCCAGGGATGAATACTGAGCCCTTGCTCGTGCTCTCTGAGCCGCTTGCGTATCGACAGCCGAAATACTACGAAAATTTGCTGCAAGGATTGAATTTAAAAACATCGGTTAATTGCCTTTGAAGTGAAAAAAATAGAAGGCAGGATAAAATAGAAATAAATGGATAAACTGAAGAAATATTAAGTCTATCTTCAAATCAACCTCTGCATGGCACCATCTCCCTGTGCGCCACAGGAATTCCACTTCGATTTCTATTGTACGAGCGTGGCAATGACGGCACTCTCTGCAATCTGGCGGTTGCTAGATTTTCCGTGCTCGTACTTGTCGCTTCTTTCAATTTCAAATTAGTTTGTTATCAAAGATTTGAGAATATCCATTTGGCAAGCATGGGAAAAAGTCATCTTTTAAGCATCACTCAAGACAAATCAAATCAATGCTACACACAGTCATTAACTTACCTGATGGACTCGCGACGGGACTACGAAGGCCGGAAGATGGCTTTCGCCCTGAAATGAGACAGTGAGTAAAGCACATAAATCCACAGAAGCACAAATGGCTCAATGATAAAGAGTAAGTAAGTGAGTGGGTAGAATTTTGAAGATAGCATTATTTGCAGCCTTTAGACAGAGAGTAAATATGGGATGGATAAATGAGTTACATGGCATAGAACGTACTCAGAACAGAGCCAGGCATTGAATTCAAGCTGCTATTGCTTCCACGAAGACTGGCACTCATCGAACCTGTTCCATTGCCGCCACCGTCGTCCCTCTCGCGATCAACAGCACGCTGCGTGGTGATGTCCAGCTGCTGATACAGCTCGCTTGCCATCGCTGGGAAGTGCCTGTGGAATGACCAGTACGCTCGCCGGCTGTATCTCCTCGCATCAACATCGGCATCACTCAAGCCCTTCTTCAGGGCATCCCGCAATTGCGTGGCACTCCTCTCCAGTGATCGCGTCGCCCATTCCTCGTACAGCAACAACATCACTTCACACAGTGTGGAGCGAATGTCTTTTGATTTCGACTGCATGAGATTCTGCGTCAATATTGGAATCAATTTCGGCGCGTGGGTGTATCTGATCACAAACTTCAGCGCTATTGTGCCAGCAGATGATATCACTTTTGCCGAATTCTGTATCAAATTGACAAGCTCCTGCAGAATGTAAATGCTGAATTGGTCCAGTTTGTTCTTCAGCGTCTTCGACATGTACGCCAGTGTGATACACGCCTCTCTTATCACTTGTGATCGCAGCTCTTTGAGTATGTCAAGGAATGCTATTGATAGGTCCTTTAGATACTGCAGAAACATCGTCATTTGTTGTGGACCCGACATCAGCAGAGATCGAATGTTTTTCAGCTGAAATCAAGGAGAAAAATACGTCAATAGACAAAGTCAATTACACTGTGCAACACTTTTCTGCCCTTTTTTTGAAGTGTGGATTTTCTGATTCCTTGAGTCATCAGCTTTTCAACGGTACCTTCCTTTTTTCTCTAGACCCTCAAGTTTTCCTTTTAGAGCCTATTTTCCATTTTCCACTATTTTCACCCACTTTGCCGCACTTATGTGCTCATATCTCGCCCAATTTTCCACGGATTTTCCTCAAATTAGTCTCAAATGATAGCTATTGAAATTACCTACTACTTTGTAAAACATTGTGAGTGTTTTAGATCACTCCTTGTTGGTCAAAAATGATCTTTTGTGAACCACTAGGTAAAAAATTCGCCGGCTTTTTCACCACTTTTTTCTAAATATCTCCGAAACGAAGAAACTTTTATGTTGGATTATTTTTCCTATGTGTAGAGCACTTCAGGGGATGCATTTCCTCCATACATGCCGAAGTGATATCTCTTCTCTATCTGCCGGAAAAACGAGGTTTTTCCTCGACAAGTTTTGCTTTTTTATGCTACGCGCACCCGCTAAAAAATTGAAAGAAGGTACATTTTGCTGTCTACGCACTCATTTAGATGATGATAATGCTTAGATGTTAAAACAAAAGAGAAAAAAGGCCAATATCTCGACTTTTTAGCTATTTTAGGTATTTTTTTGGTCTTAATGACAACAACTCCTTAAAAAACACGAAAAATTCACGTAAAATAGCTAAAAAGTCGAGATATTGGCCTTTTTTCTCTTTTGTTTTAACATCTAAGCATTATCATCATCTAAATGAGTGCGTAGACAGCAAAATGTACCTTCTTTCAATTTTTTAGCGGGTGCGCGTAGCATAAAAAAGCAAAACTTGTCGAGGAAAAACCTCGTTTTTCCGGCAGATAGAGAAGAGATATCACTTCGGCATGTATGGAGGAAATGCATCCCCTGAAGTGCTCTACACATAGGAAAAATAATCCAACATAAAAGTTTCTTCGTTTCGGAGATATTTAGAAAAAAGTGGTGAAAAACCCGGCGAATTTTTTACCTAGTGGTTCACAAAAGATCATTTTTGACCAACAAGGAGTGATCTAAAACACTCACAATGTTTTACAAAGTAGTAGGTAATTTCAATAGCTATCATTTGAGACTAATTTGAGGAAAATCCGTGGAAAATTGGGCGAGATATGAGCACATAAGTGCGGCAAAGTGGGTGAAAATAGTGGAAAATGGAAAATAGGCTCTAAAAGGAAAACTTGAGGGTCTAGAGAAAAAAGGAAGGTACCGTTGAAAAGCTGATGACTCAAGGAATCAGAAAATCCACACTTCAAAAAAAGGGCAGAAAAAAGTGTCATTTTTGTTGCCTAGTGTTATTAGAGCCGCTGTGTGCTTTACTCACAGCATCCACTCTCTTCTCCCAGTCCATCGTCTTGTCACCAATCAATTTGATTATTTGCTTCATTTTCTCCTCAAAATCACGCGTCCCGTAGATTACCACTGCAGGTACAGCTTCGAAGCACGCTTCAAATACATCTTGGGACACTGCGCCAGCAGCCAAATCGCCGCTGGACATGCCACACGCCTCCATGCCGGCGGGACGTCGTGGCGGAGCTGAAGGAACACGCTTCACAAGTCGCGTAGGTCTTGGCATTGCTGCTGTGTCAATGTCATCTGAGTTGGTCAGAGCATGTGATGTCAGTGCTGACGGCATCAGGAGACCATCATTGCGGATCTCATCGAATTTTCCCTCCAGTATCGCTAGCTTTCCTATTGGCACATCCTTCCTCTGCAAGTCAGCTCTCAGTTTGTCACCTGAGACAAAAAAGTAAAACATTAATATGCTGAGGTCGCAGAAAAATTGCAAGCATTGACAATTAATACTACTACTCACCAACATGCTTGTAGATTTCTACCAGTGTTTGCACAGCTTCATCACGCACTGTCACCGTTGGATCACCAAGAAGATCAGCAATTGGCTGAATGTAGTTCTTCAGTGACAATGATTGTGTTCCATATCTGGATGAGAAAACAATTCATTTCATTTCCTCAAGCATAAAAAAAATTCATCCACACATTGATTACTCACTCATTCAGCGTATTTACTATCGTTTTGAGAAACTCCTCACGAACTTTTGAGTTCTTATGCTTGAAGCATGTCGTTAACTTGTCCAATAATTGTTGAGGCGTCAACACACGGTATTCCACCAATTTCTGCAGGACAAGTTGAGCCTTCTCTCGCACTGTATCGCGATTGTCCCCCAATCTGAAAGGCATTCAAAAATCAATTAACCCACATTTGCGTCAATTTAATCACACTCCAGCCACAATTTTAATCACATTCCCACTCACCTATCTACCACATTCTGCAGCACAGTCGGCGTGTATGCATTGAAGTCTTGTCCTAAGCGCCCAATTAATTCACTAAGTGCTTCAAGTGCACGCTGAGCAATCTGCAAATTGAGAGTAAGTTCAATGTTAAAACTCATCAAAATCAGAGGATATTCTTAGAATTCTTAAACACTATTAATTTACATCTTCTCATCTTTCAAACATGGCGAGATCTTGTTTGCACTTTTGGCATAATCCACTCCAACACTCCTTCGCGAGTAGAAAATAAAAATCGTGAAACTCTATCTGGAATGCCAAGAATGGTCTTTACCACCAATTTTCAGAAGATGTATGAAATATATTTTATTGTGTCTTTACTCTGGACAAGAAGCAATAACCTCAAATGTTTCTTACACATCACTTTAGGCGTTCAATATATTTCCCTCATTGAAAGCACAACAACAACAAGAACCATATTGAAATTGCCGAGATTGTGCAGTAATAAATCGTAAGAAGAGTATCGATAAAAATTCTCATACACCGTCGTCTCATCAAGTCATTTTGCTGTTGTTTCAATCAAAATTTATTTTCGGTACCGGAACAACCACATTAAGCGTGATGTTTATTTTTAGACTTAACATATACACATGAAAAGGAGAAAAAAAAGTATTACACAAGTAATCGAAAATGCCGCATAACTCCTTTATACATATACACACGATTTATGCGTTATTTCTCTCTTCGCTTCGGCTTTTTGCCCATCGTCGCATTCTCGTGCAAAAATTGATTTCAAGTCAATTGTGTCAGTGTTCATTGATTGTCTTTGCGTTCCAATTCATTGAAGTCTAGAGAGGGTAAAAGGACATGAAGAAGAACAGTGTCGATTGGAGATGATCTCAACATTATCGAAGAAACTATTAAAATGCCGAAAATATACAGTTTTGAGAGAAAGATTCTTTATTACTCCACTATAGTTCAATGTACTATTTATTGTCATATTGCTTCCCTCTTTTATTTATTAAATACACGCTCGGTTGACTTTCTGAGCGATTAATCATGGGCCTCTTTTTATACATTTATATTGATCTCATAATAAGGACTACGCCAATGATTTTATTCACACATAATAACAATCATTTTCGCTGCATTTTGCTGCCAATCATGATAAACTCTTGGACAAAAAGTGTGCATAGATTAAACAACGTGTGATTAAAAGTTCGAAAACTCATTTTCACTCAATTGTTAAAGCACTTTGCAACAGCTTCATCCATCACACACTAAATTGTCCGAAATAATATGTTTTCCATTCAAATAAAACTGTGGGAATTTTCTCTCGTTTTACGGTTTTTCTTCCATTCTCTTTGCCACTTGACTTTGACTCGACGTTTTTTCGTACTGGTTAAGTAAATGAATTGCTCTGAGAAAAACCGCAAAATTTAACAATGACCTTTTTGCATTCCCCACACAAGTTGAACTCAAATTTCTGTGTGCATTGAAGACGACACATTTTCGTGAGTAGGTATTTGTGCGTGTATTTTTAAAATATCTTCATTACATCGAGAAGACAAATTTCCTAGACTGTCTCGTTTCTTATTTTATCCTCAAAAATATCATTTTGCCTCTCAAACTCAACTTTCTTCTTCATCTCTCTTTCACATTCAATGGTTTTGGACCTGAAATTCATTTACACACTTCACGATTTTGTGCTGAAAATCAAACGACTTGCGCGCGCACACAGAAAAAGCAACACTCTGACTCATCGTCATCATCGTAACTGCATCAGCACAAATATTATTTATTATTTCTGTGAAACCATTGGCACAAGAAGAGGCTCTTCTCACGTTACATCTGTTGTAATTCATAACAGTAACCTCCAATTTGGCCATTTGCATAGAGAATATACCGGAAAGTACCGCACAGAGAGAGAGATTTATCAAATAAACCAATTAAGTAATTATGTGAAACTGGAGAAAGAACATTTTCACGGTAATTTGTGGCTCAATCAAAAACACTTTGGGCACAGAAAAATGCTGAACATTCAAGCCATACATTTTCGTCAAAATTGATAGTGTGTAGAAAATACTTTTTCGCATGTTATGTATAACAGAATAACCTTGATGTTTAGCCATTATGTAAAAGTCGAATATACGTGAAAAATTATGTACTTGGACTGTTTGCCTATATCTCAATTATCATCAATTTGTCTTATTGTATGATAAATGACATCAGATGGTGTCACCTTTTTTACCTCACGTTTCGCGCAAAAGAAAATAAAAAACCTCTCAACTTTAAAATCCAAAATATTCAACACTTTCGCGCGAGAAACAACAGAAAAATTCACAGCTTCACCCTGAAAACGCGAGTCGGCGACTGAAAAATTCTGCATTACATTTTTCACAGTCTCACCAAAATCACTTATTCGCATTTTTTTCCTCCTCATCAACATCCCACAACATTATGAGCTAATAACCAATGTTGACAATCGAATAAACAGCGCAGAATGTGCGCAAGAGAGAGAGAGAGAGAGAGAGAGAGATGAGAAACACAATGTAGTGACACAAATACAGAGAGAAATCTTCCCACGTGAATCTTCTATAAAAGTCACTTGAAAATAATTTCTTAATTTTTTTCTTCCCCCACTTCATCTGACCATATTTTTCAGAGCAGTCAAGAAATTCGTGCTTCAGTTGAGAATTAATAAATTGGGTTTCCTTCCATTGCCAAAAAAATCTTCTGCAATCGTGATTCTAACACTCATAGCACAAGTGATGAGAATTGAAAGACAATTTAAAAGAAAAAAAATACCTCAACTTCACGTGTGTCTAACAACCCGTAGAAGAGAAGAATTCGTAAATAAAATAACAGTTTAATATAATTCTCCATAAAAATAATCCACATGAAAGAAATATCACCAGTGAAAGTGAGAGTATGGAAATGAAAACATATTTCGGCATCGTCTGCTCGCGACAATTCGGAGGATGAGCGCAAGAAAGGCGATTAAAAGCAATTGCATTAATTGACTTTTCAACTTCCCATATTAAATTACAGACAAGAAATTTTGTGATTGTGACATTTTCTCTTGTTGCACTCTGTGAATCTCAAAACAACTTCGCCACGACATTTATATTGGAAATTCATTGAATCTTCCACTCTCTCGCCTTTCCTTTCCTTTCAAACTCAACAATCTGCAATAAAATTTAAATTACTGAATAAGCACGGCATCTCAGTGTGTGAAGATATTTGAAATACATTACTTTTTGCAATATTATAGTGAATTTTCTCTCTTTTTTCCTCACACCATTTCTCACAGTGTATCAAATCCAAAAGATCTCAAAATAAACATCAAATTCAATGGCAAATTTCGTCTCAACGACGAGATGTATAATTCAATCACAGAGCGCAAATTCATGCCCTCAACACTTCGATAGATTAGATAATTGAATATTGTTAATTTAATCTAATGAAGAGAAATGTCTGAAGGCACAATTTCACTTCACAACCCATTCAATCCCATATAAAAAATTGGCTGCACCATTTTTGGAGTCTGCCTAAGTAAAATCCAACAAATTAACACACGATAGACTCTCAAAAGTGGATCAAATAACTTCAACCATATTTGGCGGTAAGGAAATTACAGATAGGGACAAGACAGCAACAACCTCTCTTGATTATGCGATCAAACATTGCGTTACAGCAGAAAATCCAACATCTCTGCGGAATGCTCAAGTGATTGAGGCAAGAAGTCACTTCATTAGCTTGTTGTTTTCATCTCAACTCCTTTTTTTGTCTTCCCATTCAATTGCCCATCAAATTATAGAACGATATTTCACGAGTGAGTGAACATTTTAATACTCTCCAGTTTATCGGTAGCGTCAATAAATCATTTTTTCAATTGAATTTCATTCACATTGACTTCGCTAAACCTTGAGAAGCTATAGTTGAAATGAAAACTTCACGCACAAGATTCTTTACATTTTCCCAACACCCACATTTTGACAGAATTATCCACATTTTTCCATCCTTGTTAAATTAATACAGCAATTTTCACTCTGTACACTTTTTTCCTCATTTACAATTTTGCCGAGGTGTTTTTCGTGCTAGTGAGTCATTAAATGTCACACAAAATAGAAAATATTCACCTCCAACACCACGTCTTTTTGTCTTTTACTCCTCTTCCACCGCAGCCAAAATGGACACAAAATTAGTGAAGAAGCAGCTTTTGCAAAACTAATCGATATTTCACCAACTCAAGTCGCCTTTCAGGCACTTTTTCGTACGGAAATTAAGACAATTTCCTAATACAACGAGATACTGCTCAATTCACAACAAGCACCTCAGCACAACTGAGGCGAAAATCATCGGGAGACAAATAGCTGAGGAACAGAACTGTTGCCAATTCTAACTCGAATTGGCGAACATCCAGACAATTTGAAAGGTGAAAGAAGGAAGAGGAAAAACAAAAATATTCTCACTCAAAATAGGTTTTCTGCTGCACAAATGGAGAAGACATGAAGAAGCACTTCACTGTGCGTACTTCAACTGCATTCCAGAATACATTTGCTCAAAAATATGATATTGCCAAAGTTATAGAATAATAAGTGAATAAATTTCAGGTTTAAATCGACCTCTTTCGACTCATTAATCTGTTCAGAAGTTCTTTTCTTGCCAAATATCATGAAATCAATTAAAGAAATGAACTAGTTTTAGAACATTAATTTGAGAGCTTAACTGCGAGATTTCAGGCTTCAAAGGTGTATAATTGTTCTTATCTTTCTGTCTAAGACAATGCCATCAACTCTATGCCCAGAATGTGTTCTAGAACAATAATTCCTCTCGATCTGCATGCCTGTTCAGGTCCACAAACCATTGAAATGCCCTTTTGCCTTTCCTGCGTGTGTCACAATCCATTGAAATTACTTCAACAGGATTTACTATACTTTAAGCACATAATGTCATATTTATGCATTGCAACATGACAACATTGATTTTCTTGTGCTGTCTTCAGGGCGCTTCTCTAAATCCTTTTCCAGGCTTCGAAGGCCTGACAGTCATTAACTCAGCCACACGAATATCCGTGTAGACAAATGAACGCCATAAAGTGTAATTGGTGTCTGAGAGACGGTTCCAGTATTAAAGAGTTATCATAAAAAAGAGTCATGCTTCGATGACATCACATATTCAGCTCGTACAGAAGCCAAGCGTATGCAAATTATCAATTAATATTTGAATAGATGCGAAAGGGAGGGAAGATGGGCGTGAAGAGGACAACAGAGATCTGATACTCACTTTGAAATGACTTCCCGTGAGCCAAGGCTGCAGGCCGTCGATCAGCATCCCCAGGTCCGAGCAGATGAGCTCGTTTTCGCTATCGCTGAGGAAATTCACGAGATCCTCCGCGAGCTGCGCTCTCACCCGCATGTCAGCCTTGCCCATCAACGCGATGAAGCCATCCAGATCGGCGGGGCGATTGTAAGCCATGTTGACACTCTGGGATTTGCCTCACTTTCACAGATTTTCAGTGCAGAATCCTAATCCTCTTCTAATACATCTTCACACACACATTTCTCCAAAAACTCCACACATTCCACTCTGTCAGAACACTTATTGCTTCGCACTTCTTGCGGAAGAATCTGCTAATCAGAAATCACGTTCAAATTGCAAAATTCTCGTCTCAGTTATATAACAAGACTGATAAACACACTTTTCGCACAACCAAATCTATGATCCTCGCGGGTGGTCCTCGAAATTTTCACACCTGTAAAGACAGACAATTGAGAGAACAGAATTAATAAAAGTAAAACAACAAATCACTCAAGGTTGCTCAATTTTATCAGCGAGTACGGAATGACGTAATACGATAGATAGTGAAAATCTGAACCGCGAGTGAAAAGATTGAGAGTTTTTCTTGGTGGCCGCCGAACAACTCTTCCCGGATAACGGAGAGAGATGTGAGAAAAGTTCCCCTCTCCAGACGAAAAACACACTCAAAGATGTCACATATCAAAAATCGACTTTTTCTCGCAGATTATCGTGAAAACTCATCTCACTGACCACAATAAATTGTTTGTGTGACTCTTATCAAAGAGTTTTGATTAGCTAGACTGGAAAACTTGCAACTTTTTGAAGGTATAAAAGGTGTTTCAATAAATAGTGACACTCTTTTACACTCACTTTTCCCCGAGTTTTCGTGTGTTTTTCCACTTCTTCAATCTCATAAACCACTCCCAATCATCACTTGGTGCATTGCTGAGGGGAATTTTGGGTGTTTTGACACTGTTGCTGCATCTTCCAGTGCTGAACTTTCACGAGAAATTCGTGTGTGAAATTTTTTGCAAGAGTGTCAACCATTTTGGTCCTTTTTTGGAGTCTTTCTCTTTCCCCGCAAATTCACCCTTTTCCCACTACTCATAGCATCCCAACATGCTCCCAACCATACTCACAGCAGTCCTGGTGGATTTGTCTACGAATTCTGATGTGATTTTGCACTCAAGTCCTGATATTTTAACACAAAAAACTCCTGAAACATCTTCAACACAATTTTCCGCCTCGAAAGTCGCACTCCACTACACACAAATGGCCGGAAACTAAATATGGCTGCCTGTCGAAATGACACTCTGCGCTGGCGGCGCCTCTGCAGACTGAAGTGAACAATGTTTTCGAAGATCATTGGATTTGAAATCCCAAAAATGAGAAACGATCTTTCACTTTTTGTCTTACAAGAAAATCTCCGCAGGGAAATTCATGTGAATAAAAACATTTGGTTTGAATTAAACGTTTATTTTGTGGTATCACAGAATATATTTACAAATATCAGTCGGAAATAAACATATAAAATATTCTTTCCAATAAATTCACAGGGTGTGTGTATTTCGATTTTCTTTCTCAAATGGTCTTGCTGTGAAAAGGGAAGTGTAAAAAAAGATAAACGGTAAATCTTTGGCGACAACGAGGGACATGTGAAGTGTCTTTATCTTGCACTCTCATTTTCATGAAATATATATTGGTTGTAAATTGCGGACGATAAGGTACTGTCTGATACGCAAGCCCGATATAATTTTGCTTCCAAAAATACACCGGGGAAAACGCCTAGAATGGGGCCGCTTTTCCAGTGGAAATCAGCCCGCAGAGGGAAGTTAATTGGTTTTCACTTAGATATGTTAATTTGGATACGGGAATAATTTAGCTGAATTATTTTCCACTTAAGTGTGTCTATTGTATGCGTTTTTGTGTGATATGTGTGGGCAGCTTTTCAAGGATATACATATGTATTGCTCTGATGAATTAAACGTGACTTGGGCTGGGGAATTGAAGACTCTCGCGAATGTTACTTATACTTTACGTAGTATGAATTGTATTACGCTGATTCACTTATCGCTATTGTAAATATTAGTAAATAGAGGACTTCGATAGTGTTGAAATTTGGGGAGTTCGATTTTGCCAGAGGCGCCCTGTGAAGCACTTCTGAGTGGATTTCCGAAAATTCTCACCGGCGATCTTCTCGCCATCGATGGCACAGATAGCAAAACATGGTTATCAACTTCTAGAAGTGATGGAGACGTGAAATAGTTGATGAAAAAGAGGAAAGGGCGCCCCATTAAATGAGGGGCGGATCGTCAAAGTCCGTGCCCATCATCACGTCCTGATACGAGGGTCGATGGCGCACAAAGAAGCGCGACACCACGGCCTCGCGAATGCGTTGTGCCACGCGGTAGCGCACCGTGCCATACACGACACCCACGATTATCAATACCACGAGAATGGGTATCAAAATGCCGCCAACGATGTGATGGGAGCTCGGCGGGCGGCGCAGGATGACCTGCACAGTGTCGGCTTTCGCGGTCCCCGGTCGCCGCTGCACGCAGTACTCCGCCTCGCTCTCGTACATGGCGTTAAACTGGTAATTGTCCGTTTCTGAGCACTCGCACTTGCCAACGGTGGACTCCATAAGTGTCTGTAAACATCTTGAATTAATTGGACAATCGTTGTCCAAATCGGAGGTACTGCAATTTTTCACTGCGAATAAAGCAACTCAATTAGCCTACATTCGTCCCGTTTGGCGACAAAATACCATGCTTCCGATACGTACCTGTATGTTCACAATATATACAAATGGTCACGATTGATAAATTTATTGATATTCCAAGAAAACTAACAAAATTCATTTTCCACGATCCAGCTGTGGTCGTCTAAATAGAGTTTTCGTCTCACCTCTGACACCCTTTGTCATATGCAAACGCCCCAAACAGCCACGGTGGCGCTGGAAGGCATCTTCGAACTTTGCAGACCCGCGACCCCGATTGAAAGTGCGATTTCTCCAATATGACTGAAGATATTCAATACAACTTTTCAGATTGGATAAAATCCTGACTGTGGGCTCTTTTGTGTTACTTGATTCCTACAATATCCTTGTTGGAATAATACTCTTGTATGAATTCACAATCGCCGCCGTCGAATTAGAATCGCCTCCATACTCCAGAGAACATTCGGTCATCTTTTCGATCACCAGTCACCAGAGGCGCTGGCAATCAAAACAATGGATTTCTTCGTTGAGGGAATTTGTGAGAAAATGTGCACCGAAAAGGAGATCAACCTGTAAGTACACAACCTAGATATTGCACAATTTGGAGAAAACATCTCACGGTGACTCTTTTTAAAGGAGAATTCGAGAGAAGTTGGTGCACTTCTTCGAGAAAAACCCAAAAACCGGAGGTGTTGATAAGGCGCGAATGGTGAGGGCGTTTGCAAGATCAGCAGCCGGAAAGGAGTGCACAGCTAGGGATTTGAGGACAGTTTCTGCACTAAAGCAGACAGTGTCTTATCTCTTGACAGAGTGAGTTGCCTTCACACCATGATGGGCTAGAGAAATTCACAGAATAGTTGCTTTTCAGGATACTACCGGACAAACGAAAGCCTTTTCATGAAGTCTTTGACTTTATCTTTGACCGCATGAGATCTGTGAGACAGGAAATCGTCATGCAAAATATCAGTCCTATCGACACACTGGCTCTCATTGAACCGATGATATTCTTCATGGTTTACAGTCGATATCGGTTATGCGAGGAACCGCTGATGAACTTCGATCCAAAGATTTGTCGCCAGCACATGATTGAGTGTGTGCAAACAGCTTTGGTGTGTTATGACGAGAGCCACGAGAGACTGGAGAATCGCCCCATAGTTGAATCCGTCTATTTGCTGGCAAATCTGGGCAATCAGGATGCTCTTCGCCGAGGGTTGTCCGTGTTTGAGCGCTTGCATCACTCCAGCGTCTTCCTCACTGCCTTCAAGATGTCCCTCTACAGCTGGAAGGGAAACTACTATCGCACCCTCGCAATGTGGAGCGATTTGCCCACAATCTGCTGTCTGGCTGCTGCTGAGAAAATCCCGGACATCCGTGGGAAGCTTCTGGAAACATTCTCAGTGTCTTATCACAGCCGACAACTGACCGTTCCTCTAGCGTGGCTACAAAAAATACTTCGATACGGCGACAGGTGTCATCTGGAACAAGATCTGCGGCGATGCAGCGTGGAAATTGTCAATAGGACTGATGCGAGGTTTGATAAGGCTGCCTTTGATAAACGTGGGAAAATTCTGTTGCATTCCCATGAGGCTATTGTGGAGGAAAAACTAACGGCAGAGCCGCTTGCATTTCCAATTTAGCACTCGTACTTCATCATAAACATCTCAGAAGCGTGGGCAAGAATCAGGAGCGAAGAGGTAAGAGGACAAATGATATTTATTCAGTCTCACACAATGAAGAAACATTGATTTTTTGCACTTTTCACCTGTGAATTCTCATGAAGCACAATAATTAACATACGAAGAAGACTGCAATAAGGTGATCTATATTGCATGGATTTGATTTCGTGATAGAATAATTCAATTGACAATTATTTTAGAACAATAATTCCCACTTTTTCTCCATATATGACTTCGCTGTACACGATTAGACTTATGTATTTGCAATAAATCAATAAATAGTTCATTCTAAGGTCAAGTCATAGATTGATGCCAAAAATAGACCACGATTTCTCCTTAGATTTATTTAAGTAACAATTCTATATGGAGTAAAAAAGAACTTACGATTTTACGACACTTTTCACACTCTCTAAATTTACACACGCGCCGATGATGAGACGACAAGGTGGAGAAGGAATATGGCAATTGCTAGGCACGAATTGCTATTGTACTGTTTCCATGCTGCGCTCTTTTTGAATATTCGCTTGAAGCCTTTCTTCTTCTCATGTGGCGATTCTACATGTTCCACAAGCGTGTTGCTGGGTTCCGTGAATTCCTCATCGGGAATATCTTGCTCTGGTTCATACTCTGTCGGCTTGGCTATGTGCTCTTCCTCGTCGATGACGTCGTACGGCGGCCACTTCCTGTTCAGATTGTTCTCAATTACCTCTTCGGTATTGAAGAGTACCACGCGATCGCCCAGCGGTTGCGTGGGGCGGAAGTTGTGGGTCATTTTGTGTCCATGCGCGTCCTCAAGAGCGCGAAATTTCTCTATCTGCAAAAACGTTACGCCAAGTTATATTTAGAGCTACAAAAAGGGTTAATTGCTTAAGCATATAACTGAGTTTTATTGAGATGTGAACTAGAAATGACTTCGGAAAGCTGATAATAGGCAAAGTCAATTTCATTGCTCAATCGCAAGACGCGCAAATTAACCGGCATAATCAATGAGAGGGAAATTTCGGGTTTTTCTTGAATTTCATGTGAGAAATTGCTGCTGTAAACAATATTAATCAAAAGGCGTCCTGATTGCCAGAAAAAAGTAGTATAATAAAATGGTGACTTTTTCGAAAGACAACTTTTCAATGTCGCGCGTCGATTGGAGTTTTTTTTTTCATTTGCGTATCAAGTAACAGTTGAAAGAATGAGAAGATCTCACATTTTATCGTCGCATTCTTAGAGATGATAGAGAGCTCGGGAAATTAATGCTGTGTCATAAAAATTATGCTCACAAATCACTCAGTTGACGCCACTAAATCATAATCTTGTTTTTGGTGATTTTTTCTGGTGTTTTCGAGATTTTATCTCGTATTTTATACACTTTTCCTCTTTTCTGAAGTTTTGTCATTGGTTCAAAATTGATCCAATTTATCACATGGTTTAAAATTATATGAGGGAACTTTTTTTTTTATAGAAAATGCATTTTTCTTGCAATTTTTTGAATCAGTTCTGCTGTTTTGAAGAACTCTTTTACTACGCATGAAGTTATAATTGTTAAAATGTAGTATCCTTGTGATACTCAACCAATGAAGTGCGTGAGATTTCCTTGACTATTTCTCCACTCATTGTAATGAATTGAATGCTATATTTGCTGAACTTACTTGATTGTGAGAGAGAGTGATTGGTTCCTTAAAGTCAATCCAAACGACAACTTCGCTGCACGGCGGCGTCGTGAGTGAACCGTTGTACGTGAAATAGTTCGTAACATCGTGCCCTATGAGTTGTCGCACATTTGTCAGCGTGTCGAAAGGCACGCCCGTTTGTGGCTTTTGGATCAGATCCAGGAGTTTTGTGAAGTCATCATAGGCGGGATTGTCGTCGGCAGTAACTTCGAAGAAGAACGCCAGCACGGCCAGGCCGTCCTCGTGTTCCAAAGCTGCTCGGGAATTGCGATATGTCAACTTGTAGAAGACAAGATGAAGCTCCATGGCGAAGCTGTGGCTGTCAATCATGTCCTCACTGCCCATCGTGTCGTTGTCGCCCCAGTGAAAGTGCAGCTGCGAGAAGACGTAATCGCCTGACAAGGGACCGCCCGAAATCGCGATCTGAGGATCAGTGTCCACTTCCAGCATCACTGACAAAAGAATATTTCATTTGCTTATACATTGCGTGATTGTGTTTTGTGTGGCTAAGATTTTCTTTTCCAATATCTGACCAATTATCTGCGCCTCTTGAGAAATGCATCAATGTGACGCTGAAGGCCGATTTCAATTTAACCGCATGGGAGACAATCTGGAGCTTCGAATCAATTATCATGTTTAATGTAGTTTCAAATCGAAATTAAAGCTTGAATTCTCCAATTGTTCCGGCAATTTTCTGTCACGCGTTCATCGATGAAGGCATCAATGTTTTCCTCTGCGCCCGTATGCACAGTTCGAGATAAAAAAAATATGAGACATGACTCTTTTTGACATCAATTGGATGAATTCAAAGCAATTTCATTGGATGCAATTGAGGCGCTCAATAGATCAAATAAAGCCTCATTCTGTCCCACGCAATTTGGCGAAGGAAGTGCGCAAATAGAAAAAAAGGTCATCCAGGAATGATTTTGGTAAACTGTCCAAAGTGCGATCACGTGAAAGATGCTTATTAAAGATGATCGCCAGCGTGATGAGATTTTTTTCCTCCTTCCACGTTTTTTACGATTACAATATAATTTTTTTAACGCAATGCGATCAATCATGTTTGATTGTTGAGTTTTGCTGCCGCAAACTCTCCACGTGGATATGCTGCAAAAAATAATTTATGGGACTTAAATCGCGCGACTCGAGCGAATCACATGATTTTTACAAACACTAATTTGCATTCCGAAACTGCTTTTTTTGCCCACTCAGTCTCGCGATCATCCAGGTCTCTCAACCACCTCTTTATTGACGCAGCAGCTTTTTGCAATGGATTCTCTCTTTTTCACCTTTGCAAGTGTTGTTGCTTTCTGTTGGGAAATTAATGGGTGATTTTTTTGTGTGAAGATTCACCACAAAAAAAGCTAATATGACCAGATTATGAACTTCAAGACACTCTTCAAGTGGAGCTTCAAGAAGTCTCGAAGAACTTTCTTGGGCTGCGGTTTCAAGATTAATTCACGCGCGATGATGAGTTTGTTATCCCACAATTTCATGGTCAGAAAGGTCATAGATGATGGAAAATTCTAATGCTGACAAGTATCTGGTTTTATCAGGAAAAAGTAAATCAACACATTGGAAAGACGCGCAACAAAAACCAGCATTCTCATTAACAGTATGGCATTTTTTGAAGAGACAATTAGTCGATATTCTTTGTCGGTGTGAAAATGATGAAATTATCGCTCCGAAATGAATATTAAATACGGAAATGTAAGTGCGAAAATTGTACTTCCTTCCACGGAAATGCTCCAGGTGTAAATCTCACAATTGGTTAAATTACCCTAAGTAATTCGCCCTTCTCACACCATTTTGCACAGTTCTTCTGCTTGTCGTCTCTTTGGCACTTTCCCTCGCGAGAGTGCTAAAGAAATATTGACAGTGCAATATATATATTTACCCGTGTGACCATTGTTTGTGAGGTTGGTTCGCGCCGGTTGCTGATCGAAGCCAATAAACTCGAGTGGTGGCAAATTGACCGGCAGCACGTCCAAGGAATCAATATTGATGGGGCTCTGGTGTTTCCCGAAGCACGTGTTGTACTGCTCGCCCCAGTGACTGGGTCCTGCAATTAAGAGGGAGGCGCTTTGAGATTCTGATCTGTCAACAAGCATGGAATTTCTATGAAATCTCTCAATCTGATCGCAAATTTAATTGGACTTTATTTGCCGAACGGAACACTTTACACGAAGAGAGTGTGAAACTTATCACATAATTACCTATTTCACCATCATATCCGAAGTCTTGACAGTGGAGTTTTTCAGCAACTGTTGGGAGGAGTCGGAAAAAAGGCTGATTAATATGTTTTACCAACTGACAATAGGCATTATCGCCACACTCTATCGATCCTGCTGGCGCTTGAATTAACACGTGGAACATCGTTGTGCTTATGAGTTGACACATACTAAATATTTAGTTGCCTCCAATTTCCCCAGCAATACTTGTTGACATTCAACCAAAACCTCCTCTTCACGAAATATGGGGGTGAAAGTCAACAAATTATCCGAATAGTTTGTAAATAAATCGGGATTGTAATGCTGCCTTTTAATCAACAATTCATGCTTATCACTGGCTTCCAGGGAAAACATTGCAGCAAATTGAGATGCGGATGATAACATGTATTTTCATTGTCAGACAGTTGTTGCTTAAGGGTTGAAAATTGTCTGTGTTAATTGGTCACACAGCGCATCACGACATTTTCCCACATTTTCCCGACGTGGGAGAATGAAGGGGTCGTGTTGCAAATATCATTTTCAGCTTTACCAGTTTAGTAGTATAACATGCAAAGGGAAAACGACCCAATTATTGATATCTTCACATATTTTTTATTGATCAGAGCAGAGGCATTGGGTCAGGAGACCCGCTCAGGGTTTAACCCACTCTCGGTGTGATGTTTAATGCATGCGAAACGCGCGACAATTTCAGGTTCAAGAGCATAATCACGATGTGGTCTATTTGCACAAGAATCAATCAATCTCTCTAAATAAATTACGAATTAAGCTGTTGTGGGAATTGTGAGTTCATATGCTCAGTACAAATTCAATTATGGTCTTGATCTGGAAAGATAATTCGTCACAAGAGGAAAAACACAGTTCGTTTCCAATTTAATTAATTAATTAAATGGTAATTGCAGTGTGTAAAATGGTGAGTTGTATCGCTGAAGGTGGAGCTAATAGTGTCATCATATTAAGAATTAATTGTTCTCACAGGAAAAATGATAATCAATGAAAAAATTCACAGGAACGTGTGAATGTAGATTTGCAGACGGGTTTGTAGATGTTCTAATTTAACACGATCGAAACTTTGCACAATCACTTAGCATATGATTTACTAGTTATTTTTAGTATTCTCTCACAAAATTACATAATAACGCTAAAGGCTTTCCTCCATTGAATGACAAAAAATGCGTATTTATGGCAAATATGCTTCTAATTTCGGGTTGGGTAAAAAAGAGCCCCGAAAAAAGAACACTTTTCACTATGACTAAGATTGAGATTTTGGGGTCTTTAAACACAAAACTAGACCTCACAAATTTTATCAATGAGGTTTTCTCAGAAAGAGCGTGATTCAGAAATTTCCCACCGATTTCGCACAATCCTTTCTGTTATTTGAGAAGAGCTTTTCACAAATTGATTTCCTTCATTAGCAACCTCATATTTAATTGTTAACTTAAACTTTACTCACACAGCGCATTGCTGTAAATCATTTTAAAAAGGCGTGAATCTCACTTTATTTTGTTGATGGAGCAGAACAAGGAAGTGGGTTATCAAACATCCTGCAAGGTTCTGTAGTTCACTTACCTAAAACAATAATAAGACACCTAATAAAAAGACCGCAACTCCAGTCATTGTCAGAAAAACCCTTCATTATCACTGGTAATCGCGCAAAAAGACCATTAAAATCAACACGAGATGAATTTTAGCATTGACAAGAGCACTAAAGTGAGCACAAAATAGATAATGGGTGTTCCTTCTGTCCACAGAATATCTCTTGGAGGGAATAAAACACCTGCACGACAATGTCAACCGCTTCGGCGAGAACCTGGACTGAAGAGTGCGGCTCATCTGTCCACTGCTTTTATACGCTCAACCGCGCCGCCATGAGAAACGATGGCAGAGATCTCCAGCGACTTCCACATTCAATTCCGCGATAAGTGCATCGAGACGGCCCGGGAAATCTCGCGGCTTTCTCGGGTGCGTGTCTGAGATGCAATGAATTTACTGAAGAATGTCAATCGCCCGCGAAATTAACACATTTGTGCCCATTCTCACACAATTTTCGCCCAGATTAAAGCAACGTTCTTGATGAGCCCACATGAAATTTTCCCCAATTGACACAATAAATGAGAGTGAATTGAAAGTTATCAACAGATTTTATTTATATCTAAAAGAGGAGATAAATAAACCGTAAAAACCTTCATTCTTCGTCAACAGAGCAGATTCAGATAAGTTCATTGCCATGTTTTGTCGTGCACTCAAAATTAGGTAATAAGGAAAAAGATGGACTTAGTAAAAATCTTTATACACTGTTTTCTTCCGTAACAAGTCGCCAGAAAGTGCTTGAGAAGTTTATATTAAATTTAACTGTAGCAGAAACTCTCACTTTTCACTAGGAAAACAGAGAAAACATCTCAGAGAAAAATCGAGAACAGCAATTTCTTCTCAGTTGATGTTTGCCGTAAAGAAGGACGTCTCAGTCATACTTCGTGCTTTATCCTGGCAAGACGTTTCCTTCCAAGTTTCCTCCGTGATGTTGCTGTGTTGTTATCTCCACTAACAAGTGGAAAGTGAATTTCTTGGGCAAATATCAATATTTGGCGGAAGTTTTCCTACCAAACAATTCAGTAATTCTAGTGTGTAATAATCTTAAGGAGGGACTTTTGCCCAAATATCTTGAATAACTACTTGAAAAGTCCCCAATAACCATCCTGCGACCATTGATAATTGAATTAATTTCAATCACCCACTGCCTGTTTACGGTTCAATTGAATAATACTTTGCTTGTTTGTTGATGAGAAAGGGCTTAATTGTCTTATTATAAAAATTTTCAGGTGTTTCGTCTCTGAGATTCGCTCATATAATAAAACATATAAATGGAAACAATAAAATCCTTCTTTGTCATAGCAACTGATGGTGATGTACATGGCGAAAATTCCACAATTCTCAAGCAAAATCTGTGGAGGTAAATAAAATTTGATACTAATTAATTGAAACATAATGAAAAAGGTTATTTATCGAATTGCAAAAGCTCTCGTTCACTTCATTAAATGAATTTCAAATGACGATTTCACAGAAATACATAAACTTCGTAATTGATTCTCTCTGGTAGGAATTTCAGCGCCTCAATGGGATTCCGTGGAGAAATAGAACCCGAATTCCTCAGTACAATTAGTATTTTGTGGCTCAGAGCTCAGCCACCGACTGCGCAGGAGCATTTTGCCATGGGATTGGCGTACACTTGTATGATGATTCTTGGAGTGACTGGAAATTCTCTCGTGATTTACATGTTCTACCGGTGAGTTTTCCTTTAAAGTGGTTGTTTTATATGCACAAAGAAAGTGCTCTTAATGCAATGTCAGTAAAAATGAAATTTTCTTTTGATATCCTGACGGATGGCAAATATTTGCCTAGAAGATTGCATAAAAGTTCTATGGCGATTTTATCGTATTTTTACCTCATTCACATGCATGTGTCTCTTTTTTTCTTCTCTCAAGATGCCGGACACTGAGGACTCCTGCAAACACCCTCGTGATTAATCTGGCTCTCAGTGATTTGGGAATGATGGCCAAGATTCCTGTTGTGATCTACAACAGCTTTCATTACGGACCGGCTCTCGGTTCTCTCGGTAATTGCATAGTCTTTTGATATCCTTGCCAAAAGAGTTTGGAAATTTATAGAAGTGCATACAAACAGCTTGTCAGCTTTATGGCTTCATTGGCGGATTAACTGGGACAGTTTCCATTGCGACACTTACAGCCATCGCCTTTGAGAGATACCGCGTCATTGTGTATCCACTGAGTAGTCAACGTTCTGCCAGTCATCAGCGAATTATCATCGGTTTCGTGTGGTGCTTTGCACTGTTCTTCTCGGGAATTCCACTCCTGGACATCGGAATGGGCCGATATGTGCCTGAAGGCTACATCACCTGCTGCAGCTTTGACTACTTAAGCGCTTCCGTGCGGACGAAGATCTTCCTTGTGGTGTTCTTCATCTGTGCATGGTTAATGGGCAAAGAGTGGGCGACAGCAAGGAAAGTCAATACAAATCTTTCTTTTCAGGTGCGTTCCATTCCTAACCATCGCTTTCTGCTATCTGCAAATCCTTCGCGCTGTGGCATTCACCAATCGTCTGCAGTGCACGAAGAATTGTAGCAAGATTGAGATGAAACTGGCCGCGGTGGTTTTCGGTGTCATCGCGCTCTGGTTCATCGCGTGGACTCCGTACGCAGTTGTTGCTCTTCTGGGCATATCAAAGTTTCGCTATTTGCTTACTCCCTTCAATTCCATGCTGCCCGCATTTTTCTGCAAGGCTGCCGCCTGCCTCAATCCCTACTTTTACGCTCTGACGCATCCGAGATTTCGCCACGAGATCCGCAGGATGTTCAATGAAGCAGGCAGAAAGGGGACACTGAAGTATGTGACATCCTTTTCGCGCTTCGCCACAAGAAGACGCACCATCAGGGAGGCATTCGACTCAGAAGATGCTGGCGAGAGACGAGCAGAAGCTGCTGAATAGATGGAAGTTGGGGAGAATGTACGAAATGTGCCTTGAAGATCTCTCAGGAGGTTTGTTGTGCAATATTCATTAGGGATTTGCGCAAAATATTCACCATGCCAATTGTAGTTTGCGTCAATATGTTAATGTATTTTGCAGCACAGTGAAGAAATAGGAGTTAATTGGTCATTAATTCATTGTGTACTTGATAGGAGTGAAGGAAAATACTTTATCAGTTTTCTCATTCAAAATTCTCTGTGCGCCGAATTTCGGATTTTGCAATATGTGTACAATGTGAAAAGCGCTTTTCTCTCCACCACACAAGGCCGTTGCCATGAGGAGAAAGTCCGTGAGTGAGAGTACATGGGGAAAATGAACGTGAATTTTTCCATTTTCTCCCAAATAGCGATGCGCACGTGTCTCTCGGAGAGCCAGAGAGCGAGAGATGATACGCGGGAGGAAGAGAGACTCGCCGATTCGCAGACAGTCGCTCGCCGGACGCTAACACTGGTGGTGCATTTGCACGCGCCCTCAAGGATTTTCCTCCAGCCATTCCTGGGAGTGTTGAGAGGGTGTCAAATACACCGTGCCAAAGTCCAGACGAGAGTGGCAAAAGTGGCTAGAAGATTGCGACACGCACAAGAGCACTGCTCGGGTGGACATCTTAGTGAATTTTCCAGGCGGTGTGTGCGGAAAATGTGAGTGGAAATAGGTTGAAGGGAAAAACAGCCAAGATGAGGGCATTTTGCTAAGTCTTCAAGACATCAGGCGACACACCAAAGTCACGACGTGAGGGCGGTGAGTGATTTTTTCTCGTTTACTCCGCAACTCTTTTATATGACTACAAATTGCCAACATCAATATTATTGCCACAAAATTGATTACATCGGGGAAAATATGGTGAAAAAACTCTCGCGAGTGTAAGTTTTTTTTTATTCCACCGGGAGAAATTAAGTGAGAAATTATCGAGTGATTTATGTCCGTCTTGAGGAGTTGGTGTGCATTGGAGAAAAAAAAACAGCGCGCAAGGGTGAAATTCAGTGATGAGATATGGATAGAAGTAGTGAAATATAGTGGAAGAATTTCCCAGTGAGCATATTTTTTCACTTCCCCCTCATTTCATCAAACATTTCTCCTGGCATGAGTTGGCCAAATTGCCGGCACTAGATTGTAGATTGTGATTCCTTTTATGAGCCCCAATATCTACTATTTGTCACTGCTCGCAACTCGAAACTGAAGCCATCGAGCAGTGCTTTTATCGAATTTCAAGAAGTCAAGAGAGTCTCGATGTCTTTGCGTGCAATTTTCCCCGCTTTATGGGCGAAAAATTGTCAACTTTCACGAAAGTAGGGAGCAATTTTCGCAGTGTGTCTTCGTGTGTGGCCTCCTGAAGGCACTCCTCGCGCGCGCCCCAGAATCGTCATCGGCGTGGAGCAGAATGATGGTTTGCTCACCTCAAAGAGCGACCAGCAAACGCATAAACACTGTTTTAATTCAACACAAACATTCATATTCTATTTTTAACGCATTTCAATTTACAAAATTATTCAACTATTATGTGTGCTTTTGGCCTTTTCACACACACAATATCTCCTCTCTGCACCGCACCCTCTTCTGGTTTTGTCTGCTAATCCTCGGAGTCCCAATCAATTTGCCCCAATTCCCGACTCGCGAAGCGAGATTCTCGCCACGCGGGGAGAGAATAGAATCCAGAAGCCGCCGAGGAGGCGGAAATGGCAATTCAATTTTCCCATTGCGTGGAAAGAAACAATTTCGATGTTGCCACGAGATTTCTTCATGGTGAAAAGTTCTCAATTCACTGTGGTCTCGAGAGGGAATTCATCACGCCAAATAATGAATACCTACACACTCACTGTGGTTGAAAAATTTTGTGAATGAAATTGCCTTAGGCGATGATTTCCCCGTAATTATCAGTCTTTGCGAAGGGTGGATTTCCCCGAAGAGTGAATTGAAGCATCAGAAAAGAGTGTTTGCATTTCCAGCAGAAAATCTTTTTGAGATTTATTGCAGTGCATTGTCTTCACTAAAGTCTCGAAATAGTGTCTCAAAATAAGCATACAATTTGATTTTGTGCCTTTTTTTATAGATTGTTCAAGTTCAATTTCAATATTCTTACTTTTTTTCAACTTGCTTGAAAATTGATGAACCGATAAAAATCACTCCTTTCTTTTTCTTCTGCAGAAGCCACTTTATTTTGGACCAATTTCCACTGTGTTGCTATAAAACTGCATGTTTCGTGCTCACTCTTTCTTACCCTTTCGACGCTCTTTCACCAGCCGCGTCGCGACGGAATGCACTTATTTGCATCTTTGCGTGTCATTTGCAACTGTTGCAACTTATATTTATACTTGAGAAAGTCGCGAGTGGGCCACAAATGACGACAGAGTTTCACTTTCATTAACTTCATGTTCTCGCCAGAAGTTGAGCTTCTGCTTCGTGCGATTTTTCTGTGGCTCGGAATTTGTAAAATGAGAAGATTGCCTTGCACCTGTGCCGGGCAATCAATGAATGAATATTCATTGGTAAATTTCCTTTTGCAGCGCGAAATGGTCGAATTGACCTTTCGATGGCTTCCGGCGGCTTGTGGTGGCCTCGGGCCGGTCCTTCTGCCCCCTGCCCACATCGCCATCCTCTACTACTTCTGGCAGAACTACGCGCGCTACGTGGACAGGCGCTTCTGCTCCTGCTCGTGCTGGGACACAGTCTTCAAGGGTGAGTGGCGAATCGCCAGAACAGCCAGATTCGCTAATAGGCGCGCACTTTGCAGGCACTTATGAGTCCGGAATCGCGTCCTACAAGCATCTGTACTTTAACGCCACTCCGAACACGTTGAAGATCTGGATCCTGACAGTGATCGCCATCATCGCCCTGTACGAGTGCATAAAATACCTCACGAAGCTGCTTATGAGGCGAAGCGTGCGCCTCTCGATGGTCGTGCTCTTCATCTCGTCCATCTTCTCGCATTACTACGCGTGGTGGGCCTACGTGAACTACTACAACGACGACTTCTACAGCCAGTGGAACCACCAGCTCTTCTTTTCGGTCACCGAGCTCATATCCACCACCGCAGTCCTCCATCTGGCGCACACGGACAATCCCGTGACGACGCGCAAGGCGCTCTGCATCGTCGGCATCGCTCTGCTGCACATCTCGGCCAGTGGCTTCGATCAGTTCATATCAAATGTCATCCGCGGCGAAGGATACCCCCATCAGGTCAGTAGAGCTCCTCGGAGTCGGTCGCATTGCCAATCACACTCTCTTTCTCGCCACTCGTGCAGGTCGTTCGCGATTTGGGCTTCATGATTCCGGATCTGCTGCATCTGCTCATTCCGGTGTTTCTGCTGCGGAAGACGCGCCGCGAGAGCTTCTCCACGAGGCCTCTGTATCGGGATTATCAGTTCCAGAAGGACGTCATGGCGATGCTCTTCATCGTGGCGACGCTCTTTGTCGTCTGCTCCTTCCTATAGTGCAGACTCTCTCAATTGTCATCCACATATCACTGACTTTCTGTTCCATTCTTCGCCCCGGCGCACCTTTGGCCCACGAAAGTGTGTGCATTTCTGTGCATGTAGGAATTTTTACACGTAAATTCCATATCAATGTGAGAAGGAGAGTAATTGTGACGTAGGATTAACAGATAACATAGCCCCAGATATATTGATAGTATTATCAAGTAGACAAGTAACATATTTAGACAATAAATTTGTTGATTGATTCTTCTTCCACCCACCCAAAGATAAAGTATGATGTAGGGAAGCTTCTAGTGCGAGACTTCGTGGCGCCCTTCTTTTTTCTCTGACAACGATCTTTTCATACCTAACTTTCTTATCAATTCCTTTGTACGGCAGATTTACAAGGTTAGTGTTATTGTTGTGAAGAATTATTTGATAAAAATTGTATATGGAAAACAGGGAAGAAAAGCCTTTTTCACCGTTAAATGGAAATTACTAAGTCTTTCCATTTACCAAAATGAAAACACGCACTAAAAAGAACGTTTATGTGAGAAAATTTTTGAGATACTTTTCCATCCAGAGAAGAAAAAGAACCTAAAAATAAAAAGAAGAAAAACATCGAAGTTCATTTATCATGTTTTATTTTTTATTTCATATGCTTATATAGAAACTTTTCTGTTTGTACAAAAATTGAGATTTCTCTGTATTTACTTAAACTACAAGACAAAAAAAACTACTTAAACTGTCACAATTTTGACAAATATTTCTGTCCAATGGATTTTTGTTGCACAAAATATATTCTTCTTCGCGGTTTATTTGATTCCCTTTTGCAATTTATTTTGTGCGACTCTTCATCTTGAGGGAATTTGCTTTTTCTCTTTAGATAATTTCAATGGTCAAAGAAAGTCTTCTATACTAAGAAATAGTAAAAGTGAACAGTGGTTGTTTTTCCATGCATTTCTCTCTTTGATTTCGAAGGAGAAAAAGTGCTTCAACCACACTCGCATTTTCTTTTAGAGACGCTAATTGAATTCAAGAATCACTTCCAGTACGTAAAGATAGAGTTATTACATCTCTTTACCAATTGAATAAGGCACACTCCTTTTAATAATGTTCTCTATTTTCTACCACACAGTTTGTATAGTAGGTAATTTTCTCATCTTCACAATTCAAAGAAGATAAAAGATGTTTACTATGGGAAATACAATGAGAAGAAATCCGAGAAAATTTGAAGTGATTCCTAAATATATAATTTCCCGGGGAAAAAACTCGACATCGAAACGGAGAAATTTATTAAGAAGTCATTACAGTCAAGGAAGCATTGCCTACATGCAAGATTTGGAATGTAACACTTATTTTTTGTATTGCAAATTCGCCAAAGACAATTTTTTCACTTAAACATACCTCCCACTAACATTCGATGGAAAATTACTCAAAATTGTAGAGACTGAATGTTCCTTAAAATGTCCTTTTTTCTTGTACTTGGGAAAAATTTCACAAGTCGTCTAATCCGGTAAAATCTTTTTTTTTATTTAAAATAAACATAAAATGTGATTATCATCTTCACTAATACTTGGTTTTCTCTCTCTCTCTCTATCTCTCTTCATCTATTGCGTGTATCTTATGTTAAGAGAAAAAACTGTTAAATATTTTAAGAAATAAAACTAAGAGATAAAACAAACTCTCACATCTCTTCTAGGTGTACGACAAAATAAAAAATGGACGGTAAAATTGATTGAAAAAAATATTCGACAAACAATAAAGAGAAAAGGGGAGAAAATAAAAATATTTACATGGAAATCCACGAACAATCATTCTCATCTACACTTTCTCCTCTCCGCCAGTCATTGTCGTCAGAATATTTTCCTCTCCTCCTGATCTTCTCTCCACCTTCTTTTCAGGCTCCTTGGCAAAAAGCGAGTTAATCTTGAGGTGTTTGATGCTTTTCGATGACGGGAAAATTGCTATTTAGAACACAGCGAACGACGCGCGTGACTTAAATGAACCACTCCTTCCTCTTCGTCACCTGATGACCCGTCGCCGACTGAACGACAGCCTCGTCCGGATCCAAAGCTGCGTCAGCACCCTTGTCTTCCTGCGTGAGATATTCGCCCTTGTGTCGAGCCAAGTATCGCCCGATGAGAATCGCCATGACCAGAAGAAGTAGGAAAAGTATCGCCAGAACGCCTTAAACGAGGGAATTCCATCAGAATATGATTTTTTCCACGCACTCAAAGTGTTACTCACTGCCGAGAATGGCTGAATCCACTTGATTGTAGGCGCGCCTAAGTTTGTCCTCGTCAATTTCCGGCGGAGGACGTGTTTCAATTTCAATCGGTGGATGAGTCACAGGTTCAACTCCGCAGAAGTCTTCCGTTAGTGGCGCTGCAAAGAAAACGCAATGTCAACAAATTCTAATGAGAAACGTTCAGTTGTCCTTGAACTCACTTCCCAGCGATTTCACATTTTCCGGCGGATTTTGCTGGAAGAGCAGCTTCAAAGGATAAATATCGTCGAACGCTACTCGCGAGACACAGCCAACGAAACCATCCGTCATTGACTCATTCTTCCCGATGTACATGTACTCAACATTGTTGAATTGCGCGTCGGCAGAATCTTTAATATCAAAGTGATACTCTTGCGGTGCATAGTTGTCCACCTATAGAAGTACACTCAATTAGTGTGCTATTGAAGATCTTTCCACTTTAAATCTCACCTCAAGCACAACTGTCGTTCCAGAGTTCTTCCTCGAGAATTTCACATCGTGATACTGTCCGAGACCAAAATGTTTATCCGGATAAATAAGCTCTTGCCGCTCAAAGCCAAAATCAAAGACAACGCGCAAGTGTCCTGTAACATAAATAATTTGTAACATTGTACAAAACAATCAATTATATCTCCATTAACTCACCAGAGTTCGACACCATTATCGTGAGATATTCCTTGGACGAATTTGAGTAGAATCCCAGCAAGAATCCTTTGGGATTGGTTGTTGTGAAGCCCACGTGGATATTCTCCCGAATAGTGGATCTCCAAGAGCCCAGAAAATCATACTTGATCATCGAACTGGAGCGGAGATTCACGCCAATTTCATCAGCACAGATTGGTCCCTTGAATGCACTCCAGCGGCAATCACACGTGTATCCGTCATAGCGCTCAAAACACGTGCCATTGTTGAGACATGGATTCGATTCGCATCGTCCAACGCAGCCTTCGGACACACCATAAAGTCCCTTCCTCGCGTGATATTTCAGATCCACTAATTCGCCGTTCAGAAGCAGCGCTCGAATGCAACCCACGTAACCATCACGATAATCGTACGAGGCACCAATAACGAGTTCAGATGTCAGATAAATGGCTCGAACTGGACCTGGAGGCTCCCTGACTTCCGCCTTGAGCGCCCCATCGACGACTAAACGAGCCTCCTTGCGATTCCTCTCCACGCTCACTGAGTGCCAGTTGTTGTCATTGAGATGGTAACTCGTCTCCACGTTCACGCCGAGCGGTCCGCTGCCGGCTTGATACTGGAACTGCAGCTTATTGCCTCCAATGATGCTCAGCTTGATGTAGTCCGTTGGTCCCTTCGCATGGAAGATCACAGCATTCTCAATGGTGGTCCTGAACTCCAGATAGACATCGCCAGAGTGTCCCATATCGAAGCGCGGCAGATTGATCGTGGCATCTGTAATCCGGAATGTAACGACATTGTTGAAGAGATCATCTCCCTCGCACATAAGAGGGCCCAGTGTGTACCGCCCGAACTTCTCGTCGAGCGGCGTGCCTGTGTCACCAAACTGAACTGCCCTCACTGGCAAGTGGTCCTTGTCCGTGAGATCGCCGCTGTCTTCCAGCCAATTGTAGTGATTAGAGTCGCAATTGCACCACTTTGTCTGGTCAAAACAGGTGCCCCAGACACCGCATTCACACCGCCGAGAGCCCGGAACACCGCCTGCCCAGTAGTTCATCCTCTGATTCTGTCGTGACACCCACCAAGCGTACGGATGGAAGCTCAGTTCGTCCGACGGAGAATTCATCAGGCGTGAATTGCGACAAGAGTAGCTCAGCCTCTGCCAGCATGAGTGCGAACGATTGAGCAGGGCCAAAATCTCAGGCATTTCCGCTTCGTAGAAGATCTCCTGTCGATAACTTCCTGGCTCTTGGTATCCATCCACGGTTGTGGAGTGTTCCTGATCGTGGCTCAACACCGTAATCACACGACCATCAGAGTAAAACTCGCACGTGACGGGGAAAGGTTTCAGCGGTCCACTACCGTCCACATCGATGTTAATATTGGCTCGCTGCTGAACTGACTGGACATTCTTGTACGCCTGACACGAGAGCGGATTGAGTGATGTGTGACACACTGCACCAGCATAGCCAGTGTTCTGGCACTCGCAGAAGAATTCCATGGAGTTTTGACGACAGACGCCTTCGTGCTTGCACGGATTCGGATTGCATCGATCAATCATTTGGCAAGCATTGAAGATCACCTCATTCTTGCAGCAATAGTCCTCATCCTTCCAGTCCGTCGGCAAGCGATAGTTTCCATCCACAGAAATCATCCTCATGCACCCAATAAATCCATCTCTCGTCTTACCACCGCCAATGTAGTACACCGAACCCGTGAGAATGGACATCAGCTTCTCCGTGACGGCTGGTCGTCTATTTATATCCAGCACCATTTGATTCTTCGCGAGTGTGAAAACCAACGAATGCCACCGCCCGTCATTGAACTGCTGATTGTGTGGCCGAAGCGTGATCATAGGATAGTCATCCGTCTTCAGATCCACCTTCACAACACCCTCGTCCAGATACAGTTTCACATAGCCTTTGGTGTTGAACTCGTGGTAAAGCAGCATTCCCTTCTCCTCGAATGTGCGGAACCAAAAGGAGACATTCATTTGCTTCATGCCCTCATAGCCGCGCATCTTGGCGTAAGAAGCTCGCGTGAGGAAAGTCACAGGCATTATTGGTGGCTCTGGACAGGTGTACATCGTGTGAATCTTATCGAAACGTAAATCCTCGCCGTAATGAATGGCCTCTTTGAGCTCCTTGATGAAATTACTCGAGTTCAGGTAGAGATTTTCAATACAACCCGTGAAATTCTGATGAACCACCATTCCTTCCTGATGATATGGCACTCCGCCGATGTACATCTGTTGACATATGCAGACAATTTACCATCAAATGAATGAGAGAAAAGGTGCATTCGCAGAACACTCACCCCTCGATTGAGATCCAGTCTCGTAAATTCACCCTGGATCTTCGCTTGAGTCATCACTCTATCCACTGAGAAGACAATATCTCGCCTATTCCTCGAGATGACGGCATCGTGCCAAATATTGTCGTCCAGCAAACTACCCACCGAAAGTGTGGTCATGACACCCGAGCCAAGATTGATATTCAACACCATGCGGTTGTCTCGAATCTGCACTGCCAAGTAGTCACCCTGCGTGCCTCGCGAGTACAGCACAATCCCAATGGGATTTGATGTCTTGAAGCGGAATCTGATGGACTCGCGCCAGCTCACGATTGGTGCTCTCATGAGATCCAACTTAACCAGACTTGAGCCATTGAAAGACAGCGTTTCGGGAACTGCAAGCATTTACATATACACTGTGATTGGAATTCATTCAGCAAAGCAGGGAGGAAAAGTGCCACTTACAGTAGTCACATCCGTACAGTTCAGCTCTCAGAGAGATTCTGTCTTGCCACCGCGTGGGATTAATCCTCACCCACTGCGCAATGATGGGCACCTCGAAGATATTGTGACGCACACTGTCTCCATCGGTGTTACCTTTGAAGAGCTATCGCAGGAAATGGAAATCATACATAACATGTCACAAGAAGCCCCATCAGTGCAAACCACACGATAAGTGCATACACAAGTAAATTGCCAAAAGAAAGAGAGACAAATGAAAGAAGAGATGAAGTGTTAGAAACAAACCTACTGCTAATCGACATTCCACTAATTACAACGCAGAAAAGATATCTTCAGAGCGCGTATTTAGTGGAATGTCGTCGCTGAAGCTCATCTTTTTTACCTGTGCCTCCCCATTTGGATTGACATACGATCGCCAATTCTCCCCATCATCCGAAAACTGTACCACATACTCTGTCACATACTCATGAGTTCTCCTTCGTCCAGCTGTAGCTACTCGACGGATTAGTCGCCTCTCACCCAAGTCAAATGTGAGAAAGTGATAGTAAGTGTTTTCTACAGGTGTCCATGCAGATTGACCTTTATTTGCGATCAATGTTATCATTTTTGAAGTTGTTTGGTTTTTGGGGGATTTGTTTTCGGTTAGCAGATAGAGAAGGAGAAGAAGAGAAATTACAATTATTCAACATGTTAATGTTATCAGGAAAATATATTAGGAATCTCTCAATCATCAGTCAAACAACCTCTGAAAGCATCACTCAACATTGCCAACGCAAAAAAGCAACAAATATAATCCAATATTCTCAACAAACATACACTCTATATAGGGGAAAATTATTTGTTATTCTTATTAAGCTGTGTTTAACATACTTGACTTATATGTAATGTTAATGACGAATATCACAAAACACCTTACAATTTGTCGACATCACCAGGCTACAATCAAAATAGCGCTATTTCCCACCTAATTTCCCCTTTTCTTAGTACATGTTATTATTATTATTTGCCAACATACAATGAGATGAGGATTTAGTGGAGAAAATGTTAGGCTTCTGTATTCAATTCTTCCACCCTTTTCTTGCCCTCTTTCTTTCTCACCTTTGTATTTCCACCGGGCTCTTTAAAATCTGTGTAATCGAGCCCATTCGATCCATAACTGATACTAAACTCTGTCACAAACTCCGTGCTGTGAGGCCTTCCTTGGATGGCAATTCTCGTGACATTCTTCACACCACCCAAATCAATTATCAATTTCTGATCGAAATCGGAATTCTTTGCCGTCCACGATGTTCCAGCTACAAGTTACACACAGAAAACAGGGAACGAAAAGAGAGAAAAAAGCCCCGAATGTAAGTAAAATTATGTAGTAATCAAAACAGAGGATAAAATCAAACAATAAATTATTAATAAGATGAAGTATGGATTGAGATGAGAATGCTAAATGATGCAATATGACGAGAAATAAATCATACATGAAATGGGCGATTCAACCCCTCAATTTTAGGGATCTTCTCTCTCCCCTCTTCCATTCCTAATATCAAATCAAGCGTTATATTGAATATTGGGGTGAATTTCGACATATTTCTGCAACGTTTTTTCACCGCCTCGTTGCCATTTTCGACAGCCATACACTATTGTACATAGCATTCGACATTTATTACTCGACATTATGCAGATTTCACATCACATTTCACCCCTGAAGAGACTTGTGAATCAGGGAAGATAAATTACCGATAAAGTGCCTTAAATGGGAATTGTTATCTATTCCTACCACTACAATATACACAAAATATCATAAACTACAAGATAAAACAATTAGCAATAATTGCAAGCGAATTATTGCAAGTAAACATTTTCATTTGTAAATCTCAAAGTATTTCTGGGAAAACTTCAATAAAAGACACACTCCAATAAAATAGAGATAAACTGAAAATGAATTTCCCTACAATATTGATGGTTTTGGCAAAGTGTCAACGAACGTCTGCACAATGTAATCTAATTTACTTTTTCCTTCAACACCCTCTCATAAATTGGTGTGAGTTTCCTTTCGTTTTTCCGCTTTAATCACTCACTTTAGAGAGAGAGAGGACTAGAATAATGCTTTCCCGCCATCACAACTCTCCCTTCAAACTAAACTCATACACTTACATTACACTTCAGAAAAATCAATACGCTTTCAACAGCACATAGAAGACAATCAATTCTCTCCCTCGAGAGGATATTGATGTTATACAATTGAGGTAAGAGGGGTGGGAAATGGCAAAAAATCCCACAATTGTAATGCATCAAATGCTGAGTGCACCTATTCTAGCGCGCACACACAGAGCAGAATTCGTCCGGAAATTATTGTCAGCGGGACATAACAGTTACGCTAGACTAAATTGCAATATATCCTGAATGAAGAAGCAAACCAAAAACACACAGCTCTAATTTCTCAATTTATGACCTGTGAAAATCCTTATTAATAACCACAATTTCAGAAGCATTCGCATTTGAATTAAATTATGTGTGAAATTAATTTAAAATTGAATTTGTCACGCGTCGCATATTGTTATCTCTCTCTCTCTCTTTTGAAGATATGCTGCAGCAAATCAGAAACTATATAGAAAATAGTGATTTGATTATAATCTGCGCGTCCGAAATAAGTAAGCACAATCAATATTTCGTGACTTTAGTCATCAGCAAACTCATCCCTACATAAATCATGGTGAAGTGAAGGAGCGCAAAGTAAGTTTAGCATGTTTATTTTTATTAGAAAACACCGTGCCATTAACATTATTCCTATGCTTATTGCATATCAACATCAAAGATGTTGCCACAGTGATATGTTCATGCCTCTTCGTGTTTGTTGACTCCAACTGTTCGAATGGGAACATCAAGACAGCCATCAAAATGTTGAAATATGCCAATTGGAAGACAAGTTGGAAAATATATCAGGCCTTATATTCCTTCCGTTTGATATTAAGGCAGTAAATCTCATCGATTTCCAACACCGCCTTCGCGCCGTCCATCAACTGCTGAAAAGTCAGTCTCTCGAAGGGTTGTGGAGTGCAGTCAGCCGAAATGTTGTGCAGCGAAACGGCAACACAGTGCTGAGAATCAACGAGAGACTCCTCAAACTTCCACTCACTCGCACACTTTCCGTCAAGGAAGAGCTTTGTGTCGATTGTCGGCAGCTCCGCTGACAATTCCCGTGATCCGAGGGTGAAGCTAATCTTCTGCAGATCCACCGTAATTCCCACCCCGATGTTCTTCACGTAACTCTCTTTCAGGCACCAGTGACGCATGAAGGTGGCAATTTGAGACTCATCTGACTCTCTGCCTTTGATAGACACCCATTCGTCGGGTGAGAAATTGCGTGTCATAAGCCGAAAGAATTCCTGCAATGGCTTTCCACCTGTGTACTCCATCTTCATAACATCCACCCCTATTTTCCGCTCACGTTCGCGCGACACAGATCCGGCCAACACGCAGTAATCCCCTTGGTGAGACACATTGAAGTCCACGTGACCGTCGCTGCCACTCGAACCCCTCCAGAAGGGCTTCTGCCTCTCATCTCGCTCCAGCACAATTGCGTTGTACTCCAATCCTGTGGCCTCTGCAATGAACTTCCTGATCATCAGTCGTCCTATCAGCGAAGCATCAAAATCATCGCGGAAGACAAATTTCGCCAGTCGCCGCTTCTCCTCCTCCTGAATGCACGAGCACGCCAGCTTCAGCTCCTCCAGCGACGGTCGCCACTCTGACACCTTGAATGCCCATCGCACATCTCCGCACGCCTTTATTGCCATTTCAATTACTCTCCGCATTCAGCCCTCCGCGCCACACTCCTCATTGACACCCAATCGTGCAATATCCAGAGAAATTAGAGCATAAAACACGATTTAGAGAGGGTAATTCAGCGTTTTATGCATCGAAACACACCCAAGAAAATGTAAACAAAAGCACCATTTGACACAAAATGTCATTCGCGAGTGACGTTCGCTCTCGCGCTCCCTCTCTTTCGCTCTCTCTGCCTGGGTTTACAATGCGTGCACATCACACTTCCTTTCTGCTATATGGAATCAATGATAAAGTAAACAACCAAGAATTGTTTGATCCATTTCCTCAGGCACATATTTCACTCCCCTCAAATCAACGGAAAAAAAATTGTGTGGTTCACCGAGAACCATAAAAATAACAACCCCTTCGCCAACATGCACAAAAGGGTTGTGAAAAGGAGATCAAATGCGATTTTATAAACTCAAAATTTCACCCCCTTTCTTTACACATGAGGAGACTACATAATTGTCCATATCTAGTTGATGAGAAGACTTTCTGCACAACATCTGCATCCGCTGCAATTTGCCAATGCGGCTCTTTCGAGCCCAAATAAACACACCAAATTCCTATCAATTTCGCACCTACAGCTAATTATCGGGTCCTCATTGGAATCGCACTCACTCATGGATGGATTCATTTCGCTGATTGATGTGAAATCCAAAGGACAGACACACAAACTCACCGTCCAGACGAGCATTGTTGGGGCCACGCTCTCGCAATGCCGACGTTGCAGACAAGGAGGCAAACTCCATTAGCGGCAAATTGCATTCGTACTCTGAGTAGTAATCATTTTCATAGTATTCTGCAAGAGAAACATCAATAATTACACAACAGGACAAATTTGTTTTACCACCACAGCAAGCAATAACAATAACAAATTGAGAAGAGATTTGTCTCCACTCCACATTTCGATAAATTTAGCAGCTAGAAAGAGGAGCAAGTGAATTTTTTTTCACTTCAAAACGCCTCCACGCATAGCACGATAAATCTCAGGCGCATTTCAGTCAACTGCGAGACAGTTGAATATTGAGTGGAAAACGTTAATTATCATCTTAAGCCTCCTCTCTTCAAAATACCCACTCTTTCGCCCCTCTTGTGCACGCTACAAATCCACTGTGGTCTATTTATATTTGTACGAAATCTCTGCAGCTCCCGCTTTGTATGATAAGCTTCAAAATAGTGAGAATTTCTTGCGACATGGGGCAATCCGGTGTCAGCAAAAAGGTAAGTGCTCGGAAGTGTTGTTCTCGCTTTCTCGGTAAGTCGAGAATAGAATGCATTAAAATTAGATGCGTTGTAACCGGAAAATTATCAGCTTTGGAAAACTCTTCAACTCAAACTTTGGTTACACACGATTTGTGGCAGTTCTTTAGCAATGCAAAGGCCAAAAATAAGACATTTTTAAAGACAAAAAAAAAGCCGTGAGGTGTATTTTAAATTATGAATTTTCTCCTAAATAGTGTCTATATAATTATTTCTTGCAGTGTCAGTCTTTCATTGATTCTTTCTCATCTCATTTTATGCACTTAAAACCCTTTTACATTCCCTTGTCGAAACGAAAGCGGCATGATGCACATTTTTCGATATGATCCGTGAATTAATAAAGCCATTTCACAGCTTTTGTCTGCCAGATTCTTTGCCATTCGGGATGAGGGCACTTTTTATCTCTCGCCCTTCCGGAAGTCTCACGGGAAGAGAAGAATAGTGAAGATACTGAGCCTTTTCTGCCTGCATAAATAATCCGCTTAGAGACATTTTTTTCGGATATGATTAATAAGTGTGACTGCTTTTTATGTTGTGCGGATCTCAGACGACAACGTGTGAAGATTTAAGAAGATGTCGCGATGATAAATGCCGGGACGAAGTTTAAACATATTCATCGGGTTCATTGATGAAAGGAGAGAAAATGTGTGAAATTTCCTCACTTCCCTGACACTCAGCTGATGAGTGTCCAGGTGAGGCTTCTCGCGAAGAGATCTCTTCTGGCCACTTTCTGGAAGTCTTTCCATGACTTGGGCCACTGACTCATGATTGCCGCATACAAAGAGAACGAGCAATCAATGTGTGCGTTGACTTGTATTTTGCATCAACTTGTTTGGAACACGCCCATGACACTCTTATTGCAGTTTTCACACACTTTCCGGCCACAGAAAGCACCCTAGAGCATCCTGGGGTGCCAGAGAGGGCGAAAGGGTGGCCCTGCCCGGAAATATGGTCAGAAATATTGACACACGAGCGCCATATTCGGTGTATTGCCGTCTCTTGGTGGATGGGGCTTGGCCACGGGGAAACTTTTTCTCGGGATTATCTCACTGAAAACACACTTTACCTGCTCCACAACGGTGCACAGTGATTATTCCAAGTAGGAGGAAGATGCACCTAATCACATCCATCTCGTATTTGATACGAGACACCGTCCACGCTCAACGAAAGTACGCACTCTGCAGCAATTTCAATCCACCTTCGCGTCTCGACGTCGACTGACTGGATGTTTTGGGGCGACTCTTGCCGCGACGTATTGACAGTTTATTCACGGCGCCGTGGTGGCAGCACTGCGGCTTGCCGCTCTTCAGGCGCAAGCAATGCTGTGAGTTGGAAATTCGTTGAAATCTTGAAAAATTAGCAATGTACATCAATGTAATGGCAATGGATGGAACCATAATCTACTGAGATCATTTAATTAGATAATAAAATGAAACTTGTGCTGAATATTGCGTGATATGTTCACTATGTGCCGGCTTTTGGAATGCTGTGAGTTCCAGCCGCTGAGAGTGGGGGAGATAAACAAAAATCTTGACATTGTACTAAATTTTAGTATACGCGCTGTTTGCACCTTTCACAGCAATTGTGGCCAGTTTCATGCGTTTTTCCCACATTCGCATGAGTTTCCCTTGAACCCCGATCGCGTGCAGACAACCGGCAAGTATTCGCCTAGCGAGTATCCTAGAAATCAAATGATAAGCGGCACGATTAGGTAACTGCGTGCGTGGCGCTTCGCCTGCTGTTTTGCATATCAAATTGTACACGCGACACATTGTTCTTGGATGTGAGAATCCCAATCTTACTATTTACCTTACAAAATACACTTTCCTGCCAACATTGTGCACTGAAGAAACGTGTTTACCCTCACGTGTGCCTTATGAATCGTGCCAGAGATTGATAGGTGTATTTAGGGGGAAAAAATAGCGTAACATGATGAATGATGAGCGTGAACATGTATTTTCATTGATAAAGTCGCTTATTGTTTGCATTTCCTGGGTTGTTTGGGGCAGAGAGGCTATCAGTGGAGAGGAGGAGAGTAATTTTTGTAAATATTTGGCAGTTTTTTCGACTGAGAGCAGCCCAGTGAGCGCAGGAGGATGCATTCCATGAGATTTACCACCGTTGTCATACTTCTGTGTGTTCTCTTGCCGCAGATACAGTCTTCCGATGAGGAATCCTGCTACTCCTATGCCGGAGGACATGTATACCCTCAGGGATATCCACTGACTGGCCATAATCTCCACGGGACCAAAGCTGTCAGTAAGTTTCTATGCCTGCGATGTGCTTCCGGATGCAGAGAAGAGCACTAACAAGTGGGCGTTTCCTCTTGACAGTTTCCAGGCCGGCTCCTCACTTTGAGGGAACTGCTGTAATTAATGGTGAGTTCACCCAACTGTCGCTGTCGGATTACAAAGGAAAATATGTAGTATTCTTCTTCTATCCACTGGATTTGTGAGTAGTCTTCGAAATAATATCTTTCCACATGGCAATTGATTCTCTTCTTGCAGCACTTTCGTCTGTCCCACGGAGATTCTGGCCTTCTCGGATCGCGTGGAGGAGTTCCGAAAGATAAACACGGAAGTGATTGCTTGCAGTGTGGATTCCCACTTCACGCACTTGGCGTGGATCAACACACCGCGCAAGGAAGGCGGTTTGGGGAAGATCAAGATCCCTCTGCTGAGCGATCTGTCGCATAAGATCTCCAAGGATTACGGTGTTTACCTGGAGGATTTGGGACACACTCTTCGCGGGCTGTTCATCATCGATCATCGAGGCGTTCTGCGCCAAATCACGATGAATGACTTGCCAGTTGGACGCTCAGTGGACGAGACGCTGCGGCTCGTGCAGGCCTTCCAGTACACCGATAGTCATGGTGAGGTTTGTCCAGCCGGATGGAAGCCTGGCGGCGACACAATCGTGCCAAATCCGCAGGAGAAGAGGAAGTACTTCGAGAAGAACAACTGATTTCAAGCAAGACTTTATTGAGCCGCCAGGGACACTTTTTTCCCCCGCCATGAGAGACAAATTACACTTGTCAGGAAGTCTAGAGTAGCTTCTTCTTGGATTTTGGCGTGGAGATTGTGATGAATTCAACGCGACGAGGCGTCTTTTGGGCACTGGAAGTCTTGGGCTGATCAACATCCATCTTCTCACAGTCTTCAGGCTGTTTGTTCTCCATTGAATCGTCATCGAGGACGAGATTGATGTTCTCTGTGCACTCGTGCGTGAGATCGGCGCCACGAGGCTCCCGGAAGATCTCCTGTGAGGGTTTCTGTGACGTCCCATCCATTGGCCACGCGTCCACAGCTTCCTCCGTTACGGCTGAGACCAAAGCGCCGAGCGGTGCAGATTCAGGGATGAGTTTCCGTGGCTGGCGCCGCACTGCGATCGGCGTAGGCTGCTTCCTCGTGGGCGAAGGTGTGCCTTTAGTCTCTGGTGTGATGACTCGAGGGTGTCTGCGAATGGCTATTGGCGTCACGGGCTTTTCCCTCTTCTCAGGTGAGAAATTCTCGTCGCTCTTGATTATCTTGTCAGCCAATTCAGGGTCGAGCTTCACTTTCTCGCCCACATCTTCGCGCTTTTGAGGCGTTTCGGGATTCTGCGGAGCATCCTCTTTCTTCGTCTTTTTGGATTTTCCAGTTTTCTTGGTCACTTCCCACTGCTTCATCAGCTTCTCTTTAATGAGTGTGTCATCGTAAATCTGTCCCAATTCGCCCTCGCCGAAGGTGATCAGCGAGCAAAAGCCATCGGTGCTGGACACCACAAGGAGTCTCCCGTCGCTGGACCACGTGAGGTCCGTGAGTCTGGTGTAGTGAATGTTGGAAATGACGCCGAATGGGACGTTCTGCTGCGTGTCGTAGAAGAACACGCTGTTCTTCGTTGCCAAGGCGAAGACCATGCGATAAGGCAGTGGAATTACTGGCGCTGCTTCGAAGGGCTTCAGCTCGAAGAGCGTGGGACAGAACTTTGCCGCCACTGTGTGATGCTCCAGAGATGGGAGGACGATTGTGGGCTGCTTCAGGGAGTTCCTCGTGTACACGTAAGTCGTGTTGCTGGCCTTTCGCGACTCGTCGCCCTCGTTCACACCGGCCGGCGTGACAATGAGCTCGCCGTCGGGACTGAATGTGAGTCGCCGAAAGAAAGTCTGAAGCGTGTCATCGTGAAATAGTCGCACAATCTTGCCGTGCAACTGAAAATCCGGCGGTACTGGAAGTTGTCCTTTCCCATTGCGACTGATCACTTTACGCGTGTGCACATCGAAGACACGGAAGAAGCGATCAGAGCTCAGGGTGGCGAGGTACTTATTGGCCGGATCCCAAGCGACTCCTTGCACGAATCCTTTGTGATCGTTCAGAATTGCCAAGGTTTTCCCTTTTTGCACATCCCACACAATTGCTGTGTTGTCGACAGATCCACTGATGAGCTGCAGATCGTTAGGGGACCACGACAAGTCATACACATCTTCCAAATGTCCTCTGAGGATCTTGAAAGTCAGCCAGATCTCTTTGTCCTGATCATTTGTGACATCTAGATAGAGAAAATCACAATGAATTGCTAGGGTTTTTAGCAATCTTGGGACATTTTACCTAAAATGTTGACAGCCTCGTTCTCATCCTTTTGCTTCCATATGAAGATAGCACTCTCGTCATCGCCACTGGCCAAATACTTACCGGACGGAGACCATCTCACTACATTCACTGCTCTCTGGTGTCTCGTGAGATCAGCAACGATCTCCAGTGATACTCTTCCATCTTCCTCAAGATGCATGTGCCAAATCTTAGGGAAAACATCCAGATCACCCATGAGACGCCAATAAGAGTGGAAAATAAGAAAACAGAGGACTGCAATTAGATTTACCAAAACATGAGAATCCGTGCCTCCAGAAGCTAATCGATAGAAATCTCCCTTCTTCCCCACGAGTGGTTGAATATCCACACTCAGCACAGGATCTCGATTGTGCCAAGATATTTCGGGGATGGTGCACTTCATCTTTAACGTAAAATGAACAGAGAAAACACGAAAATCTCACAACAAAGACTCTGGATTAAACCAAACTCGTGTGAGGTTATGGCGTTGTGCGCGCAAAATTTGCACCTGAAATTGACACTCACTCGCATGCCAGCAATTTTAGTACACACTATCAGCGCCGCGCCGCAAGTAGTCTTCAAACCTTTCTCGTGGAAGTGGCACTCGCAATACCGTCGCTGAAATTTCACAGGAGTTTTTCACAGCTGTAAAGTGTGTTAAATAGGCTAAAAACACTCGTTCGATCTTGCTAAACGGTGAGAGTTTCCTCTGTCGATGAAATGTCTGTAGAATGGCATCGAATAATAAAGTAGAAAGTGATTTTTCTTTCATGACTCGTCAGAGTGTGTGGAGTCCATCTTGCTTTTCTTTATTGTGTGCTCTCGAGCGTCCTTTGCCGTCACGGGGAAAGGCACGCGAATGTCGCTCAGTTGGGGCCTCGGGCCCCATCCGGGTGCCGTGCCGGCGGTGGTTCAAGTGGGGAGGTTCCCTTTGCGCACACTGAAATGAGTGGGTGGTGATTTTTGGGCGTTTTCTTGCTCATCAAAATTCCGGGTGATTTTTCCACGATGCCGGTGTGACATCACAATGGCGGCTGCTGCAAAAGCGCCCCCAGAAAATTTGTGTTCAAAACTCTAGTTGAAGAAAATCACACAAGAAGTTAACCGGAGTAAATTGTGATGAAGTAGTTTTGTTATGGTTTATTTTTGTAGTTTCTGTGCATCAATTGCCTGAAGAATTTCCGGAGGAGAAATTCATTGATAAATTGCCAAAGACTCTCCGTGATAGTGTGTGTTTGTGGGTGATGAGTGTGTGTGTGCTTTTGGCTATGTTTATTTATGTTGCGCCTTGAGCAAATTCAGCGATACTAGTTTTGAAATGGTGGGAAAAATTGTTGTTAACACATCCTGAAGAAGAGTAATTTTGCAATGGTTATTTTTTTCAAAATAATACATTCTTTATATGAGTTTAAAAAGTGTGGGTTATACTTTAGTTTTGGTGAAGTTGCAGGAGGATTGGAGCTGCTCTCTGATATCTGTGTATAAGTTTGAAATCTTTACTCTTATTTGGGTCTATTTTCCATGAAAACACGGTCATTTTTACTTGATTGTAACTTGTTTGAGAAAAAAATCTGTGCCTCACATTTTGTTTTCATGGCAGGTAAAGCCCAATTGAACTTTCCTAACCACGCCTTAAATGCTCACAGAAAAGATCTTAATCTCTCTGTTATTTTCCCTTCGCAGGGTCTTTTATTGTACATTTCAGTATTCATCCAGCAAAAATCTGCGAGTGTGATCTGAGAAGGAGCTTCAGGACTAAGGACACGCTGTTTGTCTTTATCTTCTGTCCAGGCGTTGGGAGTCAAACAAGAACACACATTTGAACTGGAAAAGACACAGAACCGCGAAGGCAAGATTGGGCACAAGGCTTACTCTCATGAGTAGCGTAAGACCCACTGATCGAATCACTGTGAAGATCCATAATATGAAACGTAGTGCCTCTCGTGATTCGCCGCCACGATCGAAGAGACGCACGAGCATGGGACGCTACGATGACAGTTCGGACGAGCGGATGACGCCGGAGCGCATGCGGCGCCGCGTGGCGCGCTCACCGAGCCCGCGACCGCGTTACATGTCGCCGCACCGTGAGGAGTACATCAGGGCGCGCGAGATTCCGCCGGAGCGCTATTCGTACAAGGTGCTGTGCGTGAGTGCGCTGCACCCGAAGGCGTCGGATGAGTTCATCAAGGAGACACTGTATCGCGAGTACAAGAAGTTCGGCGACTTCTCCATCAGGATTTCGCATGACCTGGAGGAGCGAGTGGCGTATGTGTGCTTCAGGACGTCCGAGGATGCACGCGAGGCGAAGCACGCCAAGCCGAGGATCATTCTCTACGATAAAGTGGCCATCGTGGAGCCTGTGTATGAAAGTACGAGGCATGAGTACCGCATGCGGCCGAGGAGCATCACGCCGGAGTACGATAGGCATTACTATTCCAGGTCGCCGGGACCCGAGAGGCGGCGTCCCATTGATCCGTACGACAGATATCCGCCGCCGGTGGTTATGCATCATCCGCGCGACTTCCCGCCCATGGGGCATCACGATTACATGCCAAGAGGACCGCCGATGCATCATGTGCCCATCCATCCGGGGGGGCCGCCGCATCACCCGCGCCACTACATGCCCAGACACATGACGCCGCGTCCGCATGTGCCGTACGAGAAGCCGGAGAACAAGAAGGACAAATTTCCCAACTACTTGCACCACATTCAGCCCGAGGACGATCCGTTGTCCACGCGCACGCTGTTCGCCGGGAATCTGGAGATCAATATCAGCGACGAAGAGTTGAGGCGAATCTTCGGCAAGTATGGCATTGTGGAGGATATTGACATCAAGCGTCCGCCACCCGGCACTGGCAATGCCTTCGCCTTCGTGCGCTACCAGAATCTCGACATGGCGCACATGGCCAAGGTGGAGCTGTCGGGGCAGTACATTGGCAAGTTCCAGTGCAAGATTGGCTACGGAAAGGCCACGCCGACGACGCGCATTTGGGTGGGCGGTCTAGGCACGTGGACGTCTGTGACGCAGCTGGAGAGGGAATTTGACAGATTCGGCGCCATCAAGAAGATCGAGTATCAGAAAGGTGACACGAGTGCGTACATTCTCTATGAGTCCATCGAGGCGGCGCAGGCGGCGGTGAAGGAGATGCGCGGCTTCCCCTTGGGTGGGCCTGAGCGTCGCTTGCGTCTTGACTTTGCCGATGTGGCGGGCTCTATGCCGTTCCGGCCGAAGCCGCCGGCGCCCGGTTACGAGGGCGCCGAGGGCACAGACTTCAGGCGCGTGCCCACGGATTACCCGGACATGGGATATGAGGACAGCTCAGCGTACTATGGACGCGGTGCGTACCGCGGCCGCGGCGGTAGCACATACAGAGGACGTGGCGGATATCGCGGCAGTTATCACAACGAAGGCAGCCGTCCGGAGGGCGAGGAATGGCGTCGCGCTCCGGCTGATCTGGAGTATGATTCTCATCGCGCCAGACGCTCAATCTCCCGCGAACCGGGTGTCGATCGCTCAAGATCACGCTCACCGCGTCGTCGGAGTCCGGACAGTGATTCAGATTCGTCGTCGCGACGGACTGGTATGCTCTGCTCGGCGCGCACTCTGCCCGAGGTGGCCAGGAAGTGTACGACACTGTGGCAGGGCGCTCTCATTCTCAAGTCATCCCTCTTCCCGGCCAAGTTCCACCTCACGGACGGTGACACGGACATTGTGGAGGGACTGATGAAGGATGAGGACGGGAAGCACCACTTACGTATTACACAGCGATTGAGATTGGATCAGCCGAAGCTGGAGGATGTGCAGAAGAGGATCTCCACGTCGTCGTCTCATGCCATCTTCTTGGGCATGCCGGGATCCACGTCTTCAGTGACAAATGACGATGCTGGCGTGCAGACACGTCCGCTGAGGAACTTGGTTTCGTACTTGAAGCAAAAAGAGGCGGCCGGCGTGATTTCGCTGCTGAACAAGGAGACAGAAGCCACAGGTGTGCTGTACGCCTTCCCGCCGTGCGATTTCTCCTCAGAATTGATCAAGCGCACTTGCCACAATGTGACAGAGGAGGGACTAAAGGAGGATCACCTCGTGATTGTCGTAGTTCGCGGAGGGACTGCTTAAGCGGAGAACACTCCTTTTTTTTTTACTAATGAAGGTGAGTTTGTGGGTGTAAAACTGTGATAAATCTTTGTGAGAAAGTACAAAAAAGTGAATGATTTGAATTTGAAGAGCAATTCCTCTCTTTACAGATTCCTTTTCAGTACGTGTTCAGTGGTGTTTGCTGAGAATTGCAGTGTAGTGGCGAAAAGAACATGTAACAATTAGTGATTTCCTCAATGGTACACAAGATTGTTGTTTTTATCTCAAGTGTCTCGCTAATACATTCGCGTATAAGTTCATTTGAAAATTTGTCGCTATACATCAAGTAATATGAAGAATTGTATTACAATGTTGTATTCAAAATTGTGCATATTATGATAGAAATTGAACATTTTCATGTTGATAACGAATGATATAAAAGCAAAAAGTTCCGAAATGATTTGTATTTACCAATTGAATTACAAGGGCGAAAAAATAGTGAATGAGAAAAGGTTTTTTTTTTAATGTGACATGATAAAACAATCGTTTGAGTTTGTGACTACAAAATTTGAGTTCTCTAAAGTTTTCTGGTTACAATTTTGATGATCAATTAATGGACATGCGAAGAACACTATAAGTAAGAGTTTGAAATTCAAAACTGTGCTATTGGTGTGTTTTAGTTGGACGAACAGTTTTATGCTATACGCTAATGGATAAATGATAATAATTGAAGTTTAGTTCTTAGTGTTTTTTTTCTATCAAGTTTTCATCAGAAGAATAGCGCTAGAAAGTTGAAAGAAGAATTTTTATCTTCATGAAAAGTTTCTTCTTCCATATAATAATTGAAATATAAACATTTAATATTCATATGCATTAGGCAGAGTTGTAGAAGTTTTAAAAAACAGTTCATATAATAATCATTCTATGTGACAATTGAGAAAAATTGTATCCGAGGATCGAAAATGAAGATTTACTGGCAGAAAAAATGTGCGAATGTTAAAAAGGAACGATCAAAAAGTATTGCAAACGAAGAGTGGAAGGTGATTTTTTGTGTTTTTCACACCTATGCAGTTATGTTTTCACATTGAACAATGTGTGGTGTTCGTAAATTGGAAGTTTCTGATGTGCTGAAAAAGTTGAAATGTTGAATTGCAATGATTTTCCCAAGAGGATTCGTGATTAGTTGATGAGTTTGCTATTCAATGCTCTGGCGATACGAAAATATGATGTAGATTTTGCTGAAAATGTCTCACAATCTGTGAAAATAATGTTTTGCAAAAGGCTACACTATATTGAACTATCGTCTCACGATGACTACAAATTTACGAACACTCCAAGAAAGAGAGAAGAAGAGGGGAAAAAAGAGCAGTTTTGGAAAAGTGGTGAAAGATGCAAAGGAAGTAAATTGCAGTTGTTACTCTCTAAAGTTTAAGTAATTTTAGTGCTTAAAACGTCTCATAAGTGTAATGCAGCATTCATTTCTTCTGTGCTTTGTGTGAGAATATAATTAAACAAAGATCTTCGGATCCGAGGATATATTGAAAAAAAAAAAATGTGGTGTCTTTTCATTACATCGAATTTGGAATGCGTTTCCTGGTGGAGAGAAGAGAAATATGTTCAAGTGGCAATAATTTGGTGAAGAGAGTTCTGGATTTCCTCATACACGCTCTAATTGGCCATTCCCGTTATCATGTTTCGCGGCAGTGATTCTGGATGATGAAGTTCTCTCCCTAGAAGAATGGTTTTTGAGGCGACTGCACTTTCTGCAGCACTTTTTCTGCCCGCCATTCGAGGTGATTGTGTGTGCACGCATTTTCCGGATTAGTATCGCAATTGAGATCGAGTTAGTGGCGTTTATTATTGGTGAAAAAAAAGAGACGCGCATAGAAAAGTACAGTGCTGATGATAGAGCGCAGCAATGTGTAATTTTCGTTCCCGCAAATGAGATTTAGGGAAGGAGCACAGAAGAATTCCAGCGGCTAATTTTATTCAGAATCGAGTGCGTCTGGTGTTGTCTTCGAATCACACAAACCTCCATCGATATTGAATTAGATCCATTCCACACTCTCTCGCACAGGGGCGCGTCATTGCAGCAGTCGAGACACTCTTGAGGTCTGCACTTTAGCGAGAAGAGAGAGAGAGAAGAAGAGTAAGTCTATTATTCTTGCCCTAATTGATTTTGTGTTGTGTTCTCCACTTGAATATCATTTATAGAATGAATATCAAACTTTGACGTGCGCACAAAATGCGCATTTTTAATGAATATTTCAATAAAAAAAAACCCAAAAATTAATGTTTCTCAAAACACTGCCCAAAATTCTTCCCGAATTGCATATGAATTACAAGAACCCGCAAAAATGTTCCCAGAGCGTGGTATAAAATTAACTACAGTCCATTTCCAGAGCAATTACATCGCATATTTTATCTGGGTGAATTGCCCGAGAGACGGTTCTTGTGAATGCTCAATGAGGCGCCCCTTCGTGCCCACTCTTGCGCCGTCTTGCTGGGGAGCATCGCTCGTCTCGCGCGCGAGATTCTTCAGTCTGTGAAGAGCTGTTGGCCAGGAGAGTTCGCTGTGAGCTGAAGAGTTAAAGCTGTGCATTCAGACTCGTTTTGTGGATCATTCGTCATGGATTTCAGGGTGTTTCTGGTAAGAATTGGGCTAACGACTCTGAGGTCATGTCCGTGCGCGGCTCCTGCACGCCCTTCGCGTCTGAGGCTGGAAGAGCGCGAGGGACGCGCGAGAGGTTGAAAGGTGTTTTGTGAGAAATGAGGAAATTATTCCAGTGACCCATTAACTGGGTTTCACGCTTCTTCGGCTGGTCTCTCGGCACGGCGGAACAATTTTGTATTCTTGCTCCACAGCGCCGGATAAGTAAATTCTCACTCGCCAGTGCCCGTTAGCTCGGCGAGTGATATAAGGTGATGTGCTATTGAAATCCATCGGCGATCCGTTCTTGGTGCTTTTTTAACGGGACACGCGCTGGTTCTGGCGCAGTTTGCATACCACAGCGCGCGTCTACATCATGAGAATATGGATGCATTTTAATTGATTCGACACAGTATGATAGCGTCGCGGTTCGTCGCTTTGCGCGCATTCAAGTCCTTTGTATTGTTGGGGAAGCAGCCAGTAAAAGTTACACATCTCGAGCTTCTTCACACTCAATTCATCTCAATTGCATCAAGACCGCCTCGAGGAATTTCTCGACACGGAAAGGCGGAAAAAGACTCATAATGATACAACCTTGAACTTGAGTAAACTCCAATGATGACTGGAGCAAGAGATCATCGAAGCGTAGAGACAAGAGGAGAAGAAAAAACAATCGAGATGCTTCTTGTGATGGATTCAATCTATGCAGGTCTTTCGGGGGCGCACAGCCTTCAAAAGGGTTCTTGCATGACGAGAAGCCGCGGACGAGATCTCGAAAATTTGTTTTAATAATTAGTTGGAAACATTCTTGTACCGAAAACACTTTATTACTCAACAACGGGTTGTAAACAGTTGGTTGACCTATAAATTTGATTACTAAAAGTCCAGAGATTGGCGTGCAAAAGACGATAATTAAACATCTGCCATTTCACAAGCGGTTTCTTTTGTAAGGGAGAATCCCAGAAGAGTTTGGTAAAATCATCGGAGAAATCCGCAATCGAAAGAGAAATAGCGGAAAAAAAAATCATTTTCCAACTACTTATTGAGAATTCTTTCAAAGTGTTTTCAGTAAGATATCAGCGTGAAAGTAATTTCTGATCGAATCCTTTGACTTCTCAAAGTGACTTTCTATTCACTTATGTAACCGATCAAGATAATAGGTCATTCAGATTTGTTCTCGGCTTGTTAAATTCAAGCATATACTGTTTCAGCATGATTTTTAAAACCGTCCAAGAAGTGCTGGAAGTAGAAGAGTTAGCATTTTGTAACCACTGTCGAGGTTTCTGATATTCTTTGCATTACTAATTCAAGAATTCGTGCATATTTTCGTGGCTTCTTTCATCGCCGGAAGAACTAAAAAAAAATAACCAGACGAAACAGCTGAAGAGAATAGAAATTTCTCTGACCTTTCCCAAAGCGAGAAAGCACACGGTTTCCTCACTATGCCACGCAATTCTCCGGGCGATGATATCACGGAAGTGTTTGCTTGTGACAGTTTTCAGTAAGGCACCAGCGAGGCTCCGTGCTGAAAAAATATACCGTATATTTCACATTTTTCTGACACCATTCGAGCACCCATCTTTTCACCTCATTTCCATGCGCGCGACATTCCTGCCGTGTCATTGACTTCCAATTGTTGTCGATTCGCAATGACGGCATGTTTTGGGCCTCCGCAGGTCGCCATGTGCCTCTTGGCTGTGCGGAGAGTGCTGGCGCAGGCGCCGCAGCCCGAGGAGGGCGATGAGCCTCCGCCAGAGGGCTACTATGCATTCGTAGAGGCGCCATCGGCTGTGCCGCCCCGAGTGCGTCCGCCACCCTACACGCACGTCAACGTGGACTGCAAGGACTTTGTGAACAGCAAACCCTACGTCTCGGTGCACAACATCTGTGGGGATCTCAACAAGGGACAAATCCCCAGGAATCCCATGCGGCAGAACATCCTCGGCGAGCCATATCCGTTGTGAGTCTCACTCCTCAACTTCTTAGCTTCCTCACTGGCTCAGGCTTTTGAAGGCGAACAATACACCTTCTGGTGTCACCAATAGACAAAGAGAGTTAGAAGAATTGTGTCAAGATGATTATTGTCTTTCAGTGAATTGATCCGGAATCAGACGCTGAAATTCCTTTCGAAGACACTCCCAGTTCTCAAGGCGGATGACACACTTCCCAAGGTGACTCAAGTCTTTCCAGATGAGATTGTTGAGACCATCGATAACAATGCGTGAGTGTATTTATGCTAGCATCTCATTTTCATGCCACTAATCGTCGCTTTCTCTTCTGACCAGAATCGGGCGTCGAATGGCGCGCATGAAGCGGGAAACCTCGTCCAAGGGTGGCAAGAATGATGACATCCGTGCTGGCAGGAAGTTCTGTGACGGCGGCGGAATGTGAGTAGTTAGAATCCCTCCTATAGAAGAGTTCTGGAATTCATGGGATTTCCCTGCAGCTTCTGCACTCTCTATCGTGCTCTTCAGGGCGATCCGATCGTCTCGCAAGTGGCTGAGCGACGAGAGGAGAGCGGAGGAGCAGCTGCGCCTCGCTATGAAGGTCCTCCGACGCCCTGTCCTGCCAAAGTTGAGTACGCCACACCCGTGTTCGCCAAGAACTACCAAGGCTCCTGGCGCTACGTCGTGCAGATTCCCTACGAGGGCTACTTCACGCAGACCGTGGAGGTGACCAGATGCCTACAGGCGCGCTGCCACTACCTGGACGGCGGCTGCTTGTCCTCCCCGCGTTGGGTGAGCCTCCTCGTGGCGGAGATATTCTATCCCAACAACGATGACTACTCCAGCACCACGACGTCCACAACGGCGCCGTCGGTGCAGGACTTCCAGGCGTATCAGCAGTACCTACAGAAGCGCGCTGGCCTCTCCTCCGCCACGGACGGCTCAAACTTCGACTCCACCGGAGCGTCAGGCAGCGATTCCGGGAAACTGCCTCACTGCGATGGCCACGACGAAATCGGGTGCTTCCAAGTGCGCCTGTACTACGACTGGTTCCTCATCCCAGGCTCGTGCAAGTGCTGGCGCCCAGACTACTTCGCCAAATACGTGCGGAGGAAACCCACAACGGATCTCTAGAGGCGGCCTCGAGACTCCCGCACTCCCACTAATCGCTAATCTACTTGAAAGTAACAGACTGATTTTCCGAAGAGGATCTCTTCCCACTCGGTGGTGGACTTTAGAGTAACTTCCGGGGACTAATACTTTTCTACTCTGTAAATATATCAGCAATTCGTGTAATTTATCATGTGTGTCTCAAATAAACTCTCCGGAGGATCACGTGAATCTCCATGAGTCACCGTTTCTCAAGATTGCTGTTTTATTGTTCTAAAAGTGTGAGACCTTAAAGTATACCTTGCAGTGGAGATACGATCAGTGAGGCTTCGGCTTATGGCCATCGACATAGAAGTTCCTGGTCGCTTTCGGGAGTTGCAATTCTAGGCCCTCGAGCTGCTTTGTCAGCACTATTTGACAGCCAAGGCGGGAATTCTGCTTGAGAAAAGGCGCCATGTCCAGCAAGTCGTCCTCCTTCTCTGTGGACTCTGGCAGGTGACTCAGGTAGTCATCTTTCACGTACACATGGCATGTGGTGCACGCCAGGGAAGCCTCGCAAGCGCCCTCCATCTCAATGCCGTGTCGGTGCGCCAGGTAAAGAACATTATCTCCCACTTTTCCCCTCACCGGCGATCGCTTTCCATCCTTATCCACGTACGTGATGTTGACACTACATAAAGACGATTTTGTGTGAAAAACAAAAGTGTTTTAAGGACATAAACTCACACTTCGTCCTCTGACTTGGGGTCCTGCCACTCGAATTCTCCATGTCGATATACTGAAAAGTACGCACAAATTTCTCACAATCTCTGTCGATTTTGTATCTAGACGCAGTGTGGATTACCTTGCGATGCATGGATGTTCCGTGAAATTGCGTACCTCAACACATTTTTGAGAGAACTTTTGGTGAGATTTGCACAACACATGAGAGGCATTTTTATTTACTCCACTGACAGCACTCGTCGAAAGTCGTCGAATTTATGGCGCCCGGAAAACCTTTTATAGCAATTCGAGTGGAGGCCAATTGTGCATCACAGTGAAAAAAGTGAGAAAAATACGGCTTCTCGAAATAAAACAGAGGTAACTTTATTGTTAAAGCATGAGATAATTCAACAGAATCTATGATTTCGAATGGGCACGGATGATACTAAGGATTTGTGGTCAATTTGGCACCGAATGCACTCTATCGGCGTTAGCCTCATTCTTGAAGAATTTCAGGAGATTTGAATGATCTTCCTCCGTGGCAGTTGTCTCGTTCCTCGCCACATTGTCAGCACTCTTGGAGTGATGGACATTCTCGAAGAAGTCCTCAGACTGAGAACCGCTGCGCTGCTTCAGCTGCTTTCCGAAAGGATAAAGCGCTGTGGTGTCGTAACCGACTGTGAAGTCTGATCCTCGCCGCCCCTTGCGCGCCTCCTGGAACAGATTCTGGATTGTGGGACTCACGAGCGGTGAGTCAATGTGATTGTCGAACCAGTTGTTAACATCGTCTATACTTTCTCGGCGTCCGCGCTCTACAGCCAGAGCCAGAAGAGTCTTGTTGGTGACTTGCTCTTTTGGGGTGTCCTTGATGATCTCCGTGTAGTTGTCGTCACTGATGCTTCCTCCTGATGACGATGACGTCCTACTTCTCTCTCGCTCGACGCTGATCTCTGGTACGTTGTTCTTCAGCTCTCGATCAGGTGTTTCTCTGGTCTTTTCGTCCTTAATGTCCACAGTTGTGAAGTCCTCGAGACTGTCCGCCTCCATTTCCAGGAAACTCTGGAATTCCTCAAGGATGGACTTGTTATTGGCATAGATATCGTCCAGGACATTGGAGATGGCTTTCACATCAAAATCCGGGAGGTGAATGATTTTCTCTAGGCTGTCTTCGGTCTTCTGGCGACTCACTTGGCTGAAGGCACTTTCTCCTGCCGGAAGATCAGTGACATCCTTCTTCGCGGGAATGGTGATCGGTGTTGAAGTCAGAGGAGCTAAAGGTTTATCAGGAATCACATCAGACGTGTTCTTGTACGGTTCTCTGATCTCTGTAAGAGATCCTCTGGGTTCCTTTGCCATCTCCTTGACTTCCTCAGTGATCTTAACTGTTGTATTTCCAATTGAAAACATCGTCCTTTTTGCGTCCTCGTCAGGAATTGGTTCCAGATCCGCAGAACTCGCGTTGCTGATCTTCTTTGTCACGGAGACTTTTCTCTTCTCGAGTTTCGATTGCGGCTTCACAAGATCCGATCCGTCCGATCCGTGGTGGACAATTTCCTCAGGCAAATACTCTTGACTCATTTGAAACTCATACACTCTTCGCTTGATTTCACTCATGAGATCCTCCGGAACGAGTGCGCCAGAGCTCTGACACTTCTGCAGCTGTGATCGCTTCGTGGCGATATCTTTGGTCTTGTCCACGGAGGACAGGACGAGATTGTTTGGCATCGAGGGCATTGAGGGGATCTTCTTCATGGTCCTGGGCTTAGGAGAAATGGGCGGAAGTTGAGAACTGACCACCTCGACAATCGTCACGTTTTCGGGGGCCTTCGAGGGCGGAGGCGGTGCAGTTGGAAGATCTTCCCGACTGATGCTTCTCTTCTTTCTAGCGGGCTTCTCCACTTCCGCTGGCGCCGTGATCTCATCGAGATTCTCCACAGACTTGCGATACTTGGCCAGATCTCTATCTGGCTTCTTCGGTCCGACTGCGTCTGAGGATTCGTACTTGTGGAAGTGACGGTGATGCATGTGATCGTCATCGTCGCAGATGTGCTTGCTTTGCTTCCTCTTGGGCACAATCAGAGGCTCCTCCACAGGCACTCTCCCTGCGTACAGAGCATCTTCCTGGGCATATCCATCCAGCATTGCCATGAGGAATTCTGCCTTCTTATCCAGACTGTTGGATTTTGTCAGCTTCTCCTTCTGTGGCTGTGCAGACTCAGCGGAGACTTTATTTTCCTCCACGAACTTCTCAATGGCATCCTTGGACTCTCTCTTGTCGTCATCAGGCTTCTTCTGGTCATCGCTCACGTATTCATCGGAGAGACAATCCGACAGATTCTCCCCGAAGAACTTGTCTGATTTCTTGTTGCCCACTCGCGGCAGGACTTTTTTGTCTAGTTCGCTTGTCGGCGAGTGTTCCTGGCTAAAGTCTGCGAATCCAATGCTGTCGAAATCATAGCTCTGGCTCTGCTTCAGCGGAACAACCACGTCAACGCTCATCTCACGCGGTCTTGCGCTGTTATCGACACTGTCGCATGAGAATCTCCTGGGAGTGTCACCACCGAAGACGTCCTTGAAGCCATTCTTCACTTTTCTCCCGTCCTGACTCAGCATCGAGGGGCGCTTCTTGCGCGGTGGCGCGACTGGGGGAACAGGATCCATTTCGTCCTTCAAGTTGTGAACTCTACTCTTCTGCTGCAGATTACTGTCCTCCAGTTTCAATGTGGAATTCCTAAAAGCATCCAGCTTCGCTGGTTGTGTCTGATGAGGACGGGTTTCGTATCTGAAAGTGAGCAAAAACGGAAAAAGAATATTTATGAGAGGCAATACAATGGAAGATGTATTTGATAGATTATCACGCAATCATTCAAGATAATTGTAGAAATAGAATCTGATGCTGTAATAGGCACATAAATGTGTTTAAGGTGTCAGTAATGTACAAACGAACACATGAAACTGTTTTATACACCGGAAAATCCATGATTTTACTGAGTTTAAAGGCAATTTGTTAGCCAATCAAGAGAATCTGTTCCTAAACGGTTGCAAAATTTGCGATATTAATCAATTTAGATGTTCAAATAAGCACCAGTTATTGCGGCAAATTGTTGAAATGATAGCAATGCGAGGTAGTGTTATAATTAGTTGAACTTCTCTTGTTAGGAAAATGAACAATGAGCATGATCTTACATGTGTTTATTCCAGGATTCTCCGTTCTTTCGGTTCATTGCATTTGGACAGAGCTAAAATTAGCAAGAATATAATCAATTATTTGGAGTGACGTGAAAATTTCTCGTGTGCTTTATAAATAGAAGGGTAATTTGTAATATTTACTTGAGCACATCGTCCAATAACTCTGTCAATGGGACTTTTGGAATCACCCGCTCGATCGACTCGTTCCTTACACAGAATATTGCCCATTTTCTGCGCCTTGACTTCAACACGGCCTGAAATGTGGGCGAAATATCGCGTTATTGGAGATGAAATTGAAACAGGGACACAAAATTTGTATTGCACACATTCAGATAGAGAGAGAGACTTTAGTTGGAAAAACGACGAGAAACAAGCTGAGGATTGAACATTTTCACTTACAGTCGCGAAAATTTAATTATTAACCACAGTCTAATTTTATTCATCCACTTGTGCTTGTTTACTGATCATCACGCTCACATGTTCGTCAACAGTGTGGAGCTCAGAAAAGTTTTGGTGGAACATTTTTCCGGCATAGAGTGTTTGCTAAGAAGGCAAAATGTATTGGCAGGAAAAGCGGGGAAGATAGTTAGAGGTATGTTGTGTCACTTTAATGGAAAAGAGGCATGAAGACACGTGTTGACATGAGAGTTTCCAGTAAGAAGATAGAGACAAAAATGCTATGTGAACAATATTGTCGACCTTCACACATTATTTGATGTGTTTTAGTATTCTTTTTAGCATTTCACGTAACATATTGGACATGAGGAGATAATTTATTTCATTTACTTGTCTTCAGGCCCACGAAAAATGCCACGATGCATGCGGGCTGACTGTGATTATTACTGTGTCACTGTATTAGCAATTTCTCTCGTCATTTTCCGGTAAATCTCTGTGCTTCGCTAATTATCTTGTTGAATTTTATGCCTTTTTTTCATTTCAAATCGTACTGGAAGAGTGAATTTTCAGTAACATCCCGTATCTATTCTACACAGGCACAATCTAACATTATTAAATCATCACTTACGGAGAAATAGGAATGGAGTGAAATTTTATATCATAAAAATTAAGGTGTTGGAAAACAACGAGGGTTTAATAACACCTCACTGGATTATTTCACCTATTTTCGCATTTCTCACACATCTAACACATAAGAGTAGATAGAATATGAGCATCTCTCTTGGATTTTCGTAAAAAAAGAGAGACTTTTGAAGCGCTTGCAAATTTGCAGAGCGAGCAGAAAAAGCTTCTGTAAAACTTCAGCGCAATAATAGAATGACTAATAAATACATAGTTAAAGACTCGTAAATACAACAGACAGTTGAAGAATTTTCATTTACGTGGATGACATCATATTTTAGTAAAAAGATTTCTATTCTACTGCTGTGCCGCTGTGAGAATAGTGTTGTGGAATACACAAATAGGCATTTATTCTTGGGTGAGGAGTGGAATTAACTGGAGGAATGTTGCTTCTTCGGTGGGTTTATCAATAAAATGTTAGATGAAATACGAGCAAAACAGTTGACTGAATGGTGCGCGGAGAGAATTTACAGCTGTGATGATTGTTGTGCAAATGGATTCAGAAATTAGCATTTTATATAAAAAGCCAAAGACTGACCTCAGAGATCGGAAAAGTTGACCGTCAAATTTAATCAATTAAAGCCGAATGTTTGTGGTAATGTTTGTGTACATAAGTTGATGAATGACGTTCTCTTTATTTCCACGACAATCACAGACGCTGTAAACAAGCTTATGTCATTGTGATGATCGCAGATGAGGAAAGTTTTACATGGCGAAAAAAATGAAATGGTACAGAAATAAAGGTATTTTTTGCCTCATCACATTAAAATAAAATGTTAGTAGATAAACATGTCGTATGTGACAATTTTTGAGAGAGGGAAACACATTTCTGATTTACAGTGTGATTAAATGGCAATTTTTGCCATGTGATCATTCAGAGTTTCATGACAAAATCCATGAAGCGTGATGATGAGACACACAGCCAGAGGGAAAATAATTTAGCGAGCAAAATGCGCGCCACAGAAACTCACTGACGTTGAAAATAAATAATAATTCGATGGGTGTCCTCTGGTCAAGGCTCAATTTGTCACACTTGTGAGTATGCAAAAATATATTTGGAATTGCGGACTTTTCGCGCTCTTGCCTTGCAAATTCACTTTCAACTCGCACTCTCTCGCAAAGGTAATCCGCAAATCGATTTAATTTATGTAAGTTGATTGCACCATAATTAAGATTAGCCTCATTAGAGATAATACCTGCAAATGTGCAATTTTGTGTCTGCTGCAGTTCGGATAAGGCGATAGTGTTTCGCAGATTCTCTCTTTTCGCTGTACAAAGTGCGTGTGCTCAGGAAAATGGTTGTTTTTTCTTCACTGTACTGGAGAGAAAATCACGAGATTCCTCTCGCCGTGCGCAGCTCGACTTCACTCACTGGAGTCACAACAAACACTGGCGATTCCCTCTGGGCTGGAGTTTCGATTGTGTGTATTGTGAGGGAATCCATGACTATAGAATGTGAGTGATCTCACGAGAAGTATAGTCTCCACACTGAAAGCTACCGCTGAATTTATCATTCATCAGATACTAGAGTTGAGCTTCTTCTGTGTGATAGATGTAATATTTTGAGTGTGAAAGAGGAAAAAATTGATAGAATTATGCGCATTTCGGCTATAAAAATGAAAACTTGACTTCTAATCGCTTTTCTCAACTCTGTCGGCAACACAGAGCTTCCCATTCTCACCAGTACAATCTCAGGAGGGGGAGTAAAAAATACGCCAGCGATGCTAGCAATTAAAATTTAAGATAGTATTTAAAACAAGATATAGTATATAAGTTTTCATCTTGACTTGTGGTTGAAAAATTGTTTTTACAAACACATTCTCTGGCCCTGTGTATATTTAGTTAATTTTCTTTCAACACACTTTTTCAATAAGCTCATTGTTATACATCTTTTTTCATCGTCTCGTCGGTTTTTCGGCTTGCAGATGGTGCCTTTTATTTGCCTGCAACTACGCCAGAAATCACGACACCAATTATGGCATGAGGAGATGATGGAAGAAGGTGTGAAGAGCGCCAGAGATGAAAATCTGGAGGCGAATATTGATGATGGAGTAACTTAAGCTGTTTTGTTGGAGATCATCCAATCTCGCCAAAATGGATTTCAACGAAGAGGTAGGTGGTTTTCTTGTATTGCTATGACTAGTCTTTCCAAATAATTCTTTTCCTCTTGCATAAGATTGACTTGAAATTGGGGACAAACTCTCTCTCTCTCTCACTTTTTCTGTCTAGCCTTCAACTCAATGGTTGAGAGTAAAATTTGCTTGTGAGAATGTCAACAGTTAAGTAATTTTATCTCATGTTGTTCTACACAGTTCTCCAGCATGTGAAGAGATAAGACAAGAGGTGTGTTTTGAGGAGAACAAAGACTAAATATATTCATGATAGAATCTCTATTGCCAGCACTGTAATTGCTTTCATACTGGCAGAAGGTCACTTGTGAAAATATTGTGATTTATTCTCGATATCACAGATTATTGTTCTTCCTTTCTGGAATGAGATTTATGTGGTTTTTACCTTACATGCTATTTTTCCATCATGGGCCTAAGTTTCCTCCACTTATCGCATAAAAGTAGCGTTCTTGTGTAAATTTATATGTTAGAATCCATGAAAATTCATCATACTTCTTATAACAATAATGCTCTCATTGCAAATTCTAATAGGCTAAAGCTCACTGAATTGAAAAAGAGAACGGTGACCTATATATAATTTCACTGGGTTAAATCATAATCTTAGTGTGGCTATAAAAAAGCCAGTCGATTTACGTGATGTTTACGTGAACTGAGAAATTCTTTCTTGAGCGTCAGAATGTAAGAGCAGAAATTTTGCATTTCAATTGTCTGTCGTGCGTAAATATCAGCAGAAAGAAAACAGATCTTCTGTGTGGCGCACAGGCATGAAAACTACGTGCGATTACGTGGAAATCATGAAGATTCTAGGGAAAAAAGAATGCTTCGTCGTCACTCTAACTTCCTGGCGCGGCGTTTTATCCAATTGAGGTAAAAGACTCAATGAAACACACATACTTGCATGATACGGTGCAAAAGGTGAGGGTGGTTTTCCAACCAACATATCAACAATAGGCAACAGCCGAGTAATTGATGATTTTCCCACCGCGTGAGGAAAATAGCACATAACACACATATAGGCAGATACTCGGTAAATTTTCCCACATAATGCGGGCGTGAGGTGAAGGCTGTGCTTCGCACTGTGGGAGCTTTTTTCTCCTTCGCGCGCGCTTCTGGATATATATCGTGTGGCGCACGTTCTCATATGCTGGCGGGGTTCTTTTTTTGCATAACACCATATGAATATCCGCGTGTATAATTTTATGTATTGCCGAAGCGCAAACAACTGAATCAAAGTCACACGCCACAGAAGCACCCAATAAGCTTTTTAGAGACTTTTCACTCACTGTTTTCATGTTAGTTCTGTGCGGAAAATCATGAACATCGCATCGGGAGTGATTTTCGCAATATTTCCACATCGTTCTTTCAGTCTTTCGCATACTTCCACCAGTGAATATTCTGTCGTCAAGCGGTGATGGTGGAATTGGGACATTAAGTTGCTGTTTGCAAGAAGAAGTGATAAATCTGTGAAAGTTCCTTAACAATGACTAGGTATATATGTAATTGCTCTCGCTGGAGATTGATTATTTTAGCTAATTTCTGTGCTGAACTCAATTTATGAAGAGTGACCTATTATTGTCAGAGCGTTTTTTTCACACCACTTTTTAGACAACAATAGTGAAATAAGTACAAAGTGATAGCGATGTTTCACCGAATTTTCCGATAAATCAAAATAGAGTTACTGCTTCGTGTGGCAAATTGGAATGACACGGATAAGAGGGTGAAAAGGCGGAAAATGCTGTGTATTTGGAGTAATAATAGCTTTATAGAGAGAATAGTTGAAGATCACAAGGACGAAGTCGCACGTAAAGTGCAGAGTGTCCATTGATAGATTGATGGTTTCCAATTTTCCAGAAGCAATAAAAGTCAAGACTAGAGAAAGGCAAATGCTTCATAAATTCACGTTGTTCACGCAATAAATGCTTATTTCTGACCAAAAACACATCAAAATCGTTCTATTTTCCGCCTCTAGTGCGATAACATGAACGTCATCCATGTTTGGAAGGTGCTTTTTTGAGGGTGAAGGCGAGTGAATATCGACAAAATGGTACTGCAGTTCAGTCTTGGGGTTTTGCAACTACAACAATCGACCTCCTCACATTGTATCTATTCTAACTAATGTGTATTCGCAAATTTGCAGGCAAAGTGACTCATTTCTTATGCTTTCCCTTTCACTCTCGTCCGCAGTGGTTTTCAATGGTGATGCGACAGAGTGTTTTGTGTGTATTTTTGATGATACTTTTGACCATCTTGTATCACACGATAGGGATATAAATAGATTCCTTGGTTTTTTTTCACTGTCGCACACATTGCAGAAAATTGAGAGAGTCACAGATGAAAGTGAATTGAAAATGTGCGTGGGATTAATTCACTCGGGCTTGAACTTCGAGATTGGGAGACACATTTAACAAATACTGTTGTGTGACAAAAACACACAAACCGCGACCTGCCTCAAGTAAATTTATTCAATAGAAATACTTTCTGGCAATTCTGTGAGTCAATTGAATTGATAACCGCTTGGCAGTGTTGCAGATTTCACTCTGTGACGTCTAAGCGAAAAAGGCTCAAGGTGCGATATAGTGAAAATTAATTGGCTTTCAGTTCATAAAGCGTGAGAAAATGCTGATACAGAAAGTTTTTCTTCGGCCGTGCGCAGGCAGGAACCAGCGTTGAGGGAAGGTTTGTGTGTAGCCTATAAACACAGAAACTCATCGCCGGAAATTGCACTCTCCTTGCGCTCCGCCATACTTTCACCCACCTTGCAGCACATCAAAGGGAATTCTTCTCTACTTGAGTTCCATTTAAGTGTCAAGAAAGTTTTCCAGACTTTCTGCTATATAATATTCTCTACCAATAATGAGGCTTAGGCTCTTGTATTATAATTAAAGATATTCAATGAAATATGAGAATTGCTTGTGAAAAACACGTAAGACTCGTACAAGATAATCATTCTACAAATCTTGAAGGATTCTTACATGAATTTCTGGCGTATTTCAGGAAAGATGCGGAGAAAGTGGGATCAAAGAAGATATTATCGTTCGAAAGCAATCGGAGATTTACATTAAAATGATTTGCTACTTGATCTGGTTCTTTTGGTGTTATTAACCACCAATTTGTGTGCGGAAAATTCTGTGATCTTCCCAATAGAGATTGCGCGAAATGATTATTTAGCAAACATCCACTAAATAAATCGGGCAATCTTTGGGTGTTTCAAAGTGAATCTCTTAAAAGAAACAAGCAAATGTATGCTTTGTAAACAAAATGTTGACTTCAACTAGCTTTTCCGCTGTGATTAATTAAATTTCTGCAAATTTGTATGCTATTGCACAATGCTTTAACCTCTTCACCTTGTCATCGAGTGTGAAATGGCGATGAAAGTGGAGGCGTGAGCACATTTCAGTAAAAAGTCATGCAATGGTTTATATTTGAAAATTTCCTCGATATTAAGGTACACAAAACAGAAAAACAGATGAATGACTTTTTGAGTTGTCTTTTTTAATAGCATATCATGCAGTGGCATGTTCAATATCTATTTAAATACTTGTGAAATTCAGAAGTGAACACATTGAATTTACACGCGGAATTTCTGTCTAAAATTACAACTTCAATTATACGATTCTCGTGCTCGTATTTTTTTTAAACCCATGTGCGTCTGGTATTTCTTGTCTATTTTTCATGTTCATCTTATTTACATTTGGTTGTCTTGACGCTAATTTTAAATATTCACTGCGTGAGAAGAGTTTCTCGTGATGACAGGCAAAAATTCGGCAAGAAAATTGGAAGAGAGGCAAAGAGAAAATGAGAATCTGATAATAGAGCTATCGTGACTAAAACACCTCTGGCGCTAAAAAAGAGAAGAAGCTCAAAGAGGGTAAAAGTATGTGACAAATTTGTGTCGAAGAGTGCAAAGAATACAAGGGTGGTTGAATTGGAGTCCTCTAGAGGCATTCTAACACGTTATTTAATTTGCCGGTTGCATGACAGCACGAAAGTATATAGAGAATGTGTATATGCGGTGATTTGTGTCACTTGAGCTTCCTAGCTTTCCCTTCGTGAGCGAGCTTCACATATGCGGAGAAGAAAGTTGCTGTCCTGGAAATAGTTTTGGTTCTAAGGCGATATTTTTGGGGTGCGAAATCAGGCTTGCACCATCGATTTCTTAACAGCTGTTCCACTAAACTTTCCCACTTGTTGAAGTTATGTCTTTCGGAGTCTCTTTGGTGGGCGGAAAGCAATTGGCCCAGTTCTTTATATAGGATATTTTTTCAGTTGAATATTAAAAATAACTAATCTTTTCCGTCTCTTCTCTATTTCAGATGTGTTATGAATCTCCTTGATGAACATGAGCAGTTCTGTGTCCTCCAATAACGGACGAAAAGTGCGATTTACCCTTCCTGGTCAGGAGTTTGTGTTTGATCCACCCAAAATTGTCACGCCTCGCAACAAAGTTGTGCACGGAACACGCCAGTACATCAACGGAACACTTCAATCTACAAAGTTCGCGTCTGTGCCAGAGTCTGCGATTGTCAAGAGGGAACTTCAGCCACTTCCTCCGCGAGAACCTCTGCCAGAACCGCGTCCAGTGCAGAAGACGAAGCTTAAGATAGAATTGCCGCCAAATGCTGCATCGAAAGCCAGTCCGGATTTTGTGCGACAGAAGCTCTCTGTGGGATTGGAGAATCTCACGATAGATAGCAGGACGTCAAAGAAGGCAGATCCTATTGCCGAGAGGTTAACCAAATTGAGTATTGTTACACCTAAGTTGGTGGCTAAAGAACCTGTGCGACAAGTGAGGGAATTCCCAGATATTCATCACAAATTCGCTGCATTTGATAATTTATCGCCAATTCGGGGTCAAGGAAGAAACACAGGGACTGGAAAGAACGCAGGAAGTGAAGAATCGACAAGATTGCCACGAAGACAGACGAATTCTGCTGTGAGATCTGTTAAAATAACACAAAAAGTGTCGCGACAGAGTGTTATATCATCTCAGGCGTCACCATCGAGAGCACGTCAGTCCAAGAGTGCCTTCAAGCCCTTTCAGATCATTGACACACGCTTTCCTGGCCACGAATTGCAGTCCACAAACTTCAATTCATCGACTGAGGAACTGAAAAATCGCCCGAGTTTGCCCACAGTTGAAGTGACTGGAGTCCATTTGCATTCGGACGCGGAGGAATTGAGTGGGTGTTGGGGTGTGAATGAGGAGAATAGCAGAGGATTTCTGCGAGTACCTGAATTGAGTGATATCTCAGAAAACATCTACGAAGCCTCAGTGGCGGGAAACGCTTCGAATAACAGCGGAGAGATTGAGCCTTCGGAAAATGTGGCTCAATTCTGGGACTTCGTACAGAGATGGCGGACTATACGCTTAGGTTCGAGTAAGAAGAAGTTTTCCAATTTGAATCGACAGTCGTCTGCAGTTTCTGTTCAGCGCTCAATTAAAACGGTCGAAAAGAGGTAATTGATGCTGATTTCCATAAGTTACTGCAATAAGCACTTTTCCCTCGCATTGCCTATGGATTTTTTTTGTTCTTTCTCTTGTCGAAAAATACGCAGTGATTTGTTGTGGAGTCGTGAGAGTGTATTTTTAGTGCAAAGAAGCGCACATTTTGTGTGAATTTCGTGGAAATATTACTCAAGTATCACTCAAATTTTGGGATTTCTTTGGAAATTCGATTCAAAGACGATTGCCCACTCAGATGAGCCTCAGCGTTCCACGAGGCAGGAGTTTATTTTAGGAAAACCAACCGTGAGATTATTACGTGAAATTGTGGTGATTTTATTGTATGATTGGCAGACAAACAGCTGCATTTATTGTCTTACTGAAGTAAACAGTTACAATCATTTGTGGTAATGCTGAAAAGTTGTATTGAAAATTTGAGATTGCGTGAAAGATATGTACCTATTTTAGGGACAGTGTGCTTGAACGGTGAGATTAACACCCATTAAGAATCAGCAAAAAAACTCTGCTTATTAGCAAATTGCGTTGCGTGAAATGTTTTATAATAGCATCTCATCACAATTTTATTAGTTTTCTACCCTCAAGCAAGTTAAGTGAATGATTTACAACTCAATTAAATCTGTAACTCTATTGACTTGACTTAATTGTTGATTAAACTGTTGCTGTTCTCTCAATTCTCGCTCACATGTCTTCAACACAAAATCATCAGCAGATTGCTGATGAAAAATCACCGCCAGAGATTTTCCTCGGCAGCTTTTGAGGTGCTGAAGAGAGGAAAGAGAATCAAAAAGCAAGTCTGCGGCGGTCTTTTTTCGCAAAAATAAAACGGGTGAAAGAGGAGCGATAGTAAAAATTCAATTACCGTAAAAATGCCCCCCTGAAAAGTAAGCATTCTTGACGAGAACATCTTACTGTGTAAACTGTTCCCGCGGTGAATAATGGTGGTATTAGAACATTGAGGAGAGTTTTTGTCTCTCGCGGAAATATTTATTTTGGGAAAATCCAATTTTACACATTTTCAATTGCTCTTTCGTCAGTCACTATCGATGATGTGGGATTTACATGGGCGCACAGAGGGAATGCGGAGCTATTCCTTCTCTAAATTAACTCAATGTCCAATTGCGTTCAGCTTCGCAATCCGACATCCAACAGTTTTGCCCAGTGCAAAAGGAGAAAATAGCAAGAGACGCATATCTATTGTATGCAAATTGCATTTGAGCTCAGACACACGAGCCACCAGAGAAAATAAACGGATAGAGACATAACATTTAAAAGAAATTAGTAGTTGCTCGAAGTGGGGGATTATTTCAGGACTAAAGTGCGCCAGAGAATTCCACGAACGTGTTGGAGGAGCGGAAAAAGCAGGGAATTATTGGTAGAAAGAAAAATTTAATGCGAATCCAATAATATCGTGACGTAAAGACGTAATTACTTCGTGCCTGTCTCACTAATATAAACATTATATTCAATAATCTCTGAAAATTTTTGCTTACCAAACACTTTGAATACTAAAATGATTTTCCATCGCGAATTCACTGTCTGCAAATTCACCGTGTTTCTTTAGACTTTCGTGTATTAGCATATTGTGAAGGAAGGTGGAAAAAATGGGTGGAGATAAGCGCCTGATTCTTACTAAAGTTCAATTTTTCCACTTCGTCATGTGTTTAAATACGGAAACAATGAGTAACTTTGATCTATGATTTACCGGTTTTTTAATAGAAGAAGAGGATCTGCCAAAGAAATCTTTTTATATATTTTTATGACTTACGAATATGAACGCATAGTTTTGCGTCAATGATTAGTGTGTGTTGATTTTTTAAGTCATTTTAATACTATTATTGATTAATTGACACTGCGGTTGGTTGGAAAAATAAATCTCAACTCCACACTTTGCGCCCGTGAAGTTGAAGGTTGAATTCTCACCGAGAAATTGAGTGGAAAACGACCGAAAATTGCCTTGTTATGTGCTTTTTTCGCGTCTCCCTTTGCAACACACAATCATGATGTTTCACACTTTATGCGGCCAAACCTCTGGATTGGCTCAAAAAAGCACAATATGTGTGGTTGTGTGTTTAAAGTTAAATATTTGGACAATGTATTATTTTAAAATGAGGCAGCTTGAGCGCGATGAGGAGGAAAAATCGGAAAAGCGCCATAAATCGCGCAGTAATTATTGAAATCTATTTATAAGCCTGAGAAAACATTCATTCTTTCTTTCTCCATGGCAAATGGTGTAGGAAAAAAAAGGTGTGGGAAAGTTTTAAAGCCCCCAATAAAATGAAAGGTTCTATTCGGGAAATATAGGGCAGTATTTTTCATAGGAAAAACTAGATGGTGAAATTACATTTGGGTGGGCAACATAAAGTAGCGCTTTGAGTGTTTCAACATTTGTGCAATTTCACGGCCGAGTGGGAAAAAACGCAGTGTGATAATGTTTCGTGATAAATCCTCATCAATGTTCTTTCTGCATTGCACGTGGCAAAAATTTGATGGTGGTTTTTCAGCCTGGGTGTCTTTTTTCTCATGGGGTTTGAGTGATTTTAAATGTTGCGATAAATCACATTTCATGTGGAAGTGAAGAGAAAAAATGGGCAGAAACAGAGAGCACATGTCTTATGTGATGAAAAGATAATGTTGTAGCATTTTTAACGCTGTCATCCTTTTTGCTTCTCCCGCCACCCCGCGAAGATTGTTATTATTATTGTACCAGAATCCTCAATTAAGTTAATTGACATGCGACTGATTGCCAGAGTATGAATGACTAATTCTCGCTGATGTGGTCATTTGTGCTTTAATCTCCGTCTCCTTCTCGTTCAAGAGCCCAAATAACGTCACGTCTGCGAACGCTGAGGATGAATTTGGAGCAAGTGCCAATGGTGAGCACACTCCTGCGAGCGGCTAGAGATGCTAATGAGCTCCTGCTCAAGGAAGCACTGCGGGACATCCTGATAAATGGCGTCACAAAAGAAGATCTCAATTCCACCGACAAAAGCGGAAGGGTGAGTTTCAGCATTGATAAACTTTAGGCCATGAGCGTAGCCAAGATTTGGGCGAGAAAAGGATGTGAATTTTAAGTGTATTATCATCACACTTCGATGTGTCTCGAAAAGTTTCTGAAAGAATCATCATTTTAAAGGCCCAATTGTATGAAAAGTTTTAGAATAACTTGCTTTTCTTGTTAGCCAAACTACTTCCTTGCGCCCTTGCTTTAGGCGCCTCTGTGTGTGCTGATTAGTGGAAAAGGAGGATGATGAAAAATCAGATAAGACGCGTGAGACTTTCCACTGCTGTGGAATTGAAGGAAAGTGAAGGGTTCAATGGCCCAGTTTATTTTACCACCTCGACATCAGTCACATGACCAAATTTGGCTGAAATGCCCATAAAAAAGAAGTGAAACGTTTTGAATTTATGATTGTAATTCGTCAAAATCCACTTGTTTGTTTGCCATTGAACATTTCAATGGGTGTGATTTGTGTAGTGGTAGGAAACGCATTGGAATCGGGTTTTATTATTCCGATCGTGCAAGACGCGAGCGATGTGTCTCTAGTCATTGAAATTTCAGCAATCAATATCTCGGTGTTGGATTCAATTCAAATGTGTCTTAACCTCCTTGCAGACGGCCATCTCCTATATTTGTTCAACAAATTTGACGCATTTTCTGGACATTTTCCTCCAATTGCCGGGAATTGACGTGAACAAGTCGGACAATGAGGGAAATTCACCACTACACTTTGCCGCACAAGCCGGTAAGTTGATCTCATTCAAAGCGGATGAATTCGAAGGCAAAAAATGCGATTGCTCATGATGATGGATAAATGATAATTGTGTAGTTTTCATGCCTACAAAAAAAATCGAGAGATAATTCAGTCCTAGATTAGTATTGTAAACAGAATTGTAAACCTTCAAAATGCCAATATAATTTCGTGATTTCTGGGAAGAATCATAGCTCAAAATCGACTGTGGGCTGATGAAAATGTTTATTGGACATTGATACGAACGTGGGAAAATCTAATAAGATTCAGCCTACATACATAATACATTTTATTCACACATTTACGTTTACGCACGAAGTTCGAAAGTTCAAAGAAGTTTTTGCTTAAATTTCCATTCCTACGCTGAAATGGTTTGAAATATCAATTTTTGGTACAATATTTGCAGTGAAATTTCTCATCTTAAACTGTATGTTTGATGGTTGAAGTGAGGAATGAAGCAACTCTTACACTATTTGTTATAGAATTAGTAGAATTATTCAAGTCGGGCGTCATTGAATTATCGCAATATATGTGCTGAATGATAAATATTTGGTCTCTGTAAATTCACACATCAATTGAATAATGCTCTCTTCTCTAACTTATCGTAATATTGATTTGTGCTCACGAAAAAGGTCAAGTCGACGTGGTGAATATGCTGTTGTCAAGAAGTCGCAGCATTGTTGTGGATGCAAAGAACAACCTGGGCTTCACGCCACTCATGAAGGCCGCCCTGCAAGGTCGCACAAAGTGCGCGAAGCTCCTTCTGTTCGCTGGTAAGTGCAAATGAGCACGTCTTCCACCCTTGCTTTGCATTCGAAATGAGCACACGGCGTGTTTACACTGTCGCATTTCTTCCTCGTGTCATTGTTGCTGTCTCGCGGTGGCGGTTGCCAAAAGGAGCTTCACCTGTTGAAACGGATTCGGGCCGGGGAATGAGGCCGGAGCAGTGGGCGAAGTTCTGCGGGCGCTACTCGTGTGCTGAGATGATAGAGAAGTGCGCCAGATCGCGTCTGCTGGAGAAGACGAGCTCCTGCAAGTGGTCAAATGATTCCCTCGCTCTGGACAAACCTGCCGTCTCCCGAAGCAGAACAACACCGAATCAGCAGCAAAGTGGTGGTGAGTTCTTCATCAAATTTCTCTATACGTTTCTTCAAATAATCCACTGATGACTCATGACAGTAAGTGATACTGAAATAAGGACATACACGAAACTCTTTGCCGACTCAAACTTCTGGCTCAACATAGAAATTTGTGGTAGCGATGAATCAGAGCTTCAAATGTTCCTATTTAAATGCTACTCGCTGTTCCTTTTATCATTGCTAGACGGTCAAGCAATTCAAAGAATCCCTCGTAGTTGAAAACGCTTATATTATGCACCATCTGGGATGCACTTTCCTAGGAATGCCACTGATAAAATGCTAATGTGTGTCTTTTTTCTCTTTCCACGCTTGTGCGGTCAGGAATTCGCTCGAAATTCCGTAAAGTCTTTCCATTTACTCTCCCATTTCGTGATAAGCAGTACAAGGAGGATCCGGCGTCGGGCACAGAGATTGTTCAGTATCTCTCTGCGGCAGCTCTCTGTGCCAGTGGCCCTGTGGTTCTTCCGGCAAATGGCAATTCGAAGATCATCAAAAGCATCATAAGACCACTAGAAGTGCCAAAGTAAGACGCTAAAATTTTCCTTAAGAATCTGTGCTAATTGAGGACTTTTTCCCCTTTTTCTGTGCTGCAGATTAGAGGTGACTTTGGCCAATAATATGTCTCTTATAAGGAAGTATGAAAATTCCAGCTTCTCTGAAGACACAGAGTCGGTTGAGAGTTCTCAGCCGATGTCGTCGCCATCGCGCGGGAAGAAGTGAGACTGCGGTGCGTGTCTCCACTCGGCGCTCATTTTTGCATTGGAGAGATTTCTACACAATTCTTAGGCTCTTTTCTATGGAAAGTTCAGTATTTCAGAGAGGCTAGCAAATTGACTCTCGAAAAGAAATAAATCCTCAAGACTTAAAGAGTCACCACGAAGGATATAATCCAAGAAATTGACAAGATAATGTTTTTCCTCTTTCCATATTATGTTTTCCTTTCTTTTTATATATTATAAAACAGACAAGCGCTCAATGCATGGTAGATTTAATTTAAAAGAATATTGACTGTTTTTTAAATGTCGCATTTTACAATTCTTCGTTGAATTTCTTATTCTTTCGCCTTCGCTGGTTCTTAATTTTGCTGAGAACCTCATAGGCTTTCTGGATCTCCATGAATTTCTCCTGAACGACGACTTTCTGCTCCTCGTCCTTCACCTTGTCCGGATGGTATTCTCGCGAAAGCTTTCTGTAGACGGATGTAATTTCGCTCTGAGACGCAGTTGGACTTACTCCGAGCACTTTGTAGGCATTTTGCTCTCCAGTCGCGTCCATTTGGTCGATGATCTGTCGCCAGGTTTCTTTCCAGCCGTTGTGCTTCGCGAATTGCCACGTCTCGTGCAGTGTCGCCTTCAAATCCACCCACCAAGGTGACGTCAGGAAGTTGTGAATCGCCTCGTGCACCGGAACTTCATCCCCTTCGCTGTCCTGGATCTTTCCGTTGAAGTACAAATAGCAAATCCACAGAGAAGAGTAGCAGGAGATTGCGAGGACGAGATAAAAGCCGCGCTTGCACAGGCCATGACGCTTTGGGCGTTCCAAGCGCCACTTCTTGGAACACATGTCGAAGACGGATGCTGAAATTACGATCATGATCAGCATCCAGTAGTCTTCGTCGTAGAGCTTGTATCTAATCGGATACGAAGCGTACGCGGCGATGAGACAGTGCCACAGTGGGCCTTTTTCGCGACCAATATTGCCCACAATCCAGACGCCAAGCGAGGTAAAGAAAGGCAGGGTCCAGTGGAGGAAGCTGAAATCTATCCCGGCGAAGATCTCTTCTGGAATGGCAATTTTAGCCACCTAAAAAGAAACGATAGAATTTATTAAGAGAATATCCTATGCTAATCTATTCAAATGTTTCCTTCAATCGTGGCAAAATATTTCAGCTTTAAAAAATATTTGCATATCCAACAAATTGTGAAATGCATTGGAATAAACAGAAGAAAAATTTGCAAATAAACATTCGATAAGCACTTAGCTTCAGTGGTCAGATCATATGATAATAGAAGAGAATCATATATCAAGAGTCAGTAAAATTTTATCAGTTGTATTTATATCTAAAAGTTAACTTCTATATAAATTTCAGTAAGAAAAACATTTTCTCAAATTTCCACAATAATTTACTATGGATTTCTTTCTGAGATACAATGGACAAAAAAACATAAACTCTTCTACACTGCATAGAAATTAGAATTGTAAATTAATGAATTGGTGATAAGACATGACCTTCAGATGGGAGCTTTACAGACTCTTATGCTAAAGCGAATACTTTTTAAGTACCTGTGTGAACACGTAAGCCATCAAGATTGCTCCCATGAAGCGAGTCGTATTGAAGGGTGGCTTCTTGTGCTTGTTCAGTCTGGCCACGAATTTGGCCACAAACACTGGATCATCGTTGGCATCCCGCACGTATTCCGGGATCTTGAAGATCTCCGATATCCAGCCGATGCCGAAGTAGCCGCCCAGAGTGCACCACCACACAAAGGCATGGCGATCCCGGTGGAGGTAGAGATGATGAGCCCCGAACACGCCGCCGATCAGCCACCACACGTACGCCACGAGGACGGATTTGGGCTTCGGTGCATCTTCTGACGCGTGAAGCGACTCGTAAGGCGAGTTGGGGCGCTGCGGAGAAAAAGTGTGGGTTAATAAACCGTTCGTTTGATCAGCTGTTTCAGGTGGATTTCGCCTCTCCTACACCAAAGTGTTCCATTTCGCGAGTGTCTATCACGATCATCATGATAATGCGTTGGGAAGGAATTGAATTTCAATATCTTGCATCAATGAGAACAAAGTTGACAAATGACTAACATAAATTCGAGAATAAATTGTGGTAATAATTTAGTCTGAACACTTCCGAAATGAGTAAAATTAATTATTCAATTGCTGTTATCACACTTTCGCATGGTGATATCTGTCTTGGAGGTCTTGGAGCACGTTTACCATATTTTCGCGTGGCATTGTTTTGCTTATTACTCAGTAAATTTGCCATCGCACAAAGCCCGTTTCATCATCTTCTGTATTTGCCACAAGAAGTCCCCACGGGTATTTTATTTGCTCTACGCACACGTGCAACGTCACAAAGTCCCGTTAAACCTGCTGGAAGAGAGACCACGAAAGGTGTATTTTATACCTTCTTCTCTGACGACGTCTGGCTCTTCTTCGTGCTGTTTTTCACACCATTCTGCATGGGAGACATCCTGGATCACAGATTCCTATCAAAAGTTATCCTCAACAGCTGCTGATGAGTTGTCGCCACTTAATAATTTCCACTAAAAGCACCTCAGAAATGATTCTTTCGAATTCAAATCGAGCAAAACACTGGGCATCAGATGTGGCCGAGATCGCGTCGCGCACAGTTACACACTTTCTGGCGAACAGCAAGAACACACGGAAAGGCGCACACTGGAACACATTTTTCTTCAACTCCAATTGGAGACTTTCCAGGCTTGTGATGCCAAGCGGCCGGCGAAGAAGTGGAATAAATCATAGGCGGCAATCTTCTTTTACATTCATTTGCATTGTCTTTTTATTTCAACGTAAGTTAACAAGTGGCATCATATTTTAAGCAATTCTTCATTAACATCTACTTAATAAAATTAAGAAAATCTTTCTACGTATAAAAGACCGCAGTATCCATAACATGTTTTCTTTCATCTCGTGTAATTCTTCTGGAATCTTTCTTGGAACTTCCTCACTGACTTATAAAGATCTATTTTCAGTGCTTCTGGTCCCAAAAAACATGTCTTTGTATCCTCATAATTAATTATCTTCATGTCTTTCAAGATCAGTTTGAAGCTTATAGATTACGTTCAATGGAAATGGAAATCCACCAAGAATCATGGCAGGGATTATGATTAGGGAAAAATGTGATTACAGAGAAGAGAGAGTGGGTTTTCAGCAGGCACAATTTCAGGCGCAGGACAAACTTCCTCTATAGCGTAAAAGTGTGGCAAGGAAGGAACTCAGGGAATGTTTGAGCAAATGTTCGGTGGGTTTCGACAATGAGACAAAGGGAAAAATTCATAGCGATGAAGCATTAAAGTTTGTCCTCAAGAATGTTGGTAATATTTTTTATGAGAATCCTCGCGACTATTTAATTACATAATTTGTGCGCTCAACTCAAAGTCTATCTAAACATTTAGAGAATGCGTGTCTTGATGGGGTTGAATGTGTTGGGATATGGTTTCACAGAGAGACGGAGGTTAATTTTTATTCTTGTCAATACTTTAGCCCAGAATTTTAACAGCATGATAAATGCATTTCACTTTATCGATTCGATGTGTCCTTTAAGCTTTTTTTTCTTTTTGCTTTTTATGTTTTAGCTAGAAAAGATCAATTTATTCTTCCCACAATTGATAAATGATATGAAAGTTGAAGGGCTGAATATTTTCTGTTGTATGTTTCTACAATGTTTTTTTTTATCAAGAAGTGCCTTTGTAATTGTCCCCAATTCTCTCTGCACTCTCCTCATCTTGGCGGTGATGTCTGTGAAAAGACCTTTCCTCCTAATATCTGTCTTTAAGTCTCTATATTACAAATGACTATCCTATTCCATAGACCGCTCTCGGGTCGCGCTCAATCTTTGGCTATAGACTGCAATTAACACGCACAGCGGCTGTTCTCAGAGCTCTTGCCGCCCAGCATGAAGGAGTTGCTGAGTCCATTGGCGGACCCGGAGTCCTGTTTCTTATCCTCCTGGTCAAAGTTCTCACCCTAGAAGGCGCAAGAGAGAATTATTGTCACTTGAAGTGGATTTTTCTGACTAAAAACTTACTCGACGATCTCTTTGGTCGCGAATTCTCCTGGCCAAGCATATGAAGGACTCCTCAATATTGACATTCTGTTTGCAGGACACCTCGAAGAATGGTATATCGAAGTTCTCAGCAATCTATGAAAGAAGTATAACAAAGCCGACGGTCAAGGGACAACCAGGAAGTTACAATTATCGATTAGTGTGTTCACAAAGGACTGTTGTAAAATTATTCAGTTCCGTGTGTCGCCTTCGTGTCTCGCCAGGAGGTGTACACCTTCTACTCCTTCGCGAGACACAGTGGAAGGAGCCGCGAGTTACCTTTTCACCACGCGCCTTCTCCACCATGCGTTGTGCGGGTGGGCATTCACATTTGTTCCCCGCAAGGACAGTCACCACATCTGGAGAGGCGTTCTGTGTGCGGAAAAATAGACACATAATTGAGAAGGTGAGGCCAGTTTGGCGCCAGGAGTGTGTGGTGACTCACCTCGTGGATGTTCCTCAGCCAGTACGCCAGATTGTTGAAGGACTCCAAGTTGGTCACGTCGTACATGAGCAGAATCCCCATGGCACCGCGGTAGTAGGCCGTCGTGAGGGTGCGAAATCTCTCCTGGCCCGCCGTGTCCCAGATCTGCAGCTTCACCGGTACGCCGTCAAGATTGATGAGTTTCTGCTTGAAGTCTATGCCTACAATGAACCCAACATGAGCACATGAACTATCAGCGACACACCAAAAGATCCCCAGAAGCCAGGAGCAGATTTGCACTCTGTCTGGCAGTGCAATTTCACCTGCACAGACACATGAGTCATAAAATTTTATACTCTCTCTTCTCAACTCTGTGACATTTTATTATTTGTCTCATGGATTCAGTGCTGAAAATACTCCTTTCCTCGTGCTTGCAATTTGCACGGCAGCACGTTTACCTGTCCGGAAAACAGATATAAGAGCTCATATTTAATACCTTAACCAAATGGAATTTCCTCGCCGTGCAAACATTTGTGCAGGGCTGCAGATACTTTTCTCTTTTTTTTCTCACAGAAAAGTGGAAAAAGTAGCAAACTTTCCGACAATGTGGAAGGATAAAAATATTTTATTAATCCTGAGCTTATGAAGTATATGTTCAGTGACTACTTTTAGTCACAAAAATTGCAAAAGTTCGTATTTGCATAGTTAGATATTATATACATTTTTCAGAAAGAAGAGAAATACTGTGAGAAAAAGCATTTCAGGATGAAACTTTAAGGAAACGATTCAAAACAAATTAAAGGCGCAGAGCTTATTTATAGCTCCTGTTCAGTCCTAAATTCGATTACTTAATTAATTAATCCATGTATCTTTTATGTTTAATCGATGCCAATAATGTTTAGACTCATTTCACTTGCAATTCTAATCACTCTGATCTAGCTAAATCAAGCGAACAACTGCAGGGAAGATTCGTTTTGAATGTACTCCGCAATATCACCCAATAAATGTATTGAAGCTGTGGAATCCAATGGAGATGCGATAAGGTTCTCCTGGGAGTGGCTCAATCACATTCCAAATGGAGATTAACTCAAAATTACGAGTCGCACAGGCCAGTATGCTTACCAATTGTGGAGATGTAGGTTTCGTAATATCTCTCATCACAATATCTGTGAACGATGCAAGTTTTGCCGACATTGGAGTCTCCGAGGACGAGAATTTTGTAGGTCGTGGCAAAGTCCAGAGCCATTCTTGCGCTGATTCCTCGCCTTTTTCTCTATTTCAGACTGATTTTATCGCTTTATGGGCGTCTTTCACACGCCTGAGAAGCTCTAGTCGCCGCTGTTTGTCCTCTGATGCCACCAAAATATACACTAAAACCCGCACATATTCATCACTCAAGGGTATTCTGGCGACCAGTCTCCGCTTTTCTCCGCTCTGCAAACCACTTTATATGGGTCACTCAACTGAATCCGACCTGACTTGGTGACAAAGAACACATACGCTGTGCTTGGATGATGGAACAGAGACGGAGTTGCACAAAGAACTGAGAGGAGGAACTGCCAGAAAATCTCCCTTTTGGTGGTGATTCAACAACAGAAAAATCGATATTGCCAGAGTGATGGACGCAAGCGTAGAAAGCCACCTGTAGCGAGCAATTGACCCGACACACTGTTCGCCGACGTGCCATACACCTTATTTGCTCTCTGTCTACCTGGACAGCCAAGGACACTCTGGGCTTGAACAACTGTCCCTGGAATATCCGATTACTGCTGGCCTTCCGTGAGATGAATGGAATTCTTTCGAATTTTCCACTAAATGGAAATCTCCGCAGCTATTTTCCATCTTTTCCATCTATTCTTCTAACGATTGCTTTGGTTTATAATCTCTATTACTAATTATTCTACTATCTTTGCCTGGACAACTCCTGTCCTGAGTTCAACCTCAACTTCCTCCGCCAATTTCAGCATCTGCAAGGGAAAATCTCAATAGGTATAATTGCCATTACTTCCTTCACGACAGTACAATACCTCTTGTATCTTACTCGAATCGCTGCATTCTCTATTTTTCCTAAATTCCTCATTTATTTTCATCCTGGCAGCGTTCAGAGCGGAGGTGTCATTGCGGAAAACCGTGTGACTCGCTCGATGGAGTTTCTTGAATACCTGCAGTACCTGAAAGTTACATGACCCATGTGGAAAGATATCGTCAATATTTTCTCACAGACTCACTGCGGATCTAGTGGATGACATCGTGTTTTTCCTCAATTTTCAAGACTATATTTACATTTTGCGCACACCGGCCATGACGTTCGTGACAATTCTACTTTATGTGGTGCACACAACGCGGCGCTGTGGCGAATGAAGAGGAAAATCAACTCGCATACCAGTGCGTTGAACTGCCTCTGATTGTCACAATGGAACAACGATTGCTGGATGGGGTGCGGAATTGATTGTGTAAAATGCAAAAATTGTCGTGAAAAAGCTGTTCAAAGTGTTACTTTCAGTGTGCCAACCTCACAATAAGTATCATAGGACCACGTATTCAGTGGCATTCTTGTGCTGTGTGAGTGCGAAAGTGGAGAAGATGCAGCTGCAAAAAATTACTTTCCAAGAGAAAACGCTCATATAAATGTAAACAAATAAGCCAATTTGATTTGAGTTGCTGATGCTGCAAATAAGAGACTCTGGGTGAAATTGATTTTCAGCAAAGTGCAAAATTCTTTTGCTTTCGATCCGGTAAATGCATCTTCGCGAGGAAATAATGGAGGAAGATGAGACGGACATTCGTGAGCAGATTTTCCACAACACAGTTCGCGAGCACACGGTGAGTTGATTGGCAAAACATTTCCCATCATCCATGCTGCAACGGAGCTGAGAGAGACTCGCTCCTTGTACCGTTCTGCTGATAATCACGGAGCGAAACATGATGGGAAGTCGCATTTACATTGCTGGCGCCGCGAGATCCAACCAGCGATCGCGACGTCACTCCCAGCTGAGGAATTTCACCAATTCCAATAGTCCACGTCGCTCTTTCGGCCGTCTAGTCGCCTTATCGCGCTCTCCTGCACTTTTATCACATCACCCGACTGAGGGGGATCAAGTGGATGTCTCCCCCAATTGCCAGGCAACGCGGCTATCATGAGTACCGCTGAGCCCCAAAAGGCGCCTCCACTTGACAGGCCTTTTCAGGCAATTGACACAGTTTTCTCCTTCTCTCTTTCCTCTTGAGTTCCAGAAGTTGTTTTCATTTCTCATTATAGCAGTATTTGACCTTTTCCGATTAATTAATTCACAAGATAATTAATCAAGATTGGGCCACGCTTGGCACCTTAATAAATTGCCTTTCTATGTTTGTGGAAAATTCTTCTGATATCGATTTTACACACCAACTCAACGCTAAGGTGAATCTCCTCCAAAGAGAATCCATGCAAGTTCCGTTACTTCAGTGCGACCATGATAAAATATAGTCACCGAACTTGAATTTACAAATGCCAAAAATCCACCATAAAACTATCAAATGAAGCAAAAAAAAGTACGAGATTTGTGAAGGCCAATTTTTCCGTTTCTATCTGAGCACTGAAAATGAGAGCAAAAACCGCGCCTTATCAGCACATAAGCTGAGAAAATAGCATGAAAATAGCATTATAAGGTCAGTGTTTTCGTGAAATCTCAAGAGCTTTTGAGATCAAGAGTTTGTTGCTCGTGAAGCTGGCAAAAAATGATGAGAAACACGCATTCAAAAAAAACTCGTTCCTCTTTTCTGTGTATTCACCAAATAGTAAAATTCCGTGTTCGGCGGAAGTTACCACACCTTTGCACACGTTTAGAGACGATAAATGGCTAAAGATTGATGATCAATTGACATTGATATGATCGAATTTATTTATTTGTGTTTTGCTGCAATGGCGCGACAATAGTGAATAATAAAAATCCAGTCGAATAGGTTTTTCTACATCGCTGGACATCTAAATGCGACGCAGTGAATCAGAAAGACTGCATGCTTCAGCAGCATCGAGATTATTGCTTCATAAAATCGAGTGCGATCCAGTATAAGTGGAAAAACTCACTCTTCGCCTCTCCCTTGCAGATATTTCTCCTGCTCTTCATGCTGCTCTTTCTCGGCTCATATGCACTTATTGGGCGCTTTAGGAGACGCGACCGGGAGGACTTGTTCTCCACAGATGACGACGAATTGACGGTGTATCGAATAAGGTAAGAGATCATCTCTCTCTGCTGCACTTTTGCCGCAAATGAAAGTTTTTGGCGTGGCTTCGAAAGTAAAGAAATGTCTTAACACCTTCACTGGCAATATTTGAAATTGATTGTGTATCTTTTTATCCAATTGATGGCCCTCTGCTTTATAGACATTTTTACGCTCTTTAACGCCAATGCCTCTTTCCTCTCTTCTTTCCAGTCTGTGGATGTGCACTTTCGCTCTGGCGATCGCCATCGGAGCCGCTCTGCTCCTGCCATTGTCAATTGCGAGCAACGAAGTGCTGATACTGTATCCCAACAGTTACTACGTGAAGTGGCTCAACAGTTCACTGATTCAGGGCCTGTGGAACCACGTGTTCCTCTTCTCAAATCTCTCCCTGTTCGTGCTGCTGCCATTCTCATATCTGTTCGCCGAATCGGCGGGCTTTGTGGGTCATCGCAAAGGCATAATTTCACGTGCCTATGAGACGTTCACCGTTTTCTCGCTGCTGGCGTTTGTAGTGCTTGGCCTCACCTACGTCATTTCGGCGCTAATCGATCCAGAAAAGAGTAGTCTACAGACTCTTCTCAGTGAGTATATCGTCTTTCTCAGCTCATTCACACTCTCAGAAAGTAGTTTTGTGTGACGCCGCGTGCGTAAACATGTGTCGATTATTAAATTTGTATACTAGAACATACAAATATTGACTGTTCTTCCACACATGCTCGATTGAAGGCGGAAGAATCTTAAACATTCACTGTTTGAATAGCTATCAAATAGAGATTTTTTGCTACTGTCTCGCACCATTAGGCCTCAAGAGATTCCCAGTTATTCCTTGATTTAGATTTGTCTCAATTAAATATTTGATGTAAATTTATTGTACACAATGTTGCGTTTGCAGTAAATATTTATTGTAACTGACCGTATTTTCTTTGATTCGTTCCAGATTTAGGAAGCTATCATCTGCCATTTCTGTATTCTTGTGTGTCATTCTTGGGCGTACTTCTGCTCCTCGGTAAGATTTTCTTTACTTTTCAATTTGCTCGTACTCTTGAAGGTCCTTCACGACATCCTCGATAAACTGGAGATCCTTGGGATTGTTCTTCTTCGCCTCAGAGATGCTCTTCTCATAATTCCTTTGTTCGCCGAGATGATAATAGCTCTTGGCGCGATACAGCCATGATCGTAAATTCTTCTCATCCAATTTGTTGATGACAAAGTCACAATCAATAATTGCACGCTTGTAGAGAGCGACTCTGGGGAAGAAGAAGGGAATTTGATTGTTTTCAATGAAATTACATGGGAGGAATTACAGTGGAGTAATCAGCATTAGAAATTAAAATGATGAACTATAAATAGGGTGGGACATCGTGAGATGTGTTTGGCATTGAAACAAAAGTGAATTGTTATTCAGTAAGCGCGTGGACGCGCGGAGAGTGCCTCAAAATCTAATTATACAATTCCGCATGGCTTACCTCATGTAGCATAGAGCACGATTGTTGTAGAGTATCGGACTGTCTCTGACCTGGTCAATTGCCTTTGAGTACATGCTGATGGCTTTCTCGTATTCCTCTTTGCGGAACGCGACATTGCCGAGTTTTCGCAGATTCTGGGCGATTGATTCGCGCTCTTTGCGCTCGGCATAGCGTCGAGCAGCGTCCTTTTCCATTGACGCCATGAAAGCGTGCTTGTCCTGGGCAATTGCTGATGTTTCCTCCTGAGCAGAAATTTCATTCCCTTTAAATTGCAGCAAATTTCTGTGTGTCATTTACTTACATTTATCGTGTTATTTATAACAGTTCGATCCTCCTTGACCTTAACAATAAAATTGTCAATGTTGACACTGTCGAGGTGCTTCTTATCGTTTCCCAGAAAGCTGTGAAAGTTTTTATTTTTTGCTGAAGAAAACCTTGAACTCCTTAGAAATGTTAGAAAATCTTACCCATTATTAATTGATGCGTTGACTTGTTGATTTTTATGATCGTCACTAGACATGAATTTAAGGACATTCATCACTTCATCGACTTTTGACTCAAATGCAGAAAATTCATCATCTTCCTTGGCTTTTGCCATTTTTTGGGGCTCGATGAAACGTTGTCTTTTTGCTGATTCACTTTTGAAACTGTCTTCTGAAATTGTGCTTTCGTGAGCACAAGAAACTTGGAATATTGATTAAACCGCAAGACGATGGGGTGAATTTTAGCGTGTCAGTGGGAAGAGGGATGTTTGGTGTGATATCCTAGAAACAGGAGAAAAAATTCCTTGCAAGTTGCTATGGATGGTAAACGAAAAGGTGCCCTCGTTTCTTCACTAGAAAGGAAGCAGAGCGGTATTGTTGCAAAAAACCGATTTATTCATACTGTCTTTGCACTTTTTGCAGTGTGCACTCCGCTTGGCTTTGTGCGTCTCTTCGGTGTCGTTGGCCAAGTGCTGGTGAAGCCCCACTTGCTGAGGGACGTGAATGAGGAGTATCATGCCTTCAACCTCGAGGAGGCGAGTGTTCGTCGCAAACTGGCGAACAATCATGCGGATTCGCTGCCCTATGAGCCGCTGAGGGTGCACGAGAGCGCCGATGGACTGTATCAGAGGCGGATGAACGGAAGTAGTCACACTGGCGAGCATCAGCTGAATGAAAGACTGAGAGAATTAGAGTCTGACCGACGAGAGCTGGACAAGCTGCGTTCCTCGTCGGCATTTCAGAGGAACTTTGTCTATCCCATCGCCATGATTTTGCTCCTCTTTCTCACTGGCATCACGATGCTTCTGGTGGTGCAGAATACATTGGAATTGCTGATTGGCATCAAGGCGCTGCCGCTCAGCACGCGACAATTTACTCTTGGCATTTCGTCACTGTCCAAACTTGGGCCGTTGGGCGCCGCTCTGGAGATTTGCATCATCTTCTACTTGGGCGCCACGTCCTCCGTGGGCTTCTACACTATGCCTTTCATGCGCCACGTTCGGCCGCGCCGGAGGAAGACCTCCTTGTCGCAACTCATAGTCAACAGTGCAATAGTTCTCATCTTGAGCTCGGCGCTGCCGCTTCTCTCACGGATCTTGGGTGAGTCATGATATCAATTAGCACGCATTTAAATTACTAGGTCAACTATCCTGTCATTTTATCTAAATACTCTTCTCTGACATGAATAATTAATGATGATGAGCTTAAATTTGGAATTAGACAATTAAATGTTGCATAGATTTAGTGTATGAATTACTTTTTATTACAATGTTATAATGTCAGTGACATTTATTTGACATTAGACGTTTTATTGAAGGTTTAAATGCTTGGCCTTAGACACTTTCACGCTGAGAAGAAAGTATTTCTTTCTATTCCTAAATGTGCAAAAATATGTTTTTTTAGCACCAAATTAAATATATCAGAGACAAAAAAAAGTTTTTAGTGCAACTTTTATTGCAAAAGGCTGAATTTGGCAAAGGAGTGCCATAGCATTTTCGCCTACCACCCACTTTCTATATGTTTGCTATCTTATACACAATGCTTTTCGCTTTGCGATAGAGTTGATTTGCACATAGATTAGGGACAACTACTAAAAATACCACTTCATGCTTATCTTCTAATACTGGGAAACGACATTGATAGATATACTGTAATGCTTAATCACTCTGTAGATAAGTTTTCCCACGCGTCGAAGTTAGACCTTCTCGATTTTGAGCCACATTCCACCCGAGGGCGCAAGAACGGCGGAAGATGGCGAGTATTTCATGGGAATGGGAGTCCTCGATGTCGGTGTGATGCGGTATTTGCTGAGAAGTGTCGCCAATCCGACGCGCGTCTGCATCATGCCGAATCGCATGCCGACGCAATTCCTTGGACCGTCGCCGAAAGGCAGCCAAGCGAAGGGATGGCGATTCTTGATGTTCTCATCGGTGAAGCGATCCGGATCGAATTTGGCTGGATTGGGATAGATGTCGGGATCATTGTGAATGCCAATGACGGGAATACTGAAGAAAGTTCCCTTCTTGAAGACCCAATCGCGATCAGGAATTTGGTAGTCCATGGTTAAGTTTCTGATCAAATTCGGAACGATTGGATGCATTCTCAGGGTTTCTGCAAAAAAATGCAAAATAATGTAGAAGGATTGAATTTGAAGTATTTTAATCACAAGATTTACCCTTAATAATTTGATCGATGAATTTCATCTCCATGCAAGCTTCATAAGTGTATTCTCCGTTGTATTTCTCGAGGATTCTATTCACTTCATCTCTGGCGCGATCCTGAGTTTTTTGATCTTTTGACAATTCATACAGGGCGAATGTCATTGTGGATGAAGATGTTTCAAAGCCAGCAATGAAGAAAAGGAAAGTCTGTGCTGTCAATTCTTCAAATGTAATCATGCCCAGATCAACATCTTCACCCTCGAGTTTTCCGGTGTTCTTAATTTGAATGAGGAGTGACAAGAAGTCGTTTCTCTTGACATTATTCTTCTCTCTGTACTCAATTGTGTCCCTGAGAACATTCGTGAAGAATTCCGAAACATCTGGTTTTGTGATTTTCATGCGAAGTCCTCTGGCAATGTTTGGAAACATAGAAGAGAAGAGAAGTCGCAAGAATTCAAAGCCTTTCATATCGAAGACTTTCTTTCCCATTTCACGGAATTGTGTGTTGGGATCTTTCAAGCTGTTGCATTCAAGTCCAAAGGCGCAGCTTCCAATGACGTCTGTCGTGAATCTTCCCAGGATGTCTCTCAGCTCAATTTCTTCGCTCTTCTCGGCGTGCTTTCCCAGATACTCTTGGAATTCGTGCGCCACGGCAATGATTGTGCTGTGCATCATCTTCATCTTGCCAGATGTGAAGGTTGGACTGAGTTTATTTCTCATGTGTCGCCACTTTTGGCCAGAGATGGCGAAGAGATGTGCAGACAGAGGATCATCTCTCTCGTTCACGTAAACTCCGCGATCGTGGAAGTAATTGAAGTCCTTCACGAGAACGTGCTTCAGGAAGTCCAAGTCCACAGGCATGACGACGGGATTTGTGAAGAAGAATACACCACCAATTACATCTTTCCCCTTCAGTTTCACATAAGAATCACGAACAAATTCACCAGAGTGAATTGTTTTGCCGACTCCCCAGAGATTTCCGAAGGGAAATCTGGGCTTCACAAATGGAATTCCCTTTTCCTCGAAGAATCTGTACTGCTTCTTCACCCACAAGTAGCCAACTACCACGAAAGTGATTAAACTTAGAATTACAAGTGTGCAATCCATTGTTGTTGGGTGCTAAAGGGCACTAAAAGCCACCGAAAGATGCAGAATTTACTTCACTTCCACTCCTATTGATCAACTGACGTAATATCGACAGTGCGGGATCATATAAATACAAAATTTAAGTTTACGCACACCTCCGCGTTCATGTGTTCATGCTATTGCGACGCGCTTTGCCAAAATTCAATGGGACAAGCGTGACTGTGGATAAGTTAAAAAGCATAATATGACCTTCAATACAAGCATGATTTTGGTGTGAACGAATACAGCAGCGAAGATAAAAAGAAAACCTTAGTATGATTGACGAGCGCTGCGTAGGAATGATTTCGCTGGATTTCATCAGCAGGTGAAGAATGTGTGTGTGAAAGCCGGCAAAGAGATTGTTGAGTGACTCATGTCACGGGATTCTGTGAGATGTTATTAACCAAATTGTATTGCTTCTACAGAAGTTCAGTAGAATACTATTGACTAAACAATTTCATTTAACCATTTATCTAGGAATTGCCTCAACTCTGATCAATTTGAGCATTTTCTTTGTGACATATTTCATTGAAGAGAGCAAACAATGAGTTTGCAGATTTTAATCACGTCTACTTCATCTTTGCAGGGATCTCTAATTTTGACCTCTTGGGAGATTTTGGCGAGATTGAGTGGCTGGGCAATTTCCAAATTGTCTTCTTCTACAATTTGATCTTTGGCACGGCCACAACTTTGTGCATCGTCAACAAATTCACAGCGACTGTGAGGCGTGAACTGTGTGCACGGTTAGTGGAAAACTATCTGCTCATTATCAATTATTTGTGTGTTTGTCATTGATGAAAAAAGTGAGATTTTGCTCGAGTCACACTGCACAAAAACCTACACTTTTGCATAGTCTAGCTTCTAGAGATCTTTGTTTCTTTAGTTTCTCTTTATGTCTTTCTGATTGTACAATTAAACAAAAAATGGAGAGAGAGAGAGAAAATTGCTGTCTAAGCAATGTGAATTTATATACGCACTGATGTGAAATTATACTTAAGAATGATGTATTAATTTATTATGTGAATAAGAGATTGCATTCTGATTTTTGTGACATTCACGTTTTTATTTGCTTCCTCCACTGGCTTTTTTCCTGTGCATTTCACTAATGATTTGACTAATGGTTGTTCATTTTTCGCTTTTTCTCCTCTCTTTCTTTCTCTTCTTGTAGACTAAAGTCCCTTTTTGGGCTCTAGGGCGCGCATCCTGAGCTGGTGAGGTGGAGATTAACTCAAGCTGGTCACAATCAGTTATTCCCGGGCACAATCTATCACGCGCGAGATCCTCTCGTGAGCCACACACCAAAGATTTTAGTAGACATTTAACATATAAGACGGTAACGATAGGATTAGAAAAAGGTTTATTCCCTCGCATATTATGTACATGTGTCTCTTGGGATTTGATGAATACACCTTAATTTTGCCACAAGCGCCGCCTTTAGAAGATGTTCCGGCAGATGGGGCATGTGGATTTGTTACTGGTGCTGAACCACTTGTACAGACATGGGCCGTGGAACTTCTTGCGACACGTCTTGCACGTGAGCTTCGGCAGTTGGCACGTGTCCTGGTGGATGACGCTGTAGCACACGTAGCACTCCTCCACACCTTCGAACTTCTTGTCCAGGTTACGCTTCCACAGCGACAGGCCGTCGTTTATCGTGCCGTTTTGGTGCGTGAGGAAGATGGTCAGCTGCATCACGACCACGCGCGATTGCAACCGCCCACCGATCTGCTTGTTTCCGTCCACTTTCACGGCGCCCAGCGGATAGTTGGCCGGCAGTGTGACGGTGAGTTCCAGGCGGGCATCGTCGATGGCATAAGTGGCGATGACCTCACGCGTGCTCGAGTGCACGCTAATCAGCATATTCTCCTGTCGACGCGCCTCCGTGAGCGCTCGCAATTCCTCTTGGCACAGCATGGGTGACACGTAAGACGTGGTAATCTTGTCCACAAGCAATTTCTGCCGCGGAGCCAAATCTTGCCACCACTTGCGCGCCAGCACGGAAAGGTAGCGCAGAGTCTGCACGTAGATATGACACGCCAGCCGACCCACGCACACTTGAGGATCTGCAAGAGAAAGCGGTTTGCATTAATAGATAATATGAATAGCAATCGGGGAAACAATATCAATATATTCAGAAAAAATGTCTTCGACAAAATTATCAAGTGTGGAGAGTGAAGTGACGAGAGGAATTCAGATACGAGAGCAGCGGAGTATCAGTGATGTGCAGCCCTTGTATGCGCCCATGAACATTGAATCAGTCCAAGTGACGAAGAGGATCAAAGTGCAAAAAAGAGCTCCCGAACCGCCGCCAGCGCCAGAATGCAACCATTTCACAGGAATTGGACTTCTGGCGGCCAGAGAGAATCTCTCATCGTGCGAACGGTTGGCATCATTGGCACAGCCCAAGAAGAGAGTTCCTCCGCCTCCGATTCCTCCAAACACCCCAATAATCCGTGTGAAGCGAACAATTCCGCCGTGTTCCGTGAGGATCGGCGACTTGGCTCAGCCATCAGCCAGAAAAGTCCTGCATACGTGGCACAATCATCAGGATCACCTTTCGGTAGACAAGAAGAGGAATTTCCAGCGATTGCTCACCGAGAGGAGCACAACAACAACACTGGAAAGAGCTGAAAGAATCCTCCGAGAGCACAAGGATTACGAAAGATGTCTGGCATTCAAGAGAGAGTTGGAACATCGAAGAGCTTTCCTCTCACAACGACGGGAGTCTAAAAGAGTGACTGAAATGATTCTGAATGATACCATGGACGATGTTGTTCTTGTCTCTTCAGTCTCTCAGCAAATCGAGAGCAATGTTGACCTCATGAAGGTAGATCCCAAAATAGCTTATGGCGTTGCGAAAGAACTGGTGAAATTTTTCCATGAAAATCACAAGCAATAAAAGCACTTTGTGTTATCACTTACTTGCAATTTGTCTCATCTCCATCGTGTTGAACATTGTCTCGCCAAGAGGCACCTTTGAGTCCCAATTCTTCAGCACTTCCAGCGGCATCAGGCGGAAAAGTGTGGGGAAGATCACGTACTCAAACTTGCACTCTGCAATCCATTGGGCATAAATCGAGCGCAGTTCTGACGGCGCTCGGCGACAGATGTTGACCGCAAAATCCCAGAGCAGAAGATAGGAAATGGCCTTCTCTCGTGGAAACACCGGCAAATCGCTCAGCTCGCTCACTTTGAACGTGAACTCTCTCATGTACTCAGCGATCGCCTCGTTGTGCTGCTCAATGTGTCGCCGGAAGAAGACTTGGAGAAAGTGCCAGGAATTGTCACCCTTGTGATGCTCCTGGTCGCTGCGCCGATTCAGCACTTCCACATCATTGGCAATGAGACTTGGCGTGAGTTTCTGCAGAAGCGCAGACGCGGCAAAACGCACAGCGTGATTCTCGTGTGTTAAGCAGGTAAGACAGAAGTCCGTGAAGTCATCCTGAGATATCTTCCCGTCCACTTTCTTCGCCACAGTCACATATTTGGTGTTGAGCTCCTCGACACACGGACTCACGATGTCCAAGAGGTAGTTTTTCCACTCGCAGTCACCTTTAACGGAAAAATGATAGAAGAAAATACATTATCATTACACTTTGTTTGTCAAATTGGACAATGGCTTTCCTATTGACCTATTCAAGGGATTTCAAAATAAATCTTTTCACTAATTCCAGGTCTTAAAAGCTCAAAGTACATTTTCAATTCAATTCATTACTTCCGCAGAAGCGTTCTAATATCAAAATAAGCCACTCTACGTGCGGTATTTCCCAGACTTGTTGATATCATGATGGAGCAACATGATATGCATTTCCAATTACCTCTACATAAAAATCTAAATACATATTGCAGAAGTAAATTGATAAGAATTTCACAAATTCCTCTCAAAGAGATATCAAAACGCACTCATACAATCATTAGATGCGCGGAGCTTTGTATTTCGGTTTGGAAGACGTAATAAACTTTGATAGGAATAACTCGATAGTTTCTTGCTCTCGATTCCCTCTGAGCTCCCGCACAAGGGCTTCGACTTGGTCTATTTTGCATTCTGTGCTCTAGTAGCACAAATCCCAGTTTAGTATCACCAGAAAAATTCAAGTACCTCAGTGCAAACACACGATTAAATTCATTCGACTCATTCCTGCTCACTTACTGATATAAATAAGGAGAGAAACTCATGGAAAGCCATCAGTTCTTCACTGGCAATCAAGTGAATATTGAAGTAAAATGTTCTTCAGCAAGTCAATCTGTTTCGTGGCACTAATTGCCATCGTCAGAGCATCGTTTCTGCCTTCATTCACGGACCAGAGAATTGTTGGCGGACAACAGGCGGAGGAAGGATCGGCACCCTATCAAGTCTCCCTTCAAAGTCGCTTCGGTCACAACTGTGGAGGAGCAATCATCGACAAGAACTGGGTGATAACTGCTGCTCACTGCATTCAGGGCCAAGATCCCAGCGCACTGACTGTTGTTGCTGGAACCAATGATTGGAAGAACGGCGGAGATAAGTACCAACCACAGAAATTCTTCGTTCACAGTCGGTAAGAAGACAGAGATGATAATCCTCAAGACAGTGTTTCAAACTGTCATTTCTTCCTCCCCTTTAACAGGTACAATAAGCCAAGCTTTGCCAACGATGTCGGCCTGATCAAGCTCCAATCTCCAATCACCTTCACGGACAAGGTGAAAGCCATTGAATACGACTTCCGCCCAGTTCCCGATGGTGCTGTGGTGAGACTGACTGGATGGGGCCGTTTGTCTGCTGGTGGACCGATTCCCGACCTCCTGCAGACCATCGACCTCAACTACGTGAACTACGAAGACTGCAGAGCGGTGTACGGGCCCCAAGGATCTGTGGACATTGGTCACTTGTGCACATTCAATGTCAAGGGACAAGGTGCCTGCAACGGAGACAGTGGCAGTCCTCTGGTGTACAAGGATCGCCTCGTGGCCCTCACGAACTGGGGCGTTCCTTGCGCCACTGGTCTGCCCGACGCTCACTGCAGAGTCTCCTACTATCACGACTGGATTCGCACGACGCTCAACAGCAACAAATAGACAGACTAAGAACTACTTCTCAAGTGGGATTATCACGGAAATATTGCGAATATATCACATGATGACTAAATAAAGCATAGATTAGTGGCACAGCAACGAAGGATTTCAAACTAAAACCCCCTTTGAGGTAATACTCACCTTTTTTATCCTGCACAATGACCATGAAAACTCTGAGCAGAACAAGATGGACATCTTTGGCGAACACTTCTTCCCACTCTTCCACAATTCTCGTGAGATATTCCGTGGAGCTCTTCGTCCTCTGCATCACCACGAACTTCTCCATTGCCACAAATAATTTATAGACACATGCAATGAAAATTGCCACTTTCGACTGTCCATAGTTCATCACACTCTTCGACACACTCAACACCCAGGAGCTCAGGGCGATGCGCACAAAATCCCAGTGCGAGTCCTCGAATTCACTGGCGAAGTTCGTGATGAGTTGCTCCAGGAAGTTGGCCAGTTCGGCGATGAGAATCACACTGGCGCTTTCACTTTCCTGAATGTCCACATTATAGAGTGACTGAAGGTCCTTCGTCTTGATCCTTGCGGCCACATTTGAGAGTATCTTCAGGCAATTTCCCATAATCTTGCGATCTTCCATATCGTTAAAACTTCCACTGAAGTTGTTGCTGATCAAACAGCGATTAGCCGTCGTCGAAATGAGCAGATTGCTGAAGTTCTCAAAAAGATTCGGCACCACCGGCAGACACTTTACCGGAATTGTGGGTGTCAAAGCTTGCAGAATGTTTATGTACGCAATTATCGCCTCTGCATCTGAACTAGCACTGACCGTGTCTTCGTACAGCAAAACTGCGCCATTCTCACCGCGATACTGCTCACAATTTCCCAGCACCGGCAGACAATTGGCCCAAATTCCACCCTGTTGATTGGCATGACCGAAGAGCTTGTCCCTGAGTGTTGTCCTCAAGTCTTCTGGGATATTCTTGAAAAATAACTCAATTGTGGCGGCCAATTGATGGATTTTCGCCTCAATTTCCTCCCCAAGATTTCCACCATGCAGCAATAATGTCTCTCCACAAGTTAGCGCGAAGACTGCATCGAGAATTTGACTGTGTACCTCATCAGGAGTACTCTTCAGCAGGATCATCTCGAAGTCACAGTAATCCTCAGTAAATTCCTCCTCTTCCCCTTCAGCATTCTCATCCTTTTCCCGTTTTACATTGCAGCACAGCTTGAAGACCACTGTCATCTTGAACAGAGAGACTTGCAGAAACTCCGCAATTGCACTATTATAAGACACTTCTCGGAATTTTTCGCCACTTCCAATCTCTGGTGTGGTCAATTTCCGATTCAACGCCTCAATGTACAGGGTGAGGTGCTCAGCAAAAGCTTGATTCCTCTTATATTCACCCACTTTCATATTCAGCATTGAGTCTATTGCTTTCTCCACAAACTCTGTCTTCTCCTGTTCCGCGGAGATGCTCTCAGCTGAACAGAGGATGAGCTTAGAAGTCACCTCTGCCAGATTTTCCATACAATCCGCAGGAATTTGCGACAGCTTTTCCTCAATAATTTCCGAACAGGCCGCCAAGAGAGTGTCACTCAGTGTCAAGTCTCCGCTGGAGAGAGAATCCTGCCAGGAGGTCATGATTTCCCACACACACTCGTCCGTTTGTGTCACAATTGTGCTTTGATTGACGCTGAAGCGGAAGAGGTTGAGAAACATCTTGCTCTGAATGTCGCCTTTGCATCTGTCGGCACAAATGACAGGCATCGCCTGAGCCAGGAAACTTCCACAAGTGTCTATGATCTCCTTATTCTCCGTCCTCGTTAGCGCCGTGGAAATTATATCAATGATCTCCGCACACGTTTCATTGTCAATGAGAATCTCACCGGATTCTGTTTGGAAGAAGCACTTATGCAGAATATTGAAGCTCTCCTGCGAACAACCCTGCACCGCATGATTTGCCTGCTCCACCAAGTGCTTCTTCACCTTCTCCTGCGACAGAATCTCAGTGATTCTCGCCTCCATGCAGAGCGGATAGCTGAGGATGCGTGTAATGATCCAATTGCACACATTCTTGTGCGGACTCTCAACAAGCTTCTTCAGAATTTCCCGCTTCTGCTCCTCCTGGAAAAGATCATACAGCTTCAAGATCATGTCCACCACGAACTCCTGCCTCAATTTTCCATCCGCCAACATTGTTTCGAAGCCACTGAGCAGCTTGGTGAGATCACCATCTTCCGCCAACTCTCTGTACAGCTTCTCACCGCCAAACTCATTAAAGAGATGGTGGAGTTTTGGAATGAAAGTGGGAATTCTCAAGTCAATCGTGTGCCTTAAGTACATCTGACAAATCTTCAGCACCACATCATCGAGGTGCTCCTTGTAAACCGGCGCAGAGGATGAACACTCAGTGCTGGAAGCGGTGGAAGGCATCTCTTCGCCTTCCCTTAGGAATTTTACTGTATTGCTCTTGCCACTTCGATTGGCTCTTGAATACTTGAGACAGTGACAGAAGTCAATGTGACCCTCAGTCTTACTATCCAAGTCCTTCCCCATCGTCTCAATGCTCTTCTCAATTACCGAGAATATCGTGCTCCAGAATCTCTCCTCCAACGCCTTGTATTCTTCATTCTTGGCAGAATTCTGGCTCCAATTTGTCAGCAGAGTTGGTATTTTGGTGAAGATGCACATGTGACACTTCAGTCCGTCCGCTAGAGACCAAGAAATTGTGCCCAAAATGTGTTCGTCCAAGAGCTTTTCTCCAAATTTGCGGAATGTTTCCTGCGTGGATTGTTCCTTCAGCAGTTGAAAGATGACATACTGCAAACATTCGAAGTAACACGTGACTATTGCCGTGATTTCAGACTTGCTGAGAGATCCGTGTCGATTCCTCAGTCCCAGCGAGAGATTCTCGAAGAAATTGCCGTAGAATTTCAGCAGCTTCTCCTCCTCGTTCAGTATATCGCCATTGATCTTAGATATGAAGGGCAACATTTGCGGATAAGTCACCGAAGAGCCACTCTTCAACACCTTCCACAGCTTCGGCAGCAACATCTTCTCCCAGTTCACGTGTTGGCTCCATGCGGTAATGTTCACTTGCACCAACAGAATGGCTGTCCAGAGATGAGGCAGGACGATGGGATCACTCTCGTCTAGGTTCTGAAACACCGCATTCACCAGCTGCGCCGTGTGCTTCTCTAGCAGCTCGAAGAGGTTTTGCACAATCGCCGAGAGCGCTTCGAACCACGCTGATCGCACATTCGGCGATTGGTGCTTGTGGAAGCTCCAGAACTTCTGGTTCTCAATAAGGAGGAGGTTCTTGTTGGCCGCTTCGGCGAGGCTGTCCTTGGACACGGTGCGCAAGTACATCGCATAGGCTTGCAGACAGCACGCCACTGTGCGCTGGTACTTCGCCTCGCACTCGTCCGGAGTGTAAGACTTGGAATTGCTGAGCGTGGTGGCGGTGTGCACGGTGAGGATCTTCGTGACGTAATCCAGGATTTCGCCCTGGCAGAAACCGAAGACCTCCTTCAGCTTGTGTGGCGGAAAGGCGCGCTGAAAGGACGTTGTGGCGATGCTGGCTGCTGGCGCGTAAGAGTCGTACTGGCTGGCGATCCACACCGGCGCCATCTGCTTCAGGTACGGTGCTATCAGCTTGCCCACCTTGCCCGCGAGCGCCCCGTGGGCCTGCTGAGCGCCCTCGCGCACGCGATGCTCCACATCTGTGGCTAGATTCACGTACAGCCGCGGCCAGAAGGGCAGAATTGTCTTCAGCAGGTCTACGTCCGACACCGTGACGATGTCTGAGAACTCCTGCAGTGCCTTGGACTTGGTAATGGGATCCTTCTTGGACATCTTCCGCAGAATCAGCTGAAAGTTGGCGTCCACGTTGGCATCGATCTCCTCACTGATAGGCTCACTGGTCAAGAGGCCCGATACCACGGGCTGGAAACCGCAGTTCTCCACGGCGCCGAATCCCACGAAGGCAGGCATGGAGGCGCCAAGGAGCTCAGCACTCCGACCGCTGCTGGACGGCTGGAAGTGACGCGATAATGCATCCGTCAAAGAGAATCACCTACAGAATTTCACAACATTTGTAAGACAACACTTACTCTGGCGTTGTTCTTTGTTCTCTGTGCCACTTTCGTTTTGCCACCCATTCTGCGCACTTTTCACGATCAAATCCACCTGATTGTGAGGAGAAAAACTCCAAAAATAGCACTGAAATCAGAGAAAATTCGCAGGTGATCTGTCAAAAGATGTTCAGAAGTCTGATGGCGACTGCCAATAAAAATACAATACGGAGTGTGTCCCGACTAAAGTGTCCCAAAAAGGAGCGGGGAAATGCGCCACATGCCCTCTCGTGGAAATAACAGTAAACGCATTTCCCCTCACTTGCGAAGCTGGAGTCTTGAGAAAACCAAAACATTGTGAGCTTGTGCTTCCCTAAGAATGCAGAATCCGATGATTATGGACATCTTCAGCAAGTTTCAGCACAGCCTCAACACCGAACAAGAGCTCAGAGAGGTATTTTTCAATAATTCCCTCTTATTTCACAATGTTCACAATAAACATCTTGATGCCTCCGATTTTTCCATTTTCCCAGGAAATCCGTCTGACTATCCGTGAAATTGATCAGTCAGCCAAAGAAGCAGTGATTGCTCTTCAAGTGATCCACACAAGCATTGCAGATGGTGAGTAAAGTGGTTGGGAAAGAGATTTTTCTCCCGGCTTAGCATAACCTCACTTCAGTTTCACAGGGATGCCTGAAGGCACGAGAGCGGTTCCAGGAGTGCCAGAAGGGATACAGGAAGCTGGCTGAGATCGTTCCCGCCGGGCAGTATTACCGCTACTGCGATCACTGGCACTTCCTAACACAGAAGCTGGTTTCCCTTGTGGCGCTCACGGTGTACTTGGAGGCGGGCTTTCTCGTCTCTCGCGACACCGTGGGCGAAGTTTTGGGCCTGGAAGTGAATCAGGCGAATGGATTTCACATCGAACTTGAAGATTATCTTGTCGGTGTGCTGCAAATGGTTACCGAACTGGCCAGATTTGCTGTGAATTCCGTCACACTGGGCGATTACCAGAGACCTTTAATGATCTCTCGCTTCGTGGCGGATTTAAATGCCGGTTTCCGGATGCTGAACTTGAAGAACGACAGCCTGAGGAAGAGATTCGACGCTCTGAAGTACGACGTGAAGAAGATCGAGGAGATTGTCTACGACGTGAGCATTCGAGGCTTAGCCAAGGCGAATCCTGCTCCAGTGACGACTTCAGAGGACAAGCAGGAGAACGCAGAGAAGACGGAGTGATTTCTTGCTGTGTTGTAAACTAAAGTTCGCCATTATTCTTAACATTTTTGTATTACCTTTTGAAATACATAAGCGAGCAACTTTCCTTCACCAATTTGAAGGTGCTGAAACTTATCGACTGTTATCAATTTTCTTCGTAAAACACTCTGCAAGAGTTACACATTTATAATAATGATAGTAACTTATGCTTTACACATGGCTGCCTTCTAACACCAATTCAAAATTGTCCAAAACTGAAGCTTCTGAAATTTGCAACAATAATTTGGCACGAAGATATTATTGATTTCATCACCAACATCTTGTCGATTCTGCATGAGACGACAACACGTCAGGAAATTCATGTCGAGGAAATGATGAATATCCCTTCACACTGCTCGACAATTTCAATAATCCGAAATTAAGATTTAAGATATATAAGTAATCTGAACTGTACTGATAATTCTGATAAAAAGCAAGAATAGAGTAAAAACCAAAATATAAACGCACTTGAATTTTTGCTCTTTAACTTTTTTCAAGATTAATTAAATAAAATTTCATTACTTTAATTAAAGTAATTACAACTTAAATAACCTTGAGAAAGATCTTTAAATACTTGCTATTTTGAAAATATTCGTATTAGTGTTTCATCTCGCGAGAAGTTAGGACGAACAGTCAGAATCATGTTTCTCATTTTAGTCTCTGTGATCAGTGCTCTTGTGTTCTTGTGGCAGAAGTGGATCTTCGCGTTCTGGCGAAGAAGTGGCGTTCCTGGACCTTCGCCGTCGCTGTTTGGGGGAAATCTCGGTTCGGTGATTGCTCAAAGAGAGCATATTGGAATTTTGACGAATAAGTGGTACAAGTAAGTCACACAGACGAAGAGAAGAGTTCCACGTAAGCAAAATGTGCTTACCACATCTTATCTGGCACGCAGTGACTACTCAAAAGTTCCCTACATTGGTTACTACAAAGTCTTCAAACCTGCAATCATGGTGCGAGATGTTGAACTGTTGAAGAACGTCCTGGTGAACGATTATGCATACTTCGCGGCAAATGATTTCGCTTCAAATGATACAACTCCGTTCCTTCAATACGATGAAAGCAAATGGAAAGTAGGACGCACTGTTGCATCTCACATGTTCACCACAGCCAGAGTAATTATATTTGAATTTGAACACGTACAATCCATGAGCAAAAACTTAGACAATCTCTTTATTCTAATTAGTTAAAGGCAATATTTTCTCGTATGCAAAGAACTGGCGAGAAACTCATAGAATATATCACCGAACAAGGCGAAGATGCGGATATCGAAGCGAAGAGTGTAATTTTTCTCCATTTTATTAACATTAATGAGATTATAACATCTTTTTTCAGGTCACAGTTAAGGCATCAATAGAAAGTTTAGTGTCGTGTTTGTTCAGTACCGACGCCAATTGCTTCAGTGATCCTAACAACGAATTTTATTCAATGGGAAAGACATTTTTAAAACCATCTTTTTGGTTGGGACTTAGATATACCCTTATATATCACCTTCCCTTTTTCTCAAATCTGACTTTCCACCGCAAAAACATCGAGGAATGGGGAACAAAAGTAGCAATGGATGAAATAAAATCACGAGAAAGTGAGAATAATGACAGCGAGGATTTCTTACAGGCCATGCTGAAAATAAAGGATAAGTATAAGGTATCTCACAGCTATATCGCAGATCAGGCTTTTGGATTCTTTATCGATGGTTATGAGACGTCGAGCACAACGATGGCATTCGCTTTGTGGCATCTCGCTCGCAATGAAGACATTCAGCAGAGGTTGTTTGAAGAAATTGATGTAATTTCGTCTAAATACGAGAACACATTATCGTACGAAGCGCTTAGCGAAATGGAATATCTAGAGATGGTGATTCACGAAACCATGCGTCTGAAAACGGTGGGATTAACAATGCACAGGATCTGCACTAAGCCGTACGAACTGCCAAAATTACCAGGACAAAAGAAGCCATTCGTCGTTCAGCCTGGAACTCCTGTTCTCATCCCGGTTTACGCCTTTCATCAGTGAGTTTCTTGGTCCACGCAATTCCTACGATGAATTGAATTTTCTTTCAGTGATCCTGCAATCTACCCTGATCCCGAAACCTTTAATCCACTGCGATTTACACGCGAAGAGCGCCTGAAGAGACCGAAATGTTCATATTTAGGATTTGGCGAAGGTCCGCGGATTTGCGTTGGCGTGAGATTTGGAATGCTGCAAGTGAAATTTGTTTTGGCCACAATCGTGAAGAATTTTCTCATCAAGGAATCTCCGAATTGCAAACCATTCACACTCGACGCGAGATCAATTTTTCTCACGCAATCTCGTGATGGATTGCTGTTGAGGTTCCAAAGACGGGAGTAGAAATGGAAGGGTTTGTTGTGGTTTTTAAAAAATTTATATTATAAATATTACATGATTCATTTATGAACAGAAACCGTGTTAATATAAGTTCCAGCATTATAAACTATATAATAATCAATTTAAAGTAAATCCTATTGTGGCTAAGACGTTAAAATTGTGAAACTTATTAGACCCTTCAAAGAAGCGAAATTTTTATCTCATATAAAAAATTACCTTTTATCGTTCCTTTTTTTATACCTTACAAACTACGTTGATTATTTCTTTTTCTTCTGACGATATAAAAATGGTATCAATTAGAAAATCATCTTAAACACCTCTACAGCGCGACTGCGAAACTTTGATTTCCTCATGCATGTTCAAATATATATTGATCCTTAAGCCATTTTCTCTCTGTTCTTTTTTTGATTATGTTTCCTCGATGGATTGAAATCTCGACGTTCTTTATCTAATTAATATTATATTTAATATTTTCCCTTCGACAAAAAATCTAAGATACATTAATACATAAGAAAAAATCAGGATAATGACAAAATCTTTATGTTCTATGCAAAAATTCCATAGATTTTCTCGAGACTTTACATTTGCAAGCAAATCCCTGCGTTTTTCAACAAAATACCCTTTCCTTTTATTAAAAATTATTAATACTTAACGATTTGCTGATTTTTCTCCTTTTCATCTTACAAGTATTCAAGCAATAGAACAAATTTTCATGCCCTAAAAGGAATATAAAATGAAGATAAAGATTTTAAATAATAATTAATAATATTAATAAAATTGGTTTTTAGAGAACAAATGCAGAAATCTTTCTATCGGGAATGGACAAACCAATTTTTGATCTCAAATTCTTTTCTCTCTTTATGCTTTCGTAAGTACAACGATTTTAATAATAGATAAAATCTTCTTTATAATTTTTGCCCTTTTGCAGTATTTGACAAGTTTATCAAGCAAGAATTTCCTTTCTTCTCCTTAATGACTTTCTCAACCATTTTGCTCTATTTTTTCTCCTTCTATAAACTTCACATATTCTTTTCACACTCCTCTTCATGCACAATCGTTCGCATTCTCTCTCTTTCTCTCTCTCTCTCTCTCAGGGATAATAAACGTTAACGAGTGTGAAGAAATTGTCCATATCTTCTCCGTCGTATCGCGAGAATTACAAGAAAATGCAAATGGCACATATTAATCTATCAATATTAATTAACAATTACATTAAAAAACATCTTAATTATTATTTCATCTATTTAGCTTTGAGGCGCAAAATGCAAAATGCGAAAAAAAATCGTAGAAACGGACTGAAAATATGTATGCAATTCGTATGAGCGTTAAGATATTCACTTGAAAAAATGGGAAGACTTTGAGATACTAATGCGTTTCTTTTGCTATTTCCTTCCTGAATTCATTGCTCCTCATATTGTTTTGCTCCCTTTTTTTGTTGAGAAAGTCACCCAATGGACTTTGTGGATTCCAAAATATAACCACAATTTCATCTCCAATTAATTTTTCTTCTCTTCAAGTTCAATTTTACAAATTATACTGAAAATTCTCAAATTGCAATGTCCAAATCTGTTGAGGGTGGAAATCAGCGTGAATTGTTCTTCTCTTACTGTTGTCGAGAGGAAAAAAGGAAACAAATTATCGTCTTCTTCGTCAATTGGCCGTCTCTTCTCCATCTATGGACTCATCCTTGATGGTATTCGTGGAGTCATCAAAATCACGCTTGCCCAATCGAGAGGAGCTTATTCCCATTCCTCCGACGCTGCGTCTGCAAAGGATGTAAAAGAAAGTGAGTCAGAAATTGGCGTTAGCTGCAATTCTCCATTATTTGAGCTCATTTTTCTTAGCAGATCTGAAGCAATTGGGCAGAAAAACAACAATAAATCACAGAAGACAGTTGGAAAATGATAGGAAACTCTCCAGTTTACTCTTCAGGCACATCGTTAATTGCATTTTTAGACAATTGACATTGCCAAACAGACTTTAGTCCCTAAAATGTTGTCACAAGGAAAGACAAGAGATAAAGTGTCAAAGAAACATTCACGCAAATCCTAAAGGAATGTTAACAAGTCATATTCGGGTTAAGTACACACAAACAACATCAAAGTATTGTTATTTTACTCAAATGGGCAAAAATAGTGGTCAAATTGTTTTTTCCCCTTAAAAGAACTCTTTTCTTTTCTGTAAAGAACAACACAATCTTACAAAACAGCTCTTATTGTCAATTCATATATGTACGTCTGATTATTCTGTATTTGTGTTAAATGAAGAAGAAAATCAATCAGAGATTAAAAGCAAAAAAAAAGGGTTTTTGACTGACTCACACTTTAATTTTTTTCTTAACCGAGTAACTTTTGGGGCATTTTTAGTGACTTTCTATCTATCTTTCAACTCTAACTAAACAGATCTGTCGTATTCCGGGAGCTACAATTATACAGAAACAGAGATATAGTAAGTAAAATAAAGAAGAGGGAATTAAATTCCGTGAAATCATCCCTTCCAGAGCTATCACAACTCACCTCATTTTCGTCTTCAGAGAATTATTCTCTCGCGTCAGAGCTTCGTGACTCTCCAGCATGTCCTCATACTCGCGTTGTGCTTTTCTCTTCTGTGTCTTCTCCTTCTGGATCTCCTCTTCCGCTTCATCCAAATTGCGCTTCAAGATCTTCATGCGATTGTTCAGCTGTTGAAATCCAAGAGAAAAATGTGTTAAATCAACCGAAAAACACGCTCAAAACTCTCTTTTCAGCACCTTCTCAATTTGTTCCTTGTACTGATCTGCCTGACGACGTTCATCGTCAATGTTCATCGTGAACTCCTTGATCTTCTTGTCCAACTTCCTATTGGCCTTCTGTTGCAGCAGGCGCTCCTTCGCCTCATTCTCGAGCTGTTCCTCCAGATTGGCAATCTTATTCTCAAGACCAGCAATTGTCGCCTTGATCTTTGTGCGCTGAGATGTTTCAATCTCAGCCAATTTTGCCTTCAACTCCTTATTTTGACGATCAAGAAGCGCCTTGGCATTCTCCAGCTTCTGCGAATTGGACTTCTCAGTGGCCAATTCTGTCGCCAGTTGCTCCATTGTGAGTTGACCCTTGCGATTCCTATCCAACAGCAATTCGTTATTGGATTGCTCTTCCTCCAATTCCTCCTCAAGAGCTGTAATTCTCGCCTCCAATCGTCTCTTCTCGTCCACCATCAATGAACCCTGCAAATATTTTCCCCTTAATTCTCAAATTCTCTGTCAAAACTGTTGTTGAACTCACTTTACTACTGTTGCTGCTCACTTCCTCTTGCAACTCATCGCGTTCCGCCTCAGCAGCACGCCTGGCACGTTCGGCACTGGCAACATCTTCTGTCAGCTGGACCACTTCCGCCTCTAGAACTTTAGCCTTCGCAAAACAGGAAGAAAGTAATCAGAAAATGCATGAATAGAGAAAACTCTCAACTCACTTTGCGTTCTGCTTCCTTGCTGGCAGCAGCGGCCTCCTCGCGAGCAGCCTTCGCCTCTTCGGCGTCACGCAGCGACTCCTTAAACTGTGCTTGCAACTTCTTGGCATGCTTCAGGGCGTCCTCCTTCACTTTATTGTTCATCTCCAGTGTGGCCTCCATGTCCTTTAGGTCACCTTCCAACTTCTTCTTGGCCGCCACAGCTGCAGCGCGCTGTTTCCTCTCTTCATCCAACTCCGTTTCAATGTCACGCAGAGCCTTCACCAAACCGCGACGCTTCTCCTCGGATTGCTCCTCCTTGGCCTGAATATCACGCTCAAATTGCGCTCGCATGGCCTGCATATTCACTTCCAGGCGCAGCTTTGCATCCTCTGTGAGTTGCAGATCATCCTCCAGCTCTTCATTTTGTGCCTTCAATTCCGCCAATTGGCTCTCCAAAGCACGCTTCGCCTTCTCCAGCTCATGCACATTCTTATCCGCTGTGCCCTGAGAGTTCGCCAACTCATCCAGTTCATTCTGGAGGGCCTTGCGCTTCCCCTCGAGGTCCTCAATCTTCTCATACGCCGCGTCCAGTTCACGAGTGAGTGAGAGAACCTTTGTCTCCTTCTCGCGCGCCTCTCGCTCAGCAGTATCCAGTTCTTGCGTGTACTTTTCACTCACCGCCTTCTCCTCAGCCAGAATTTTGTCGAAGTTCTTCTGCTTCTTCTCCAACTCCAGGACCTTCGTTCGCTGTGCTCCCAACTCAATGGTGGCATCTTCCAGCTCTGACTGCACTTTCTTCTTGCTCTTGTCCAGACGATCATTGGCCGCTTGGAGTTCCTGAATCTGATGCTGCAGTGCCTCGATGTCCTTATTCATTTTCTTCTTTGCCTCCTCCAGTTCCTTGGCAGCATCGACATCTTCTTCCGCTTTCTTCTTCATCTCTTGCATCTGAGCCGTCATCTCAGCAATCTTCTTCTCATAATTGATTCTGGCCTCCTCGTCCTCCTCTAATTGCTCCTGCAGCGTCTCCTTCTCGGACTCCAACTGGCGCAACTTCGACTGGAGTGCCAACTTCGTGCGAGTCTCTTCCTCAAGGGAGGCTTGCACCTCCGAATACTGCGCTTCCATGTGACTGGCGGACTTCAAAGCTGCCGATGCCTTCAGTTCAGCATCCTCAAGCTGTTGAGAGATGTTCTCAACCTCCTGCTGCAGCTTCACTGTCTTCTCTTGCAGTTCAGATCGAGCGCGCTCCACTTCGGCCAGTTTCACCTGAACAGAGATATCGAAATCTCATCTCAAAATCTCTCTCCAAAATCTTCTCACAGTCTGAACTTACCTGAAGCTCAGCAATCTGCGATTCTGCTTGTTTCCGGCGACGATCATTTTCCTGACGAGAAGAATTTACATTGTTGAGTTCAGTGGACAAGTCCACATTCTGTGCCTCGAGACTCTGCTTGGATTTCTCGAGCGTCGCCTTGGCCTTTCTCAGATTCTCCATCTGCTCATTGAGAGTGGAGAGCTCCTGGGAATGTTTGTGGCGCATGTCAGCCATGTGCGACTCATGAGTCGCAGTTTCCTCCTCAAGATTCTTCTTCAGCGTCGCCAATTCTTGCTCACGCTTCGAACGAAGTTCTTGCTGGGCTGAAATGTGATGCAAAATGATATAAAGCACAGTTCCTATATCCAGTCAGATTTGTTTTCTCACCTGCAGTCGTGTCGAGTGAATCCAACAATTCGTTCTTCAGTGCCTCGAGTTCCTCACTCAGATCGCGCCGAATCTTCTCAGCCTTGGCACGAGCCATCTTCTCGGCGTCCAGATCCTCCTGAATCTCCGCCAGTTGGGACTCCAATTCACGTTGGGCCTTTTGTGCGCCAGCCTTCGTGGCGCCCTCCTCATCGATCTTCATGAGCGCCTGCGTGAGTTCCTCTTCACGCTTCGCCAACTGCTGCTGGAACTCCTCAATCTGCACACGACGCTCGTTCAGCTGCTCTTTCAAATCCGCCACTTCCGTCTCGATCTTGCGTTTTGTACGGTCAGACTCCTGGCGCTGCTGGTGATCCTTGAGCAGACGCTCTTCCAGTTCGACAATTGTCGCCTCGTGCTTCGCCTTCAACTTGGCCAAATGCTTGGCTTTTTCCTCCTCCTCGGCGAGTGTCTGTGACAAATCATTTGCACGCTCCTCGAGCATCTTCTTCTCTTTGAGCAATTTCTGGTTCTGATCTTCAGTCAGCGCCACATCTTCCTCGAACTTCTTGATCTTCCCATCGAGTTGCACTTTCTCCAGCTGCAGCTTCTGCCTGGCGGCTTCTTCCTCCTCCAATTGCTCCTCAAGATCCTGAATATTGAGCTGGAGCTTCTTCTTCTCCGTCGCCAGAGAATTCACACGCTCTTCCTCCTCCTCAATACGCGCCTCTAGATCTTGCATCATCTCCTCGAGCTCCTGCTTCCTGGCCGACAAGCGCATCCTGCTCTCCTCCGCCTCGGCACACAACTCAATCTCCGCCTGCAATTGCTCAGCCAGCTGCGTCTTCTCCTCAACGGCCAATTGGAATTTACGCTCATAATCCTGAGCACTCTTCGACAGCACTTCCAACTTTTCGCGCACCTGCTTCAGCTCATCCTCCTTCTGCACCAGCTTCTCCTCTTGCTTCGTCACCTCCAGCAGAGGCTTCACCTTCGTGTAGAGACGCCACCACTGCCAGTTTCTCAGCTTCAGATAAGCTGCACAGTTGCGCTGGATTATCCTGATGGCATTCAATTGCTGCAGACGCTTCTGGTAGTTACGCCTGGCGAGGTAGCCCCGACAGAATGCCTGGAAGTTCACAATCAAGTCCGTGATCTTGTAGTCGCGCTCCTCCTCCAAGTGGGCCAACACGCCAGCACGGAAGAAGATCTTTGACTGTCCCACGCGATACAGATTGAAGTCCAACTCGAGAGCTTGGATCATGCGTTCGCACGCCTTCTTGCCATCCATGAAGCCCTTGGGAATCACGTTCGGCGTCAGCAATTCGTATCTACAACAAGAACTTCGTATTAGCAAGATTTCTCGACAAATTCACTGATTTATGTTTTTGTTATAACTATGATGCTATGATTTCTGTATAGTTTCTATTTAAGAAGTCAAAATTAATTGCTTACATCGGCAAAATGACCAAAAAGACATTTCGAAATGTGTGTTCGATTTTTTCAAATGGGAACACGAGGCGAAATTATACTCTTTCCAGTATTTTTATAGACATCTTATGGAAAATGCGACTATAAACAAATAAGCGGATCTCACAAATCGCCTCTGGTCAACGAATGTGAGTCACACATTGCCTAATTTGAGTGTCTTTGAGTGTCAGACTTACCTCTGCCTGAACTCCTGGAATGGAATGCGATTGGGGAAGCCCTGGCGACAGATGCGAATTCCCTCGAGGACACCATTGCACCTGAGCTGATCCAGCACGAGCGGAGCGTCGATTTTGCTGGCCTTCTTCTCGTGATTCGGTATGATGCAGCGCACAAAGTTGGGATTGGTGTTCTTAAGCGTGTCCATCAGCTTCGCCAGCTGCTCCTTGTACAGATGCGACACCGTCCTGAACATTCCCTTGCGTGTCCTCGCACCGAAAGTCGTATCCGTGAGCGCTTGTTGGGCCATTCCCACAATTTCGGCATCCTTCCAGATCTGCACAACAAATGGATCCTGCGACGCCTGCAGCAGGCTCACAATGTTCTCATTCAGTGGATCCATGTTCTTCATCAGCCACTTGCTGGCAAGATAGTCCACGCGACCAGCATAGTGAACAATAGAGAAGTCTGCAGCACCCCTGAAGTCTGTCTTTACGAATTTCGGATGCATCGAATGCGCGGACGCCAGTTTGTCCACGAAAGTCTTGTCAGTGGCTTTGGGGAACCAGCACTCCTCATCCAGCAGAGCCATAATGCCACCCGGTTTATCGATCAAATCAATCGTCGGCTGCAAATCCAGACCAAAATCGATAAATTTCCATTCAATACCCTCTCGCTGGTACTCTTCCTGCTCAAGAATGAACATGGTGTGGTTGAAGAGCTGCTGCAGCTTTTCATTCGTGTAGTTGATGCACAGCTGCTCAAAGGAGTTCAGCTCGAAGATCTCAAAGCCCGCCATATCGAGGATGCCGATGAATGATGCACCCTGGCGCTTGGTTCTGTCCAGCGAGCGATTGATCCTGGTCACGAGCCACTTGAACATCTTCTCGTAGCACGCCTTCGAGATGGCCTCCACGGCGAACTCCACCTGCTCCTTCGTCTGAGCCTTCGTCACGAAGTCGCGCCCCACTTTGATGCGCGGCGTAAGGAAGGCGCGCGTCATGTCAGTGACGTTTAGACCGAGCAGATGGGCGATCTTCTGCGCCACCGTGTTGTCAGGCAGAGTGGCTTGATCAGAGCTGCGCTCCTGTTTGAACTTCATGCATCCGAACAGCAGCACAGCGCTCACAATGCGAAAGATGGAATTGAAGTCATCCTGAGTCATTCCCATGATGTTCATGCTCTTGACAGTGGCCTGAAACTCCGTGGCGTCATCGACTCCCGGCACAGGGAGACTGCCATTCGACAGAAAAGGATATGTCTTGATATCATCCAAAATGAACTTCTCACGCTGATCAGGCGACGCGCCGGCCAGCAATTGGTAGAAAATATGGAATGTTCGCTCATCCTTTGCCTGTCGAATCGCCCGTGACTTCTCCAGCAAGTAGGTCTCGATGTTGGCTCCAGATATGTAACCAGACGCATCAAAGTTGATACGAATAAACTTTCCCTGAGGATCAAAGAACACAAAGTCATGAGATATCGAATAACCATCGAAGAGAAAGAGAAACACAGGCAATATGATACTTACAAAACGCGATGAATTGTCATTCTTTACGGTCTTGGCATTTCCGAAGGCCTCAAGAATCGGATTGGCTTGCAGCAATTGTTGCTCCAATTCTCCCTGAAAAAGAATTTATGATCATACAATTAGAAATTCCATACAACAGCGTCACAATAGGAATATAGACGTTGTGATAGGAGAAAATAGTTTACCAAACAAGTTCAGATAGCACACACACACACACACGCAGAAACACACGGCGAAGAAGTAGAGACAATAAATCACATCATTTTGCATTATCATTATATTCTTAGACTTTTATTCTTCTCACACACTCGTGCATAACACAACAAATTAGAGATAATTCGCTTCAAGCGAGGAATTATTGGGAGACACAGTGTGATGAACAACACTTGAATTCTTCTTACAATTGGTGACTTTTATTTTAAGCAAAGCAGGGTTTTTCACCAAGGATGACAATCCTATGATTAACTCTTCTCAAAGTATCTACACACAAGCATTCAACAAATGGGTGAAAAGCACATAATTTCAATCATGCAGAAATATGCGAAAGGAGGATAAAGCATCACATACGAGATCATATTCAATAGCAAAATTCAGTCTCCAGCAGAGAGAGAGATGATATTAAAACCAAAAAGTACTGTGCAATATCAAATCAAACGGACAAATTGCACAAGAGAAATATTCTGTGCTCATTTGCCCACAAGATATTTGCATTTGCTTGCAAATTTGCCACAATTTCACGATGAAATTGTAGACAATTTGCCCTGAAAGAAGTTCACCACACAATTTCACTTCGTCAACACAAATGCATCAGCCAAATGATGATCAATGGAGATCAATGAGAAATTGAGCTGATCTTGAGTAATTGAAAGTTAAATTGAATAGTTCGATGGAGAGTCAAATGAACCATTTATTGACTTCCCCCATCTATTTTCCAATACTTCTCATTGCTTCGTCACACGAAGGAAGAAAAAGAAAACTATACTTTACGTGCATCAAACAACAGCAAAAAGTTTTTTTGTTTTTCATCAACTATACGACAAAGAAAACAGCATAAATTATACTATTAAAAATCATAAATTTATCGTGAAAAGTTTCTTGTTGCTGAAGAAAATACTTTACCGCAAATGTTGTTGTGTGATTCTGCACAAAACACAAACGCAAGGGTTTCAAAGAACAAACATCACGAGGAAAAACGAAAAGAAGAGTCAGTCATCAGAATCATTTTAGTATCTCTCACAAATGTTATGATTAAAATGTTTCAATTCAATTCAGTCATGATCAAAATTAGGCGTAAAATGTTAATGGATAAATAGACACATTTACAAAAAAAGCATTAAACTTTGTACTCACAATAATCAGAGCTGGACTCGGTCCCTGGATTTCGTTGATTTCGAGTTGATTTTATGTCGAGCAGTGTAGTTTCAGTGCGAAAGTGCATCAAAAGCATTTCGAGCGTCGGTGATTTGCAGCATTAACAGTTGTTTTACAAAGAATTTTGTAAAAATTTTTGAAGTGGCAAAAAATAAAGAAAAATATTTACAAATAATTATAAAAGTGTATTAAGTAATTTACAAAATTAATAGGGGAAAATATGAATTAAATTTACTTGAAATTCAATCTTTAATTAAAAGACCTTTTTATTAGCAACAATTTGCCTTTAATCTCTTTTCCATGCAAATAAAACCGAATAAATTTGGTGAAATCCCCATTAATTACTCTCAATTTACATTGTCATTTTGCTCATTGCATCGATTAAGTCTCATCTAAATCACAATTATTCGCAACTGCCGCGTTTGTGCAATTAATTAGCAAAATGCGTGGAGCCTTAGCAATTTAGCTATTCTCCTTTCCCTCAACACATCACAAAGATAAGCATCATCGAGGTTAGATTTAATATAGAAAATCACGTAAATAGAGCTTAATGTATTTGCGCCTTTTTCCACTGCAAACTCCCTCTGCTCACACAGCTCTCATTTCCCACTTAGAATATTATATTTCATTTCTCAGTCTCACCCATTATAAAATACCGCGAGAGGCTCTTTAATAAATTAATCACTACCAATCCTACACATTCCTCCTCTCGCACAACAGCACACACGAAATCGAGCCATTTGCCAGCAAAACACAGCAATTGGCACCACAATTTTTCATCTCACTGACGCAGAGATTTGCATAAAATTTGCGGCAGCAGCGCAAAGTACAAAAGATCAGCAGGTAAAGTCTTATTCTCGGTCTCAATTAAAATTCTCCATTTCCGAATTATATTGCCACAACACCGCCAACTCTCCTCGGCATTTTTGGCAAACCATTTTCAATTGACATTGACGCCCATCGTATCAGCAGAATCACTTCTCTTGTCTAATTAAGCCATATTTCTCTTTCGTCGCTCTCATCGTGATTATGAAAAACAAGACGCACACCGAGGAGAGTTTATATTTTAGAAGCAGAACAACGCAACCCGTTCGTCCTTGTTAATCATCAGCAGCAGATGAAAAATTGTGTGTTGTTGCGCTGGTGTGTGAAAGAAGGGAAAAATTGGCACAAATTTTATCGAACAATCCCATCGAGCACAGTCGAGAAAAACATATGGTGAAAAGAGACACATGAATGAAAATAAAATACAAAAGTCTCTTTACACACGGTACTCATTTAATTCAATCCATATTCGGCCAAAATAGAATCGCGAGTAACATTTACAAGACAAGACAACCTTTACCATATCGGGAATGTCGTTTTTCACCGCATGAAGACGAAAGGAGGCGAGAGAGAGAGAGAAAGAGAGCGACGAATGACTTTTATAATTCCTTTCCATTTGAGATTTACCAATAATACACATTATCATTATTTTTCGTCAAGAAAACGTTGAGAGTACGACAAAAAAATCCTCTTATTTTTTCCCCGCGCATCGCCAATTATGTCATGTGGCATAAATTTGGTGGAATCTCTCTGCGGCAACATTGAAAAATCCAATCACGATTCACACCAATTTGCCCAAGTGTGATTGAAAGATGCCCAAATTGAAGCGAAATCTCAACTTTTGTTGCCTTGAAGTATTTCATGCTCACGACAATTTGCCTTTAACTATCCCTTTAAATTACTATTGACGCCGCTTCTCTCTCTCTCTTTCTGCTTGACAAATTCATTAATTCACCCTCAAACTATAAATTCTCTAGCGTAGAGAATTCACACTGATAAAAATAAATTGAATTGTTGCATTATTGTGTCAATTAATCATAAATTCCAATTACCCGTAGATAAACACTTTTTACTGCCACACACACGCGCGCGCGCTGTGTGACAAAATAATCGTCCTACTTGAGCACTCAAAGAGCTCAGAGTGTCCATCTCTTTTTGGTGTGTGAACGCCTTTCTCCCCGCGCACTGTCATAATTTGAGAGTTGCACTGAAGAAAATGCAAATGATGCAAGACAATACTGTTGAGAGTATCGCTTAGTGTCATGTCCACAATCTCCAATTGCAATCTCACCGTGTAGGGAGTGAAAAGAGATCAATTGCAGCAATATTGTTGACTTTCTGTCAATTTCACACTACCCATATGCCGCCTCCGCGCACTTCCACGTGAAAATGATCAATGTTCGCTCACTCACCGAGCCTTTGGGCTTCGACGCGGCCACATAAGCCAAATACTGAATGACTTTCTTCGTGTTCTCCGTCTTTCCAGCACCCGATTCTCCCGTGCACAGAATTGACTGATCCTCGCGATCTGCAATGGAAGAATTTTATCATTCTTTTCATTATTATTCATCCTGTTACCAAATGAAGGCGGTAAACTACATTCGTCAAGCTGTTATTCAATTTACGGACGTCATAAATTCCACGAGCACATAAATTTAGATAAGCTATCGGGGAAATTAGCCGAAAAAGAACTTTCCACATTGGCAAATTGGCCAAAGAACACATTCAGTTCATATCTTCAACATGGAGGCCAGGAAAATGGCAAAGAAAAAAACAGGTGGTAATTTTTTTTCAACGCTCCACAAAAGGAGGACAAATGGCAAAAAGGTAATTCAGCGCAATTTTCATGTCAATCGCAGTACAACTTCCTCGAGAAAATTGATCCACATCGAGAGAGAGAAAGAGGAATTTAATCCATGAGAAAATTCTCGGAGACCTGAAAGATTGCCTTGTTCTTTATGCTGTGTTATACACCGAAAAAGTCGCGGCGCGACCACCATTTCATCATGAGGCAATCGGAGAAAAATCTCCAACAAGTCACGAGATTTCTCTCTCCGGATGACAACAATCCGTGACTCGCTTCACGAGGTGCAAATATCTTTCACTGGTGATACCAATAAAATTGCCCTCGCGCGAGTCACTTACAAAGTCAGCGCCAATTTTTTCTGGCCCACAATATATACAATTCATTATAAAGTTTACATTGACTCATGGATTAAGTGAATTCCTCTGTTAACGAAGTTGATTTTCTCTTAATACCCATCACGCCAAAATGACTTCATTGCGTGCTCTTGTGGTCGTCAAAATGCGCAGAAAAGATATCATTTAAAAGTTTGTGAGAGGGAGTCTTTTTTTGGGTTGACAAAAATTCGCTGCATTTAGCATTCGAGTGTTTGCATAAAATGTAATTAGCGCATGCTGACACAGCACAGCCACTGATTTTGTGTGCTGCTTGCTGAAAAACTGCACATAGAGTGAAATAAGTAAAGGCAACAAGACGCAGAAAAATTGTTGGGAGAGAGAGAGAGACTTGTGATCGAGTCACTCGATCTGACGCCGTCTGTCTTGACCGATTCCCAAGCGAGCCGTTCATACTATATGCGTCCACAGGCGACTCTTTTCATTTATGCCCAGATATTCAAGTGAAGCCACAATCTTTCACTCCTCTAGTGCAATTTCATGCATACACACAACTTCTACACAGCATTCTCTCTCGATCTCGGTGCACGTTTCAACACCATCTATGGCATTGTTTTCAATAAGGTCGTCGTCGTCATCGTCAAATGAGCAACAACTCGCGAGCTCGCACAGAGAGAACTATCGCGATTATCGGTCGCGCAGCATCCGATATCTAACTATGTGGACATTCGCCAGCGATGCTCTTTTTGTCACGCACTCTCAACCACGCATAGAGTGTGTGCAGACAAAAAACGCGACGTGTAAACATTTAGCGCTCTCGCAGAGAGTCTGCATTTGTAGAGATTAATTAATTTCTTTCAACTGCAATGGCGAGATAGAAATCAAAAGTGTCTGACTAATTACTATAAGAATTATTACACCGCTGTGATCAATTACGTGAGGAATTGTTAATTGCATCTTATATGCAAATACTTTAATTTACATGTCAACCCATTAAATTTCCATGAAGGATTGCTGCGAGAGTATCTTCTGGTACGATGTCAAAATGATTGAATGCATTTTATTGCTTGTCCAATTCTTTTGCCCATTTTTTCTACCCACTGCAATCGACAAAAAAATCGACCTGCTCTCCATCGATACAAGACATCAAAGATAAATGTGGGTGGAATTATCTAAAGATGAAAAAGCCTGTTCATGAGATATTTTTGCCATTTTCCTTTCTCCGCCATCGCGCGGTGTGTGATTGTCAAATTGTGAAAAAAGCGTTAAACATAATTTAATAGCAAACCTTGTAACATGGATCTGTAGGCAGTGTCTGTGATGGCAAACACATGCGGAGGCACTTCGTGGCGCTTTATTCCCTTGTACCGTTCCATGATCTTTTCCGTGTAGATTGGACATTTCTTGTACGGATTCACCACCACACAGAAGAGACCCGAATATGTCTGTAAAGAGAGTTGCCAAGCAATTTAATTAGAAATCAAATCAATTCAATCACTCATCTTTTTCTCTCTCTCTCTCTCTCTCAATTGTGTCACAACATTGCATCTCCTCTTCACTCTCTCACACATATTCACAACATATCCTGCACTGTATGTCAGTTGCTCTTCGAAGGGGAGACACAATATTATAATAATAAGTACAGATCATAAATTACATACAATACGAATATAAAGTGGAGGAAACTTGTGTGTGCATCGCCTTTGGAGATTAATGGTCATTTTATCAGAGTCACAATATCATATCGTTACTTTGTACTTTACTAACAATTAACTCACAACTATCAGTGAGTCTGCAGAAGGAAATTCATATAAAATTCTCCATGATTTTGGATATAGAGTCAATGCACTCTAGTGTATTGCCAGGCCAAACACTTTATCTCGCTTTCTGTCGCTGAAACAGTCTGTCTTTTGAGCATTACCCAGAACAAATAAAACACTCCACGCTCAAAGACCAATAATAATAATGTCCAATCCTTGCTGAAGACAAGTGGACAAAATCCACACTTCAGACGAATATTCTTCAGAAATGATTCACTCCTTAGTATATAGAATATTCAAGAATTCATACATTATATTTAATTAAATCAAGTGAATGTGCCAATTTGGCTCCTTCCTTTTCTCTCAGACCACATTTCATATTAACACCCAAATTGTTTTAATGCCATTTGTTAAGAGATCATCCTAAACTTAACCTTGAGTGAGTTCATGCTCAAGATTATGAACCAACATTTATTCTACATATCCAAAGAGAGGGAAAGAGCCGCTTAATAAATATATTCTCCATTACTTCTCTCTCACTCAATTAACAGGAAAGTAGTTGCAAAACAATTCAGCTGGAGTGAAAAGTGTAGCACAATTTCTGTAAATTGGACGAGTGAGAATGGGAGAGAAAAAAACGCCAGCATGTCATAGGCAAAGAGTGTGATTAATGCAGCAAAGGTGATAAGGAAAAGTATCATTTTGAATTATGTTCAAGTCACACACAAAAGCCACGCTCGTCATTGGAATGCAACGGCGTGAATAACAAACATTGTGGCTATGAGTCACACGAGAAGAAGCGCTAAATATGGTAAAAAGTGAATTTTTTGGGTCAAGCCGCGCGCACACACAGACGAACGATGATTGCCACTAGGAAAAATTGCTCGATCAACAAAATATTTGTCGAAATAAATACGTATTACGCGAATTCCTCTCCCCGAAAATTTTCTCAGATACACACGCGATGACACTGACCGGATGCGATATTGAGCAATGGGTCGTGCTTTCCGCCGTATCACTGGCAAATGCTGAAATATGTTTAGATAACAAACACGTACATCTCGTGAGTTCTTCCGTAGATCTTGCAAAGTCGGGTAAAAATAGCCCATTCGGTCACTCTCTGCACCCAATCCAATTCACATCGCGCCACCGCGGGAAATGGAAAATATTATGACGAATTCATGGGGGTTGGTTTTGTCTTTCCCTCCCGCTTTTCACTCTCGTGCAGATGCACAGCGTTCTCAAGATATACACCATAACTCTCTTGCTATGCGCTGTGTATATTGAACAATTTGCTCCATTGAATGTGGCGAGTGTTTCAATTAATCCTACAAAATGCCATGGCACAAAGTGAGAGAGCAAAACAAATAATAAATGAAAGGAGAAGAAGAAGAAGTGTTAGTGTGAAAAGTTGGAAGTTTATTTCTGGATCAACTAAAAATTGGATCTCGCTATTATTATCGTGCACTTGACGTTGAAGATGCCTCTCTTTCTCGATGGCTCGATGAGCAAGACATATGAATTTTCAGAGAGCGAAATATTTCGAGGGCGTGTAAATTTGTTTGATCCACAAAATTAAACTACCATAAAAGGTCTACGCTATTTAATTTGATCAAGGAATGTGTAATAAAGTTGGAATTTCGTTTAACAAGCACAAATAACACACAAGCTATCAAACTTGATCGATCATATCGAATGAATTCAAGAGAATTGATTCAAGTGTCTCTCCAAATGACACTGTCGATCTGCTGCGCTTGTTCAACTAAAGTATCACTTTATCACAGGATCTAATATCATTTGTAACGCTGTGGTTTGTACAATTCAATAATTGCATCTCAACTCTGCAATTGACTTGCATTTTGTTTAGGCAACATTACAATGTGGCGAGCAATCGCAAAATCAATACAAATTGCAAATGAATTCCTCGTTAGCTCTCTTCTTTTCTCAATCAATGGATTCTGTACAGCGTGGTTTTTGTGGTCATATTCCAACTCAATTCCCAGATATGGTTTTTACTTAAATTGGCAATATCGATAAAATTTTCAATTTATATTCAACAAGATGCGCGCGCCTTGCAAGCACAAGCACACACACTAAATAAATGTGCCTCGTCTTTTATCCTCGATGATCGCATCTCCGTGGCCGCGATCGTTGGGAATATATTTGTGTAATAAAGAAATGAAGAAGATCATTACTCGTGTCGAAAATGCTACAAGTGATATTTGTTTTCTGGCACAGAATATAATTTAACAGCATTGTAATGCTGACTTCTTTCGTGGCTCAAGCAAAGAGAAAACACACAAGACAGAAAGTCTTTTGTGGCCAGCTTCTGGTCAATTTTTTGCGCTCCGCCACCACATTAATGGTATTTGAGAGAATAAAATACACCCCAAGAATTTAACTTCGAGAGACATAAGCGCAAAAGTCTTATTTCAACACACACTGGCAAAATCCCCAATGGAAAAAAGCAGCAGAATTCTATTTACCATAAGTGATATTCATGTCATTTGATGGCAAAAGACTGTGAGAGAGAATGATAAAATGTGCGAGGGAATATTAAGAAAAATAAATAAAAGGAGGGACACTGAGCTCTAATGTTCAGATGGAATGTGGCAGAACACAAATACAGAGGAAGAAAATAGTCTAGCACTAATTCATCGATATCGTCGTTCACGCTTCAATTTCCACCTTGTCTGAATCATCATCGCCAGCCAGTAAAAGCCAGCAACAGCGGTGCCTTATGGAGAGATTCTTCTTGGCAAATGATAACTAGCAAGCAACCCTATAAATTATACAGTCACATTGAAAGCATTTAGTAAATCTGGCACGTTTTCTAGATATCAATTCGCCAAATGACTTCCATATTAATATTCACCAAAAGACCAGAGAGTTAAACTTGAGATAATCAAAAGGGTCTCGAAAACTCTAATCGTTAAATCCCACACAAACGCCAATAGAATTGGATATTCTTCAGTGTCCACACAGAAGTTCAATCTAATCTTCTTTCTCCATTTCCACATTATGAATGTTACAATGTTTCAAAAAGCCATTAAAGACCATTTGCATACAATAGTTGTGGCATTATTTGACAAATATTATACTCTCAAGCACGCCAAGAGAGCTCTTTAATTTCTCCCTATTGTTTTGCATGTGTGTGGCAAGGGAATTAACCACCTCTTCAGTTGCACTAAAAGTTAATAATGGGGGAAAAAATTGAGATCACATTCAATTAAATTGCCTTGTCAATTGATTAATATCGAAAGGATGTGACATTTCTGTCTATTCAATACATTCACTGAGTCAATTAGCAATTTACTGTAATTTTGAAATGCAATTACATGACTTCTGAAAAACATTACAATCATGTTTTCGTGTTTTACATTTCCAACAGAAGCCGTTCAATTAGCAATTTCTCAATCACACATCTTTCTCCCCAATGCCCATTAATGCCAATGCATGCGTCTCTTCGGCGCACAGCACATGTCATCCGAGCCCAAGGTATACATGCATCTCATGTGCCACATTATATGATTTATCGGTCCGCACTGGGATTGGATGCAAATGAAATTCCTAACACATAAATTGATCGGCAAATTTAACACAGAGAGAGAGAGAGAGACAGTCATTATGGTGAAAATGAAGTGGAAAAGACATCTTTAGGCAACACACAGATTGTTGCTACCTCTCGAGAGACTCCTTTTTCACAGTCTCACCAGCTCACCAGCCGCTTCCAAAATTGGCCGGACTCTGCTTAACTTGATTTTTATTGCGACATCGTCACATGCTGAGTATCTCTCCCATGATTTTTCCTCGCGCCAGTCCAGCCAATTTTGATGAGGCGAATGTGAGATGGAGAGAAAAAATCGAGTGGTGTAAAAAAGCACCAACAGTCCAAACTTATTTATTTATTTATTATATGAAAACCCATGGACTTGTGTGTCTCAAGACTATATCAATTTAATACGCACTGAAATTTATCACCAAATTTGGTGAGAAAGTCTCATGTGAGACCATAAGAATAAATTGAACTCCTCTCGTGTTTCACTCCAAGCTGGACATAATGTGCCAAATTGCTTTAATCGGACATCAATTGAGAGAAAAAAGGCAAAAGTAACATTATATCAGCATAAATATATGAGTGGAACAATTATATTCACACTGATTTTTTTATGCTTCCAATACGCGATCTCTTGCTAAACATCGACTGAATTTATTCCACACTTTATATTTCCATTTCATCTGTAGGAGAATTCTTGCTGTTTTGCGCGAGAAACATGAAAAAGGCATCAGAGAACAAATTCACGCGAATGCAACAGGTGCAAAGAATGTTCCTACTTGACAAGATAATGGAAAATATGAATGTTCGTGGTAAGTTTCGCCTCAAGAGCTGACCAAATGGCTGACATACTGTGTAATTGTACTGCAACACGAGCAGACAAAGCACCTAATTAGGAATTAAGCACGACTACCGAAGGGACAGTTGATTAATGAACTTCCGCCCAAAACACTCTTCCAAAATCTCTTCATATACGACACATTTTACTACTTCTTAATGTGCTTGCATTTCGTAGACAAAAACATCTTCTTTCATTTCTTCAATGCGATTTAACATTTGGAAATACCCTCAATTTAACACAAATCTTTAAAGATATTTTCCAATAAGGCAGAATGACTCAAAACAACTGCTTTTTCATGCAAATATGCAGCAAAAACACACACACTTGAAGCATGTGAAAAACAATTTTAAAAAGCCAGAAACCACGTGATTCGTATCATCATCAAGTGAAACAATTACTTGAGGAATCTGGCAAATTTTTCCAAAGAAACCTCCCAGAGCTAAACACTAACTTCTTGCCTTGGACGAAAACATACATGTGAGAAGTGTGGGATTGTGAATAAAAGTGAATTACCTCATTACACGATTCACGCAGTTGTACTACAAGTAAATAATAACTTTTTAATTGAAAAACTCCTTGCGATTCTCTCTCTCTCTCTCTATCTGTATCTTTCTTTCTTCTTATGTCTTTCGCCACAAATATAAATTCGCCTTTTCTTCAGCCAACAGATAGATTCCATAAGGCAAACACTCGTGACCTTCACCAAGAGAGTGCAAGAGACTTTTCTCGCAACTGTAAATCAATTGCACATCTTGCGATTCTTTGTGCTCTCTCGCCATTAAGATTGAGCGAGAGACAGCGAAGCGGTTTATTCTCGACTTGGGTAAACATTATGGACTTTGTTGGAGAAATTCTAAATGTAAATACATTCGTGAACAAATCCAGCAGTTGAAAAAAAAAGCGTGGCTTCACTGCTTTTCGCGCCTTTTATATTTCATCTATTACACTTTGCGCACATTGAATACGAAATTGAGTGTGTGGATTTTATGTTCGCAGAAGAGTTCCTCACACTGTTTTAATTCCAAATCAGATATAAAATCCAATGTCTTTCTCAGTCTTCAACACTTTACAATGTGTGGTTGAACACAGGGAAATACCAAAATATCAATTAGTCCACATGGAAATGATGAATTAATGAGAAATTTATGAATCGTGCACACTTGAAAAGTGTTAATCATGAGGCATCAACTCATTTAAATCCACGAAAATCCCACCGTTTTCCCGTCATTTTTCTCATTCGCGGATCATCTCGATTGCCTGAGTGCAATCGTGCCTCTCTCAATACAAACTTGTTTGCATTACAAAAGTGAACAATTTTTCACTCTTTTCACACACATTCCGCTTTACATTTGTGTGTGATTCACAGGTTTGTTTTACACCGTGTTGACTCATGGACAAAACGGCATTCAAGATCCCCAACAACAGCACACAAAGAAGTTGAGGCAGAGCATCAAAGTGAAAATTCACTTAAAGGAAGACGAGAATTAAGCATTTTCTGTTGAACCTTTTCAGGCTCAATCATGAGTTGCGTCATCGCATTTCTTCTTAATCAAATATTTACTACTCAACCTCCCAAAAAACGTGACCAAAGTGTGGTAAGTGAGAAGTGAGATAGATGAATTACATGAGAATTTACTAGGAAAATATTGCGGCTTTTCTTCTCCTCTCTTTCAGGACACCCTGTTCATTTCTTGAAGTTTGTGTGTGCGCAAAGTGAATCACGCCGGAGATTCTCGGTGGAATTTTTTCTTCTGCGCTTATTACCGAGTCTTTCCCCGTGAAAGTTCAATGAGTTGTGCAACCGCAGTGACGAAGGTTGGCGAAGAAGGCCCAAAAGCAGGCCACAACAGAAGTTCCGGCTACTTTTGTTATCTCCAAGCACACACACTTTATCCTCTCCACACTTAACTGAAGCATATACTCACATATATCAATCCAGAGTAGTATCTATCCTTGATGTTGTGCAGCACAGATGCTTCATTGAGACAAGTGAGTTCGGCCATGTCCTCGACTTTGTCGAATTTAGGCGGATTCATCTTCTGGATGTCATCGCGAAGTACCATAATCCTCTTGCCCGTGTCCGCAATCTCCACCTCCACCTCGTCATTGTTCTCTCCCTTGATGCTGGCCGCAACGAATCCCTGTGTTTGCAGATGGAAGAAAAAATACACAGAAATCATTACTCTCAAAACATCCTCATTGATTGCCAAAGCGAATATGCAAATATTTTCCGTGGAATTTCCTCATGCGGTCTCACTTTGCCTCCATTGCCTCTTCGCAGAAGTTTTCATTTTAATGTGAAGTTGCAAGAAATGAAATTGCTTATAAACACACAAAAGAAAGTGAAGCTCAATTTCGATTTCATTGTTCAATTTTCCCCACCAACACACGCTCCGCATCTCTCTCTGCCTCCGTTCCATCATTGATGAGAAGAGCATCTAATTGATTTCCTACAAACACCCCATTCATTGCACACTCACTGCTGATCTTGTCGGATTGCTGGAAAAAAGCAGGGAAAAGAAAATACTGCGCCTCTGATTCAATAACGCCTTTTATCAATCTCTCATTGGAGAGCAATAAAATTGAATTTGTCTTATCGTTTCGTGTGATTCGCAGATAAATTCCACAAGTGACTGAATGGACAAATTAGGCGAAATCAAAAAGCGCAGAGAAGAATCCAAGACAAGAGAACGGCATATCGAATTTCTCCAAAAGATTCTCTCCATCACCTTCTTGGGTGACCATTCGCGCGGCCTCTATTGAGTCTTCAGGCGATGTTGATCGTAAAAATTAATCAACGGCCCATGGATCATCAACAATTGCCCGCGGGCCTCTCTTTCTAGCTCCCGTCTCTCACTAATTGTATCTCTTTCCTCTCCTGACACACTGTAATTAAATAAAGACCATTGCTCACTCGTCTTCGAGGCGGATTGTTTTCGGGAGGAGAAAGACGATTAATTAATAATCTATCAAAAATATTAATCACTTCAGAGATTAAGGCATTGATTTGAAACTCTGAACATTTTACCATTGACTCTTATCTCAGAATACATTAAGAAACTAATATTTGAAGCATCGATTCAGCATTATGCTTCATAAGGTTTTGCAAGTGTATAAAGCATGCCTTGCAAATGACTATCAACTGCGATAAATTGTCTCGCGGAAATCACTACTTTGTACAAATCTTATCGTGTGATGGATAACGACCGTCATAATTATCGCTCTTATCAAAATAACAGGGTTTGGCGTCGCACGAAGAGGCGCGCAGCGAGTCTCAGGCGGCGTGTTGCGGAGTCAGTGGCCAGCAGAACACCCCTCGCGGCCACCTTCTTGGCACACACACAGTGCGTCTCGCGCATTGGGTGTCTGTCGACGGCGCAACAAGTCAATCCGGAGGTCATCTGAGCCGTTTGGCCATCCGCTCGCCAGAGCTTCCTGCTGTTACTGTCCAGAGCGACACTCCGAGTGTGGCCGGCGGCGTCCTCTCGCCACGCACACTCTCTCCCGGCTCTCCCTCGAATTCGGGGAGTGGTGTACACGTTGAATGAGCCGCTTCGCCGCCATCCGAATGTGTGTAAATGGAGTACATTGTGGACACAGCCAGAGAGAGCTCATAACCACATTTGTGTTTCAATTTTTTTCCTCTCCTCCATACCTCGTCTTTTCGGCAACGACATAAAAGCATTTTTTCACCCATTCCTCGCTTCTCTCGCCAACGAATTTGGTGTCTTTTCCAAAAACTGCCTGACGTCATCACACACCAAATGCCGGTGGAGTGCCTCTCTTTCCGTGCTCTCGTCGCGCACAAACACACTGCTTTAGAGAGAGAGAATTTACCATTGGGAGGCACTCTCGGGGGCTCGCAATTGAGCTCCACTTCGACCGACACAGCATGGCAAATAGATGACTAGTAGTTTAATTTAGACTCGATGTCATGATAATGCGTCAGACCGATCTCAAACCCTTAATCACAACAGCCTTTTTAAGGACACCGATAAGCACTGTTTGCAAATGTCTATTGCGTCTTTCGATAGAATCTAAATCATCCTAGATCATTTAAATAAATCTATTTGAACCAGACTTTAGACTTTAACTTTATATAATATTTCTTTTTTATTCCTTGCTGTGAAATTAAGCAATTAACATTTCACTCGAAAAGGACAAATCGATGGCCAAAATCTCAAAACGATTCTGATCATTATTCATTCCGAATTTCCCAATGATTCTCATCATTAATCTAAATATTCCAGCCAAGATTCCGTTCACGATTTTTGAAGATGCCCAACTTTTCGACGTGCCTGAAATGACAAGCACAATTTTGCACATCGCCAGTGCGAGAATCTTGTCTGCAAGCCAGCAGGAATCTCTGCCCAGAAGTACGTCAGAAGACCGCGGCCGAAAGTGGCAGTGATTCGCCCCTCGGGAGAGCGCTCGAAACTTCATTTTCTGGCCAGCCGCTCAGAGAGCGCGAGAGTCTCTGTGAGATATTCTCCCGAGGATGTCGTGGCCGCCGTTAGCACGAAAGGTGATTCAGAGGCGTCTCACCTCTGCACTCGCCGGAATGCTGGCGATGTGGCGTTATCAGGAGTGGAAAATCCGGCGGAAATTGAGTCACGGCGCAAGAGGCGGAGGTTCAAGTTCAGAGCGTCGACCGGGGAAATGTCCGGGGGCGTAAAATGGTGGCGCAGAGACGCGCCCAGCTCTCTCACCTGTGACTCGTGGGGCACCCAGACGAGGCGCTTCTGTGTCCACTCGGCCTGGGTGGCGGGATCGTTGAATTGACTCCGCTCCACGGTCAAACACTTGAGATCCGGATCATTCCGATCAGCCATTTCGTTAGCCATTTTTTCCTCGGCGGCGTTTGCACAATGAAACACACTCTACTACTCTCTCTCGCTCTCGCAGTCCTTCGCACAAACTGTCTTATCGCTCACACGGGCCACACAGCGAGCACTTGGATGGCCAGCAATGTTGCATCGGGCGCAGGGCAGCCACAGTTTCGATCACACGCGGAATTGAGCCGCTAACTTTTCCACTGATTTCCACAACTTCTCAACTGGAACGCAACCTTATGTCCGCAAGTTCAGTCCGCAACTGAAACCGTGAAGTGCGCTGAGGCGTTCGCTCCCCCTCGAACTGTCACGCGCGCCGCCAACTTCACGCCGCTCAAGTCGCTTCCGCTGCGGCGAATTCAGCGAAATTCCACTGGAATTTGAACGCGGCCGAGTTTGAGTTGTTTAGTGCCAACAAGATTCAAATTAATATATATTTATTAGCAATGCCGCCTCTTCTGTTCTACCCGGAAGCGGCGGATACATAAAAATAGGGGAGTGATTGGAGATTGGGGGTCCCTCTCACGCGGTGTCTCCTCTCGCGACGGATCCCTCGGGCTCCAAGGAATTGGTGCCGTTCAGGACTTCGTGGGCCGATAAATTGAGTCGATATGGGCAGAGGGCGAGAGCTTGCAGAGACTTCAGCATCCTGAAGTCACTAGAAGGCTTCTGCAGGGCCCGCTCGCTGACGATGTGCCCGGAATTCGAGGCCACGTCGCTCTGATAGCGCGTCTCAATAGAGGAGACACCAGAGATGGGCGTGCATTCAATGGGGATGTACATTGCGTGGTGAGGATTGTAGCTAATCGGTCAGAATTTCAGATCTTTGATGGCCTGCGGCAAATCGGGCAGCTTCATGTCTTTAAACTGCTGAGGAATGTTCATACTCTTCACGGCGCTCACGGCTCGCGCGGGTGCCGCCGAGATGCCCGCCTCCTGCTTCACCAGCTTGTTCTGGTCCTCTATCCTGGCCAGGATGTCCGCCATGTTCGTCTGCAGCACCATGCCGCCCATCACCAGCTCCGACAGGATGTGATGCACGGCGTCCGCGTGAAAGATCAAATCCAGCTCGCACACGTTCTCAAAGCACTTGTCCAGAGTCTCCACGAACACCTGGATCAGATCCAGGATGCCCAGCTCGCTTTCCGAGGAGTCCACGCAGAAGACGAAGTAGAGCGTAGCGTAGTGGCGGTAGATCAGCTTGTAGTCCGATCCTCCGATCAGGCTGGAATGCAGGCAGGATCATTAGAACTTTCCAAATCACTCTTCATCATCAAAGACAAGAAAATCTACCTTCCGCCCTCTAGAAAATTGCACACGTTGTCGTCTCGCTTGGAAACCAACTGGAATGTCTCCTTGATGATCTGCTGCTGCATATCTTCGCTCTGCAAATAGAGGGATTATCAAGAGAATTATCAGCCAGAGAGCCCCCGACACCCTGATAACCTCCAAAGGCCCCGAAACTCACAAAGTATTGGTAGAATTTCGACAGCCTGGGTTTACCATGATTGTTAAACACTAAAATTGCCTTTATCATGATTTATTACACTACTTAAGCACTAATTTATCATCAAACAAACCCAAGAAATGCGAGAAATATGCAAATAAACACAATTTCTCACACAAAACTCCTTGTTGTCAATTACAAGAAGTTTGCACACTTTTCCGCAAGGGGGCAATGACATCGGCCGCCAACGCGAATTTCAAATGTCCCCAAAAGTAACCGTCAATGCAATGTAATTCTTTCTTTTTGGAAATCGATTGCTTCTTAATCAACATACTCAAAATCTTCTCATCACACCTGAAACACAGAAGAAAACACAATTCTTTGAGTTTGGACACCTGCCGGACATCTCTAAAGATATCCTCTCAGATATCTTCAGAGAAATTCCACGTAGGAATGTCTTTTATTTTTCCAAAAATATAATTTTAACTACAAAATCGCCAAAAAATATTCATTGTGTATAAATTTTGTCATAATGCCAAATACTGCAATCACATTCAAGGATATAATTTCCGTGTTAAAAACAACCTCTGCAGAATTTCGATGGTCGAGTGAGTTTTTTCTTCATGAAATGATTGCTTCTCTCTCTTCTATGTCCGCTCTTTCTTTCTACTGGTAAATCCTAATAATCTAGTGAGGGTCTTAGTGGCCCCTTTTCATTGGTGAACTACATTTTCATCTGCTCTTTCTCTTGCTTAATCTAAACCTACAATTGACGCTTTGTAAAGATTGATGGCTTGATATACATTTTACGACCTCTCAAGAAACCCCTCTTTCAAAAATCAGTTCTTTCGCGTGTCTCCCGCTCTTCTGCGGGACTCCACAACACTCTTACTTAACAACCTACACGAAAATTAACAGCTAACTTAGTGAACTAAAACCACTGCGCAATTCTAAAGTGACGAAAATGAAATTTTGCTTAGAAAACCGAATCTTTATCACAAAATTTTGGTGTTTCTCCACGCAGTGACAAACAAACTATCCTTAATCGCTACGTCCGAACTACAATTTCCCCGTTCTAGCGTGAATATTACTGGATAAAAATGCCGAGATCTGGATCCGTTAAAACATCATAAGACTTAAGAAACTGCGCCGGGATGGATGTTAGAGCGGTTCCTGCTTGAAGTAAGTGTGATGAAGGCATTCTGCGGCGGAAGGACGACTTCTGGGATCGAATGCCAACATTTGCTGCAGAGAAAGAGAGATTTGCTTATCAATTGATTAGGTAGGCACACTTAGAGTAAACAATATGTTATCTCACAAATCAACTAATTTCTATATAAAAAAAACGATAACAGAATATTTATTGAACTCTCGAGTCTCACTTCTGAATCATCATATTTTCACAGGAAGTTTTTTCGATAGGGAGATTTCATGTGAATTCTGATAATTATTTAGCGCACAAGTTGAAAAATTGAGTATCAGCGAGCAGAAATTTCTCTTTTGGCATTCTAAAAATACCCGACAAAATCCATCTGATAGAGAAGTGTTTGGATGAAGGCATATTGAAAACATCTTTCAGCATCCACATAAAATCCTCCACTTTGGCCAACTCACCGCGAGAAGATCGTTGGAGTATTCACACAGATACGGGCAGAGATCGCGCGGTTGCTTCGAGGAGCGGTTGGCGAAACTCTCGCGCGTGATGGAAATTCCCGCCGGCCAGGCATTGGCGCTGGGTCGTCCGGTCAAACTGCAAAAAGGCAGGAGATTATTACAGTGCAAGAGATGACAAAGAGATTGTGACTTACTCGAATATTCTGTCCAGTTGATTCTTCTCTGAAGCGCCCGGGAAAAGAGGCTCCCTGGAGAACATCTCAGCGATGATGCAGGCGGCGCTCCAGATGTCCAGAGCGCTGCTGTATGGCTGGTTGAGGAGCACCTCCGGAGCGCGATACCACAGCGTGACGACCTGCAAGACACGCTCAATCTCAGTTCCCGCCCTTCAACATCTGCTCCTCTTGCAAGCACTCACCACCGACGTGAGCTTCATCTCGAAGTCATACGTCTTGGCCAGACCGAAGTCCGCGAGTTTGAGGTGCCCTGACGACGACACGAGCAGATTCTGAGGCTTCAGATCTCTGTGGATGATGCGGTGCGAGTGCAGAAAGTCCACGCCGGTCAGCAGTTCCAGCGAGAGTCTCTGGAGCGTGTGTGGAGTCATTCCAGTGGCGGGCAGTCGCTGAATGTATCCCGCCAGATCCTGCTCCAAGTGCTCGAACACCAGGTACAGCACCAGCTGCTGCTCTCGCTCCAATCTCTGGCCATGGCACACGTCAATCAGCCTTGCGGAGTAGCGAGAAAACAGCGAAAAGTGTTCATTAGTGATGTGAATTGTGATAAGAGCATTTTTCCGGGGAAAACAGTGCCTTTTCCTCCCAACCGGAGAATCTTAGCTACGCATTCGACCACATTTCTGTCGGCCAAATATCATTCCCGTTTCACAAAAGCGTTACATCACTTCTTTTTCTTTCTTTCTTCTCCAAAAACTACTTCATGAAAAGTGAAATTGTAGTAATTTCTTTAATATTTATCTTGGCATTTACCTGTATTTACCTTCCCAAACTTTTGAGGCATGTGAATATAGAAGAGATTTAGTAAAAGTTGTGCACTAGTCATTAGATATCCACAATAATATCAATTAAAATTGCAACTCTGTTTAGTGCATAAGCTTTATCAACCATTTGAAGAGAGATGGAGAAAGTCAGCAATTTTGGCGACTCCTCCTCGATCAGCCAAACAGTTGATAAGAGCTTGTGGGTGGTTCTTTCGCCCCTGAACAATCGAGCTCAGTTGAAGAGCTTTCTTTTGTTCCCAGCCTTTGTGGAGTGCGGATCTAACTCAAGAGTAGAACTGGTTACTAAAAATTCGGGAGGAAATGGAAAAAGTGTGATTTCTTCTTCAGTTTCAGAGACGTATTTTACATCATGCTAAAGTTGGTGCAAAGTAACTCATAATAAATCATTGTTTTTGTGGTTTTGCTTATTCAAATTATGGTATAAATCGTTGAAACAAAACCAGGAAATAATCTTATCTAAACACAAGTATTAATATAATAAATGCTGGTGAGAAAATTCTACAAACTCGATGGTACGATAAATAAAGTCAATTCATTTTTTGCTCCTCTATATTTGGCTTATGCAAAAAACAGGTGGTGCAAAAATCATCTGCGCTTTTTCTTAAACCTGAACCTATATTTTCAAGAGCCTCATAAAAAAATAGTTCGATCTTCAATCAAGCTCAGATTCTGAAGACAACAAAAAGGAAAATACACAAAATTCAAGCACTTCTTCTGAATTTATACAATAAAAAGAAGAATTCGTGAAAAGGTGTAATTAATGTCCAATGTCTGCGGTGCTTCATGATCGCAGAAGCCTTCAGAAACAGGTTTCGACCACTAAAGATCACATATTTCGATAAAAGGCCCACCAAGAGATGCGATCTTCTGGACACACTCAGCACATACGACTTCTTCTTCAGTTTCCCACTATTTTCACGGCGATCTTGAATCGGGAAATCGAGGGATCCCTGGGGAAGATCCCTCCCCACCTCAATCGGTAGAGCACCTGCCGCCCGTTGGATTCAAATTCAAATTCTTCTTCCCCAGTATATCCGAGACACGTTCGCGAGAGCGAACACATAGCCGGAAACGGGAAATGAATGTCGACCACCACTTACTTGACAATATTTGGGTGAGAATGCGATTCCAGCTGCTTCAGGAGGGCGATCTCCCTGAGGGTGGACATGGGCACGCCATCGTCCGTGAGTTTCACGCGGACTTTCTTGAGGGCCACCACCAGGCCCGGGTTCTGTTTGTCAATGGCTTTGTACACGGTTCCATATGCACCTGGAGGGTGGCCGAAAAAGCACATTAGTCACTTCCTGCGGCGCAGGAGGCGCCAACAAGCCCTCCATGTGGACAGGGTTGTGTGAAAAGTGATGGGAAATGGGAAATTCGGCCACATTTCTCCCTAAATAGCCTTCGAGCTTGTGTCCATGCTAGAATATGCTTACCGGTTCCAATTTCGTTCAATTCTTCATACTTTGTTGATGGTCGAAACGGCATATTTTCGCACACACTCTTCACCGATGTCATGACCAACCGGTAAATACATAGATTTCTGTGAAAACAACAATTTTCACAGATTTGTAACAGATTTTCCAAGAGCCGTTCAAAATTCTTCTTCTTCCACCACCCTTACTTTTGACAACACTCCGCCAAGAAGCGCTGCGCACTTCATGTCGTACAGTTATTTTGGCCAACCCTGTGAGCGGGTCAATAGTCGAGACACACTTTCATATTGAAAAGATGCATTTAACAACTGCTCGAAATAACGATTTTTCAGCTCTTAAATTATTTTTCTTTCTTATAACATTTGAGAAATATTTTGTTATCGCAGTTAAGTTCTTTTGTGAGGTGTTGATAAGTCATGAGAGTGATTGAATACAATTTGGTCAGCGCGGAAGTGCGAAAGAAGTAATTAAACTTGTCATTTCTCTTCAAAATATTCTCATATTTCTTGATCACGCTAGAAATATAGCATGTAATGCAAATTTACATTTATTATTCGCTAAAAGACAACACAAAGCGCGACTTGACATACTGTTGTGTAAGTATTTTATGGCTTTTAAATTAAGAGATTTTTATTCATGATGTCATTATATTTTTCAATCTCTAATTGAGTTCTGAAGAAGTATTTGATAATTACTTTTACTGTTTCACATCAAGTTAAACGTTGGGATAAGCAGAATCTGTTTTTCGCATCTGAAATCATGAAAGACTTTCACAGAGATCTTCATCAGCACAGTGCACAAAATGAGAATTTCCCAAACATGATAAAAAATATTGTGTTGGAAGCTAAAATTCCATCTCTATCGTGCACAAAACTCGCTTTTTCTATACAATTCTAATGATATCTCGTGTTCTGCGGAAATTAAGAAGGCAATAAAAAAAATCACGTGAGAGTGTGACTCGGCAAGCGTTTTGCAGAACTTTCACGCCATAGTCGAGAACAAGCGCTGGAACAGAAGAGATTTCTGGAGAGATTCACGCTAGCGACACGCGAAAAAAGGCAATGTATCAAATTCCATTTGGCGTGTCGCCGAGTTGGACAAAGAATTATTAATTCCTCCCTAATCTCTCATCGCTGATTTGTCACCGGCAGCCGCTAGCAAGGCCATTGAGCAGTCGCGCCTGTCCGCGGATTTGCCGCGGCGCACCTCTCAGGCGAAGAAGTAACGGAAATATGCACTCAAATGATTTATGGGCAGACGTGGGAAATTGATAAGCAACAATGCACTGTGTATCTAGCGAATTGTCCATAGATGAAAAGTTCAATTTGCCTGACATCGCCAAGGAAGATTTCAATAAACATCGCGGCTTTGGGAGTGTCTCAGGAATTCGCCAGCACTTTTAGGGGAGACAAAAAACTCTCACACGCAACGCGTCTTTCTATCACTTTCAGACGTTTGGCAAGAGATTTGCGTCTGAACGGATCTTCGTTAGTATTTTTACGTCTCTCATGAGAATTCAGCAAGTTCAGCATTATCTCTAATATTTTCAGAACAATCATAGATTCTTCACGCGTCCATGAATATTTTCTCACTGAAATATTCTAGGTATTTTCTCAAGCAGAACATCTAATATTTATTTTCATAAATTCACTCAAATACGTTTCGTGTTTCAATGGTGTTTCACGTGAACTTATGGTATTCTCTTCAGCTTATTTTCTCAGTGATTTTCCTGAATATTCCAATAACCATCCTAAAGCTGTTTTTCATATTTGTCATATTTCTACGATGAAATGAATGAAATGCATTCAAATCTAAAGCTCCTAATATATGAAATCACAGTCTGTCAAAGAATGATTAATAATGCTTTCAGTTAAACAAATCTCTTGCATATCGACTTCTTAATTTTCTTTTGGCATACATAAAAAGCCGATCATTCAGAAAAATGCTTAGAAACATCACGCAATATCTTCAAATTCGACAAGTCCATCCCACAAATTGAGATGTCGTGCCTTCTTGCTTCTGGAATTTATATCTTCTTCGAACAGTGAGTTAATAAGAAGCCTCTGGATTTATTGTGGTCCATCGCTCGGAAACTGAGGCAGAATAAAATGGACTTTCTACTGGTGTATTGACCAATACTGTAATTTATGGTCCCATAAAGAGAATCAGTTTTGTGACTTCTCTTTGACTCTTCCCGCCAAATCACGCCACTGAGTTGAGCAAAATGCTGCTCCCTTGTGAGTCATATTGGCAGTGACAGAATCGGCCTTCAGGACACCTTCAGATGTTAACCTGGCTGGGCGTGATGTGCAAGAAGTGCTGGATCGCCCACGGACGTGGCTCGACAGTTCCATTTTCCATTTCACTCTCGAACGCCCGAGAATGTGCACTAAGACGAGAAATGAGATTTACAATGTAACTGCACGAGTTATCATTTCGAGAATACAATTAAGGTGCATTATGCACTTCCTCTTCGCATTTAACCGCCGACTCTTCATCAATCGCTCACTCAACTAGGCAGAACCGAAAAGCTGCAGATGGGGAACATTAGGCGAAACTGTGTGCGATGTATTTGCAATAATCAATTCACTTGTGTCATCATGAATTGCCATTGTAGGGCTGGAAAATTGCTTGATATTCTTTCATGATTTATTTATCAAATACAAATTAGCATTCTCCACATTATGGATACATACCAGAGCTACATGGTATTGAATTGAATTCGCAGAGCCATATTTTCCTCTGATTCGCATCATCTGCCATTCGATGTGCCTTTATTTGATTAAAAATCACTTAGGCCCTGCCCAAGGAATCGAATACATCATCGCACTTCTCACGTCTCGTGAGTGATTTTCAATAAAACGCCCGTTGAACTCACTCTCGCGGAATTGATCTCAATTTTCTCATGTGCCGCAGATGAAACAATGTGCCATCGATGGTGATTAAAATTCCCCATTGAATTTCAATGCGCACAGCATTCGAAATGCACGTATCGGATGTCCTTGTGCTTGTAAATTCCTCCCATTGTTCCTTCCATCCACACTTTTTTACCATCCTTTTCGCTTTGGGAGTGACTCTTTTTATTCCGCCACTGACACGAAGACAAAGAGACCCAGAGTCATGATCGGAGACGTGTCACAGTTTCCCCGATGAAAGCTCAAAGGGGAGTCTCAGGTTCGTGTCTTGCGGAGCACACAAATCTTTCGTTCACTTCGGCGGCTCGCGATTTTTTCCAATTTGTGTTTTTTTGGGGAGTGAGTTCGTTGATTCCGTGATCTCACTTTGTGCCCCCTTTCTGCCCCGCTTCTGCCATGTGGAATACCTTGAAAATGTAACACCCACCCGCACAACTGATTAAACATTGAGTATTTTGTCTTATTTACACAAGTCGATTTTTTTATGACACGGCCGCAAAAAATGAGTCTGTGTGTTCCGTTGAGTGTTGCCTTTTGTGCGGGAGTCGTTACAAAAGTTTCTGATATTCTTGCTGAATTTATAGAAATGTAATTATTCTAAGCACCTAAAGAACTCAGGCAATTTTTTTATGGGAATTTGAATAAATTCAGCCTCGCTGTGAAGACTTTGTTGCATTTGCGGATTTCTGCTTAGAAATTTTCATGGTTTTCATTTAATGTAAATTATTTCCAATTCTTTGCATGAGATGATTACGATTCTAAAAATATTCTTAATTTCAGTAATTTTTTTTAATGATTTCAAGTCTTCAAAAAATCTATTAAATTTGCATCTATAAAAAAGAATAGAATTAGATGTAAATAAATTTCTTATTCAATTCAAGTTGATATTTAAGTTACTTAAAATATAATTTTCAGACAAACAGTGAAGTTGATTATCTCTAATTAAAAAAAACTGCAACGACTTCTTGGACTCCTTCCAAATTGAAAATAAAGATCTAGTTTTTGTGTAGAGCGAGATGTTTGGGCGGAGCTTGAATGAAGGCGGAGCTTCCAAATGAAAAAAGATTCCTTTTCTAATATTGTTATGTTACTGTTAAATTACGTGCTTTAAAAATCAAAACTCTAATATATGTTCACTGGGTTAATAGCCTTCAAAACTGCATAAATAGGTATAATTCCTACAGAAACAGTGCATAATAAAATTGTAAGAAAATCATATGAGAATATTCAGTAAATTAAAATACTAATCACAAGTAAATTGAGATTAATCGTCTTGATCTTTTAAGACGACTCCACACTTCTATCTCCACGGCGTATGTTGTGTGTGTGTGTGTGTGTGTGTGTGTGTGTAGTTTCTGCAGCGAAGCTGTGTTGGAAAGCATGAGTGTGTGCAGGCTCGCGACTCACCTTCCCTGACTTCGCGAAGCTTTTGGAGTATCTCGCTGATCGTCTCACCTTCAGTCGTTGCTGAGTTGTCGACGTGAGCGTGTGTTGTCGACTCTGGAAGGTTGTGCAATCATTCAGTGGCTGGGAAATAATTTCAGTGGTGAAATCTTCTAAGAATTTCCCGAGAAGCGCAAGAAATTGACCAGAAAACCACACTTGAGCTGGAGGAAAATTAACAATGATCGTCATTGTGGCGGAGTGATTGCATAACATGGTGGTATCGTGAAGTGAAGTGAGTGAAATCGATCTTGAGCGTTTGGCTTGCTCAGTCTCAATTGAAAGTGACCCTCTTTCCGAAGCCACTAGACTTTCAGTGCTCCTGCAACAATGTACGTGAAAATGAATCTCCTCGCCGTCGCTCTCCTCTTTGGATTTAGCATTGGACTGTCTCAAGCGAAAGGTAAGGCTTCCCAGATTCACTCTCGTGCTCAGAAAGAGAGGAGCTCCGATGGACAGAGAGGGAACATCCGTCCAATTGAATGCAAATGACGCAAGATACTAAAAATGAACGTGAATTTCTCAAAATACATCATCGCGCAGTGGTCAAATTAATTCCACCTGGTGGGTGACCTTTTTTGTCCACTGCTTCGCTCTCGAGCGCTCTGTGACTTTTGTCGCAGAGAGAAACTCTGCGAGATGTTAATTGCGATTCCCACAGACGTGCAGAACACAAAGGGGTGCTCAACTAATGCCAACAGAAAGTGCGATAAATTTTGCAAATTTCACCAATATGTGACTCTTGAGGGCCATGAAGATTGCCATCGGCAGTTCATGAATTTTGTATGAAGTGCCGAAATTGATAGAATGAGAAATGAACGGTTGGCGTTCTATCGATGTTGTGCGCAAGATCGTTTTGTCAGAATTTGAATTTTGTGGTTCTAAACTCGCAAGGAGAGAAGAAGGAGTGGCACATGGAGTAATGAAGTTCGCTCGCTATTCAGCAATTAGAAGCCTTATTGAGTGGTTGCAGAGTTGTCTGAATAGAGTCAGACTCATAGTTGCCAGATAAGATCACAAAATAGCACATTTATTTTCCCCTCGATGAGCAAAATTGAGACAAAGATGTGGATGTGAAATACTAATGGACATTCTTATTTTTCTACACCCACACTCACCTCGAGAGTCCACTGAGTGGAATTTTATTGAAAAATTATTCACTATTGCCTCTGTCCACGCTATTTCTTTGCCACATGAATCGCCTCAGAGAGTGCAGAGAGTGAGGCGCGCGATGGCGATTGGCGTTCACCCGCAATTGCTACTGAATTGCAAGAGATGATCGCGGAATATTCAATTGTGAATTGATCACCTTCGTCAATTGATTACCATTAATCGAACCCCTTTCAGCTGATCAATAGCGCCTCCTTTGACCGTCGGTAATTGAGATGTTTACTCTTTCTGTCTCCCCCTTCGCTGCCGCTTAATCGCCGGCCAGCACGATCACGTGGATGTTTGATTGATCGGCAAATCAGCAGAAATTTACAACTATCCCGCCATCGTGCAGTGTTGCATAAGAGCACGATGTGAGAATCATTTCCGGAAGAAGTGCGGAGTATTATAGTGAAGACGATCTCAGGTGATCTTGGCAAAGAGAGTTCCACAACAGCGACTCTATCCAGTGTGGCGGGTACAAGTTATCCGCATGATACTCGTGAGATTCAATCCACCAGCCAACATTAACCATTAACCTCATGCCTCGGGAGCCATCCGCAACCAGAACCGCTCCTCGTACTTCCAATGAACTGTTTATACAGTTGGAAGATGATATTTTCTCCAATGACATATAAATTGTAATTACAAGGGAATTTTATTGACTTACTCTCGCACAAAAGCCGATGATGATGGAGAAAAAATAATCATCTCTCTTTCCCATCGCCAGACACCCAGAGACTCTTCATTTCATCACACAGCTTTGATTCATAACTTGTCGCTTAATTTGCCGCGATACCATCAGCATAAATGGCAGATGGTGTGCAATATTTCTCAGGTGATAACTTGCAGTGGAATTCAGAGGTGAAAATTTCTCTTGCTTTTATTGTCTGCACCACGCGCTGGAGAAGTAATTTCGCTGACTGAGGAAAAACCTGCCGGTTAATGGTGCAATTCCAAAGGAGAAAACCTCAAGATAGAGCTCTCGACTCAATTTGGATAGCACTCGAGAGAGTTCTTAACTGTTAAAGAATTGCAGCAATTGTAGCAAAAGAGTTGTACACTCAAGATAAAGGGTGACGAAATGGGGTGAATTATTCGCGGAATCTTAATCGATGCTGGAGCTTAACGAGCTGCACGGGAAATACGCTAAAATTAACTATATGCGTTTCATATCTGAATCAGCAATTTGCCATCTTCCTGGTAACATTTCCTTGGAGTGCAGAACATCAAATGCAATTAGCCTTTCTCTGGTGGTCGTGCAGGGAAACATTGTACAATCCGCTGAATGCAAGATGGACAGGGCTTTCTCTCTCTCCCTCCCCACAATCCTACACTCATTATTTGACCAGCGACGAGAAATGTGTAAACAAACAGGAAAAATCTCACTCTTTAAATTACCACGGAGATTCCTCTATCTCATGCTCATATGATTCCTCACCATATTTACAAATAAGCAAATAATCTGCGATGTTTGAACACAGTGACTGAGGAGATAATGGAAATGTTCCAGAGAACCAGACCTTTTTGCCCGATGGCATATAGCAATTCTCGCTACACGTTTCCCGTGCGATTCACGACAAGACACCGGGGGAAAAATGCAAGGCGATCAATAGTGGTGTGCTGTGTACAAATGGAATGGGGAGAAAATAATGTAATCTAAGGCAATTCGCTCCTTTGGCATCTCATGGTCGTTTGTCTTCCACACCGGCGCGCGGAGGGAAGAAGAGTCATTGTGTGCCCAGAGAGTCGGTAATGTGCTGCAAATAATTTAAATAAACATGCTCGGGAGATTCTTAAAGGATGCCGCTCACGAGGAACTTGATGTGCTTCGGATCCACTTTAGGAGAGCGAAACAGAATTGTTAATCATTTAATGGAAATGGTCGTGTGAGGCTTCTTCGCGGGATGATACCAAGGGAAACTCGAGAAATCACTTAACAACCCACATACTTGAATACTTTCTTGAGAATCTCTCTTTCTCTCGCCCATCGCGCCTCTCATCTTTACGGTGGCAAGTGAATCTATTGACAAATTGCCTTGTCCACACGGTGCATTTAGTACCTGAGCACTTAGACACTCTTTTGTATGGCCAATCATTATACTCCCGGGTGATTTTCAGCCTCTCCTGTCGCACGCGCTGCCGGAAGAGTTCGCTGACAATCTCTCAAGCAATGCTTTAAAGCTTCTCAGCGCCACACAATCGATCCATATATGGAGTAAATTCATCTAATTCCCCGGGATTTTCTCCTCACAATAAACATTCTGCCATCACTCAACTGATAACCTCTCCTCAATAACGGTCACAGCTTTTGACCGCGGTCACAGCAGGAACACTTAAATCAACATGAGAATTCATCGCCACACTGAGAAAAGTATAAAATGATCCGGGCAAAAAATTGCAAATGACTTTCAAATTGCTCAGAATTAAACAGCCGTGACAAATAAGTTTTTAATAGGACACTTTGCTGAGGAGATGCTTGAGGCTCTTCATTACTCAATTACCCTGCTATCATGGGCAGTCGTTTAGAATCTCTCGGTGGGAGACTGTTGAGCACGAGAAATTCTGACCTTTCTGTATATGCAGAAAAATCCTATTCCCAGTTCAGTGTTTATTACAATAGACCAATTCTGGTGGAGTAACTGCAGAAATCCCCAATAAAAAGAAACAGTAACTGATTTTCTGCAGACATCAAATATCCGTTAGAAAATTCCTTATTCAATTAGAAAGTTCTTCTTCTTCGTAGGATAGTAAAATCACGTGAATTACGATTTGCGGAAGGTCTTCAGTCACCCATATTTCACTTTTCTTGCTAAAATCTTAGGCACGAATATTTGTAGTGACATTCCGAGAGACAATAAAAACCACGTGTTGAAAGTTTCCTTATGAGTTGAAACCTTTTGTGATTTAATTACTGAAATCTGTAGCAAAACATTGCAGAGCAAGCAGAAAAGAAAGAACTTAAGTTCCTCAAGGTGAGGACAATCCCATTCTCGAGCAGTCTCGCGATGCTGTTTGCATACATATTGTCTACGGCAAAAAGGCTCTGCAGAAGCAATGTGGTGACGCTATTCCGGAGGAACAGGTTCTACTCATTCACATCACTTCTGTCCATTCCTTGGTATGCATTTTCATATGGAAAATTGTGGGATTCGGTGCGAAGTCACGAGAAAACAGTGATGTCGACTCGTTATGGTAATTCACTTTTGATTGTCGCATCGGGTTTTACTTTGAATGGCGAAGACACATGGCAATTGAGAGGGACATTTGCACCTGAGGCCACTCATTAATCCATCGCTTTCCTGCCATCTCTGAAATTCATCCTAAGCGCCATACATCTGCCCATTTAATCACTCCGCACACGCTTTTCGCCGATTTCCCGTCGCACTGCGATGCTTGACATCCTCGAGTCGCCGTGGGTGTGAGAGGAACATCGCAGCGGAGATGGGCTCATGATGACCCATGAAGAAATTAATTCCCTCGTCGGGATATAAATTAAATTCCCTAAGCACTCTGTCGACTCTCTTGCTTGTATCTCTCAATAGCAGCACTTACAATTAATTTTGAAAAATTACACTCTTTCCGGGATTCCTGAGGTTCATGGAAATTGATGCAAGAAGTGAATTTCTCTATGGTGGTTAAACATTTTTATTACATTATGAATCCTACATCAGCGTGAGCAGCAATTATTGTGGCTATAATTTGTGGTTTAGTCTGACAAAAACTAACAAGATGCAAAATTATGTGGCGATTTTAATGCAGAAAAACATCATGATGACAAACACTGCGGTCATTTATAGAAATAAACACTGGAAAGGCAATGGATGCTTTCCAATAAGCTACAAGATCATGGCTTTATTTACAACAAATTCCTCATCACTGTCTTAGAATGTCAATAAAGTGCATAAGATACACGCAGCATCATCGCTAATTTATCTGCCCGTTACGCATCGTACCTTCGCCATTCACAGATAAACCCCTCGAGTGAAATTGGTATATATGTAAAATTTGAATTCAATACGAGTTTTCTCTCTGCATTTTTTCTCCGCCAAACAGTAAAATAGCCTATCTGAGCGTCGATTAAATTAACGCTATCTTCTCCGGCTGTGTCAAAACAGTTCTATTGGCTGGGCGCGCGCTTCTCGTGCAATCGGGATCGCGAGAAGCAGCCCCAAGAAGCGGAATCACCTCATAAATTGATGGCGAATTTCCATAACTTCCAAACCGTGATGCCGCCACCGATGGTGCTCTTTA